ATCTTGGAATTAGGTGACATAATCTCCTCAAGTGTCTCCAAAATACTGGATCTTGAAGGCTTAAGAACATCCCCTCCAATAGTTCGGTCCCAATACTTACCACCTCGCTCATCATTAATAATAACGCGTGCTTGGTCGTAGGGACCATATCTACCTTTAAGCCATCGTTCCCAGAAAATAGCATCAATCCATGCAACACTAATAGGCTCTTTACCATTAACTTCAACCCGAATCTCATTTGCTCGCTCTTCTGCTCCCTTATCCTCCTTATCTTTGGCCTCATCAATCTTCAATTGCTTCTTCTTTCGAAGCTCTTCCAATTCTTCCCGTTCATTCTTAGCCATAATCTCCTGAATCTCCACAGCTGCTGCCTTTAATTCCTTGATAGACGATGTAGTAACCTCTTCTTCACGAGGATCAAGAATAGCAAGAACCACAATAGAGTTGGAAAAAATGTCCTTGACATTCGAAGGTGTAAGTTGAGGAACAGAGGGTTGACGATTCTTTTCAGCCCATTGCACAAGTTGGTTATGGTCACGCAAACCATAAGATGTCTTCTCTGGAAATCTAACCTTCTTTTCCTTGGAAATGGCATACAATGCAGGAACACTATCTTCCTTCAAATCTTCAATAATACTGGTATCATTAGAAATGGCAATGTCAACTGTCCCAATAACAGAAACAGCAAGTTTTTCAAAAGCCTGGAAATCCTCAGTCGCAGTGTTGTGGTTATAAAGATAAAGCAATGTCACATCTTCAGCATCTTTGCGAATAACACTATATTCCTTAAAGGAAAGGTTCTTGGGGTGATGGGAATCATAAACACGCTTCAAAAACTGCAGTAAATCACCAGTTCCACGAAGACCCTTATACTCAGATTGCATAGAAGATGCAAAGTACTTCAAAGTTGGGAATTGTGTAATGCCAGCCTCCTTGCAAAGTCTGCGCTCAATCTTACAGTTGACCTGACCAATATTAACCTTACCCTTGGCTTCTGCAGCCATCAAATCCCAAGCAGGCTGAATGTTGCGAGTGTATTTGGAGTCGGTAGAGTAAAACTGAATAAACCAGCCGTCACGTTTGGCTGTTACAAGTCGGCTAAAATCACTGTGCTCGAGATTAACAGAAATGCCATTAGGGTTAGGAAGTGATCCATCAGCAACTTCTTCAAGAAGCTCCGGATCAATAGATTCAGGGTATTGGGAATTAACAACATCAGATGAGTTAGGGTAAGAGGGGAATTTAGAGTCTTTTGATTTTGTTGGCCCTTCACTTGACTCGGCTGATTCATCAGAGGGCTTATCATTAGATTCATTAGATTCATTAGATTCATTAGATTCATTAGATTCATTAGATTCATTAGATTCATTAGATTCATTAGATTCATTAGATTCATTAGATTCATTAGATTCACTTGATCCATTTGATTCTTTCGGTGGTTCAGTATTATCACGAGCTTTTTTAATTTCTAAATCAATAAATTTCTCCAGAAAATCTTCTGCCTGGATTCCCTTCATGTTTTTTACGAGATTGTTGTCCTTGTATAAGTTGATTGTAGGGTACACATTGACTTCCATCTTATCGCATAAATCACCCTGTGTGACACAGTTGACACTTGCAAAATGCAGCTCTTCATAAGAAGAGTTCAATTTCTTGTAGATTCGGTCCCAACTGGGCGCAAAAGCCTTGCAATGGTGGCAGTATGGTGAGTAAAACTTGATCCACCAAAAACCTTCATTAGTTTTGTCTGGAATATCTTCCATGACAAGCTCCTGTGGTGTTTTGGAAAGATCAACGCTCTTTGATGGAGCTGCAACTGCAACTGCAGCAAAAATAAATAGTAAGGTCGCTAATGCCGAATGTATCCTTATTAATGATTTCATTTGTAATAATGCAGAATATCGTTGTGTGTGTGTGTGTGGTTTAATATCTATCGGTGTCTAAATTGAAAAGGGGTTTGAAAAAAAATAAAAGGGGAGGGCGAGAGGGAGAAGGCGAAAAACTCAATGAAACCGACTCAAGCTTAAGATTTGCTATTAAAGAGTTTTCTAGCAAAATCTTGAATCACCAGCCAAAAGAGAAATACAATGAGAACTAATTGAAGACCTGGTATCTGGTTGTGATGATTATGTGATGCAAAGATGAAAAAAAAAAAAATAAAAATAAAAAAATATTAAAAAAATATATAAAAAAAAGCCAAATCACACGTTTTCAATAAATGTAAAGAGGCAACTGTGCGATAGATGGCGAAGGGCTGTCAAATTTTGTTGATAATGATTTGTCATGATTAAGTAATATTTATTTGCTCAATTGCTTGTCTTGCTTCAATTGGATTTTTTTTATTTTTTTTATTTTTTTTATTTTTTTTATTTTTTTTATTTTTTATTTTATTTTTATTTTATGTTTTATGTTTTATCTCTCAAGTTCCACTTCTTCTTTTCTTCCAAATCCCCCTATCGGCGATCAAATCAATTATTCAAATACCCTCTATGCCGAAAAACTTTCCTGATTCCTTAATACATGTTTCCGAACCCATTTCAATTGTAGACGGCTGTGTGAATTATTCTTCAGATTACGTTAATTGCAATACCCCTTTTTAACTACCCTCAATTCAATTTAAAAAATAAAAATAAAAATAAAAACTTGTGAAGTTTAAATAGAATGATATGCAACCTTTCAAGTTTAAATCACTACCACAAACTCTTGAATGTCTTATTGCTGATAAGTTAGTTTTTTTTAATGTTTAAAAGGCTTTCTTGTGGCGTGTTCCATGTGTCTGATCGTTTAAATTTCGGCAACTGAATTTCACAAATCTTTTACCCAGACCCTTAAATACCCAATATATATCATTTAAAAACTTTTAGATTTTAATGATTGTTTATATTTTTTAAATTAACTTGGGGTTTTCATGATTATTTATACCTTGCTTCTGCATCTATTTTCTTTTTTAATTCCCACATATTTTTTTTTTAAAAAAAAACCTAAATTATAAGCCCTAGCTTAAATTTTAAATGTTGTTTTTTTTTTCTATTTTTGCATTAGACTTAGTCTTTAATTGGGCTTTTTTTTTTGTCTTCTCCATGCTTTTAAACAACCATCTTTGGTTTATTACCATCTACTCCATGTATTCTTATATTTATATAAGAGTCTCAAGATTATTGTACATGATGTAGTTTAAAAAAATTTTTTTCCTGGTTGATTTCATTTTTTCTTCTCTTTTAATTTTTTTTTTTTTGCACACTGCATGTTAAACAGCAAAAAGAAAGAAAGAAAACACCTGTCAAATTGTAACAGACTGGGCTGGATGACTCGTTTTTTTTTTCTTGGAAAGAGCAAAAATCCGCTGATCCTTTCACGTTAAAAATTCACGTTCATTGGATAAGAAAGACAGTTATCAGCACAAAAAAAAATAATTACAGGAATTTCATTATCATAAACAAACTATGAAAAAAAAATTGTGTTGTGTGTATAGTTGCGGTGTAATTTCTCTAGACTCAGCGCATTAAAAATAATGATTTTTGATTGAAAGAAAATAAGAATAAATTAAAAAAAAAAAATTAATTGAAAATATTAAATGATATTGTGATATGTGGTGATTTCTTTTTTTTGTTGTTGTTGTTTGGTCTCGGACAAGATGAATGGACTTAAATGTGTGTGACTCCAAATACTTTATTTCCCAGATGTCGATGCGTTGGTGTTCTAAATTTTAATTTACCTTCTGCCTTTAGACGAAATTTTCTTATTTGTAGCTCAAAATTCTCTTTTTTTTTTGTTTCTTTCTTTTTAATCTTTTTAATCTTTTCAAAAAAAAAAAAATTTCTATATAGTTAAAAACTTTCCTTTTCTACTTTTTTTCTCTCTTTTTTTTCCCCCGTTATTATTTGTTTTACAAGTGGGAAAAAAAGAAAAAGCTCTGGAATATCATTTAATAAATATTGCTCCATTTCATCTTGTCACACGCCACTTATCTTCTTTTTCTAATAACTTGAAATTTCTATCTTGTTTTTTCATGTGAAACCTCCCTAAGCAGGCTTTGGTTCTTTAATTTACAACTTGATCTTTTTTTCTAAAAAAAAAAGAAATCTTTAACTATGGATGAAAGACGGTTTAAGTGCACTCATCCTGGGTGCTCAAAGTCTTTCAATAGACGCGACTACTTGATACGACACTCTGCAAATCGTAAGTTCCAAAAAAAAAAAAAAAAAAAAAGCAAAAGCTTGATCAACAGCGCCAATACTAACTGAAAGCTAGATTTGGATATCAAGCCTCATGAGTGTCCTCAATGCCCACAAAGATTTGCTCGAGCAGATCTTTTAGAAAAGTGAGTAGAAAAAAAGAGTGTATATATATAGATATATATATATATCTTTCTTTCTCTCTTTTCCCTTATTTCTTTCTTTCTTGGGAATTGTTTTTTTTTTCTTCTTTCTTAATAACATTTTCTAATTAATTAACTTTTTCAGGCACTTGAATACTAAATCACACGAAAAGAGAAAACGGCGTGAAGAAAAGCTCCAGCAGCAACAACAGCAGCAGCAGCAACAGCATGATAACCAACCCAAGCGAACAAAAATTGAAGAGTGGAGAGAGTATGACAATGATTTGAGTCTTAAAAGTTGTTCAAACAGTGAGACAGCTCAAAGCTCTAATTATTCTAATGAAGCTGCTGCTGCTGCTGGAGATAGTCTATCGCATAAAATGGCTCTTCCATCCGCTTTAGGAAACAATTACTTTACAACACAGCAGCAAATGTCTGGATATACTAGAGAAAATATGATTGCAACAAACGGCATTATTTCGCCTCCCCAAACCTCTCCTACAATCAAACAGGAAAGAAATACAAGCAGCACTAAAGCTTCACCCAGTGTAGTAATTTCACGCGAATGTACCTCTGCAATTCCAAACACACAAGACCCATCTCTAAACATTACTTCCCGTACATCATCCAGCTACGGTTATGCATCGGTCAATGTGTCTGTAGCAGCACCTTCGCTTAGTACCGTTTCTACTAATTCACATTTGGCTCAAGGTCCTTCAGCAGCTGTGTATACTAATGGATTAATACCCTCAGGGAACTTTAATGAGTGTATGGTTGTTCCGCCTCCAAGTGCCGTTCCCCCTTCTACTACCAAGCAATTTACAAATTCCTGCAACCAGGCTATTTCACACACTCCCCAGCAACAGAAACAGCAGCAGCAACAACAACAACAACAACAACAACAACAACAACAACAACAACCGCCTCTTCCTCAGCAGCAGCAGCAACAGCAGCAACAGCAGCAGCAGCAACAGCAGCAACAGCAGCAACAGCAGCAACAACCGCAACAACCGCAACAGGTCCAGCAAGTTCCACAGGGAAACTCTCAAAGTACCAACTCTTCTCCTCTTTCGCAGCTTCTTTCAACTCATAATCTTTCATACCAAAACATTGACATGAATCTTTCCAACAATTATGCGTGGCTTTTTGGGAATGACTTTTGGAGTAATGTTGCGGACTCTTCTCGAGGTGCTATTAATGCTTCTGGGTTAGTGTCTCAAGAATCAAATTTTGTTAGTAATAAGCACATGCCTGTACGCAATAATCCTGGTACCCAAACAACACCTACACCGGTCAACATGACTCCAGGTGTTGGGTTTAACAATGTCACACGCAAGGAACGCAATATTAATACTATGTTTCAAGATCCTCGGTCGTCTTCTCGGGGGATGGTATGTGAAATGGACTACCTTATGGGGGTTCCTGAAGGCTCTTCTTCGCAATTTACAACTTCTATGGTTCATCCCTCTGTCAATGTGCGTGCAAACTTTACCAATAATGCGTTTTATGAACAAATTATGACTCCGGAGCTGGCACCAGGGTATCATCAAAACTTTAATGGAAATAATAATGGTCAGATTCATTTGCCATCACAGGATGTAACAACACAGACCAACCCTGTTGTGAATCAAGAAGATGGACAAATTTATCAGCAACAAAATCCAGTCACACAAGCTTGGGAAATACAGAATCAACAGCCTATTAATACAGTTTCTATTCCACAGCACCAACATCAACAGATTCCAGTGTCTCAATTTCAAAACCAAAACTTGGATACCTCTCAACGGAAATCTATTGGTCATATAAGCAATATTATCCCAATGCCGTTCCAAAATCAAAATGCTGTTGAGTATAATGAAAACCAGTTTTCTCAACAGCACTTGATACATCCTATAAACGAACAACCTTTGGGGCATGACCATCAACAATATCAGCAGCAGCAACAACATAAACAACAATATCAACCCCAACATCAACTTCAACATCAACTTCAACATCAACTTCAACATCAACATCAACATCAACATCAACATCAACATCAACATCAACATCAACATCAACATCAACATCAACATCAACATCAACATCAACATCAACATCAACATCAACATCAACATCAACATCAACATCAACATCAACATCAACATCAACATCAACATCAACTTCAACTTCAACATCCACACCAACCCAAACTACAACCACAACCACAACAACCGTTAGCTCCACCACCACCGCCACCAGAGCCTCTTCCTAAGTATTATTCTATTGTTTCTAAAGAAATGGAAGAAAAGGTATTTGAAGTGCTTAAGATTGTTCCTCAACTTGAAGAAAAACGGAATCTGCTTGGACACAAGGAGTTGTCATCTTATCTGGATCTTTATTGGAATTTTTTTGATATTTTGTATCCCATTATTCACAAAGGCACGTTTAATGCTTCAACGTGTGCGCCGGAGCTTATTGTTGCAATGGCTACTATTGGAATGTCTTACGCGCCAAGTAACGATGTTTATAATCTTGCAATTGAAATCCATCGAAAGTTTAGAAACATATTACTCATCATGGTGGATGATCATCCACAGGTACCCTTGTGGGTGCACCAAAGTTTGCTGCTCACCAATTACTTTGTAAAGATGCTTGGTTCTCGGAACCAGCACGCCATGTCACAAATGTTTCACGGAACTAATATTGCTCTTCTTAAACTGTCTGGATATCTTAGTGATTTAAAGGAGCCCACACCAATGTTAGAAAATATGAATCCAGAAAATTATTGGAAAGAATGGGTCGACTATGAAAGCAGGAAAAGGTAAATATGATTTTCCTTTTTTTTTTTTTTTTCCTACCCAATTAATTTTTTTTTTCTAACTCTTGATTTTTTTAGGACTTCCTTTTTTGCATTCATTTGTGATACCCAGCATGCAACATTATTTCATCATACTCAAGGTATTTCAGTTTTTGAAATTAATTTAGAGCTGCCGTGCACAGATGCTTGTTGGGGCGCAGGCAGTGCCAAGGTGTTTTGGGAGATCTACAAGGGTCAGCCACGACAGGTTCAACCTCGGCCGCCGCCTGATTGGCAAGATTTGGCCATTTACTCTGGACTTGTGAATAGTGGGAATCAAGGTAGAGAGAATCAAGGATCATCAGGAGGTAACCACAGTGGTACTAGTGGGAATGGTGGTGGTAATAGTAACTCAACTTCATCATCACATAAGGTACTTCTTTCGTCAGGAATCCGTGGCGAAGGAACCTGGCCCAGCTTTTTGTTTTCAATTCGTCGGTTAATGTCTCCATACCGGGAGAGCCAAAAGGAATATTCTTTGGATTGTTTTTCACAGTTTTCGCGATTTATTTTGCTACATGGCCTACTAAGCATTTGCTGGGATAGTCAGTGGCGTGGCTTGTTAGATATGGGTATTGTGTCAAAACGACGCATGAGTGAGTTTCGGTTGAGGCTTGTTCAAGCAATTGCAAGTTGGCGTGAATATTTTGACCGGCAGTTGAAGGAACTTAATACTCCAGATTTTAATCTGCTCTTGTCATTGAATGGTGAGCAGTCATACCGACGGCGGAAGCCAGATAATGATGATGAAACTAAGAATATGAGTGCGGCTGTATTGAGTAGACACCAGTACCAGCCCAACTTCCCGCCAACATCTGGGTCATTTATGCAGCAGGTTCATGGTAACAATAGTAATAGAAATAGCACTAGCAGCAGCAGCAGCAGCAGCAGTAGCAGTAGCAATAATGGAGTCCAGCCAACAGTGACACCTCATCTCAACTATTATGGGAACTCACCGTTGCTATGTGCCAATTGGTCGTTGTACAATTTTGGGCTAATTGCATTGTACTCAGATACATCATCGCTGAGGACGTTTGCGGAAGGGTTGTCTTCTTTGAATCCTTCTGGTGAAGAAAATAATTATTTGGGGACATTTCCGACATTAAATTTTCTTGGTGGAATTCAGCCGGCAGATGTTGTTGCACAAACAAGTCTTGCACGGCAACGGGCGGTTGCGCGGTCGCTGGAGCAGCTCAAGGCGCAAAAGGTGATTTATAGCTGGGCTGCATCTGAGGATGCCAAGTGGGCGGTATGGCATTCTGCACATTTCCTGGCTAAAGTATTTGGGAATGATGCATTGATGAGTCAGGCTGACCATATGCCATGGTGCGTTTATATAGCGACGCTTTCATTGTGGGCCTTTGAAGTGTCGCGGGCGGCACAATCGCATGATGAACTCAAGTCGAGTCAGTACATTTTGAACAATGAGGAGATTCAACGACAGAGAGAAGTTGAAGCTAGAGAGAAGAGTACTAAGGATGGGTTATCACATTCTGGAACTAAAAAACAAAAAAAACGAGGAGGACGTTCAGGGAAGAACAATGATAGTAATGAGGGTGTTTCTATTAGGCGAGACGAGACAATAGTATCTTCAATATCAGCATCTGCTTTGTCTCAGTCTTCATCACAATCATCTGAATCACAGGGCGCATTTTCTCCTCTTGAAAATGGTAAGGATGATGGTTATCATGAATCTTCACTGGCTACTAATGGGTCTATTCCAGCTTATATAAGGTATCGATTTGAGATTGATATTGAGCGGGCCAAGCGGGATGCTTTGGAGTATGTTGGGATGGTACAGAGATTTCCACCCAAGTCGATGCAGACCACACCTACCGCCAGCGAAGATCAACAAGCTGAGTTTCAAATGGCTAGCGGATGTTCTGGAATTGGAACTGGAACTGGAACTGGAACTGGAGGTATTGGAGGGACGGGATCGGTTGAGATGCTGGAGAAGCGGGAATCGTTGGTGATGGGACTTGTTGCATATGTTTATGCTCTATTTGGCAAGTATGATCGAGGATTGAATACAAATGCGATTCCGCTGCTCCACAGTCTATTGGATCGGTACAATATAGCACGATGAATAAGAAGGAGAAGGAGAAGAAGAAGGAGAAGAATAAGAGTGATAATAAATATATATATATATATATGTAGTAGTAGTAGTAGTAGTAGTAGTAGTAGTAGTAGTAGTAGTAGTAGTAGTATATAATTTGATTGTCAGTCTGTTTAATGTCAGTTTGATTAGTCTTCTCGGGACTGGTGTACCGAGCGGCTGTGCTATGAGACTTGAAATCTAAGCCTTACGCCTTAAGTTTTTATTATTATTATTATTATTAATTTGCTTTATGTAATTTTGATACCTGTGTACATTTGGGTCCTTTGCATGAAAAGGCAATCTCCGCTATAAATAGCAGCGCATGGCCATCTGCCGCCCAAACAGCTCCCGTAAGAATCCCAAAGAAGCCTTGAGAACCACGCGTTTTTTCAAAAAAACAAAAAAAACAAAAAAAACAAAAAAAAACCCTTCCATTTAAAAATCCCACGCCGTCCTTTCATTCTCCTTCTACTTTTTCTCCTCCCAACAACCATCGCCAACTTTTTATTTTTTTATTTTTTTATTTTTTTATTTTTTTATTTTTATTTCCCATCTTTCTTTCTTTCTTTCTCCATAATAATAATTTTTTTTCTTTAACATGCCATACTATCCTAGTTACACAAACTATAACTACTCACCACCAGGTGGCTCTGCGTCTTATGCCATCATCGACTCAGCAGCCGTTGACTCCATGGGCGCGTACCCAGGGAACGCTGGTGGTGCTTACTACCCTTCTGCAAACTCTTCTGCCACAGTCTCGGCAGGTATGCTCCCAGGAAACGCGTCCTACTCCTATGCCGCACTACCTTCGTCACCAGGAATCGGTCTTGCATCGTCATCTGGAAATAATGGTGCAATGTATATGCGTGGTAATGGTGGTGGTATTGCTGGTGCAAATGCAGCAGCAGCGGCAGCGGCAGCTGCGGCAGCTTCAGCATACATGACTCCCATGTCACGACCATCTTCTGTTTCGCCGACTCTTGGTGGTGGACCTTCTAAGCTTGCAACTGGGTTCCGCGGGTACGGTGGCCCTATGTCAGTTTCTATGAATGGTGGTAATGTATCGTCTTCAGCAGCAGCACTATGGCGCGACCGCTTTGAAAAGTCTCGCGGGTTTGATGTTGAAGATGACTTGGAATTTTGTCCCTTGGCATGCGTGTCACAGCACCATATGCTTAGTCTTCACCATCACCATCCAGCAGGTGCGGCCGCGGCATACATGTCACCATCAAGTCCAGAATACTATGTGGCTGCCGCAGCTTCTTATGGGGCCAACGCCGGGACAGGCGGCGGGCCGTCTTCTCCTGGAGGGCATTCTCCTCCTCTTGGAATGTATTATGGCAGTAGCGGCAATAGTAGCATCAGCAGTAGCAGCAGCAGCAGCAGCAGCTCGAGTGCTGGAAGCATGAGCGGCAGCAGCGGTAGCAATAGCAGCAACAGCAGCAGCGGAGGTGCTGGTTCACCTAACGGTCACCATAATACCATTACATATTACAATGGCGGGGTGTTAACCTCGGGACCTACGCCTGGCGCGTTTGGTTCTTCGGTAGGCACTGGCGCGTCTTCTGGAGCTCCCACCAAGGTGCGTAAGGCTTTGCCTATCATTGACCCTACCACTGGGCTCCGGGTTGCGTCTCCGTCTTTATCGCCAGCAGGTTTGGCGGCCAATAGACATCACAAATGATTGATTGATTGATGATGATGATGATAATGATGACGATTACGAATGTTAATGACCTGAATTTTCCCATATAGTTTTTCTTTATCTCTTTTTTTATATATATTTTCTTTTATTATTATTATTATTATTAAATTTAAAAAAAAAAAAAAAATTCAATTTCTATTATGAATCTCATAAATATATATCTTAGATATACAGATTTAGATATAACTATATTATTATTATTATCAATAATAATAAGTCTCATGATGATAGTCACCAAAGAAGGAGGGAAAAGTATGTGGCTGTTTATAAGGCTGGCAGTGCAGTGGCTCTCATATAGAAGAAAAAGAAAAAGAATATAAAAAGGCCCATCATCATCATCAGGTATCTTTGACATTCATTTCTTTAATTCTTTCAATTTTATATATATATATATATATATATATACATTCTTTTCGGTTTCTTCATTAATAAAAATAAAAAATACAAAAATTCTTATAGAAGAAACTCTAAAGAAACTTTGGCTTGTGAGTATTTAAAACATTTTTTATTTTTTTTTTTTTTCATTTAAATAATAAAAAAAAAAAAGAGCATCTCGACCAACCACTTGTAGTGCACTTTTGCAAGAAGAGGTTTGCCGGTGGGTCCGTTGAGCTAGTCGGGTGACTTTTGTTAGTTTGTTAGTTTGTTAGTTTGTTGGTGGACCAGGCAAAAAAAAAAAAAAAAAAAAAAGTTCTTTGTTTAAAGTTATCGGGTAACTATATTATTAAGTTACTTTGGTAACTTATTTCAAGTTACATTTAATAACTACAATTTAAACTACTACTGCGGGGTAGTTGTTGAAATTGATGACACTCAAAAAAAAAATAAAATTAAACAAAAAGACAGTCTCGAAGTCTCAATAGATTCTCCCTTTTATTTATTTAATTCTTTTTTTCTTTTTTAAAATCTTTACGTTTTTGACTTCGGTATAACTATTTTGGATCAATCATTATCATTCTTATCTACCAACAATAACCACCATTGCTCACAATCGTGAGCTCCAGCTGCTTTAACAAAGTATCCACAAAGAAATACCATAAAGCAGCAGCTGAGAAAGAAGAACAAAAATAAGAAAAAAAAATCAAATTCTTCAATAAAGAGAAGCACTCTTAATGTGATTGCTTAAATCTTTCCTACTCTTCAAGTTTTGAAACTAACAAAGAATTTTTTTTTTTTTTTTTTTTTTTGGGGGAATTACTAAACCCCATTCAATAAAGAAACTAACTATTTGAAGAAACAAGACAGTCTAATGGATTAAAAGTTAAAAAAAAAAAACAATGGAAGATGATGATAAAACAATAAAAACTAAAGAGATTTCTTTTAAAGAAAATCAAAAAGAAACAAAGACAATGGACAATAATATCAAATTAGAATACCCATTCTTTATGACTGATGAAGAGCTTGAGAAAGCAATTGAATGTCTTTTACCATTTGCTGAAATGAATAATGATTCCTTTTTACAATACCTTATTTCACAAGAAACTAGTAACCCTTCTTTTTGTGAATATACAACGGACGACATTTTGAAAGAAATCAATGCCACTATTAAAGAAGAATTTGGAACAGAAGATATCATTATTTACCCAAATGAAACTACAACAATACCTATACTCTCTCCTTTAGATGATTACAACTATAGTAACGATAATGACAACTTATCTTTAACTGAAATAACAAAGGATCTTGAAAGTTTGCTGAATGAGATAAAGATACCAGACGATACCTAAAAACATTACAAGTTTTTTAAAAAACAAAAAAAAATTAAGTTAAACTATGTATACATATAAGCTACTATAAATCAAAATGCGTTGATTATAGGACTCTGTAAAATCAAAAGGAAATTTAGTTGAAATTTCTGTCCTAGTAAAGGTTTTGCGGGAGAGGAGGGAAAGAGAGTTGTTATTGGCTTGAAAAAGTTGTTATGTTTTGTAGTTTACTAGTGCATCACTTAGTGATAATAGTTAGCAAAATCAAAGCTTTGAGATTGAGAGATACCAGATAAGATAGTAAACGCATAAAAAGCGGTACACTCATAACTTATAATAGCCAATAACGAAATATATATATATATATATTGACGTTTTTGTTGATTGAGTTTTAAAAAGGGAACTTCATTGTTTGGTTTTTTGTTTTTATTTAAAGGTTACATAACACTAACATTAACGCTATATTTTTAATCACCCAACTTTAAGAATTATCTGTTTTATTTTTTGTATCTATTATGTACTGGTTATTTCCATTAAAGTGACTCCGTCATCCAGAAAGGCTGGTCCTAATTCCCAGTCTATAAATCACTAAAAGAACCTGTTTATCAATCCCAATCTTATCTGACCAATTTATACTTATGCTCACGGATCCATTCATTATTTCCTTATTCTTCTTTTTTTTTTTTTTTTTTTTGCTGAAGTTACAGTGTACAAAAATTTACTGATCAATTATATTAAATAGAAGACTCGGCTTTCCTATTGACCTGGGTAGCCTAGTGGTAAGAATGAAGTATAGTGTACTCTTCGTTAACTACACTTCCATGAAAAAAAAAGGAATACGAGAATAAAACACATTTTAATAAAGTAAAATAATTATTATTTATTTAAACAACTTAATTTTGCTTTGGTTTAAAAATTTCCAGTCTTCAGGCCTTGTTTGTTTGTTTGTTTTTATTCAAGGGTTATAGAATTATATAACATCAGCATCTGCGCTATCCTTTTTGTCCACACTATATATCTTTTCATTTTCATAATAAACTTTTAATTTTGCCTTCAACATTGCATCTCCAACAGCCCGAAAATAAGTCCTGATGCCAGCTTACGAGGAACAGGGGGTTAAAAGTAACCAAACCTTCCCAACCTATCTCCACTTGTCTTCATCAACGCCGTAATTGTATTTCTTAATCCCTCCAAGCAGAGATAAAGCTTACAATCTCTTGTAAGCCAGTTAAACTGTTTAAGAGAGTCGACATGTCCATCTCTGGAGATATCCGTTTCAGTCCTTTTCTTTCCTCTTCAAGCAAAGGACACTCAACTAAAATGTGATGAACTGTTTCCAGCTCTCCACATTTGCAGTTGTAACTATCCTTTTCAATTCCAAACTTTTTAAACCATGCGCCAAAGTTGCCATGGCCTGTGCGAAACTGAGTAATATTACTCAAGATCCTTCGACTATCTTTCTTCATGATCACTCCCGTGACCATAGTCTTCGGGCCCAAATTTGTATATTTTAACTTAATTTAAGAATCTTTCTTTAAGTAAGATAAAAAATTATAAATTATAACAACTTAAATTATACGATTTGGTCTGGCCGTGTGGTCTAGTAGTATGATACTCGCTTTGGGCATTTAGCAACTCTGCGAGTGGTCCAGGGTTCAATTCCCTGCTCGGCCCAATATTTTTTTGTTGCATTCACTTTTATCTAATCTATATAGTTTAAAGGTATTCTACTTTTTTTTTTTTTTTATATCAAATGTGAAAGATATTCTGTTATAGAAACAATTTTGTTTTTTTTTTTTTTCAACGATTAATCATCAAAAGAGTATTCTTCAATTTTCCATTTATTAATGGAAATTTGCAAAAAAAACTAAAAAAAAAAATACATTAAAAAAATCAAAGATAACAATATTTTCAAAATGGCTTAAAATGATTTCTTTTGCTAAAAAATAAAAAATAAAAAAATGTTATTTGCAGTACACAAAAAAAATTAAAAGTAGAATTAAAGAGACAAAATAATAATAATAATAATAATAATACAAATTATTATCAAACTTCTATCTTTATTACTACATTTATGGAGATATGCCTTTTAATGAAATTTGACTTAGAATTTAGCCTCAACTCATCTCTTTTTTTTTTCAAATTTTTAACAAAAATAAAAATAATATTTTAAAAAGAATTATTTCCTTAAAAATTAAATTTAATCAATTTTTTTTTCAATTTTTCAATTTTTTTTCAATGATTTCATGTTCAAGCGCTTAAGGTACCTGGCATTTGTTACCTTTTCAAAATCTTCAGTGGTCTCTTGGCCCAGTTGGTTAAGGCATCGTGCTAATAAACAAGCAACTTCCTTGTGATACGCGAGGATCGGCGGTTCGATCCCGCCAGAGACCATTATCTTTTTATTCTTCTATTTCATATGAGCTTACTTTGAACATTTTTTTTTTGAAATGCTTGGGTATTATGTGTGAGAAACAAGTGAAATTTGTTGGGATACGTTTATGTGTATTGAGAATTGAATAAAAAAAAAATTTTTTTTTTTTCATTTTTGAACTAAGAAAACCCTTACCCTATTATCAATATTTTTAATGAACATACAATAGTCATTTAGTTCTCATAACTTTTAATTGTATAAATGATTTTTAAGATTTACTAAGAAAAAAAAAAGTTACTGTCTTAGAGACCAGATTCAAAGATAATGTCCGAAACTCAACAACACCTTGCTATTTTACTCTAATCGAGAAATGATAAGACTAACAAATTAATAATGGAATTCTCAATATTAAACCCTTCTCGTGTATGCCAAAAAAAAAACCTTTTTTTTTCTCTCTCTCTGAACAGCTTCCAATAATCCTAATCATTTATTTATAATAATTATTTATCCAATGAAGTTTTCACAGATACTTTTTATTTAATCTTCTTACACTTTAACTTGATGAAATTAAATATATTCTTTTGTAACAATGTTGTAATATAATAATTTTTTTGTTTATTTTTTTGTTTATTTTGTTTGTTTACAAACCACCCTCCCCCCCCTAATTAACTTTTTTCAGTATTATGAGTATTTTACTAAATAAAAAATATTAAAAAAAAAAAATAAAGGATCTTTCGATAAAACGTTTACATTTTTTTTTTTTTTTTAATATCTATTTCTTTCATCATGGCCGACAGTCCCAGTTTGGAGCCTAACGAAAATGATCCTATTAAAAATGTTATTTTGGAAGTGGAAGCCGATGTTAGAAATATCCAAATACTTGCAAAGGATGCAGTAAAAAAAAATATCAAATATCTTCCTCATAATTGCGATATTTTTGGTCGCGGTGTTGACGCCCAAATCAATGCTACTAAAGGTATAGGTAAAAGTCCTGCTACAACCGTCAAATATACTGCCGTCATTTTGGCGTATCTCAAGTGGTGTCGCTCCACTTCCGAAATCAACTCACCCTACCCTGAAATCATCACTCCAAGAAGAACCCTCCTCTACATGGAATGTGTTGTTGGTGTTGCCGACATTACAGGGCGTATAAACGGATTTGCTTCTTTTGAAGGTGCAGCCTCCGCTTTGAGTCATCTCTACAATTTGCAAAAATCTAAGTTTCTCTCTTACCCAGACTTAAAAGATCCCAAAGAACCTCAAGTTTTCCAGTGGCCTGAAAGACTTCGAAATACTTCTATTGAAGATTATCTTAGAGGAAAAAGAGAACTTCAGACCCGAATGGAAAGTTTGAATTTTACCGACAGAGCCCATCCGGTAACCGACGGTTATACAATAGCAGAGCTTGTCAAAATGTCTGAGCATCTAATGAAAACGAAAAGTTACAACGTTCTCTTTGCAGCTTTAGGAAGCCATGCTTTAATGGTTAGAGGTGATATCATACGTGGGTTTGAGCTTTCTGATGTGGTTCTTCAAGACTTGACAGATTCAGATATTGGGAAAAAAATATCCATTTATTTTGTCAATCGCCATGGTAAACCAAGCCGAACAGGACGTCCTGAGTACACTGGAAGTTTACGTCACAAAAACCCATTTCTTTGCAGTCATCTTGCTTTAGCTCTTGATTTTTTCGGTCGTTTTCATATTGGTAACAGTCGGAGCGTGGAGGCTCCTATCGACTTTACTTCCCCCCATTCTTGGTATCGAGTCAAACTTTTCCGAGGAACTACTCCATCTAAATCATATACCCCAAATCATCACGAAAGTCTTATTTCAAAACTTTTGAGGGATTGCAATATCGTCTCTAAAAGAATTACCCATATTTTCCGAGGTTCCTCTGCGCGTTATTGTATTAACAAGGGTGCCCCTGAAGACTCTGTCCGTATTTTTGGGCATTGGCCAAATGATGCATTGATACAAAGTTACTTGACTACGGTTCCTTTAACCCCAATGCACGTATTAGCTGGATTCAATGTATCAGAACCTTACTACATTCATCGAGAAAAGATCGAGCCTCCAGAAGAAATCTACAAGAATATATTTCCATTTATCAATCAGTACGTTGACGCTATAAATGGTGGTTATTTAAACACTCTTCTTGTGTCCCATCATGACATTTCTGTTGTTCAGTCTAGCCGGATACGCAGACGGACTACTGCGATTAACTCAGAAATGGCTGCTTCAATTTCCACTAGTAATCCAGGCAGAATTCCAGGAAGTCTTGAAGAGGACCTCTCGAGCGCCAGAAACCATTATCCACCTCGAGATTTACATGGTGACATTGAAAATGAAGAAGATGAAGAGGATGACAATGATGACGATGATGACGAAATTATTGAAAGTTTACCTCATGAATCTAGGGTTGGTGGTAATGGCCGACGCCTCGAAGACGACGTGTTGAAAGTAAAGGACGCTGTTATGTTGTTAGACTATCTAAGAAAGGTTCTTGTACAAGATTTATTTCTTATTGAACAAATGGTTCCTGACGTTGCTGGACATCGGATTTTTAGGCGGCCAGAATACTATACTTACAAGCATATGCAGCAAAGACATGAAAATGCTGGAGTTTCTCAGGCTGTGCAAGAGCGTCTTGAAGCTCCATTGATGGTTGAAGAGATTAAGCAGATCAAATTAGGTCAATTAAAGATTACTGCTGAACTTTGTGAAGTGAAGGCCAGATTAGGGGCTGTCGAAGATGAGGTAAGGGATTTTAAGAATCTTTATCTCAGTAACAGTAACCGATTTTCACGGGTCCAAAAACAACATTTTCAAGCGTTATCTCATATCTCTTCTATGATGTCAGATTTCATTGCCATGAATTCACAGAACGCCGGTAACCTTAATCAGGCTAATATAGAACGTCGTGCTGTTTTACAGGGCTCAGCTAATGAGAGGTTGGGAGTTGCACAGGGTGCGCAGGTTGCACAGGGTACTCAGGTTCTACAAATTGCACCGGTTACGCAGGGTACGCGGGTTGTACCTATTGTACCGGTTGCGCAGGGTACGCAGATTACACCGGTTGCACAGGGTACTCAGGTTTCGCAGGATAATCAGGTTGCTGTGAGTGCTCTTGAGTTGAGGGGTGATGGGTTTGAACCTTCAGAATGTCACAGCTTTCAGGAAGTTTACAACGACTATATTAAAATGAGTGATTATAAAGAATGCCTAATTAGTAAGTACAGGACGTTGAAGAATATTCCCAAGTATCGTGATTTCCAGCGACGGAAAACAGTCTATGATTTGGCGAAAAGATTTCTTAAAAAGGGGTATTCACTTGAACAGGCCTTTTCACACATGGGCGAAGACATGAGGACTTGCAATGCAACCTTCATGTCCTATGGAGGCAAGGGCCGTGTAAAACACATGGTTTCAAAGTATAACCTGTAATGTTTTTAGTTTTATTTTAATATTTTTATGAGAGTGTAGATGTATATATATATACATAGGAATATGATTTTTGGTTTTATTTTTTTTTAATGTGAATAAAAAATTGATTAGTTTGTGGAAATAGTGGTGACGATGATGATGATGATGTTTGAGTATAATGGGAGGTGGGGTAGTTAGCTGACAACGTTGTTAACCCTAACCTTTGACTATTATTTTTATTTATTTATTTTTTTTTCTCCCCCACCACCCCCAATATTTAATATAGCCCACATATTTTATTTTATTTTATTTATTTTTATTCTTTCTACTAATAAGAACTCATAGGGGTTTAATTAATAATAAAAAATAACAATGACGAATTTCAGTTGATTTAATTAATTACCAGTTTTAATTTATTTATAATCTATTATTATTATTATTATTATTATTATTATTTAATTAATAAAGATAGATTGAGTAACTTTATAATACCTTTTAGTTGGTTATTTTTTTTTTCTAAGATTCCCTTTTTTTTTATTATTATTATTATTCAATAAATAAATAAATTATTTATTTTTTATATAAAAAAAAAACTCCTGAGATACGGCTTTGCGGGACTACTTCTGTTTTAGTTATTGAAGCCGTTTTAATTGATACAGAGATTAAGCCGCGTTTAATATTTGCTTTTGAGGAACGACAAGGGTAGTTAGTTGGATATGATATTATCCAATATAGAAGGTAAACTAACTAACTAACTAACTAAATAACTTTTATTCATTTATTACAAAAAAAAAAAAAAAAAAAAAAAAAATTCTGAGGCTTCATTTCTACGCTTCTATAAGCCTCAATTTATCGTTTACTGGTGATATACCAAGTCTTAAAAAAAAAAAAAACTAGAGTACCCAGGATATTTAAATTTTTTTTTTTAAAAAAAATAAAATAAAATATAAATCAATTGAAAAAAAAAAAAAAAAAAATTAAAATAAAATGGCAAGACCGCTATATCTTTTGGTAAACAAGTTTATGAGAGTACAAGTACCACTTGGAGTCTGGCATGCTGCACGGAATCTTTTTATTCTCTATTCAATGTTTTGGTTTTGCTTTTTAATTAAAAGAATTAAAAGATTCTTACGTCATGACCACCAGTAATAGTAATTGAGTATTGTTTGTTTGTTAGTTTTATTTTTTTTTTTCAATGGTTTTGGGCTATTGGGTGAAGAAACAAAAAAAAAAAAAAAGAGCCATGTGTATTATCAACTTGTCAAAAGTCTCATCAATGAGAATTTTAACATGCTTACCAATAGAGACAAAAAAAATAAATTCACTTACAATCAGCTTAGCCTCTTTATTTCTTCACTCAATTTTTTCAACTATAAAAAAACCTCGATTTCCCTCAAAATTCAACTTTTTTTTCTTCTTCTTCTTCTTCTTCATTTTTTTTTAACCACCACAAAAGCTTTTTTTCTTTTTCTCTACCAGATCAATAATATCTGAACATCTTTTTAAGTCAACACTTCACTCAATCACTCAATTACCAATCAAAATGTCTGCTCCTGTCTTGAACTGCAAGCCCAAGTGGCCTAGACCTCCTACTCCACGTCCCAAGTCCTCTTAAGTCACTTGACTGGAGATTTTCTTCTGTTTATCTTTTTCATTTTTTTATTTACCATTTCTTTTTTATCTAAAGTTTTAATTTTTAATGGTGAGTATTTTAAAAAAACCTAACAAGCTTTTTTTTTTTACATTGTTACCACCTCTCTAACACTGTTTAGTCTGTTATGCCTACTTATTTCAATTGCAAGACTACCAGTCATTTATCTTGGTATTCTTTAATGGCATTGTTTAAGTCTTAGTTATTATTATTATGATTTATATATTGTTATATATAGTATTAGTTTGAAAAATACAAAAAAAAAAGTTTTTAATGAATTGATTTTGTTCCTCACAAGTTTTTTATTTATTACAAGTAAAACGTTTATTCAAATTATTGCATTAAAATGAAATGGATTTAGATAGAAATATTTCAATTGATAATTTAAATTTTGCATAATTCTCCTTTACATCTCATGATTTCCTAGTTTTAGAATAGAGAGCCAGGCCATTGCACAAATCATTTATTGAAAAGACTCGGCCAGCTTATAAAGAAATTTCTTTTCCTGAACAGGGAAAAGTAAATATTATGACTAATTAATAAATTAAAAAAAAAAACAAAAATATTATTGCGTGACTGCTATTTTTTTTTTTTTTTTTTTTTTTTTAAGAAAAAGTCAAGTCAGAAGCTGTCTTTGGAGTTTTTCACATCTATACCCTTCTATCCACCAACATTGAAAATTTTTTTTTTTCAAGAATTAAAGTATTTAATAAATGGATAATTGATCATGGTTTTGTTTATAATCTTTAATAGGGGTTTAAAAGCTTATAAATATACAGTGGGTAACCAAAAGTGAGGATTGAAATCACCACTTTTGCGACAGAGTCATGTTTTCTACTTTCAACCCAACAGCGACTTCATCTTGAATTCCTAGTTTCTCAACAACAATGGCTCCAGTGACTTCCAGGGTGGAATATAGTCCTGATAAGAGGACTAGAATTTATATGAAGTACAAAATGGGAATTTCTTAGTGGCGTATCGCATTTGAAGAAGGAGTGTCACCAGGGTCAGTGTCTGGCATCATTCGACGATATCCTATCCAAAAAAATGCCTCTAGTTGTGGACGGTCAGGACGACCACCAAAGCTTTCCGATAGGAATAAAAGGGCTATTTTCCGAGTCATTAGGAAAGACCCTTTTATTGAAATGCAAGATCTTATTGTTGCCGTTGATTTAAATGTCTCTAAACGTACTATTTTGAGATGGCTCAAACATGAAGGCATCCATCATCAACGTGCTCTCCGACAGCCATTACTAACTCCAACGATAGCGGAAAAACGCCTAAATTTTGCAAGAATGTATAAAGATGAACCAGAAAGCTTTTGGAAGCATTGGATTTCAAGTGATGAGTCTACAATTGCTCGTGGTGATGGCGAAAAGCAGGAGTGGGGTTTATGCCCAAAAGTATGTTTTATTTACATTACAATTCCTTTATCTATTTACAAATAATAGGGACAACGATTAGAAATTCAATATGTACAGCCAAAAGGTAAGCCCTCACGTCATTCTCAGATGTTCTGGGGTGCAATTTCCTTTCCCTCTCGATCGTCTTTATGGCCGCTTCGTGGAAACCCTACATCTGCTCGCGGAGGTGTTACTACCCACTGTATTCTCTAATGCCTTCAAGATCAACTTCCAAAAATTGCACAGTCGGGTTCTATATTTGTTCAAGATAACGCACCTACACATAAAGCTCGAACTGTTCAGAATTAGCTGCGTGAATGGGCCGAACAGAATGGGGTTACTTTAGTGGATTTACCTCCTTATTCACCTGATCTTAATCCAATTGAGAACATATGGAAACTGCTTAAGGAAGAAATCTGTAAAAGATTTCCGGAACTATCACTATTACCTCAGAATAATCAGTCATTAAATAAGTTATGCGAAGCAGCTGTGGAAGTCTGGGAGGATTTCCATCAGGACCTCATAAATAAGCTAGTCTTATCAATGCCCCGAAGACTTCAAGCTGTAGAAGATGCAAACGGCTGGTATACAAAATATTAAACAAATATATATATATATCTCAAGTTACGTATGTATTGAATTAAATTTGGTAAAGAAATCCGTTTTGAAAGTGATGTGGTGAAGAAAAATAAAATTGGTGATGTGGGAGTGAATCGTCAATTTTGTCTCCCCCGTATATATATGCCATCACACTTATATATACAAGTGTCTAAAAAAAACTCGGCAACGGGGAATTGAACCCCGGTCCCCCGCGTGCTGCTAATGACAGGCGGAAATTCTAGCCACTAAACTATTGCCGACAATTGAAAAATATATAACTAAGAGTGTAAATAAGGACATTATTTAAACAAATCACGTGACTTTAAGTAAAATTTGAACATTTTATTTTATTATTTGTTCAGAGGTCCAATTATTATACTTCAGTATATAATATATATGATAATAAAAATTTTAATATAGAATAGAAATTGTTTGCCATTTTTCACTAAAGGATAGCATCTAAATTAATCACTTACAGTTTTTGAGCCTAGTCTATTTCTTCCAAAGGGGTTTATTTTTCGAGGAACTATTATATGGATTCAATCAAATAACCATTTTTCAGTTTTCATTATATTTTGATACGATGACTGACAATAATAGTAATAACATATCAGTGTATTGAAAGTTAATGGATATTATTACGAGTAAATATATTGCACTTTGTTTTTTTTTATTTATTATTTTTTATTTTGAGTAAAGTTGATTACAAACTTTCCTTGTTGTGAAAAGTCATGACTTTGACTTTGACACTGATCAGTGGCTCACAAAAAATGAGGATAAATCTAAATGAGTAATATGGGGGGTTTTTTATTATCCGATTAATAAAATTATTAAAGTTATTAACATTGCTTTATCATTAAAATTAATAGTCATTTATTGTTTTTTTTAACAAATTAATCAATTAAACGATCAAACCGGTAATTAATTTATTTATAATTTTGGAATGCTCTGTCAATGTTTTCATAATCTTAAAATGTCTTTTCACTATAATTTAGTATAGTTTTTTTTTTAGAATTTAATATAGCCTTTAAAAATTTGAAATATTATGAGATTTCTAGATTTATTGATTGATTGATTGATTGATTGATTTTTTGTATGATGTTTTCCCACACATCATTCACCAATATTGGTAAATTTACTGTTATTTATACTAAACCAAATAATCCAAGTTGCTTAATTTATTTTTAATTTTTTGAAAAAGATGTTATTAAACAAACAAATTATTAAATAATAATGGGTCAATAGAAATGTTTTAAAAAGGGAAAATTTTTTAGCTATAAACTTTTTTTTTTATAATTATAAAAGAGTAAGTACTTTTGTATATCATATACTAAGGAAAACTTTTACGCCAAGTATTTTCTTCTCCATTTGTACATTTTGTAATAAAAAAATCATGTGGGAATAAATAACATCGAATAAAAAACTTGAATTGCTATGGGGTTTAAAAGAATGTTGACCGGGCTTAGCATATTCTTTATAAAGTGAAAAAAAAAAAAAGGGATGGTGTTAATTTATTTCCATTTTGCAATATTGAAAACATCCGGAATACCCACCAACCAAAGACAAACTACAAAAAAAAAACCCGTTATATTTCTTTCTTTTTTTTTTTTTTTTGTAAGTATAAAAGAATTTGAAAAAATGAAAATATTTCAATCTTTGACATTCAAATTTTAAAAAAAATTTAAAGGTGGTCTTAAGCTTATTCTTATTTCTTCTCACGTGGGGAAAAAAAAATGGTTACAGGATGGAGTACGAACAAGCGAATAAAAATAAAGAAAGTGTTAAAAGGGGTGGATATTATTATTATTTTTTTTTTTTCTGAGTTAATATATAATTCTAAAAAAATATACACTCTTTTTTAACCAGTCAAAAAACCTCAGGGTATCATATATTCAAAGTACGACGTAAGCTGATAGCATCAAGATTAAAATATGCAAAGTTTAACCGAAACCGAAATAAGATACAATGATGAAGATGTTTAAAATATTTCAACTGACAGGAAGAAGATTAAAAGAATTTTTTTTTTATTTCTTTTTTGATCATTCTACAACAAGTAGAATTTTAATATATATTTTTAAAATGGTGAAAAATTGCAACCAACAGATGGACATTTAAATTAAAAGTAATTATAAGATTGTATATAACTTGCTTAAAAAGTAGATGGCTGAGTTTACATATCTCAAAACCCACATGATAATGGTTGACATCATGATCATCGGAAATGATTTGAAAGTTTATTATTAGTTTATATATTAACAAATAATATTTCATTTATTATATATATATATATATATATATATATATATATATATATTTACCAGATTCAATTGCAAGATTACTTTAAGATTTGTTTGTTTGAGCATTACTATTTGAATACTTTTTGGAAATTATTGGACATTATTGTTATTACTTGTTTAACATTCTTATACGGAATAAATTATTCCGAAAAAACAAACTTCTTTTTGAAATCCATGGATATTCCGCAAGTTGTTAATATTTCTAATGGTTTTGTTAATGGTTAATGTATTATATTATGAGGTCAGAATCAATCATTAAAATGCTCTTCATTCCTAAAAATAACCACCCCACCTTTTTTTTATTTATAATTATAATTATAATTATTATTATTGTTTATGGCGATTATGAAAAAAAAATCCATTATTTGTAAGAATTTTTCAATCTAGACCTTCTTCGACCGACAAAAGTTTCCCCGTCGTGTTTTGATTTCTCCACTTTTGGCCCTCCATCATCATCCCCAACTTGAGTCGGGCTTTTTCAATTCCATGGCGAAGCCCGGAGAAAGCATTTATGTAATATTCCAGAAACTACAACATTGTCTTAAGTAACAGCCGTACACACCACCAAATCGAGAAGGCTAAGCTGTGTGTTACCCCCCCAACACCACCAACCCAAGCCAAAATCCGTATCTTCGGGAACGGGCTTTGTCGGGCTCAGTGAATTGTAAGATATACAAGATTTACAAAATACAACAACAACAACAACAACAACAATAAACAATAGCAACTACTCAACAAGCCAAAACAATGCAAATTCAGTAAGCTGCAGCACTTGAGGCAGCAACTTTTAGTTTCTAAGAGAAAATAACGATATTAATTATTAAATCAGCTGCAGTGGGCAATTAATATAAATATTCAGATACCTCCTAAGGTTTTTTTCCTCTCTTATTTGTTCAACATTTATATATTTTTAAATCTCACTTAATCTATTTAAACTACTAAATTAATATTATAATTACTATGGCTACTCTTTCATGGTCTGATTTGAACGTCACGACTAAAGACAATGTCGCTATTGTCTCAAAGTCCAACGGTTTATGCCCCGCAGGTCACATTATAGCTCTCATGGGCCCCTCAGGTAGTGGTAAAACTACTCTCCTTAACTCTCTTGCCTCCAGAGATATGGGTTCAGCAATCAAAGTCCATGGAGATGTGGAATACTTATATCAAGGTCAAGAGTCACCTCAAAAACTTTCTGCAGTTTCTACATATGTCGAACAGGAAGATCATCTTATCGGTTGTCTTACAGTCAAGGATACACTATGGTACACGGGTGAGCTCTCTGGACTGAGTGGTGCCATTCTCAAAGACCAGGTTGAGTATCTCCTCAATGCCTTTGGTCTTAAAGGCCAATCAGACATTCTTGTAGGAACTCCTATTCAAAAGGGTATCTCAGGTGGTCAAAAACGTCGTCTTACTGTTGCAAGTCAGCTTATGAGAAACCCTAAAGTCATTTTCATGGATGAACCTACATCAGGTCTTGATTCTAAGGCTTCGTTTGAAATTATTTCTCACATGAAAAACTATGCCCATGAACATGGCGCTATTGTCATTGTTTCCATCCACCAGCCTTCTACCTCAACATTTGATTTGTTTGACGAAGTTGTGTTTCTTAGTAAAGGTCGTACCGTTTATAATGGGCCAGTCAAGGAGGTTGTTGAATATTTTAAAAACATTGATATGGAGATCCCCCAGTACTACAACCCAGCAGAATACATTCTTGAAGCCATTTCCACCGACTTTGGCTCTGGCGACAACACCAATGATATTTCGGATTTAGTTTCCAAATGGGAAGACTATAACAACAGAAATGGAGAAAAAACAATTCAACAAATCCTCGAACCACACGAAACTCATAACTCTCTTTATGAAAAACCAGAATCTAAAAGACACACCTTTGGATGGAGAATAAAACATGTTTCAAACGTCACTTGGATTCTTTCACGCAGACTTTTGGTCAAGGCTCGCCGAGATGTATTTGCTTATATTCTTCGAATCTTTATGTACCTTGCGCTTGCTATTTTAATGGGTACAGTGTGGCTCCGACTTAACCACAATCAAGACAATATTTCTTCATATGTTTCTGCCTTATTCTTTTCCGGTGCTTTCATGTCTTTCATGGCTGTCGCCTATATCCCCGTTTATATTGAGGATTATATGAATTTTAAAAAGGAAGCCAGAAACAATCTTTATGGTCCTCTTCCATTTATGATTTCTAACTTTTTGGTTGGTTTACCATTTTTGTTTGTCATTACCGTCGTCTTTTCTGCTTTTGCATACTGGATGGTCAACCTGAAAAATACTGCTGAAGGTTTCTTTCGTTTTATCTTGTGGTTGTTCCTTGACCTTCTTGCTGCTGAATCTATGGTTGTTTTGATTTCCTCATCTATCCCCATTTTCATTGTTGCTCTGGCTTTGACTGCCTTTGCCAACGGTCTATGGATGGCTGTTCAGGGATTCTTGGTCCCAGCCACTATTCTTAATCCCTTTTGGTATTATACCTTTTATTGGATTGATTATCAGCGTTATGTGTTTCATGGCATGATGATTACCGAGTTCAAAGACAGTATTTATAACTGTGATGCAGACTGTAACTGTGCCTATGTTAGTGACCTGGCTAGCGAGTGCAAGATTAGAGGTGAGGCTGTTCTTCACTCGGTGGGTATTTCCGACCACTCTGCCAGTAAGGTTGGCCAGTGGGTTGGTATTATGATTGTCATTATTTTTGTTTACAGAGTGCTTGGTTACTTTGCTCTTAAGTACCATGTCAAATAAGTGTTCTTATTATTATTATTATTATTATTATTTTTTTTTTTTTTTTTTTTGCTTTTAATACCTGTGTAATTTTATAACCATTTTTTTTTTTTAAAAAAAGTTAATAACTGAAAATATATCTATTCTTAAATTTTAATATAAAAATCTAGTTTTTTTTTTTTGTTTATTGAAAATTACAATAATGTGAAAGGACAATTATATCATGTTTAAAGAAACAATCGTACTTATTACTAGCAAGCCTTTCTTGTTTAATACTTGTATTTCCATTTTTAAATGACCCAATTTTTTTTTATTAGTAATGTACAGCACTTTTTAGATTAAAGACCGATTTCACGAAAAAAAAAACTTCAAAAAGAAGCAAATTAATTATAATTATTAGACACTATATTTGCAATATATTTATATATATATATATATATATATATTTATAAACGACATCTAGTAAAAAACAACAATGAGCCAAACTTCTGTAGTATTTTAAGATCTGCATTTCTTTTTTTTTTTTTTTAAGTCTGCTTAGTGATAAATTGAAAATCAATCAAAGCTTAAAAATGATAATGATAATGATGATGATGATGATGATGATAGCTCACCAGCGTATTCTAGTTATGGATAATAAATATGAGCCATTAAAGAATCAATTTGTTATATATATATATATATATATATATATATATATTACTATAATTATTTGTTAAAAAAATAGTATTTTAATAAAAGATTAATCAACCCCTTAAAACATAGTAGTCAGTAGTAAAAAAAAGAAAAAAAAAATAACGATAAGCTAATGAACTAAGATTAGATAAGAGTTGGCCTAACAATTGAACTTTAGAAGTTACTACCAAACTACTTCATACTATTGTCTTTTCACAATTAGCATTGAATTGAATTGAATTGAATTGAATTGAATTGAATTGAATTGGATTGTTTAGTAAGAAATTTCTTGATGATAATGATTTTAAAAGAAAATTTGTTACTCGCTTGTATAATTTCATTTGGGTTTGTTTATCTGTTTATCTGTTTGTCTGTTTTTAAGTGAATTTACATTTATTTGTCCTTCCGTACTGAGATTTACCCAAATTATTATTATTATTAATTTTTTTTTTTAATATAAATAAATACTGTGGAATATGGCTAAGTTTTTTTTTTTTTTTTTTTTTTTTTTTTTTTTTTTTTTTTTTATAATTTTTAAGTATTTCAATAATAATAAAGACTTGACTTTATCTTATCAACCTGATAATAGAAGTAATTTAACTTTTCATATATATGTATATATTTCTTCTCTGAAATCTCCAAACAAGTTAAAAATTTTAAAAGATTGAATGAATCTGAAAAAAAAAAAAAAAATACCGGCTGTCAATATCTACAAAAATAAAAATAAAAATAAAAAGCATATACAATATGATTACTATACCCCACCTTTTACCATATATATATATATATATATATATATATATATATATATGGTATATATCGTTTTTTTTTAAAAAAAATCTCCCTCCCCGCCCTCCTAATCTTACTAATCAAATTTAATTATAATTAATATTAATTAATTAATTAAATTTACAAGTTAAAAAAAAAAAAATCACCATTTTGCCGTTTTTCCTTCTCCCCTCTCTTTCATCCCCACACAATAATTAATCAATTGCCGACATACATAATGGCTGCTTATCAAATCCAAATTCATGTTATCTAATAATATATGAATTCTCATTATTAGTTTTATTATTCTTATTATTATTATCACTTTCAATGTTTCCAATCGCACTAAAGGACTTTTTTTTTTTTTAAAAAAGAAAATGAAGAAAGGTGTTGAAGTATCAATTTATATAATATTTACAAGACTCGGAATTTTAATCCTTACAAAAATAACATCAATATATAAATTTTCAATCTCCCGTTTTTTTATTGTAAAAGATAACAACACCAACAGGAATTGAACATAAAGCCGAGATTTTATTTTTAAAAGTTTTATATTGGCTTAATTTCCTTTCAAGTATATAATTTAAATTAACCTGATTAACTTTGTTTTATTTTTTATTATCATTAGTCAAAAAAAAAGAAAAAAAAATAACCCATTTTCTACTCAATTCACATTGTGAACCCGGTTTTAACCCGAATCCCGGTTTCAAACAATTGACCATACTACCATACTACTATTAGACCTTAAAACTTGGACTTTACGGCTTATGTTCTATTCAAAGGAAACTAATTAGTTATAACTTGCTAACTTGCTAACTTGAGTGCCCACAATTCTTTACCAAGTTAACTCTTAGGGTAACTTATAAGTTAATAGTAACTACTAGTCAAATAGCTTGAATCCAAAGAACTTTAAAAGACCCGTTTTCATCTCCGGTTCCAATCGACTTGTTTGATAAATTTTTTTTTTTTTTTAAAAAAAAAAACTTTAAAAAAACAAAAAACCAAAGTAATTAAACTTAGAGTATCTTATAAATATTTGATCTTTTCTCAAATTATCAAATGTTTCACAATTATTTCAATCAATGCATCCTCAAACCGTGTTGCTCGTTTATAGACTTACTTAAAGATTAATGTCAACAAATTGTCAGAAATAGTTAATACGTTTTATCAAATAAATAAAAAATTTAAAAATCAGGGGAAGCTTTTTTTTTTTTTTTTTTTTTTTTTCTAATATTCTATCATTTTTAATTTTATTTATAATTTTGAAGCGTTTAAATTTTTTTTTTATGTTACGTCGTAAATCCTCCATTAATCATAATACTTCCATCATCATTATCATCTTGTATTTTTTCTATCCCTCCTTTGCTTTTTTTCTTTTTTTTTTTTTTGTAGTCGTTATTCTTTTTAAGGTTTGTTTATTTTAAACCGGGAATCAACTTCTTGCGCTCCTCAGTAAGGGCACCGGGCTTGCCAAAGTTATGGTCAATGTCAAGGATAACCTTCATGGCACTCTTGCTCTGCAAGAATCTAAAGGGGGCGGAAATCTCTCCAGAAACAACTGAGTGACCAGCCTCTGTCTTCTTGTCCTTGGAGTGACCGGGCAGAGGGAAGAGATCGTGCAAAAGTTCGTAGGCGGCAAGGGTGCAACCGAATTGAGGCGAAGATCTAAGAATACGAGCAGGGCCACCCTTGAAGAAAGCCTTGAAACCCTCTTCCTTCCAGATGGTGACGGCGGCATGACGCAGACCAAAATAGCTGGATTGACCAGCCTTGGCTTCTGTCTGCAGACGAGTCTTGATGACATCGAAGGGGGTAGTAAAGTAAGCAGCAGGCATACCGGCAATGGCACCGGCAGTGAGAAGCTGCAGAATGGAAAGAGATTTGTTAGGACCCTCACCAAAGTAGTCCTTTTTCAGGTGAGCATAGGTGGGGAAGTAAATGGCAGAAAAGGGAACATCACGGAGTAAACACGCACTGGCACCCTTGTAAAGGCCAAAGAGACCGAGGTTGCGGACAATCCACAGAGCAGAACGCTTAGGAGCATTCTCCATAGTTTTAGCAACCTCACCCTGCATCTGAAGACGAATCTTAACAATCTCCAGGGGATTGGTGAAAACAACCTGACAAGCACCGGCAGTACCACCAGCGAGAATCTCAGCCCAGACGGGGATGGAACCGTCTTTAGAAGCAAACTTACCTCTAATAAGATCATTGACAGTAAGCTTGATGGCCTTTTCAGGGGCAACACCAATAAGTTGAGGGCCAAGACCCGAGTAAAGACCAAGAACACCTTCTCTAGAGACAACCTTCTTGAAACAGTCAATAGAGTTCTTGTAAAGGAGTTGCTGGCCAGGATGCGAAGATCTTTGGTTCTGCATGCGGGTCTTGACAAGGTCAATGGGATAGACAACGGTAGCGCCAAAGGCACCAGCAACAGCACCAAGAGCAAAGTTGTAAGCCGATTCGAAAACTTCATGGAGGAAAGAAGTGGGATGAACAAAAGCCTGTTGAGCAGCCTCAATCTTGTGAGCTTCATTCTTACGCCAAGCCTCAAGACGCTCTTGCCAGGTAGGGTCAAAAACAGACTTGAAGTTATTAAGAGAAATGAGGTCAGAGGAAGAAGAATTGGCAGCAGATGCAGCGAAATGGAAGATAACATCAATTTCTAGGGGGGTGAAAAGAGCAAATCTAGCGGATTTTGACGATTGGTTCAAAAAGTCTTGGCGGGTAATAAAAGTGTCGGCGTCTCTAGAATGGTGGATAGACTTTGCAGCGTTTCTAATAATGACCTCGACAAGATCGGCACGGTTGATGACATTGAGGAAAGCACGGACATGCGCATAAGAGATTTTCGATGAAGGTCCGACACCGACGTTGCAAAGAAACTTTGCATCCTTCAGAAGAGTATCGGAAAGCTTGTGGGAAGCTGTTGTTTCAAGAATTGTTTGAAGTTGGTCCGGAAGAATGTACCCAGTGTGGGAGGGGTCGTAGTAAGAAAAGGCCTGGCGAACACGCTCACCCAGAACACCGGCAATAAGTTGGGAAAAGTCATTGTATGAAAGATTGTGACGGTGGGTACTGTCGCCCAAATACAAACTGGACCATGCAGAGTTCCAGTCGAAAGGTGGGAAGTCTTCTGGGGAAGAAGGTTTCGAATGGATTTTGTTGTATGTATTGACAAAGTCGGCAAATTCAACGACCTCGGGATTTTCTGGGCTTTGGAAAAGGCGGAAAGCAATCTGGTATTCAGCATCAGGCAGATACAGAAGCTTCTCAAAAGCAGTCCAATCGTCTAAAGAGAGCTGTTTTGAGTTGGAGCGATCTGCAACCTTGAAAAGAAGGGCATAAGCTTCACGGGGGATTTTGTGGTAGTCTTGATCGAGAGGTGCAATGGCGTCAACAAAGTCCGAATGCGACAGAAACTTTTCACCTGTAGGTGAAGTGATTGAAGCGTATTTTTGGAAAACGTCTAAAGAATCTGGAGGAACAAAAGACATTGTTGAATATATATTGAATTGATTAGTCCAGGTATATATAAAGTGACCCAAAAAAAAGAAAGAAAGAAAGAAAGGAAGTAAGTAAGTAAGAAAAAAAAAAAAGAAGGAAAGAGTTTATTTAAAATTTTTTTTTTATTTTTTTTCAAAAATAGGGAAAACCCGTTAAATTTATATATAAAATTTTCCTTTTGGGTACACGATAAGTTAAGAAAAATCCCCGCGGGAAGGCCCAACATCAGCATAAAAAAAATTCAAGCCCCTCCTTTTTTTTTTTTTTTACTTTGGGGGCAACTCGTCAATTTTCAAATTCTTTCGGAACGTGAAAAATTTGAATTTTAATTAATCAGTCATCGGCAATACATCAGCCGTACTACCAGACCCAGATCTGCAGAGTCCATGCTGATTTCTACATACACACACACACGGGAACATCGCTGAATACGAAAATGTATGTGCTTATGTAACATGCCGGAGATGACTCAGAATACCCAGATGACTAATCACTCAATGAGGGGGGGTTGAAAACAGTGAGGGAGCAGTGAGGGAGCAGTGAGGGAGCAGTGAGGGAGCAGTGAGGGAGGGAGGGGAGTGAAAAAAATAAATAAGAAAAAAAAAAAAAAAAAAAAAAAATTTTTTATAAATCACCAAAGTTACTGAAAAGTAACTCCCTCCACACAAATAAGTTACTAAAATTATCAATCCCCACACGTGACTACACAACTACTCCACCTGTTCCCCGCGTCGAACCCCATCCTTAGCTTCCTGCTCCGCGTCCCGCTCATCGGTTGTTCGGTCACTCCGCTCATCAGCCATTGCACAATCCGTCTCTTGGTCATACCCCATCAAATCTGGTGGCACCTCTTGCATCTGGATCGATGGTGCACCATTCAAGTACCGCAGTTGCTCCATTACTTGAGTCTTTACACTCTCCAGGTACTTGCGACTATTTTTATTGTCAATCTTACCAGAAAGATTGGGGAATAACGAATAATCCGGTGCAAAGTATTTGACAAACGGAATAGATGCCGGTAACCGCGAGTCCAGCTCAACGTCAAGGCACACCGAAGTCTCTAGGCACCATAGCCTGGAAACGTTGCGTGGAGTATACCCACCCCCTCCAACAACCATCATGGGTAAGTTAAAGCTTCGCACAAACCGGACACACTCAGCATGAGCTTTGGTGTTAAGATTGAAGCATCCCAAACGATCACACCCCAGTGAGTCAGCGCCGCACTGCAGCACAATAGCCCCAGGCTGATACGATGTTAATACTGGTTCCACAATACTCTTAAACAATCGAATATATGAATCATCATCAATACCATCTCGTAATGGTACATTCAATGAATAGTGTTTGCCGACTCCACTGCCAATCTCATCCACATTGCCCGTTCCTGGGAAATAATCCCCATTGTATTTATGGAATGACAATGTCATCACTCTGTCAGTTGCATAAAAGGCCTCTTGTACTCCATCTCCATGATGCACATCAATATCAATATACAGCACACGAGGGTGATACCGTAAAAGATTTAAAATCCCTAGCACAATATCATTAATATAGCAGAACCCAGAAGCTTCAAACTTTTTCGCGTGGTGAAGGCCTCCAGACCAATTGATTGCAATGTCGCTTTGTTCATTAATAAGTTTCCGTGATGCGTCTAACGATGCGCCTGTATAAATAGAAGAATAGTCGTACATTCCGTCAAAAATAGGACAGTCGTCACCAATATTGAACTTGGTAAAAACCTTGGTAAATTCTTTGACGTTATCCGGAGTCACGCGTTGCAAAAAGTCAATATATGCATCGTCATGAAATTCTAAAATCTCTTCTCGTGTTGCTCGTCGTGGTCGATACAAATCCATACACTCATGTAATTTATAACCAAGAACTAGGTGGTCTGTTAGCATTAGTCGAAAGGGTTTCATAGGATGTCGTACTCCAAAATGAAACCGCGAGACCTCTTCGTTGAAATGGTATGACACGCGTGGTTTCCATGAAGACAAAAAGTCTTCATAAAAAGGTTTTTCCTTGGTAGTCTTGTGGTCATACGACAACGTGGCTTCTTCCCATGTTGTGATTACCATTGGTATTTTTCTTGAAATATAAGTTAAATTTGATATAGAGATGAAAGAAAAAAAAAAAAAAAAAAAAGGTGGTGATGGTGGAAAAAAATTAAATTTTAAAAAAAAAAAAAAAAAATTTTGGATGCCAAAGTTCCTCCCTTTAAAATTCATATCTCACGTGACAGAGTTTTTCTTTGCCACTCCCAATCGACTTTTTTTGCCACCACTAAAAAAAATCCTTCTTCTCAGCATAACACACAATCGCCATCTAACATTTATCATCATCATCATCATCATCATCACCACCACCAACAACAACAACAACAACCATTGCCATAATGTCAGGTATGTTTTATCTCAAGCAATTGATTTGTAACTTGAATTACTAACTTGTTTTTTAGGAAGCGCGGGCTACGACAGACACATTACTATCTTTTCTCCTGAAGGCCGACTATACCAAGTCGGTAAGTAATCAATTAGCCTTGACCTTAATCTTCATCTGTCTAATCTTCCTTCCTCTAGAATACGCCTTCAAGGCTATAAACTCTGCAAACATTACCTCTTTGGGTGTTCGTGGTAAGGACTGTGCCGTCATTATTTCACAGAAGAAGGTTCCTGTAAGTGCTTTTTGTTATGCATCTTTTAATCAACCACTAACCTTTTTTTTTTTTTTCCCCTGTCTAGGATAAACTCCTGGATCCTGCCTCTGTTTCGTACCTTTTCCAAATCTCTCCTACCATTGGTGCTGTCTACACCGGCTCTATTGCTGATGCTCGTGCTTCTGTTCAACGTGCACGCTCTGAGGCCGCCGAGTTTGCTTATAAGAATGGCTATCCTATGCCCTGCGACGCGTTGGCCAAGCGTCTCGCAAATATTTCGCAAATCTACACCCAGCGTGCATACATGAGACCCCTCGGTATTGCTGTTACTCTCATTTCCGTCGATGACGAACACGGTCCTATGCTCTACAAGTGTGACCCAGCAGGCTATTATGTTGGTTACAAGGCTACTGCCACAGGACCAAAGCAACAGGAGGTTATGAATGCCTTTGAAAAGAAGCTTAAGAAGAAGGATCATGCCGCTGGTGACTGGAAGCAAGTCACCGAGCTGGCTATTTCGACTCTTTCGTCAGTTCTCAGCGTTGATTTCCGGAAAAACGATCTTGAAATTGGTGTTGTTGGCATTGACGGCAACCCCAACTTCCGCATCTTGACCCCAGATGAAATCGATGAGCGCTTAGTTTCTCTAGCTGAACAGGATTAGTAGATTTGTATGTGTTATTTTTTTTTTCTTGTGGATACTTTATATTTCATTCATTCATTCATTCATTCAATCGTTCAATCGTTCAATCGTTCAATCATTCAATCATTCAATCATTCAAATTATATATGTATGTAATGTTTTCTCATCAGCACTCCCACCGTAAATAGTGGCATTTGGTCTCGGTCTTGCCCAGCGACCGCTCCAGGCAGTTGATGAGCAGCCGCTCGCCCTCGTTAACAAGCTCCCAGTTATGATTACGCAGTGAATCAATAACAAGCTTAAGAAAGCCAACCGTTTGGTTAAGTCGGCGTCCTGGACTAGGACCTGTAGGAGGCTGCCATGGAATGCTAGTTCCGGTGCTGGTAGACGATCCGTTACCGTTACCGTTGCCGTTGCCATTTCCATTGCTATTGCTATTGCCACTGCCGTTGCCATTGCCATTGCCATTGCTATTTCCGCTCCCAGTACTACTACCGCTGATATTGCAGCTGCTACTGCCATTGCTACTTCCAGTGCCACTCTTTTGTGCCATGGCGCGCGACGTTTCTTGTGCTAGCCATGCAATGTACTCCAAGCCATCCCGCTGGTGCATCACCCCGCTCATATGCTTAAACACATGCTCACCAAGTAGCTTGGGTGTTGCTGGTCCTGCACTCGGGTCAAGCGGAGGTGGCTGCACCCACAGCGTGCGTGACTCAGGGCCTTGTAAAACGTATCCATAAGTCCACACCACCATGGCGCAGATGAACACAATGAACGGCCGATGAGGAATTGGATCGTTGGCAGCAATGTATGGATTACGAGTCGGGTGTGCGGCCGTTGTAGGTCCATCGCTACTTCTTTCTCTTGAAGGTGCAATGTATGGGTTTGGACATACATCCACGTCGTGTGCTTGTTCAGATGCATGCTCCACCAAGTACATTTCTTTAAGGAAATGAACTGCAAAATGTAACGCCTCGGGACCACCGCTAGACGTATTAACCCACGCTCTGATTCGGCGCTCAGCTGCAGCATAATCGCACGTCTTGAGCGAGTTGTTGAAGATTGATGGCGCGCCACAAAAATATTGCAAGTCAAGCTGCGAAACTGACATGTGCACCATTGCCAAGTGCAAGAAGGGATCTGCACAGCCTCCAACTTCCAAAGCAAAGCGAGATGGAGGTTTAGAGGGAATGACCACAGATGAAGAAGAAGAAGACGCTGCGGCTGCTTCTCTAAGTTGGTGTTGTCGTTGAAGAAGTGCAATAGCCTCATTTGCATCTTCCTGGGATTCCAATGAAACCCGAATTACATGCTCATTGGAACCTGATATCATCTCCTTTTTCCGTCTTTCGGCATTTATTAGTGCTGCCTTGTAGTCATTGCGCCAAAACATATAGGCCTTGCGCATAAGATCTCTCCAGGTACCACGGAATGCATCCCACCCAAGCGATATAACTTGAAGGTCACGCTGTTGCATGTTATACTGAATTGAAAGAAGTCCAGATAAAATGACCTTGCGCCCAAACGGTTCTGTAGGTACTGGTATATTATTGAGTGTCATTTTGAGAGCATCGATGAATGGCACCGTAGCAACGCCTCCAGGTCCTGTTTGGTTATGACCTAAACCATTTTGAGAGGGCGCAAAGTAAGCGCTTAATTGTACGGGATCATTACATTCCCATAGCTCCTTGTTGCATGGTAAAGATACGCGCAGTTCATGCACCGCCAGTAGTGATGTATGACCAAACAGATTGGCATGGTTGGTATCCAACACAAATGCAAGTAACGCTGATCGCTTAGTTTCTTCAAACTGGATCCAGCGTTTCCACGGATCAAGCTCTGACTGTTGGGGCTGCTGCGATCCCTGAATTCCATGTTGTTGTGGCATTCCATGTTGTTGCTGGTGAACAGCTTCAGTATCTGCCATAGATGAGCCAGTTAGCATGGGACCACGCCGAATAAGCTGTAAAATGCTTCCATGGTGAATGTGTCCGCGAATGTGAAGTTTGCGATTTGCCATGCTTTTCTCATACATTTCCAAAAGAATCAAAGCTTGAATTACCCACAACTTTGCTGGAGGGTCAAACTCTGGCGACCCGAAAAGTATCCATCGTAAAGGATCTGCCACTCTGCGAGCAAACTCATTTGCACGGTCATATGTTGCTCCAATAAGTACTAGAACCCATAATAAGCCCTCAGGACATCTATCAGCTGTAAAAGTCGGTCTGTGGAGAATTGGGTATTGTGTATGGAAAAAAATCCAGTAGTTGGCAATGTACTTTTGCAAGTACGGTAACGTAGTGTGCAAGTAAAACGGCACGTTTTTCCCAACCGGCGTCCCTGCCGTCGGTGGGAATTCTAAACCCTTAATTTCCTCAGCCCCAATCTCCCCGGGTTTAGGTGCTGGTTCCACAACCTCAGGGATCAACTGCAGCAGACGCTGGCGTTTTGACTCGGAAAGTGATATTAACTCGCCTTGGGTTGATGGGACTGGCGGCGCAAGCATATTTTGTAATGCCATTGGCGAGTCAGTTGTTGGGTATGCTGGTGAAAGAACCGGGTCTCGTACGTTTTGCAAAAGAGCATCCGAAAAGAGCCACGAAATTAGGTCGTTAGTGTTCAATGGACTTCCTGGTCCTGTACCAAAAGTTGAAGTCCCCAGTCCTGGACCCACTGATCCGGGGTCATTTCTTGGTTCAGGCTCGGAAAAAAGAAGCGTTGGGCTCATGCTGTATAGTGGATTGAAAAGACTTAAAGTGTCATCATTAAATATAGGAGTTGAGCCTGTTTGAGCTGGTTCTGTAGTTGAAGAAGCTTGTGTTGCTGTTGCAGCAGTCGCCAGTGTAGTCCCTGCTACTGTTGTTGTTTGAGGGGTTGATGTTGACGATGGGTCAATAGACTTTAGAGTCGGTAGAGAGACATTTGTGCTTACACTGAGACCACTGTCATCATCACCACTACTCACAGAACTACCCGTAGTCTGTTGTGCTTTAGAGAATGTATTTAAGGTCGCAGTGCAAGGGATATCGTTATGATTGCCTGTGGATCTTATTCCGGTTCCACTGGAAGAGACTGGTGGTAACACAGGGCCCCGGCTATTGGAGAATACGGCTGGATTACAAAAAGTGCGGCCTGGGGGTGGCAACCCCCCGGATTTTGCATGAGAGGGAAATGATCCTGCGGGGTCACTGGCAATTGGGGGTACTAGGAACGGTGGTTGGGGTCCCAGTGCTGTTGAAGGAGCTGCCTGCATCCAAGGGAATGGGAGTGGTGAGTTATTGGGTGCTGTTGCAGAGATTGTTGCTCCAGAAGTTTGTGCGGTTGCAGTTGCTACACTTCCAGTGGCCCCACCACCCGCAGGGCCTGTTGCAGCGCTTAGGCTGTTTTTGTTACTGTTGTTACTGTTGTTTGTAGACAAAGAAGAAGAAGAAGCCGCTGCTGCTGCTGCTGCTGCTGCTGCTGCTGCTGCTGCAGAAGGTAGAATAAAGTCTGTGATTTGTTGCACTGCCGATGATTTCCCTACTGAAGTTCTAGCCAAAGCCTGTTGCTGTTTACATAAAGTTTCATATGATGGTAAAGAACTTAGTGCTGCAGACGTACCAGGACCTATTGACGGAGTTGTTGCAGGTGAATCCGAGGATGAAGAAGACATAGGTGACTGGCCCGGTTCCTGACTTGCTGTTGCTGATACCGGAGCTGAAGTTGTCGGTGACCCGTTTGTATCAGCCTCGGTACTTTTGACTGTTGATGCAATCGCAGGAGTTGAGTTTTGGATCGGCCCGTTGCGGCGCAAGTGTCGGTTATAATGTCGTAGTCGCAGGTCTTCACGCACAAACTCGCGCCCACAATCAGGCCAGCTACATCGGTAAATCATTTTAGGCCGGTCTTTTCAAACATTTCCAGTTAGATTCTGTCACAATTTCAAAAAAAAAAAAAAAAAAAAAAAAGTTTCTTTTTGATTTACTCAATAATAATAATAAAAAAAAAAACTTACGGTTTAACTGGTGTCGTGCAAGATGTTCTTGCCGCGTGAAACGCTTGCCACACGATGGTTCAGTGCATTCAAAAACCTTGGCCAGACCCTTTCGAGATCTCCGCCGTTTCTTTTTAGGTGCCCCATCTTTCGCTGCACTTCCCAAAGGGTTTTTTTTCCTTGTAGATGAAGAAGATGTCCCGTTAGTCACCGTGGCAGTGTCTTCATCGTCATCGTCATGTGTATCATCGCGTGAATCGTCGTGTGAGTCTGGCGATTCCCCTAGTCCTATCCCCAGCTGTGTGACTGCCGCGGCCGAAGCGTCTGCCGGCAGAACGTAAGATGCCTCCGAGGTTGTATTCATCTTTGGCTACACGACCGTGGTCTATATCGAAATAGGGGAGTAATTTTTTTTTTTTTTTTTTGGTTGAGTTTAGTTTAGTTTTTGTCTAAATGTTAAAAACAAAAAAAAAAAAAAAAAAAAATTTAAAAAAGAAAATTTGGCCTCCTCACACAATTTTTGATGGCGAATTTTCACACATAAAATTTTGTTGGCGCGTCTGCGACTTTTTTTTTTAATACACATTAATTCTTATGAGAGCTAAATACGAAACACTAGTATACATATGGCAAAGCCTAGAAACTTTACAAATAAAAAAAAAAAAAAAAAGGTCCTTTGACTTCAACTTGTTGCAAGCATTATCAAGACAAAAGCTCTAGAATAAGGTCTTTGAGACGACCAAAGTCAATGGGTTTAGAAATGTACCGCGTAAATCCGGCCTGATCACATTGTCCTGCCATGTCTGACATGACATACGCGCTCAGTGCAACAATCGCAACTGGACATTCTGGCTTCCCGGTCGCTGCGTCTTGTTGCCGCTCCCACTCCCGAATCTCCTTACACGTTTCAAACCCATTCTTTCGCGGCATGTCCAAATCACAAATAATCAGCCCGTAGTACCCTCGTGCATGCTCAAATACCTTGCGTGTACATTCAACACCGTCTTTGGCAATTTCGTACTCGAGTCCGGCCTTGTCAAAAAAGCGGCCCATCACTTTTTGATTTACAGGATTGTCTTCCGCTAAAAGTACCCGCATCGGTCCTTCATCTGTATTTAACTTGCCGTTCTCGGTTCTTGTTCCAGAACCACCGGATTCTTCATCTTTTCGTCGGTCTCCCACAAACTGCTGAATCGTTTTAAAAATGTCTTTTTGATTTTCTAAAACCTCCTGTGCATTGCGCATCTTGAGATCACGACTCGCCTCGCGCTGCTTCGATGGATCAAAAACCAAGCTATATTTGGTCGGTGTCACAGGCTTATGCAGCACCCGAACACTAGGCGGAAGCTTTTGTGGACCTACAGCACCAGCACCATTAATTCCGGCTATAATAGTCGACTCTTGAATCAGGGGGACCAACAAAACAATTTCCATCATCCATTTAAATTGCCGGTTGCACTCCAGCGCAAGCTTGGCTGTCTCCACAAGCTCAGACTTTGAGTTGTTGATAATCACATGCGTCCATTTTCGGAATGGCTTCTTACCAGAAAGATATTCTCTCAAAATGCTATCGTTCCTCACCACAGTACATTTACAATTGACTGGATCTGCAACTGTCTTTTTAATGTGATGAATAATGCTCAATGGCGCATACTCGCATGGACAAATAATTAAAATATCCAATGGCTGGACTTCAGAAACAGTAACCTCTTCCACTCGCATACTCTCTTCAACTGGCGGCTTGTCAGACTCAGTGGGCAAGTCAACACGGCACGTAAAAACAAACTTGCTACCCTTCCCAGGCTTGCTCTTGCAAGAAAGTTCGCCACCTTGAAGCTGAATCAATTGTCTTGAAATTACAAGACCAAGACCTGTTCCTGGAGATGTAAATGTAGGAGGCGCCATTACAGGCTCCATTTTGGGTTCTTCAGATGGAATCATGGCAGTTTCCGTAGATGATCCAGAACTGCAGGATGAAGATGATGACGATGATGTTGGACTATCGCTATAATCTTGATACTGGTGATTAGACCGCAGCTGCGAAAATGGTTTAAACATTCTCAACTCATCTTCACTAGTAAACCCACGTCCGGTGTCAATCACTTCAAACTTGAGAAGTACTGTATCTGGCACATCTTGTTTTTCTTCCTTAATCACACTACATCGTGTGAATACTTCACCTTTATCAGTAAACTTGATTGCGTTCCCGATAAGATTGAGCATCACCTGACGCAGCCTAAATCGATCTCCCTTAACCCACATGGGCACATCGTCTTCAATCATGTAGTTAAGCTCGAGTGACTTAGAAATTGCCATAGAGCTTAAGAACTCATTGGCTTCTTCCAGAAGCCGTCGCACATGGTACCAAGTCGAAGTCAGTGTCATTTTGCCAGACTCAACCTTAGACAAATCCAAGATGTCGTTAATCACATTGAGTAAAGCGTCGGAACTCGAAGAAATAGTATGACAGTAATCCAACTGCTCGGCCGTCAGCGGTGTGTCAAATAAAAATCTAACCATACCCGAAATACCAATTAATGGCGTGCGGATTTCGTGCGACATGTTGGAAAGGAAAATGGTCTTGGACTCAATTGTCCGCTGTGCTTCTTCCTTGTCTTCCAAAAGCTTGGCTTGATTTAACTTTTGATCATTGATATTAGTGCATGTTCCAAACCACATGCCGTCCTCTAGGTCTTCAGCATCAACAGAGGTATACGTGATAAGATGCCAAATATACTGATTGTTCTTATCAAGTAAGCGTGCTTCGACTGTGTAAGAGCCCTTTGGTGGAACATTTTTGATTGACCACTCATTGTTGAGCGTATGCTTCTTAAATGAGTCTGTTTGAATCAAGCACCGTTCTCGGTCATCTGGGTGGATCCGTTTCACGTACTCAAACCCATAAGTCTTTTCTGCATTGCATCCAGAAAAGTCAAACCAGGCCTTGTTGGAATAAACAATCCCTCGAGAACGGTGGAAAGTAAAAACAATAATAGGAGTAGATTCAGCCAAAATTTTGTACTTGTGGTCGCCTGCCGTTTCCTTAGCTCGCTTAATGGCAGCAAGCTCTGCTTTGCGCTGCTGATGCACATCGAAAAGTGTACAGAGCCAAAACACAGTGACTCCACGATCATCACGCAAAGGATAGCATCTGTAAATTGTAGCACGGTAAGCACCATCAAAACGGCGTAGATACACCATCCGTGAAAAAGCCTCGCCAGTTCGGAAAGCTTCGTGAAGAGAAGAAATAAAATCATCTCTGTCTTTTGGATGGATAGACTTGTAGGGATCTGCACAAAACTCGTCATAAGTTTGACCTCGGTAAGAGGTCACCCGATTGCTGACCCAACAAATGTTACCGGCGGCAGGCTCCATAGTGTAGATTTGGATGGGAATAGACTCGAGAATTTTGCGTAAATGCCGCACAGGCAGCAATGAACGCGAAGAACTAGGATTTGAGAGTAAAGAAGGTCGATGATGATGAGGTGATTCATCCTCTAAATCTTTCTTGTCGTCTTTCTTTGAAGTAGATGCTGAAGATGTTGAAGCATAGCCTAATCGTTTTGCATAACCATATTTAAATGCAAATGATCCCATTCGTTTCAAACGTTCCCGATGACGCGCGCTTCTTGCCGATTTTTCAGGGGAAATTGTAGAAGTAGGTGACTGAAGGGACGAAGAACCACTATAAATAGTGGCAGCGCTACCAGCTGACAATCTATGATTATGGTGAGGTCGGAACGAAACTGAAGAAGAAGTGATGGAATCTATTTGATTGCTGAGGTTAGTGTGAGCTTTAGCATTAACCAAGGCAGTGGCAATATGAGAAGAAAATTGCTTAAGATGTTCGCTCAAGTCACCAGGGTATGGTATCAAATGTGACATGATTGAAAGCACGGCAATGGGGGGAGACGTATTGTTGTACTCCATTTTCCCCAAAAATTTATTTATAGAAACTTTGGTCGGGACGATAAGTGGGATGTGAATAATGCTGACTGTGTTTTCACATCCAATTGCAGAAACAGACTCTTTTATGCCAGAAAGTATGAATGAATTTTCATAATTCTTTTTAGTATAATCTGAAAATGAAGTATCTGAATCACTACTACCTTGTGAAAATGCTGATTCTAGTTCTGAACCATCGCTTGATTTTCTACAAGTGGTGCTTTTAGGAGACACGGCATAATCCTTAAAAAAGGGATTTTCTTGAGAATCATGTATTGCTGGAGAAGGAGCAGGAGAGCAGCTCCAAGGCGAGTTCATAGTCTGCTCGCTGTCAAAATAAACCTTTTCTTCATACTTTGGAGGTGCAAGGACGTCTCCATTGGGCGAATATTTTCTTTGTAGCAAGGTAGTCATTCCGCACTTGATGATTTTACTAATACTCGAGGAATCAATCAAGGGGTCCTTTTCCCATGCCAATGATTGGAGTTCGTCAAAGACCACAAGATTAGGGCGCATCTGTGGCCTCGGCGACAGAATCGAAAAGCGGTGGTTGTTGTTTGTATGCCTTGAATAATTTGGGTACGTAAACGAAGAAGCTGACGCAGACGTTTGATGGTGGATCTGCAAATAAGAGCTCCGAAAATTTCCGCTTCGAGAGCTTCCATTGCTCGAGACGCTGGTTGAATGTTTATGTCTTCCTTTTTTTAATGAAAATGTTTCATTGCTTGTCGCAGAAGGTACATTTTTCAATTGTGTTGTTGATTCAAGACTTAAAATAGGCTTGGTTGAAGAAACAAAAGTAGGAGCTGTGGGAAGAAAAGCAGTACCTCCTGCATCAACCTTAACAGTGGGTGAAGTTTCTTCTTGTTTAGTACGCTTAGATTTTGATAGACGGCGAGTAAGCTTTTGGCGCAAGGTGGCTGGTTTTTCAAGTGGTTGTGGTTGAGTTTGCGCAGGAGTGATTGTTGTGGGTGTAGTAGATGTAGATGTGGAGGAGAAAAGTTGGGTGGCAATATTTGCGGCAGTTTCAGTAGCATTAATATCTATGCTGGGTTTCTTGGGACGAGCTGGAACCGGATTGCTAAACTTTTCAGTGATCAAATCGACATCTTCCTGGTAGAGAGAATTTAGAGACGAAGAGTAAAGTGGGACGTAGTTGAATGGAGATCCGACACGTTGGGTTGGATCTGGCCGGTTTGTATTTATAGTAGTAGCTGTAGTTGTTTCTGGATTTTTTATAGGGATAGTAGGCCCTGTTGGTTCAGTGGTTAACAAGGAATCATCTTCATCCTCTTCTTCAGTATCACTCATAATGCCCTCGGTATCCCAAGAGCTATCATCTAAATCATTATTGGCTTTTTTTTTAAAAAACAAAATGATTTTGGGTTAGTGGCTTTGACTTTTTAACTTTAAAATATATAAATTCCACAAAACTTACAAGAAATCTTATTTAGGGGGATATTAATGGTGTCTAGACTATGTCGAGGTGTCTCCGAACGTTTTGAAGATGATTGTGACGATGGTGAAGGTAGATCAGATTCGCCATTCCAAAGACCCTTAAGTCCCCATGGAGCATTGTAAATATCAGCTGGATCATTTGGAAATGCTAAAGATACGCGTGTGGCACTAAAAAGAGATTGAAGAATATCGACAAGGGTATTGAAAAAGGAGTCAAATTCTGTCTCAAGATTCAGAGCCAAAATGAGACTGGAGAGATCAATAGGGTTAATAGGGCCTGATGGGAATGGCAGAGTTGCCAAAGAAGGTAAAGAAGAAGAAGAAGAATATGAACAAGTTTGTGGTAGTTGTTGTTGTTGTTGTTGTTGTTGCTGCTGCTGCTGCTGCTGCTGCTGCTGCTGCTGCTGCTGTATGTGAAATTTTAGATTACCTGCTGGAGATTTTGATGATTTTGTTAATGGAATATAGAAAGTAGATAAAGCATCTGGAGAAAGAGGAATATGACTAGGTGGAAACTTAATGACTGGTTTCAATACTGGAGTTGGAGTACTGGTGATTGGATTGTTATTATTGTTGCTACTGTTTCCCGCAGGTGTTTTCACAGATATTGCTGGTGAGGCTGCTGTAGACCCTGAAGTTGTAGTTGTAGTTGTAGTTGTAGATGTAGATGTTCCTAATATTGGATCAGTTGCTGTTATTGTTATTGTTTCTGCGGGTGAAGCTACTGCTGCTACAATTCCTGGCAGAGTAGAATTTAGTTGGCTTACCAGAGTCTCTTGCAGTTGAGACTGTGGGATCTGTAGTGAAATGCTACTTTCCTGTTTGCGAGGAGTTGGCATTATGGGGAAGATGTAGTGACGTAAGCGCAGACAACCATAGCTTTTTTAGATAGAATAATAATGATAATGTTTATAGAAAAAAAAAAAAAAAAAAAAGAGAAATATAAATATAAATATAAAGTTTATATATATTTATTAAGATATAAAAAAGAATTGAAATATTATAGTAATGAAGTTTAAAAAAAAAAAAAATTGAGATTTTAAAATGAATTTTTTTTGGAGTTGTGGATGTTAAAAAAAAAAAAAAAAAAAAAAAAAAAAAAAGAGGAGAATTTTAAACAGAAAAAAAAAAAAAGTTTTAGAAACAAAAGTGGCACTGTAGCAGCAGTAGCAGCAAACATCCCGCCTATGACGTTGTTGCATTATAAAAAAAAAAGCCGGTAGGTTGTATGTGTGTGTGTGGGTGGTGGTGGTGGTTTATATATAAATATATATATGCATATATACAAACAGACACACACACACATGTACAAGCGTTATATAAAAATAGAATAACAATAACAAAAAAAAATTTCTTTACATCATAACACCCACAAAAACAACAACTATTTCAATATATATATATATAATAGCAACATTCAAAAAAAAAAAAAAAAAAAAATTTGATTTAAACAAACAGACAAAAAGAATAAGTCAAGTGATTCGACCCAGGATCGAACTGGGGACGTTCTGCGTGTTAAGCAGATGCCATGACCGACTAGACCATCGAACCCTAACCCTTAAAAATATAATTTAAATATCTAACTTAAATTAAAATATCTAGGAACCCCGTCAGGTGACCCGGATCTGGAACCTGGTGTAAAATTTAAAATGTTTCGTAAAGATGGAGATTTTGATTTTGGAACCATTGATGGACTAGGAGCAAAATAACTATAAGTAGATACTCCACCCGAAGAAAGTAACATGTTAGTGTTCTGGTGAGTGGGAATCTGTGGAGAACTTGGAGGACCCAAACCTCCAGACATTTGTCGTTGTTGATCCAAACAATCTTGTAGTCGTGGAAGTGGTATCCCTGGATGATTGTTTCTTGGAACAGATGATAACGGTGATGATTCTGTGTATGGGCTTAATGTACAGGAAGACACAGAAGGCAGAACATGATGATGGTGGGTAAGCTGAGTTAAAGGAACATCTATGCTTGAATTGTTTACTGTTTGGGGAGCAGAAGATAACAATGATGATGATGATGATGATGATGATGATGATGACGATGATAATGTTGGTTTCGGTATTAATGTTGTAGACATGTATCTACTGTGAGGTACTTCTCTAAACTCAAACCTTGGTTTGTATCCTTCACACTTGCGATTGCTCTTTATACACTTTGCACAACAAGGTTTCCCTTCATCACACTTAATTCTTCTGTATATAATGGTTAGTTTTGAGTCATTAAATTCATCAAATAACCTCATATTATTATTATTATTATTATTATTATTTTTACTAACCTGTTCTTGCAAGTTATGCAACCGTTTCTTGTTCTTGTTATGGGTTTTTTTTGTTGCTTTGAAGTTGGTGGTGATGATTTACTCTTGGGCTTTTCACCAGATTGTGTACTTTTATAAAAATTTGTCATTTTGATTATATGAAGTAAATTGAATATTTTTTAAAAGAAAAAAAAATAGAGAAAAATAAAATAAAATTAAAATAAAAAGTGGACATTTCTTTGAATATTTATATTCTTTTTTTTCTTTCTTTTAATATCCCATTTATACCTAAATCCGTTTGTTTACTGTTGAAAAAAAAAAAAAATTTAAAAAAAAAAAAAGTTTCAGGACTGAGCTCATCTGGTGTTTACAAAACTAACCTACTTTTTTTAAAGTCGCTTTTAGCCTAGTTATGTATATATATTGGATAAGCTGGTTAAACGTGGGGCTGGGTTCCTTAATGTTTATTTCTGTGTACCTTAAAACAACCGTTGTGCAACAGACCATAAACATGAACACATGAGAGTGATTCTGTAAATTTGCCCAAAAAATTAAAAAAATAGTATTAAGACCAGCCATTCAAAGATATATATATATAGATCTTAAAATGCTTGTTTTGTTTAGATTTTGAGGGTCTGGTTGCTTGATGTTTTCATTTTATTTTTTGCAGTATTAGCCGGACGTTTAATTCCAAAACAATGTTTGTTATAAAAAAAAAAAAAAATTACTCGTCGTTTGATGAAAATATATATAAAAAAATAAAGGCTGGTAACTATCTATCTATTAATTCTAATAGTATTTAAAAAAAAAAAATAAAGCATTTTACAAACTCATGTAAACAAAAATTCTTTTAATAGGTTTATTTTCATTCGCAATGATTACTTTCCTATTTATCAAGAGCAGTTCAGCAAACTTTTTGAGTTCTTACCAACTTCAAACGTTAACCTAATCAAAAGTGATTTTTTTTTTAAAAAAAATTCCTTTGTACCTTAGATCTATAAAATAAAGTCTATTAAACTTTATCAGTTAAATTTCCTTTTTTTTTTCCTATTCCTGCTCTTTTTTTTTTTTTTTTTCTTCTTCTTCTGAAGGTTCCAAAATGAAATGAAATGAAATGAAATGAAAAAAAAAAAAAAAAATTATCTTATTGATGGTGACATTTTTTCTTTCTCTACTCATTGAAAGCCGCATAAATAAAAAGCCGCACGACGCCTTCATAATCAATAAAAAAAGCCCTATATTCTTATGGGAGCTAAACCATTAACATATACTGTATATCAAACTCAAAATTTGACGAGATTTTTTTTAGCGACACTTTTATTGTTTCCATTTTCTTAAGTTCTTTGTTATATATATATATATATATATTTTTTTTTGTATATAAATCTGATCTGTATTCTCTATTATTATTATTATTATTATTATTATTTTTTTTTTTTTTTTGTAATTGTATTTTTATTATTTTTTTTTTCCCTTCAATTCAATTCCTTGTATTGTTTGGGAGGGTTTCTTTTAATTTCTATTTTATTTTTATTTTTTTACTCATATAATATCCATCCATATAAGCCAATATTACAAATAAATTCCCTGCTGCATCACCATGGACCAAGGTTTGCTTCCTACTACCACCGGAGCGGATCCAAACTCAAACCGTCTATCTACTCTCTCAACCATGTCCATGTCTTCAGTTGCAGACGACTCTTCAATAGATCGCAAATATATTCTTGTAATCGGTCCTCCAAAGAGCGGGAAGATTGAATTCCTTAAAGGTTTGTTGGTTTTGAAAAACAAAAAATGAAAAATAAAAAAAAAAAATATTTATGCACAAGCCACTTTATTTCTTTTTTAATTTTTTTAATTTTTAATTTTTTAAATTTTTTTTTATTAACCATTTCTCATTAGCTTTTTCAGGGTCTTTGCCTGCGGATTTCCCACCAGAGGACCAAAATGTTAATATTGACCAAGAAGTACACTCTCCACCTCAGACTGCATCTCTCAAAGAAAAAAGAATCTTTCTTCAGCAAGAGTTTTTAAATCGTAGACCTTCTCATGCTGGCATTTGCCACTCTACAACTCTTGTCAACAAGTATTTTACTGCAGCTCTACCTACTTGGATTGACGAGTTTTCTTACTTTGATGGAACCTCATCCCCTCCAGATGCTCCTTCAAGAACATCTTCTTCAGATCCAGATTCAATGGATACTGGCTCAACTACCAACATTGCAGCAGATAATGCAAACACCGTCGAAGACATTACCTACTGGACAAATGCATACACCTCAGATGACCCAGATGTACGTTCAGTCCGGGATAGTCTTCTTGCAGTTATTTACACTTTTAGTCCATTCACTCCATTCCCATATCACACTCACCGTGACATGTACAACAATATTGAAAGCCCCATTATGGCAGCCAGTACTGCTGCTGCTCAAGCCCAAGCTGAAGCCGAGGTCCAGGCCCGCATTGCTCGTCAACAGGAAGATAAGGAACACTTGGATACAATATCACAACAAATTACCCAAATCTTAAAGCTTCTCGATAAACTAGAGGTTGAGGGTTGGGACGGGATTTTCCTGGCTGTGTGTCGCAACGTCAAACATACAATTGAGACTGGAGAGCAGCTCCCCCACTACAGTAAACGTAATATGGCTGAAGCCATCCAAAAGGCCAAAGAAGTTACAGAATTTGTTCGTGAGCAGGTTCTTGGAGATACTTTATATGAAACAGTGGATCTCAATGAAGGAGAGGAAGGAGTAGCACGTTTGTCCAATGGTACAACCAATCGTAGCATCAATGACCATGGTGCAAGAGAGCCACTAGGAATGGCTCGAGTCAAGGATGTACTAGGAACACATGTTGCACTTTCCGGATGGAGTGGAGAACCCACAGATCCCAATGCCATAATTGGGAATACCGGCTTTGGAACTATTTACGGAGCCCCACCATCAGACTCTGCCATGGACTTTGACCAGCCCGAGCCACCGACTCCTGTAGTCGGGTCGCACGGGGAAGCAACATCTGCTAATCCAATTTCTGGAGCCGCTGCTAATGTTCCTCCGCCTTTGCCGTTGGACCGCAATACCCGGGGTATAAATAGCAGTAGTGGGGAGAGTACAAGTAGTGGTGATACCAGTGCCATGGTGACACCTACATCTGGGACTATTCCCATACACCCTGCAGATTTATTTTCAGCACCAGGTCCATCTTCGTCAGCCGCTGGACCCAGTAGTGCTGGTGCTTCTGAAGGCCAAGACTCGTATAACGATTTGTCTTCAGAAATTGATAAAATGTATCGTGAAGCTGTTAATCGCACAGGCTTGCGAATGCCTCTTGCCGAAAATCAGGATTGGGGTGCCGCAATTGGTGCAACTCGACGTGTGGAAGATCAACAGCGCGCACGATTTTCTGGTGTCGAAGGCTCCGAGGCCGATGTTAGAAAGACTGAGGAGCTTGCTGAGCAAGTACGAAGTTTTAGAGGTGAGTTTAAAAAAAAAAAAAAAAAAAAAAAAAAAAATATGGGGTTTATCAAATCATTCATTGCTTAAGTTATTAACAAAGAAATTTTATTTAGAAAACTTTAAAAACATGACACAGGAAGAAGCTCAAGAGGCTCTTGATAGACTCTCTGTGGAATTGTCAAGAATTCTTTAAAAAACGACAATTTCTTTAAAAATAAAAAAACAAGAAGAAGACTAACAAGAAGAAAAGTTTTTAAGTAATGAGCCTTAAAATGGCTAGTAATAATTGTTATTAGAAGATAATTTTTATGTATATTTTTTTTTTTTTTTATTTCCAACAAAAAAGTTAGCTGATTGTGATTTAAGCATTCTTCTTGATTTTAGGAATTGGAGCGCGACCAAGGACCTTCTTGCGCTGCTTGACAACATGAGTAAACATAACATAAAAGCCAGGAATGTAGATGAGAAGTGAAGCCTTAAGAAGGAGTGCGTACCAGGTTGAAAATTGTTCGGCATCTGGCAAGCTGACAAGAATAAGAACCCACTCACTGCCTGCGCCAAGAGGGTAAAGAACATAAAATGCAGAGTATCTGAGCCAAACCAACCATCGAGGGACGCCACCAGGACCTGGTCTAAGCAGAGTATAAACGTAAAAGGTATATCTAATAATTTCAGTTATGCACCATGCAATGGTGCATGTAGAGAAAGCTGGGTGTTGTCCTACATCGGGGAAGGGATAAAGAACACCCCAGACGACAAGCAAGCGAGAAGAGATTTGCATAACAGTAGTGACAACAGGAGAACGAACAAGACCAAAAAGAGAATGGAAAACTTCAAGAATCATAAGAGTCTGAACCCAGCGCAGGAAATCATTAAGACCACCACTTACAAACTTGGTGCCGACGAGAGGGAAGAGTACCAGGAAACGGAGTAGCACGGCGGCCCAGAAAAAAGCCGAGACGGCATTGTAAATGACAAGATAGTTAGTTATAAGCTCACGCTTAGAGGAAACTTTTAGTTTCGAGTCTGTAGAAGCAGGTTTGGAAGCCATTGTATGTTTGGCTGTTGTGAATTGAGGGGGAGGGGGTATATAAATTTTGGTGGTGGTGATCTGAGAAATAAACTTTTCAGTTGGGGTAAGAAACAAAAAATTAAAAAAAAAAAAAAAAAATCAAAGAACTTGTCGGCATTACCTAATCAAATCGTGGATTTTATTGTTTTTTTTTTATGCCAGCTGTTAAGAAAAAAAAAAAAAAAAAGAAAAAAGAAAAAAAAAAATTAGGACTGAGCCAATTGAGCAACTTTTTCTATTCAAGCCACCCTCTCTTTCTCTCCCAAACAATGAAGACTTTCCACATAGTTTTTTTGCTTGGCCTGCTTGTTTCCCTGCTTGTGGGACTTGCAACCGCTTCTCCTGAAGATCAGCAGTATCAAAGAAGATCCGGGAATCGTCGGTCATCAAAGCGCAGTGGTGGTAGTAACCAACAGCGACAACAGCGACAACAACAGCAACAACACAATCCTTATGACCAACAGCCTGGTCAGCGCAAGTTTAACCAAAACTGGTCTTCCCTCGACAGAGAAATCTTTCACTTGAATGAACAGATCCGTAATGATCCAGAACTCGGCCCTGCTACAAGTTTCTACTCATGGCTTGACATTTCAAAAAGATCATCGCAAGCTGACATTGATAGAGCATACAAGCAACTGTCACGAAAGATCCATCCAGACAAAGTGACAGCTACACGTGAACGTGCTCTCAAGAAAAAGTTAAAGGAGCAAAAAGAAGCTGAAGCAGAAGCTGCTACTGCTACTGCTACTGATACTGCTACTGCTGCCGCTGAAAACGATGCACCTGTTACTCCCAAGGTCAAACCACTTTCTGCCTCAGAGCGCAAACATCTCTACAAGGATGCTACAGACCGATTTGCACGGTTAGGTCTTGTTTACAAGATTCTTTCTGACACTCATGCTCGTGAACGTTACGACTTTTTCTTGGACCATGGATTCCCTAAACTTAAGGGAGCTGATTACTTTTATTCCCGATACCGACCTGGTACTGTATTTGTTTTCGTTTTTATTTTCCTGTTGGTTTCTGCTGGCCAGTATGTGTCCAAGAAAATCACCGTTTCACGTCATCGCCGCTACATGTTATCTGTTATTGATGAAGCTAAGGCTTTGGCCTGGCCTTCTGGAATTCCTGCAGGTAATACTCGTGGTGTTGTTCTTGATAATGGCAAGGAGTTTCATGTTCATCCTGATGGCCAGGTTTACCTTTTGGATACTAAGGACTCACGTAAAAAGTATTTGTTGGACCCTACTGAGATTGTGGACCCAGTGTGGAGTGAAACCATCATTTATACGGTCCCCATTAAGCTTTATAAGATGATTAACAAAAACTATGGTGGGCGCAAGGTTGGTCGCAAAGAAGAAGATGTTCCTAAGAATAACAGCCAATCCCAAGAAAGTGAAAAGGAGGATGAAAGTGATTCATCTGTTGAGAAAAAGATTAATGGGGCAAAACAAGCCAACAAGATGGGAGGAAGACGCCGTAAATAGTTAGTTGAATTCCATACAGACAAATAAAAAATTAAAATAAAATAAAATAAAATATAATGAAATATCTATTCTATTCTAAGGTTTTTTTTTTTTTTTTTTTTTTTTTTGATCAATAAAATACTGATTTATGTTTACAATTGGATATCATATTGATTGATGATTGATTAAACAACCTATTCAACCATAGAATTCTCCTAAGAGATATTTTTTTTTTCTTTCTTTCTTTTCATTATAAATTCCCAAAATGAAAATATTCCTTGCCTCCCCAAAAAAAAAAAAAAAAGATTGCATTTATCATTAACAGTAGGCTTTCCAGGTCCTACATTGACAAGATGCAAGTCAAGTTGCTGCTGCTATTGCTGTTGTAAGAAGGGTTACTGTAAGAAGCTGCTGAGGTACGGCTGAAAATATTTACACATACACAGAGAGATGGAAGAGATGGAAGAGATGGGCATTATTATTACCAGAGTTTAGGAAATTTTTTTTTTTTTTTTTTTTTTTTTTTGAACATGTGAACTGATATAAACAATATATTCATTTTAAAATGATTTTAAATATATATATATATATATATATATATATATATATATATATATTTATAATTTAAACCAAAATATAGAAGCATTGATAGAATGAAAAACAAGTTTTAAATTACTAAAAGATTAAATATTTAAAATGAATAATTGTTCCAATTTTTTTTTTAATACAAAAGTTTGTCATTTGAATAATAATAAACACTTTCTTACAGCTGTCAGTATATTTTTTTTCCCCATCCCTTTCCAGAAGATGTAGTAGAAATGATTTCAAAATGTCTTTTTTTTTTCATATTGAACTCAAATTATTTAAAAATTTAAATTTAAAATAAAAATAAAAATAAAAATCACGAGACCATTGGGTGTTTATTTATTTATTTATTTATTTTTTTTCATTTATATGAAAAATATAAGTGAAAAAAAAAAAAAAGTCTTTTAAAATTTCAAAAAAAAATTCCACTGAAAAAAAAAAAAAAATTCATTATTTTTTGAAAGTATCAAAAACAATAGTTTTTTTTTTTCCTCCCCCTCAAGTTTGAATAAAACATATATTTATAATTTCTATTTCTTTTAGATTTAGTTATTGATTCCTTTTTTTTTATATATATATTTATTATATTTATAAGTCCACTACTACCACCATAATTAACAACAACCAGCCAGTACTTTCAATTTTTTTTAACTGATTTAGGTCTTATTACATCATCTATATACAAAGCCCGTCTATACAAATTCAATCCGCCTTTGTCCTATTAGCTTTTTTTTTTTTTTTGCAAAATTCAATAATAATTATATAACACTTCTTAATGAAATAGTATTAAATATCAAAGAAAAAAGAAAAGGATCAAATAAAAAAAAAACGCAACATCAATGAAAAAAGTAAGAAAGAAAGAAAAAAAAAGTTCCTCGAACTTGATCTGCTGATGATGAGGGTTTTAGCTAAAAAGGTGCGCGATATATATGAAAAATCATACTACATAGTGTTGAAAAAACAAACTAATTAGTTTGTGGTTATATAACCAAGAACATTCAAGAAAATGAACAAGACTTTTTTTTTTTTCATATTGAAAAAAAAAAAAAAACCTTTAGGTTGATTGATATTGTACTTTTAAAATTATGTAGGTTTTTGTTTATTTAACTAAATAAATGATGGTATTTTTTTTTTATATATAAAATTTCAATTTCTTTTTTAGTATTTTTTTTTTCTCCTCATCATTATCATATTTTTTTCAAATTCTTTTTAATAAAATAAAACTCATTTAAATGATTTTTCGTAGTTTACGCTCCTCATGTCTCCTCAAAAACATAGATGTATTTTCAGTCACAATTCCATCAAGGTCCGATGACGCTCGTCCACTATAAGACTGCGGATATTGTTGCGAGTAAGCTCCAGAGCTCCCGCCAATACCCACAGTCCCTGACCGTAGTGCAGAGCTCGCCGCCGCCGCCATGGCTGCCGCTGCTGCCGTCATGTGAGTTTTGGATGCATTGACTGCTTCCATATTTTCCACGTATTCTCGCGCTTTGGCAAAAGAAGCCATCCAGTCGGCAGATCCACCAGGATCCTCAAAGGTAAAAACCTTATTATGTGCCTCAATCGCAAACACACCCACATTGCTTTTACGATTATGGGCAAACTCGCGTACAACAACCTGCGGTGCTACAACGCGAATGTCCAAGTGAACCTTTTTATCTTCAACCGAAGATATCACAACAAGCCGGCCCAAGGTCGTCACAAACATAATGCGTTTCTTTTTGCGCGAACCGGCAAACAGTCGAGAGATACGGCTTGGCTCGCGACCGTTAAATTCTTCTTCGTAAGCTGTACCATCATCTTGACTCTTTTTGCCATTGCTTCCACTGCTACTACTGCCATTGCCATCGGAAGATTGTTGATGAACAGAGTTGGCACTGGTAATAGACATGGTTACATTGGAAATCTTAAGAATACGCTCTTCTTTAGTAGTCAAAAGTGACTGGAATTCTCGGTCAGTGTTAGAGAGAGGTGGAATCACTAATTGCTTAACTACCGGGGTATTTGTTGTTTGAGGAGCAAGAGCAAGAGCAGGAGCAGCTGTTGCTGTAGTCACTGGCGAAGAAGGTGCAGAGACAGATGCTGTTGCAACAGGAGGTGGTGGAAGAACAGAAGAAGTCACTATTGGTTTGGGGACTGGAGCAGACCCGCTGCTATTTATGTTGCCATTATTAGTTTGTTGTTGTGTTGGTGACATGGGAGATTGAGGAGGTTGAGCTGATGATGCTGCTGCTGCTGCTGTTGGTGCTTTAGAAGTTTGAATATTTGAGAGTTGGGGTTTTGTACTTCTCGCTACAGGAACTCTGGGAATATTCCTTGATGCAGACACTGATGTTTGTGCTTGTTGAGAAGAAGAAGAAGTAAATACTTGAGAGTTTCCATTATTGTTACTGCTGTTTGGAGTAGGCTTGTTGGAAACAAATACAGGTATAGGTTTACCAGAATACTGCTGTGTTGGAGTGGGATATGGGCTGATTGATGAAGGAGGTTTTGCTAAGGCAGCAGCAGCACCAGCTGCTGCAGAGGCACCCATATTAAGCAAATTTGGGCTTGAATTTGATGCACGAGGGGTTGAAGACTTACTGCGGGCAACCGATTGGCCGTAAACTGATCCTCCAGGGCTATTACCATTTGCCTTTGCTCTAAGATTCGGGTTAATGGTGCCTGGTCTAGGGATGCGCGATAATGGGTTTGAGATTGCTCGTGGTTGGTGTCTATAAGGGAGAAGTCTTGGGTGAGGAGTTTTCCAAATGGCGGTACGAGACCAGTCCTGACCATCAAAAAAGGAGTGTTCTTTGATATGGCTACTTGAATAGCGGCGAGCTGGGTCGATGACCAAAATGTGCTTGATAAGGTCGCGGAGAACGGTAGGAAAGTGTGGGGGGTAAGAGTACTGAAGCTTGACAATCTTTTGAAACGTTTGGTATTCATTGTCGCCCTTAAAGGGAGGGTGTCCAGCGAGCATCTGGTAGATGATGCAGCCGTACGCCCAAACGTCGCAAGCCTTTGTGACTGCCTTTTGGTTGAGAAGTTCTGGCGAGACATATTCAGCAGTGCCGACAAATGATTTTGCAGCAGTATTTTGAGGGTAAGATTCCAATTCATTTCCATCAGCATCGCGCTCGTGGTTGACAAGATAAGCAGTGCCAAAATCGGTAACTTTAATGCGCATGTACTTGTCGAGAAGAATATTTTCAGGCTTCAGGTCTCGATGCAGGACACCACGCGAATGCATAAAATCAACAGCATCAAGCAGTTGGGCGCCATAATATCGGACGCATTCTTCAGAGAGCGATCCCAAGCGCTTGATGAGAGAAAGAAGCTCACCGTTTGCTGCAAAATCGAGCACAAAGTAGAGGGACTGCTCATCTTGGAAAGTGTAGTAAAGAGGGATAACTCCTGGGAAATTACCTAAACGGTTAAGAGTTTGTTTTTCAATTTCAACATATTTGACCTTTTTTTCCTTGATAATATGAAGCTTGTTAAGAATCTTAATCGCATATTCCCTGCGAGTCTCTTTGTCTGTGGCACATACGACAGTAGAATAGGAGCCAATACCTAGAGTGCGACCAAAGTTGAAGCTGTTAACGCCCTTTTTGACAGTGACGGTGTGAACTTTTCCTTGAGAGTCTACTTTCTTGTGAACAAAAGTAGTTGCGCCGTGCTCACGCCACTCTTGAGCCGAGCGGGGCATTGGGTCTTGAGAAGCCATAGTGTCAAAAGAGGGGGGGTTGTGCTGTTATTATATATGTATATAATTATGTCCTTTGAAAGAGTTTTTAAGAAAACTTTTTTTATTTTTTTTGACAAGAAATGGGAAAGTCGAATTAATTTTAGAAACTTAGAGCCTGTTGGTGGAAGTTTGCAAAAATGGTGGTGGTAGTGGTGGTGGTGGTACCTGAGAGTATATATATGGATATATATGTATGGTATAACAATGATAAGCGGGGTGAGCTTTTTTTTTTTTTAATTTTTTTTTTTTTTTTTTTTTTGCACAGACTGAACAGACTAAACAGGACGGAATAGTGCAGAACAAATATTGAATAAAGATGATAAGAGGAAGAGATGAGATGACAATGGTTGTAGAAGAGGTAGTGAGACAAGAAAAAGACCTGTTGATACCGGGACGGTTGGAGCCATGGACACGGGTCTTTTATGAAATGCTGTTAAAAAGTTTTGAACAGATAATAATAAACTGAATATATATAAATAATACTATAGTAGATTATCAGTCTCTATAAGTATAGCAGTGATAAGATATTGTTGAAGTCCAAACTGGAGATTTTTTTAAAAAAAAAATTTATAAATATTGGTGGTAGTGTAGAAAGAAAGAAAGAAAGAAAGAAAGAAAGAAAGAAAAAAAAAAAAAAAAAAAAAAAAAAAAAAGGAGGAAAGAAAGAAAAGAAAGAAATTCTGGTGGTGAGTAGGAAATAAACAAGGTTTAGTTAGGTTGATGAGCTTTTGGACAAGTTTGCTGGGCTTTTTTTTTTTTTTTTATTTCTAAAAAGAATGCAAGGCAGACAGACAGACAGACAGGCTTTGTTTATTTATTTATTTATTTATTTTTTTTTTTTAAATTAAATGACTGGAGGGTGTTGCGCCCGCGTGGCCCGACTAAACAAAAAAAAAAAAAGTATCATATATGAATGATTCCAGCGGAACACTGAAACGACCCGATCAATAGCTAAACAAAACCTGGTAATATATATATTTTACAATTTCTTAAATGTCTTAAAATGCCCTTTATTTTTTTTTTATAATTTATTTATACTTTAGAAACTTCCTATAGTATACAACCAAACCAAAGCAAACTGCCGCTGCCGTCGCCGCCGCTGCCGCTGCCACTACCAAAAGGGGAAAATCGACGAGGCATCCACAAAGAAATTGTTGTATTATCACGTGATGAAATCATGTAACTATATTTAATAGTGTAACATTTCATATAAGCCCTCAACTTGAATACATTACTTTTCAACAACACTCGACTTGAATCTTTCTTTAATTCTGTTTTTATTTTATTTTATTTTATTTTTATTTTTATTTTCATTTAATTTTTTTAATCAATTTATCCTTTTTTGCTTTTTTCTTTATAATCAATAAAAAAAAAACAATTACTGATACCCATATAGCTTTATGATTCATAACGTCCCAACAACTCTTTCGCTTCAACCACGAGAAGCCAGAAGAGCGTTTCGTCTACATCGACGCACTGTAAGATCAATCATCTCAACTATTTCCCCAAATGACAAAAATAGGCTTTATGAGTTGGCCAAAGTCCATCGTGACAAGATGGAAGTTTACAAATCTTTTGAAGAACAACGTAATACAAAGCGAATTGCAATAGCTGCGCCCCATTTACAATCTACGTCCAGATATCCTACTGTAAATGCGTATCTTGACTCGTTGGCAGAAACAACGACAACGTCAGCAGGTTCCAATAATAATAAACATCTACAACCTCCAAAATCTATTCACAACGGTCCCTACCTTGTTTCAGGAACTGCTTCTGTCACTGCAACTTTCACGAGCTCTAAAAATACTGCCAACCATACCAAAATTAAGGCATCAAAATTGGACACATCACGCGCAGCTGCTCATGCTGCAACAATGACCACAGGGACAACGGCTTCATCGGTAAAATTGCGCGTACCTAATACTACAATGACGTCCAATACTTTGCCGCAGTTTTTTTTGACCGGAACCCCACCAGCCGCTCCATCACGACAGCCCTTCAGTTCTGGCGTCTACTATTTCAATTCAGACCATGACAACAACAATAACAACAACCTAAATCAACAAACTGAAAGAGAAGACGATGAAGAAGACGAATCAGTTATTATCACTGCTGTCTCAGCATCTAGACATCACTTTCAAAAACTAAACAAAACACAAAATGAAGAATGCTCTTCTTCTGGTGAATCCCTTCAAATGGATGCTTATGACAGTGCTAGTGAAGGTTTTATTTCTGCTGATATACTCAATACTTCGGAAACCATTCAACATCATCCCATCATTCCTAATTCTATTTATCCAGATAGACCGAATACTACCAATAATACTGTTAGAACCTCCACTACACTTAGCAACAACCATATACCTACAATTTCTCATTTTGGAGAACAATGGATAAATACCCAAAGAATGTTTAACTATGCTGACAGGGAAGTTTTGTGGAATTACCCCTCTATTGATTTTTCTGCTTCAGGAGCACCGATTACCAACTCTCCTTCTCCTAGTATCCATGACTCACCTTTTCTTTCACATATTCGTAGAAGACACTCTCAAGGGTATATGCCTAGTGCCAACCGTGAATTCTTTTTTGAGAGTAGTACAGGAAATATCAATAGTCACACTTTATATCACCGTCATCTTCCATCCTTAGACTCGTATTCGGCAGATCTTTTTAATATTGAACATAGTTCTGGTCAAATGCCACAACCACAACCACTATCACTACAACCACCACGACAACAACAACAACAACAACAACAACAACAACAACTGTCGCCGCAACAAAGACTTACCGAAGTCTTAGAAAATAGTCGAAGTGGTACGGCTGATATCAATTACACTACAATAAATCACAATCATTCAGGTTTTCAGGCAAACATCAATTCTTCTCCACAAGATAGTAATTACCAAGACTTTTTGGACTCTTTTGGCGGCCAATTAAGTGCCAATACCCGTGGTACAAATACAATTCCCTTTTTTGATACATCACTGCCATCTCCCTACGTGGACCCTTACGTTGATTCCCCACATTCTATATCCGAAACTCCAATAAACTCTGCCTTTATTTATTCTGGAACAAGTGGAAACAGTAATACCGATGCTAGTACCAAAAGTAGTGATTATTGTAAACAAGAACAGGGTCAAAGCGATGATCAACCTTTTTGTTCTTCTTCAGTATCAGAAGGGAACTCAGCTAATAATACAAATAGTGGCAACAGTTTACTTCAATCAGATAGCCCGACAAGTCTCATGGATAGCTACCGAGCAATTCCTCAAGAAACACTTGATACCAGTCCTCTTTATAATACCACGCATAGCACATCAATCTTTAACAGAAATATGAACAATAAAAAAGACGAAGAAGAAAACTAGTAATAACAATCAATGGATTTAAGGACTATGTACAATTATTCAGACTCCATCTATAAGTAGTAGAAAGTATAGTAGAATCATACTCTTTAATCTATAACTTTAATAAAGTATGGTCGCAACTGCGATTCAGTCGAAACACTTGGGCTTCCAATCATAAGATCAGCACCTGTAATGCTCTTGGGGAACGCAATCACATCGCGAATAGACTCGGTCGCAGAAAGCATAGCTGTCATGCGATCGAAACCAATAGCCAGACCAGCATGTGGCGGACATCCAGTATCAAAGGCCTCAAGAAGGTGTCCAAACAGCGCATGCGAGTTGTCAATGCGCAAGATGTTGTCAAAAATATATCGCTGCAGGGCTGTGTCATGCACACGCGTACTGCCACCACCAAGTTCAACGCCATTCAGAACTAAATCGTAGTGCTGTCCACGAACCTCCAAAGGCTCAGTGACCAACTTATCGTAATCTGCAGTGTTGGCCATGGTGAAGGGATGATGTGTTGAAACATACTGTGTTGTGTCATATTCAGGATACTTCGCGTCTGCAGGTTGGTCAACCTCCACCGGATTAAACAGAGGAAATTCAGTCACCCAAATAGCTGCAAATTCATCCACAAGTGATTCAGGAACATCTGTTTCTCGTTGATATTTTCCAAGAGGCAATGTTTCCTGGATTGCAACAGTTCGTAGACGACCCAAAGGTGTAGGATTTTCATAGTTTTTGACACGGCGGGTCGAACCAGCAATAATATCGCCAACCTTAAGCTCAAGCTTCTTCTGGAGCCCAGCCAAGTCATCAAATTCAGCTAACCCGGAAAACTTTTCTGACCATCCAGCAAGTGCAGACTCTGACTTGAGCGCCACCACACGTGGTACTCGTGCCTTGTAATGCAATGGATCCGCAAGTTTCTTGGCCAGTCCAGGAGATTCATTCATGCCATTGCGTATAACAAGAATCTCAAAAACATCAAAGCCCTCATGATCGACAGCTCGTGCGTACCCTGTTGTGTCCACAATTTCCAGACTAGAACGAATATCTGGCTTGTCTATACCAAACCGAGAAATGGCCTCATCATATGTCAAGTGGGTCAAATTATCAGCTTTGACAAGCTTGGTTTTGGTGGCAGGGTCAAACGTCAACAAATCCTTACTAGCAACATCAGCCCATACAGTCTTGACCACATTCTCAACTACAGTACGCACATCACCTCCGTTAGAAAAACTCATTTCCATATCCAGTTGGGTAAACTCAGGCTGTCTATCTGCTCGCAGGTCTTCATCGCGGAAGCATCGTGCGATCTGATAATACTTGTGAATGCCAGAAGCCATAAGCAACTGCTTATACTGCTGAGGGCTTTGAGGTAACGCATACATCAAACCTTTCTTTCTGGTAGGCACAAGAAATTCACGCGCTCCTTCTGGTGTTGACTTGAAGAGTAATGGTGTTTCAATCTCAGTAAATCCAAGCTTGTCAAGAACATCTCGGCATACACGCATGATCTTTGCACGGCGTTTTAAATTTGCCTGGAATTGAGGGCCACGCAATTGTAAGTAACGATACTGAGGTGGCCACTCCTTAGTGTGGCCTGTTTGAAGCTGAGATCCAACAACGCTGGCTTCATTTAAAACAGTAGCGTTTGAAACCACAAGATCCCAAGCACGTCCGCCGTCCGGAGTAGTGCGTGCCTCTAGTTTTCCTTCAATCGATACCGCACTCTCTTGCTTAAGTGAGCGCACGACTGATGGCGAGTTAGCATCGACAAGCTGGATTGTTTGGCCGTCTACATCGCGCAACGACCCGAAAACAAGTGACTTGCCGACTTTCTTGGCCTTTTTATCAATCCAGCCATTACACACTATATTTTTCCCCTGGTCTTCCTGGTCCAGAGTACCTATTGACGTTGTTGATCTAGGAAACTCGACTGGCCCTACGTGTTAATAGTTTTTGTCTTTTATTAAGCGCGTCGGATATCACGGGTAACCATACATTTAGCAAGAGTCTCCGCTTTGCTAGGGAAAACACTGCGTTTAAGCGAAGACTGCAATCGTATTTGAATAAATCGTGGAGACCGACGCGTGGCTCCAAAACGTCCTAACCGGTACATTTTAAATTTTTGTCTTTAATCTATGAGTAAGCCTATGTGTGTGTCTGTGTGTGTATTTTCAGCCTGTGTCTGATTTTATTTTATTTTATTTTATTTTATTTTTTTTTTTTTGTTCCATTAGACTTTTCAAAAAAAAAAAAAAAAAATTGTGTGTGCTGCGGTGGCGTTGGCGGACCAGAATTTACTGCGACGGCACGCGCAGACTTTTTGCCATCACCTCCATTCATTTCCCATAGACATCACCAACCCGACCTTTTTTTTTTGTCAATACATTCAAGTTTAATATCCCCCAGCTTTCAAAAAAAATACTTAAATAACAAACAAACCATCTATATATAATACCATTTATAAAAAATGAGTTTTAGATTTACCGGAATTCCAGGAATGGGCATGGGCACTCCTATTGTAAGTACTATTTTCATTGATTGATTAAAGTGACTTGACCCCAAGTTTAACATTTGACTTTTAAGGACGCCCCCGCCGTTGATAACTCCGAAACCGTTTATATATCGTCACTTGCTCTTCTTAAGATGCTGAAGCATGGTAGAGCTGGTGTTCCCATGGAAGTTGTAAGTATTTACTTCTACGAGGTTTTTTGCCACCTCTCTACTAACACTCTTTAATTTAGATGGGCCTGATGCTCGGCGAATTTGTCGATGATTTCACAATCCATGTTGTTGATGTTTTTGCTATGCCTCAGAGTGGTACAGGTGTTAGTGTTGAATCCGTTGACGAAGTTTTCCAAACACGCATGACTGAGATGCTCAAGCAAACTGGTCGCGACCAGATCGTTGTTGGCTGGTACCACTCGCATCCTGGTTTTGGATGTTGGCTCTCGTCCGTCGATGTTAACACTCAACAATCTTTCGAGCGACTCCAAAAACGATCTGTTGCTGTCGTCATTGACCCTATACAGTCAGTCCGCGGTAAAGTTGTGATTGACGCTTTCCGTCTTATCACCCCAACTGGTGCTTTTGGCAGCGAGCCTCGACAAACCACATCCAACATTGGCCACCTGAACAAGCCATCTATTCAGGCCCTTATCCACGGTCTCAATCGACACTATTATTCTATTAATATTAATTACAAGAAGACACCTCTGGAAGAACAAATGCTTCTCAATTTGCACAAGAGTGCATGGACCTCTGGGCTCGAGATTCCAGATTACTCAAAACACACCCATGAAAACCTGCAAGCAGTGCAACAAATGGTCAAGCTGGCTGATCTGTACACTACCCGTGTTAAGGAAGAAAAGGAACTTACTGAAGATCAGCTCAAGACAAGATATGTCGGTAAGCAAGATCCAAAGAAGCACCTTGAAGATACCGTTGTCAACAGAATGGAGGAAAACATTGTATCTTTACTAACCAGCAATGTCGACAAAGTCTCGTTTCGTTAAAATTATTTTTTTAAATAAATATAATACAACAAATATAAAAGAAAAAAAAATTCATAATTTCGTTATAAGCCTTGCCATAACCGGCACGTCCCATCTTTGCTGGAAGAAACAAGAAGATTCTCTGTCGGGTGTATATCTAGTCCAAGAACTACATCAGTATGGCCTTTAAGTGTTTCCACAACAATACGGTCTTGGAGATCCCAAACAGTAATCGAATTGAGTCCCATTCCCTGTGCAATGAGTGGTCGATCATGTGGAATAAATATGCTGGAACTTGAATACCTATGCTCATCTAAATCTTCTGCCTTGTATGTCTTGACCACCTTGTCTCGCATGTAGTCCCATAATCGTAGTGTTGCATCCATGGTGCTTGCCAGCAAGAACTTTGAGTTTGGTGAAAATCGCAAGTACATGACAGGAACATTGGTTTTACCAACTAATGTTTTCAAACAGTGGCCCGTACGTGTATCCCATAACCGAATCAAGCCGTCCTGACTTGCTGATGCGATGATGGTACCGTCCGATGAAAAACAAACCGTTGTAACCGGGTCGCTATGCGCAGCCAGCGTACGCAAACACCGCGAATGCCGCACATCCCAAATGCGCAGATTTTCGTCTGCGCTTCCAGAAACAAGCAAGTTTCCTTTAAAGTTGTAGTCCACGGAGTTGATGTGATGTGTATGTCCGCGCATAACGCGTAGAATTCGCGCCGCTTGCATTCCAGATCCAGGTTCCGGAAGGAGCCCAGCATCTTTCGATACCTCCCAGACCCGCACAGTTTTGTCATCTGAAACAGATGCTAAATATAAAGAATCGGGAGACCAGGCAATGTCTGATATTCCTTGAATATGGCCTTCGAAGGCTGCAATGTGTTGCCCGCTGTACGCGTCCCAAATTCGGATGCTGGCGTCTGCAGAACATGTTGCAATGTACTTGCCATTGGGCGAGAATTTGGCCGCAGTGACTGGTTTAGCGTGTGCTTTTAGAATATATTTGCACTTGTACCGCCGTGACTTATCTGTCGCGTTTGAGGACAAACCATTGGCGGCGGCGGCATCTGGCAGAGGGTCCGTCATTTGTCATAGGGAAAAGATTTTTTTTGTTAGACTCAGACAGGCTTTTCTTGTTTACACTTTTTGTTGGTGGCTGATACAGTAGACCCCAAAAAAGAAGTGTGACATTACAACCACGGGATGTAACTGTTATAGATCTGGGTGTCTTAAGTTCTGTTTAGAAAAATGCATGTTTTGAAGAAGACCAAAATCTTGATTTCTTCATAAAAAGGCTTTTATTTTAAGTTATTAAAAAAAATAGATTAAACAAAGAAAAGAAAGAATAGTTTGAGTGGATTTATAAGAAAAAATATTGATTTTAATCATTTATCTGGGTAAGACAAACAAATTTTGTTTTTGATCAATGCCAACCTTTAGAAAAGCCCATCAATTCATATTTGAATCTTATAGATAACCAAAAGGGCACATGTGGGAAGATCTTAGAATACCATGTAAAGTGAAATCTTTACTTTAATTGACAAAGATTCTTAATTTAAATATTGCACTTCCAATCTATGGTATCTTTATTTTTTTGAACAAGCGATTACGTCTTTAATAATACGTATATACGTACATTTTGAACATACCTTCTATTCCAAAAAAAAAAAAGTATTTCGGTTTAAAAACACAGAATTTTTTTTTTTTGGTAACTGGTATTTGGTAATTATAGTTTGAATTTTGAGTACAATTTCATTCTCTAAAGAAAATTTAAATGGTCATTTTTTTTTATTTTGCAAAATCACTGTACCAAAATATGCTTGTCTGCAAAAATAACGTTCATAACAAAATAAACAATATTTAAACTTCCCGTGCTAAATATTTTTAAATTAATTTTAAAGGTAAATCAAGTGGATTCAATTTACTCAAAACTTCAGTGGCTGTTAATTATTGACATTTCAACCATGATAAAGCAAAAAAAAAAAACCCTTTGAAGCTTCTACATTCAAAAAGGTATAAAAGACAGGAAATTTCCTTCTCAAGTTATTTTGCTTTTTATTCTGTTTATTCTTTATTTTTAATTATAATCAACTGGTTTGATTTTGTTTATTTGAATACATCTTTTTCAATATTTACTTGAAAGTTAGCTGGCCTCAATTTTTCATTTCACACTCATTCAAAAACTTTTACACCTTTTTACTGGCATGAAATTCTCAATTGTTGCCGTTGCTGCTTTTGCAACCTACTCATTGGCTGCTCCCATTGCAAATGCTGAAGCTGAAGCTGAAGCCAAGGCTAGTCCATGGTTTTTGAGTAAGCTTTTGAGTCACAAGTCCAGCAGTTACGGTAGCAGCTGTTCCGACTGTTCTTCTTCTGGTTCTACAAACGTTGTATATGTTCCAGTTTCTTCAGGAACAACTACTACTCAAACCTCAACTACTGTAGTCAATGGTGGGGATGGAGGTTCTGGAGGTGCTGGCGGAGCTGGTGGTGCTGGAGGTGCTGGAGGAAGTGGTACTGGAGCTGGCGGTGGAGGCGGTGGTGGTGCTGGTGGTGCCGGCGGTGGTGGTGGTGCCTCAAGTTCTGGTGCTGGAGGCGGTGCCGGAGGCGGTGGTGGTTCTGGCGGTGGTGGTGGTGCCGGAACCGGAGGTGCATCTGGTGGAAGCGGTGGAATTGCCAGTGGCACCACCAGTGGTGGTGGGTCTGGCGGAACAAGTAGCACCACAACGACCTCGGGCAACTCTGGCACCAGTTCAGGGACTACTGACAACACTTCTACAGGAAGCACTTGCACAACACAATGCTCCTAGAAATACAGTTTGTAGAACTGATATTGGCTGTTTTTTTTTTTTGAAAATTTAATAATTATTATATAACTTTTTTGAATAAACTAACACACTTGAAAATAAATGGGTGAGAAAATGGAAAAGTTTCACGTGATAAATTAGTCAGGATTGTACGAGATTTTAGTAAGAATTAAATTAATCTTAGTAATGTTTGTGTTGATGATTATCAAAGAATTCCCAAGATGGTAATTTTTTATGATCGAATTAGGACAAGGAGGAGATAAAAATCAAATTTTCTGGCAGATTTATAAGAAATCGACCATTTTGTTAGGGGCATTTCCCATTTCCCTCCCACATATTTTCAACAGTGTAAGATAAATTGATTTTTATAAAGTCGAGTTTACATTAATTTTCTAAATTTACCGACTAAAGTATACACGTGACTTTAACGGGTTCTTTTTGGCCAACAACTTCGATCTGACATGCAAGAGGTATATCTTCTTCCCCCTACAAGCGCTGCTTCTCTTCCAAATCCCTATTTCTACTTTCCATACTTGGGAGATGCTCCCGGATTTTGCTGATTATGAATGGAAATCAATACTTGGAAGTGCCCATGCCAGGTACTACAACTCCAAATCCATACTTTGACGGGCCGTTACCAGTAGGAATTAATGGCAAAAACATTCTGATTATTTTTCAAGATGTAACAAGATTTAGTAAGTTGACAAGCTTTTTAATGCGATTAATGTCTGTTAACTTTTACCTGTAATTATAGCAAACTCCTACATTGTTGAAAATTCTCAGCTTCAAAAAGCTTTAAATTTTTTTGATGCTGATACATTTAACTCAGAAACAGTACGTGTTATGTTCCGAGTATGTGACGAAGACCGAAATCATGGAATCGACTTTTCGGAGTTTCTAAGTCTCTGGAGACGGCTATTGCATTTTCAGAAAATCTTTTACAATCTCGATTCTAGTGGTCTTGGTGGTCTTTCGTTTGACAGATACTACGAAGGTCTACAGGAAATGGGGTTTTCATTGAGCCGTAGCTTTTTCGAATATTACTTTTGGAAGCACATTCCAGGTAATATTATTCAGCAGCATTCAAGAAGCTATACAGCTCCAGTTATGAGTTTTGATAGCTTTGTACAGTCATGTTTAAACCTGCAAAGGATGACATTAATATTTAAAAGCCTTGATAGCTCCATGACTGGAAGAATATCGATGCCTTATAACCAATTTCTCGAAGGTATCTCTTCTCTCATCTAGGATATTATTCAACGCGTCAGTTTGGAGTTCTTTACTAAATGCTCAAAGAATATCATGATATTTAAAATAATATGTCAGTCAGTTAATACTATGAAAATTGCCATAGATATTAAATGGTTTAGACTATTTGGCCTTAATAGATTGCCAAACTTTGAAATATCGAGGTAATTGTTAATTAATAATTAGTTGCACCAAATTCAATCAATGAATCAATCAATTTACTATTTATTAAATGTTCCAGAGGAATTATTCCTCTAGGTAACCTATATCGATATATCGATATATCGATATATCGTTAATCGCTATTTTAAGCAGTGCCATGCTTTACACACCTCTCCACAATCTTGAACTTACCACATAAAAAATTATAAAAAAAAAATCTAAAATAAGTTATTTAAAATTTTTATTTTTTTCCTCATATTGAACTCCAGGCCATAAAGAAACCTTAGAAGGGTATTAGAATTCTATTAATTGTCAAAAATTAAAGATAACACAAAAAAGTAAATCCTGGACGACACCGGAGTTGAACCGGGGACCTTTCGCATGCTAAGCGAACGTGATAGCCAACTACACCAGACGCCCAAATAAATTCATATTAAAATATTTCTAAAATGCCAATATAAAACAAAGGATAAGATTTATGTTAGTAAAAAAAGTTAAAATTTTTATAATAAATACGGGCCTTAAAAAATGTCAGACCCCCCCAACAACAACCAAACCACGTTTAGTGGCGGCGACCCCCCTGCCGACAATAATTATACCGACAATAATAATGAACAGACTAATATTAATGATATGCAAAAAATTATTGCTGTTGAACTGAAGGAGAAAGAAAGTTCTCATTCCAGAGGACCTCATTCTCATGAAGCTCATCACATCAAACCCTCGACAAAAATCCAAAAAAATAATGAAAAACCAGACTCCCATAAAAAAATTGAAACTATCCACAAAAAGCTTGAATCGAATGATAAGCATAACGCTTCTTCAAACCACGAAACCCCCGTTGAAACCCCTATTGTGAATGTTGGTCCAACCTTGAACCCTACCTTTGACTCTTCACCAGATGGTGGTGATGTTGAAATTGACGCAACACCATCACGTGACATGGATGTTCTCATGCCGGATGCAAATCCATTTGGTGATAATTCTGAAGCCTGGGAATACATCTTAAAACTTAAGGATGTATTTCTGGTTGAATTGTCTATTGTTAAAGAAGACTTGAGTATTACAATTGAAGATTGGGAAATAAAATTTCAAAATCTTGAACTTAAAAACAATGAGTTAGCTAAACAACTCATTGCTTTGACCGAAAAGCTTAAAGCTTCAGAAGGACAAGTGAATTCTCTTCGCTCAGAACTTGATGTTTTAAGAAACAATCAGGTTCACACAGAAGTTAAACATGTGATGTTTGAAAAACTCAAAAAGGAAGTTAAAGATAATAAGGATCATTGCGATAAAGTGAAACATAAAGCTGATGAAATAGCTAAGATGACTCTTCTAGATTTGTCTCAAGAAAAAGCAAGAAACAAAAGAATTATCGACACTGAAATCAAGGAATTCAAAGAAATGACCAACAATCTTGAGAAAAGAGTTGATAATATGGAATACAAAGTTGGAACTATTTCAACTAAGGCTGATTTAACTACCAAAGAACTTAGCTACGCAAAAAAGGAAATCAAGAGCGCGGTAAGAAAAGTCGACACTTTGCCATTTGCTTTGACCCCTAAAACTCCAAATGGAGCAACTCCAAAGTTGAAAGACATTATGAAGGCTCAAAAACAACACCGTGAAACTAAAGTTGATGAAGACAAACCCACTTTTAGAGTGTGCATAAGAATTCCAGATACCATGAAAAGAGTTAATATCCCTGCGATTGGAAAGAAAATTGATGCGGTTGCACAAAAGCCGGTGGCTCAGGAAATAGGCTATACTGTCAAAGGGCATTTATATGTTCAACTTAATGACAAAGATTTTGCTGATAAAGCTGCAGAATGGATCCCCAAAGTTGACCCTACTTATTCAGTGCTTGACACAGATTCTTGGTACAAGGCTGTACTTCAGGAAATACCTAATACGGCATCGATTGAAGACTTGAAAGAAACTCTCTACAATTTTAATGATTACCATATTGTTTTGAATACCGAACCCAAAATCATTAGCAGAAACCAATTTACCCAAACAGCATTGGTTTCATTCAGAAATGCCCAAGACTATGCGAAGTGTGCTGATAATCTTATTATCCAGTACACAAAAGTTAAAGTTAGACCTTTTATTAGCAGAAAAAAACTCCTGAAGAACTCCAAGCTATGCGTAATAAGATACGATTATTGAAAAATGAATCAGACAAAAGGATAATGAGGCCCATCCTGTTTCCACTGACGACTCACAAGATGAACCGATGAAAGAAACAAATATTGAAGAACTAGATGAATCCAATGAGGAAGAAAACGAAAACAATTCTAATACATCCAATGAATTATAAAGTATTCCAACTCAATTGTCATAAATCGAAATCTATTACTGAAACTATCTTAGATAAAAAGAACCTGATATCTTGTTATTACAAGAACCTTACTTTAACAACTATGGGCCCATTAAACATAAAGATTGGATCCCAATCTTTACAGAAACTGAAAAAAAAAAATAAATGCAGAGCAATTACTTACATTAGGTCTAACTCTGACTTACGAGCATTAACTACTAAAATTGAAAAGTTTACAAATCGAGATATGGTTACCATTTTGGTTAAAGACATTACAATTGTCAATGTCTATAATCAACCGAAACCATCCAAGAAATACCCTGAGCCACCGGTTTTTGAGTTTCTCAAACGGGAGATCAAGGAACAATACTCAAAGATTGTCATTGCAGGTGATTATAACTTACATCACAAGGAATGGGAGTCAAGGGCAGGTCCGAATACGGAAGCAGATGAAGTTGTTGAGTGGCTACATGAAAATGATATGATGTTAATTACTCCAAGAAATCAAAAAACATACAACAATAGAACCAATATTGATTTGGTTTATGGCTCAGTGGACTTACTTCATAGAATTTCATTTAGTGGAGTGGATGAAAATACACTAAGTGATCACTCAATTGTGGAGTGGGACATCTATATGTCTCAGAGTAAAAACGGGGATGAAGTTTTTACTTCGGTGAAGAGATTGAATATTAAGAATGCAGATTGGGAAAAGTTTGACAAGGAGCTTTCTTCTGCCATTAAAGATTTTAATGTGCATAACAAAACTCTAAAATCAACTGACCAAATTGATGACCAAGCTAAAGTTCTTGAGGAGGTTGTAAAAAGAGCAATGGCAAAGTCGATGAAGGAAGTTAAGGTGATGAAAAAGTCCAAACGCTATTGGAATCAAGAATTAAGGGAGAAGTTAGAAAAAGCGCTAGAAGCTAAGAGGGAAGCCCGTCAAAGGCAACCTTCTTTGGCTTTGAAACGACAAAAAATTGAAGAGGCGAAAAAAGCTAGAAAAATTTTTGACCACAGTTTGCGTGAGGCAAGTACTGAGCAATGGAATAAATATTTGTCTAGTTTAGAAGGAAATGACATTTGGAAGATTTTGAAGTATATTAATCCAAAAAGCAATGATACCATTATACCACAAATTAGAAAAGAAGATGGAACTCTCACTACTACTGTTGACGAAAAAAGACATGAAATATGGAAGGCACTTCTACCTGAAATTGATCATGGTCTTGATAGAGAGTTTGAAATTGATGACGATTCTCGATGGCCAAAATTAGAGTTTGATGAAGTTGACTCTGCATTGGCTGATACCCCAAATGATAAAGCTCCAGGAGACGATGGAATTACTGGCAAAGTTTTAAAGATGGCATGGCTAAATAAAGACTTTAAGGAAAGGTTTTTCAAGCTTCTCCAAGCTTGTGTAAAGTTTGGATACCACCCAAAAGTCTGGAGACATGGCATTATTGTTGTTATACCTAAACCTAAGAAACCTGACTATTCAAAGCCAAGAGCATACCGACCAATTTCCTTACTTAAGATTCCATCTAAAGTACTGGAAAAAATTATACAAAAAGAATGACCAAGCTTACAACACACTTACTTCCACCAGAGCAATATGGGGAAGACAAGGTTATTGTGCTACTGATGCTGTTTTGGAACTTGTCCAAAGAATTGAAACTAGTAAAGAAAAAATTTCAGCTATGCTCATTGATATTCAAGGAGCTTTTGATAATGTTAACAGAAATATATTGGCAGACACAATGGAGGATATGAAAACTACCCAAAGCACTTATAAACTGGACGTACCAATTTGTAAGTGAAAGAGAAGCTAGTATGCTCATGGACCGAAGAAAGGATCAGTGCAAAAATTAGTACTGGAATTCCGCAAGGCTCACCTATTTCACCACTACTTTTTTGATATATTCCACACCAATGTATCATGCCATTAAAGAATGGGGTGGAACTCCTTTTGGCTTTATTGATGATGTGACTATTACCGTTGAAGGTAAAATTGAAGAAAATACCAAAAGCTTAAGCAACATATTAGAAAAATGTTGTAATTGGGCTAAATCAAGAATGACCAAAATTGATTTGGGTGATAAATTGGGTTTTATTCATTTTACAAAAAATGTGAAACCTAAAGATGAGAAAGTGCAACTTACTTTACCTAATGGAGAACTTCGTGAACCCCAGAAGGAAGTTAAATTGCTTGGAATTACTTTGAACAATCTGCTTGATTTTAAATCTCATATTTTGAATAAAATCAATAAAGCAAGAAAAGCTGTTGGTGCTATTTGGCATCTTGGTGGCGTGCAAAAAGGTATGCGAGGGTCTGCAGTCAGATCACTGTATATTGCTTGCGTGAGACCAATTGTCGAATATGGCTTAGAAATTTGGCATCACAAAATTTTGAAAGGAGAAATCCACAAGTTGGAAGTAATGCAGAATATGGCTTTAAGAAGAATTGTTGGTGCTTATCGCACAACTCCTATTGCGGTACTACAAAAGGAAGCTGGTATTATGCCATATAGTATTAGGCTAAAATTTATGGTGGCACGAAAAGCTATTCGTTTACACCTAAATATTAGCAAAACTAATCCTATTAATGGTCATTTGTTAACATTGATTGAGAAATCTCCAATTGCAAAGCTAACCACGCTTTACATGTTGGCGAAAGATGATAGAGACTATATGATTAAAAAGGATGAAAACGAAAATGCAAGAGGGTTGAACCTCTTACACTGAAACAACAACAAAATCAGACGATTGGAATTTTGAAAAAACAAGCAATGGAAGAATGGCAAGAAATGTATTGGAACAGCAGTAAGGATCTGTGGTATCATAATATCACAGTGGAGTCGAAATGTACTGATAATCTTTCCAAAATGGTTACGGGAGTGATCATGAAGAAAGATAGTCGAAGGATCTTGAGTAATATTACTCAGTTTCGCACAGGCCATGGCAACTTTGGCGCATGGTTTAAAAAGTTTGGAATTGAAAAGGATAGTTACAACTGCAAATGTGGAGAGCTGGAAACAGTTCATCACATTTTAGTTGAGTGTCCTTTGCTTGAAGAGGAAAGAAAAGGACTGAAACGGATATCTCCAGAGATGGACATGTCGACTCTCTTAAACAGTTTAACTGGCTTACAAGAGATTGTAAGCTTTATCTCTGCTTGGAGGGATTAAGAAATACAATTACAGCGTTGATGAAGACAAGTGGAGATAGGTTGGGAAGGTTTGGTTATTTTAACCCCCTGTTCCTCGTAAGCTGGCATCAGGACTTATTTTCGGGCTGTTGGAGATGCAATGTTGAAGCCAAAATTAAAAGTTTATTATCAAAATGAAAAAATATATAGTATGGACAAGAAGGATAGCGCAGATGCTGATGTTATATAATTCTATAACCCTTGAATAAAAACAAACAAACAAACAAACAAGGGTTATAGAACTATATAACATCAGCATCTGCGCTATCCTTTTATTGTCTGACTATGTGACTTGCCGGTTTTCATTTGTACCTTTTTAGTACTGGTGGTTTCTGTTCTGTGCGTCTCCGGTAGCCCGGAAGATGGGCCCTGATGCCAGCTTACGAGGAACAGGGAGAACCAGTCTGTCGGTCCCAAAACCTTCCCAACCCATTTCCACTTATCTTCACGGACGCCCATGTATTTCTTAATCTCTTCCGTCAGAGATACGGCCCGCAATCACCTGCAGGCTATTTAGACTGTACGGAAGAGTCGGCATTCCTGTAACCAGGGTAGCCTATGGTTTTTCAGTCTAGGTGTATACTCCCGTACACATCCTCAGGAAAAGGGGGTATTCTGGGAATCGAACCCAGTATCTTCCGCTATCGAGCGAACGTGTTATCCTTTACACCATCCAGCCCTTTCCCCAATTCTATAACCCTTGAATAAAAACAAACAAACAAACAAACAATTTTTAGAATAAAAACAAACAAACAAACAAACAATTTTTATAATAGGGGAAAGGTCTGGATGGTGTAAAGGGTAACACATTCGCTCGAAAGCGGAAGATACTGGGTTCGATTCCCAGAATACCCCCTTTTCCTGAGGATGTGTACGGGAGTATACACCTAGACTGAAAAACCATAGGCTACCCTGGTTACAGGAATGCCGACTCTTCCGTACAGTCTAAATAGCCTGCAGGTGATTGCGGGCCGTATCTCTGACGGAAGAGATTAAGAAATACATGGGCGTCCGTGAAGATAAGTGGAAATGGGTTGGGAAGGTTTTGGGACCGACAGACTGGTTCTCCCTGTTCCTCGTAAGCTGGCATCAGGGCCCATCTTCCGGGCTACCGGAGACGCACAGAACAGAAACCACCAGTACTAAAAAGGTACAAATGAAAACCGGCAAGTCACATAGTCAGACAATAAAAGGATAGCGCAGATGCTGATGTTATATAGTTCTATAACCCTTGAATAAAAACAAACAAACAAACCAGTGTATTTTAAGTGTTATTAATTAATTTTAAACAGGTTTTGGCAAATTCTGTTCATGGTTCAAAGGGTTTGGAATTAAAAAAAGGATAGTTACAACTGCAAATGTCGAGAGCTGGAAACAGTTAGACCAATTTTAGTAAAGTGTCCCTTGCTTGAAGATGAAAGAAAAGGATTGAAACAGATATTTTCAAGGATGGACATATCAACTCTCTTAAACAGTTTGATTGGCTCCCAAGAAATTGTAAGCTTTATCGATGTTTAAAGGAATTAAGAAATACAATTACAGCGTTGATGAAGACAAGTGGAGATAATTTGGGAAGGTTTGGTTTTTGACTCCCTGTTCCTCATAATCTAACATCAGAAATTATTTTCGGGGTGTTGGAAATGCAATGTTGAAATTAAAATAAAAGTTTATCATGAAAACAAAAAAAAAAAAAAAAAAAAAAAAAAAAAACATAGAAAAAAAACTAAAAGGATAGTGCAGATGCTGATATTTATATGATTCTATAACTCTTGAATAAAGACAAGCAAACAAACAAAAGAACGGATGCCTGTTTTTATTTAAGAAATTTGATAAGAGTATACACTATAACTAAACCTTTAGGAAACCTGGGCAAACTGGAGAGTAAATTCTTCAATTCAGTCCAATTTACATGTATTGTGGGTAGTATTTCTGTCAGAAGGGATTAAGAAAAACACGAGTATCTGTAAAGAGTAATGGAAATTAGCCAGGCTGGTTTGGGACCAGCAGATATGGTTTTTGTTCCTTGTAAATTGGAATCAAATCTCCGTTTTCAGTGCCACCTAAATTTCACAGTCCCGAACAATCTGTACCGAAAAGCTACACCTGAAATACAGCAAGTCCCAACATTAGGCAATAGCAAAAGGTGGCATTTATACTAATGTTAATTAACTACGTTACCCTTGAATAAAACATACAAAAAACAGACGGTATTTTTATTTAAAAACAAATAATAATTTGTTTAAATTCAATTAATTAATTGAATTGTTTACATGCTTTGAAAATAATTTATCATTGTTAAAATAACAAAGCTAGCTACAACTTCCAAAAGAAGCGCTGCTTTAACTTATATACTTAACTGAGATGATCAAATCATAACGTTAAGTTATGCTAAGTAAATCTAGTTGAACTAAACAAAATACTATAATTCGACTTTTGCTGTCAAAATCAAAAGCAGTTAAAATCACAAGCAATCAACTATGGGGGAAGTTTATAAATTTAAGCTTAAAATTTATTAAATAATATTAAATGATTAATTATTGAATTAAATATTAACAACGATAAGATGAAATAACAAAAAGAAAACGTCTAAATAAATCTATTGAAAACATGCGTTTGCCATGCCATTTGTCCAAATGTAGGAACCCAAAATCAAAACTACAGAAGCAAGTCCAACGGATACAGAAATAGTACCATATATGTATGCTCGCATAACGTTCATTCCCATGAGCTCATTTACAAAGGTCGATATAGTGCTAAGAGAGCCACAAAATCCATCCGCAAGGGCACGTACTACATCGCAGCGAACAGCACCATGAACAACACCACCAATTGGAAGCTTTTCACCTATAGGTGAAGAAGGAGAAGCTCCGCGTTGAACAAGCACAAGAGATGAAAGAACCAAGACTGCAAAAATATTGCAAATGAAAGTTCCCACTGGGAAAATAGTTGCAGGTGCAGAAAGGGAATGAGGCTCAATTTCAGAGCACTGAATATTATAGACAAAAAAGCGGTCAGAGCGAAGAAAGAAAAGAGGATTTAAAAGGCGAATGAGCCAGTATCTTAAAGTGACAGCAATAGGAGAAAAAATCAGCGCCAAAGTGTAGTACCTCCAAAGAGGAGAAAGACGGGACGAATGAAATACATGTTCGGGAACAGTTGTCGTTGCAATAGCAAGGGAAAAAGTGGCAGCAAGAAAGAGGGCTCCCATGATGGAAAAAGTATGCTGAACAATAAGAAGTTGTGAAACTGTAAGCCCAGGGAAAAATGGTTTCGAGTGACGTTTACGGAGATATGGGTTTGTGGAAGGCACGATGATTTGATTCTGATCTGTAATTTCTGGTGCCGGAGGGAAAAACGTTGCAGCTGATAAGCCATCCTGTGCAATATAAGCCAAATGTTTTCCAAAATAAAATCCAGTGAATGATACACCAGCAGTAACTACAATATAAGCCATTGCCATTGGAATCCCCCAGCCAGAATCTGGGTAAGGCATCTTTTGATTGGAAGTAATGTTGGACGCATAGGTAAAAGTCTCTAGAATGAAAGATGAAAAAGTCGTTACAGAGCCAGCATACCCTGTAGTGAACGCATTATGAAGGGGAGTATCTACCTTTTTAGGTATTTTCGCTAGTTTTTCAGAGTCATCTTTATCTGGTTCTCGCAAAAGTCGATAATTAACCACGAATCCCATAAACTGACACCCAAAAAAGTTTGAAAAAAGAACGCCAGTAAATGGCCCTTGATGCTGACATAGTAACTCTAATCCAAGACGTGTGAGAAGGCCAATCTGACCAAAAAACACAAAGTTTAAATGAAGCTCCAAAAAGTCTAAGAAGGTCTTCATATTTATTTTCTGAATGAGTAGCGAGTAGCTGGTTGGGAATGACTGAATTAATATATTATTTTTTGTTGTTGTTGACTAACGGGTCATTGAGTCACAAGGCATAATAAAAATAAACGGCACCAACACTTGATATCTTTTTCAATTGGCATTTTTAACTGTCGGGACCACAAAATGTCTAAAGAGTCTTATATTCAAATTCGATGCAATCCGGGACGTGGTGTCCAATTTTTAATAAAATAAGAGATAAAAAGAGGTCCGAAAGGCTGAAATGTGCTTTATTCGATTATATCTATTACTGGCGGCAGTGTAAAAAAAATGCCAAGACGACAGCTTAAAATTAGAGTGGTTGGCGGTTATTTTTTATGGGCGCTAAATTAGTCATCTACACTAACCCACAAAAATTCTCCAGACTTTTCCATGCCCAAAATCTCGCCATTTTCTTACCCACCGCACAATTTTCAAGATTTTTTCTTTCTCTGAAACAACCTTTCTCTCTTAATCTTTGACCATTCGACCAAAAAACACTTTTTTTTCTTATTATTCATTCTCAATTATTTTATTTTTTTTTTTCAAAATGGCTGATCACGCTGCTTTCACTCGAACTGAAGATCCCTCTAAGGAAGAGGCCGTCATCTGTATGTATTGAACGGTATTGCAAACAAACGTCAGACTATCAAGAGCTAACATCTTTCATATAGTTGCACCCAAAACTCACCAATACTCTAAGTTTTCTCTTGACAAAACTGATTTAGCTAAGGAGCCCTCGGACCAATTTCTCAAATGGTTTAAGGAAGCTCAAGAAACCCCCACTATTCCTATTCCCGAAGCTGTGACTCTGTCTACAGCCCGTCTGCCGTCTGGCCGCGTTTCTTCTCGTGTAGTTCTCTTTAAGGAGCTTGATAAAGACGGTTCACTTGTTATTTACTCCAATTGGGACACCTCCAAAAAGAACTCTGATATCCGTTCTAATCCCCATGCTGCAATTAACTTTTTCTGGCCTCAGCTTGAACGTCAGGTCCGTGTCGAAGGTCCTACCGAATTTTTAACCAACGAAGAATCCCAAATTTACTTCAACACTCGACCAAAGGATTCTCGAATTGGTGCTTGGGCGTCTCCTCAATCTGTTCGTGTTGCTGACAGACAGAACCTCGAGGACCGTGTCAAAGAACAACAGGAACGTTTTAAAGATGTTGATATTGTCCCGTGCCCACCAAAGTGGGGAGGTCTTCGCATCAAGCCTGTTGAGTGGGAATTTTGGCAGGGCAGACCTAACCGTGTCCACGATAGATACTCCTACACCCGTGAGACTCCTGAAGATTCTACCTGGGAAGTTAATAGACTGGGACCTTAAACATTATCAATTAAATTATTTATTAAAAGAAAACCTCATGTAACTTTTTATGTTCATAAAATTACTAGACTTTTTTCGGTAGCCTCGTCAAACAGCTTCAACACATGTGTCACTTGGCTACGTAGCCCACGACCCCACTCGGCAGAAAGGCCTTGCTCAAATTCTCGCAACCCCTTCTGCACATTCTCTTTCTCACTAGCGCTGAACTTGTGTAGAGCAATATTGCGCTGCTTCGTCATTACAATTCCTAAAACAAGAAATTGGTACCCGCGGCAATGGAACCCATGGCTAGTGTTACCAACTCCGCTACCTCTTTGCAACCCTTCTTCAGGCTCGGACTGCAAAGACGATTGACGAGTCATTTGGTCAAACGCCAGCTCCATAAGTATCTTGAGAATGGAAAGTGTCTCGGAATTCGTTAACAGATAGCTAGTAACAGCGCTGCTTTCGCACAAGTTAACTAGCAACCCCCAAGCAAATAGCTCCATGTTTTTGTCGAGCATTGCGCGCGAGTGATGCTCCTTTTCCGATTTCTTGTTTTTCCGAAACTCAATAAATGAACTTAAAAAGTCAAGGATTTTGGCTGCTAACTTCATGTCATATACACGACTAAAAAACCGGCCCCGCCGCGAATGTGGATCTGCCATAATCTGGCTAAAATCAACGTTACTAGTGACTAAAATGAGAATTTTTAACCACTCGATCGTTAATCCTTTGATGGAATGAAGCACGTAAACATTGCATTCTTCGTATTTGTCTTTGTTTTTCCAAACTGTACACAAATGGTCCATAAACTCTGGAAGACGGAACAAAAACTTAGAGTCAGACTCAAAAAGGATGAGCATATCTTCAAAGGCATTTTGCGACAGATACTCTATTTGAACAGAAATCATATTCAGCAAATAAAGCTGAGAAAGGTACCCCTGAACCATTTCCATCTTTTCAGTGTCATTTTTAGCCTGCTCTTCAGAAATCTTCCACTCTTCATGTTTTGCTACCGGTAGCAATTCTTCTTCAAGTGTTTCTCCCAAAGAAAGCAATCGAGGGATTAATTTCTTTTGCAAGAGCTGAGTAATTAAATATATCTCAACACGTTCATCTTGTTTCTCTAAAGCACTTAATGCTGTAAGCGCTACCAAAGACCGTGATAACACAAGCGTTTTTCCATCATCGGCAAACACAGTATAGAATTTGGTCAATGTTTCGCGAAACAGTTGCTGAAAAATGCGCGACGCTCCAATCTGGCGACGGAAAACAACACGCGAAATATCATCAGTGTCATCAACCATATCCATCAACACGTCAATAATGCCATATGATTGAACTAAAGCTGCTGCTAGACCTGCATGGGTGGCGTCTCCAGAAACAAGCGTACAAACAAGAAACCCAACCAAAAAAGTCGAAATAACGTCTTTTTCTTCTCGAACTTCAGTGAACAATTCTCCAGGAATGCTTGACGCTCTAAACTCTTGCGCAAACTCTGGATCTATACACTTTTCAGCAAGTTCCAGCAAGCTGCTTCTTCGACCAGAAACACCATTGCCTAAGCCATCTAAAATATATTGAACTTCGTCTGTGAACTTGGTGTTTCCTCCGATTGCTCGTAGCTCATATACAGTTTTGAGATTTCCACCAAAATCATCGTTGTTGTCATCATTTTCCTCTTCGTTAGAAGAATTTTCATCGTTATTGTAAGCCAGTTGATCTATCAAACCAAGTTCATCATTGTCATTGTTTCCAGTTGTGGAATCAGCGAGATAACTTCTTTCAGATCCGTATCGTCGTGATCCACTATAAGTGGCACGGACAGTAGACCACTGTTTTCTAGAAATAGAAAGCCTATTTATTGGTGTCAACAATCCGGAATCATGAGTAGTGGAACTATCATCAGTATTTTCTTTAACTTCGTCAGTCTGAGTCTCGCTGGTGAAGTCGTAAGAGATGGTCGATGTATTTTTGATGATGCTAGTATTTTGTTGCTCGGTTTCAGATTCAGAGTCACTATTATAATTAAGAGAGCTAAGTTGCGCAAATTTTTGCTTTTTATTCTTTTGTGGAGGTGATAGCTGAACTGAATCTAAGAAACTCCAAGCTTGTTGCTCGATTGAAGACAATTTCTTTGTGGCAGGTACAGACTCTTTTGCAATAATAGAAGTTCTTGTCGGTGATATTAATGAAGTTGGCTGAGAAGGTGTTCTAATTTTTTTGACAGTGAGCATTCGCCTTGGACTGTTATCATTAGAATTGAGTGATACAGACTCAATAGAACTATTTGATATTAATGAAGCTGAGCGCTTTCTGTAAATGGCTGGGTCTGAAGAAGAAGGAGACGCACGAATTACAGGTTTGCTGGCAATTATTTTAATATCAGGTTCCGAATTGAAAGTACTTTGTGAAGATATTCTTAGGGAACGCCTTCGATTTTCAATTTGCGTAGATTGCTTTGGAGGTGATTCAAAAGACCGCAATGGAGAGGATTTGACGGGTTTTGTAGTATTCTTAGGATGCTGGAATTGAGAAGAAGGTTTTGTTAATTTCGTCACAGGTAATGATATCCTCGTTGGCGTAGTGATTGGTGTGGGATCTGAAGATTTCTTTTGTGGAATTTTAAGAACCACAATTTTACTCAAAACTGGTTTGCTAGTTTCAGGAGATATTGTAGGTGATTTTTTTATATCTTTTAAGTCTGTCGCCACAGGCGATAAACTGTGTCTTTTCGAAGCTGATCTCTGCTGAGCTTTTGCACGACGTTCCAAAGCCTTTTGCATGTTGGTCTTTTTTTGTACTGGAAGGGCTGGTCTAGATTCCAGAAGTGTAAATATATCTTCTTCCTCTTTGTTTTGCTTTGGAGGGTCTGGTAAAGCAAAAATATCTTCTTCTTCCTTGCTTTTATTTGGCAGATCCGATGGAGTAAAAATGTCATTATCCTTGGTTGTAGAAGCTGACTCTTCGTCATCCGTTTTTGAGCTGATTAATTTCTGCGTTTCCGAAATAGAATCTACCTCTGTAATAGGTTGAGACGATTCGTCATCTTCAGTTATTAATTTTCGAAATGCTGATGGTTGTTCCGTGCCTGCACAGGATGCAGCATCTTGTTTTGACGTTTCTTGGCTTTCTGGCTCTGTTGATGGAGATTTTAATGGCGTTGGACTATGCCTACTGGAAAGACCCGGACTATTCAGACGGCTCCCATCACCAGTTTGTAATCGTCGCTTAGAATAAGTAGGTCTTGAAGTTGATGGGGTGTTGAATACGCTAAATGAGCTGGTTTGAAACGGGCTGGGGGGTTTTAGAACTGTTGACTGCGATGTGCTGGAGTAATAACTTTGCGGTGAAAATAAAGATGGTGATGATGACTTAGATTGTAGGTATGCCGGGTCAAAAGAAGATCCCACACGGGTTTTGTTAACGCTTTTGCGTCCGTAAACTGCTCTTCCTGGTGTAGAGCTCATGAGTTTTTGAAGGTATTACTGGTTGTTTTAAATTAATATAAATCAATACTGTGGTTTTAGCGCGTCGCGTAGTGGTAAATGTAAATATATATACTAGCCCACTGGAAGTGCTTTATTTTAATAAAAATAATCGATCCATTCAGTGTGTATTTATATCGATTCTCCTATTTAAAACAACTGTCCTTTTTTTTTTGTGCTTATTGAAATGGTGTTTGATATTTGCAAATTTTTATCCCAATAAATGTTGCGTGTTTGAGTGTAAGTGTGTGTGTAAAGAAAAATAAATTAGCTGGAGCTGCAAAAAAAAAAAAAAAAAAGAAACAGGTCCCAGCACTATCTCCGATTACTAATACGGCATTTTCGGCTGACTTAGCAACTCACGGCTCACTACTACAATTTAGTATTTTTCGATTAAGTTAAACGTGGGATAGCTGTTAGAACCATTATGAGTGCGTGTATAAAAAAAAAAGTAAATGATTATTATATATGCTATTTCTTTGGGACATAACTAAACTGTGAAAACTTATTTGAGATGCTAGATAAAGAGTCTAAAGATGGAGTAGGTGAAGACTCTTTGTCAACATCAATGACCATACAAGAGGCTGTCCCAGTAGTTGTAAATAATGCACGAGAAGTTGTAGTCGTTACTCTGATTTTTTTCGTAGGTGTTCCCCGAGTAGGACTTTGTAGGTGTGAGCAATTGCTTGTATCCTTACGTGTCAAACTTACATTATGGCTGACACGCATGTGCTTTGGAGTCTCAACATCAGAAGAACCAGAGTCCGAGTCTGGATCAATCAGTTCACGGGGATCCGCTACTTTAAAAGTCTTAGGTTTTGTGCTCTGAGGTGTCTCATAGGATGAAGTTGAAACCCCCATTTGTACATTTGAACGAATAGCACTGGATCTCCGAGTGACTGTCGATGTAGATGATGCTGTTGAATATGCAAATTTTTGGAGATCTGCCACCTTTTCTCGTTGAGAGGTTGTAAGAGCAGTGATTTTGTTGTCTTCTTTTTTTTCAAAAATAATTTTAGAAGAACGAGACCAAATGTTTAAATTTTTTTTAGTTGTAGATGAAGATGAAGATGTGGGTGTATAGAAAATTGGTTTTTGTGATGGTGCAGTGTAAGTATCAAAGTCGTCATCGGAATCTGAATCAGATGGGAATTTAAAAGAGTCATCCAAAGTTGTTGATCTCGATGTGACAGAAGAAATAAAATTGCTAACAAATTTGTCTTCTTGAACTTTTGGTTCCGAAGAATCTTCTACCGTTTTTGATCTCGATGGAACAGAAGAAAAAAACTTGCTGACAGCTTGACTTTTTTGAATTATTGACTCGGTTTTCTCTTCAGTATTACCTAAAGTCGTCTCAAATGCAGTTGATGATATAGGATCAGTAATAGTTGCTTGGGAAGATGCAGATGATGCAATGCTATTTTTATCTGCTGGACCCATAAACCTGTCAATTCTTCTTCGAACTAATGATTTTTGAACTGTTTCTGGTGTTTTTGAAGGTTGAGTGGTTTCATTGTTATTACTACGAACTGCTGGTCGACTACTGATTTTAGGTGTATATGAAGTTGATGCATGTTTGGCTAGATTTACTTTATTTTGTTTCAATGGTGTAAAAAATTCAGTAATTTTAGTATTATTGGATGCAGTTGTTGGTATGGAGACCCTATTATTAGTTGCTGGTATAGCCCAAGAAGTAGTGGTAGTGGTAGTGGTAGTGGTAGAAGAATTTAAAGAAGCAAGCTTTGGGGTCTTATGCAATATAGATTGTTTAATGGACTTTTTGGTGAAGGGATTTAAATTACCGGATGCCACACCTTGACATATTTCATCTTCAACCATTTGACCAACATATATTTCGGCTTCAGGACTTAGTTTCATAGGCGGGTCGTTTAAATGAACAAGTTTTTTTTCAGAAATTGAATATACTCGTTGGTATTGAAATGTAGTATCTCCCTGCTCAAACTCTTTTTCAAAGTTTGCCGGTATGTCATATCCATCGCATCTCAAGCATCTCAAAGCTCTTTCTGCTGTTGTGTATTTTCGAATATAATAATGGGCCTTTTTCAATCCTATTTGAGGGATACCGTTTGAATAATCACAGCCAGAAAATAGAGCCATGGCACGAAACTGGGAATCTGTAAGGTCAGCAAGAACCAATTCTTTGCAATTTTTAAAGTTTTTACGCTCAACCGAAACACACTTTCCTTGCTCATCCATTTTAGTTAGCAAAACGCGTGCGCCAAAAACAAGTAAATCTGAGTCTTCAGAGATAATTGCTGAAATGATGCCTATTTTTTCTAAATAGACTAGTTGAGCATCAGCCTCGTAAGGAGCCACAACATATTGAATGCTTTCTCGCCTTAAAATCTCAATGACTTGCGCCACAATCTCTGGGGTAATGTCGACCGCTTTTTGAAAGAATTTTTCTGCTTCTTGAGACTGTCCACGTCTAAGCAAAATAATGCCTTGTTCCAAACATTCAGCTCGAGAACTATTACAAATAGGTTAAATCTAAATTGTTTTCATTTTCAAAAAAAAAAAAAATGAAAATAAAGAAATCACTAACCTTTCACGAGACTTTTCTATTCTACCTTTAGTTGGCAAATAATCGCCATCAAATACTACAAACGGTGTTACTCCATTTATAATTAGTGTTCTTAAGCGACGAATAAAAAAATCTATGTGTCTATTTTTTTTTGTCAGTAAATTTTTTAAAAAAAAAATTCGAATTATAAATACCGTGTTGTATATTTGCCTGTAGCTAAGTCTCGCGCACATGAAATGGCACCGCGATGGAGCCATGCATAACCATCTATACCAACTGTTTTCCCCTTGTATTGGCTAATATTAGTTTCAAGACTTGCTGATTTAAGGATGCCCAAAAGACCTAAAGATATTAGTATTTGTCTTTACATATCAAAAACCTGTTTCTTTCTTACCTTGAACACCCATAGTTGCTATTTGGGCAGACCGATCAAATTAAAGTAAAAAGAGCAAAAAAGTAAACAAAAGTGATGGCCGTGCCACCGTTTGCTATTTCTAGTTACCCGGCCTTAAATAATTTCACTTGTAATTTCATTGCTGTAATAACACATCATATCACCACTGGAAAATAATATCCAAAAGGACAACACGCACAAAAATTTCAAAATAAGCCTCTGGTTGATCTCAGGAACACACACGCTCACTGTATATCGCCATCCCTTGACACTCCACCAAACTTTTTTTTTTTAAATATATTTTTTATTTCACTCTTTATAAACCATTTACCCCCTTTCTTGTTCTTTTGCTTGAAAAGCTGTGATATTAGAGAAAATGGAGGGATATCCTTCTAATCCACAAACTCCAGACCCTGTCTCAGGGCTTACTCAGGGTATCGATACTCTTAACGTGTCAGAGCCCCGCTATGCTGGCAGACATAAACGACCTGCTCGTGTTTACCACAATATCAATTCTCAACCCGAAGCTCCAGCTTATGGTGCTGGAATCAGGCCAGTAGGCTCGCCTTTCCAGGCTGACCCTAATGCTGCTGCTTCCATACTTCCCCAACCCCAACAGCCCGGTTTTCAACAACCCCAATCATCGCCAGCAGGTTTCATTCAACCCCAATATTCTCAATTTGGTCAACCCCAACAGCAGCAGCAGCAGCCTGTTGGATTTCAGTCATCTTTTCAACAAGCTTCTCAGCCTGCTGGTTTCCCTACAGGTCCTCAGCCGGGTTCTGGGCTGTCTTCTAGAAATTTAAATCAGACTGGTGCTCAGGGCCAGGGGCAAGTTTATTATACTGGTGCTGATGGTATTCCCAAAATGAACACCGAAAGAGCATCTGCTAGTCAAAAACTTCCACCTGATCATTTGTTCAAGACTTTTGAAAATGCCTGCCCTCCTGCGGCTGGTACCGATTACAATGTTGCTGATCAGGGTCTTTCAGGTCCTCAGTATACTCGACTCACAATGTATAATGTTCCCACCACAGAAGCTCTTAGATCTAGTCTCAAGCTTCCATTAGGTCTTATTCTTCGTCCATTTGCTCCATTTTCCAACAAAGAGTATGAAAAGGGAGGTGTTACGGTTGCCGACTTTAGTCAAGACATTCCTCCCCCCAGATGTACACGATGCAGAACTTACATGAACCCCTCAATGATGTTTGACCAGGGTGGTACCAGCTTTATTTGCAATATGTGTCAATTTTCTAACCCTGTTTCTGCGGAATACTTTCAACCTGTCGATCCTTCAGGAAGACGCATCGATTGGCATCAGCGCCCTGAATTAGCTTTTGGTACTTATGATATTGCTGTTCCCAAGGAATACTGGAAAGACCAAAAAGTTGAGCCCAGTCCATTGAACTATTTCTTTATGATTGATGTCAGCCAGGAAGCAATTCAAAAGGGCCTGCATCTTTCAGCAGTCAAGGCAATTAAAAATGCGCTTTATGGCTCTGGGATTAATATAGGTGAAGAGGCACAGGCTGCTATTCAACGATTTTCTGAAAAGGATGAGGCTGGTAATCCTATGCCTTCATCTTCCGTGCCTTTGAAATTTCCCAAGGGTGCAAGAATTGGTATTGCTACATTTGACCGAACCGTTCATTTTTACAACATCAATGAAAATCTAGAGCAACCTCAAGCTTATTTCATGAGCGATCTTGCTGATCCATTTGTTCCTATTGAGAATGGACTTTTTGTTGACCCCGAAAAGTCTCGTGCTGTTATCGAGTCTCTGTTTGATTTAATTAGTGGTATGTTTAGCAATAACTCTCTTACTGAACCAGTTTTTGGTGTTGCTCTTGAAGCTGCTTACCAAGCACTTGAAAAGACTGGTGGTAAAGTTTCTGTTATTCTTGGCTCTTTGCCATCATATGGGCCCGGTGCTATTGCAGTCAGAAGTGTTGGTGCCGAATATCAAGGAGAAAGAGAAAAGGAACTTTTCATTCCCGACAATAAATACCACAAGGAAATGGGCAAGAAGTTTGCTCTTGCTGGCATTGGCCTTGATTTGTTCATTTTCCCTACGGCTTTGATTGAGCTGTCTAATGTTGGTATTGTCAGTCAATTGTCTGGTGGACATGAGTATTACTATCCGCGTTACGTCATTGAGCGCGATGAAAACCAGTTTGTTTCAGAATTTACGCGGAGCGTTCAGAATGAAATTGGTACGCAAGTCAGCTTAAAAATTAGATGTTCAACTGGTTTGCAAGTTTCAGCATACTTTGGCAACTTTTTCCATGAGGACTGGGACCAAGACCCTACCATGGGTACTGTTGACTCTAGGTCGACATTTGGAGCCATGTTCAAATATGATGGCAAGCTTGATCCCAAACTTGATGTCCACTTTCAAAGTGCTTTACTCTACACATCAAGCGACGGTCAAAAACGTGTGAGAATTAATAACGTGATTGCCAGTGTGACCTCAGATTACAATGCTGCAGTTAACTTTATCGATGCTGATGCATGCATGGGCATCATGGCTCGTGAAAATCTTTCGCGTATGGGCGAGTTTACACTTAAGGAACTGAGAATGAGACTCAACGACCGCTTGATTGACATTTTCTCGGCATACCGACAAAAGGTTGCTTCAAATCTGCCTGCATCGCAGCTTCTCATGCCTATGTCGATGCGGACCATAATACCATATATTTTGAGTTTACAAAAGTCACGACCGTTCCGAGACCAGAAGTTGACCCCAGATTTGCGTGTTCATGCCGCACGGATTATGAACGACATGTCTGTAGACGAGCTTTCTGTGTTTTTGTACCCACGAATAATGGGGTTGCATAACTTGCAAGAAAATGATTCCACTTATGCTGAAGATGGCCAGTTTATTTATCCTACAAATGTTTCCAATACGACTGAAAATATCGATGCAGGTGGAGTTTATGTTGTTTTCAATGGTGTGAGCGTTTTGCTTTGGATCCACAGACAAGTTTCACCTGCGCTGCTCACCGACTTGTTTGGCGAGGAGGTTACATCGCTTGAAACATTGAATCCAAGTCTCAACACTCTGCCAGAGATTGACACCGATGTGTCTATCAAGGCACGGAGGTTGATCAAATACTTGGCGAACCGGTCTGGGCTTGAGTTTTTGGGTATTCAAATTGCTCGCCAGGGCCACGATGGTAGTGATTATGAGCTTCCATTTTCTCTTGTTGAAGATCCTGGCACGGAAACTTATAGATACCGTGACTATGTTGCCTTTATTCATGGCCGGGTCAAGTCCAAGTTGGAGAACAACAATGAGAAGTCTACTATGAGCTACTTGTCTGGTCATTTCCCATTTTCTAGCGGAATTTAATTAAGTAATTGGTACACGAAGGTGGGGGAAAAAAAAAAAAGAAATATGGGAAGTATCATTAAAGAAGAAGGAAAAAGGAATGGAATTTTAAAAAGGTGTATGTAATAAAATGTTATCTAGGAACTGATTTAATATCAAGTTGTGTATGTGTTTTTTTTTTATTAAAAACAATAAAATTTTAGATTATTGATACTTCTATATATATGAAAGATATGGGGAGGGCGGGGCTTAAAATGGGGGTATTCTAGTTTCTAAATCTTGAACAAGTTCAGAAAGCTTATCGGTTTTCACCAAGATGAGGTGGCCTTGTGGGAAAATACCATAATCGTAAAAGGCACGTTTTGAGTCGGAAGCTTGTGGTTCTTTTGAGTATTTAAAAGAGTGGAAGTAAAGAGCGTGATCCTGTGTAACTTCGTCCTCTGGGTGAAAGAAATAGGATTCCTTTTTGGTATCTGGGCTTCGTTTTGATTTTTTAGTTGAGATACGTTCCTCCTTGTCAAGCTGAGACTCTTCTTCTTGGAAGGTTTTTGAAAGAATAAGCAGGTAGTCAAAAGTTTTTTCTGAATCAGCTTCAAGTTCTTGTTGAAGCATTTTGTACATTGGTGGGACAACCTCTGTGGGCATGTTGATAAGTCGTTCACTGAAGACAAGTCCGACTTTATCTTGAGAAGCTTGAGACACAATCTGTCTAATTTTGCGGTTGAACTTTGGGTAGTCTTGAGTTTTGGCAATAAAGTAATCAATAAGAGCATGCTTAGCAGTGGCACATTTTGTTGGTTCACCTTTAAGGTCGATTGCAGTTAAAATTGCAAGAGGATCAGAGTCTTCGCCATCGGTTTTGATGGTGGACCCTAGTGAGGTTTGTGAAATGATGAGATCAGAAAGTGAAGAAAGGTCAAACTGGATACTATCAGGTCCTAGTAGCTGTCTCAAAAGGTTTTTAGTAGAATGAAAGTCAATTTCTTTAAAGTTGAAATAGTCAAAGTCGACATTGACAATTTCATCATCGTCATCGTCCTCGTCCTCTTCATTTTCATTTTCAGAAACGTTTTCAGGTTTTGTATTGTTTTCCTGAATAAAAGTAGAAGATGTTAGCGATGTATCATGTAGATGGTTAACCAAACTTACTATGGAGTCAGCTGGCTGTTCCGAATCAAGTTTTCGCTTTTTATCATTTTTGATTGTGACAACCATTTTTTTTTTTTTTTGTTTTTCCGATTAAATGAAAAATATGGTGCTGAATCTGGGGTGATATTTAGGTCTTTAAAAAAAAAAAAAAAAAAAAAAAAAAAAAGTTTGATGGAAAGCTATATGATAATGAAGATTTCCCAAAAAAAAAAAAAAAAAAATTTTTTTTTTACTAAAGTGTGACATTATAAATATACATATGCGAAATAGTTACCATAAAAAAAACTATGTTATTTTAAGTAGACAAAAAAAAAAGTATTTCCGGGTAACTAGGAGTATATATATATATATATATATATATATATAGTTATAATTAGTTAACGACGTAACGTTAAAGCAACACGCACGTGACTATTTAAGGGGGTTGCCTTCTCGACGTTTTGTTTACATGGCTTACATAATATTGTCACAGATGCGTAACAAGGACTTATCATTTTAATGGGGCTGCATAGGGAGAAACAGGGCATATAACTTACGTAAGTTGTTTATAATACTATATATATATATATATATATATATAAAAATAATACCACCACTTACCCCCTTAAAACAGTTGCTTCTTTCAACAACAACAACAACAACAACAAAACCCGCTTATTTTATTTTATTTTATTTTTTTTTTTTTTGAAATCTCCACATCAGTCTTTATAACTACCAACAATGACCTTTATGAAGAAGTGTTTCAGATTGATGTTTTAATTTTGTTTGTTTGTTTTTTTTTTTTGTTTATATTAAAAAAAAAAAAAATCTCTTGAAATCTTTTCAAATTCAAATTCAAATTTATTTATTTTTTCTTTCTCTTTTATTCTTTATATATTTAATCTTTTTTTTTTTTTCTAACGAATTTCTGATACGATTACAACGATTTCAAAACTCATCATGTCAACACTCCTACTTCAGAATCAAAACAATAATAATAATAATAATAACCCGGCAGCTGCTCAAGCGTCGTCATCAGCTTCCTGTGACACATCTTCCGGCATACAAATGAATACAACTACATCAACAACCTCAACTTGCTCATCTTTAGACGACTCTTCAGCTTCTTCAGATGACCGCGAACTTTTGGACTCTGACCCTTACCTCTCATCCTCACCATCCATCCACGAAGAAGAAATTGACTTCCAATACGTCTATGCTCTTCGAACGTTTGTCCCCACTGAGCGTGGTCAAGCTCATGCCATTAAAGGCGATGTTATGATTCTCATCAATGATTCTAACTCGTACTGGTGGCTTGTTCGACTTGTAAAGGATTCTTCGGTTGGGTTTCTTCCAGCTGAAAATATTGAAACTCCATCAGAACGTCTTGCACGTCTCAACAAGCACCGCAACTGTGAATACACAAACTACCCGCCACCAACTATGCCTATATCAGGAAGCAATCCAGAGACTGCCTCTATCGCGTCCATCTCATCGGCAAACTCTCAACCATCACCATCTTCTTCCCCACTTTCTTTTTTCCACCACCACAAAAACAAAAAACTTGCTTCAGGGTCGCCGCTAGCGTTACAGCCTCTTTCCAAAGAAGGTAAAAAATCAGTGACTTTTACACCCACGTTGACTTACGTTTCAGCTTCAGAGTATGAGTACTCAGACGCGGACGAGGCTGATATTGAAGATATGGACGACTCTTCCGATGACGATGATGATGAAGTACACCAACCTAATAATAGCACAGGCGTTTCATCGTTATTGCTCACAAGCACACAAAACTCTAATGACATTAACGTTCGAAGCGATATTAATAGAAACAGTTTGGTTCATAATGCCGATGACCACAGTGATGACCATTCTGATGATGACAATGACGACGATGACGATGATGATGATGATGATGATGATGATGATGACTTTGAGTTGGACCGTCGTGCTTTAAACACCTCGGCTGACCACCACATCAAGTCAAAGGTTTTGTACCATCACAGTGCCAGTGCAGATTCTAATAGCAGTCTGGAGTTTAGTGAGGGTGACAATAATAATACTAATACTAATAATAATACTAAACCTACTCAGCCCCCAAATGCATTTAATGTTGATCCTCTAGAGATTCGCAAGCCGCGGTCCAACCCCAATCTCCGCGAAGCAGCACAAATCCAACAGAAGCAACAGCAACAGCAAGAACAAGATCAAGAACAACTTTCTCAACAACAATTTAGCACTAACAGTGACGAAGAAGATGAAGAAACACGACGGAATATCTTGGTTCAATCCAAAAACCAAGAATATAACCGCGGTAGCGTCATTATTCATAAACGCACATCTATTGACCATGAAACTCACCAAGAACAAGAACAAGAAGAAAAGAATGAAAAGAATGGTGATAATGATGACGAAGACGACGATAATAACACTCAAACTTCGATTTTCAAGACCTTAGCTGGAGTTTCTCGCAAGTCTAGCGAGGCTAACCATGATAAGACTAATGAAAAGTCTAATGAGCGATCTAATAGTACTGGTGGGCTCTTTTCAAGACTGTCGCGTGGTAGAAACCGCCGTCACTCTACAGCAGCTCAAACTTCTCATGTGGCTGCTGAGGAAGCTCAAGCAACTGAGGCTAATAGACAAAGCGTATTTGTGGACTCTACAGCAGCAACTGCAGCAGCAGCAGCAGCAGCGACTGCAGCAGCAGTAGCGACTGCAGCAGCGGCAACATTAACAACAGAGAATACAGCAGCCACTACATCTTCTGAGCAAACAGTACACAGTGCAGAAAGTCAAATTGATGCAGCAGCAGGCGCGGGATATCCAGGCAAGGCGGGTCGGCGCCGATCATTGCTCAAGACCAAGTCGTCTACCGAACACCTCAAGAAAACGCCCAACTCGGGAGGTCTTGAAGGAATTGCAAGTTCTGTGCATTCCAATATTTCTGGGCTTTTCAAACGAAGTAGAAAAAATTCACTTTCCAACAAAAATTCTTCTGCTTCTCTTTCTGCTGGTGGTGTGTCTTCTACAACTAACATGTCTTCTACAACGCCTATACAACAACAACAACAACAACAACAACAACAACAACAACAACAACAACAACAACAACAACAACAACAACAACAACAACAACAACAACAACAGGCGGCTCCGGCAAAAGAATCGTCATCATCTATTTCTGCTCCAGCAGTTGCAGCTTCTTCATTGACAGAGACTTCTACTGTCAAAGGTCCGACTGGAGCAGTTGTATCTGTTCCTCCTCCCCCATCCGCATCAGGTCGCATTTCATTGGCACCACCACCTCCACGCGTCTCTCAATCTTTATCTTCGCCAAACTCGTCTCCTCATTCTTCTTCACCGTCACTCGCTTCGAGCACTTCTACAGCAGTTCCACAGTCATCTTCATCTTCCTCTCCTAAGCCGGCTGAAATCCAAGCCGTTATTGAGGAGAGTGATGCAACTAAACACCCCCCTGAAATGACTATTCCGTCTCAAAATGAAATGCGACGCGTGCAACAACGACGGTCGAGTTTCAATCCTTTCCGTAATTCGGGGGTTTTAGATTCTCAGACCCCCCCTGGCGCGTCTTCTACTTCATCTTTTAATGACACCATAAATACTGCCCCCCTTAATATTGGCAGTCACAGCAATAATTCTGGTACTCATATGGGCCCCCATTCTATCTCCATGGGTAACCCAGGAGGTACACTAAAGATGTCATCACCCGTATCCAACTTGGCTTCACTCAAGTCTGGGTCTGCCATGTCGCTATCATCAGGTGATGATCGTGATACGGAAACTGAGCTAGAAACTGGTCGTTCTGGGTCTGCGGCAACCACCATGTCGACAATGTCGACTGCACCTTCTTCTCCATCATTTGTTGAGGACACTAACAGTGAGGAAAATAAGGGTTCAGTAACAGCTCCTTATGAAAAGATACAGCAACAACAAGAGCAACATTCACATCAGCAACAGCAAAGGGGTCAGGGGCATCCGTTGGCGACCCCTACTCCTAGTATGGACGGGATGTCAACTCCGACACATTCCACTGCAGGCAGTGGTTGCATGAAGCCTGTGCTGTTGCAAATGGCTAATTCTTCGGTAGCTTCCATAGCCCCACCACCACCACCACCACCCGGACAACATGACCAACAACATATTGATTCATCACTTGTACCACCTCCTCCGCGTGGGTTCCAAAACATGTCTACACCTCCGGCGACGCCACCAATCGAGCCTGGCAAGCTTGCATCAGTGGAACCCCTGAGGATTATGGGCGGTTCTTTAGTGGGTCTTTCGATGGGTCCTAAGGGAACAATGACATCATCTTCAACCCCCGCATTTTCTTCGACGACCATGACTTCAGTTTACAGTCCGGCAAAGGTTCCACTTGCTGCAAATATTTATGGAGAGAATAAAGAGAATAAAGAGAATGAAGAGAATGAAGAGAATGAAGAGAATGAAGAGAATGCGAATAATGACAATAACAACAATAAAATGCTTGGACGCAGTGCGCTCAGCTCTAATGGAGCTGAAGGAAATGACTCTGCAAGAGCAAACATTGGGGGTAGAGATTACAAGACAAATGACGGCAGCCATGGTAAACAACAAGCAAATGGTTTGCTGCACCCTGATATTGAACCTATTTTTCAGGAGACGTCTGCTCGACTTGATAGAATTAGCGCAAGGCTAGATTTGTTGCTTGCAAAGTATACATAATTTTTTTTCAAAAAAAAAAAAAAAAAGATCAATGATGGTATAATATTAATTAAGAATGCATGTATTTTTATATACAAAGAGGTTAAGGATATCTATATTATTTATATATAATATAATAATATAATGATTATAATTATTTAAATCAAAACAATGTAAACAATGAAAGAACGATAAAACATCAAACTGGAATTGGAATTAGAATTTTTTTTGTTTGTTTGTTTGTTTGTTTGTTTTTTCATAACTACATTTATTTTTAAAACAAACAAAGAAGAACAAAAACGTTGGTAACTGAAAGGTATTCCATATAAGCGACCAGTGAAATCTTGATTTGGGATGAAACTTCTTAGGAAAGAAAAAAAAAAAAAAAAATCTCAGCCTTGCCCGGCTTGGTTAGATTCAGGAACCCTTCAGGGCGCATGAGTTCGATAGAAATTGAAGTATTTGTGGGGGGAGGGAATTTTTTTTTGTATGGTGTTAGTACTTACAAAAAACACAAGAAGGAGAAAAGCAATTAAGTTACTAGTGAAACCAAATAAATAGTTACCATTGATAAGCTTTAACATACCAATGATAAGATAGTTAAGTTACTCAATTAGTTTTAATTACAAAGTTATGTAACATTATATTACATAATAATTAGATAATTTACACGTGCATTACATGTGGCTGCTGCCCACTCTCATAAAAATTTTCGTGCTGTGATGTTTATGTGGTGGGTGCGTGGACACAAAAGCAGTCTACACACACACGCACTCACTCACATACATACATACATTCATATATACAGGCAGCAAAAATTTTCTCTCTCCTAAACAACAAAACAACAACAACAAAAAAAAAAAAAAAAATTTACTTGGTGGGTCAGCCAGCCAAAATTTATATATACACCAAACTGCTACTACCACTATTATACCAGCACCAGCACCAGCACCAGCACCAGCACACACACATATATATATATATACACACACTCACACACACAGCTAAACAGATTTACATACAAACATCCGGTTATACACACATTCTGTTGAGAGAGAGAGAGAGTGTGAAGCACATACACCACGATTCAATATAGGCTCATATATTTATACATATACTATAGTATATATATTTATTCATATCGGTAAACTATTGGACTGGAAAAAAACAACATCCAATCTCTAGTGCCTTTACTTGGACTATCAAATATCTCCCATTGCTGTTGCCTTGAGTTACACCCTTGAGACAGAGATATATTCATCAAGTCTTTTAACAATCCTTAGCTTGTTCTATCCAGATCAAAGGAACAGAGGTCTCATCTTCCACCACAACTTTTGAGCAGCCTCTACAAGTAATTTCTTTGGATTAGTTGGAACTAGTTTGACTTAATCGCCAATTTTTATATCTTAACTTTCGTTAAAGTCTAGACTGTTTTTTTTTTTTTTTTTTTTTTTTTTTTTTTTTTTTGTACTACAATGTCATCTTGGACCCCAGAACTCCAATCTCTTCAAGAGTTGGGTCTCATCTTTGGAAAGTCCCTATCATCAAACAATGCCGACCAACAAGAAGCCATCAAGGTTAGTATTCAAATTCTTTGTTCTAACTTTCTCAAAGTAATCTTTGACTAACTTTTCACTTTTTCATTTATCTATTTCTTTCTTTCTTTCTTTCTTTTTCTCATTCTAGGCACTCAAACAAGTTGAAACGCTTCCTGAACTCAATAGATACTTGGTCTACATGCTAATACAGCGTGATGCCGGGTTCCCCACTCAGGTGCGCACTGTGGCTGGTGTCAAGCTCAAGAATAACATTTTACAGAACCTGACTTTACTCGATGGCCAGACTGTTGCTTACATCAAGTCTCAAATTGTAAATGGCTTGTCAGACCCAGAACAACTTGTGCGCAACGTCACTGGCAATGTCATCACTTCACTTGTCACCCAGCTTCATATTGACGGATGGCCTGAAATTCTCCCGGAACTCATGTCTCTTGTGGAATCTTCCAACGAGACTATTGTCCAGGAAAGTTCCCTGTCTGCACTTGCCAAAATTTGTGAAGACTCGGCAGCTAGTCTCGACAAGGAGTATGCTGGACAAAGACCTTTGGATTACATGATTCCCAAATTCCTTGAATTTGCGACTTACCAGTCACAACGAGTCCGTGCTCTGAGCATCCAATGTATCACCCAGTTTGTCATTAACAAGTCTCAGTCGCTGCTTCCATATCTGGATGCCTTTCTCAATACTCTTTTCACTCTCACCTCTGACAACTACGCAGAGACTAAAATCAACATTTGCACTGCACTTGTCAACATTATGTACACTGCTCCGGAGAAACTTGTTCCACATCTTGAGGGTGTAGTCAACTACGTGATCCATTGTATGCTTGAACCCGATGAGCGTGTTTCGTGCGAAGCTGGTGAGTTTATTCTGCAAATGGCTGAGGCCAACAACTCATTTGATGACCACACCATTGAGCGGTTCCTGCCCACAATTGTGCCCACAGTTCTTAAAACTATGGTCTATTCGGAGAACGACAGAATACTACTTAAGAGTCTTGCCGAGGATGATCAGGACATTGAAGATCGCCCAGAGGATATTAAGCCTCAATTTGCAAAGGCCAAGGAACACAAGCCTGTTAATTCCTCGGACAAGAGCCATACTCCTGCTCATCAACTGAATGAGGATGACAATTACGATGATGATGATGATGAAGATGATGAAGACGAGGATGATGCGGCCAATGAAGCTCTTTCCGAATGGAATTTGCGCAAGGGCTCCGCAGCTACGCTTGACGTTTTGTCTACCAAGTTCCCCAATGCAGTTTTGGAGCTTGCTCTGCCGCATCTTCAAACTTCTCTTCTTTCAAACGAATGGTTTGTTCTTGAAGCTGCCATTCTTGCCTTTGGCGCCATTTCTCAGGGCTGCATTGAGCTGCTTTCACCCAATCTTTCGGAACTAATTCCATTCCTTGTTCAGCAGCTTAAGAACCCTGAACCTGCGGTGCGTCAAATCTCGTGCTGGACCCTGTCACGATACGGATCTTGGATTGCCATTCACTCGATTGGTGACCATAAGACATTTTTGCAGCCTGTGCTGCGCGGGCTTCTTGACTGCTGCTTGGACAAGAACAAGAAGGTTCAGGAAGCTGCATGCAGTGCCTGTTCAATTCTTACTGAAGAGGCTGGCGATGAGCTGGTTCCTTATCTTGAACCAATTTTGCGCCAATATGCGGAAGCTCTGCGTCGATTCCGAACCAAGAACCGTCTTAATTTGTACGATTCGATTCAAACATTGTTTGACAAGATTGGCGAGAGCGCATCGAGCCAATCCAATGCCGAAATCATTGTTCCTGGACTACATGAACGATGGATGGCAACACGGGACGACGATCCTGATTTGTGGCAGCTTATGGAGTGCTTGTCGACAGTCACTGCATACTTGGGTATGTACATGACTGCGCAGCTTCCTGATATGTATAAGCGATGCATCAGACTGATTAGCGACAGCATCATTATGGAGCAAAACTATCAGTACGATGATACTATTGAGATTCCTGACAAGGAATTTCAGATTACTGCGCTAGATCTTGTGGATGGTATTGTTCTTGGAGTGAAGGAGAATATGGCTGAACTGACGCAGCGGGTACAACCGAACTTGGTTGAGTTGCTGATAGCGTGTTTTGATGACGAGGTGTTTGAGGTTCGTCAATCTGCACTGGCTGTTGTTGGTGACTTGGCAATCCATGCGATTGACGTGCTGTTGCCTCAAATGAATGCAATGATGGAGGGGCTTTTGAAGCAAATGTCTATGGAGTATACACCTGGAGTGTGCAACAATGCTATTTGGTCGGCTGGCGAGATTGCATTGAAGCTCAAGGATGGTGATGCGCTTAAGCCATATGTGGAAGCACTTTTTACACGTCTCTGGGAAGTGTTGGATTCCAATACTGCTATTTCTACTGTTTGGGAGAATGCTGCGACAGCCATTGGACGGATGGGTCAAGCTGTTCCCGAGATGTTGGGACCTCATGTGGGACTTATTATTTACAAGTGGTGTTACCACATTGCTGAAATGGGGGAGAATGAAGAGAAAGATTCTGCGTACTTGGGTATGTGCAAGATTGTTCAGGCCAACCCTGGCGGGATTTCTAATGAACAACATTTGCTGAAGCTAATTGAACTACTGGCATTGTATATGGAGCCATCGCAGGAGCTTGCGGAGAACATTTTGTTAATTTTGCAAGGGTACAAGCAGATGGTTCCTGATTGGAACTCTTTTGTGGCTAAGCTTCCTGAGGATGCTCAGAATTCGATTAAGCAGAGATACAGGGTTTAATAGGATGGAGAGAGGGGGGGAAAAAAAAAAGAAAAAGTTTTATAAAGAAGGAAAAAAAAAATATATATAAAAAAAAAAAAGATGTATTTAATTTTAATTTTTTTTGTTTGGAAAATCAAGGTTTTTTTTTTTTTTGTTTTTAAATTTACTACTAAAAGTCTATGTTGGTGATATTTTTTAGATTGTTGGAATGGAGGTTTAGTTATTGTTATTGTTTGTTTAATAATTATTAAATTATAATTGTTTAATTAAATGTATTACAAAAGTCAGTTGTTTTTGTAACAAACTTTTATTTTTTTTTTTTTTATGGTGTAGTTTTTTAACTGTCCAATAACCGCTGTGTGATTTAAAAATTCGAGTGTCTGAGTGTCATTTGCTTATACAGGACAACCAAAGTATGGAAGAGAGATTTCTAACAGTGTGTAGTACCAAAGGCCACACACATACACACACACACACACAGAATGGCTTTTCAATCTGTTTTTTTTTTTTTTTTTTTTTTCTCTCTCTCTCTCTCCTTTTTTATTTCTTCTTTTTTTTTTTTTTTTTTTTTTTTTTCAACATCACCACAACTCACTTCTATACAAAAAAAGAAAATCATCTAAGCTCTTTAGCTGACTTTTTTTTTGTGCCCTTCATATCTACTTTTTTTTTTGTAAGTAGTTCAGTCTTTTTCTTTTTTTTTTTTTTTTTTTTTTTTCAGCAGTCAATGTCGAATATGTTTGAAAAGACAATCAATTTTTTTTTTTTTTTTTGTTTAGAGAGAAAATTGTTCACTAACTAGGTCACTCTTATTGGCTAATATTTTTATTTTTGTAATTTATAGAAAAGTTTATCACCACAACCACCACCTTTCCATCACATTAATTTAAATCACAATGGGTCCTCCTCATCCTAAGAGTTACATGGGTTGGTGGGGTAGCATCGGTATGTAAATTTGAAGAAGAAGAAGAAGAAGAAGAAGAAAATAAAGAAGGCAATGAAATGAGTTCTAACCATGATATGTTTTTTTTTTTTTTTTTTTTTTTTTATAGGCTCCCCCCCACAAAAGGGTATTGCTAGATACGCTGTTTCTGCTGGCTCCCAGAAGCTTTTCCACCACGCTTTCCACAATGCCATCTTCAACACCTTCCGTCGTGTTAAGAACCAGATTTTCTTTGTTGTTTTCCCTGTGTCCATTTACTACTACATTTGGACTTCTGCCAACAACTACAACCAATGGCTCTACACCAAGGCTGGTCATGAGACTCTTGAGAAGCTTCTTTAAATTTTAGAATAATAACATGCAATGAAGAAGAAAAAACAAAAGAAGAAAAGAAGATGATGTTAACGAATAATACAAAGGTGGAAAATTGATTAAATTTTTTTTTTAATTTGGAAATGGATTGATAAAAATACACACATACACACACACACTAAGAAAGAGAATATTAATATATTATTAAACGAGAGAAAAAAAGAGAAAGAAAGAAAAAAAAAAGAAAAAATTTGTACAGTTGATAAGATACCTTTTTATTTTCTGAAAGATAAGCCTATGTTAAAAGGTTTAAAAGGTTTAAAAGGTTTCAATATCAAGAAGAGATTTGTAGAATATTAAAATGTGTTGTAGACTTTATATATGGTGAGACTTTTTTTTGTAGTTGATTAGTCAAATCGTAGTGTATTTTCTTACCCGCGTAATAAAAGGCTGACCAGTAAATAAAATAAAATAAAATAAATAAAAATAAATAAAATAAAATAAAAAAAACTCTCGCTAACTTCCATTTTATTCTTTTACACAATTTATTTATTTATTTATTTTTTTTTTTCTATCTTTACAATTATTTTCTTTATAAATAATTATTTATTTTTATTTTTTTATTTATTTTATTTTTATAACAAAAAATGCCTCCAAGATCAGTTCTTAACAGTGCAACACCATCAACGTCGTCCACAGTTGTGGCAACACCAGAACCCGAAGAACAAAATGGAACTCTGCATCTTCAAGCTCCAGAGAACTCGACCGAAAGTGCTCCACGCAGCCGAAGTTCTCGTGGTGTTCGATGGACCGAGGAGGTTGTTGATAATGAGCATATGAATAAGAAAAAGTCGAAGAGTAAGTGATGATTATGTTTTTCTTTTTAATAATATCAATTGTTAGATATTTTTTTATTTTATTTTTATTTTTATTTTTATTTTTATTTTTTTATATTTATTTTTTTATAAAGCAATGTGTATTAACCTTTTATTTGAAATGTAGTTTGCTGCATTTTCCATAAACAAAGACAATTTGGTGAATCTTCATCTGAATCTGATAGTAGTAGCAGTGATGATGATTCAGATTCAGATACTGAAGGAGCAGGAGGCCCCTTGAATGGAATTCCTGATTTTTCTTCCAAAAAGCCTGGAGACAATGAGCACGACCATGACGAGCAGCAATGCAATCACAACCATGAGCATGATCATCATCATGATCATCATCATAAGCGTGTTCCTAGGAAACTGACTGAAAAATTACCAAAAGATACAGAAAGTTCTGAAAGTGAACCAGATGAAGAAGAAGAAGAAGAAGCGAGTGCAAGCGAAACAGAAGCAGATGTTGTTGCGAGACGTAAAATGACCAACGAAGAACGGGAAGCAAGACGTAAAGCTAAACTGGAACGGTTGTTGGCCAAGGGTAAACTGCGGCGTAACCCGAGCCCGAATGCTTATGAGCGTCAACCTGCTTACAATACTGTTGAAAACTAAAATCAAGGAAGTATGGTGTTTATTATTATTATTATTATTATTATTATTATTATTATTATTATTATTATTTTGGTCATTTTGATTTGTTATCAAAAACAGAGAGCAGTCATAATTACAAAAAGCATATTTGGATTTTGAAGGAAAATAAGAGAAGACAAAATTTTAATTCTTTGTTATTAATACAATAATACAATATGACGATATGGAAATTCATCATTATAAGCATAAATATTTATTAATTAATATATATACATTATTTATTGAAAAAAAAAAAAAAATCCTTGAAACCTTTTTCCTTTTATTTTTTTTTTTTATTTTTATTTTTTTTTTTTTGTAGGTAGATACAGATATACGAAGAGATAATTGTGGAGACTTGATTTTTTTATTTTTTTTATTTTTTTTTTTTTGATCTACATATTGGAGGGGTTTCTTGAGAGTTTGCGTCATTTGGAGGGGGGAAGTTGGTCTGTTGACCAAACAAACAAACAAACAAACAAAAAAAAAAAAAAAATAATAATAATAATATAAAACTTATTATTTATGACTTGTGACTTTAGATACAAGGTTTATTTATAAACTTTGATTTTTTTGTACTTTTCCAATTAATTTTTTTTTTTTTTTTTTTTTTTTCAAAACCACCACCAAATTTAGTGGTACATTTATATACTAATATATATTATATAGAACTTTTTTTTTTTTTTTTTTTTTTTTTTTGGCTCGGGCACATCGGCAAATCACCAAAAAATCGCTGCATTTTCTAGGATTTCTTTTTTAATCACCACCAACCATTATCATCACGCTTTTTTTTTTTTTATATATTTTATTTTATTTTATTTTATTTTATTTAAAAGTCTAAAAGAAAAAAAAAAAAAAAAAGGAAGCAGCAGTGTAGCAGCAGCAGCATCAGCAGCAGTGGCAGCAGCAATAAAACTTCAATCAACAAAAAAATAAAAAAAAAAGAAGACTTTTTGTGAATTTTTTTTTTTTTTTTTTTTTCTTATTGAATCTTTTTTTTAAATCAAGGGAAAAAAAAAATAACTAAACAAAAAGGATTGATTGATTGAAAAAAGGAGAAAGAAAAGAGAGTTTCTCTCAATATATTATTATATTCATTGGAAAAACAAAAGGTCCTTTCAGATTTCATACTAATCATCATCAAAGTTCATCTTCAACCCCCCCCCAAAAAAAAGAAACCTTACAACCTTACAACCTTACAACCTTTTTCAAATCTTAAATCCTTTTAAATTCTTATTCTCACCTTAAGACGTCTCTTTCAATATCTTTTGTTTGTTGGCGCTTTTTTGCTTTAAAGTTGCGCGCATCATCATTCTTTCCTAATCACCGCTCAAGGCAGCAGCAGCAGCAGCAGCAGCAGCAGCAGCAGTAGCAGCAGAAGTCGTAGCAACAGCAGCAGCAGTAGCCTTCATCAAGCTCTGCATTGAGTTTCGCGATGAACTCCTCGTCGTCATCGTTGCCACTTTCTTCGTCGTCCTCGTCGTCGTCCTCAAGCTTGCCCCCTATCGCTTCTTCTTCTTCTACTTCTACTTCTACTTCTACTTCTACTTCAAAACTATCACCATCTTCTGTTAATACTACTACTACTACTACTAATATTACTACCACATCATCCGTTATTATTAATAATAATAATAATAATACCACTAACAACTTCAATAATATAAATACCAATCCCATCACTAATACTACCTCAAACTTCTTTTCTCCTTCTTCATCGTCTCCATTGTCGTCCAGCATCATTTTGTCTAATTCGGGTAATATCCCATCTCCATTCCCACACTCGGTCCCCGTGGTAGTGGCTGCTAGAAAACAACCACTTTACTTTGGTCTTTCGTGCTCACCTTCTTCCACTTCACCACTATCAACACCTCCCATTTCCTACTCAGATTCTGAAGACTTTCTCGAAAAAGAAGAAGAAGAAGAAGAAGAAGAAGAAGAAGAAGAAGAAGAAGAAGAAGAAGAAGAAGAAGAAGAAGAAGATCAGGAACAAGAATCCCGCCAATCTAGTAGATTTAATAATAATAATAACTCTACTACATCTTCTTCTCATATTACAATAACTAATCCAAGCATAAGTTCTACTTCAAGCTCTCGATCAAGTTCTGGTTCTAGTGGATCCTTCATCACGGGAGCTTTTACAACTGCTAGTATATCTTCTCCTGGTTCCACTAATACACCCCTATTTAGGCAATACCAACAGCAGCAACAGCAACAACATCAACAACATCAACAACATCAACAACATCAACAACCTCAACTTCAGCATCAACTTTACTACCACCAGCCAACATCACCGTTGGCTACACATTCAAATACTGCTGCACCCCTCACCGCAACAACTCCAATAACTGCAACCGCTTCTATTTCTGGGACCTCCAGTCCTTCTTCCTCTTCTCAGAACACAATGCAGCCATCATCTACTTCTTCATCTTTTTCAACAGATGCCTCACCTTCTCCTTCCTCAGCGGCTCTTTCTGCATCTCTCAACCATCTTAACCGAGTAACTGGAGTAGGTATCTTGTCGAAACAAAAAAAAATAGGTATACCAACAACTTCTTCTTTTTCTTCTTCTTCTTCTTCCTATTCTTCTTCCTATTCCTCTTCCTCCACAACAATAGCATCAGGCTCATTACCAGGAAGTGGTGGAACTAACACCAATATCGGAAGCAGCGGAAGCAGTCCCTTATCGACTACTCCATTATCTTCATCCGACTGCCCTATTCCAGTCCCAGGAGCTGGCGCTCCCACAACTACTGTCACGTTTCACACAGGATGGCCCAGTGCCTCACCTGTTTCACCATCTTCTCTATCGTCAGTTTCTTCTTCACCAGGAACATCGCTTTTTTCACGGCAAATGAATAACAGCAGTAATAGCAACAGCACCACTACCAGTAATAATACTACTAGTAATAACAGCAATAGCAATAACAATAACAATAACAGCAGCCACACTTTGAATAACACTTCTAATCTGCCCATAACTGCATCATCACCTCAAAGCCTTTCATCCTCATATTCTTCACCCTCGCCTTCGTCTTCTACCTCATCTTCATCTTCATTCATCCACCGCAGAGCTGACCGTTCTTCATCCTTTTCCAAAACAAACCCTCCACCACCACTATCCTTCAAACGAACAGCCATCGGGTCTGTTTCTACAACCATGTCGACCTCCTCTCCTCTTTCCATTTTGTCTACTTCGGCTTCTAAACAAGCTGCTACTTCCTCGTCTTCGCCGTCATCTTCGGGTTTAATACAGAATACATCTCCACCAAACATTTCAACACATCCAGCTGTAGCAGCTGCTGGAGCTGTAGCCGTGGCTGCAGTTGCTGCTTCGTCATCACCATTATCTTTGTCGTCTTCTCCAAGTACCAGGGGTGCCGGCGGGACTTCCATTACCACCACCACGGTGACCATTCCAGGAAACTCTTCTGTGGCCTCAACCTTATCCTTCAAATCCTCCCCACATACTCCTTCCTCTTCTATCTCTACAAATAGCAGCAACAGCAGCAACAACCCTACACTTGCAACTTTTAACAAGCGACAAGTCGACTCACAACTGTCGGACTCTATCATCTCGCTTTCTCTTTACTCTCCTCATAATATGCAAATGACTCTCGGGCAACATGCTTCTGAAAGACCAAAAGTTGCTTCTATCGACACTTCGTACCGCGGATCATTCTCTCCTCTTGCTTTTGCACAAACTATATCCTCAGCTTCACCTTCACAGCCTGCTGACTCTTCTTCTTCTTCGGAACCTGCATCAAAAGTTTCTTCAACACAGGAGGGTGAAAAGACAAATAGCAACACTCTAGAAACTAACAAAGAAAAAGAAGAAGAAGAAGAAGAGGAAGAAGACGATCAGGAGGCAGACGATGAACAGGAAATGCAACCACCGAAAAACTCGCCCATTTTGCATCAAGAGGATTCGGAGTTACCAGATAACGATAGCGAAAAGGATAATGAAGATTTACAAGATGCTTCTCATGAAAACCAAAACATTGTTTTGGAACTGAGTCTTGATGGTACAGTTCGTTATCTCAGCGCAAACTGGGAAGATATTACTGGGTATGATTTCTTTTTTTTTTTTTTTTTTTTTTTTGCGCCAATATTTTGCTTATGAAACTCAAATGAACACTAACCATTTTTTTTATAGTTATCCGGCATCCGACCTAATAAATACGAACATCTCTTCAGTTATCATAGGCGATGAACATGACCGTGAGGTATTTGTCCGTGCTGCCCAGGCCATGAAGGACGATGAATCTAGTTACAGAGTTACATTCTTGACTTCCAAACGACCTGCGCCTATTTGCTTTGATGTTCCTGAAATCAATTCCCCTGCTACATCTACAAGTACTGCCAACAAACTACCGTTATCATCTCTGCCGGACGCTAGCACTAGCACTGTTTCAGCTCCACAGCAGCAAGGGGGTATACTAGGTGGAGATGGAGGTACATCAGTAACAGCGTTAGAAGGAGGAGAAGTAGATGCACGTTCAAGTAGTAACTGTTCTCTTGCGTCTCCCATCAGCCTCGGATACCGCCAGAAACAGGTGGATGCCGTTGCAGCCATGGCCGCGGCTGTGCTTTCGCCCACTATCAAGCCAGTCCAACAAGACGATGATGACTTTGTGCAGTCTACGGCTACAACTCCCGCACAAAAGAGTGTGCAGAAATCGTCTTCAAAAGACAAAAATGCTCCTACGTCATCTTCCTCGTCATCGTATTCATCATCTCCTTCAACTGCAACTTCCATAGAAGGTAAAATGGATGTTGATGAGCCCACCGAAAATCTACTTGAAGAAAACGAAGAATCAATGCACAATGATACAGTAGAAATTCATCCAAAAAGTCTTAAAAGTATTAATACCCCTGGTGAGACAGCAATACAAGATGAAGACGAGGAGGACGAGGAGGAAGAGGAGGACGAAGATGAGGAAATTGACGACGTTATTGAAATTGAGGGTCAAGGTGTCTTGATTTACCATAAAATCAGCGGTGATCCGAGTCACGTAAGTATATTTCTTCTTCTTTTTTTTTTTTTTTTTTTTTTTAACTAACAAAATTTCAAAGACAATGTGGATTCTACGACCATATGTTCCACCAAAGCCACTCAGCATTGAGCTTCCTTGGAAATTAATCCAGGCCCTTGGTTTTGGCGTCGAACTTCTAGTCGATTACCTCCAATCTCTCTCCGAAGCCGTTTTTTCTGGCTGTGAAAAGGCCCCTGACCCACCTACAGCTTTGTGCCACATTTGTGAGCACTACTTCCCAACATGGTGGTTTGAGCGTCATTCAGAACTGTGTCTTCTTGAACACAAGGCTCAAAGTGATATCGACACAGCTCATGAGAATCTTGTTGACCAGCGAAACACAATTTCCCAGCTTCTTTCGCTCATGGACCAACACTTTATGATGGCTGCTGGTGCTGCATCAGGTATGGCCACACCATCTTCATTAAACTCGGTTCAATCTTCAGCATCATCTTCAGCATCATCTTCATCTCCACCAGCTTCGTCTTCAACATCCTCTGCTCCTGGATCATCCTCTACAGCAACAGCTGCTTCTTCATCTGAAGCTCAACAACCCCAGCAACAGCTCCACCATGCATCACCCGCCAGTGCATTCTCTTCTTCTTCTTCTTTAGCATCTACCGCTTCCAATAGCTCCTCGTTGTCGGCGTCTCACAAGAAGATTGAATACCAAGGCTATCAACTGCCAATCTTTGCTGAGGTTTTCCAGCCCAGCTCTGCAGGCTCCTCCAATTTGGCATCAGGTTCTTCTCCATCCTCTGCATCCCCTCCACAATCCTCTTCTTCTTCATCTCTCCTGGCCTCAAACACAACCTTTACTTCATCTCCACCAATGTCTCCTCGAATTCATCCAGGTGCACCATCTAAATCTCGCATGCTAGCCAAACAACTAACCAAGCAGCAGCGCCAGCCACTCAAATTACTCGAGCTTCTCCTTGGATTGTGCGACATGGCTGTCGACATTAACAAGCCCGAGATTCGCTATTTCAACGATTCAGGCGATCCTTCTTCTTCAGTTAACCGCTCTGTTATTTTCAATCCATCTTCTGGCCCCTCCTCTTCCTATTCTTCATCTTCATCCCCCAATAATCATTCCAGCCAAACCATGCGAATCCATTCACCTCACAGTGAATCCAATATTTTCCGCGTTTTACGCTGGAAATCTCCTACAATAGAAGACCCTGGGTTGCAACTACTTTGTAAAGATACGGCTAAGTACGCTCTTGAAAAGGCTGAGGCCGTTTTGCGTCTGGGTAATACAATCAAATACACAGACACAATCCGTAAGGAGCTTGAGGCTACAGTTCTTGAGGTAATTAATGATACAATAGAAAAGGCGCACCAGCGACAAATGGATTGTGAATGCGATATGGATTTGATTGAAGAGGACCATGATGCTGCAGATGATTCTGATTACATGTCTATTGTGGAGTCCAATTCTGGAACAACAAACAACTCGACTGCTGCAGCTTCTGCATCCGCTTTGCCATCTGGAGAAACTGCAACCGAGTCGCGGCCTTATTATGATGATGAGACGGATTTAGAAGAGGGAAGCCTATTTTCCGATTCTTATCTCAACACTGATGCCATTCCGTTATCAACCACATCTTCACGGTCTTCCGGAAGATCTGTAAGCATAAATTCTAATCGCCAAAATAGCTTGGAGAGCTCGTCGAGTTCTCGTGGAAGATCTCGTAACCCTAGCTCGGCAAGTGGGTCTATAATCAATGTTCCCATTAGTCGGCGAATCTCTACTGTCCGTAGCAATAGCGGACTTGGCAGCAGTACAAGTGACTTACTCGGATTAACACCTCCAGTCCCATTGCAAACTATAGTGACTTCTTCTGGATCCATCATCATTCCAGGTTCATCCAATAATGCGTCCGTCACACCAAAGGCCATTCTTGCTTCACCATATCCTTCAAGCAATAGCAGTAACAGTGGAAGTAGCAGTAGCAGCCATCTTGTTTTCCATCACCCTCACCACCCTCATCACCCTGCCCATCATCGGCTGTCCACAGGATCCAATGATTCAGTTGATCCGCGTTTACGCATTGAACGCCGACCCACTCTTGATAGCCCTATTTTAGATTCTCCTTTAGAAGACCTAGATCTGTCCAATCCTCTCAACAGTTTGCTATCCACACACACACAACACCACTCTATTCCCATCTCGGCCTCTCCATCGGCTCAAAGCAATTTCACTCGCATCAAGTCTCGTAAATCGCTTTCAAATATCTCTACAATTCACAACTCACCCTCATCTTACTCATCGTCCCTTACGAGCTTGCAGCGTAATCGTATCCCAATGACTCCTTCCTCAGAAAGCATCCACTCACCATCCACTCCACTTTCTTCGCCTCTTCTTTTCCCCAGCGACCATGGTCCAGTACCTGGGCCTATTGATATGCAACGCCGCCAATCTTTGACTCTTTCTGCTTCGGATTTCCAGCGTCAACCCATTTCGCCACTGATGACTGCTTCTGCGCCTCAGTCCAAACCTTCACAGCCTAGCATTCGTGATTATGAAATTATCAACCCCATTAGTCGTGGAGCCTTTGGCAGTGTGTTTTTAGCACGCAAAAAACTAACTGGCGAATATTTTGCAATCAAGGTGCTTAAAAAGGCAGATATGGTGGCCAAAAATCAAGTCAAAAACGTACGTGCTGAACGGGCTATTATGATGTCGCAGTCCGAGAGTCCCTTTGTTGCAAAGCTTTACTTTACTTTCCAAAACAAAAACTATCTTTACCTCGTTATGGAATATCTCAACGGCGGCGACTGCGCCGCACTTGTCAAGGCTCTTGGCGGACTACCAGAAGAGTGGGCCAAGAAATATTGTGCCGAGGTTGTTGTCGGTGTCCAGGATCTTCATGAAAAGGGTGTGGTACACAGAGACTTGAAGCCCGATAACTTGCTCATTGACAAGAATGGACACCTGAAGCTCACAGATTTTGGCTTAAGCCGGATGGGCCTTGTAGGTAGACATACACGCCAAAACATGTCTACAACCCCGTCATCGTCAAGTTCTTTATCGGCTGCAGTAAATACTGCAGTAACAGGAACAACACCAACAACCTCTGAAATTTATGCTGGATCAGCTTCTAACGACATGATGCCACCACCACCTTTGCAAACTCATGTTTCTTCTCTCGCCTCTGCACTTGCAAACTCAAATACACCATCTGGACTGGGACTTGGTCTTGGATCGCTCCCCAATACTGGGTCTACTTCCAGTTTGACATTACCCTCTCGAGTTGAATCCAAGCCACTAGCAAAGTCTAATACTACTCCAGAGGCATCTTCTACATCTACGCGACCGAGTAGTTCCTCAAGTGCTACCTCGTTGATGGACAATTTTATGCAAGATTCTTCAATCAGCTTGGTTCCTGGGTATTTTAATTATTCAACACCTACAGGTTCATCTTCATACAAGTTTAAGAAACCTCCTTTGACAAGGTCAGAATCCAATAGCAGCACCACGGGTGAGGCTCTTTTTATTGGCTCTACAATGTTTGGAGACAATAGATTCCCACCAGAGGATGATGGTATGCCCACGGGTCCTGCAACCGAAATTGTTCGTAGAGATTCTGGCACCGATTTGTCTGCCAATAACTCTGGCGTTCCCTCAGCCAAGCCCATGCCCTTGTTTGACCCCACCAATACCACGTTCAAGTTTGTGGGTACTCCCGACTATCTGGCTCCAGAAACTATTCGCGGGGTTGGTCAAGACGAAATGTCAGATTGGTGGTCTCTTGGATGCATTCTCTTTGAGTTTATCTACGGATACCCACCTTTCCACGCAGAAACACCCGAGCTTGTGTTTGAAAACATTTTGAACCATAATATACAATGGCCGTCAGAGGAAGATCTTGCTGAAATTGGTCTTGAAGTATCACCAGAAGCTAAAGACTTAATTTCTAAGTTACTTAACCCTGACCCCAATGCTCGCATTGGTGCGAAAAATGGCGCTGAGGAAATCAAGCAACACCCCTTCTTCAAGGGCATCAACTGGAATACTCTTTGGGATGAAGATGCGTCTTTTGTTCCAGTGACTGAGAACCCGGAAAGCACAGACTACTTTGATTCTCGTGGTGCTGAAAACCAGGATATTCCTCAAGATATGCTTAGCCCCGATGACGACGATGATGATAATGGTGTTCACCCTCATGATGGTGACGAAAACGATCACGATGATGATTTGTCTGGAGATGTGACTATGAGTTCCTCAGCAGTTAGCTCTGGTGGGTCTAGTCGCACGGGAAGTCTAGGGTCGGGCCACAACTTTGTGTTCCCTGCCAAGGATTCTCAATCATCGTCCTCATCATTCCAATCTCAGTCTCAATCCCAGCAACCTCAGCAACCTCAGCAACCTCAGCAACCTCAGTCCAGGCCTAAGGCTAATTATCCCATGCCAATACCGCCACACATTCGTGAGAATCGAATTCGGCGCGCGTCAGGGACTCTTGCAGATGACTTTGGTAACTTTTCTTTTAAAAATTTGCCAGTACTTGACAAGGCAAACCGTGATACGGTTGACAAGATTAAGACTGAAAGCTTGGAGCATCGCACGATTTTGGAAGCTGCCGAAAAGAAACGAGCGCGCGGATTATCAATCAGTGCGCCTAAGAGACCTCTTTCACCATCTATTAACACTAGCTCTACAGCTGGTGTGTCGAGTGGAAGTAGCAGTCGCATGCCTTCACCTGTCCGACAAACGTTTTCATCACCCTCAGTGGCGATGCAAACGTCTTTATCGATGCATTCGCCCATGCCAAGCGGTAGCAGCGTGTCGAGCTCTTTACTATCATCTAGTCCATCGAGCAGCAGCAGCACCATGTCATCCTTTTCGCCCCACCGTAAGGTCTACCCTACAAACTCCCATCACAGTCGACCTAGTATGTCTGGCATATCTACTGCGTTTGTTCCTTCGTCGCCTAAATCTTCGTACCTTTCGCCTTCTACAGATTCTGCTTACCTTTCTCAGTCTCTGCCTCAACAGCAGTCGTCGAGTGGCAACAAGATGCCTATGTCACCACAGGCGCCTTTATTTTTGGGAAACAATAGTTTATTACCTCCCAACCGTGAGGGAAGTCCTGATTTGACTGAGCTGCGGCGGCACTCGTCGATTCGGCTTACGCAGGCACTTGATCCATCCCCATCGAGCTCTGATAACGAAGAAACAGCGTTGCAGCGCGTGCAAAAACGACGCCAAATTTCTCGCCGCGGAGTCAAAACAACAGTCCCGGCTTACAGACCTTTGGATGTACTACTGTGTGATGATAACCCTGTGTCACGTTATACTATGCAAACGTTTTTGAGACAACTTGGATGCTTTGTTGTTGCTACCTCGTCTGCTGCAGAAGCTATTCGGTGTGCCATGGGTGCTGTCAAATACGATATTATCTTTACTGAGTATTGCTTTGAAAAGGTCACATGTGCAGACTTTATTCGTGTCTTGCGAAATACAGCAAGTCCCAACACCAATACACCAGTTGTTGCTGTGACCTCTTATGTACAGGAAGCCTCTCCAATGTCGCAGCCATTCTCCAGCATTATTGAGAAACCGCCAACTTTGCTCAAGTTTGTCAAGGCTCTGGAGCGACATTGTGCGTGGAAACCTCGCTCAGCATCAATCAATTTGCGATCTGCAGCCGAGGCTATGGCCGAGATTGCTGCACGATCTAACTCTTTGACTGAATCCAGCCCGAGTCCGAGCCCAACTCCAGCACAAAGCAGTAGTGCTGGTTCTGGTTCTGGAGGTGGTGCCATTATCTCTGCAGGCTCTTCTGTGTCATCTTCTGCCATTACTTCAGCTTCTGCGTCTGGTGCAAATTCAAACTCGGCGTCAGTTTCTGCACCAAGCACAAAACCTGGCAGTAGCGATTCTGACCCAACAGCAGCAGCAGCAGCGGCGGCAGCAGTTGAAGCAACTACCACAACGACTTCTTTCTTACCACAGGGCCCCCAAACACGCTCTGTCTCGGCGTCTTCCAGTATTTCAAGCATTTCCTCGACCTCTTTGTCCAGTGCACCTGTTCCGATACCCCTGTCGTCTGTTTCTACAACGGCCGTTCAGCAAACATTACCGCAGGGACAAATGCAACAACAGCAATTACCACCGCCACAATTACCACACACTGACCCAATGCAGCGGCGTATCTCTGTAGACCAATACTCGGATCTGCCATTGCCTATGCCACGCCAGCGCGGCCACCTAGTCAACCACCATGGAAATGGAGCGGTATCATCGCAAAGTTTGAAGAATGCACGTGTCAACAAAAACCCACCGCCACACTCATCTGGGAGTGCTGGTAGTGCGGGGTCCTTGTCTTCTGTATCGTCTTCTTCTTCTTCTTCTTTGCAGCAACAACAGCAAGGGTCTGCAGGTCAGCGACCAGGGAATTTACCTTCGCGAAATGCATCTGAAGGTTCAGATTCAGGAGTTTAGTTTTATTTTTAGCCCCAATTATTTTTTTTTTTTATATAAATGTTTACCAAAAAAATATATATATATTATATATTTATTTTTTATTTAAATCCATCCATTAAAATCATCGGTGAACAATTGGTAATTAGATACTGGAGTAAACCATTCAATAGTTTTAAAATCACGGAATACAGTTTCCACAAGGTTGAGTCTTTCTTCATCAACTAGCTCTTTGGCAAACTTGCGCTTTTGGCCAACATCATAAAGCACACGCATGATAACATCGTTATTTCTAAAATCATTCCAGTCCTTTTCGGTAAAAGAGGACGCTTTAAATGGGTCAATGTATTGATACAAATCTTGATCTCCTTGTTCCATCATATTAATCAATGTTTTTGCATGTGAATGAACAACCAATCTGTAGTGGGACTGTGGTACTGGGGTCAAAAGAAACTTTAGACTGATATCCCCTGTAAAATCGAGCATAACTTGTTGTAGTGTTTTAGGAGGGTTTGCAATAAGACGCTGCAATGCAGGAGACGAGTTTGGGTCAGTTTTGAAGTTGACTCTAAAGTATTGGATATTTGGTCTTGTGTATATAATGGTATACAAGGCTTCCAAACGTACACACGTTTTAATATCTGTGGTATCGGCATCATTAGGATTTAATAGCTTAAGGGCCTTAAGTGGTGTGGCATAAGCAGCCTTAATAAGAGTCGGGGCATTTAGGTAATTTAGATAAAATTTACCATCCATAGTGGGTCCACATTCATAAGTCTCACGGTCTTTAAGGAAGGTAAAGTATTTGCCACAAGAAAATTCCACTGTATTTTTAGGGACTGATAAATTGACTTTTTTGAGATGAATCAAACTTTCCAAAGAAAAAATAGCGGCTGGCATGAGTACAATTCCTAAAGAAACATCGAGCATTGTTACTGAGTTTTGGAGCACATCAAAGTTAACAGGAATGGCATCTTCGTCCTCATCGTAAGGGTTAAAACTGACATAATCTTCACTGAGGTCCAAAGGTTTATCACGGTTTGAAAAGTGACCGGCAGATACGTGCTTAACATTAGGGAACTGGATGCGAGTTGATAAGGCCTTGAGATCAATTGGCCAAATAAAATTAATATTGGTAACTTGAGGAAGTACAACAATAGTTGAAGTATGTACATCTTTACCAGGGTGTCCTCCTGAAATTCCATTAGATCCAGTTTTTAACATTTCCACATGACATTCTTTAATTGTCGAGGGGAGGCCTTCAAGAAGACGCAATCGAGAGTCAATTTCAACAGGTTTACCTTCGTCAACCTCAACATTCACGGTGATGGAGAATTTTTGTAGTCTGGGAGCGTATTGAAGTTGAGAAAGAATAAACACGACCCATGAGTCATGTGAAAAGACCACATCAATTTCTTCCACATTAACGAGATTCACGTGCTGAGCCATATCTCTTATGGAAGGATGGATTTCATGTTTTTGGATGAGCAATAAACGACGAATAGGGGTAAAAATATCATGTCTGAAAAAGAATTTGGGGATAGTTTTTACTGAATCATCAAAATTATCTTCATCTTCTTCATCATCTTCTTCATCATCTTCTTCATCATCTTCTTCATAATCTTCTTCTGAATTAGTGAATGCGCCAGGAAGACGGAGCACTGTTGATTCGCTGGATGTGACAATGTTAATCAAAGAACGACGATCGAACATATAGGAAAAGCGAGACAACTCTCTATTCAAATAGACTTGAATGAAAAATAAACCTGAGTATTTTTCAATGGGGAATTCCTCAGTAAATACATCATGATTTCCACAGTGCTTGATATCATATACATAAATACGACGGACTTCTTCTGGCCAAAACCAACTATATTTTTGTGGGTTCGATAAAACTTCAAATGGAACTTCCAAACAATCATAATAAAATATTTTATTTGGGCGAAATTTTATTCCACGGGAAGGACGGCGGGGGCCCAAAAGTACATTCCGTAAGGCTTCTGGTCGGTAATACTTGTCTAGAGTGGAGCATGTTTCACTAAGAGCAAGAATTCTCTCCGGATGGAGATACTTGCAAATGCCTATGTGAACAGATAAAGGAAGATCAGTGAAACAAAGATCGGGCATAACCAATTTGTAGTAAAGAGATATGAAATATGGTAGAGAGAGAAAAAAAAAAAAAAAAAGGTAGTGGTGATAATGGTAGTTGTGGTAATAGTGGAAATAGTGGGGTGGGGGGAGGGGAGGGTGAGAAGCTGATATAACACACTTGAAAATAAATGGGTGGGAAAATGGAAAAGTTTCACGTGATAAATTAGTCAGGATTGTGCTATATTTTAGTAAGAATTGAATCAATCTTAGTAATGTTTGTCTTGATGATTATCAAAGAATTCCTAAGATGGTAATTTTTTATGATCGAATTAGGATGAGGAGGAGATAAAAATCAAATTTTCTGGCAGATTTATAAGAAATCGACCATTTTGTTAGGGGCATTTCCCATTTCCCTCCCACGTATTTTCAACAGTGTAATTTAGTGGATTTCAAGGGGTAAATCCCTATAACAAATTTAGCACATGTAAACAAACAAACAAAAAAAAGTTAAGTGGACGACACCGGAGTTGAACCGGGGACCTTTCGCATGCTAAGCGAACGTGATAGCCAACTACACCAGACGCCCAAGTAAATTCATGTTAAATTAATTTTAAAATGCCAATATAAACCAAAGGTTAAGATTTATGTTAGTGAAAAATGTTAAAATTTTTAGAAATAGGGAAAAGGGCTGGATGGTGTAAAGGATAACACGTTCGCTCGAAAGCGGAAGATACTGGGTTCGATTCCCAGAATACCCCCTTTTTCCTGAGGATGTGTACGGGAGTATACATCTAGACTGAAAACCATAGGCTACCCTGGTTACAGGAATGCCGACTATTCCGTACAGTCTAAATAGCCTGCAGGTGATTGCGGGCCGTATCTCTGGCGGAAGAGATTAAGAAATACATGGGCGTCCGTGAAGATAAGTGGAAATGGGTTGGGAAGGTTTTGGGACCGACAGACTGGTTCTCCCTGTTCCTCGTAAGCTGGCATCAGGGCCCATCTTCCGGGCTACCGGAGACGCACAGAACAGAAACCACCAGTACTAAAAAGGTACAAATGAAAACCGGCAAGTCACATAGTCAGACAATAAAAGGATAGCGCAGATGCTGATGTTATATAGTTCTATAACCCTTGAATAAAAACAAACAAACAAACAAACAATTTTTAGAAATTAAAAGTTTTAAAGATATATTAAAAAATAAAAAATAAAAAAGTTTTTAATTTTCAAGTCAATTTTCTAGTTTAAAAGAATTTTTGAACATCGTATGTGGAGTTAATTATGAGATCCCACTACCTTGGAGTAGAATTTGCAGAATTCTTCGAAGGTAATAGTTTTAATTTTAATGCTGAGTATTAAATAATAGGAAAAAAAATTTATCTGATTGTTTTTTTTTTTTTTTTTTGATTTTGAACTATAAATTAAATGAAGGAAGAAATATTACAGGTTGCAATAAAAGGTATTAATGCTTCTTTTTTAAGGTATTTAGATATATTTCTTAGTGGACAATTATTTTTTTTTTTTTGGTAAATCCACAAACAATGTAGATATGGCAATAATTATTAAAAAGGTTGAATAAATTAAAACAATATACTTTTATTTAATTTATTTAATGTGAGAAATTATAATTAATAAGTTGGTACTTTCGCAACAAAATCCATAATATTCACATATAAACAAATAGCCAAACTGAATTGAGATATTTCAGTATAAAACATAATTTTCAAATTGTAATATTCATTAACATTGATATTTAAATTTAATAGTCATTACATAAACTAATTAGTCAAACCGCTATAAGTAGCAGCTTCAACTCCAATCCACAGATTCATAACTTGGGGATCGGCAAAGGGGTATAATTGAGCGGCAACAAAGCCAGCAACACCCTTTTCCACGTCGATCCAGTAGTAGAGGTTGGCAATGCCACACCAAAAGGCAGTATTTTTACCACGACCATAGGGAGTTTCAGTTGGAGTCAGGAAGAATGATAGACCCCAACCTTGAGGAGGATTACCCTCTTGAGGGAAGATTTCAGGAAGAGGATGAGTAACATTTGGTTGGATAGCAGGGATACCAGCACGAGCAAAATCTGGCCATTGAGGAATCTGGTTTTCAAACATGAGCTTTACAGTAGACTCTTGAAGAAGACGAGCACCAGTGGGGGCATAAACACCATTATTAAGAAGAGCAGCAAAAACACGAACGTATTCAGCAGGCTTTGCGAAAATTCCAGCTCCACCAGATTGGTATGCCTGGGAAGCAATATCAGGCTTGTCACTTAGGGGCCACCAAATAGGGTGGTCAATTTCAGTGAGTTTACCAGTTTCAGTATCACGCTGGTGCATCTTAACCAGACGGTCTTTAATATTTTTGCATGGGGTAGTAGATACGAGAGTAAATCCGAGGGGTTTGAAGATACCCTCTTCTAGGAGGTGTTGGAAAGATTTTCCAGAGGCACGGGAAACGACATCAATGGCCCAGTCAATGCCGACACCATAACTCCAGTTAGTACCAGGTTCAAAAATAAGGGGGAACTTATTTGTGCATCCTGGGCCACCAGTGAGTTCGTCGACTCCAAAGAGTTTAGCGTACTCATTGTAATTTTTGTTAAAGAATGCGTATGAAAAGCCAGCTGTGTGAGTGAGGAGATGACGGAGGGTGATACGGTTAGTTTTAGGGACTAGGGTGATTGATCCATCTTCGGCAATGTCCTTAATAATGGGGATATTTGCAAGTTCTGGGCACCATTTTTCAACATCGTCAGCAGAATCGAGGGACACAAGACCCTTTTCGACAGCTTGGAGGGCAACAATGGTAGCAGAAACTTTAGTGCAGGAAGCAATCCAAAAAGTATTGTCAGTAGTCATTGGTTTAGTTGTGGTAGCACCTTGTTGGCCGGCTGCATGTTCTAAGAGAAGATCACCATTTTTGTTAATGATAGCGATGGAGACACCTGGAATGTTTGAGACGGGGTCCTTTGTAGCTTCAGCAGCAAGCTTTTTAATTTGAGAGATTGATTCGGCAGAGAGGGTAGCCATTGGTTTCGTTTTTTTTTTTTTTTTGAGGGGGAAAGGGGGTATTAGATTTGGTTTATATATATATATATATTAGAAGAAGAAGAATTAATTGAATAGAAAAGATGAAAAAAAAAAAACTCAATTGGTAAAGAGTTGAAGGACTTTATATACTTTTTTTTTATTATTATTATTATTATTTATTATTTTTATAATATTTTTAATAATATTTTTATAATATTTTCTTTCTTAAGTGGAGCAACCAAATGCGGGGGTTTGTTTTTTATTTTTTATTTTTAATTTTTTATTTTTAATTTATTTAATTTATTTATTTTATTTTATTTTAGTTTATTTTAATTTAATTTAATTTAATTTTTAGGATCTTGAAGTTCCAATGTTCGGAAAAACTCCGAATCGATCGGTCCCAGATAATCCGGTGGGGTTGTTGTTGCTTCTTAACAAAAAAAAAAAAAAAAAAAAAAAAAGCGGGGAAGTTCCGTTTAGAAAAAACATTTTGCGGGGGAAAAAAAAAAAAAAAAAAAAAAAAAAAAGAAAATTGAAAATTTATAACTTACCTAAAGTATTTCATCATCCGTCCTCAAAAAAAAAAAAATTAAAATAAAAAAAATTAAATTAAAATAAAATAAATTAATAGATAAATTAATAAATAAATTAATAAAGTAATAAATAAATAAATAAAAAAAAAAAAAAAAAAAAAAAAAAAAAAAAAACAAAAGCCGTGGCTGCAACATTTAAATTTGTTGTTGTTTGTTATATTTTATGCTTAGTAATATATTAATAATATATTTATTATCTTATTTTCTTTTTTTATCACCCATGGAAAAAACTTCAAAATTACAAAAAGCTGTTGTTGTTGTTGTTGTTGTTGTTACTGCTGCTGCCATCACTTGCAACAAGATCCTCCTCAAGCTGTGCAACAAGCCGCTCCATCTGCAACCAGTCACCAGCCTTGGCCGTACAAACCCCCGCGCCAACCCCAAAAACACTCACAATCCCATCTACTCCACCAACAGCCACTCGTCGCCCACCAGACCCCCAAGTATTGGATGCTCCAGAACTACCTCCTCCTCTGGTACTTTCTGAACCTTCTCGAACTGTTGTTGTTGTCTTTGTCTTTGTCGTTGTCGTTGTCGTCCCAGTTTCAGCTTCAGTCCCAGTTTCAGTCATTGCCCCCCTAGTAGATACGTCACTGTCCCCTGTAGAGTCTTCCTGTTGCTGATCTTCTACCTCTTCAGGTGACAGTTTGTCCCAGGCTACTCGGTTTAACGGACGTACAAGATACTCCCCAGTTGACCCCCTCATTCCATTGCTGCTACCACTACTAGTAATGCCGTGGATGCTGCCGTGGATGCTACCACCATTACCATTACCTCCATGTATCCCGGCTAAACTTGCCCGAGTACCCAAATACGACAACCCCCCGCCATTATTCTTCTCTGGGCTCCGGTGGTTTCTCCAGTCATTTCCTTCTTCAGCTGCTTCTTCTTCTTTTTCTTTTTCTTCTTCTAATTCCTCCTCAAAATTCGCCCCTTCAAGCCTTCCTTTTATCTTCCTCTTTTTCTGCTTAAAACCCCCGGAATACACGCTAGGCTTGGCCCGAGCTACAGGTGCCTCCGTGTCCCGAGAAAGATCCCATACCTCAACATGACCCGACCCGTCAACCACAGCAAACACAGCAGCATGCGCAGGGCTCCACGCAACATCATAAACCTCATAGTCCCGCGCAATGTCCAGCAATGGCGCAATTCTTCCAGGTCCACCAATACCACTGCTACTGTTCCCAGGAGATCCCAGACCTAAACTGGCTAGCCCACCACCACCAGCCCCTCGCGTTGGAGAAACCTGTGCAGGGTAATGCGAAGACCCCCCACGCACTCGCCACAACTTGATGGACCAGTCCAAAGACCCGGACAATAACAAATCACTAAAATCAGACGGCCCCCTAGGTGAATGGAAATCCAATGAAGTCACCGGTGCACTGTGTCCTCTATAAACACCCCCAATAGATGAGGACGACGACGACGACGACAACGCCCCCCCAAATCCTCCATTCGGAGACGACGACAACGATGACGACAATGGCCGCCCATCGCCTACTCCAACTATCCCGGCTCGTGCACCGGCCTGACCAAACCGTGCACACGAGTAAATCGCCCCCTCTTCTGTCCCAACAACAAACCTTGACGAGTCCCGTGGCAGTACCGCAAGCTGTGTTGGCGCAACCTCATCACTCCGAAACCCACTCATGCTGGCCATCAACCCATGCGCACCAGATATCCCAGAAAGCCCAGAAAGCCCCGCAGATGATGACCCACCACCTGCCCCCATAAACGGTGCACTCAACGTCAACCGGTCCTGCGGCACTGCAAGCATATCTGGAGCCCAAGTGCACACAACCCCATCTGTTGAAGCAGTCAGTACTGTGTGTGCATGTCGGGTCCCCGTCACAGCCATCGTATAAGTCGGATGCGTGTGTCCCGACCCATTCAGTGGTGAAGTCAAAACTGGGTCCCGGTATCCCACAACCAAACCCTTCCCGCTCCTACTACTACTGCCACTACTACCACCTCGTGGAGGTACCCGCATGTCCCATGCCATCACCTGCCCATTATACGCAGTTCCTAACAAAATATTCGCATCAAACGGCGAAAACCGTACGGCCAAAACATCCGACCGTGCAGTAAACACGTACTCCGGACGACTTGGGGCATGCATGTTCCACACAAGTACAAGTCCCTTGGGCCCACAAGATCCACCACCTGCTCCTACCCGCTGCTCCGTATATGCTGACGCCAGCAGCTCCGAGTGGAACGGCGACCAGTCCAAATCAGTGACGGCTCGACCTGCAGAGTGTTCTGCAGAAAAAAACTGTGCAATCTCAGTCAATTCAGCAGTAGGCCCCGTAGATCCTGACCCATGTGCCCCAAAAACTGAAGACGAGATCCCATTCCCACTATTGGCTGCATAGTCCGTAGTAATGTCGTAATCGTAATCCAGCGCTCGTGACACTACCTTGAGTGACTGATCTAAAAATTGTGCAAGTTCGTCTGCCGCTTGCTCTCTTTCCTTGTACTGTATCTCAACCTCCGGGGTATTATTCTTATTATCACAAATTTCAATCTCAATTGCAGAAAATTGTTCTTCTTTTTGAGTTTTATTTTGCCCCGCAGGTTTAGGTGTGTCCTGTACCATCTTGCGCTTAAACTCTTCTTCCACTTCAGCACGAATCGCTTCCCTTAGTCGAGCCATTTCTTCCCGACTCAATGCTCCTGAAAATGATATCCTAGAATCATCTTCTTCTTTTTCTTTTTCCTCTTCCGTGGTATTTGTTTGCTGATCTCGTAGCCAAGACTCAGATGTTTGGATTTCTTTAGAATAGGTAATAGTTTCTAGCCTAGTTGCTACTGCAGGTGGAGCAGCTTGTGCAACAACGTCCGTGGTCGAGCTAAATGAATCTTCCCGTTCAAATTCAGGTAGCGATGGAGGTTGCATGGATCCAGGAAGCGATGTTCTGGGCGATCCTGCTAGCGAAGATATGCTAATTGGGGTGCTTGAATTTGTTAGTATAGATTGAAAAAAATAAAAAAATAAATAAAATTAAACAAAATTAAATACCCAGGAGATTGGACTTCTCTCATAGAAAGAGAAGACGCATTTCTTGCACTCTCCGATGGAGTACTTGATCTTGAAACTGTTGATCCTACTAAACTGTTGACCAGATCGTCAATATCTTTGGAAATTGTTGATGAAGGTTTCTAAAAAAAAAAGTTAAAAGTCAATATCAAAAAAAAAAAAAAAAAAAAAAATCTCTTCTAAAACCAATTTTCTTACCGATTCAGATAAATTCGAAGATGAAGAAACAGTACGCATACGTTTTTCTTCTCGCAATCTCTTAAGCTCCGCAATACGAGCCTTTTTGGCTTCTATTTCCATCAGCCTGCTGCTCATGATTAATAGTTGTTTGTTCTATTCTTTCTTCTTGTCTGTGTGGTGTGGCCAAGTTTGGTGGTAACCTTACAACTTTTTTTATTTTTTTATTTTTTTTTATTTTATTTTATTTTATTTTATTTTATTTTATTTTTTTTTTAAACAAACACAACAACCCCTAACCAAACAAACAAAAACAAATCTTCCCCCTCCCCCCTCCCCTCAAACTCAAAATGTCCGACGAAGAACCCGACGGGACCTTCGGCGGGCTTCCGCCTCATAGTGACGGTGCTCATAGTACTTCCTCCTCATCGGTAGGCACTTCCCGCCGACTAAGAACTTCCCAAACCCCCATGTCCCACGATACCATGTCGCGCATGGGCCACAGCGACCGCTCTTCATCCATGATGCCCACATCACCCATTCGGGGCCCTGATTTTAATGCCATGATCGATAACCTTGATGACCGGAACTCTCACAGTGGTGCAGCAGCTAAAGACCGCTTTATGGGGTTCGGAGATACCTCCGGGTACCTGTTTGAGGGCGCGGCCGATGACCTGGCGGCCCTTAAGCAGGCCTGGATCTCGGAACGTATGGCACCGGAATTGTTACATTTTGAGCGTGCCTTAGTTGACCGGGTTTTGGAGCGTATCCGCAAACAAATAGAATACATTGAAATGAATAGCATGGATTTAACACGCGGTACCGACACTAAACTTAAACTACTGCTAGTAGAAACCGATCTAGAACGAATCAAATTTATAATGAGAGGATACCTACGTGCTCGACTTGCAAAAGTAAGTTGTAATTTGGTCTTGTGATTTATGTTGACTAACTAATAGGTTTAGATTGATAAATACACCATCCATCTAATGAGCGATGATCTCCAACGCAGCAAGCTCTCCGAAGAAGAAATTGAATACATGATGGCGTATGTTATTTCTACTACTTCTTATTAACTACTCACTCTAACTTTAACTTTTTAGTCATAATCAAATCCTGACTCGTCTCTACCGAATCCAGTTTCTAGGACGAATCCCTGAACAACTGCGCGCGTTAGACGACTCCAATGACGTGCCAATGGTCGAAACTCCAGACCTCAATCGAACGGTCTTTATAAGGGTAGTGGAAGATATTCTGGAACCCGTGGTTATAGGCACCCAACGCCTGTTACTTGATAACGGCGGCATCTACGCCTTGCGATATTCTGCCGTGGCCTTTCTTGTTGACCAAAAGGCCGTCGTTCTTATTTAAAGAAGAGAAGAAGGAAAAAAAAAAAAAAACTGTACATTAGCTCCCATAACAAATAATATTACTAATACTTTTAAATTACCCGGCCTTTTTCACGCTAAACCTCCATTATTATTATTAATTTTTTTTTTTTTTCCTCCCCCTTTTAAACAAGATTATTATTATCATTATTATTATTATTATCCCCACCAGATTTACAACTTACAACAACCCATCTTCCCAACAATGGCCAATGGACCCTACGACCATTCTACCCTTTACGATGATATCCATAGAATCTTTACATCTCCAGCCTCTCGCCCAGCTAGTAATCCTTCCACAGAAAACATTGCCTTTTCATACGGATCTGCAGCTCCAAACCTAACCCACCACATGGACCCTGACCATCCACCTGCTCGCATCTCGCGAGATCACAGCGTTCTCGGCTTGCCCCAAGAGCTTCAGTCCCCATATCACCCACGCACTAGCACAGATCTTAGCACTACTTCCAGTAGCGTGCCTCCAGTCTCAGTTCCTGCACCACGGGACACGTATGCGAACCGGGCAGCCAAAGCGACTGGAGGCGCGCTGGCGCGCTTCGGTAAAGTCATAATTGGCGCAAATAGCAGTAGCAGTAATAATAATAATAACAATAACGATTATGAAAATGAAAGAGCTCCTTATAGTGAAAGCGCAGTTTCTTCTGGCCGCAATTCGGATCCTCCAAGTAGAGATAATAGCATCAGTGGAAGTTTCACAGGTTACGCAAGTTTTGGCCACCAAAACCCTCAAATCCAACGGTCTCTCAGTACAGCGCCAGGAAGCAGTAGACCTCTTTTATCGCGCGCAAATTCGGCATCAATAGTTAACCAATTCTCTACCTCCTCGTCTCCTCGTCAATTAAGATACATGGAAACGTAAGTTTTTTCTTCTTCTTCTTGTTTTTTTTTTTTTGTTTTTTTTTTCATACTCAATTTTCAAGTAAAAAAAAGGATTTCCGATACTATGCTCGAAACGAGATTCTGGCTATGGGCCCCTCAGCAACAGAACATGCAGTCGCAATTGCCGGTAAGGACTTTTTCCAGATCCTCCGTATCGATAACGACTCGGCCACTGCTGCTCAAGATATCCGCAGTATCCAGGACAGCAGAAACAGAGACTTTGACAAGCTACACAATGTCACAGACCTTTCCTGGGGTCGTCAAGAGTATCGTCACACCATAGCTCTGTCCACCTCAGGAGGCCAAATTCTTGTCTACAATATTGATAAGCAATCCCCCAAACCAGTTTCAAGAATTAACGACTCCAACCGTACAATTAACTCCATCTGCTTCCATCCGTACTATGGCTACAATCTTGTGTCTGCCGGAGGTGATGGAAGTGTTAAAATATGGGATCTAAGACAATCTAAAAGGAAACCTGCCATTTCATTTCTTAAAAGTGGAGACGTGGTCCGCGAAGTTCAATGCTCTCCCTTTGATAACAACAAATATGCCGCAATCTACGACTCGGGTGCAGTCATGCGTTGGGACTCACGATACCCACGGTTGGTGGACCGCAGAATAAACGCCCACTCAGGATCCGGCCTCTCATTTGACTGGCATCCAGAGTACGACTACATCGTCACTGGAGGAATTGACCGGCAAATCCAAATCTGGTACATGAACTCGGAAAATAGAAACCCTGACCTTGTTATCCAGCACCCAGCTCCTGTTGCAAAGGTCCGTTGGCAACACGATATCTTAAACTCAACAGCTTCATCAAAATATGGCGTTCTCAACACTGACATTGCGTGCTGCAACATGAGTCTTTATGATAATGGCATTTATATTTGGAACCCTCGCAGACCGCATATCCCACACTATATATTGGAACCTCATACTAAAGCTGTCACCGATGTGTTTTGGCGCTCGCAATCTACTCTTTGGAGTATTTCCCGAGACAAAACCTTTTCCCAGACTGTTTTGGATCCAAGCCATATGACCATCAAACGTCTCAATTCACAGGCTTTTTCATGGTCCCAAGGTGATACTTTTTCCTTTGTTGCCCAAGACCGTTACGAAGAGCTTTACGACAAAGACCCAGGACACGAACTGCCAGCCGGTGCCGGCGGGACAAACGTTTCGGCAGCTGCATTGACTGCCGCTGCAACTGCTGCTGCTGTTGCTGCCGCCTCCGAAGATGACCGCCGTCGTGGGAGCTCTTCAAACCTGTCAGTCTCTGCAACTGGCTCACGTAAACCTCTTCCTCCAGTCCCTGCTCCTCCATCAACAAAACAATACCAGGCTGTTTATTCAATGAGTTTCCCCGGAGGGTCGTCGGAATCTTTCCAATTCTGTGCAGAAAACTATCTCTACTATGACAGTACTCCTAGTCTAAACGCACTGCGCAAATCAACCACAGATCCTGCCATTGATATAAATACCACTACAGGAATGCGTGCTGTGCAAATTTGCGAATACAATGCAAAAGCTGCCGCACTGGCCGGTAAATTCAGAACAAGTCAAACATGGTACATGCTCCAGGAAGTCATTGGACAAGAACGGGTTGACTTTTTGAAGCAATATAATAAAAATCTAATCAACACTGGCAACCATAGCGGATCACTTCTCCAGCCATATGCCTCTCGCATCCTTGAAAGCCTAAAATCGGTTGAGGTTTCCCCCCTCGCGCTTCCAGCCGATGATTCCAGCTTGAAAATTACCCGCGAACTTTCCCTCGATAAATTCCGCAAGGGATCCACAGTGAGTTCCCTAAGCGGGCTTAGAAACTCAGATAATCAACAAACCCTAAGTATAGCGGCTACAATGGCTCTTGTCGGTGGCCCAATCTCAGCTCTTGCAGATACAAGCAACCTTGCTCCCATTTTAAGCTCCGAAGATTCTTCTTTCCAAGACCATACATACACCAAGGATGATATTATATCTTCGGGAGAAAGTTCATCAAGTCCTACCTCAGCACAAAGACGAACCTCCGTGCCGTTTACCACTGCATCATCTCCTGCATATATTCATAAAAAGGCTTCCTCAAATGCCAGCTCCGAATTCCCATTATATTTTGACCAATTGAGCCAAGATCGCGATTGGAATCGCAAAAACCCAAAAATGTATCCTCGCAATCACACATCATCCCCACGTATGCCATACATGTCTAATAGTGAAAGTATGGGTGATTTGACAGCAATGTATAGCTCACGACACGACCCCAAGTTTAGACGGTTCCGACGAAGAGACACACATGACGGCATTCTGACTCCACAAGAGCCCGCAAAAAGACCCCTGACAACGTACAACAATGGCGCTCAAAGCGATAGCGAAAGCGAAAGTGTTAATGATAGCAGCAGTGCGTCGCGCGGTGATGATGACGACGAAGTCAAGTCGGCTCCTGCAGGCCGCGCGTCGAATATCGAGCAGTATGACATTGAAAGAGCTATGCTGGCATACGCAAGCTACGAATCAGAAGCTTCAGACCGGCCACGCAATGGAAGTGAGGGAAGTACAATTCAAAGGTCTGCTAATAAATCCACAAACAGCGCCAGGGAAAGCAGCGACAAACCCGACCTGTCGTCCGATGAAGATGAAATTTCTTCTGGGTACGAGTCTCGCAACGAAGAAAGCGGATATCCTAAGGATACCTTTGATTCATCTGAAAATGATGCTCTGTCGAGTTCCGACGTTGGCTCTTACGAATCTGAAGATGAATCAAGTAGCATAGAAGCAGAGCCGATCCGACGCATCACTTCAAATGCCACTAACAAAACTACCAACAGTCTTCTCTCGCGGCCGTCTATGAAACAACGACGTTTAAGTCAAGGGTCTTCACATTACTCTGTCCATAGCAAGCACAGTCTTTACTCACACCGCAGATTGCACGGGTTCAATATGGCGCACTACCTAAATCACAAGACAAGGATGCACCCGATCCTAAACACCCATCACATTCGTCCGTACCTGCACCACCATATTCATCATGCAAAATCCAAAAACCAAAAGCCTGGGACTCCGCTGGAGGGCATGGCACATGCGGTTACTGTGCCCGACCTGACCAAGCTCTACCGTATTTACCAGCGCAAGCTGCAGCACCCTTGGAAAGCCGAAAATATGGTAGCGCAAGCCGCATGGTACGCCATTTCCCAGGGCGACATCCAATTGGCAGCAACGCTCGGCATGCTTTTTCTACGTGATTACCCAGGGGCTTTTCACCATAAAAATAGCGAGGGGTTTGAATTTGAGTTTGGCGACCTCGAAGAACACAACGACTTGGCGCCCCCTGATGTCCGTCTTAGTCCGCGGTCCGGCGTGCCGAGCTCGGACCCTTATTATGACCATGTGGGCGATGCATTTGACGACGAAAAGGAAAAAGGTCTGTGTGAAGAGGGCGAGCAGGTAGTGGAGGAGTGGGTACACACATACCTGCAAGACCTGCGGAAACACGAGCAGCACGTTGTTGCTGCAGAAATCATCAAGCTGTCGCCGTTTGATACTGTGCGGCAGCGCGGACAGATTGAAACGGCAATGGATAGTGTGTGTCACCGGTGTGCGGCGCCGCTCTCGGAAAACGGGGCAGCGGCTCAGGCCGAAATGCTCGACATGGAGCTACGCGGTGTCGCACTCGAGCAGCGGCTACCAACACTGGTCGATGAGGTGCGCCAGTACACAGACGAAGAAGAAGATGAGGATGATGATGAGGACTCAGATAAACGGTTGATGGGAGAAATTGTAGCAAGATACACACGATCAGAACGCGAGTACCAGCAGGTGCACGGACATGGAGATCGCCACCACAGCCATCAGCAAGAGAAGGGCCTAAAGGGAGCTGTTTTTTCGCCGGCACCAGGTTCATCATCTGCAGTTGAAGGTGTTCCGCCACGCGTAGAGTTCTGGTACTGCAGCAGTTGTCAAGAGCTTCTGGATGGGTGCGCGTACTGCCGGTTACCTGTCAAAAGTCTTGGTGTCAGTTTCTTTGAGTGCGGCCATAAGGTGCATGCGCAGTGTTTGCAGGACTGGGCTCGTGAGTGTGGCGATATCCCGGACCCCACGGAAATCAAGGAACCCCCACCAGAGAATGTAAGTGTCATTGCGGCCCCGAGAGGCGGAGCCCTGGGTGCACCTTTCGGGGCTACTCCTAACCAGGGCCTTGCGCGAAGCCACACGTCTGTTTATGGTCCCAATGGTGCGCCATTATTAGGTGCACCGTCTGCGCAAACGCCCATGTCGTCAGCCGTTGCTGCGTCCTCTGCCGGATCTTCTTCTGCTGCTTCTGCGGCGGCGGCGGCGGCAGCAGCAGCATCAGCAGCGGCAGCGACAGCAGCGGCAAATAATGGCAACGGGCAATATAATTTCCAGCGCAGTTATAGTGCCACGTATATGCCCTCGAGCTGGTTCCCGAGTTCGTCCTCGAGACAACCGGCACCACCAGCTCCATCGCAACAGCTTTCCGCGTCGCCTGTGGTTGCACCTGCCGCACCTATGCCTGGAATCCAGTCTGCACAAAGCTCGCCGAAGATGATGCATCAGCGGCTCTTTGGTGGTAGTATTGGGGCTGCATCTACACCGTCGCCTGCCATGAAAACGACGTTCCGTCCTGCGCTAGAGTGTCCGACTGGGTGTGGAGCGGTTTTGGTTATTTAAATGTGTAGAATAAAAAAATGTACAGAATAAAAAAAAAAAAAGAAAAGATTAGCTTTATTAAAAATTAGAAATGAATGAATCAATAAAAAGAAACTAGTAATACAAGTAAACAGGAAACAAAACAAAACAAAACTAAAAAAAAAAATTAATTCAAAATAAAGCCAAGTTTTGATTTGGAGCTTTGGGGTTTATCTTCTTCTGCCGAAGTCGCAAGTCCAGCCAAAAGAATAGAAGCTGCCACATGTGCCAGTTTCTCCGTCTTAACTTCAGGAATCTTTTTTTTGATACCTCTAGTGGAAGTTCCCTTAGGCTGAGAACGTTTAGTATTGAGCCGTACGGGAGACGGGGCTGGTGATGGTGAGAGTCTGTTCCCTGGTCTTGGTTTGGGCAGAATGGGCTTATAAGTTTGGCGACGGGTCTGTTGGACCACAGGCACAATAGGTGGTGAGGGGGGACAAGATTCAGGAACAAGCAGTTCCTCAAAAAACTCTTGTTTGATAAAAGTGTTTTCACATTCAGCTTCCTCAAGAGTTTTGTCACCTTCAGTCTCTTCAAGAGTGTCAGTGGAAAAATCCATCTCGTCCACAATGTTTTCAATAGGATCTTCTTTAACACGATCCATGTCCTCCATGGTCTCGTCGCCAGTTTCTTCTTCTTCTTCCTTAGCCTCACTGTAAACAGCATTGGGCAAGTCCAAATAAGTTTTGTTGGAAAAAATCTTAGACTTTGTATCAAAGGGCATGCTAATATCAGAGCGATACTTTTGGTCCTGAAGAAACATGGCAGCAGATGTGTAAAAGTCCAACTGTTCAGAAACAAGAACAGGAATGACATATATTTTCATGTCAGCTTTGTAGCGTGGGTGAGCCATGCGCTTGAGAAACTGGACTGTAAAGTCAGTGACAGGAGTGATTGTGAACTTAACAACGGGACACGTGCCGCTCTTGGAGTCGCTGCGTTGAGTGCTGCTTTGGCGGATCGGCGTCACTAGTGAAAACCCAGTAGCTTCTGGGCGGAAATGCTGCACCATTGCCAAAGAGTCGGAAAAGATGCTGTATTTAGGAGCACGGCTCATGGTACTTGAGCGACTAGTGCTAGTGAGCTTTGTGGGACATGGTCTAATTGTGCCATTGGGAAGCTTTTGGACCAAAGTGCCTTGCTTCCCCTCATAGGACGACAAGAGCTTGACTTTGTGGGATTCCTGGGGGTTACCCTTGGAATAGAGGATATAATAAAGGTCGTCAATATCTGTAGGGAAAACAAGGTCGAGGTCCATGTCGATAGAGAATGGGCGGCCTTGGAGGCCCTTGCGAGATTGTTGGAGTTGTTCTGCTTTAGATCCACGTCGAGAGCCAGCAGGAGTGGATCTAGGACTATTTGGAGGAGAAGGGAGTCCAGCCGTGTCCTGTGAAAACTTCAAAGTATTCAAGGTGGTGTCGTCACGTCCCTGGTTTCTCTTTTTGGAGATGCGTACTTGGCCGCCATAAGTTTTTGTGATGAGGCGCGACATTTCTTTGTAAGGAATTGGGGCTGAGACAGAATATGCATTTGAGGAATGAAGGTAACGGGAAGCTAATGTGGGCCAGCCAGTAGTAGTATTAGGAGAGGAGGATTTTTCAGAGGCATCAGAGAGAAGCTCAAGGTTGCTTTTCTGGCGCTGATGCTTGGTCTTGGTAGTTTTATTTGTAGTTGTAGCCAAAGAATTGGCTCTAGGACGAGGTGGTGAGAATAAAGGAGCAGACTTTGAACCAGCAAAGCTACCGCGGTGAGGATTTGGGGTTGGAGTTGGGGTTGGGGTTGGAGTAGGTGTAGATGCACGATTGGGCAATTCATCATCAGAAAAGCAATCATCTGAGTGATTTTCATAATCTTCATCTTCGGAAGAAGACAATTCGTTTGGAATTGAGAGGCGTTGAGATGGAGACAAGTAGCCGTATTCGGAGAGAGAGTTGATTCTGGAATGGTGAGGAGTAGGAGGATATCCTGAATTATAGTAGTAGCAGTAGTAGTTATCAGTAGTAGTTGGATGGGCTTGGGGGTACTTGAAAGGAATGTGAACAGAAGATGAAGATGAAGAGGATTTTGCAGATAGTTTAAAGGAATGGTTCAGAGGAGATCTAGGAGTATTTTCGTAGGTAATTGCATTGGAGGATTTCAAAGGCAAAGAGAAAAGAGGATCCAGAGGTCCCGGAGAGGACGTCTGTGGTCTTGGGGATGATCTGACATTTGAAGTTTGCAATCTTGGAGCAAACGAATAGAATCTGAGTGAGTCTACAGGGATCATAAGGTATGTTTATAAACTAATAGTGTAATGATAAATGAATGACAATTTAAAAAAAAAAATAAATAAATAAATAAATAAATAAGAAGATGGTTTTATTTTTGTAAAGAAATAAAATAAAATAAAATGAAATGAAATCAATTAAAATAAAATAAAAAAAAATAAAAAAAAAGAAGAACTTCCATGGGAAATCCAAGCTCCTTTTATAGGAGTCTTGAAGAAATGTGGAGAGATTTCTTGAAATGAGGTCCTTGCCAAAAATCAAATTTGTCAATTGTGGTTTTTATTTTATTTTTTATTTTTATTTATTTTTTGTGCAACAGACCCTGGTCGTTTTCTCACGCCGCACTACTACCTTGTTGAAACCAGTTTGGAGGGGAGGGGAGGAGAAGGGGGGCGGCTAGTCAAAAAACTCATCATTCACTCAATTAAATCAATTAATCAATTAATCAATTAATAAATAAATAAATAAATAAATAAATTAATATATTTTGGTTATTATTATTATAATTATAATAATAATTATTATGACCACTACAATAAGCCGCATGCTGATAAGGTGTGTGCGATTATGTCATTTAGTGATAAGACACGTGATTAGAATAATGCACGGCTTTGCTTATTATGTAATTGCTTATGTGTTGTTTTAATTTTTTTTTTTTTTTTTTTCTCTCCACACAAACACTAACCCTCGCACACGTTGCATTTGGCTTGACTGCTGCTGCTGCTGCATCTTCACACAAAACTTTTTGCCCTTTTAAAAAAAAAAAAAAAAAAAATTATCTTCGAAAAACAAAAACAACTTTTTTTTAATTTTTTTTTAATTTTTTTTTAATTTTTTTTTTAATTTTTTTTTTAATTTTGTCTACCAAGCCAAGATTTAATTAACTGACTCTTTGTTTTTTTTTTTTTTTAAAAAAATATTTATATATATATATTCCAATAATGTCTGCCTTTGACCTTCTCAAAAGCTTCTTTGTATACTCTGATCTCGAGAAACGCTTGCTAGAAGATTATGGCGATCCTCCATTGATTGTTAAACATTCACAGATCCGCAAGATCTCAGTCCCTCTCGAACAAACATCTTCTACATCATCTACAACTACAACAACTACAACTACAACTACAAATAACTCTCCAGTAAAACCATCCACCCAACTAACACTCAACCTCCGAGTCGTTCATATCCGCCATTATCGTGGCCATAAATTACCACCATTACCACTCGTTCTCTGCCTTCATGGCCTCGGAGGCCAACTCAACCAGTTCCATGACCTCATCGACCACCTTACACACTTTGCCGAAGTAGTAGCTTTCGACTTACCAGGACACGGCCGCTCTCAGGCCCCCACAGAATGGGCCGCTTACACACCTGAATTTCTCACACGCACAGCACTCGCAGTACTTCAAGCTACTGCTGACGAGCCTGGCCGAGAAGTGGTAATTCTCGCTCATTCTATGGGGTGCATGCTTGCCACTGCTGTGGCACGCGCACTCGGAATTAGATGTCTGGGAATCATAGCCATTTGTCCACCAGTCGATATAGAACCTGGATTGGCAGCTCTTCAACCTAAGCTGGGGTATATGCCCACATGGATGTTCACAGTGTTCCGTAATATTGATAAGCTGGGTGGACTGACATCGCCATCAGTAGAGCGCATGATCTCGCCACACACCAAGGGTACCAAGGAATCGCAGACAGTACGCGAAAAACAGCTACGGTGGAATCTTCAAGTCAATGCAGTTGCATGGATGAAAACAGCATACTACCTACGGGCATCAACTAAAGAAGACTGGGCTAAAGTCGAGTGTCCTGTTCTATTGATTGGTGCAGAAGATGATGCAGTCACACCTCCAGGAAATGTAAAAACCATTGCTTCATGGCTTGGTCCAAAGGCCCGTAGCACAATGTTACACCCAGCAGTGGCCCCCAAGGAAGCGATTGAGGCACTTCCAATGAATGCCGGTAAAGCAGCTCAAGAAACAGACGAGCCCATTTCATCAAGCTCTTCAGACGCATCTTCATCTTCTCCAGTTGTGACTCCTAAGGACGATAATGAAGAAGAACCTATTGAACCTACAATTCTACACGATGCCGGACACATGTGTCTTGTGGAGAAACCTGAAGTTGTTAGTGGATTGATTTCGGATTTTATAGCCAAATATGTGGACGTGAAACTTTCGCTCGGATGGCAGCTGGCGTTTCTTGCGTCTAAGAAAGACAAGTGGAGTTTAAAAAATGAAAACAAGTGGCGGCAAGTGGAAGCAGTGAGCGACTTGATTGAAGGAACACATTTCCGAGCCATGAAGACTCTACGGCAGGATGATGCAGAACATTCACCTTCTCGTGTGGAAGCTTTGTACCCTGACATTACTGACATTATTGACATTTCACGCGAAACGCCACCTTATGACCCATCAACATTCACACATATTGTATACCATAAATTCCCCACGGTCTCGAAACTTCCACCATCGCGCGATGAAGTATCAAGATACATTGCACTGGTTGATAATATTTTGCAGCGTAACCCTGATGCAGTTATTGGCACACATTGTCATTACGGGTTTAATAGAACAGGATTTTTCCTGTGTTGCTATATGATTGAACGGCTAGGGTTTACAATTAAAAAGGCGCTACTGGCGTTCCGCAATGCACGTAACCCTGGAATTAAGCATTCACATTTTATTGATGAGTTGTATGTGCGATATGAACTGTGATGTATAGAAAAAAAAAAAAATAAACAAATAAATAAATAATAAAAAATAAATAAAGAAGAATAGTTTTGAGAATTATTATTGTTTCTTAGCTATATACTTTGTTTTCTCCAGAGTAAGTCATCATCATCTTCTTCTTCTTCTTCATAATCGCTTTCATCTGATGATTCTTCTTGTAATTCTTTTGGTTTTGTTTCTTGTTCTTTCTCCTTAGTTTTTTTTTGGTTCCTTAGAGCCTTGATCCGGTCTACTCGCTCATACATTTCCTCTTGAATCTCCAACTCTTTCGCAATATTATCATATGCATCTTGGTCCAATATAAGATCTCTATCTGGGCCTGATTTTTTGGATCGTAAAGTCTCTTTGTGCTGTGTAGTATTTTCATCCTTAGTCACAGATGTTGCTTCTTTTTGTTTTTTAGATTCAGAGTATATGCTTGGAGCTGCTTGAATTACAATTCCTGATGAAATGTATTCATGTTCTAATAATGAATTTGATACTTGATTTGATTCATTTGTTTCATTTGTCTCATTTGTTTCATTTGTAGTATTACTTGGACCATTCCCATTGTCAGTATCGTTTTGTTCTATTTCTGCTTGAAACCTCGACCACTCATCTTCGTCTACTTTTTCTTCAATAACTTCTGGTTTATGTTTTTTGTAACTTAATTCACTGAGTATTATTTCTGAATCCTGTGGTTCTGTTCGACTCCGTTTAGAGCTAGTGGATGGGGTTTGTTGGTTTGTGGTGGCCATGATGGATTTTATTTGGGAAAGTCTATGATGAATGTTGAATGAAGTATTTTTTTTAAAAAAAAAAAAAAATTAAAAATCTAAAAAATTAAAAAATTAAAAAAAAAAAAAAAATAAACATATGAAATTCAAATAACTCTCGTAAGAAATCCTGGGCTTTTTTTTTTTTTTTGTATATGAGACACACCCCAAGGTTTCAACTAATTGTTTTAATTATCTACTACTATATATACTACTAAAAAAAAAAATTAATAATAATAATAATAATAACCAGAATTTTTCAATTATCATTATTATTTTGGTCTTTAGAAACTTTCCTTTTAAAAGAAACAAGTTTAGTTAACTAACTTTAGTTCATTTCTTCAATTGTCAAAACAAATTTTGTTTACAAATTTGTTTCAAAATTTTTTATTTTTTTTTATATTTTTTTTATATCGTTAAAAAATTCTTTTCAAACAAAAACCGTTGAATCTCAAAACAAACATTTCCTTCCATCTTCAACTTAAGTGACTTTTCTTTCCCTCCCCCTCCTTTTCCTCTTATAATAATAATAATAATAATATTTTGTAAACATAACATTTTAAATATTAAACATTCCTTATTTTTTTTTTCTCTCTCTCAATTGCAAAACTATTAAATGTTGGTTATAAAAATAAATTAATAAAATAAATAAAAAGTCTTTAATTCTTAATAAAGTTCATATAATATCACAATAACAAAAAAAAAACATTTTTTTTATAAGTCATTTAAACTTCAATAGGCCCCTCCACAGGCTCTCCACCTAAAAATTCAACATCTTCACCACCAACACCACCTGCATCATCATCAGCCGGTGTATCTTCTCTTGTAGTCGCTCTATCCCCATCCTTCTCTTCATTCCAAATATCATCGTACAGGTGTCGCTTTGCTGTAATCTTAATCTCCCCAAATGCATGCTCCTGTTTCACCTTAATGGCATCCTTAGTTGCCAATACAAGTACCTCGAAAAACATCTTGACCCGCGTGGATTTGCTGGCAGATGACCCTAGCATCCCATCAAAATCAATTGATCCCCCCTGAGTCGCTTGCCCATCTACATGGACTTCCTCAGGAATGTGCTGTCGAATCATTTGTGCGGCCTTGATTGTGTACTGTGAAACTCCTGATGCTGCTGCAGATGAAGATGCTCCATAAAATACACTACCTTCTTCTTCTTCGGCTGGCATTGCAAGAGGAATTTCTTCCTCCTCTTCTTCTTCCTCTTCTTTTAATTCCTTTTCTTCTTCTTCTTCTTCTTCCCGTGGAGACGGTGCTCCAAAGCCTTCTTCCTTTCCAGCCCCTCCTTCTTCCTCTTCTTCTTCTGCTAATTCTTCCTCGGGTAATTTGGCAGCAATGGTTCCACCAACCTGCTCCTCCTCATCTTCCTCAATTCCAGCAGCTTCTATTTGCTTTTGAAACGCCTCCCGACGCTTCGCAAGAACTTCCTCGCTTACTTCAGGTTCTTCTCTACCCTCTTCAACCCCAAAATCCATACCCCCCATATCCTCTCCACGAGCCTCTTCCTCCTCACTACTCTCATCCTGCTCCAAAGGCGGTACAACAATGCCTTCCAAGTCCAAATCAAGCTCCCCGACACTCGGTGCCCGCACCTCCGGTGACTTAGATCCTTCCTCTGACTCTGCTCTCCGCTCTTCCTCTTGTGGCCCGCCAACATCGCTCAGCGACCGCTTGCGTTTCATCATTTGGCTCACATAGTCCGGCGCAATCAGTCGCGCAATCTCTGGGTGTTGTCTAGGAGAAGATTGGAACATGGCCTGGAGAAATCTTGTCTGATCATTTGCAAGAGCCAGTAGAGAAAACATGGCCGGATCGGCTGGTAGCATTCGGCGATCGGTTCGAATAATACTTTCTCTATTTTGTTGCATTTGTAAGCTGGATGTCTCCATCTCTGTCATCCGATCAATGTGTGCATGGCGAGGGCCTTGGGGCCGCCGCCGTTGTCTTTGTTGTTGTTGGAGTTCATTTTGGAGTTGTTGGTGATGCATTTGTGAAGTCATAATGCTCACTTCATCATCAGCCTTTCCCTCGCCCTCAATAAGGGACATTGCTGGTTCTTCACCTTGTTCTTCTTCGCCGGCAATTTGAATATTTCCCAAGAGATTGGCTGATGTTTGGGGTGGGGTTGCTGGGCCAGAAGGTGATAGGGGCATTTCAAAGTCGGCATTTGCATCAGTGGGGCCTGTAATAGGATGTTCCACATCAGGCATGTCCACATCGACATCCTTAAAGGCAACTTCTCCGGCAGCTTCAATGTCTTCGCCTTCGGGTCTTTGTGGGGGGGCAGACAAACCAAGTTCAACATCTTCGTCTTCTAAGCCAGCGGCAGCAATTTGCTTTTCAAAAGCTTCGCGACGTTTTTTAAGCACTTCTGAGTCGAGTTCTTCTTGATCATGTTCATCATGTTGGATATCAGGCATAGTACCCATATCATAACCTTCTTCTTCTCCTTCTCCTTCTTCTCCCTCTTCTTCAGCACCGGGGACAGGTGATAATCCTTCAAGGTCGAGATCCAATCCGGTAGTACCCTTTTCTTCGACTTCTTCGTCAAAATTTAATCCCAGATCCAAGTCCTGGTTATCGTCCAAATCATCCAAATCGTTTTTTGCGCGTCCACGACCAACATCCACGGTATCATCCATATCAGCTAGGGTAATGTCTCTGCGTTGAGACGCGACTTGGGACGAGATGAGAAGACTTGTACCTTCTTCGTCGACATTTCTACGACCCATGAGAGAGCTTCCAACGAAATCCTGGTCAAAATCAAAATTGGGATCAGGTAAGAGCAGTAGGTCGAGATCGGTGACTTTGTTTTGGAGTGTAAGGGTTTGTGTCTTAGCGACGGCGACAGTGTCTTGGTCCATATCGACATTTCCTGGTCGGAAAGCCATGCGAAGTTTGAGGAGAATTTCTTTACAGTCTTCTGCAAGATATGAAGCCTTTTTATTGTAGATACGGACGACACCTAGGAGGAGTTGTCCTGAGAGACGAAGAGCTAGGGGGACACCTGAGCTATCGACAATAGCATGGACTGAAGTTGAGATGTCAGTTTTGATAAACTGTTGGCGTGTGACTTTTTTTTCCATGTTAGCAGCGAGCCAAACTTGGGCGAGAGGCCCATCATTGCTCAGGAGGTTTTCTGAGTAGAACATGGCGAGTGTTCTTATAAGTTGCTAAAAAAGAAAGTCGCGTTTTGAGTATATTTAAAAAAAAAAAAAATTAAATAAATAAAAAATTAGAAGAAAGTTGTTGAATGTTATATTTTTTTTTTTTGTTGGTGGAGGTTTTTAATTAAAAAAGTAAATAAAAGAAGGTGGTGGTAGTGCACAAAAAAAAAAAATTAATAATAAAAATTAAAGTTTTCTGAGTATCTTTTGGTCTGATATGAATATTTGAGTCTTGGACGCGTACTATTTCGCGTTTATCACGTGATATTTAAAATATCCCAAAGAGGAAATTAAAAAGATATCTTATTTTATACTGGGGGTTTTCTTTTTTTTTTTTTTTTTTGTTTAGATAAAATAAATATTGGTATTACCCCCACTATTTCTAAGAGTCATCTCGATTTAAGAGCCGTTTTTTTTTTTTTTTTCTTTTTTAAGGGCGGATAAACCGTTAGATAGAAGAATAAGAATAATAAATAACTTGTATATTTGAATAAATCTAAATTTATGTTTATATAAATATAAATATATGCGCCATCCAAATAGCCGTTGCAACAGAGTAGGTTTAACGTAAAAAATAAACAACGTAGCCAACCAGCCAAATATATTTTTAAAAAAATAAATAAAAGATAAGCAAAATAAGAAGGTCCATGAGCGGTTTTTTTTTAGTTAACCAAAAGTTATAATTATATATAGATGAAATTTTGATTAACTTATGAAGAAGAAGAAAAGAAGAAGTTCAAATCTTTAAGAGCATTTTTTATTTTTAATCTAATTATATATATATATCTTAGATATAATGAAAAGGAAATATAGCAGATTAGAGAAGACAATCTTTAAATAAAACTAAGAACAATAGTAAAAAATAAAAAAAAAAACTAAAAAAAAAAAAGGATTTTCCCGCTGATGGATTGTCTTTTCTAATCTGCTAAATTTCCTTTTCCTTTTCATTTTCTTTATTTTTTGTTAAATTAATTTTTTTTTTTTTTTTTCAATTGTAATAAACTTCATTAATATTAATATTATAATTATAATAATAATTATAATTGAAATTGACTCTTTTCATAAAAAAAATCTCAAAATCCAAAATCTAAAAATCTCATAATACCCGCCGTAGTATTATTAAATTTATTATCTTTATTTAATATACTATAGATAATATATTATAATAAGCGACCATCCAAATAATTTTATATTAAAGTACTTCAATAGTTAAAAGTAACTTAATATAGTACTAAACAACAACTCAGCGGTTAAAAAAAATATTCCATTTCTTTCTTTGTTTTAAATGGCGGCTATTTCAATATTTTTTCTAATAATAAATAAAAAAAATATCTTTCAACAACAGCAACAATTTGGCGCGTTTCTTTAGTCGCACGGCTGACTCTCCACACACTCAACCTCTTTTGGTCTACACAACCGCCCAACTGGCCAGTCTGTCAGCCAGTCTGCTAGTCTGCCAGCCAAAATAAAACAAATAAAAAAAAAAAAAAACACCTTCCAACTTGCCCGATTGAAAATGCCAAATGTGTATTTTTTTGTTTTTTTTTTTATAACCGCTGACTAGTCACTATTACTGCTGCTGCTATTCTCTTTCAATCTGCCCATTTTTGCGCTTATATATCTCTTTTTATTTTTTCCATTCAAATCCCTCTTTTAAACCAAAAAAAAAAAAAAAACTATTTAAACAACTGTACTTCCCTCAATCTTCAATTCTCTTTTTTTTTTTTTTTTTTTTTTTTATTCTTTTCTATCTATATCTCTCTATCCATCTTTTCATCTTATATATCCATCTTTCCAATCCTCATACACACACACACACACATTCTAAATGATCAAGCAAGTCCGCCCCTCAACTGTGGCTCGCCCCATTGGCTCTGCCATCAAGTCTACCGTCGGTGCTGCCGTCTCCGGCTCTAGATCCCTCGCTTCTGTCGCTGAGACTTACTACCCTGAAGAGCCCGTTGCTCCCAAGATTGTCTCTGCCACCGTCCCTGGCCCTGAAAACGCTAAGGCCATTGAGAAGCTCACCAAGGTCTTTGACACTCGTGCTGCCTACTTTGTCGCTGACTACTACAAGTCTCTCGGAAACTACATTGTCGACGTTGATGGCAATGAGCTCCTTGACCTTTATGCCCAGATTTCTTCTATTGCTCTCGGCTACAACAACCCCGCCGTTCTCAAGGCTGCCACTTCCCCTGAAATGGCCATTTCCCTTGCCAACAGACCCGCTCTCGGTAACTTCCCCTCTAGCGACTATGCTGAGATTCTCGCTGACGGTATTCTTGCCGCTGCCCCTCCTGGCCTCGACAAGGTCTGGACCGACCTTTCTGGCTCTGGCGCCAATGAAACCGCTTTCAAGGCTGCCTTTATGTACAAGCGTGCTCAGGAACGTGGCTTTGATGCTGACTTCTCTTCTGAAGAGCTCGAGTCCTGCATGGTCAACTCCAAGCCTGGTTGCCCTGATCTCTCTATTCTTTCCTTTGAGACTGCTTTCCACGGCCGTCTCTTTGGCTCTCTCTCTACTACCCGCTCAAAGCCTATCCACAAGCTCGATATCCCCTCGTTCAACTGGCCCAAGGCTCCCTTCCCAGTCCTCAAGTACCCCCTTGACAAGTACGCTGAGGAGAACCGTGCTGAGGAAGACCGCTGCCTTGCTGAGGTTGAGCGCCTCATTAAGACTTGGCCCAACCCCGTTGCTGCCGTTATTATCGAGCCCATCCAATCTGAGGGTGGTGATAACCACACCTCTCCCTACTTTGGCCAGGGTCTCCGTGACTTGACCAAGAAGCTCAATGTTCTCTTCATTGTCGATGAAGTCCAGACTGGTGTTGGTGCCACTGGTAAGTTCTGGGCCCACGAGTACTGGAACTTGACTGATGCTCCCGATATCGTCACCTTCTCTAAGAAGTTCCAGGCTGCTGGTTACTACTTTTCTGAGCCCAAGATTGTTCCCAACCTTCCTTACCGTCAGTTCAACACTTGGTGCGGTGACCCATCCAAGGCCATCATTGCCCGTGCCATCTACAAGGAGATTGTTGCCAACGACCTTGTTGCCCGCACTGCCCAGGTCGGTGAGTACCTCATTGGCAAGCTCGAGGCTCTTTCCACCAAGTTCCCCACCAAGATTCAGAACCTCCGTGGTAAGGGTACCTTCATTGCCTGGGACATGGAGTCCCCTGAGGTCCGCGACTCTTTCCTCAAGGCTTTGAGAACTAACGGTGTCAACTGCGGTGGCTGTGGCCCCAAGTCTGTTCGTCTGCGCCCTGCTCTTGTCTTTGAAGAAAAGCACGCTGACATTTTTGTCGATGTTGTTGAGAAGGTTTTCCAACTGTAAGATGATTGATTTTTGATAGGAAAAAAAAATTTTTTTATAAGAAGCTGGTTCTTTTGAAAAAAAGTTATAATAAAAATATATAAATGAAAAAAAATGAATATAATGATTAAATTTTTTAAACTTATTTCTTAATAATTATCAAAGGGGGATGTAAATTTAACCGCAGAAGGTACTTTTTCAAACGGTTTTTTTTTCTTTTTTATTTTAAATTTCCAATTTGGGAAATTTCCCGCTCAAAATGTCCAAATGACGTTTTGTCAGCTGACCCGCTCAAAAGTATAAAAACGACTCAATTTCTCCAAAATTCTCTTCCTCCAAATTTCAAAAAATTTAAAAAAAAAAAAACTCCTCCAGTCTTTAACCGCCAACCTGTCCAATTCTTGTTGCGAAAATCTAAAAAAAAAAAAAAAAAAAGGACAAAAATACAATCCTTCTGATACCATGTCGCCTCTCCCTGAAAACCTCTCCATTGCATCTCTCCAGGTTCATGCAGATGACGATCTTGCCGTCACCTCCGACGTTGCTGCTCCACTTCACGTCTCAACCACCTTCCGCTACCCTTCAAACCCAGCAGACCTGCAAACCGCAGGTGACTTATTCAGTGCTCTTGATGCCGGTGAGCTTTCACACAATGACATTCCGCACATTTACTCGCGCTACACACAGCCCGTGTCATCTCGTGCGGAAGCTGTTTTGTCCAAAATCATTGGCGGCCACGCTGTGCTCTACTCCTCAGGGCTCTCAGCATTCCATGCAGCCATGATTTATTATAACCCTAAAAACGTCTTCATTGGCGACGGGTACCACGGCTGTCACGGCATTTTGCACATTCTTGAACGCAACAATGGAACAAAAATCCACTCCCTCGACGCAGACCCTGAGATTCTTCAGCCAGGTGACGTGATCCACCTTGAAACTCCAGTCAATCCTACAGGATTGGCCTTTGATATCACACATTACGCCAAAATCGCTCACGACCGTAAGGCTTTTCTCGTAATTGACGCCACATTTGCACCCCCACCCCTTCAGGACCCCTTCAAGTGGGGGGCTGACCTTGTCATGCACTCGGCCACAAAGTACTTTGGCGGTCACTCAGACTTGCTTGCTGGTGTATTGGTCACCAAAGACCCCAAGGTCGAGACTACTCTTAAGGCTGACCGTAATTACATAGGCACTATCACTGCTTCGCTTGAGTCTTGGCTTTTGTTACGTTCACTCCGCACATACTCTTACCGTATTAAGATCCAGGCTGAGAGCGCCAACGCCATTGTTAAGTACTTTTACGAAAATAGAGCCAAGTTCCCCGTGCTTAAGAAGATTTACCATTCTTCTGTACAGGTTCTTGATGAAGATCAGGAGAAGGTTGCCTTTATTAAGGAACAATTGCCTCTGGGTGGCGGCCCTGTGTTTTCAATTGAAGTTGCCGATGAGGAAATTGCTAAAACTTTACCCTCAAAGACTTCTTTGTTCCACCATGCAACCTCTCTCGGTGGTGTTGAGTCGCTTATTGAATGGCGTGCCATGTCGGACCCTACTATCCAGCGCACACTTTTGAGAATCTCGGTTGGTGTTGAAGATACCCAGGATCTTATCAATGATCTTTCCCAGGCCTTTAACCAGTACAATTAGATGTATAGATTTATAGATAGATTGATTGAAGTTTTGGTAGAACAAGGACTTTAAGGTTTTTGATTATATGAAATAAATGTTTTTATTTTTATTATTTTAGATTTAAAGGAATTGGAGGGAAGAGAAGGGGGGGGTTAAAAAAAAATGAATCAGCCATGCAAAAATCTTGCAATTTATTTATGCATGTTCAGTGTTATATATCATGAACCCCTTAATCTTTAGACCCATCTCTTTCCCCTTTTTATATATACAAAGAAAACAAACAAAAAAAAAAACGGCGTGGCTTAGTTTTTTTTTAGTTTACTTTAAATGCGCCACAAACCTTTGTCAATTGAAGAAAACAGTGAAATTTTCTTAAGTGAAGCTTGTGGAGATTGTTTGTTTGACTAAATAATATAGTGGGCTATTAAAAAGGAAAAAAAAAAACATTTAATTTTCATTGAATTCTCAAAAATACACCGGATTCAAATGTAATGAATGAATATATATATAGTCATATATATGAAATTAATCTAGATGAAATCTAAATCTAGAAGAACTTGAGAAATAAATAAAGTATTAATTTAATCGTTTAATTTTTTCTTTTTTTTCTTTTTTTGTCCAGCACTTGTAAAATGTTCAAATATTTTCATCAACTTGTAAATAACTCTCATTTTCATATTAAATTTCAATTTTGATTTTTAACAATCAGCCTTTTTTTTCATTAATAAATAAGTTTCTGTATGCGATAAACCAATTGTCTTTAAGGCTTATTTGATTTTTCATCTCATTCTCAATCCCCCCCTTTTTTTTTTTTCAAATTTTCTTATCTAACTTTCCGGGTATCAAAAATTCAATCGCATCTTCTTATCGTATATGATTTCAAATCCACTTTGTTTTTTTTCTCTTTTTTAAAATATTTTTTTTACCCCTATGGGAATCTGTCTGCGCCACAAGCCTTTTCGATATTGGAAATCTATCAGCCTCTGTAGAAAAACACCCCTATGGGAATCTGTCCGCGTCCTGATAGCCTCTGGTTTATCAGCGGACCGGGGTGTATTCAAAAACCATCAAAATTCATATAAAACAAACCTCAATTCCTGTAAAAAATTTCTCTAAAATTCTTTTAATTTCATTTTTTGGTATCTCAAATCCATCAATTTCATTCTTTTTATTCCAGGTATCTATCATCACTTTAATTGTCTACTCTCAAAAAAAAAAAAAAAAAATGCCCCCCACAAATCTCGCAATGGCATCTCTCCAAGTCCATGCAGATGACATGCTGGCTGCCACCTCCGATATCGCTCCACCTCTCCACGTTTCAACTACCTTCCGTTACCCATCCAACCCTCAGGATCTCCAAACAGAAACCGATCTTTTCAGTGCACTGGAATCTGGTGAGCTTTCTCACACAAGTGTTCCACATACTTACTCCCGGTACGCACAACCCGTCTCCACAAGAGTTGAAGCCGTGCTCTCCCAAATTACAGGCGGCCATGCCATAGTATATTCCTCGGGGGCATCGGCATTCCACGCTGCAATGATCCATTATAACCCTCGTAATGTGTTTATAGGTAATGGGTACCAGGGTGGCCATGACATTTTGCATATTCTGCAGCGCAACTATGGAGTCAAGGTCCACCCACTCGATTCAACTCCAGAGCTGTTGCAACCAGGCGACGTGATTCATCTTGAAACTCCAGTAAATCCTACGGGACATGCACTGGACATCGCTCACTATGCCAAAATAGCACACGATAGAAATGCGTTTCTGCTCGTGGACTCTACACTAGCCCCTCCACCACTCCAGGACCCGTTTAAATGGGGGGCTGATCTTGTTATACACTCAGCCACAAAGTACTTTGGTGGTCACTCAGACTTGCTTGCTGGTGTATTAGTCACCAAAAACTCTAAATTCGAGACAGCGCTCAAGGCTGATCGTAACTACATTGGAACTATCACTGCTTCGCTTGAGTCTTGGCTTTTACTACGTTCTCTCCGCACATATTCTTATCGCATCAAGATCCAAGCAGACAGCGCCAACGCCATTGTTGAGTACTTTTACAAAAACCAAGCCAATTTCCCCGTAATTAAGAAGATTTATCATGCGTCGGTACAAATTTTGGAGGAACCTGAAAAGGATGTTTTTATACAAAAACAGTTGCCTCTTGGTGGTGGACCTATATTTTCCATTGATGTTGCCAATGAAGAAATTGCAAAAACATTGCCGTCAAAGGTTACTCTTTTCCACCACGCTACATCGTTAGGTGGAGTTGAGTCGCTCATAGAGTGGCGAGCCATGTCTGATCGTAACGTCCAACGAACTCTGCTTCGGTTTTCGATTGGGGTTGAAGATACGCAGGATCTTATTGATGATTTAGTTCAAGCATTTAGACAGTACTCCTAACTTGATTCGATAGATTATTGTATATAGTTGATATTGGAGTATTAATTCTGGGGTGATGAGAAGGCATAAGGAAAGAACAATAGTTGAGGGCTTTTGATTAACTTAAAGTATAAATAAAAGACAAGGAAAATTTGTATCTTTATATACTTTTTTTTTTATTATAATCAGAGCAACTTTTACAACCTTTAAAACTTTTAAAACTTTTAAAAAACAAAAGACTTAAGTGGCGTATGAGTTTGTGGCGTAGCCAACCGTTTAAACTCAAAGAATTGTGGCTTGACTATAGCCGCACCATAAAATAAATGTGGCTTGATGGCCTCCTCGACACCTGTTAAACGTGGCTTCCTTAAAAATCCAATAAAGAAGTTTTTTTTTATATCTAAAATGACGCAAATAAACAAAAAATTAGAGCAGTTAAAAGTGCCGTGTGAAATTTTTTCTGTTGAATAGAATTGAATTGCCTTCAATTTTTTTTTGTTGTGGCGCACTCGGCTTTGATACGCCACAAAATTGCCTTTAAGAAACTGAAATCTCCAGTCTTTGTGGCGCAAAACTTGTGGCGCAAACCATCGATAGCCACCGATTTTAACTTATCATGATAGCTAATCAATGCATAGAAGCTTTCGTGCTTATTTTTTTTTTTAAAATTCTAGAAAATGTCATTAAAAAAATGTCATTGAAAAAAAAAAAAAAACTGGTTATAAAACAAAAACTTTGGGAATTCTAATAGATTTTCAACTATGGGCATTTCAGTTTGGGTGAGGGAAAAAAAAGGGCTTCCACACTAAAAATTTGAGGGACCTTAGACCTATACAATACAAAACAATCTGTAAATAAAAGTCTCTTTCAAGGAAAAAAACAAACTCCCCAACAAAACAAAGCATTGAAAAACTCACTCAGATTGCCTTTTCTTTCTGCTTAAATTTCCTTTTTTTTTTTTTTTAAAAACGAAATAAACTTGTGGCTTAAAATTACATTGTCCTTTTCAGACCTTTTTTTTTCTTTTTTTTTCTTTCCTTTCCTTTTGTGCCGTGGCGTCCACCTATTCGCCCCCCCTTTTTTTTTTCTTGGAATCTCTCATTTCTCAAACTTTTTGCTCATTTTATTTCCATTCCATTTTCATTTCCATTTTATTCAACAAATTATCCATCCATTCTCTAATCCTTTTTTCCATTTCTTTGTGGAATCTGTAAGAAACTTGTTAATGAGAGCTCTTTCACGTGGAAAAAAAAAAAAAAAACATTAAATCACCGTAGCGTAATTTTTTTTTCACACACACACTCTCTTGGTCAAAGTGGCTTTATGTGACAACCACTATTAACCCCAATGACTCCACTCTCCGGCATGACCTGACCTTTTAAGCTGTGGCTTGAAGATTGTGGCTTCAAATCTTTAAATCGCTTGGCCTCTTTTAGATTCCATTCTGTATTAAAAGAAAAATGTGGCGTTCAACCAAAGTAAATTACTAAAAAAAAGAGAAACAATAAAAAAAATATCTTCTTTAAAATGGCCATCTCTCTAAATTTGTGGCGTTCTGGTGCCGCAAGAGGCTTTCACCTGGCATTATTGCTTCCACACTCTGTGGCGTTTGGTATTGTAATTGCTTTTTATTAAACAAAACATTTGCTAAATTGTGGCTTTCATCTTAATCAAATGCCGTCAAACTTGTGGCTTTTTTTTTTTTTTTGCTTTGACTTGTATTTGAAATAAACATACAATCAATGTGGCCTTGGGTATTGTCTTTGCCCCGCACTCTTTCATATTTCCTCCCTAAATGTGGCTTCGAATGGCAATTAACTTTAACTTTGTGGCTTTGAGTACTTTCTTTTTCATTGTAATATTATTATGGCTTTCAATACAATCAATGCTTTTCAATCCCTCAAATACAATCTCATCAACTGTGGCTTTGAACAAACACTTTAAATAATTATTTCCATTGTGGCTTTCCCACGGCATCAAAATTTCCAAATGTCTTTTATTTTGTGGCTTTGAGAATCTCATTTGCCTCCACTATAAACTAAATATTCTTCCTCTTCTTGTGGCGTCTCTTTCACAAATCCAGTATGTTTTAAGAAAATTGTGGCTTTGGGTATCATTTCTTTCCAACTTGGACCCGTGGCTTGCAATAGCACAAGCAGCATTGACTATAATGGCTTTGGAATAACAATACCAATTCAACTATTTCTCTAACTTTCAAAAGCATTAATGTAATAAATCATCCAAATAGTGTGGCTTTTCCTCCTTTTGTTTTTATTCAAGGGTTATTGTGGCTTTTTCTTCACATTATCATTAATGGTATTTTGTAAATAGAATTGTGGCTTCAACATGGTAGCTCTAGATAGTTTTATTTTCAACCTTTCTCTTTTGTTCTTTTGTGGCTTATAATGTGTTTAAGATTCTTTTCATACTTTAACATCGTGGCTTCAAGTCATGGTTTTGATTTCTGCTTTCATCTACTTGACATTGTGGCTTTAAAAACTGTGGCTTTAAGTATCGGACTTTTTTAATACAAACCAATGACTATCTCACATGAAAACTATCAAAAAAAAGCTTTAAATGGAAACTGTGACTTTGGAACTGTGGCTCAAGGTATATTCACTTTGGAGTTACACTCAACTGTGGCTTTAAACTTGTGGCTCTGAGTAATAATTTTTTTTTGCTTAATTGATATTTGTGGCTTTAGGTATTAGAACAATTCTTGATCTGTGGCTTTCAATGCCCAAGAATAATATGGTGGCTTTTTTTTTAACATCCTTTTTTCCCCTTTAACATTCAACACTTTTACTGCTGTGGCGTTCAATGGTATTTTCATCTGATCTCTGCTTTGATATGTGGCTGCTGTGGCTGCTGTGGCCGTTAATTAGAACCAAAAACTTCCCAAAAATTATTCGAAAAAAAAGGTGGCTTAAAGTTGATTAGAAAAGATTGATAGAAACACAAAAGGTGGCTTGTTAGCCAAATGTGCTCATGTTTTATAGGCCATCATAGAGTATAGAATGGTCATGATCATGACCTATTGAAAAGGAAAAGAAACAAAAGAAAATGGTGGAAAGAAACACGAGGAAATCAAAGGCCCACTCATTTCCGGAACATTTAAGCATTTTAAAGACTCGAAGAGTCTTATAAAAAGAAGAGATATTGACCATAAAAAGAAGAAAGAAATAAGACAAGAGGCTTCTAAAAGTATTAAATCAATAACAAAAAAAAAAAAAAGAAATAAGCCCAAAACAGACTTTAACAAAGTTAAACCTTTTAAATTTAAATTGAAATTGAAATTAAAGTCAAAGGTTATCGAATATAAAAAATAACTTTAACGTTTAGTCAGAAACCGTTAAAATATTCAGAGTGACTTATTAAGACAACAAAAGGAAGATTCATTCAATTGATTGGGAAGACCGTAGGACTTTAGAAACAAGGATCAGAAAAAAAAAATAATGGAACTAAAAAAATAGGAAATAAACATACCAGATTAAAAAAAGTAGAAAGCAAGAACACACGTGTAAATGAAAGCTGTAGAAAAGAAAGTGTGACTGAAATAAATTAATTAGAACCATAAACAAGAAAAGTGTGAAAACGACTTACCATATAACAAACACCAGTCAAAATAAACGGATATATCCGTTTCTGAGTTTCCGATAATTTAAAACGGTTGTTATAGTAATAAAGTCCCATAAAAAAGGGTCTCATGGGTTGGCTATAAGTTGCCAACATTGGGTGTTATATTCACACCATAAGAATGAGCAGAAAGGGAAATTTGTATAATTAAATGAAATATGGAGTAAAAAAAAATAAAAAAAAGGGAATATTTAATTATAATTATAAAAAATATTTAATTATAATTGAGTTTTTTTTTTTCAATAATTTTATTAGAAAATGAGAGGAATTGTAAACCTTTTATAATAAGTGTGTAGAAGAAGAAAGGAAAAAAGATTTTTGGTAAAAAAATAAATAGGAAAAGAAAATTTATAATGCAAGAAAAAAAAAACCAGAATTTTTTTCTTTGGGACATTTAGACAAACAAAGAAACAATAATTGTAGACCAGTAGAATGGAGCCACAGTTCATTCAATACAACTTCCAGCCTCGCTTAGTCTCTAGTAAATTTCCAAATAAGAAAACAAAAAAGGGGGAGAAAGAGGGGGGAAAAGGGAAGAAAAAGAGAAAATGCAACGGGGTACCCCAAAATATTTTAAAGTCTAGAAATGGTTGACTTCTTTGTGGAAATGCATGGCTGGAAATGGGAACCGTTTTTAGAGAATTAAAAAAAAAAACGGTTAAAAGATTGCTGCTTATTTTGAGTCTAAGGACTTTTTTTTAATTTTCTAGAATTCTAATTGGATAAACTCATTTAATAGAGAGATTTTTTTTTTTTGTTGTGACCACTGAAAATGTACTTTTGGATAGTTTGTGGATGTTTGTGTGAGTCGACTGAAAGATTAGTAGCAGTTGAGGCAAAACATATTGATTCAAATATACATTATAACTTAGAGATTAGCAATTATTTAAAAGATTGAGTTAAATATGGTCAAGTATTTTAGAAATATGATATTCCCCAGTATGTCTTTTTTTCTTATAATTGAATGGTGATTGTTACAAATATAGTCACCTTTGCTTAACTGGCAAGCCACAAAATCATCAATGTGTCAATACTGCTTACTAAAAGTTGAGCAAATAGGGCTGAAGATGACTTGAAATGAAGAATAATAAACTATATATGGTTTTATTTAAAATTTTTTTTTTCTTTCTATTTTTTTAATCGTTTCATTAAAAAAAACTTACATTTATTCATTTGTCTTTTCATTGTTTCTCTTAATAATCTTTGAGGCCCATTAATTATCATTCATCTAGGGTCTTGTTTCCAAAGCAAAGGATATACTAATTCCATATCATCATGGAAACGTAATAGATAAAGACAAAAAAACCAATAATGGAAAGTTAAAAAAAAATAAAAGTTTTAAAGCAATTCTCATTACTTAATTCAGTGCTATCTTAACGCGGTTTAAGCTGGGCCTTTATTGGATTATTTGGATCTTAAGTTTTTGAAAACATAGGATTTTAAGATGATATTGTGCAACAAAATGTTTTTTTTTGTCTTGTTTTCATCCTAAACAATAAATGTACTTTTATAAGCAAATTAGTAAGATTGAAAAAAAAGAAGAGAGGAGCTTTTGATTGAATGAGCACTGTCACAATATCAAAATCTAGTTATCAGGTATTGAATGGGTGAATTAATTAATATTCAGCATCTTCATTTAAAACATTTTAAACAGGCATATTTTAAAAATTTTGAAATCGTTAAAAGAAAGAAAAAAAAAGAAATCCAATTTTAACCAATCAACTTAAAACTTTAGACGGATTCACTTTGACTTCCATTAGCAGGTTGCATTTTCTTTTAGAGCTTCCGGATAACGTTCTCAAAAACTAGAAAAAAAGTTACAAAACTAAGTTTTTTTTTAATTTCAAAGCAAAGAAATCACTTTAAAATTCATTTTAAAATGAGTTCATGCTTGTTTATCTTTTTTGTTTTAAAGGAATTTATAATCAACCTATAATTAATTTCAACAAGAATCTTTGAGGGCTGAGTTAGAGGTTAAGCTAAATATATCAAAAAGTAAGAGTTAACCCTTTGTTTATGCTTATTAAAAAATTGTTAACTATACTTGGATTTTGTTATTAACTTAGTGAAAATGATAAGGAATTCCATAATAAGACTTTCCTTTTCTTAGAATGCAAATGGCAAGGTGTTTGTTAAATTTCTTTAACTCACATTTTATTTAACTAAAAACCAATGGCATAGAAACAAATATTTTTAAAAATAAACAATAGCCATATATATATATATATATATATAAATTAATTATTACCCTAGTTGTAGTCATGAAAGTAATTAAAATCTTTAATTGTCCATTCAAATCCAAAATTGCTTTCATCAGCTTGTCAAAAAACTAGTCCAAGGTTTAGGGTTTTTCTCCACTACATATTAACACCATTAAATCACCAAATTTTTTTTTTTTTCTTTTTTTACAAAATTTAAAATTTCAACACAAACACCCAAAATAAACGACCCACCCTAATAACAACAAAAAATCAAACACAACAGCATGGCATCACCACAACCTTCGCCAACCACAGCCATCCCACCAGCGTCACCAGCAACCTTGTCTTCAAAAACAGACCGACTAACTTCGCGTGAGGCCTCTGCTGCACGCCGCAACGCGTTGCGAGCATTTTACAAGCTCTCTGCGGAACCAGCATCGTCGACTGCATCATCATCATCATCATCATCATCAACGGCTCAGACAATTACAGGAACAACATTAACCACAGATTCATCAGCACTTGCGTCTCCTGCATCCCCTACAACACCTTTGGAATCTGTTCCGGAAGGCACTACATTGTCTGATCAAAGTGGAGCAAGTGGAGCAAATGATCCCTCAGAAATTGTAGCTGGGCTCTATACGGCTTATGAGAAATATGTAGCAGGACAACCGGAGTCTTCACCAGAGACAAAGAAAACGGAGGTCAACGGGGTGTATGTACAACCGATTGACACGTTTGTTCGGGACCTGATAGCACGGCACGATCTCAAGACACTGCTACAGATTGAAAACGAGCTAGTGGCAGAAATCCGGACACTGGACAGCGAACAAAAGGCATTGGTGTATAATAACTATGCGAAACTGACAGCAGCTGGGACTGCTCTTCATGGGGTAAGCCGGGAACCTATGGCTGAGACGACGGAAGAAGACGGCGGCGGCGAGATTGAGTTAGGGAAGGAGGAGGATGAGGATGAAGATAAAGAGCTGAGTAAATTGGCGGGCAAAAATGTGAGAGAGAAGATTGAGCAGGTGGTTAAGGGACTTGGTGACATTCGTGCGGAAGCGTTAAAGGTGGCTGGTGAAGAAATTGTTCCGCCTCTCAACCCTGAGGAAGAGTCACCGCTGGTGCAAACTGCCAAATGGTTAGTGCGCGTACCTAATGATTTGCCAATAGCTGTGGCGTCAGTTTTGGCACGGCCAGCTAATGATCCAGAGAGGGCCAAACTGTTGGCACGGGCTGCTGCAGTCAAGGCTCGAGCATTAACAGCTCTTGATCATTTAATTTCTAATTCAGGGCCTGGGTTACAGTTTGCATTTGATAAGGATGAGTTGGGTGGATTACGAAAGAAGATTGAGAGTATTTCTATTAGTTGATTTATTGATATATTGATTGATTAATTTATTTCAAAAAAAATTATCTAAATACTAACTAAATTTATAATATAATAAATGCTTTTTTTTAAAAAAAAAAAAATCCTTTTTCGTAAATACAAAACACATAAACACACATGAAAATCATTAATTAAAAAAAAATAAAATAAAACAAAAAATGGACCCAACACTTTGTTGAAAGTGGGGCTATGAAGGTTCGTCAAGTCATTAAGAAAGTCGTTAAGAAGGTTGAAATCTTCTCTGAAAAGAGTTGAAGTCTTTTTAGAAATGAGTCCACGGGAGCGGTTGAGTTTTCCCGTTGACTGTAATAATAATAATAATAATAAGAATCACGGATTCTTGTCTATTTTATTAAAATGCAGAAATGCCGGCAAGAGCTTCAAAGATCTTGTTGGAGGACTGGAAGTCATTGTGAACAATGTTGATTAGTCTCCATTGGTCCGCAACTTCGTTGAGAAGTTTTTGGGCTGCAGAGTCCTTGTCACAGCAGCGAGCCCATTCGTGGGCCAACTTGAAAGCTTCGTCCTTCCAAGCCAAGAATGAAATCTTTTCGACAATTGTAGGTTGGATTACCTCGTGGCCAGGGTAGATACCCCATGTGACAGCGTTGGGGCCGCCATTTTCCGGGGCATTTGTTTCAAGATGACCCGCATTGTCGACCGAGTAGTATGTAATCTGGGGGTCCTGAGTAATTTGGGCAATGATTTTATCAGCAAGGGATTCAGGAACCAAGAGTTCGAGGTAGGCCTTTTGATAGACATAGCCATGGGCAGGTCCCCATCCATGGACAGGGTGGTTTGAGGGAACACCATTTACAGAAGGTTGGGAGTTGATTGTGAGAATGCCACGGGTGTTAAGATCAATGAGCTGGGGTTTAATTTCATCAACCTCGGCGGAAATGGGGGAATCAGACCATGGGAGAGAGGAGGTTTTGCCATTAATGTAACGGACAAAAGTGGATGCAAGTTCGCGGTAAGACGCAGGCTGTCCCCAGATTTCACGGGCACGGGCAGAGGAGTGGCGCATGACACCACCGTAGCGCTCGAGCTCACCATAAGCTGGAGAACGGGAATCACCCCAGCGGCCGTTGGGGAATTCATCCCAATCTTGAGTACGGGCGACATAGGAATGTTTTCTATTTTTCCAGAAAATGGGGCGGACCGATTCCTCTTTACGGGTGAGACCAAGGGATTGGCGCCATGGGAGTGGTGGGTTATTAACCTTGAGAGAGGAGGATGATGAGACGGAGGAAGAAGAGGTAGGACGTTCTTCTTGAGGAGTAACAGCTGGGGATTGTTCAAGAAGAGAAAGAGATTCGAGAATCATAATGGTAGCACGTTCAAGGTTCATTGTATAGAAATGGAGATGGGTAATGCCATTTGCAAGCATTTTACGGCACATATCAGCGACGAGCTGGGTACCAACCTCACGGACTTCAGAGTCATCACCCTTGATGGGTTCGAGGGCCTCGAGGAAATGTTTAGGGATATCAACCTGGCACCAGTTTGCACGGCGAAGGAATGAAGCGTAGGTGGAGATAGGCATAATTCCTGGAATGATTGGGACATTAATTCCAGCTTCACGGCATTGCTGGACCCAAGAGAGGAAGGTATCGACATTGTAAAACATTTGGGTGATGACGAAGTTTGCACCTGCGTCGACTTTTTCCTTGAGGTACTTGATAAGGACTTTAGGGTCGGGTTCCTCTGGGTGGCCTTCTGGGTAACCTGCGACGCAAATATCAAAGTAATCGCCATATTTGTTGCGGATGAAGCGGATAAGGTCCTTTGCATAGATAAAGGTATCCTTATCAGAGTCTGAGTCTGATTTACCTTCAGCCTTGTCACCACGGAGAGCCAGGATGTTTTGGCATCCAGCCTTGTAAGCCTGTTCAAGAGCGGCTTCGACTGTTTCCTTTGGCATACCAGTACAAGTGAGATGCATACAAGTTTCTAGGCCGAGGATACCTTGTGCTGTTGCTACGATTTCTGTGGTGAGGTTATTAGCAGAAGGGGATTCAGTAGATCCACCGGCATTCCAAGTGACGTCAATAAAGGCAGGTCCGAGATCGTACATGCGGTCCATACGGTCGTAAAGGTTTTGGACACCTTGGGTAGTTTTTGGGACAAAGTACTCGAAAGAGTAGGTTGGTCTGGAAGCCTGAGACCCGGAATGAGCCTGGGCGAGTTTTTGAGAGATTTTCATATTTTGATGGAAGTGAGTTTATTTATATTATTATTATAAGTTCCTGGAAGACTAAAAAGAAAAAGAAGAAGAAGAAGAAGAAGAAGATAATGAAGATAAAAATTTATTTAAATTTAAATTTAAATATAAAAAAAATAAAAATAAAATTTTTTTGGGAAGATAAATAATAGTTGGGGAGGTTTTTTTTAAAAAAATAAAAAATAATAAAAAAAAAAAAAGTTGTGTGGCCAATGGCAGTGCAGTTGCAAGACAGTGAAAAATGGAAAATTTTGTGTGTGTGTGTGGAAGAGCCGACGGTAGTGGTGGTTAATAAAAAAAAAAAAAAAAAAAAAAAAAAAAAAAAAAAAAAAAAATTGAATTTTAAAAGCCGTGGAGTGCAGAGTAGAAACAAAACAGAACAGAACAAAACAGTGTGTGGATTGGGTGGTGGTGGTGGTGGTGGTGGTGGCAGCAGCAGCACACAAAAAAAATCAACGGGCTTCGACAGGTGGGAAGGAAGGAAGGAAGGAAGGAGACATGTGAGCGCCACAGTGTGGCACGTGTATTAAAAAAGAATTGTAATAACAAAATAAAAATAAAAAAAATGTAACAAAGCATGTGAAAAAAAAAACAAAATGAAAGAAATTGAAATTTTTTTTTTTTTGATTTTTGTAATCAAGAAATGTAATTAAGAAATGTAATTAAAAACGTAATTAAAAATGTAATTAAAAAATGTAATTAAAATGTAATTAAAAACTGTAACGTAAATGAAACTTAAATGCAACTTCCCATCTTTAACAGCAAATGCATAATTTACCACGTGATATTCTAACCTTATTAGTGCAATTTGCGCGATATTACAACGACTGCTGCAGCTTAACTACTATTGCTGCTCCTCCACTCAATTACATAATCAAACATACCTGGTAACACCATAATAGCGCCGCTTCCTTTTTTTCAATTTTGGGCCTTTTTTTTTTTTTTTTTTTTTTTTTTTTTTTTAGTACCGCTGGTTGGTACTAAATGATTGACTTTTTATTTTATTTTATTTTAATTTTTTTTTTCTCCACTTGAATATTTTTTTTTTTTATTCTGCGCGGTTTTTTTTTTTTTTATTATAATTTATTAGTTTTATATATATATTTTCAAAAAAAAAAAAAAAAAAAAATTTATATACTATTTTCATATTTTCATATTTTCCTATTTCTTTCTTTCTTACTTTCTTTTTCATACTTTTCTTATCATTTAATTAATACCTATTCATATATTCATATATTCATATATTGATATCATATCACATCATATCTTATATATACCCACCCTAAATGCCAACACACCACCTGCCAACCCTCTCTATCCATCGTCATGATGGCTCTGGAATCCCTCCATCTGGCAGCTCTGGCTCTTTCTCTACAACTACACCTATATCCACATCCACATCTACTTCTACATCCACATCCACATCTACATCTACATCTTCCTCCTCTACATCTTCTTCCTCAAATACCTTTAAAAAATCTTCTAGAACAACTTCCCCACGTCCTTCCTCAGTCATGGCACCAAACTCTCCAATCTTCCCATCTGAAGTATTTTCCCCAGTAGACCTCTCCTTCCAAGTCCCAGAAAATGAAATAGTCTCAACAACAAGTGTCTCACTAGCCATTGTTCTAGCAGAACCTCTTTTATTCCTTCGTGGATTCACCCCACAGGAATACCATGATCGTTCCCCGTCAATCCTCCGTGGTACCCTCATTGTCAAAATCCTTAAACCAACAAAAATCCGTTCAATCACTTTAGCTTTCAAGGGAATAGCCAGAACTGAATGGCCCGAGGGAATCCCACCTAAAAAACAAGAAACTTCAGAATCAAATACTATCCACTCCCATGGATGGGACTTTTTCAAGGCTTCTTTCCCAAACTCAGATGTCACCTCCGGCGCAAATATGGTTAAACTTCATAGAGATAGCGCTCATAGAATGCAACACCTAGATTCCTCATCTTCCTCATTGGAAGATGTCTTGCCATCAAGGTCCCGTGCAAATTCCGGTGCTTCAGATCTCGAAAGACCCTCCTTCCGCAAATCCCATCACCATACAAGGTCCCAGTCTAGTGCAACAAGCTCACTCCAACTCTCAGAACAACCACAAGAGTCTACAAATGCAATCAAAGCCTTTGCTGACCGACTCCGCAGAGCTGCTTCTCCATCTCCAGGACCTCCACAAATCTCCTCTCCACCCCACCGCGTTTCCTCCTCAGTTTCTTTGGCTTCAAAGCGTTCCGCTTCGGTCCGACCCTCCTATTCCCCGTCACGCGACCCTTCCTCCTCCTCGCTTGTCCACAATTTGGTCCCCCGCAGGTCCTTTTCTAAAGATGAACCCGTCGAGGCAGAAACCCAGCAAAAGGGTTACCGCACTTTTGAACCCGGCGAATATTACTACAATTTTGAGCTTCCAATCCCACAATCCCTCCCAGAATCCCTAGAGTGTAACTTTGGCTCCGTCAAGTATTATCTTGATGCCGCAGTCGATAAACCAGGAACCTTCCGTACAAAAGTCTCCGGATCTAAATTAGTCCCCATCATCCGCGCCCCCTCTGACAATAACCTTGAGATCTCGGAACCCATTGCCATTGCAAAGTCATGGGAAGACCAACTCTACTATGAAATCGTCATCTCTGGCAAAGCTTTCCCCATAGGCACCCGCATCCCTATTGCCTTTAAGCTAACGCCTTTGGCCAAGGTTCAGCTCCACCGTATCCGTGTCTACATGACTGAAAACTGTGAGTACTATTGTAAAAATAAGCGTGTTCATCGTATCGAACCTACAAAACGCTTTCTTCTCGAAGAAATTGCTTCCAAAGAGGGTCTTTCGGGTAATCTTCTTCTTGAATTGGCCCCCTCAGGACCTACACCAAATGCCTTTGAAGGTATCTCTGTCGAAAACGAAATCACTCCACTCATCCCTACAGAGTTCCCTCTTAAAAAGGAAACCCTCCATCCAAACTCAACCTACGAAAACATTAAGGTCCATCACTGGATCAAAATCGTTCTCCGCATCTCCCGCAAAGATCCTAACCCGGCACCAGGCGCAGACCCGGCAAAACGCAAGCACTATGAAATCTCCATCGACTCTCCCATCCACCTCCTCGACCCTCACTGCACAAACTCAAATGTCTATCTCCCTCCCTATATCGACCCGGTCTCAAGAAGGCCCTCTGCTGCTGCTCATCATAGACCCTTCCCAGCCCCTGCAGATGGCCCTCCCTCACTAACCCCGATGGCCGATCGACCCATCCATTTCTTGCGCAAACCTTCTGTGGCTCCACCTCCATTTGACGCCGACGAACCCCCACCACCAATCCCGGATGATGTGCCCGAAGAAGAAGAAGAAGACCCGCCCACTGATGGTGCCCCCCTGATTTCTTCTGCTTCTAGTGTCTCGTCCGGTTCCTCCTCCTCTGCAAACTCCGTCCCGGATGCCCCACCACCTACCTACGAGCTCGCAACAAAGGATTCTCCGCAACCTTACATTGACCGCTTTAACATGTATCAGGAACTTCGTGGCCGCACCCAATCATCCGCAACCGCTTCTTCATCCACCACCTATGTCCCTCAACTTAGACGTTCAGTGGCTTCAACCATTGTGGAAACTTCTGCCCCTCCAGTTCCATCTCCATTGACTCCTACAGCCCCAACAACTACTGTTGCTGGTGTTTCTGGCTCAGCACCATATACTCCTACCACCCCAACTGTCCCGGGTACTCCAGCATCTTCAGCCGTCTCGTCAGCCATCCGTGCAGGTACCAGCTACATGACTCCTGGGTCTGTTTTGGCCCAAGATGCAGGCCAGAAGTTGCCTCCGGCTCTTAACCGTAGTGTCACGGCATTGGCACCAACCTCTGCAACAACAAGTTCATCAACTGCCCCTCCACTAACTGGCGTGCTCACTGCTCCGGAAATGACAAGAACTGAATCGGCTACAGCAGACGGTGCGCGTACCAGACTCATGAGCACTGTCTCCAGCGTGGACATTGTTGACCAGGATAACGAAGATGATAACGGAAATTCTATGGACCCAGACGACCCTCTTTCTCCAGCATTGGCGGCCATCTCAACAACTGCCCACGTACTGGCCCCCCATGGACCATCCTCGGTTCCAGCAACTACTACTCTTGTGGCCAGCCCACCAGCTATCCAACCACTCAATATTCCAAGCCCAAGACAAGCATCTGCGGCCCCTCCACTTTCGCTTCAAGCATATTCTCCTGGCCATACTGCGGCCTTAACTCCACGTGCAGGCTCTGTGTCATCCATGTCTTCAACTTCGTCAGGTGCGGTGACACCTAATGGCGGCTCATCCCCAAGAACAGGTAGCCCGCGGATTAGAGCCGGGTCACCTAGCGGTACTCGATCCAAAACATATATTGCAGACCTCGAGGCTCTGCTTCAATCCAAGGCCAGCTTAAGCGATATGCGAGCACCGCTGCTCGGTTCATTTTCCGGGCCTTCGGGTGGGGGGTCTGGTTTGTTGTCGACAAGTCCTCCTAAAAATGGAGCTTCGGCTAATTCCTCGGCAAGTGCGTTGGGAGGCGTTGCGGCTTTGGGTGTAGCATATCCAGCATCGAAACAAGGCAACAACAACAGCAGCAGCAGCAGTGTGCAACAACAACAACAACCACAACAAGAGCATTCTGCCACGGCACCAATAGATGTAACGTTGCCCACCACATTTGGGATCCGCCGTGCCAAATTGCCCACCGATTCATTGCAAGACCTGGAAGACGAAGATGACATGGTAAGTGCCATTCCAGGACAGCCCAGACTGGACGCTGCATCGGCATCGGCAATGATGAGTAGCGCGGCGATTGCTGGCCAAGGCGTGATGGGTCGTGCAGATAGTGTGAGTGGGGATATTGGGTTACATTCCCCAAGCGATTTTGATGAGGATGGAGAGTCACTTCGAAGTACACCATCATTGTGGTTGGTTTAGATTGGGGATTGAAGAAAGTAGTTTGATTGCTTTTTATTTTGCTTTCTTTGTTTCAATTTTTTTTTTTTTTTTTTTTTCATTTTCTCATTTTTTTTCATTTTTTATTTATTTATATTTCTATATAATATATACTATATACTATATATTGGATACATGTACATGAAAGTTGTCTAGTTTGAAATAAGTAAAGGATTTAGAAACAGTTTATAGTTAAGCTTAAATGATAATAAGCTTAGTGATTGTTTATCTAGATAATCTGATTATTTTGATTGATACAATTTGAGGGTATTAGAAAAAAAAAGATTGATTGATTGATCTATTGATTGATTGATTGATTGATCTATTGATTGATTGATTGATTGATTGATTTTAACAATGAATTTGAAAATTTCTTTGAGGTTTAGTTAAAGTATTGACAAGTTATTATTATTCAAGTTTATGGGGTTAACTCGACTGTATATTCTGAAAATAGGATATACTTATAATTTACAAACAAATCTTTCAACTAACAGTTTTTTTATATTTTTTATATTTTTTATATTTATTTAATTTAAATTAATTTAACTCTTTTTTATATATATATTGAAACAGATTGGAACAGATTGGAACAGATTGTAAAATTTTCGTATTTTTGTATATTTTTGTATATTTTTGTATATTTTTCAGTCTTGATTTTTGGCCCCAATTTGATCACCACGTTTTTGACCTAAAAAGAAAAAAAGACCATATATATATATCCTTCCATATATGGATATATATCATATTAAATTGAAAAATACATCTCATTCTATTGTAAAGTCAAAATGATGCTGATTCTAAGGTTATTCAGGGGAGGTTTTTTTTCCCCGTTTAAATATTTAGTTTTTTTTTTCTTTTTTTTTTTAATTAAAACAATTTATAAAGGAAAAAAAAAAGTATTCATTCTTTAATCATTATGGGGTTTGCATAATAATGTAATAATGAGTCTCACATTTTTTTTTTTTTTTTTGGGGGGGAGCTTAAAAGGTTTAATTGCAAATTTCAAAATAAACTGTATATTATTATAATACACAGTTTATTTAATTTAATTTAATTGGTAAAAGATATATATTATATCTTTGCCAAAAAAAAAAAAAAATACAAACAAGAACATGTGCTTTAACTTGTTTTCATTTAACTTTGGCCAAAGTTATTTCTTTTTTTTTCTTCAATATATATATATCTATATATAAATTAACTTCGTACCACTGAGGGATTTTTATTTTATTTTATTTTTCTTTTTATTTTATCAAGACCAAAACCAATTTTTATAATAAAATATCGATATATTTCTTGATTCTTAACTTGTAGTCAAATTAATACCACAAAAAAAAAAAAGAAGGGAACATGGTAAAAATGAAAATATATATATATATATATATATATAGATTGATATCACGATAATCAATGGCTTATGTTTTTGTTACATCTTCATGAATAAGAATAAAAAAAGATTAAAAAAAGATTAAAAAAAGATTAAAAAAAGATTAAAAAAAGATTAAAAAAAGATTAAAAAAATAAATTTTTATGCTTTTTGGTTTTTTTTTATTTTATTTTATTTGGTAGCGGTAAAGCCGCACACCTCTATAAAATTACATAATCACCGAGATCTTTTATATATAGAATTTATCCGAAACTTCCTCTGCCTTTTACCTCCACCTCATCTTTTCCACAAAAAAAAAAAAGAAAAAAAAAAAAAACTTTTAAAACTTATAACTAAATAAACACTGTATTGAGTTCCTTTAATATTTAATAATAATATCTCATTCTATGCCATTCCATGACATCTATTTAATGTAATCTAAATACCTCTGATCAAGTCCCTCACCAAAATCCAAAATCACAGGCTTGATCCCAAAAGACGTCGCTACTATCCGCTTAGCTGTAGCCTTAGCCGTAAAAATCCAGGACCCAAACCATCCAGATAACTCCGCAACTGGCTTGCCAGATTCGTAGTCCCACACGCGGATAGTCAAGTCGTATGATGCAGAAACAATTCGGCCACAGCTCACATCTACACATCGCACCATATCCTTATGACCAGCAAGTACGCGGACACATGACCCACTTAGCACATCCCAAACACGAATCGTATTGTCATTCCCCCCAGAAATTACAGTCTCAAACTTGTCACCCTCAGCAATCTGTACACATGCAAGACCACGAGTATGCCCCCGGAATGACCGTAAACATGATCCAGGGGGGACCAGGGGAGCCGCTGGAGCACCAGGAAGATCAGAACCATTGAGCGTCCACAACTTGACCACACCATCGCCTCCAGCGCTTACAAGATGATCGCCACGTAACTGGATTGCATTAACAGGCCCACGGTGGCCTCGTAGTTGAGCAACAAGCGGTAGTACCGGGTTACCCAGCCTACACTCACTGCGGTCCCATACGCAGATAGTGGAATCCTTAGAGCATGTTGCCACGTACTTGTCGCTTACGCACACACCCAGCACGCCGCCAGTATGGTGTCGCACGCGTACAATTCCGCGCATTGTTTCCAAGTCCCGTACTATAAAAGTACTATCTGATGACCCGGATACCATCAGGCCATCTGCAAAGTGGATTGAGACTACCGACCCCATATGCACAAATTCGTCGTCATCCCCACTACTATCGTCACTGCTATTTCCAGAGTCCTCCATGGCCGGTTGAGAAGCGCCTGCGCCCTCGGTAGGTCGGCCAATTGTTTTGAGCAATGCACCAGTGTCAGCATGCCAGACTTTGATTGTATGGTCGCGGGACCCAGTCACAATAATCTCTTCATTGTAATGGCAACTGTAAACACTATCTTGATGCCCCACAAGTGCCTTGGCCACAGGCTGCCCCCGCGCCCATCTGAAGTTTAGTGACGATTTTGTTGCATACAACTGTTTCCACGACAAGTCTGCAGGTAACACCTGGGGCCATTGTGACAATGATGAATACTTTTCACGCCAAACTGCATCAGAATCTGCAAGTGACCGCCACGATTGCGAAACAAGTGCACAAGCACACAGATCTTTGGGTGATAAATGCGTTAGAATCTGTTGGCTAAGCTCAACTGGTAGCTGTCGTGTAAAGTCAATACGGGTTTTTTTAGGAGCCAGTTGGTATTGTGCAAGATTTGACGGTTTGTGAGGGCTGGTTGTTGCTGTTGAATATATAGATTCATCTTCTCCATCGTTAAAAAAGGCCACACCAGATTCAGCATCACTGGCAAGAAACCGCCCGGCACCATAAAGCGTATGGGCTGGAGTCCCGCCAAGAGACGATGAAGCCCATGAAGATACTCGCGAAAGTCCGGATGCACTTGAGCCATTGTCATGATATGTAAGACGACCCGCTGCTGCTGCAGGTGGCAGTTGCAATATGGCTCCGAGATGCAGATCGTGGGTCGATGGCGAGGTTGCAATGCTTCCCGACCGACTTCGAGGGAAACTTCCTGTGGCCGACTCTGGTGGGAGAGCTAAAAACGGAGGAGCTTGTGGTGGAGGCAGCGGTGGTGGGTCGTTTTCTGAAGGTTTATTATTTGTTTGCGGCTGAGAAGTAGAAGAAAAAGAAAAAGATGAAGATGAAGAAGAAGATGATGGCCCGGATCTTGAAGATTGGTCTTCCGAGTGGGAACGTCCCGGTTTGGGTGAAGTTGTAGGAGCCAAAGGGCCAAGTAGCGATGGTAAAAAGGACTTGGCCATTATCCGGTTGATGTGCTTACGGGCGGTATTGTAGTGGCCCTTGATTTTGAGTCTGGAGAGGGGTTGGATGAGCATCTTGGGGCTAGATGAAGTCGGTGAAGCAGACGAAAGTGAGGAGGACGAAGATGAAGTAGATGCAGCTGTAAAAGAATTTGGCCCAGGACCAGCAGATGATAAAGGCGAAGGTGTTGGGGTCGGCGATGATGAAGAATGCGAGCCTTGAGAATCTCCTGAGCGAGAACTTGTCCGTTGAGCAAAGGGGGCCATGGGAACCGATAGAGAAGTATTGGAAGAAGTTGCTGAGCTAAGAGCCGGCACAAGAGCCGCTGTTGAAGATAACCCTGAAGCCACCGCTGGCGGGTAAGCGATGGTTGGTTGTGGATGCGATAAAAAGGCCGGTTGGTTTTGTTGGGCCATGGTGATATGCTTATAGGTATTTGTATATTTGTCCACAGAGTTTGGTGATGATAGTTTTTAAAGCAACTGGCAAAGGAGGTTTTTTTTTTTTTTTCTTTTTTAAAAAAAATAAAATAAAAGAATAATAAAAAATAAAAAAGTCCTCACCAAATTTCTTTTTTTTTTCAACCTTAAAATAATTCTGGAGAAAATAAAAATAAAAATAAAAAAAAATAAAAATAAAAAACAATAAGACAAAAAAATAAACCAACCATATCTTTCGATCTCTAAATGCCACTTTACGATTGTCTCATCATCGGCGGCGGGCCCGCTGGTCTGTCGACAGCGCTCGGGCTGTGTCGTGCGGTCCGATCTTGCGTTGTGTTTGACGACGGCAGGTACCGCAACTGGGCTACGTCATATATGCACACGGTCCCGACTTGGGACCATCGTCGACCTGAAGATTACCGCCAAGCGGCAACCGAAGAGCTCCTAAATGGGCGTTACGATACAGTTTCTGAGATTTCGACGTCACCGGTTCTTGACGTCGTGGTCCGAGTTGTTGTGGATTCTAACGATAGCAACGGCCACTCTTCTCCACGACGCGTGTTTGTGGCCATTGACCAGAACGGTACCGAGTGGCACGCACGCACCGTCGTGTTTGCATCAGGAGTCGAAGACTTACTACCACCAAATGATCGGGTTCCTGGGTTTGCTTCTGGCTGGGGACAGTGTATTTTCCACTGTCTTTTTTGCCACGGCTTTGAGGAGCGTGGCGCCGAGTCTGCCGGCGTACTTATTCTGACTCCAGGCGCGTTCCAGTTTTCAGCTGCGTTTGCTGGTATGGCTGCTCGACTTGCTCGTAAAATCACAGTCTACACAAATGGCCTTGATCTATCGGAAGGTGGGTCCGGTCCAGACCCTATAGAAGGCCTGCTTCGTAGAAACGAATTCGATATTGATACCCGACCAATAGAACGGCTTACCCCTTACAAAACAAACGCAGACCGGAGGCATGAGGACGGGCCCCCAGGAATCGATATCCATTTTAAAGACGGATCAATCCCCGTCCATCACGCGTTTCTCGTTTGCCGGCCCGAGCAACGCGTCCGCAACAGGCGAATTATGGAGGCTCTTGGAGTTCGGTTTGCTGCCGCAACTGGACTTGCCGAGGTCGTTTCACCTATGAATGCGACCCACGTTCCAGGCGTGTTTGTCGCCGGCGACAATAATACCATGTATCAGCAAGTCGTCAATGCCTTTTGTCAAGGCGGCATGGTTTCTGGCGGCGTGCACCACTACCTTCTAACTAAAGAGCTCAACGGCGAATAAACAACAAAGAAATTAATAAATTACAGATAAAAATACTTATATTCAAACGACACAGTTGCTATTCTGCTCTGATGCCTATCCTCCTAATTTCTTTATTAGACCATTATTATTATTATTATTATGATTATTATTATTATTTTTTTAATTCACCAAACGCGATCTCGAGTTCCAGGAGACCGTGACTTATTGTCCGGTGACGACGATCGTGGTCTGTTTCGATGATAGTGGTGATACGCATGCACGCGACCCCGTTGTTGCTGTTGTTGTTGTTGATTTTTTAGCTTCTTAGTCCCGTAGTTGATTGACCACTGGATCCGATCTTCATCTCCACGACAGTACCAGCACACTTCATTGCATCGAGAGCTGTCAGGGCACCCGTAATGCTTGCAGTTGAGACATATGCGTTTACGTCCTTGTCGACTGACATGAACACCACCACGACCCCCTCGCCCGGGTCCGCTATTCTGATGGTGGAAGCTTCTTCTATGATGGGTTCTGCTGGGTGATCGACTCCGTGAATCACCCCGTGATCGCTGATGATGTTTCTCATCCCCAGAGTCCATTGGTGAAGATGACCCAGCAAGTACATCATCCTGACTTCCTGGACTAAACGGTTCAGTTTCTGCTCCCGGTGGACTTGCAGGACTCTCTCGGGTATCTCGAGAACTATCTATGACTTTTTTATCGACGAGTGCTTCCTGTAATGACGCGTTTCGTGCAGCAGCTGCAGCAGCTGCAGCAGCAGAGCCCATGTCCACTCGCTCCAAGTACCGAACAATAGATCGCAGCACCGCTGAATACTGTGCAGCCTTAATTCCGCTATTTGTTTTACTATGACCACCCACAATTGCGCTGCCATTGATAACGATATCTTTATCGCGATCGCCCTCTTGTGAATACTCGTCAATTGCAGACTTGAGCATTTCCGAAACCGCAGGCATTTTCTCAGAAAACTCTTCTGATCGGTCTACGTATGATACAAGTGCGCGCAGTCTTCGCAAATAGGCAGCGTGGCGGGCACCAGCGCCTTGGATTGGCGCAGGCACAGGTACAAGTGCATCGACTGCCTCCTCAAGAGCAACAAACTTCCCACAAGCTGTGCCTGCACGACGCATAATTGCTGGGTCTGCTGTTACGGTGAATAGACCCAAAAGTGGGCGTTGCAACTCATCAAGAAGATATGGGTCTTGAAACTGTGGGACTGCGGAGAAACTTGTGTTGGTTAAAAGTTGTGCAGGTGACGAATCTGAATGGGAAGGTTTAGGACCTGGGAGAGAGGTAATGCGTGCACCCAGCCCTGTTTTCCGTCTAGTCAAAGCGTTGACGAGATCGTCGCTTGAACTGTGTGAATATGCCATAGCAAAAATGGGGTTTGATGTGTTAATGTTTTTTTTTTGGTGGAGTCATTTAAAAAAATTACAGTTTGGTGGCAGCATTAGCAAACAAAATTTAAAAATTTAAAATTCAAAAATTTAAAATTCAAAAATTTAAAAAATTAAAAAATTAAAATTAAAAAAAAATTAAAAATTAAAAATTAAAAATTAAAAATTAAAAATTAAAAATTAAAAGTAAAAAAAGTTAATATAACTGTTTCATCTGGTTAAATTAATGTTATTACAAAAAAAATAATAAAGTACCGAGTACCGGATCCGCGTACATAATTATTACATAATGCTCTATTTTTAGACATGTCCAACACACCAGCTATAATTATTTTATTTTTTTTTTCTTTCCCCTATAAAAAAAAAAAAAACCTCCTGGCTGGCCAAATAAAAAAAATAAAAAACCCTTGAAAATCTCTCTCTCCATTAGAAACATTCACCATTCCCTTGAGAAACACGTTCTAAATTCTCTCATAAACAAATCTCAAGTTACAATCATGGCCAACTCGCTATCAAAAGTTTCACGGATACTTCTTAAAGCCACGTTGTTGGCTCTGATAGTTAGCGCAGTCCTCGCAAACACATCCACACATGCAGCAATACAAGACCCTGTCGCCCTTGCGCCGCGACAAGACAATAATAATAACAATAATGAAAATAGCAATACCAGCAACACTAAGACTAGTGCACAGACTACTGCATCATCACAAAGTGAATCAAGTGCTTCTAGCGCCTCCAAATCAAACTCAGAATCTAACTCGGCCTCGAACTCGGCCTCGAACTCTGCATCAGCATCTAAATCGGCATCGGCCTCAAACTCGAACTCGGAAAGCAAGTCAGAATCAGCATCATCCGGCTCAAAGTCAGGCTCAGCTTCAGCTTCAGGTTCTGTTTCCGGATCTTCTGCATCAGGCTCAGCTTCAGGTTCCTCAGCATCAGGCTCTAAATCAGGCTCTTCTGCATCGGGCTCTAAATCAGGTTCCGGGTCCAAGTCTGGCACTGCTTCCATTATCGATGTCACAGCAGCATCTGTCACCGCAAGTGCTACTGAAAGCATTATTGATGTTGGTTCTAACAGTAATCTCAAGTCATCTACTGTATCTAAAACATCATCATCTGAATCATCTACTCAATCAGATGACAAATCCACAATCACGTCGTCCTCCAAAAAATCATCATCATCATCTTCTTACAATTACGATGTTTCCACCAGTATCGATGCCCGGCTGCCTGCCGGCTATGTTTCTATGCTTACTCCAGTAACTACAGAAACAACCTACATTAAAATTGGCGATTATGCTACTTTTTCCTGGACTTACACATCTCTCTCTGTCACTCCACGCTACATCAATTTCGAGGCTTACTGTTCCTATAATTCTGAAACACACACCATTGCTACTAACCACCCGTCTATGGAAACAGAGCTTATTTGGGACACAAAGGGCTACCAGGCAAATGCAACAATTGGTCTTCTCACTTCTACCTACAAACTCTACATTTATGATTCTAAGTCAAACACAACAGCAGCTGCATCGGCAGGTTACCTTGGTGTATACACTCAAAAATTTGCCATGTATCTTCCAGAACCATATACCCCACTTTCAGAATGGACTTGCGTCAACTGTAAAGACAATGGTAGCATCTTGGCTCAATATGTTGATCCTACTGTTGCTAAACTTTTAGGAACTCTTTTACTTATTTTCATTGGGTCTTTTATTCAGACTATATTTTTTTAAATAGTTGCGGAAATTTAAATAATTAAATGCGGATAATAAAAAAAATTACTTGACCATCATAGCCCCCACTTATATTTGAAGAAACCCATGTATTTTTTAATTTCTTTTTTTTTCAATTGTAGGCTAATTAGGAAAAGGAAGGTATCTAAAAACAAACCATACTACTTTTCGTTTTAAACTCCGTTATAATTATTGGTTTTATTTTTTATTCAAGAATTACAGAGTTATATAACATCAGCATCCACGCTATTCCTTTTGCTTTTACTAATTAACTTTTTGGTTTTACACTGAATTATTAACCTGACTTCAAAATTGAATGTTCAAGAGGTCGAAAATAATACCTAATGCCAGTTTATGAAGATCAAGAGATAACCAAACCTTCCCAACTAATTTCCAATTATCTTCATCAACGCTGTATTTGTATTTCTTAATCCCTCCAAGCAGAGATAAAGCTTACAATCTCTTGTAATCCAGTTAAACTGTTTAAGAGAGTCGACATGTCCATCTCTGGAGATATCCGTTTCAGTCCTTTTCTTTCCTCTTCGAGCAAAGGACACTCAACCAAAATGTGATGAACTGTTTCCAGCTCTCCACATTTGCAGTTGTAACTATCCTTTTCAATTCCAAACTTTTTAAACCATGCGCCAAAGTTGCCATGGCCTTATGCCCCAAGGTTTTTGTTTGTTTACAGTTTTTACATTTATTTGTTTTCTATTTTAAATTAAATTTATAATATAAATTTTATTGTAATGGAGTTATCGTATGAGAGTAAAGTCGGATTGTCCAAAGAAAGAACCAAGCTAATAGTTTAATATAAAACTTATTGTATTGATGTAAATATCTTTTTAGATACCGATAAAACTTATGGAAATATAAGACTATATATATTCAAGCGATTCTCTTTAATAATTCCTTCTTAATCGCTTCTTAATCTTTAATCTAAATTAATGTATTTATCCTCAAATATTTATCGATAATTATTATCTCGATCGATTGCATATTTGTTCTTTAAAGTGTTTATAGTTATTTATCTCGATCGCTTGATTGCTTGTTTCTTTTGTTTGTTTGTTTGTTTGTTTTTATTCAAGGGTTATAGAACTATATAACATCAGCATCTGCGCTATCCTTTTATTGTCTGACTATGTGACTTGCCGGTTTTCATTTGTACCTTTTTAGTACGGGTGGTTTCTGTTCTGTGCGTCTCCGGTAGCCCGGAAGATGGGCCCTGATGCCAGCTTACGAGGAACAGGGAGAACCAGTCTGTCGGTCCCAAAACCTTCCCAACCCATTTCCACTTATCTTCACGGACGCCCATGTATTTCTTAATCTCTTCCGCCAGAGATACGGCCCGCAATCACCTGCAGGCTATTTAGACTGTACGGAAGAGTCGGCATTCCTGTAACCAGGGTAGCCTATGGTTTTCAATCTAGGTGTATACTCCCGTACACATCCTCAGGAAAAGGGGGTATTCTGGGAATCGAACCCAGTATCTTCCGCTATCGAACGAACGTGTTACCCTTTACACCATCCAGCCCTTTTTCCCCCTTGTTTCTTTTGTTTGTTTGTTTGTTTGTTTTTATTCAAGGGTTATAGAACTATATAACATCAGCATCTGCGCTATCCTTTTATTGTCTGACTATGTGACTTGCCGGTTTTCATTTGTACCTTTTTAGTACGGGTGGTTTCTGTTCTGTGCGTCTCCGGTAGCCCGGAAGATGGGCCCTGATGCCAGCTTACGAGGAACAGGGAGAACCAGTCTGTCGGTCCCAAAACCTTCCCAACCCATTTCCACTTATCTTCACGGACGCCCATGTATTTCTTAATCTCTTTCGCCAGAGATACGGCCCGCAATCACCTGCAGGCTATTTAGACTGTACGGAAGAGTCGGCATTCCTGTAACCAGGGTAGCCTATGGTTTTCAGTCTAGGTGTATACTCCCGTACACATCCTCAGGAAAAGGGGGTATTCTGGGAATCGAACCCAGTATCTTCCGCTATCGAGCGAACGTGTTACCCTTTACACCATCCAGCCCTTTCCCCTCCCTTGTTTCTTTTATCCGGTTGATCGCTTGTATGTTAGTTTATCCGGTCGATCGATCGCATGTTGATCTTTTACATTTATTAAAATATTGCCTTGCTAGCTCAATCGGTAGAGCGTGAGACTCTTAGTATTCGATATCTCAAGGTTGGGGGTTCGAGCCCCCCGTAGGGCTTTTTTTAATAAGTTGTATAATTTTTAGCAATTTTGCTAGACACTTTAAGTATATCGATACTTGACTGGAAATATACCAAATTCCTAAGATTTATTTATATATAATAAACTCATGATTATTATCATTCATTCTAATATAGTATTTTAGAGGAAATTTTTTTTCGTTTTCAATTTAGTTCATTTACAAAAAAAGTTACTGTTTCTTCTTTAACAAACCCTTAAGCATATCAAAAGAATTCCCATCAGGTTGTAATTCAAAAGTCTTGCCAGTTGGATTATCATTTCTATCAAGTTCATCAACAACAAGCATACCAAAGTCTTTTGAAATTCCTCTGATTCGTGCCTTAGCATTTCCATACTGTTCCAGTGTCACAATCTTACCATTATGCAGCCATCGATCATAATACATTTGCTCAAATGCAGCAAATCCTTGAAATCTGAAATCACGTAGCATAGACTCCCAGATCACCATAAAGTGGGAAAGTAATCGTTCAATCTCGAAACGTCCATAGGGTGCTTTGCCCAAAGGAACACGATATTTAGCATTGAATTCTTCCACTGCAGTGTTGAGTGACTTTGATGGAGCTTCGTTTGCAACATTGATACCAATACCTACCACCATGGCATATTCACCATCAATGACTGTAGTGTTGACTAAAATACCTGAAAGCTTAAAAAACGGTTTTTCATCTCCTTCAGAACTCATCAAGTAAACGTCATTAGGCCATTTGATGCGCACCGGAAAATCAGCAATTCCAAGACTCCCCCGAGCATAATTCTGGATCGAATCCACAATAGCAATCGCAGCTAAGTACTGAACAAATACCATTGGCGATGGAAGCCCAAAGTCGTTGTGCAAGGGCATTCGCAAAACAGTGGAAAACGCCAACACTCCAGGAGGGTTCACCCATACATTGTTTGCTCGGCCACGACCAGCAACCTGCACAGCACCAATAGCGGTAAACCCTGACGGCAAGTATCGCAGTAGCTTGTAATTTTTAAACAGCATTGTTGACGTTGACGTCACAACTTCTCCATATAATATGGTTGATCCGGCAGCTGTATTATCAGAAAGTGTAAGTTCAACACCTACCCCATAACCAAACCCAGAACTATGAGCCTGAGCAATACGGAGTTCTTTCAGGCTGTCGTAATACTTTTGCAAGCTAAAGTTAGGCGTAATACGGCTATCAGGAAGTCCATCGTAATAGACATCAATATCTTTCACAACCTTGTCGTAATCCACATCAAGCGTCGATTCTTCTGAGTATTCGAGAGCATTACTTGTAGTGAATTGGTTGTGCTGCTTTGCATCCCATATCCGAAATTTATCATTGGTGCCGTCTATAACATTCTGGCTAATGCCAAGTTCAGTTTCCCACTTTTCAATCAAAAACTTGAGCAAAGGAGGATCTATTGAAGTAAGAGAAAGCCGAGACAAGCTGGGGATGGGTTCTAAACTGGGGTTCACCTTAAGACCCATCTTTTTCAAAATAGCTTTCATAAATTCGATACGGGGAGCATCGTGTTCAGTGAGCGTTTTCAAAGTCTTGGTATACTCCTCATGAGAAGGAACTCGCTTTAAAAGCTCAGGAGAAAATTCAGGGTGCAAACCGGTAAGCACTGCACACCCACGGCCAACAGGACAATATACTGCAGCTGCAGGCTTAGACTTATCAATGTTGTCACCTTCTAGATCAGACCCTGAGAAAGCTAGTGGATCAAGATATCTTGCCAGCACTTCCACTCCTTTTGATTTGTACGAATCAGCATCAACAAACAGACACCCGCCATCAACATAAGTATATAGCTCACCGCCATCACTGTTAAGGGTTTCCCCATTCACTTCGACCCGTGCTGCCTTTGCATTAACATGGGTCCCGTATTGAAATCCTTTAAATACTGACCCGCGTGCTGTTCCAGGAAATAATTTGAGTTCACGCGGGCCAGAAATTTCTAACTCCAAGTTACCCATTTCAAATTCGACTCGAGAGGCACCAAAGTAGCCTCCAGCGCACAATCCAAGATATCGGCCGCCATTGCGCAAAAACTTGGTGATTGCAGCTGTGCCTTTTCCATCAAGTTCGCGACAATATGGCAAGTCAGCACCTCCGGGGATCACAAGCAAAGAGGTGGAGGAACCCCACGGCTCGGTAGTAAGCGTGGATCCAGCAACGTTAAGTATAGCGTAATATGGGGAGAGCAAGCGACGCAACGTATCAGTGCAGTGCTTGACAGATTCTACTGTGGTTCCAGGACCTAAAAACTGTTAGATGAAATAATTTATGACCGAAGTTTGGTCTTACCAGAATAAACCAAGACGTTCATCTTGGAAAGAGACTTTGAAGAATGTTTGAACAATTTTGGTGGTGAGTAAAGCGTGATAGGCAGAGAAAAAATAAAGGCTTAAAGTCGAAGTGGGGTATTTTAAAAGCCCCAACCCTGAAATTTATTTAGTAACTTATAAGAAATTATGTGGTAACTTAAATATTATTTAACAATCGTCTCCACAATCATAATTGCAATTATCACCATTACAATCATAGTTTCCATCATCGTAGCTGGAATCGTAATTTGGGTCATAACCGGTACCAGGATAAGGATACCCAGGACGCGGGTATGAGTTAGGATAAGGGTAGCCAGGAACAGGAACAGGGATTGGCACCGGTAACACAGGGGGGCGGCCACCACCCCGACGACCACCACCAGGAGGCCCACCAGGCCCACCTGGTCCGCCGCGGCCAGGTCCTCCACGACCACCACCGGGGCCTCCGGGGCCTCCGGGGCCACCACGGCCTCCTCCTGGCCCACCTCGGCCACCGCCAGGTCCCCCACGGCCTCCACCTCCCCCACGTTGGTTAGGATTAGCATTTGCAAATCCGTTATCTCCAAATGTCTGAGATCCGAGATCAGCAGAGGTTTGTGAACCCTCTGCGGAAGAACTAGGTTGCTGATCTCTTTTGATGACAGCAAGAGTAGTTGGAACAGGCTTTGGAGATACTTTCAAAGATGTTGAAGCACTAGTAGAAGTACCAATTGCGGTACTAACAGTACTAGGCACTTGGAAAATGGGTGTTCCCACAATTCCAGTAGGTCTGGCATTGGTTCCCACAGAAAATAAAGTAAAAGCTAGAATAAGAAGGGTCTTTTGAGAAAACATGAGTGATTGTTGAAGAACAAAAAAAATATAGATTTTACAGGCCTTTATATAGAGATTTTGTAAGATTACATTTTATATTTTTTTTTTGTTTTTTGTTTAAATAAGAAAACTGAAAGTTCTTGAGATCTCAATTTTAATTTGAGCTAAGCCCTTAGAGGCTTAGTTTTCTCTGAAATTTTTCTTGACGATAATCTGCAACATTGTATTTTGTCCAAAACTTGATATCTTTAATAGTTTCAATATTGAATTAATTGAATTTTTTTAAGCCAATTTAAAATACTAATAAATGATTTCAAAAAAAAATTGTTTTCAAAATTCAAGTTTTTAAATTGAATTCAAGTTATATATATAAGTGGCTGCTTCAAGTTATACGTAAATGTTTGCAAAAGCATAATCTTTTTTATATTAATGCAAAATATCTGATTTCAATTTCTTTTTCTCATGGTAATTAAACATCTGTTCATGAACTTTTGCTTTTGTAGTAACATGAACTCCTTGTTATATTGGTAAAGACTTTAAAGCAAAGAAAAGATGACATTTAAACCAGAACAGAGTTTAAACGTCTATTTTGTTCTTTGGGTTTTTTATTTTTAAGCGGGCATTGATTTGACAGCTACAATGTCAAAAAAAACTCTACTAGATGGTCTATTTTTTTGTCCATCTACGCCCACGTTCACTGCCGTGTGTTGAGGAAAAAGGGGAACGGGGTGGCTAGTATTTAAGGTGAAAGAAACAAAAGGCTTTTTTAAGGGTTAAAAAAGGAATAAGGTAACATTTGACTGTTTCTTCCAGGTTTTTAAAATATTCTAGTGGAGGTCTTTAAATTATTTTTTTGGTTAGGCCAAAGTCTAAAAAATTAAATTTTTTTTAAAATAATAATGATATCTGTAGATATTTAAATCTAGATATAATCATTGGTTTATATTTTACTTTCCTTTGGTTTCCTATATTCAAGCGGGGAGTGATGTACCCCGGAGTTTTGATAGTCAAAGCATTAGTGTTTTCCGATATGGATTCTCATCAAAAATATACATCCAAATTATCCTATATTATAGAAATTTGTTTCCGTTCAAGTTTACGGCTTTATGAAATGAAAAATCGTGAAGTTGTATTACTTCTTATTTCAAATTGCAAGATCTTTAGATTCGCTTAAATTTTATGCTGTTTAAATTTGAAACATTGCTTGTTAACAATAACAATCAAGTTTTTAAATATATCTAACTGGTTATCATTTATCGAAAACTCAAAAAGGAGCTTTTCTATTCTACACTTATACACATATATTGAAATTTTCTGTTTTCATTCTTCACTGTGTTGAATTGTTAACTTCAATTAACAGCTTATAGACCAGAGTAATTTCATAATACATGTTATTGAACTTAATCAATTTTGCTTGTTTCTTAAGCATAATATAAATTTGTTTTTTTTTTCCAAATTTTTGATTCACTAAAAACTGAACGTTGAAATTTTACCTTTTTTTTTCTCCACGTTCAAAAAGTGGATGGAGATTCTATTGACAATTTTTTATGGTGGGTCATCTTTGCTTAATAGTTCCTTTAATCTTAGCAGACAACTGCTGCAAAAACTCAGTTTAGCGTACCGTGTTTCTTTTGACATGCTTTTTGGATTAATGCTTTTTGTTGTATCTCATTGTTAATAGTGAATGATGGTTTGACTACAACAAAATTTTAAAATTTTAACCAATATAAAAATAAGAAAAAAACAAATACAAATAATATATTAATATTTAATGAAAAGCTATATATAGCTTTTCATTACATATAGCTATGAAGATGCTTAAATGTGGTTTTCACGCTAATTTAGTTTAACGGTCTTTTTTTAAAGAAATTAGCTTAAAGATCATTTCCAATGTATTTTTAACTAAATTGCAAAGAAGATGATTTTAAATGTTCTAATTTTGTCTCAAATATTATCGATCCCTGAAAATTCATTTTTTGAAATACTGAAAAAAAAAAAAAAAACAAAGAACATTTGTTCCTGAGCCGTCATAAATTACAAATTATCATTAAAATGGTAGAATGGGCTGATTTTCATCTTTCGCCGTTTACGCAGGAATTTTTTTTTATTTTTATTTCAATCAAGTATTAACTCAAATCATTTGTGCATTTTATGCAAATTCTGTAATAATATTGAATATATTCTAAACTTCGTCATAAATGATCACTAAGCCTTTTAATAAAAAGATTCTATTGAAGTTTTTGTATGAATTGATTAAAAAAGGGATGCCGTATGCTATGTTTAAGAAAGAAAGAATGAAATCCTTTCCTCAACATGCTCACTAATCGAAGAAATCATTTCGTGTATAATTTCTTTGTCTTTGAAGATATTATTCATAAACCAAATGATTAAATACGTTGAGTGCCAGGATAGTATCGAGAAATCGGTATTACTTTTCAGGGTTTTAGGTAATAATTTTTTCCTTGTGAAATCAAGAGCAATGATTTAAAGTCCACTGGCGATCATTTCGGTTAATGGTAATTTTTTCAATATATATTTTTTAAGCATTCCTAAAAGTCTGGATTGTTTCGGTTGATTTTTATGACGGTTCCTATTTTTTTTTATCTTTGACTCAATTTTTTCCCACCCCTTACTTGAGCATTTTAATTTGAAAAAAATATACCCACTGGGTGACGTTTTCTCACTCCAAATAAATGGGCAACCTGCTTGGTAGATTGGTTTTTTTTTTTTGCAAATAGTGCAAAACAGGATTAAAGGCAATAATAGATGTAATTAAAAAACGTTCTTTTAAAGGAAGCTTTTAGAAAAACGCCTTGATAATTAATATTTTAAGCTATTCTTCTAGAAAAGTAAGTGTAAAAAGGCAGAAAAGTTTACTCTCGGTCACTAAGAAAAAAGTAAAGCTTTGATAACTCAAAAAGTTGGGTGATAGTTGTCTCTGGATAAATTGATAAGAACGAATGAGAACTTTTCTAAAATTTCTTAAACTAAAATCCGGGAGAGATTTCGGGACAAAATATTTGCTTATAAATTTCAACTCTTTTGAAAACCTCTTCCTCAATATCTTTTTTATTTTAAATTCTAAAAAATGCATGTATGTGAGTATTTTGTTTGTTCTTGTTGTTCTTGGGCAGAAGAGTGGAAATAATCATCTAGCCATTAATGTCAATAAGTATAATGCTAATTGTATGCTGAGGTAGGATGAGATCGTTACTTTTTTTAAACACTTGAGGTTTTTTTGGGTTGAAAAAAGAAACCATTTCCAATCATAAACTTAGCTTATAGCTTAAAGATGCAATAAAAAAAATTATTTGCCGTACTTACTGTAAATTTTAGAAAATAAAATTCAAATACAAAATGAAATATTATATATATGAATAAATTATCCCCTCCTTTTTTTTAAAAATAAAAAATCTTTTCTTCTTCAATCTATTACTCTTCAATCTATTACTCTTTTGTCTTGTTTACGTTGTTCACCCTTTTTTCAATATATATTTCCACACTTGCTTGATTTTTTTAAATTTTTCAAGCATATAATGGTTGTAAGTAGCCAACATTTTATAATAATTATATATTTGTTGTTTCATGCTAATAACAATTCTAGGTCGCAAGAGATTATAAACTAGTTGTTGTTGGAGGTGGTGGTGTTGGCAAGTCCTCATTAACTATTCAACTTATTGAGGGAACATTTTTAGAAGAGTACGATCCTACTATTGAAGACTCTTATCGAAAGCAATGTACTATTGATGATGGGCCTAACACTTTGGCTCTTCCAGTGATTCTTAATATATTAGACACCGCGGGCCAAGATGAGTATAAGGCACTTCGTGAAAATTACATGAAAACTGGTGAAGGGTTTATTTTAGTTTATGATGTGACTTCGCGATACTCTTTTGAAGAGGTCCAGAAATTATACAAGCAAATTTGCACCGTGAAAGACCGTGAGAATACACCTATTGTTCTTCTAGGTAATAAGACAGATATTGCTGAGGCTCAACCTGAAAAAAGACAAGTGTCTCGAGCAGAAGGCTTAATCATGGCCAAAAGATTTGGAAAGTCTGCTGTGTTTTGGGAGACTTCAGCTCGCAAGAGACAACACGTCCAAGATGCTTTTTTTGACTTAGTGAGACTTATTAGAAGACAAAATATGGAGCCTGCAATTCCACTAAATAGAGTGATCGGTCATATTCATACCACTACACTAAACGCTCGGCCTCCTACGCCTAACGATCACCACAATGATTCATCAACAGCAAGTGTTATTCGCAAAGCAGCTAGTAAGGCGAGTTTAAGAAGCACAAGTACAGTTTTTTCAACGGCTAGAAAGCTTAGTAACAGTAGTAGTTTTAACAACTTTCATTATGGAAGTAACAACAACAGTAACATAAACCTCGCTAATGGATCAAGCAGCATAAACAGTAACAACAGTAACAGTGGAAATGGAGGAAAAAGTTTTAGCAATTTTGCCCTTGCTTTTGGTAGTGGTGCCTCTAGGATCCTCTCATTTACTTTGGGACGCACAAATAACAATGGAGTCGAAGGAACAGAAACCAATAAAATCAGTTCTGAAAAGGAGTTAAGGAGTAGCAAAAGTCGACAAGAGCTTCTTCAGAGAGGTAGATACTACTCACAGGTATCTTACAAGCATCAAATGTCCCCTCAATCACCCACTATTCAGCATAAACTTCGTCGTCAAAGCGATAATGTAACTGGAACCAATACTGATACAAATAATGTGTTTTTTAATAATGGTGCAAAAAACACACGCCATTTGTATGGCTCTCTTTCAGAAAAGAGCCCTTTGGTAAGAGCCAAGGCTAGAAATGACAACTCTCCTCGAAGACTCAAACCAGTAGTTAGTCACCAGCAGCTGTCAGATAATTTTTCAGTTGCCCAGCGTTCTATTCGTCATCGCAAAAGTATGCCGCTTGTTTCTGACCATAGAGAGAACCGACAACAGACACTCCTTAAGAATCGTCTTGTAGAGCCACCTCTACCTCCTTTACCAATAGTCGAAGCCAAACAGTTTCTTTCTGCTTCCAGTCTTTCTGAAACATCAACTATCAAAACAACCCCTACAACACCTGTTAATCTGCCGTCACCCGTGACTCCAGATGCACACATCTTTGTTCCACCCTCCCCATGCAGTCCAACTAGCAACCCTCATGAAACCACCCCTATGCTTTCGTTAGTAATCCCTTCCAAAAGGGAGCAATTTCCTGCTACTCCTGATAGTCCGAATGGTGGTGGGTTCAGTTTTTGCATTAGCAGGACATTTAACAAAATCAAAACCCGGATGATTAAAAGCCGTGCCTACTCTGCTCCAGAACCAGCAACCAAAAATGATATTTCAGAAGCCTGTGTTAAGAGAGGTGCTTCGCTGGAAAAAGGAAAGCAAACTCGTCAAACTTTTGATTTACTGGATGATCCACGGAGTACGTTGTTGTTGACAACACAAACTTCCTTAAACTCTGCACTATCAGACATGACTGGTGTTTCGCATTCGGCTTCGATCCAAATTCAGTTGGCACAGAAGCAGCATCAGAAATATTTTCAAATTTCCCCATTTTCACAAGCTTTTCAGCAGAATGCACAGGAAGAGGCATTATCAACTCTTTCTGAACAACTGTCTCAGCTGCCTCTGCCACAACTTCCACAGTCGTTCCTACAGCCACAGCTACCTCTGCTTCCACAACTATCTCTGCAGACTCCACAGCATTCTCTTCAGGAATCTTTAGCAGCTATTCCTTTTCAAAAGATTGATGCACCATTACCTCCTTTACCTCATGTTATTGAAGATTCTAAGCTAAATACGCCTACAAATGATTCTCACAAGTCTTCTGGTCATCGCCAAAAAACTTGCGAAATTAAGTACTCCAAGTATCAAGATAGATACTCGCAACAATACCAAGAGTACCAAAAGATGCTTAAAATGAAGGAGAATGCTTTGAAGAAGTCTAATAAGATAAATGGTGATTTTCCAGTTGAAGAGCAAAATGAACAAGGGATTTCTCAGAACGACTTCCAGTACTATTATAATCAGACTCGCGTAACTAGCCAGCAAAAACCGACCCCTTCACATGGTGTGGCTATGGGATATTGATATAGATTTATATTTAATGTTTTTTTTTCTAAAATAAAATTTAAAATTAATGGTTATGAAATGACGTTTTTTGATATATTTGGAGTAAATTGGATAAGTCTAGATCTGGGAAAAAGTTTAATCGATATTCTTGGTTCACTTAAAATTAAAATTCTGACAAAAATTTAAAATTTCCCTTATGAAAGTGTAAATTTTTAGAAGCAGGAATTAAAGATATTTAAACCTACATGCCCCCGCTTTACTTAAACAACTATTAATATAAATGGAGGATTTAAAAACGATTTCTTTCGGATATTTCTCTTATAAGGGTCATATTTTAAATTACTTTCAATTTTATTTTGGTCCTGATTGTTTTATTCAAAGAGAGCCTAGGATATTAAAGGATGTACTGTGGGTAAAATCTAGAATGGTCAGGTATACATTATAATGTGATTGGCATTTTTATTCTTCCTACAAAGGTTTATTTCCCAATTAAATTTTGTGAATCTCTTTTGAATGGTAAGTTATGGCAAATCACTTATTTAATTAATTTCTTTGTAAAAATATGCAATAGCAGAAAATTATTGTTCTACTACAAGACCTGAAAGATATATCTTTAACGATCATTCCAAAAATAAGAAATGACTAAAATAATCGGTGTGTAACCTAAGCATCTGGTATTGTGGAAAGAAACTCATATTTGAAAAGAAATTCAAAGGGTAAGTATTAACTTCTTTGTCTTTTTCAAATGTAAATCAGTAGAAAACGTCAAGGGTGACGGGAAAAAAAAGATCCTATTGATGGAAAAAACGGAATTGAATTATTTACCTAATGATACAAAAAAATGAAAAACCTTGAATCCTCATGATTAGATTTTTTTAATTGATGAAGTGGTAGACCATAAAGTGAAGAAGCAAGCTTCCAACAATAAAGTCAGCAATTGCCCGTTCTGGAGTGACTGAAGGAAACTGTGATGCATTGGCCTTAGAAGTTTGAATACGAAGACCTGCAAGTAAAACAAACTGGCCGATAGTTGAAGCAAAACCACCCAAAAAAGCATTAAAGGGCTGGGTCAAAAGGTTAGTTACGAGGGTTGCGAAAAAAAAAAAAAAAAAAAAGATTTAAAGAATAGAGTAAATGAAAGAGTACTTACATAAGTGCCAATAATAAGGACTATAACAAATTGAAGAACACCAACAAGAACAAGAAAAGCCATGAAGCAGTCAATTAAGCGTAGGCGCGTGGATGCAGTCTCGAAATATTTGTTGATGAGTTTTACTAAAGCGTTGCTGGCCTCTAAGTCAGCATTTGTGGTTGAAGATTTTATAGCAATTTTATGGGTAGGAGAGGTAGGAGTGTTAGGATGCGACTTTGTGTCAACAGAGGAGCTGGAAGTCTCATGTTTAGCGGAAGAAGCAGACTTTTTTGCCATCGTAGTATATAGTTTGTGGCGGTGTTGGTGATAATATATGGTTGGTGGTGGTGGTGGTGATGCAGATTTAGTAAAACGTGGAGGTTTAAAAAAAAAATTGTAAAGGCCAGAAATACCCACGCATACACCCTCCACGCACGCACAACAAAAACTTTACACACTTGTTTCCTACACCACCACCAACCCCCAACCTTACCCCCCAAATCTAGACAACTACCACTATCTAATGAAAGCCCAGATCGTGCGCCGGCCTCCGTCGTCAAAGGTAGTTGTTCCGCCTATCAACTTTGCATGCGTAGAGCGCGCGCTGTATCGCTGCGGGCAGCCAGCGCCAATCAACTTTCCGTTTCTCAAGGAGCTCCGGCTCAAGACGATTGTGTGGCTAGCCGTGGAGGATCCTAGCGACCAGTTTTTTGCATTTGCAGATGAGCACGGGATTGACGTGCACCACCTGGGGATTGTGACAGAGGGCTCAAATCCATGGGACCAACTGACTGAGTCGTCAATCGTGACAGCCCTTAATATCATCATGCGAAAGGAAGCCTACCCACTCATGGTGTGTTGTGGCATGGGCCGCCATCGCTCCGGAACGGTGATTGGGTGCCTGCGCCGGTTGCAGGGCTGGAACCTTGCGTCTATCTCAGAGGAGTACCGGCGGTTTGCCGGTGCGCGCGGTGGCCGTGTGTTGATTGAGCTACATATTGAGGCCTTTGATACGGCTACAGTGGATATTGATATGGATAATGTCCCGCAATGGTACCGGACAAACCTGACGCAACAATACCAGCACCAGCAACTGATACGGGATGAAGAAAGGGAAGAAAATAATCAGGAGGAACCGGCGACAGGTTTGCCGACAAATGCTTCTCTTAATAATGAACTTAGCACACACCAGATTCAAACGACAGTTTCGTGAAAGAGATAGACTCAAAGAGAGTGGGAGTTAATGAAATAATGACATTTATCTAAAGTTTACTTAGTACTTTACTAATTATTTTTTTTTTTTTGCTACTATTATTATTACTGCTAAATTTCAATATATTTATCATCGTTTTGCGGTGCTGGTGTGAATGTTGAAAGATACAGCCGGTAGCTGGTTTGCCTCGAAACTCACGCTAGCATCGATACCCATAGTGCTCAGTGCTCCGCGAATTACACCCATTGGGAACCAAATGAAGGGTGCAGCTGCAAGAGTTCCTGATTTCTGTTGACCTGCCCCTGCAGAAGAAGTCACTGCTGCTCCTGATGCCGCTGCAGTTGCCGCCGCTGCAGTTGCAGCCACCATTTGCTGGTGATGGCCACCAGCCCCTGGTGCATTTTTGGCAAGCCCGGTGGGCTTACTACCGTGGACCGCAGATAAAAGCCCGTTGGCTGCAGAACCCATGCGCTCACAAGGTCTGAATGAGTTGTCAACGAGCACATAAATCCCACGGTGGTTCGTTTTAAGATTGTCAATGGGCTTGCTGTAAACTGCTGTCCAAAGGTCTTTGCAAACAAACTTGAGCACGTCGAGCTGCGTTACTAGCCGGCTCGCATCGCGCGATAGAACCTCTGCAAGTGCCGCACCGACGCGGAATCCGTATAATTCTGTGCGGAAGAAAACGTCTGCATCTTCAGCACCGGCCATGTGCGGATACTGGTGTAGCATTTCTCGGGGTGTACTAACTTGAGAGGTATTATTGTTGACATCTGTGGTATCGGTAGTAGAATCTTTTGTCTTCTCTTCTTTTTCATCTTCTTTTTCTTTTTCTCCTGGATTTTTACTATCATCCTTGTCTTCCAAGGTTAATGAATTGATAGCCGATCCCAGATCTTCTGAGGGTTTTCGGACATCTTCGACGACCCGTCGCGCAAGCGGAACCATCTCAATGAGCAGGTACTCGAAGGCTGATGCATTAACGAGAGACTTTGTCTCAGCAGCCGTGGCTGTGGAGACTACTGGTGGTAGCGATGAAGAAGTAGTATTCTTACTAGCGACGCTAGTCTCTGATCGAACAGGTGCAATAGGTTGCGATTGCTGTTGTTGTTGGACGGTTGATGCCATTTTGGGCCTTGTGAATGGGTTTGAAAGCCGCTGGCTAAGTTTCAAAGGCTGTGATGGAGGTATGTGCGCGTGTGAGTGCAAGGGTACATGTAGCTATATTTCAGGTTTAGGGTTTTATCCTAAAGCAGAGTGTACAATTGCTTGCAAAACCTCCATCTTGAAACCAATTTGAATGTGGATCTTCCGCTAGAAAATAAAAAATATATAAAAAGGCCACTGCAAAGGAGGTATCTTCCTCTTTCTTTTCTTTCATATCATATATCAATACTTGGAATTTTATTTTTAAAATCGCTTTGAAAATGGCTATTGAATCCCCAAAAATCGTTGCTGAATCTATGCAGGAAGAACAACCTTCCACAGAAAAGCGCGGCTTGCTGGCCAAGCTGCCCACTGAAAACTTTGCAGAAACTGAATCTGAAAATGAAGAACTTGTTGAAGACTCCTCCGACATCAAAGATCCATCTGAGGTCCACAAGCTTCTAAGCCTTTTACCACCTGCGGCTGTTTCTGCATGCACCGCAGAGGTTTCTATGACATCCTTTTGGCTCGGCGGGTTGTTTGGAGCGTGCTTTGTCTCGACCATTTTCCTCTTTTCGCATGTCATTTCTACTTTCTCAATCCCATTGACTGCTGGAACCACAGTCATTGCAGCTTATATCACACGTCTTCCCGCAATTCTGCCATGGCAGTTACCAGCATACGGCTCTATTCTCGGTGTCTTCCATTTCCTTGAATACTGGACTACAGCTGCTTATAACCCAGACAAGGTCTCGCCGTCATCGTTCCTTCTCCGGAACGGCTCTGTCTACATTATTGTCCACATCGTTGCGCTGGCCGAAACGTTGCTTGAACGCTATTTACTGACCTTCTTTGCTCCATCCATCCGTTTGCTTTCAATCTCCACAGCAGCCGCTTCTTATGATCAGGCTTTTTGGAAAACACCTGCCTTTGCCTTTTACGTCTCTCTTGTAGGGCTTGTGGTGACACTTCTGGGCCAGTTGTTGCGCTCGACTGCAATGATCCATGCCGCATCAAACTTCTCGCACGTAATTATGCGCTCACACCATAAATCTCATGAATTAGTTACCACTGGAGTCTATAGTGTCTCCCGCCATCCCTCTTACGCTGGCTTTTTTTTCTGGGCTCTCGGTACCCAGATTCTTCTACTAAACCCTATCTCATTGATCTTATTCCTCTCGCTTCTTTGGCCTTTCTTTAATGACCGCATCCAAGACGAAGAACAATATCTTGTCTGCTTCTTTGGAAATGACTACGTTGAGTATAGAAAACGAACTCCAACATTGATCCCATTTATTAAATAGTGACAAAATAGAACACTTGTGTATGCTTCAGGTATCTGGAGGAAAAATCTAAAAAAAAAAAGAAAAGAAAAGAAAAAAAAAGAAAAAAGTCCAAAAAAAATCAAAAAAAAATCAAAAGATGGCCTATATATTATCGTTTGTTAGGCTGCACAATTGCAAGTTCGTCATCGTCATCGTCGCTTAAAGTCAAATCAATCACTTCAGATACAGTCCGTTTAATACCTTGAAACTGCACTTCTCCATTAGGGCTACTGGTGGCTCTTGATGGGTTAAAACTCGATGATGGTGGAATCCGAGCCTGAAAGTTTGATCCTGGAGCAGCCTGTCTCATAAATGACGCCCCATCAGGTCCGCGATGAAATATAGGACGCTGTGAACCAGATGGTGATCCATTGGCTGTACTAGCATTTGTTATCGCATTAACATTATTGAGCTGTGGTCCACCATTAATTGGTGCTGATGAGCTTGTTCCCATAACTTCGGACGGCCGCTTTTGTTGTTGGTCAAACGGATGTCCGCCGTTAATCCTTGTGCCCATAGTGCCCCGCATGTTACTCATTATACTTTGCGGTGCAGTTAAATGGCCTGGTGGTTGGCCACTTTTAGAATTATAGTTGTTGTTTACTGGTGATGGCGTTTGTAGCTGATGAGGTTGTTGTACGTTACTGCTTCCATTAAAATTTCCATTGGATGGTCTTGCGGGTGAAGAGCCAGTCTTAGACTGGTGGTTCTGCATACTAGAGATATTACTCACAGGTGCCCATACAATTTCCCGGTTCCTTGCTTCTCTTGGAGACGCCGGTCGTGGAAGACTGGAAAGTGGTGTTTGTGTACTTCTATTATTGCCGTTAGGCAGAATGGAGCCATTAGTGGGTAGATTTTTAGCACCATTGGCTCCCGATGTCGTCCCTGTCAAAACTCCTCCCCCTGAACTTCTTCTAGAGGTGCTGCCAGATTGTGACGGTCGATTTGAGTGTCGGGTAAAAATTGAATTGTTCCACGACGGCAACATTGAAAATAATTCTTCGCGGCTAAGAGCCAGTGGTTTCGGTGGTGACTTGGGGGTAGGATTTGTTGAAGGTTTATCAGAAGCAGACGCCGAGGCTGGGGCTGGAGCTGGGGCTGGAGCTCCAGCCCCAGCTGAAGCAGTAGGAGCCGAAGTAGTAGGAGCCGAAGTAGTAGGAGCCGAAGTAGTAGGAGCCGAAGTAGTAGGAGCCGAAGTAGTAGGAGCTGAAGCAGTTGACGGTGTTGTAGGCAGTGTCGGCGCCGAAGTTGTAGATGATCCTGTTGGTTGTTCCAATATAGCTACTGAACCAGGAATTCGCGTCATTGTTGGATTTGATGGTTGTGTTGGCGTCACCATTGGTCCCATTGGTCCCATTGGTCTAGAAGAGACATTGGAGTCTTGAACTGATGTATATGGTAGAGATTGTGGTGTTCTTTGCACAGGTGAAGGTACTGACGAAGGAATTGGGTGCGGTACTGGAGACGGAACCCCTAATGTTGCAGGCTGTATTTGCCGGGAAGGGGAAAGAGAGGACTGTAAGTTTGGATGCTGCTGTATTGATGGAGAATTTCGTAATGATGCTGGAGCCGGTGCTGGTGCATTATTCTGCAAAGTACTAGGTAAAGTGGGGTTTGATGGATTCGGCAGAGGTTGAATCTGTGTTAATGGAGAACTTTGCATTACTCTGGGCGAAGTCGAAGATGACGGTCCTAATGGCGGTAATGAAGATTCCGGCTGAATTAATGGTCTTTGAGAAGGTATCAGTATATGGAAGGAAGGAAGTCCTTGTGTTACTGGAGGCCATTTCTGTGGTTGACCCTGTATTAAAGGTTGCATGGGTTGCTGAGATGGTCTTTCATGTAGCGGTGGTACCGGATGTTGCTGTTGCTGTTGCTGTTGCTGTTGCTGTTGCTGCTGTTGCTGCTGCTGTTGCTGCTGCTGTTGCTGCTGTTGCTGCTGTTGCTGCTGTTGCTGCTGTCGCTGCTGTTGCTGTTGTTGCTGAGGTGCGGGGTTCATTATGGACGGAGGTACTGGCTGCTGTTGGTTCTGTTGTTGACCAGATGGGTGCGATGTTGCCACAATCTCTTCTTCAGATTCAAGCTCTTCTCCATCAGAATCCAATGTAACTACAGTAACGTTTTCAGGATTGAAACGGCTGCGTACGCTGTGAGACGTAGGATTATCATCACTATCATATTCATCATCGCTTCTTAGTAATTCTGCATCTTTTGGCATGGTCCACGATCCATCTGGCGCAATCTCAATGTCGGAAATGTCGTATTGAGCTGTGCTTTGTAAAATCTCGCTTAGGTATTCGTCGACCGACAAATCAACAAATTTGATGGTTTTATTGCAGATAGGACACATCCATGTTGTAGCCTGTTGCTGCAGCTGAATAAATGACAAGAGATCAAAGCACTCAATATGAGTGCAATGAATGGATCTCACTGGTGTCTTGATGCGGGAGCCAGATAAAGGACACTTTAGTGGCAAAACTGTAGACAATTCCATAATTTCGTCATCCTGAGAAGAATCTTGAATTTGTTTCTTGGTTGACTCCTTGGAAATACGGGGTCGACCTTTTACATTTTCCATGACTTGTTCAACAGTAATAGGTGTAGCGAAATACATAGTAAAAACATATTCCCGTGAAGATTCCATAGTAGTGATGTCCACAGTGTTTATTGATATCTTGCTCACGTACTTAGTCAAATCAGCAGGCTTTGTTGTTCCTAGTTTGTTTTTAACACCCTTCAAACTCTCTTGGTATAACAAATTATTAATCTTGATTGTAGTTTGCGGAGGAAATGATATTGGAACATGGTCAGGTAAAAGACCTTTGCCTTTGTCTTCCGCAGTGCCTGCAAAAAGAAGCAAAACAGATTCGCCCTGTTTAATTTGTGTAGATTCCATCTGAGTGACTTGAAAACGCATTACTATTCGGGTAGAAGCATCTGATCGAGCGCTTCGAGGGGTTTGGACGGCCTCGCAGCATGGCTCCTGAAGAACATAAAATGGGTTAGGATCGTACTTCATCTGCGGAGGCATAAAGAGAGAGTATAGCTTGTTCCCCTGGTATACTGTTGTTGAGTTATTTGTTGATCTGAAACGCGTAATCATTGGGGCATTTTGGTTTGATTCATTGTAGCGATTGATACTGGTGTTATTGTTTACATTGGAGGCACTGGCGCCAGGTTGCTGGGGTGCATAATATTGCGGTACACTTGACATAGTGGATGCTGATCCAGTGGGGTTTGGAGGTTTTGGATATAAATTTGGCACTATTCCAAGTTCAATTTGGATGAGACGATGAACGTAAGAAATGCGGTTCGTTTCATTGCGCAAGCCATTGGAAAGATATTCAATGAGACGGCTCTGTAAAATGCTTTTACGGCCTGAAGGAGAAAGATTAAGTTTTTTGAGAATATTCTTTAAATTGTTGACGATAAGTCTATCGTTGATGAAGTCCAAAGACTCTTTGTATTTGATTTTAGTTTCCTGGTCTGCCATTATTATCGCGATGGTACTTGCATTATTATGAGTGGCATGAAACCCTTACGAATTGCTATATCAGGTTAATATCGCTAGAAAAGCGTGAAATAGTTAAAGTTAAGACTAGATAATAATCAAACGGTATTCCAGAATGTTCTAACCAAAGGGTATTCATGAAAAATATATATATATATATGAGAGCCAGAATTCGCGAAGCACAATGTTTGGGAATGGTGGTAAAAAAAAAAGGGAAAAGCTGGTGTTGTTTATTTTCTTGTCTTCTTGAGTAACTGACGACCAAAATTTTTCTGCGCGTAGCCAAAACACTTAAGAACATCAAATAATCGACGATTATATTGTAAGCAGGGTAACCAAATTTCACGTTATTACACCTTTTTTATGTTACATTTTTCATTGTAGTAAATATATATATCAGGTGCTTAATGCGGCTTTGCCATCGCGAACTAACACTTGCTCGTCTACTCGGGCATCCGGGTGCTCATGCAACAGTTTCCAGCTGGAAATTGTCGCTGCCTGTGTATCAATCTCGAATAAACGGACTCTTCTTTCATATCCACCGTATCCGCCATATCCTCCTTCGCCAGTTGCACCACCAAAGCATAGCCACATAGCTGTGTCATGATTTAAAGGACCTTCCTCTGCTGTTTTATCATGGAACATGCAATAGTCATTGACGTGGTCATGGCCGACACTGACTACTGAAACACCCACGTTAGCAAGAACATCGCGAGTTCCAAGATTAAATTTCGATGCTGTAACAGGCTCACGAGCTTGGCCCACGATGGGCTTGTTGGAAACATATTCTGTGAAGGGGATATGCATAAAGGCCATGGACATGTGGATGTGTGAGTACTGTGCTTGCTTTTCCTTCAAATGGTTGTAGCTTTGTGTTACAAAATCCAATTGGTCTTGCTCAATCCAGGCGTATCCAGGGTATAGTTTGTTGTTTTGGCTGCGAGAGTGGCTGTCAAGGAAGTAAAATGTCAAGGCTGGGTTTTCACTCCGGGGGCCCAGAACCTGCTGGACATAATTACCATAACCAGAAACATTTTCTGGGCCCACCTGTGTCAAGGAGTACGGCAGGTCGGAAACAAGTGTTACGAGTTCTTTTCTCGATAAGCTGCCGCCCTCGTCGTCGTGATTGCCCATGACCATGGAATAGGGTATTTTTCGGCGGATCAGTGGCGCAACAACTTTAAGAATTGATGTCTCAGAGTCTGGAGAAGATTCTCCATAGATTTGGTCGCCTGTGAGCACAACATAATCAGGTTGCTCCTGATCAAGAACCTTTTCAACGAATTCCAAAGTGCGAGGATCAGCTTTGCATGATTTTCTTTCATCCTTATTAGCTGGAAACAAATCGCGGCATGCCCCGTAGTCAGTTGAAAAATGTAAATCAGCAAGTTGAATGATTTTGAACTTGCCAGTCTTGTGAATACGCAATTCCACTTCTGGGTTCTCTTGCTTGGGGCCTATGCGAACTGTGAGCCTAGGAAGAGATTTTTGTTCATTGCCAATAAACCCTTCGCGTAGTTGCCATCCAAGTCTGGGGTCTTGCGCATCATGGCCGAAAAGCACATCGACACTGGTAATTGAAGAAAACTGGTTGTACTTGCCGCGTTTGATCCAAATATTAAATTTTTCTTTAGTCCAGCCTTTAGAACCTGCAAGCTCATGTTGATCTTTTATTGATAGCTGTGAGATATTTTGTTTTTTTTCTTCTTTCTCTTCTTCCTTTTCAATATCCTTAAGGATGTGGGGTGGTAATTCGTTGTTGATATTTAAATCTACCGCAACGTCTAAAATCACTGGCATATTAGACGTCAATTCCTCTTCTTTAACGCGCTTGACATAAAGATAAGATTTGCGATTCCAGCGCTTATTCAGGCTAAGTTCCTTTGGCACACGGAACCACACCTGATCGGTTATAGGACATCTGGACTGGAGGAAACAAGACTCTACTTTAAGATCAACAACAACGTGGCCCTGTTGGTGAAGTAAGATCCGAGTCTGGATGGCAGAAGGTAAAATATTGTAATACCTGTCCACAAGGAAAAGCATGCCTAACAATGCCAACACGCCAAACACAAGTTTAAGTATTTGACGTGTCCATAATCGTGAAAGGCGAAGCATAGTGGGTGAAAAGAAAAGAACTATGCTTCTTTTATATTTAAAGGTTATTTAAAGATGGTGATGTGTGAAGAACAAAAGATTTTAAAAATAAATGAAAAATAATAATAATAATAATAATAATAATAATAATAATAATAATAATAATAATAATAATAATAATAATAATAATAATAATAATAATAATAATAATAATAATAATAATAATAATAATAATAATAATAATAATAAAATATTATATTATATTATATTATATGAAAGGAGTGCAGGGAGGGCTTTTAGAGTATCTCGTTAACATTTTGATTACATAAAATATTTGTCTTGCGTGGGTCTCATTAAAACATTTCTGGCAACCGCTCAATAACATATTTGCGGCCACCAACACTCATCAGCGGAATACCTGGAATTTTGCGGACTCTTCTCTTGAGATCAGCATCATTTGTTGCCACAATGTAGCACTTGTGTTGCATCACGCGCTGAACAATACAGTCATCGGCATATGTACCCTTGTGACTACACGTCAGGCGCTGAATGCGAGGATCGCGCGCCATCCGCAGAGCTATCCGATACTTAGGTCCCAGTTTCTCAAGTTCGGCCATCACGCAGTCTGTGACCATGGGTATACACTTGGCAAATAGGGCATCCATCATGCCTCGTATTAAATCAATCTTTTTTTCCACACTAAAGTTGATGAAGTTGGTATCGATAATGACTTGATATGGGGGCTTAATAGCTTCGTTGTATTGAAAAAATAAAGCTGATGAAACTTGAGGGCTTTTTTATAAAAATTAGATATAAATATATAAATATTTCATAAATTAATAAATGTCAACTTACACTTCTTTTACCAGTTCCTCGTCTTTTCCTGGTTTCGCTGGTTTGTTACGATTTGCTTTTCTACAATCAGTTAGCACAAGTCGATTTTTTGCGTAAGATTCTAAAAAAAAAAAAAAACTCACAATCTACTATCATCTTTTGAAATCATGCGCTTCACGGAAGCTTTTCTCGTCTTTTTAGCTTTGCCCATTTTTTCAATAAAAAAAAAATTCTATAATATTTGTTTAGTTTTTTGATGTTGATAAGATGTTGATGGGGAAAATTTTTGCAAAAAAAAAAAAAAAAAAAAAAAAAAAAAAATTTAGCCTTACCATTAGATCACATGATTATGTTACAAAAAATATTTCAAAATTTTTAAAATCAAAATTTTTTGATTTTCCAAATTTTTTTGTGTCAGGATAGAATTAACTTTTAATGTTTACAGAATGAACTCAGTAATTGAAAAGAATAGCGGAGAGTTTAACTGGCTCTGAACAACAATGATATTCAGTATATAATTATAATTAAATACAGAATATCATTATTGTTGAATTGAAGATCATTTAAAATTTTGAAATACTGATATATTTTATACGGCAACCTGTATTTATGAGGTGTTTAGTTCTTATATAATAAAAACTTTTTTTTTTTTAAAAATTCTTTAGTGTGACTGAAATAATCATAATCAAAATGAGATGAAGTTCTAAACATAGGTTTAAATTAAAATCTTCATAAAGACTATTCACAGATGTATTTTTGTTATTTGTTTAAGGAAAAACAATGGCAAATTACGCTATTTAGATAGAACATGGATTTAAGAGCATATTACTGATAGGTTTATTTTATTTACACTAAATAAAAGTGGGCATATACCCACTCATTAATACCTCCATTATATTTTTCTATTGAGATATAATAATAATAATAATAATAATAACCGACTGATTTTATTATATATATATATATATATTATTATTATAACAATTATAACTAATTAGTTATAAGTTAAAAAATTCAAAATGTCACTTGACAATTTTTGTTTTAAAATTGTAGAGTATATAATAAAATGAGATTTAAAGCCAGATTTTAATTTTAAACTACTTTTTTTTTTTTTAACTCATCAATTTTAATATCAAAAGTTAGAACTTTTTTTTTTATTTATTTATTTAATCATTTTTATTATTACAGCGCTTGAAGAAAATGAGAGGCGTGTTGACAACTAGCTTGGCTGTTAACCTGCATAGTCATATCTCGCCATTTTCCTTTTGTGTTACCAGTCTACTTTGTTCACACTTAGCCTCCTGGCACTTCACAACTAGAACGTCTATCAACTATAAATTCCCTAAAGTTCGCCCTTCTAAATTTTCAAAAAAATTTCATTCTTCATCTTCACAACTTAAACTTTTATCACTAAACTTCACAAAAAACATGTCTCAAGAAGAACTTCGTTATCCCGTCTCAGGAATCGCACCCTACAAGCCAAACTATAAACTGCGCAATGCGTACAGGAATGAAGAGGGCCACAAGTATCTGTCGCCATTTGGTCACCCATACAATATGATTTTTGACCAGGAAAATCAGACTCGTGTCTCTTACCCCACACTCAAGGATAAGCAGATTCTTGCACTGTCCTATGCCATTCGTCAAAAGCCTGAATGGTGGATCAAGTACAAGAACCCAGAAATTGTTGCCAAATGGCAAAAAGAAACCGTAGCTTCTAAAGAAGAAAGGGATGAGTTTATCCAACAAAACGGAATGAAAGCTGTGGCAGAAAGCCCCAAAGTGTTACAGCCTCTTTTTGACTTTGTAATTGCCGAGTTAGCATGGTACGAAAAGCTTAAAGATTCAACTGATGGTCAGTTCCAATTGGCTTACTCTGACTATGTGTTTTTTGGAGACAAGGTTATTCCCTCTGATCTCAAAACCACTTTTATTAAAGCAGCTAAAAAACTCGAAGATATCCCTGATGATTTGCGTGACTGGCATCCTGGATCTAACCAACAAGTTTGGGATCTTATCCACCCTTCATTGTATCCCTTACAATACGGAATCACCCCGGTAGTCAAAGATTTGAAGAATGATCATGTTGGATTTGAAATTAATTACAAGGGGGGTTGTGTGCCAATGCCAGAATATAATTTTTGGCGAGACTCAATCAAAAGTGATGTGTCAACCTTCGGCATTAGCAAGAGATTCCAATGGCTTCCTTCAATATTTAATGTTGCGAAGGATGGAAAAGTCACGATTGAGTCATACATTAACAACCTTCACCCTGTTCACTACAAAGATTTATACCGGCCAATTGCCGATATTTTTGCACGGTTTATTCCTGGTATTAATGCTGCACTATCACAATACGCTTCCAAGGAACACATTAGAGATAATCCATTTACCCACGAAGAAGGTTTGTATGGTCCTGAACCCGAATTTGATGAAAACGACCCTAACTATGACGAAAAATATGACGAATACATTGAAAACCGGGTTCCTATTGTAAATGACCCCGTTTTTGAAATGCCTTCTGGAGAACGAGTCAGTCAGATTGATGTTCATGGTACCAAGCTTAAAGTTATTGTCAAGATGGCTAATATTCAGCTGACTCCTGAAAACCCAGAATATGCTGGTGGTACTTGGCATGTCGAAGGAACCATCAACGAAGACATTGTATGTTCATGTCTGTACTACTACGATGTCGAAAACATTACAGACGATTCCGAGCTCGAGTTTCGTGCCGCAACTGATGCACCAATTTACGAACAATACGATTCTGATGGGGTCCTAGCTGTGTATGGATTGGAAAATGGTGACTTAAATACATTTTACGTTGGTGGAGTGAAGACAATCGAGGATCGTTTGATTGTTTTTCCCAACATGCTTCAACACCACGTTAAGCCATTTAAACTTCAGGACAAGACCAAGCCTGGTCACCGCAAAATTTTGTGTTTCTTTGTGTGCGATCCATATAATGATAATGTTATTTCGACTGATCAAGTTCCGCCACAGCAGTCAAACTGGTGGTCAGAACAGGTATTGAGCAACGAAGAAGAACTGAAGAATAATCATTACACCATTTTTGATCAGCTTCCCACAGAAGTGTTGGAAGCCATTTTTGACGAAGTTGAGTGGCCTATGTCGCTCAAGAGAGCCAAAGAAGTGCGCGAAGAACTTATGGAGGAACGCAGTATTAATAGTAAAAAAGAGGAAGAATCAGAACCAGATAGAAACCCGTTTTACCGACACTTTAGCTTGTGTGAGCATTGATTTAAGCTGATGTAAAAAAATTTAAAACTATCAAACAATTGTTAAATTAGAAGAAATAAAAAAATATAAAACAATAGAAAATATACTAACATTAATTTTTTTTTATTTTGATCCTGAGGGTTATTTACTAAAATATAAACTAAGTCTGATACAGTTTAATTTGTTATATTCTGTACTTTAAAAGGCATTGTTTGTTTGATTGAATTAAAGAGTTAGAGAATTATAAAATAGCAAAATCAAACTTATTCGTTTAATTGTCTAACTTGACTTGGTGTTTATTAATGAACCTTTTCATTAAGTGTTGTTTTGTTCTGTGCAGCTCTCATACCCCAGAATTTGTGTCTTAATGTCTGGCCTGTCAGTCCAACGGTTTCCCCAAAATATCTTTCAATTATCTTCACCAATACTAATTTATTTTTCTTATACTTCTTTAACATAGAACTTTTTTTACAGTTATTTGCTATTTAACTAGACAAAATTTAAGAACAAACTTTTTTGTTAACCATGATAACCAGTGGAGATGTAAAATTCCTTAAATCCCCCGTAAACTCCGGTAAACTCCGGCAAACTCCGGTAAACTCATGTAAACTTTTAGTAAATAAAGAATAAATCACTAAATTAAAGCATATATCATTTACAATAAAAGGAAACCAATATTTTACCATAAGAAATGTTTGTTTTATTTAAGGGTTATAGAATTATATAACATCAGCATCTGCGCTATCCTTTTTGTTTTTACTATATATCTTTTCATTTTTATAATAAACTTTTAATTTTGGCTTCAACATTGCATCTCCAAAAGCAAATAGCTTAAAAATGTTTGTTTGTTTGTTTTTATTCAAGGGTTATAGAATTATATAACATCAGCATCTGCGCTATCCTTCTTGTCCATACTATATATTTTTTCATTTTGATAATAAACTTTTAATTTTGGCTTCAACATTGCATCTCCAACAGCCCGAAAATAAGTCCTGATGCCAGCTTACGAGGAACAGGGGGTTAAAATAACCAAACCTTCCCAACCTATCTCCACTTGTCTTCATCAACGCTGTAATTGTATTTCTTAATCCCTCCAAGCAGAGATAAAGCTTACAATCTCTTGTAAGCCAGTTAAACTGTTTAAGAGAGTCGACATGTCCATCTCTGGAGATATCCGTTTCAGTCCTTTTCTTTCCTCTTCAAGCAAAGGACACTCAACTAAAATGTGATGAACAGTTTCCAGCTCTCCACATTTGCAGTTGTAACTATCCTTTTCAATTCCAAACTTTTTAAACCATGCGCCAAAGTTGCCATGGCCTGTGCGAAACTGAGTAATATTACTCAAGATCCTTCGACTATCTTTCTTCATGATCACTCCCTGTAACCATTTTGGAAAGATTATCAGTACATTTCGACTCCACTGTGATATTATGATACCACAGATCCTTACTGCTGTTCCAATACATTTCTTGCCATTCTTCCATTGCTTGTTTCTTCAAAATTCCAATCGTCTGATTTTGTTGTTGTTTCAGTGTAAGAGGTTCAACCCTCTTGCATTTTCGTTTTTCATCCTTTTTAATCATATAGTCTCTATCATCTTTCGCCAACATGTAAAGCGTGGTTAGCTTTGCAATTGGAGATTTCTCAATCAATGTTAACAAATGACCATTAATAGGATTAGTTTTGCTAATATTTAGGTGTAAACGAATAGCTTTTCGTGCCACCATAAATTTTAGCCTAATACTATATGGCATAATACCAGCTTCCTTTTGTAGTACCGCAATAGGAGTTGTGCGATAAGCACCAACAATTCTTCTTAAAGCCATATTCTGCATTACTTCCAACTTGTGGATTTCTCCTTTCAAAATTTTGTGATGCCAAATTTCTAAGCCATATTCGACAATTGGTCTCACGCAAGCAATATACAGTGATCTGACTGCAGACCCTCGCATACCTTTTGCACGCCACCAAGATGCCAAATAGCACCAACAGCTTTTCTTGCTTTATTGATTTTATTCAAAATATGAGATTTAAAATCAAGCAGATTGTTCAAAGTAATTCCAAGCAATTTAACTTCCTTCTGAGGTTCACGAAGTTCTCCATTAGGTAAAGTAAGTTGCACTTTCTCATCTTTAGGTTTCACATTTTTTTGTAAAATGAATAAAACCCAATTTATCACCCAAATCAATTTTGGTCATTCTTGATTTAGCCCAATTACAACATTTTTCTAATATTTTGCTTAAGCTTTTGGTATTTTCTTCAATTTTACCTTCAACGGTAATAGTCACATCATCAATAAATAAAAAAGGAGTTCCACCCCATTCTTTAATGGCATGATACATTGGTGTGGAATATATCAGAAAAAGTAGTGGTGAAATAGGTGAGCCTTGCGGAATTCCAGTACTAATTTTTGCACTGATCCTTTTCTTCGGTCCATGAGCATACTAGCTTCTCTTTCACTTACAAATTGGTACGTCCAGTTTATAAGTGCTTTGGGTAGTTTCATATCCTCCATTGTGTGTGCCAATATATTTCTGTTAACATTATCAAAAGCTCCTTGAATATCAATGAGCATAGCTGAAATTTTTTCTTTACTAGTTTCAATTCTTTGGACAAGTTCCAAAACAGCATCAGTAGCACAATAACCTTGTCTTCCCCATATTGCTCTGGTGGAAGTAAGTGTGTTGTAAGCTTGGTCATTCTTTTTGTATAATTTTTTCCAGTACTTTAGATGGAATCTTAAGTAAGGAAATTGGTCGGTATGCTCTTGGCTTTGAATAGTCAGGTTTCTTAGGTTTAGGTATAACAACAATAATGCCATGTCTCCAGACTTTTGGGTGGTATCCAAACTTTACACAAGCTTGGAGAAGCTTGAAAAACCTTTCCTTAAAGTCTTTATTTAGCCATGCCATCTTTAAAACTTTGCCAGTAATTCCATCGTCTCCTGGAGCTTTATCATTTGGGGTATCAGCCAATGCAGAGTCAACTTCATCAAACTCTAATTTTGGCCATCGAGAATCGTCATCAATTTCAAACTCTCTATCAAGACCATGATCAATTTCAGGTAGAAGTGCCTTCCATATTTCATGTCTTTTTTCGTCAACAGTAGTAGTGAGAGTTCCATCTTCTTTTCTAATTTGTGGTATAATGGTATCATTGCTTTTTGGATTAATATACTTCAAAATCTTCCAAATGTCATTTCCTGCTAAACTAGACAAATATTTATTCCATTGCTCAGTACTTGCCTCACGCAAACTGTGGTCAAAAATTTTTCTAGCTTTTTTCGCCTCTTCAATTTTTTGTCGTTTCAAAGCCAAAGAAGGTTGTCTTTGACGGGCTTCCCTTTTAGCTTCTAGCGCTTTTTCTAACTTCTCCCTTAATTCTTGATTCCAATAGCGTTTGGACTTTTTCATCACCTTAACTTCCTTCATCGACTTTGCCATTGCTCTTTTTACAACCTCCTCAAGAACTTTAGCTTGGTCATCAATTTGGTCAGTTGATTTTAGAGTTTTGTTATGCACATTAAAATCTTTAATGGCAGAAGAAAGCTCCTTGTCAAACTTTTCCCAATCTGCATTCTTAATATTCAATCTCTTCACCGAAGTAAAAACTTCATCCCCGTTTTTACTCTGAGACATATAGATGTCCCACTCCACAATTGAGTGATCACTTAGTGTATTTTCATTCACTCCACTAAATGAAATTCTATGAAGTAAGTCAACTGAGCCATAAACCAAATCAATATTGGTTCTATTGTTGTATGTTTTTTGATTTCTTGGAGTAATTAACATCATATCATTTTCATGTAGCCACTCAACAACTTCATCTGCTTCCGTATTCGGACCTGCCCTTGACTCCCATTCCTTGTGATGTAAGTTATAATCACCTAATAGCTTAAAAATGTTTGTTTGTTTGTTTTTATTCAAGGGTTATAGAACTATATAACATCAGCATCTGCGCTATCCTTTTATTGTCTGACTATGTGACTTGCCGGTTTTCATTTGTACCTTTTTAGTACTGGTGGTTTCTGTTCTGTGCGTCTCCGGTAGCCCGGAAGATGGGCCCTGATGCCAGCTTACGAGGAACAGGGAGAACCAGTCTGTCGGTCCCAAAACCTTCCCAACCCATTTCCACTTATCTTCACGGACGCCCATGTATTTCTTAATCTCTTCCGTCAGAGATACGGCCCGCAATCACCTGCAGGCTATTTAGACTGTACGGAAGAGTCGGCATTCCTGTAACCAGGGTAGCCTATGGATTTTTAATCTAGGTGTATACTCCCGTACACATCCTCAGGAAAAGGGGGTATTCTGGGAATCGAACCCAGTATCTTCCGCTTTCGAGCGAACGTGTTACCCTTTACACCATCCAGCCCTTTCCCCCCCTAATAGCTTAAAAAATCTATATAGGTTTTTGAATAATATACAGTCGAGCTCTAAAAGTATTTGGGACCAGGTGAACTTTTAACAAAGTTGCCTGCGTAGCCCAATGGTTAAGGCGTTAGACTTCTAATCTGAAGATTGTGGGTTCGAGTCCCACCGTGGGTGTTAAGTCATTTTTTTTATACTTTGCAATTAGTTTTTTTTTTTTTGCAGTATTTAGCTTTTGTTCAAATTTTTGATATCTTCATGTAATATTTTATAATTAGTATCAATGCTTTTATTGATTGTTCTAACACTTAATTCTTTTTAGAGATAAGCTACTATGAAAAGAAAATAATGAGTGGGGGGGTTCCATTTTTTTTTATGTTTTTCTTATAATGATAAGCCAACCAACTTTTTTTCAATTCACAAAATAATTTTGAGACTTTACAAATACCTTGGTTCGTATAGTGATAGTTACAAATAGTTAAGTGAAGTCAGCCTTGCGTAGAGAATGGATGCAAAAGGCACGTGTGTCCAGTCAAAACCAACGCTCAAAAAATTGATTGGCTGGAAAACATACAAAAAGCAACAAATTGTGCAAGCAATATACACAACATATACTTATCATCGATAATTCACTAAAATTTAACAGTACCGAAGACAGAATTCACCATATTGCTTGAGGGTAAATTCTCGATAATGTTATCAATGGTTGGATAATTATAAGACAGTATTTGAACAACAATCTAAACATTATTTATAGCCACATTGAATACCGTTGTAGAAAATAATTTTTCTTTATGGAAGTGCAAGTTTATGATATTTTGGTAAACGAAGAAGATATAAAAATGGAAAAAGGTTACTATAATCGAAATCAATGAGAAAAAATCAGCAACGGATACAGTTACTGTAACATTCAAAAAAAGATATAAATGCAAACCCTTTACAAAAGAAGTAGAAATGCAAAAAAATGACAACCGAGGGATTCGAACCCTCGCCTCCGAAGAGATAGGAACCTTAATCCTACGCCTTAGACCAACTCGGCCAGATTGCCCAATTTCTTGATAGTTTTTCAAAATGTACCCATCAAAGAGACTCGAATAATCTATTAAAATATTTTCTTTATATTTCAAGAGAATGAGCACTCCAGAGATGGAAATGTCGACTTTCTTAAACAGTTTAACTGGCTTACAAGAGATTGTAAGCTTTATCTCTGCTTGGAGGGATTAAGAAATACAATTACAGCGTTGATGAAGACAAGTGGAGATAAGTTGGGAAGGTTTGGTTATTGTTAACCCCCTGTTCCTCGTAAGCTGGCATCAGGACTTATTTTCGGGCTGTTGGAGATGCAATGTTGAAGCCAAAATTAAAAGTTTATTATTAAAATGAAAAGATATATAGTATGGACAAGAAGGATAGCGCAGATGCTGATGTTATATAATTCTATAACCCTTGAATAAAAACAAACAAAAAATTAAGAGAATGAGCTTGTTATTGCCTGGTATTTAATTACTTGTTTATAGTAAAATAAATTTTGGATTTAGTTTTTAAGCAGTTGTAGATGTAACTTTGAATCCAAATCATAATTTTATTGTGAAAACAAAAGGATATATAGTGAGAACAACAAGGATAGGGCAGATACAGATATTAATTAATTCTATAACCCTTTAATAAAAGAAAAAAAAGCTATTAAAGTAACAATTGAAAGCTTAAGAAATAATAATATATATATATATATATATATATGTATTTATAACTCTTTAATAAAAATATTTAAGTAAAGAAAAAACATCAGGTTTTTACTATAGAAAACCATTTTCTTAGCAAAGAATACTTGGTTTGATTTCCAGAAACCTCATCTTTTATCGAAAGAATTTATAAAAGTCAAATATTTACTTGATGATCTAGGCTTACTTGATGAGAAGTTGAACCTTTTTCTTTGGTTTATTCTAATAAATATGCAAGTGTTTAAAGGCTGAAACTGTATTGGAAGAGATAAATAAAGATAAATAAAATTACAGGCGTCTGTGTTAAGATAGGTGGAAATGAGTCGGAAAGGTTTGGGACTGACAAACTGATTCTGTTTCTTTCTTCTAAGTTGGCATCATGGTCATATTTTTCTGGGGCCCACAGATTGAAATAACATGAATTGAAAAGGCACTTCAACTAGCGGAAATTGAAGTCATATAATTTAATCCTTGAATAAAAAAAAAAAAACATATAACTAAGAATATTGAGTTTTTTTTGATTTTATAGTTATTTAAAAATTAATATTAACATAAATTACAATCCATATTAAAATAAATTAATTCCTAGGCATTTTTAATTTTTTAAATAGAGATGTCGATTTGAAAAAAAAAAATTTAAACTGTATATATGTCATAGATGAAAAAAAAAAAACAAACAAAAAATAGAAAACTATACATTTGTAGACATATTGCCAAAGTTGTATGTATATATATTTGTGTATATTTACAATTAAAAAGATATTAGCTATATCTACATGTACTAAAATGGGGAATCAAAACTAATAGTTTTAAAGAGGTTGTAACTGTTATTTTGCAGTGCTTTAAAATTTGATTTTTTTCAAAAACATGTTATAGTATTGAAGATATGTTATTATACAGAGAAAGAATAAAAGAAGAACTTTTTTTTTTTTTTTTTTGAAGAAAACTTTTATCAAAGATCGACAAGTACACTGAATGATTTGAAGTAAACGTAATGAAATAATTAAATCACCAAACCATAAATAATAATAATAAAAATATTATAATTAAACTATTGAATTGATTATTGACATATGCCATGAAGTTATACTTTTTTTTTTCCATTTTTTAAAATAATAATAAATTAACCAGTAAGGTGGTTCTATTGTAAGAAAAAAATTTTTTTTTTTCACAATAGAATTTAATTTTTTTTTTCATAAGAATAAGGGGGGAAAAAAAAGTAAAATGAGTTAGATGATATCATTTCCCTTAAACCAAACCAATGAAAAGTTATATTTATAATGAATTTCAAGTGATAAGCAAGAAATGAAAATATTTTATAGGATTGAATAAGAAAGCAAAAAAAAAAAAAGAAAGAGAATTAGTTTTAGTTTTATTGCTCAATAATTAAATTTTTTTTTTTTTAATATAGCTAATGTCAAAAGTGTATAAATTGCCGTATACATGGATTTTGCATTCAGGGCCAAAAAAAAAAAAAAAAAAAAAAAAAAGTGACTATAAATTTCATAAATTTCATAAAAAATTCCGTTTAACAAATTTGTTAGACGATACCCTTTTGATTTAAGTTTGTGGCTAATGTTTAGATGAATGCTTTTATACAACATTATAATGATAATTATAGAAAGTAACGTTTAAAAAGTAGTTGATTTAGCCACTCCAGTACTTTGGAAAAATGAATAGAAAATGAATTTTTTTTTATTTGGCCTATTTTTTTAACGAGTCATCATCATCATCATCATTATTGTCTTTTTTGTTTAGTTTGGTTTAGTCTAGTTTTATTTTTGATTGTTTTGGAAATTTTCATCGGAAGGCAATGAGTTAATCACTTGATAAACTTAAAGGTTCTTTTTTTTTTTCATTTTGAATATGTTTAAACTCAATTATATATTTCTATAGTTAAAAAAATTTTTTTTTTCACATTTTTCAACCACATCATCGGGTTTCTTCTTCCTTTTTTAAATTTTTTTTGTTTAATATATTATATGTATATTATGACTTACAATTGTATAATTTTTTTCATATTTTAAAGCTCTTTAGCAATAGTGATTGGTTCAATTTGAATGATTTGATCAAGTGACGTCTACTAGAATGTATAAGAGCAATAATCAATTACCTTCAAGGTTGTTCAAAAATTTTTTTTTATTTTTTTTAAAGTATTTTTAAAGTGACATGACTATAGTAAAAATAGTCAGAAGACTTGTTTGTATATACAATAGAATAGACAAAAAATAATTTTTTTTTTCTGTTTCTGATATTGTAAAAAAAAAAAAAAAAAAAAAAAAAAGCCAATATTTGAAGAATTTATTAAGAATTCAACAAGATCTTAAGCAAAAGCTAAGAGCTATTGTTAAGGCCCTGCCAAGATCATTGTTTCTTTAAGATTTCTTTAAAAAAAATCATATTTTATTTTGATAGTCTTTTATTTTTTATTTTTTGGAAATTAGTTGGTTTGACAAGAAACGTTGATGATGATGATGATGATGATTATGAGAGGGTGTAACTTAAGCTATGACTTTTTTTTTTCCTACCTTGTGGATGTCTAAAGCTGGTTATCTATTTTTTTTATTGGACTTAGTTACCCTCTTAAACTTTTTTTTTTTTTTTGGAAACAACCTTGAAGGTTTTTTTTTTTTTTTTAAAACAAAAGAGTAATTACCGTTATAACCTTCAAGGGACTCTTTAAAATAAGTGATTTTTGAAAACTTTTTTTTATGACACAACAAGAAAGGAGGTGAAGTCACCAGTCATTCATAACTTTCAATTTTTTTATTTATTTATTTATTTAATATTTTTTATTCTTCAATTTTTAACAAAGATAGTTTTTATTTTTTTATATTTTTTTTTTGAACTTTTACCTGTAAAGACAACAAACGTACCTTAGATTTGAATGTAATAATTAATCAGACGTCAATGTTGCAACTGCCAGCATCATAATTAGCATCAGCAACATCAGCAACATCAGCAACATCAGCAGCAGCAGCAGCAGCAGCAGCAGCATCAGTGGCAGAAGTAATAGCAGCAGCAATAGCAGCCATATAATTCCCAATACATCCATGACTCTGCGGCTTTTACCTTGGTGAGTGTTTGAATTAAGTACTTTGCAGCTGTACTTCCGTGCTAGAATATCCTAGAACGAGGCCCTTTAAACCATCAAGGTTCTCTTCTAAGTATAGGAGTGGGGGGGGGACCTTTATGGTTATTTAGAAATAAATTTATTTCTTCTTCCTCTCACAATAAAAAAAAAAAAAAAAAAAAAAAAAAAACTTCCAACCGGGTGCCTCTCACAAGTGCAGCGGCACACTCGCAAGTTCGGCAGATACTCAAGCCAAACAGTCAAAGTAGCAGCAGCAGCAGTAGTAGCAGCACCAGTAACAGTTACAGCAACAGTAATGGCGATCAAAAGTGGCACCCAGTCTAAATGAGAATTATATATTTTTTATATATTATTTTTATTTTTATATATAATTTAAATAATTTATAAAAAATTATAATTACCTATTAACTGGTATACTATTGCCATTACCATCTTTATCTTTCTTATATATACCTGCTTTAATCTCCATCCTTTTAGATTTCATTTTTTCCCTTATCCAGTCTCTTCCACATTCAATCTATACACTTTAGGATTTTAATTATTATATATTATTTTCATCATTGTTATTGTTATTATTATCTTTATATATAAATAAATAAGTCTTTCCTTTAGCTATCAAACCCATCATCATATCTACCCAATAATAATATGACTGCCGCTGCTGCCGCTTCACAGCTACTCGTCAAATATGCCTCTGACATATCAACCATCTTTATCAGAGATGTAATCACAAATACAACAGCCACAGATTCAGATGACTCCACCGCTTCCATAGATGCTTGTTCTTCAGATAACGACTACGATGGCCGCATGGGTGCTCGCATTTCCGCCATATTTGTCATTCTCGTTGCCGGAACTTTTGGTGCACTGTTCCCCGTTGTTTCTTCCAGTGTCCCCAGACTTCACATACCGCCAATCATCTTCTTCATGGCCAAATATTTTGGTTCCGGTGTCATTGTCGCAACCAGTTTAATCCATCTTCTTCAACCAGCAAACGAAAACCTTACAGACGAATGTTTAGGTGAAGGCTGGTCTGTTTACCCATACGCTTATGGTATTGCTCTCGGATCCCTCTTTGGTACATTTTTTGTAGAACTTATCTCTAGAAGATATCTTGAAAAGCGCGGCATTGAACATACACATGGAGATACTGGGTTTGAAGCACATGGCCACAGCCATGACCATACTGTGCCTGGTACTTCAAATGACATTGAAGCTTCACCTTCTCACGTTCACACTCACGACAATAATACAGACCCTTCTCAAGATGACACTGAGGAAAAAATTGGTTCAGGTTTGGATTCTTCCCGTTACAAAGAAACTCAATATTATGATGGCTATACTGATTCCGATGCTGAAAGCGCCAAGGAACGTAACTTGGCCATGCAGCTCGGCTCTATCTTCATTTTAGAGTTTGGTATTATTTTCCACTCAGTCTTTATTGGTCTATCTCTTGCGGTAAGCGGTAGTGAGTTCACCTCGTTATACATTGTTCTTGTTTTCCACCAAATGTTTGAAGGCCTTGGTCTCGGTACTCGTATCGCCGTTGCGCCTTGGCCAGAACGCAAAAAATGGCTGCCTTGGGCTCTTGGTATTGCCTATGGTTTTACTACTCCCATCGCTATTGCCATTGGCCTTGGTGTTCGCGAATCTTATCCTCCTGGAAGCTCTCGTGCTCTCATTACAAATGGTATCTTTGATGCAATCTCGGCAGGCATTCTTCTTTATGTTGGTCTCGTCGAGCTTGTTGGTAATGAATTTATGCATAACGACGAAGTTCGCAAGGGATCCACAAAAATGGTTATTTTCGCCTATTTTTGCATGATGGCCGGTGCCGGTCTTATGGCTCTTCTTGGTAGATGGGCCTAAAAAATCATTATAATTTAGTATTGTTTTTTTATTTTGTAGTTTTATTTATTTATTTTTTTTCTCATTTTTAGATACACATATAGATAATGAATTTTTGTTATATATTATTAAAAACATTCAAACTTGAAATAATGTCTTCCCATTATATTTTACGTATTCACATTGACCTTTTTCAAAAAAAAAAAAAACTAAAACATAAAAAAAAGTCTTAACGTAGCCTCAACTTTTTATTGAAAAGCCGGGTAACTACCCAACCCTTATGCTTGCTCATCTACACGCACCCAAAAAGGTCCCACTTAGTCTTTTTTTTTTTTTTTTTTAACCTCTCGTTATAATTATCAATATCTCTCTCTATTTATTCAACACACTACACCATCAAATGTCAATCACCACTGTATGTTTATTGAACCTCCATACAATTCTTACTCAATCCTAACATATACATTCACAGTGGAGATACTTTAACTTTTTTGACGCCACCCCTATTAAAGACCCATCTCTTGCAGATGAACATACTCTTTACTCAGTACGTATTCCTTAGTGATATTTCACTACATGCACGCGTCTTTAACCAAACCAATCTATCTAGGACCCAGGCCTAACAGCCATTGCCCCAGGCCTAACCACTATCTTCTTTGCCACTTCAAATGCTACAATCAAAGAATTTGGACAAGACCTTACACTAAAGCAAACATGGACAGCTTACGATCCAGCAGTCAGTATATCATATCTCCGCTATCTCAAAGGTACCAGTCTACTACTTTCAGTTGGCGAACTTTCCGGAGTTGGTCCCGTCATTAAGCTTTGGAATTTGGAAAAACGCGACAAGAAAACAGGCTTCCCTCATCTTCACTCTACAGTCACTGTTTCCAATGGTGATAATATTTCTCCTATTTCTGCCTTCGACCTGACCTCCGACCACACAATGCTCGTTTTTGGTTTTGCCGATGGCACTGTTATTCTTGTCCGTGGTGACATTGTTCATGATAGAGGAGCCCGCCAGCGTGTAGTTTACGACAGCAATGGGCCTGTTACAGGGCTAGCCTTTTACGAAAACAAGACGGAAAATACCGCCACTCTTTTTGTAGCAACTGTCAACCGCATCTTTACTGTGTCTACAACAGGAAAAAACAATGGTAAACCTGAAAAGGTTCTTGACAAGACTCGCGGTGCAGACTTGGGATGCACAACTTTTGACCCTATCAAACAAATGTTTGTTGTGGCCCGCTCAGACTCGGTCTCTTACTATACCACTACAGGCCGCGGGCCTTCTTTTGTCTTTGAAGTTTCGAAAAAACGGGTTTTTACTTATAAACAATATGTGGTCATGGTTTCCTTTGGAGGAACTCCTTCTTCTGAAAGTGGTGTTTCTCTCAGTAACCTGCTTGGCTCGGTCGATGAACTTTATACCACCTCGAGACTACTTATTGTAGACGGAGCCAACCAGTACATTGCATATACTGGCCAAATTTCCGGAGTAATCAAGGACATTTTTGTCCAATGGAACAAGCTTTTGGTGCTGGGCGCCGATGGCGTTTTATACCAATTTGAAGAAAAGTCTCTCCAAGCCCGTCTTGATATTCTTACGGGGAGAAATCTCTACGATGTGGCCATTCAACTGGGCAAAAGCTTGAATATCGATCATGAAATGATTTTAAAAATTGAAAAGGACTTTGGAGATTATTTGTACAAGATTGATGATGTGGTCGATGCTCTCCCCCATTACATCCAAGCCATTGATTTGGGGAAAACTAGTGAAATTATTTTAAAGTACCGTGAATCACAGTACATCAACCAACTGACGGAGTACCTGGAGGCTTTACATGACAAGGGATTAGCCCAAAAGGAGCATACAACTCTCTTACTAAACAGTTATGCCAAACTGAAAAACCACAAAAAGCTTCAAGAGTTTATTGAAAACGATTCCAACAGCAGCAAGTTTGACTTTGAAACCGCCATTCAGATTTGCCGCCAAAGTGAGTACTACGACATGGCAAGTGAGCTGGCCAAAAAGATGGGAGAATCTCAGCTTGTTGTGCAAATTAAACTTAAGGATTTACAAGATTACAAGGGTGCATTGTCATATGTCCACAGCTTGCCTGTTGATGAGTGTCTGCGCATCTTGATTCAAAATAGCCGTGTTCTACTAAACAAATTTCCCAATGAAACAACACTGTTGTTAATTGACTTGTTTACAGGGAAATACGCACCCAAAAATGAAGTGGTAGCTACTAAAGATACAACTCCAGAAGCCAAAGACGACGACTCGACTTATATTGCTGCGCCGGTACTCCAAAGTTATCGTGCCTTTGTTAACTACATGTCATTGGCAGCAAACGAGGAAGAAGAAGCAAAAAATCAGACAGTAGAGCCTCCAACATATCAGCCCCCACGACCTCGGCTTATTTTTTCATCATTTGTGGACCACCCTAACGAGTTTGTCATTTTCCTTGAGGCGTGTCTTGAAGCATATGAAAGGTTTTCTGGTAATGAAAAAGACCGAAAAGATATTCTGAGCACCTTGTATGAAATGTACTTGGAGTTGTCCAAGAATTCTGAAGACAAAAAGGAGTGGGAAGACAAGGCCAAAGAACTTGCGACGGAATCAGCCAAAGCGTTGGATCCAAATACAATTTTACTTTTATCCCACCTAGCAAACTTTTCCGAGGGAGAACTTTTTACCAAAGACCAAGAAGGATTTCAAACAGACCTGTTTCGGTCGTGTGTTTCCATGGGTGATGTTCCAGGAGCAATCAACGTACTAAAAAAATATGGCGATTCAGAACCTGAGCTATACCCATTAGCCCTTACTTTCTTTACATCATCGCCTTCCATTTTGGAAGAAGCTGGTGAAGAATTTCAATATGTGCTTAACAAAATTAAAGATGAAAAGCTCATGGCACCATTGCAGGTGGTCCAGGCACTTAGTGTCAACTCAGTAGCCACTGTTGGCTTGGTAAAACAATACCTGATTGACTTAATTGAACGCGAAAAGTCTGAAATTGATACCAATCTCAAACTTTCTGCAAGCTACCGAGCAGAAACACAAGCAAAGCAAGCTGAGATTGATCATCTGCGGCGTGACCCGCAGGTTGTCCAGTACACATCATGTAGCGCGTGTGGATCTGCTCTCGATTTGCCGGCTGTGCATTTTGGATGCAAGCACTCATTCCACCAACGGTGCTTACATTCTGCAGACGAAACAAACCCGAGTTGTCCCATCTGCTTGCCTGCAGTTGAAGCCATTACTGCAATTAGAAGAGGCCAAGACGATACAAGTGATCGATATGACTTGTTTAAAATGGCCTTGGACGAAAGTGAATCCAAGTTTAAGGTTGTCACAGACTTTTTGGGCCGGGGGGCCATGGAGCAGGCTCGATATATACTGAGGTGAAGTGGTTGTTTTTATCACCATGCTCTTGAAATATCGTGGAATAAATAGAATGTGTAGAACAATTAATTTGTTGCAGAAACTAAACTTATAACATCTCTTTTCTAAAAGAGCTGTATTTCTCTTTTTTTTTTTTTTAAACTAATTTTTTTTTTAACAAGGCATATATATATACTGATGAATAACGACGGAGTTGCATTTTTGCCGAGAGACGGCCGGTGCACGCCGCCTGGATATAAGAAGATTTTGTTTTGCGACCCTGAACATCCACAATACGAGAGCGATGAAAGGTTAGGCCAAGTTTTGTTGTACAAGCTGGTTCCAGCAGACTATGACGAAACACAAGAGGCGCTTAATGAGGGGACATGGGAGCACGATGACGATGAAGATGACGATGATGACAATGTTGGAATTTGCCATGGCGATGATATAAACAGCGAGGAAGACGAAGGCAGTTTAGGGATAGAATATGGAGCATTGTTGCCACCTAAAGAAGATCAAGCACTTAGCAGCTTATATTTTGGTGATTCCAATGAAACTATATCTTTGACGCTTGGCACGCTCCCTATAGCATGTGACTATGGGCTACACAATGACGCCACCCTTTTTTTTAGGGGCCCAGATGCAGATGGCTTGCGGGATTCCGGGACCATGTTAGGGACCTTGCGACAGAGCGGGTCAAGAGATGGCCGGGTTATTTGTGAAGGTAGTGGTTACGGAGAAGGCAATGTGAATTTCCGAGAAGGCAGTGGCGGGTGTTTTAGTAGTATTGGATCCGGGTGCGATACTCTGGCTACTAGAATGTCTGCGGCAGAAGCCAACTTCTGGACTTCAGCATCAGGTCCTGTTGGAGGGGTTCATGGGATTGGTAGTGGAAGAAGCAATGGTCTTTATGGATGTGGTGGGGGGTTGTGTAGAGCATGGGATTCAGCGGGAGGACGAAGAGAGAATAGAGCCGCACGAGTGGGTGGGGCTTGGCAACAGGACCAAGAAAGTTTGGGGAAAATTAAAAGAGAAGTTGCGGCGTATGAAAGTGAGAAAAATAGAAGATCAGAACAAGGAAAAAGACCACGAAGGATGAAGTTTGCAGAGTATATCAAGAATGGTGGAGGTAGAGGGGGGTTGATTGGGTGTAACTGCGTGGGAAGCCACGGAGAATCTTTGCAACAGCAGCAAATACAGCAACATCAGCAGATGATGATGGTGGCCAACGGGTCAGCACAACAAAGGTTAAAGCAATCGCAGCAGCATTTGGCGGTATTTTCATCTTGCGAGTTTACTAATAGAGCAAAGATTTACGAAGGAGTTTTAGAGAAGAGTTATAAGGAGTTGGAAGAAGAGGAGGAAGAGGCAAGTATAGTGGAAATAACGTTGGAGGAGATGCCGCCAGATATTCGACGGGTGTTTGAGCCGATTTTGGAAGATGAAGAAGGAGAAAAAAGGTAGTCGGCCGGAACTTTGAAAAAGAAGAAGAAGAAGAAGAAGAAGAAGAAGAAGAAGAAGAAGAAGAAGAAGAAGAAGGACAATAATTTAGTGTATTATTAGAATTATTTAGTTGATCTAATGGATATAACAAGTCTGGTATAAGCAAATGACTTTCACATAAAGAAATATGATGGACAAGTGACACAAGTGACATACATCACAATCTAATCAAAATTATTACTCTTAATAATGGAGGTGATTGAAAGACTTTTTTTTTTATGGTAACTGAATCGGGCGGGATGTATAAATTTGATTTTTGGAAAAAAAAAAACAATAATAATATATATTATATTATCATAAGAATAAAAGAAGGTTTCAAGTTAGTTTAAAATAGAATAATAAAAAAAACTAAAGAAGAAGAATATTCTTTTTATCTTTCAATTAATTGGAAGATAAAGTTATTAGTTGAGAAGCCAAAAAAAAAGTGGGCATAGGTTTGTCACGATGTCATAATGAATGTTAGAAATTATCAATAATAGAATAATGAAAAAGAAGAAAAATAAGAAGAAGAATAAGACAAATAATAAAAAGAAGAAGAAAAAAAATGACATTTGATATATAAAAAACCAAAAAAAAAAATAAATAAATAAAAGATAAATAATTTATTTAATTCGGGTTAGTGTTTTATATCCTTTTCGGCCGGGTCTTTAAGATTTCTTTTTTTTTTTTTGCATAATCTGGAGATCCCAAGACCAGGAAAAAAAAAAAGGTTCACCGTTGAATTATGGTTTTAAATATATAGTATATATTTGATAAAGAAAATTAAGAAAAAGGGGGAAAAAAGTTGAGGGTCAATTTGAAGCAATCATGGATGAACTTGAGGGTAGTTATTTGTCACACGGCCGTAATGTCTCTTCTATTCCCACCCCACATTTTCTCTCCACTTTTTTTTTAAAAAAAATCTCTCTTTCTCTCTCTCTCTCTCTCTCTCCATTTCTTTTAAATATGCTTAAATAGATACTTTAAATGGTGGGGAAAATTTATAATCACAAACTAGTCTGATAGATATGCTTGTTGATTCACTTTCATTCTCCTCTTTTTCTGAGAAAAAAGAAGAAAAAATGATCTGTACTCGTGCGAGATTCAAGGGCTTGTGCTCTCTTTTGATTCTGAAACCTGACCTTTATATATATATATATATATATAAACATATTTGAAAATAGCTGAAAGAACCAAAAAAAAGGGATTTCTCATTTTATTTTGATAATTTCCTTTTAAAACATTGTTTTCAGTTACTTGATACCATCTGTAGATGAGTTAAAACACTACCACTTTTTAGTTTATTTCTTTTCTATCAAAAACCTTCCAAAAACCACTCCTTCTCAAACTTTTCCTTCTTCTTTTTTTTTTTTTTTTTTTATTCTTTTTCTTTTTATCTAATTGTATTTATAATAAAAATTTACATTTCAAACTACCATGGAAAGCCCGTTGCTCAAACTTCCAAACGAAATCATTCTGCTCATTGCAGATCTTTTAGTTTCGCAACCAAAACTAGGCGCCGCACACAACTTTACTCGACTAACAACCCCCTCCATTGACCAAATCTCACAACCACCACTACCACATACTCCAGCCACATACAAACAAAAGCCTGAAAACAAAATCCCTTCCATTGCTGCTCAAGCTCTAGCTCAGTTTATCTCAGACCGTGACTTGGCCCTTCAAAATCAAAAGTCTCCATCATGCAACAACCCTAAAGACTCTCTTTTGTCGTTTGATGGTTATACAACCCCTAGAGACCTAATCAATCTTTCGACTACTTGCCACCAACTGCGAAATGTTATCGGCGCACGGCTTTGGCACTCCATAATAGTCGGCGACTCGTCTCGAACTTTGCCCCACCGGTCCCCGCTAGTACGATCGTCCCAGGTCCCAGGATTTTTCCAGTAAGTTTATTCTTATTTTTTTCTCCAAAATGCCAATGAAAAAAAAGTTTATTGGGATAAAAAGTTTTCATTTAATTCTGACTCTTTTTTTTTTTTTTTTTTTTTTTTTTTTCCTACGTGTGCATTACAGATACTCGTTTGAAAACGAGCTCTCGGTGGCCATTCTGAGCCATGTCGTACACCTCCAATTAAACACAGAAACGAAGTGCACCGTTGTCAACGGACCTTACTATTCACATGATACCCCAGAGTGGGTTCGGCTTCTCGATCCTCGGGTCTCTCCAAATTTGGAATCTGTCAGCCTTGTAGTTCAAAACAATTTTCTATCAAAAAGATATTCCATACAGCACCTCAGGGACGCGTCTCACAAGGCTGCGGCTTATTTGTCAGCACACAACAAACCAACAAAAGTGAGCCTTGTCACAAACACACCAATTGAACTTTTTGATATTGCCTTTCTCGATTTTGTCGAGTCCGCTGAATGGACTCTAACTGAATCCTTTACAGATCTGAGCAAGATTTCTCACGTCTCATCGTTGAGTTTAACTGCCATCCCTTCATCTTCAAACATTCCACTAAAAGTTGTTTTACCCACTACTACATTAATTCAATACCTTGATATCGATTCAAATGTGTCTCTTGCAGGGCCATTGCCAAACTCTATTGTAGGGCTCATTTTGGATTGGGAAAAGCTGGAGATGCTTACTGGAGCATACCATAGCCTGACAGATTTGTGTATAGTTGTGGACCCTGGTGAGTGCCACAACTACCAACATTCAGATAAAGTTGCACTTTCCTCATTTGAAGAGTCTTCTTCTTTTTCGTTATCAATAAGGTTTCTCCCAAACTTGGAACGCCTAGCTTTAGTTGCCGGATATGATGCTCCGCAAATGGAACCATCTGTGCTCGCCTTTTTGGCAACTGTTGGTAAATCCGTGTCTGGGCTTTACATTTCCGGCTTTTCGTCCCACTTTGTTCTTGCCGCGTTAGCTCTGGTCCCACAATTAACTGAATGCCATATTTCTTCTGTGAATGATCCAAGCTCCATTAATATTCCCAATCCACTTAAAAACAACTCCTGTGTTACCAATGATTTGAGAAATAAACCTTTGGCTCTTCTTCCTCCATCATTTGCTGATAGAGTTCTAAGTACAGCGGCAATACATACGCCTCACCTGCAATCTTTGTGGCTTAATGTGACTTCTGTGAGTAAAGGGGTTCTTCAAACACCCATATTTACGACTCGTAAAAGGTTCAAATGCAATATTTCCAGGTTATCAAGATTGACTCAAATCCATTTGCTTGAGTCTGCGGATTTTATCCTAAGCACTAAAAATGTGCCATTAATAGTACCCAAAAAGTTGGTGTCTGCAGACATGGAGACATTAAACAATACTAATAAAAACGTTATCTTGAATGAAACTTTTTCCCGAGTTTCAAGAGTTTCAGTATGGCCGGCCATGTTTATTTTCCAAGATTCGGACAAATTGTGCAAGATGCTGCGTGCACGAGCCCAGCTGCATAAAATGCGCTTCTCAACGAAGCAAAGTTGCGACCATTTACGGCCGTATTGGGGACATCAACAAATTGCATGGACCATTAATATTAAATATTAAAGGGCAGAGATTAATATAGTTATTAATTATTCTAAAATAAAATATGCATTGAACTAAACAAAAAAAAATATATATATAAGAAAATTAAATGATTTGTTGTTACTTTTTAAGCATCCTCCTTTTCGGCATCAGTGTGGATCTCAATGTGTGTTTGCTGATCCTTCTCCTCGCCTCCCTGGTCAAAGGCGGAGGTAGGAGGAACCCAGTTGGCAGTACGCCAGGCAGGAATCTTAGCATCCCACATGTAGTTAATTTCCTCAAGTGTCTTGCCCTTAGTTTCAGGGAAGAGCAGGAAAACGTGGATAGTCATGGCAATGCAAAACACGGCAAAGATAATATAAGTTTTCCAGGTAATGTTCTGAAAGGCGGTGGGCACAAACATAGCAAGTGCAAAGTTAAAGGCCCAGTTGGCAGAAGCACACAGACCATTGGCCAAAGCACGCTGAGGAGTGGGGAAAATCTCAGAACAGTAGACCCAAATAGTGGGACCCCAAGTGGGGGCAAAAGTAGCAACAAATAGATATGAACAAGCAATAAGAGCTTTGGAAGCAGACTTATTGTCGACGGTAATCTTGATGAGTTCATTGCCATCGACTGAATCAACGTGACGGCCGTAGGAAGCTAAAATACCAGCGGTAGCAAAGAGCCAAGCCATCATAATGATAGAACCGGAGATGAGAACCATACGGCGGCCCCATCTGTCAAGGAAAAGAAGGGCAGGAACAGTCATAATAACATTGATGACATACTGGATAGAGGAAGAGACCAAGTTAGAGTTTCCGTGGTAGCCAGCCATTTCAAACATCATAGTAATGTAGTACATCATGACATTCATACCAGTAAGCTGCTGCCAAATCTGACCCCAAAGACCAACCATGGTTCTGTTGATAGAGTCCTTCTTAAACAAGTGCCAAATCTTCATGTCTGCATTTTGGCGCTCAATCTCAACAGCCTCACGAATTTCGTTAATTTCAATGGTGACCATTTCGTTATCAACATCACCCTTAGCCTGGACGTTTGCAATAATATGGATAGCCTCTTCCCAGCGGTCCTTAGAAGCGAGCCAGCGCGGAGATTCTGGGAGAATGAAAACACCAAGGAACAAGAGGAAACCAGGAATAATCATGATACCCCAAGCCACACGGAAAGAGTTGGGACCGTTAATAAAGGAGCAGCCATAACCAACGTAAAACATAATCATGATACCCCAAGTAATAGCCCACTGAAACACACCAACCAAGCGTCCACGAATGTTTTTAGGAGATAATTCAGCAATAAGAACGGGGACAGTAGAAGAAGCCAAACCAATGCCAAAGCCAGCAATAACACGGCCGGCAATGAGCTGGCCTTGGTTTTGGGCTGAGCACTGAACTGCACAACCAATCATCCAAAACACTGAAGCAACTTGGATGCAGATCTTTCGACCAAAACGGTCGGAAAAGTAGCCCACAATGAGAGAGCCGAGGAAAGATCCTCCGGCCATAGAAGCTGTGATGCCACCTTGTGTGATAGAGTCTGGGTAGTTGAAGTATGAGCGGTAGTGTTCCTGACCGACAAATGATGAGACTGAGGAAATATCAAAACCGAAAAGCATACCACCTATGGTGGCAATAGCGGCTGTCAGATAGGGATTGTAAACGACAAAGCCCATTTTGTGATGTGTGAAAGGAAGAAAAAAAGAAAGAGAGAAAGAAAGAAAAAAAAATGGAAAGGGCAAAAAAGAGAAAAGAAGGATTAATTAAAAAAAAAAAGGATTTGAAGATTAAGTTTTAAGTGTTAAAATGAAATGAAATGAATGAGGAAAGAGAAAAACAACAAAAAAAAAAGGTTAGACATTTAAGGAAATGAATGAGTATTTATAGGATAAGAATCACAAGAGACATTGTGGAGAAACATTTTATTCCATCTGGAGAAAATAAAAAATTACGGGGAAAAGAATAAAAAAAATAAAAAACAAAAGATTCCAATTATTTTCTTTTTTTCATTTTTTTTTTTTTACATTTGAATATTTTTGTCCGACTGTGTCCTTAACTTCTCTCTCTCTCCATCTTTTTTATTTTTTTTTATTTTTTTATTATTTTTATTCCTTGCCTTTTAGTTCCTCCCACAAAGATTTTTCCGTTTTAGGACATTTTCAAAGGCGAGTTTTGGTCCCCGCCTTTCTCCACACAATTCAAACCAAAACTTGATGTTGATGATAAGTTTATAGTATGATTTCTCGATATTTGCCCCTCCTTTCTTACTTGATTCATAAAAAGGCAAATAAACTTTAAACATTTATGAAAAAAAAAAAAAATTTTTTTAAAAAGCTTTTTTTTTTTCAGTCTAAAATAGAAAAAAAGAAAAAAAAAACTTTCTTCCCTCTCCCCTCGCCGGTGCTCATCAAGTACTTGTAAACCAGTAAAGTCGACTGTTATTTTATTTATTTATTTATTTATTTATTTATTTATTTATTTATTCTCATGGTTGATGCATTCTAACTCTATTGAAGCTTGTTATGGATATGATTATATCCTTCTAAGTGATAGTGGCCAGTGTTAATTCATGATTTTCCTGGTTTAGGAATCCTATCCGAACATTAGATGGAAGATTTTTTAAATAAAGATATAATAATAATAATAATATTAATATTAATAAAATTTATTTATTTATTTTTATTTTATTGTATTTTATTTTTAATTATTATATTCAATTATTTCCATTTATTTAATGAAATTCCGTTTTATTTTGAGATTTTTTTCTTGAGTAGCAGCCCCCCCAAAAGAAAAAAAAAAATTATATTTGTAAACGCCGCACGTAATTTATTACATAAACCGTAGCCGTCCAAAAGAATAGCCTGCCAAATCAGTCAGTCATGACGTCGCTGAAAAGAAAGGAAGCAGCAAGAGTTTGTTTGTTTGTAATTGTTGGTGTTGGTGGTGCCTTTCAGAAAAAAATTTTTTTTTTTTTTTAATTTAAAATACAAAAAAACAAAGAACAAGAGCCTATTCAAAAAAAAAAAAAAAAAAAAAACCGTCGGGTAGACCTCGTGCGAATATATTTTCTAAAAATGAGAAAGAAAGAAATACTAAGAGGGGGATGGTAGTTATTTTAAAATCAAAAATTGTTAAAAGGTCTGCCTGTCTGTTTGTCTGGTTCATGTTTCCTCCCCCTCCAATCTCTGGTTTTTTTTTTTTTCTTTAGTTTGAGAAAAGGGTCTAAATACAACAACTTCACCATTATTATTCTCTACTACATTTTGAGTCAATGTTGATTTTACAAGTTTTTTTTTTTTCTTTTAGTACCCTTAACGTGCAACTAAGAAAGATCCCATGAACTAGAAAAGATATATATAAAAGAAATAAGAAAAAATGCATCCAACTTCATTTTAACCCAACACGAAAAAAAAACAACGCCTCCCTATTCATGGCAAATACTCTTAGTGTTATTTATTTACCAAAATAAATAGATGCAAAAGCCGAGATTACCGGTGGTTGTCGGTGTTTTTAGAATCAACTCCGGAGAATATATATATATTGATGGTGACATTTCATGGTATACAATTAAACCTAAGTTGAGTATAATTTCCTTTGAAAAATTATAAAAAAAAAGTTGAATACTACAAGAAATCAACTGTATTTATAAAAGAATATCAAAGTCTTTCAAAAATTCAAATTTCAAAATCTTTTTAACGGGTCTGGAACACCCTGTCCCGAAAAATATTTGGATTTATGTGTAGAGATAGTTGAGGCTACCATTGAAGAAATGAAGAAATGAAGAAATGAAGAAATGAAGAAATGAAGAAATGATGAAATGATGAAATGGGATATTTTTTTTTATGGTTTCTAAAATCGGTTCTCATTAAAGTTAGTCGTAGTACATTGCTATTTTTAATATAGATAGTGTCACACACACACACTAGAGAAATTTGGCACATTTTTAAGCTCAGATGCAACCTTGCTTATTTGCCACTCTATGAACAGATGACTTGATTATTCAATTATATATTTATAAATAATTTTCTAAAGAAACAGGGTTTTCCTTAATATGAACGTTGTGTTGCATGTCATATATAATACTATGCTATACTAAGTCACAATTGTGATTTAAAAACTTGCTTTCAACCTACGTAACTCATTCATTCCATGATCATCAAATATGAAATAAAAAATAAAATTTAAAGAAGAAATTTTTTTTTCTAAAAACAAAAAACCTTGTTATTGAATATTCAAAATATGAAACAAAAAAATAAGGTAAATTCCGTTAAAAACTATTTTATAAATCTCTTCTTCTTCTTCTTCTTTCGTGTAGAAATAACCATGATAATATTACATAAGAAACTCTGTCTTAGTAATTAAGTCTCGTTGCCTTTTGCCTTTAGAGGCCATATTTCGAGATTTTGATTATTGAAAAAAAAAAAAAAATTTCAAGATTCAAATAAATAAATAAATAAATAAATAAATAAATGAAAATGAAAATGAAAATGAAAAATCAAACCATTCGAAAAAAAAAACAACAACAACGGACGTATGTTTCCCGCGTATACTTTCAACCATATAGGTTGTGGGACTATTAATTAAATCTCAAGGCATAAAATAAATAAAATAAATAAAATAAAAAATAAAAAAAAAACTCCTTCGCTTGTTCAAAGACCAAATTAATTGGATAAAGAATTTTTCTTTGGAAAATCATCTACAACCCATTTTTTTTTTTCATTCATAAAAAAAATCAAAATAAAAAAAAAAAAATTATCCAAAGCAGCTGCCAGACGTCTGTAGCAACAGGACGCTCCCACATTCTTAATTTGACATTTTAAGAAACCATTTAGTTCATATCACGCTTGCCATATTAAAGTTATAAAAAAAAAAAAAAAGAAAATTTTTCATTATTGACCATTTCACTCAGGTTCATAACCGTTGGTATCAGTTTAATTCAAAATAGCACACTTGGCTTTCATTCTTTCTTCTTTTCTTACAAACACAAAGATGTCAGCTTTTACCGAAGATATATAAAAAAAAAAAATATTAAAACTTTTTAATAATTTGGTAGGACTTGACCCTCTTATTTTTTTTTAGTGGTTTATTTTCAATCCCAACAAAAATAATACATTTACTGGTAAAATTGGGATAATAGTATAATTTATAAATATATTTAAATATTTTAGATAACCATCAAAAGCCGCGATTCCCCTACTAAAGATGAAAAATCTATATTTTAATTTTAATTTTAATTTTTTTTTTCCTTTCACCCTTCTTTCCTACCAATTATTGCACTCTTTTTTTCCCTTTCTTTAAAAAAAAAAATAAATCAAGATGTTTCCTTTTAACGGAATCCTTTGCTCCGATTATATACTCATTCCCCTCCAAAAAGTACAATAACTAGCGACCCCTCTACTTGGTCCAATAAGCTACATTATCAACAGAAACAAATGATAAAAAGAAACAAAAATAGGGCCCCTCATAGCCTTCAAAAGTGGTGCTCACATACTTTAAAACATAGACTAACCTTTTTATTTATTACTACTACTTAATTTACTTATTGGTGGTAGTGGTGTTGAGATTTATCCTGATCATATTTGGATGCTTTCAAGGTATTTCGTGGGGGGCTGAAAGGTCTGCACACTTAAGTTACAATCTTTTGATTTTCCATATGCAAAGACTGAAAAATCTGTAATAATAATAATAATACTCACATTCTTCTTCCTTATAAATAAAGGAGATGTCTCTCCCCCTCCAAAAAAACAAAAAAAACAAATGTTTGTCGTTTCGTTTGTGTAACTGCACCTAGACATATCGTCCACCCTAAAAAAGCACAAATTGCGTAGTGAGAATAAAGAAATTCTTAAGAAATCGGAAAAACTTTCAATAATCCGGGTTGACCAAAAGTAGACTCGAAAAAAGAAAACAAAGTGAACAGAAAAAGAAAAATCCCTAAGAAAGTTATCTTTATAATTATAATACATATATTTCAATTTTCTTATGAAATCAAACTCACACTTTTAGACCTTATTCAAATCAATAAAAACTTCTATTTCTTGAAATATTGCTTTTAAATTCTTTGAAACTCACTACGTATTCAGTATTGGCAATCTCTTGTCTTTTTCTTTATAAATCAAGCAGTAATTGTTGTTGTTGTTTAATAAAATTTCCAACATGGACTAGTCCTTCCCGAATTTTACACTGCTTTCTTTATAAAAAAAAACTATATATCAATTAGTTGTGTTGACTTTTGGATGAATGATATTACGACTACCATCTATCGCTTCAACCCCACAAAACAATAATCCCCCCAGATTAATAAGTTTCAATGTTCTTTTCCCCTCAATTTTGCAAAGTTTGGGGTAAATGATTTGGCTAAAAAAAAGAAAAAAAAAGGAAATAAGGAGAACCCTTCAAATCCTATTATAATAAAACTTTGAAAGATAATTATTTCAAGGTTTTTCAACCATATTCATTTTTTTCACTTTAACAGATGATTGAAACTCGCTCACCCTTATATTTCATTATCTTCTTTAAAATCTTTAACTAAAAATACTCAATAGGCCTCTCTTTACGACTCCTTTTTAACCACTATATATCTTTATTTTTCTTATTTATTTTTCTTTTATTATTCTTCAGCTTAACTTTAATCGAAATCAAGATACCAAGACCCAAACACGCAATCATTGTTTTTACTACACACTCATAAGTATATTTTTCTCTTACTCTGCATCATTTCTCACAGTATTGAATCGAGAGTTTTCCAACAAGAAAATACTATTTTATGTGGAAAGTATGAAGTACTAAACATGAAATTAAAATGGTGGTATTGTTTTATTATTTTTTTAAAAAAAAAAATTCTCTGCTTTGTAATTATATTGATTTATAATTACAGAAATTCTTTCCCCACTTTTTAGAAAATTAAAGCAAAATAATGGTTTCATTGTTAAACTTCAAACTTAAGTTTAGAATAATGAAATATATAAATGGTAACACGTTTTTTTTAAAATAAAAATAAACAAAAATGAATGTACTTAAATTAAATATAGTTAGAATTCTAACTTTGAAGTTTTAATTAAAATAAAATTATCATAATTATCCAAAATCTTTTTACATATAAAAAATAAAAAATGACCCCACTACTTTTTACTTATTTTGTAATTTATTTTTAAAAGCTTTTAAGCGATCACTTGCATTCAAATTTTTCCTCTAATCCATCCCGAAATGTATACATACTCTGACCGGACCACACACCACCGCATTTAAATACAAAAAATTTGAATAAGAATAAACAAGGAGTTATGGAGCACCCGGATATAGTTCCGTATTTGAGGAATTTTTAATAGTGATAATTATTATTATCATGATTTTTTTGTAAAAAAAGACAAAATTCAATTACTCTAAACTTTTGCCTTATTTTTTTTTAATTTTTTTTGTTTTGTTAAGAACATAATTATGTCAATGAAATTAATCTACTGTAATCATAGTGATTACTATAATTTATCTCAAATGAGCAGATAAGAAATATATACAATCGATTGTCCTCTTCTATTTCCAAAAAAAAAAAAAAAAAAAAAAAATTAAATTTCATAATTTTTTAATGTTATGATGAAATTAAAATTTTTCTTCTATTATAGATTAACCTTGAGTCAATCTCATATATTACCACTCTAGTCAATAAAGTCAAGAAAATAAATGAAAGAAACTTTGAATACATCAAAGAAACCTTCAAATATTGAATTGATTTTTAATACACCTTAAAATTTTAAATAATTAGGAATACCCATTTTTTTGATATATCGTATAAATTTCATTATCTTTTTTTTTTTTTTAAATTATAACATCGTTTTTATATTCAAAGTGAATACCATGAACTACCAAAATTTATTCTTATGATTTTCTTTTTTGTTTTGAATTTTTCAATATCTCAAAAGAACAAATACCAAGTCATGCGTACTCATTTAGAAATGGTAACAATATCTCCATCATTTTTCCCCAGATTTGAGTTCCTGAATTCTTTTCAATATTATAATCTTTGGTTGGTTTCTTTTTAATCAAATCAATAGATTTAAGTTGCAGGTACAGAAACAAGATGTATCAGTACATATGGCTAAGGTACAATGTTGTTGTGAAGCGTGGTCCCTGAGTCGGACGAGGGTCAACCGGTTCCGGTTCTCCTTAATCCTAAAAGCTGCACACATCATAAGGCTATGAGTAATCGTTTGTAAATATAAATTTCTATTATAAATATCGGTAGTTTTTTCTTCAAGTGTTTAACAATTTATTTTTTTCATATCAAGTTTACCTCACACAACGTCTAAGAAAAAAAGATGGGTTCACACTTTTAAACTAAATTTACAAGCAATATGACAACTATACAATTTACAGTAATTAGATTCAATATTTCAAATGAAAAAAAACTAATTATTAATTCCACTTATTACAATAACCAGCTGGTTGCATTTTATTTGCATTAGTAAATATGTGTACTTTTAATTACTGGAATTTTTAATAATACACATCGAGAAACATCTATCATGTATAAAGATTATTACCCTAAATATGCTACCTTTTGATTTAACTTGATTGGCATCAACACTTCTATTTAGCACTTTAATCATCAACAAGGCTATTTTTTAAGATTAATTTAAACAGCAAAATTATCATTGTTTTTTAAAGCTCGAGACTCACTGAAAAGAATTTATGTATTATAGAGTCAAACCAAGTTATATTTTGTATCATGCAATAGGTTTCTGTTAAATTGATTGATTTTTTTGTTTTTTATTCAAAAGCTATAGAATTATAAGACATCAGCATTTGCACTATCCTTTTTGTTTTTACTATTTATCTTCATTTTCATCATGAGCTTTTGATTTAACTTTAACATTGAATCTCCAAAGGTTTAAAAATAAATCTTGATGCTATCTTACCAGAAATAATGGATTATTTGTTCGTTTTTATTCAAGGGTTATAGAATTATATAACATCAGCATCTGCGCTATCCTTCTTGTCCATACTATATATTTTTTCATTTTAATAATAAACTTTTAATTTTGGCTTCAACATTGCATCTCCAACAGCCCGAAAATAAGTCCTGATGCCAGCTTACGAGGAACAGGGGGTTAAAATAACCAAACCTTCCCAACCTATCTCCACTTGTCTTCATCAACGCTGTAATTGTATTTCTTAATCCCTCCAAGCAGAGATAAAGCTTACAATCTCTTGTAAGCCAGTTAAACTGTTTAAGAGAGTCGACATGTCCATCTCTGGAGATATCCGTTTTAGTCCTTTTCTTTCCTCTTCAAGCAAAGGACACTCGACTAAAATGTGATGAACTGTTTCCAGCTCTCCACATTTGCAGTTGTAACTATCCTTTTCAATTCCAAACTTTTTAAACCATGCGCCAAAGTTGCCATGGCCTGTGCGAAATTGAGTAATATTACTCAAGATCCTTCGACTATCTTTCTTCATGATCACTCCCGTAACCATTTTGGAAAGATTATCAGTACATTTCGACTCCACTGTGATATTATGATACCACAGATCCTTACTACTGTTCCAATACATTTCTTGCCATTCTTCCATTGCTTGTTTTTTCAAAATTCCAATCGTCTGATTTTGTTGTTGTTTCAGTGTAAGAGGTTCAACCCTCTTGCATTTTCGTTATTCATCCTTCTTAATCATATAGTCTCTATCATCTTTCGCCAACATGTAAAGAGTGGTTAGCTTTGCAATTGGAGATTTCTCAATCAATGTTAACAAATGACCATTAATAGGATTAGTTTTGCTAATATTTAGGTGTAAACGAATAGCTTTTCGTGCCACCATAAATTTTAGCCTAATACTATATGGCATAATACCAGCTTCCTTTTGTTGTACCGCAATAGGAGTTGTGCGATAAGCACCAACAATTCTTCTTAAAGCCATGTTCTGCATCACTTCCAACTTGTGGATTTCTCCTTTCAAGATTTTATGATGCCAAATTTCTAAGCCATATTCGACAATTGGTCTCACGCAAGCAATATACAGTGATCTGACTGCAGACCCCCGCATACCTTTTTGCACGCCACCAAGATGCCAAATAGCACCAACAGCTTTTCTTGCTTTATTGATTTTATTCAAAATATGAGATTTAAAATCAAGCAGATTATTCAAAGTAATTCCAAGCAATTTAACTTCCTTCTGGGGTTCACGAAGTTCTCCATTAGGTAAAGTAAGTTGCACTTTTTCATCTTTATGTTTCACATTTTTTGTAAAATGAATAAAACCCAATTCATCACCCAAATCTATTTTGTTCATTCTTGATTTAGCCCAATTACAACATTTTTCTAATATGTTGCTTAAACTTTTGGTATTTTCTTTAATTTTACCTTCAACGGTAATAGTCACATCATCAATAAAGCCAAAAGGAGTTCCACCCCATTCTTTAATGGCATGATACATTGGTGTGGAATATATCAAAAAAAGTAGTGGTGAAATAGGTGAGCCTTGCGGAATTCCGGTACTAATTTTTTGCACTGATCCTTTTCTTCGGTCCATGAGCATACTAGCTTCTCTTTCACTTACAAATTGGTACGTCCAGTTTATAAGTGCTTTGGGTAGTTTCATATCCTCCATTGTGTGTGCCAATATATTTCTGTTAACATTATCAAAAGCTCCTTGAATATCAATGAGCATAGCTGAAATTTTTTCTTTACTAGTTTCAATTCTTTGGACAAGTTCCAAAACAGCATCAGTAGCACAATAACCTTGTCTTCCCCCATATTGCTCTGGTGGAAGTAAGTGTGTTGTAAGCTTGGTCATTCTTTTTTGTATAATTTTTTCCAGTACTTTAGATGGAATCTTAAGTAAGGAAATTGGTCGGTATGCTCTTGGCTTTGAATAGTCAGGTTTCTTAGGTTTAGGTATAACAACGATAATGCCATGTCTCCAGACTTTTGGGTGGTATCCAAACTTCACACAAGCTTGGAGAACTCGCCTTTTCGTTTGTTTGTTTGTTTTTATTCAAGGGTTATAGAGCTATATAACATCAACATCTGCGCTATCCTTTTATTGTCTGACTATGTGACTTGCCGGTTTTCATTTGCACCTTTTTAGTACGGGTGGTTTCTGTTCTGTGCGTCTCCGGTAGCCCGGAAGATGGGCCCTGATGCCAGCTTACGAGGAACAGGGAGAACCAGTCTGTCGGTCCCAAAACCTTCCCAACCCATTTCCACTTATCTTCACGGACGCCCATGTATTTCTTAATCTCTTCCGTCAGAGATACGGTCCGCAATCACCTGCAGGCTATTTAGACTGTACGGAAGAGTCGGCATTCCTGTAACCAGGGTAGCCTATGGTTTTCAGTCTAGGTGTATACTCCCGTACACATCCTCAGGAAAAGGGGGTATTCTGGGAATCGAACCCAGTATCTTCCGCTATCGAGCGAACGTGTTACCCTTTACACCATCCAGCCCTTTTCCCAAGCAAGAATTTCCCAAATTATCTTCATTTGCTATTTTTTATATATAATCGAATAAAACCTCTGGATAGTCGCCTTACACCACGAATTTGAAAGCCTTGATGGCCAAGTTGGTAAGGCGCGTCACTAGTAATGACGAGATCGTCGGTTCGAATCCGGCTCGAGGCATTAATACTAAATTTTTAAAATTTAGTTTTTGTTGACTTTGATTTTTTTTCTTATGTTGATTTTGAAGTATTGTGTTGGAAGTTGTGTGCTGAAATTTTTGTTAGTGGTGATAAGATACTTAATTATTTTTTTTAAAGTTTACACCGTTGAATTTTAACCCATTTTTAAGTGTTTCCTTTTTAAGAAAGAAGTAAATATTACCTTCATATTACGTAATTTCATATATTAAAACACATGATAGTCCCATGATACTTAAACAAATGGAAACAAAAATAAAATTATAGAAATTATAGAAATTATAGAAATTAATAGAAATTAATAGTAATTATAAAATGAAGATAAAAAATTACAGAATCTCGGATATGCGCTCGGTTTTATTTGTTAGTTATATTTGAGAAAGTTTTGGTTTAAAAATTAGCACCACGATTCTTTACAAAGCTTACCCCGTTGCCCAAAAGTATCTCGTCAATTACGAGATTTAATTTTTTTTTTCAGCTTCTTCTAATGATTTTACTATCCTTATTATTTCAGCAATTCTTTCCTCTTCTTCTGGGCTATTTGCGTAGGTGCCTTTTCTTACAATGGAACAAATATCAGAGTTACAATATGTCTCATAAGGGTCTTTTGATGTGTTGAATATTTCATCATTATCACCTGGTTCAGATGGTAAGGGGCTGCTTCTTGCAAAAGATTGCACAGGTGTCAGTATAAGTGGGATTTCCTTAGTGCTTATACGTCTAGGTATAAAATAACTTATAAGGCGTCCAAGTTTGACTCTGGCTTCACGACTTCCCTAGAACATGATAATGTTAGTGTAAGAAAGGTCTCAATTAAATGACTGTTACTTACATGCTGATATAATTTATAGTTTGTCGTGTACGGGTCCACAAAACCCATTTCATCGCAAACATAGTTCCAATTTTCAAATACCATAATGTAGAGCAGCTCTGTTCGAGCTTTTTCATCTTTTTCAAAAAATTTTTTAAAAAAAATATATCGCTCACTTTCCTCTTGAGTAGCTTTGATACTTTCTTTTGCACGTTCCATAGCCTTTTCGTTTGTTTGTTTGTTTGTTTTTATTCAAGGGTTATAGAATTATATAACATCAGCATCTGCGCTATCCTTCTTGTCCATACTATATATCTTTTCATTTTAATAATAAACTTTTAATTTTGGCTTCAACATTGCATCTCCAACAGCCCGAAAATAAGTTCTGATGCTAGCTTACGAGGAACAGAAGGTTAAAAATAACCAAATCTTCCCAAATTATCTCCACTTGTCTTCATCAACGCTGTATTTGTATTTTTTAATCCCTCATTATAAAAATTTGTTTGTTTGTTTGTTTGTTTGTTTTTATTCACATTATAAAAATTGTTTGTTTGTTTGTTTTTATTCAAGGGTTATAGAATTATATAACATCAGCATCTGCGCTATCCTTCTTGTCCATACTATATATTTTTTCATTTTGATAATAAACTTTTAATTTTGGCTTCAACATTGCATCTCCAACAGCCCGAAAATAAGTCCTGATGCCAGCTTACGAGGAACAGGGGGTTAAAATAACCAAACCTTCCCAACCTATCTCCACTTGTCTTCATCAACGCTGTAATTGTATTTCTTAATCCCTCCAAGCAGAGATAAAGCTTACAATCTCTTGTAAGCCAGTTAAACTGTTTAAGAGAGTCGACATGTCCATCTCTGGAGATATCCGTTTCAGTCCTTTTCTTTCCTCTTCAAGCAAAGGACACTCAACTAAAATGTGATGAACTGTTTCCAGCTCTCCACATTTGCAGTTGTAACTATCCTTTTCAATTCCAAACTTTTTAAACCATGCGCCAAAGTTGCCATGGCCTGTGCGAAACTGAGTAATATTACTCAAGATCCTTCGACTATCTTTCTTCATGATCACTCCCGTAACCATTTTGGAAAGATTATCAGTACATTTCGACTCCACTGTGATATTATGATACCACAGATTATAAAAATTTTAACTTTTTTTACTAACATAAATCTTAACCTTTGTTTTATATTGGCATTTTAGAAATACTCTAATATGAATTCACTTGGGCGTCTGGTGTAGTTGGCTATCACGTTCGCTTAGCATGCGAAAGGTCCCCGGTTCAACTCCGGTGTCGTCCATTTACTTTTTTATCATTTTGTTGCAAGTTTTTTTTTTTTTTTTTTTTTTTCAATACGTTATCTTTTACAATTATATTTAGATTTAGATTTAAATTTAAATTTATAAATAAAAAAAATGTATTTATTATATTGGTCTAAACCCCTTCATCTTTCATTCACTTTTTTATATATTTATATTTCATTTTTTTGTTTTTTTTTTTCGTCTTGCCCTGTTTTTCTTTAGTCTCGTTTTCCATTTTTTTTTTTTTTTTAATTTCTCTTTAAGCCAAGTATCTGTATGTCTTTTCATCAACACGCTGGAGATACTCGCGTTCAATCAGACTTTCAATACACTTCTTGATATCCGTGACCGAGGGAACAAACCGTTTTGATGATTGGTCAATTGTCTCTTGAATCAAGTGGACATGAGACAGCTCCTGGCGCGCCTTCATAATACGCACAATACAAGCGTCCAAAAACATGCGGCGGTCATCCACAAGACTCTTTTGCGTATCTTCTGCCTCTTTCTTTTGGTCATTCTTCAATGGCAAGTTCAAGTTAATACGCATTTTCTTACTCTTGAAATCAGTATTAAGTCGATACTTGGTTCCAGGAGCTGCAACAAGCGCCTCGTCAATGGTAGCTCCGCTTGTCTTCTTCTTGGAAGCAGAGCCAGCCTCATCAACATCCATGGCATCACCATCAGCACTGCTAGGCTTGCCGCTGCCGCTGCTACTACCATTTCCACCACTCATAAACAAGATTCGGGCCTTAAGAAGAATTGTCAGTGACCCCTTCAAAAAGTCATCGTCCAAGAGTGTAATATCTTTAAGCTGCTCAATTGTATACTCGAGCGCATCATTGAATGGAAGCAGAATGGCCATTTGGACCATCGATACCATGAGGGTAAAGCCGACTTTAGACGATTTGGAAATGTTGGCCTTGAGCTCACCTTTGGAAAAGTTCCAGAGCCACTGTAACTTGCGGCCAGTATGCTTGCCATTATAGTAACTTGTAAATTTGTCCTTAATGACAGTCAGCTCAGGAGGTAGATTAAACTGGGAGTTAAAGGGAGGCAATGGCCAGAAACTTTCAGCTAGCACGTAGGGGGTAAAGTCTCCCACAGGCTTGACATCAGCGTTATCTAGATACTCCTTAAACTGATCATGCATTTCTGTTGACACAGACATGTCCTGGAACATGCGCTGCAACTTGTTGGTGTAGTCGGAGCCGCAAATTCCCTTGAGCTTTGTAATCATGTTTGTCTCAGCGTCTTGGGACAGAGAAGTACCATGGACAAGACGACGTGCAAGGGTACGCGAATAGGCCTTTTCAAAGGCATCCTTTTCATCAACATACTGGAAGATAGTCATAGCACCGTCGAGATAGGCGTCATTGGATGCGCCGTCAGCATTCTTTGACGACTTGCGTAGCAGTGTGTCGCAGTAGCGGGCTAGCAAGTCTGGAGTCTTGATGGCGCGACCCTTTGCAGGTTTATTTGTGACGCTATTGTTATTGATGTAGTAGCGGCACGCATCGTCAAGCGATTTCTGCATGTCACTGTGGGAGTTGAATGCGGCTTGGACAAGATTAGTGTACTTGCTGTGAATGCGCTGCAGGGTATCAATATAGGCTTGCGTATCAATGCTAGATGCAGGGGCTTCTTTCGAGCCAGCCACCAAAGCATCGACAGCTGCCAAACCTTGCTCCTTAACATAAGAAAACAAATTCTTTTGAAGAGGAATGAGACCACCAGGAACAGATTCTAGGAGATAAAACATGAGCTTGAGGTCGCTTTCTCTGTCGCCCTTAAGAAGCGGGAAGAATTGTTCTTGAATTTCCTCAGAGTGACTCGAGACAAGAACCTGAACACAAGTGCTGCGCAAAATCTCTTCACTTTCTGGCCGCAGGTACATTGTAATTCTGCCAGATTCTTCGCGCAAGCGGTCCGAGGCCTTTTTGAGGTATTCCACAACGCCCATAGTTTGCAAAAACTCGGACGATTCCTTAGAGTAGTATGCAGCTGTGCTTTCAATAAACTGCGCTTCGAAAAAGGAGCGGTAGACAGTCAAGTTTGTCTTTTTGGTATTATTTTCGTCGAGACCAAGAGCCACACAGGATTGGACGACAGCTCGAATGTGCTGAGTAGGGACAGTTTCACCATCACGTTGCTTGTTGATGAGATCCAATACTGCGCCAATGAGTCGGCTGTGGATGGGATTGAAAAGGTCCTCTTTCCAACGAATGAGACATAGTGTGTTGATATCATGAATATGTCGGTGGCCTTCTTCTCGTTCACGCTTAACCCAATGCCGGTTAAGGTATGAGAAGATGTTGTTGAGGTAGCGTGAGCCAATAACATATCTATCCCATTTGCGGATATAGTAGTCGACAAGATTTTCGTCATTGTATATTGTGCTATTGTTAAGGGTTTCAGTCAAGTGTGCTGTGAGGTATTCAGCAAGGTGGTTGTAAATATCGGCGCCAATGAGTGCTGCGCCGCGGGAAACAGTTCCTGCGTTTGTGTGTGAGCTGTTTGGTTGAACGCAAAAGTTGTGAATGGCACTTTATGAAAAAAAAATTAAAAAATTAAAATTAAAATGACAATTCAATTAAGGTAATGGACAATGATTAATTGATTGATAGATTGATCGATTGATTGATTTTTTTAAATGGTTAGAAAAGAAAAAAATAAATAAAAATAAATAAATAAAAAAAAAAGTGGCAAAGTGTGGGGGCAAAGGGGGTGGTGATAGTAAGGAGGGGAATTGTATCTTGATTAACTCACGTGTAGACATTCATATACTAAGAAAAAAAAACAAGTTAGCAAAGTCAATTAAAGACAAAAGTTAAAAAAAATACGTACAAGAGAAGGCTCAATGCCTTGGTTAATATCTTGGATAAGGATTTTATCGACACCATACTTGATGAAGTTCCAACTGGAGAAAGTGAATTGTTAGTATTATAAATGACGAGAGAGAGAGAGAGAGAGAGAGAGAGAAAGAGAGGTGAGAAAAGAGAGTAAAACATACGTTTCATCGATATCGTTTGCAGCTGGGAACGGAAGACCCTGGGTCATTTTTGAGGTTTAAAAAGTTATAAGAAAGAGAATAAAGATTAAAAGGAATATTATTTATAATGAGAAGGGGTTTGGATGGTATAAAAAGATGCAAGATAGCAAAAAAAAAAAAAAATTGCTTATTGAAGCTTTATTTTTTTTTAAAAAAAAAAAAGCAAAGAACAAGAATGATAAAGGTTTATATTTTCCTGGGAAAAAAAAAAAAAGAAAATTTCAAAGGAATTATAAACTAGCTAATTAAAAAGCAAAAAATTGTTTTAATTCTCCAAAAAAAAAAAAAAAAAAAAATTAATAAAAAAATTCTTTCTCAATTTTTATTTTGTTTGTTTGGTTGTGATTTTAAAATATAAATTTGGGTTTACTTTATTTTTTGTTGACAAGGCTTTGGTGGTGATGAAAGTTTTGATGGTGTTAAACAAAAAAAAAAAAAAAAAAAAAAAAAAAAGATCAGCCACCACCTTAAAAAATGATGCGGTTATTGATTTGCGTGGTGCATTGTTGCAAAAAGTGTGACATTAAAGAAGAACAAGAAGAAGAATATGAAGAAGAAGAAGAAGATAAAAATATGTGGCAGTAGTAGTGTAACATAATAATAATCTCTATATTGCACGTGAGCAAATTATATAATCAAGTAACTCTGGTTATGTTAAAATAACAACGTTTGTTAATTTCCCCCCCCCAAAAAAAAAGCAAATCATCTATACATTTCAGTCTTAAATTTAATACCATGGTTAACACTATTAATAAATTATATTCATATATATATATATATATCCCATTTATTGTTGATCTCTCTTACCTTTCTCACTAATTCCTGCTCGATATCCGGTCCATGAGTCTAAACATAGAAATTGTAAAAGTGGTAATCCACGAAACAAGTATAACAATAAGAAATGATACCAGGGCCCGTTGGCGACCACATACCGCTCCATTGTACGGCGTGGGATCACCATTGAGAAGAAACCGGTAATCAAAATTCTTATTTGTTCGACACACCCACATGGAATCAAATAGAGTCTGGAATGCAAGCGAGAGATTGGCCGAGGAAAATATAATGAAAAGCAAATCTAACATGATTAACCGCATCTTTTCCTTAAGATCACGTAGTCCAAGAGGTTTTGATGAATACTCATCGTAAGAAATGTACATGAGATATGCCACCGCACAAGTCTGCACAACAATGGCCATAATGGTCGAGGCCTGTTGCGGGACTGCAGTGTAGTGAGATTTCTCAAAGATGGAACACGCTAGTCCAAGACCACATGCCGATAACACAATGTTGAACAATCGCAAAACAAGTGGAATCATAGACCCCTTTAAAAGTACATAGAAAATCTTGGGCAGCCATTTTTTCTTCTTTTTGGCCACATAACTTCGCATGTGTTCACGATAGTAATGTGGCTGATGTCTGTAGTCCCCACCCATAGGGCTGCGCAAATCCGTGGATCTTGCACGCTTTGATTCGTCTGAATAGTTATCATTGTAACCACTACTGCGACCTGCAACCCCTCGACCCATCGCCGTACCTGTTGCATATTTTTCTTGAGTAGCCGAGTCTAGTATCGGCTCGACACCATACAATGGTTTAGGTCTGTCGCGGTCGCTTTCCAGATCATCAAGCATGGCGCCACCAGGGATGAAGCAACATACTAGGTATTTAATCATAGACAACCCGCGCATCGGTAAGTTTTTAGATGGCCGTTCCGTGTCCACCTGACCGCCCCGCCACTCGTCGTCCAAATTGTTTTGTGCATTAAGTTCACTTGCATCGATCCTTGCAGACCGTTCAAATACTTCTGGGTGGATTGTACTGACCACAAATGGGGTCCAATGGCTTGCCCCGGATGCTAAAATGCTCTTCTCAATTGCAATCATCTCTGTGAGTTCGTTTTCATGTGCAATTACAGATGTGTTTTCCGAAGCTTCATCATTCTCATTTTGTTCCTCGGTATTTGTCGGGTGCTTGTTTGTGATGTACCCCCCGAGTCCGGCTTCTAGTAACCCGTCAAATTGCCGAGATACCGCCTTATGTGCTGCAGGACTAGTTTTGTTGTTAAGAAACTGCGCCCGATATGCCACAATCTTGCTGCGTAATTGTTCCTGTTGCAATTGCTGTAACTCCAGCTGTTGTTGTTTCTGAAACTCTAGTACGACCCGCCGCGCCGTCGCTGGATCCACATGTAGACCGCTAACTTCCTCTGTTTCCGTTGGTATTATTGAGCTCTGTTGTTTCATATGCTGCAGTGGGCTCGGAGTGCGGCCTAAGTGGATTGCTGATGAGTTTGGAGACGCTGCCGCGGAGCCTGGTGAAAAAGTCGATGCTGTTAAGTTTGCAAGTCTGCTATGAGCTTTGACCGCGTAAGGTGACCTGCTGCTATTGTTTTGTGAACTCAAAAGAGACTGCTGTTGATTTAAAGAATCTGGTGCTACTGATTCGCTTTCGCGATGCGCTTGAAGAAGTCCCTGTGTACGCCACACAATATCAGGTTCTCGAGAATGGCTTATTGTTGCTGGTCCAGGTCCAGATCCGGACCCTGGGGAGTTTGCATTATCGTCGAGGAAATCAAATGTTGGAGTCAGAGGCTCATTGTTTTCCAAAAGTAATGGCTTGGTAGTATTATTATTGGTATGATTGATGGGTGCGGGACTATATAGTTGATGAGGGCTTGGTGCAGCGCCAGGAGCTATTCCTGCAAGTGTAGTTTTGCGCGAAAGAAGAGCACGATCTGCAACAAATACTGGAATAGGCCGTGCAACAAGCGCATACTGACTATTGGAATCTCTAAGTTGGGACCCGTGGCGCGATGGAGCGGATGTACGGTTCGAGGATCGATTCATTTGTGTGGACAAATTTGTTTGAGTTGTTGCAGTAGAGTCGGTTAAAACTATAGGAGGTTTAATAGATGAAGAATTTGAAGAAGATGAAGAGGATGATGGAATAGCTAGCGATGGAGGTGACAAGAAAGTGGATTGGGTTGTAGTTGAAAAAGTTTGGTCTGCTTGATGGGTCAAATGGTTGTTACTGTTAGTACTATTAGTAGTACTATTAGTATTCAAAGCATTTTGGTGGTCGGTGTTTGGAGGCGGCTGAGGCCGTGCCTGGCTATTGTACTCGGAGGCAGAAGTGGTAGGTTGCTGATGGGTATCCGGAGAAGGTTTGTGGTCCGGCAAGAGGACTGGTAAAATGTTCGGGACGTTAGCCATTGATTATGAAAAATGGGGAATGGGGAATGGGAAATGTTGAATGATGATGAATGGTGATGTAAATGATTAAATATAAGGATTTGGAAAAAAAAAAAAAAAAAAAAAAGCAGTTTAAAATGGAGAAAAAAAAATTATGAACTGATGGTGTTTTTTTTTTTTTTTTTCTTTTTAGTGTGAAGCAATACTTGCAGCAACAATAACAAATAATATATATAAAATCTACGATTCTGGAAAAGCTTCTTTGTTGTTTTTTTTTTTTTTGTTTTTTGTTTTTGGGATTTAAAGTCTGAGTGCAAGACAAGTGTCTGGTGATGCAAGTGTAAAGCTGGAGAAAAGATAATTTCTTTCTTTTTTTTAGTTTCTATATAAGCTTAGGGATATTAGACTTTGAGTATTGACTGTTGGATAATCAATAAAAAAAGGGAAAGAAGCAGTGTTAGATGAGATTAATGAAAACAGGATTTTGTTAAAGAAATGCAATTTTTTAATGGTATATTATTTTTTTAAAAGTAAAAGAAAAAATAAAAAAATTTGAGTATTGGAATCTTTAAAGAAAACATTTTCTTCAATATTTTTGGTAATAATTTAAACTATTTTTTTTTTTTCACAATATAACGAAAAGAATTCAAAGTGTATAAACATCAAGTCATAAAAACCAAGTCATATTTTAAATTACTTAATTTGGACATCATTTTCTCTCATACCTACAAATTCATTCATCAATTATCTATTTTTTTTTTTTTTTTTTTCAAACAAAATTATTATTATTTTTTTTTTTTTTAAAAAAAAAAATTTGCTATACAATTTCTGGAAATCAATCCAAAAGATTATTATATATGTATATATAAAATTACAACATGCTTTAAACGACAACAATAACAGCATCATCAACAAATGGACTCCTTTTGTTTTTTTTTCAATTTCGTCTCCTAATAGTATAAAAAAAAAAAAAAGAGCACCAACAACACCTTAAAACAAACCTCCTTCTAATGAAAAAAAAAAAAAGTGTAAAAAAGAATTATTCAACAAGAAGGAAGATGATATAGGAGATAGATAAAAATAAAAATAAAAAAAACCACGCACAACACTTTCAAAAAAAAAAAAAAAAAAAAAAACATACACACGCTCAGTGTCTAGCGCGATGATCGCTTATCCTTCTCTGTCAGAATGGCATACGCCTTGCGGGCCAACTGTGGCACTGCGCGTTGTGAAATCATCTGGTTGCTATCAGCAGCTGCGGCACCAGATCCAGCGTCTTCCTTTGCTGGTGTCGTCGACGTGCTGTTGTTTCCTTCTTTATTATTATTATTATTATTTGTTGTTGTTGTTGATGGTGATGTTGATGTCGCTGAGCCATTGGTTGAAGTTCCATTAGCTTGTGAATCAGTACTAGGAGTACCCTCTACCGGGGTTAATTGAGTAAGTTTCTTAATGCTCTTGACAATCTCATCCGATTCCATGAGCAGCTTGCGCAGACGCTTGTCGTCCGATTCAAGAAGTTGCAAAATCATCCATGTAGCAATGTGCTGGAACATGGTCTCATCGCTCTTCAAAAAGGTAATCAAAAAGCCACGGATACCTCCAGATGGTGATAACCAGTGGTCCACGAATGCATTGTAACTGCTAGCCTTGTTGGAAAGGTTACCAATGGCAGCTGCACTATTACCTTGGATTTCCACATTTGTTGAGTGTGTCAGGACAATAAGCACGTCCAAAATACCCTTTTCAAAGAGAGTATTTTTAGGGGCATCGCCAAGGGCAATAACAGCAAGACATGCTGTCATTTCACTCTGGACACTGGGTGGGACATTCAAGATGCGTGCACGAATCTTTTCAATTGCGCCAGCTTCAGCAATTTCAACGCGGTTCTGTTCAGAACTGGCAGCCAGGTTACGAAGAGTCGAAGTGGCATGACACAAAATTTCTTCATTTTCACTCACGTCAAGAAGATGCACAAGAGGTGGAAGGAACCCTTCATTAACAATAAATCGCTCATTGGCCTTGTTGATGGAGACGTTGCGGATACAAGCAACAGCTGCAAGAACAAGAGGGACAGGGGTAGACTCGAGCAAAGCACGGAGATAGGGGAGACCCTTTGCTTGGACAACCTCAATCTGGTAGCCAGAGTCTGAGGCGAGATTGCGGAGTGCAAGTGCTGCCTGGCACTGCACGCGGGGGCTATTTTCCGGGCCCATAAGTTTGACGAGATGGTTGACGAGCATAGGTTGATCTTCAGCAAGTTTTTTACGGTTTTCCGGGTCGACGGCAATGTTACTGAGAGTGGTAGTGCAGTAGTATTGAACGTCTGGGTCCATTGACTCGAGAAGTGACACGAGTACTGGAATAGCACCGGCCTTGACAAGCTCCTGTCGGTTTTCGTCCGAGTGGGTCATGTTGAGCAGCGCACCTGTGGCATTGCGCTGGACACGCATGTCCTTGGAGCGAGCCAATTCCGCCAGCGGATAAAGAGCGCCCGAGCGCGCAATGATGGACTTGTTTTCCTCGTGTGTCGCCAAGTTTGTCATGCACCCAACAGCGTTGCATTGGACCTCAACATTGTCTGACTGCATAAGTCTGATAAGAGGCCGCAAGCCACCCATTTCGACAATAAGTTTTTTATTGTTGCTGTTGACTGCAAGATTTCCAAGAGCTGCACTTGCAGCACGTTGGACTTCAACGTCGGAAGACTCGAGAAGGAATAGAATTGGGCGAAGAGTATCACGGCTAACTTCACGGATGCCTAAGAGTGTGTTAGAAGAGGAAGATAAAGAAAAGAAAGTGAAAATATATATATATATATATATTTGTAAGAAACTTACACTTTTCAGTAATTTCGGCAAATGCAAGGGCTGCGCTTCGTTGAAGCTCTATGTTTTTTGAATTGGCCAAAGTTGTGAGTGCATCTAGAGGGCCGTTATTGAAAAAGTCAACCTCGTCGCGCTAGAAGAATTAGAATAAATTAGAATAAATTAAACAAAAAAAAAAAAAAAATTAGTTTTGTTTGAAAAAAACTCACGTTATCGAGATAGTGTAACAGAAGAGAAATAGCATCGCGCTCTTTTGCTAAAATATGGTTATTGACAAACCCTTGGTTCCCATCTTGGGAGCGTTCTGTAAATAGTGATTGTTAGTATTATAAATATTGGTAGTAATCAAATGGTATATATATATGATGATGATGATGATTTAGACTGATAAGATCCAGGAAATAGATGCAATCGCCATTTGCATATATTTTCACGCGTCAAATAAAAAAAGATGATGATGATGATTATTTTAGCCTTCCAGGAGAGAACAAAAATTAAGCAAGCAGTCCATTAAAGATTAGATTATATCTAGAACTTCTTGATATGCAATTAATGGTTTTCACAATTCAATCATCATCACAATGTCTTTATGAAAAAAAAAAATGTTTGAATTGAATTGAATGGAAAAGATTTCAAAAAATGAGACTTTTTTTGTTTTGTGTGCGGAAAAAAAGAAAGAAAAAACGTGTTTCTTGAGAGTGTGGATTTTGCAGTTGTGAGTTGTTGTTGTAAAAAAAAAAAAAAAAAAAAAGGCAGCAGCCACCAAAAAAAAAAAAAAAAGGAAGCAGCCATTTAGAACTTCATCAAGCAAGCCAAACAAGCAAGTCAAGTCAACTAAAAGCCCAGAATATAGAATTTTCCACCGTGGAGATGATAATGATGATGATGATGATAATGATGGTGATAATGAAAACTCTCAATTTGTAGAGAAACATTTTCTCTTTAAAAACAAACCAAAAAAAAAAAAAAAAAAAAAAAAAAACAAGGCTTCCTTTATTTTTATTTTTTTTTTTCTTTTGTCTCTCTCCTGTAGGTTCATCCAGATCTTTTATTATCAATTTGTAAATGTGATTTATCTCATCTTTTTTTTTTTTTTTTTGTTCCTGGATTCAAATAGATTTTTATCAAAAATTATAATAAAAAAAAAGACCCCCTCCCATCTCTGGGGGGAGGTTTAATTGATTGAGAAGTAAAAATAATAAAAATAATAATAATAACTTACCTGAACTGCAGCAGCAACCCATGGTGAACTAAGAATAAAAAATTAAAATAAAAAAGTCTCTCTGAGAGTGGCGGTGAAAAAAAAAAAAAAAAAAAAAAAAAAAAGTTATATAAAAAAAAAGAGTTTAAAAGTTGTGATTGAAAAAAAAAATAAAAAAAAAAAAAGAGAAGAGAAGGATTTTTTTTTTCAGTTGGTGAATGATGAATATATTAAGTTGCTTCTGAATGGGGTTTTTTTTTTTTTTTTTATTTTTATTTTTTATTTTTTGATATTTTTTATGCTTTTATTATTTTAGCAATTCTTTTCTTTCTTTCTTTCTTTCTTTCTTTCTTTCTTTCTTTCTTTCTTTAAAAAAAAAAAAAAAAAAACTTGAAGATTAACTTTGCTCTGCTCCACTTTTTCTTCTTCTTCTTCACCAAAGAATTCGTTTTAATTTCTTGTAAATTGTATTTTTATTTTTTGCTTCTTCCTTTTATTTTCTTTTTTTTTAAAAAAAAAAAAAAACTAGAGACAAAAACTTGTTTGATCGTATATATATATATATATATATATATACTCTCTCTCTCTTTCTCTTCTTCTTCTTCTTCTAATTTTTTTTTTTTTTTTCAACTGCTAATCTTTTAGTTTCCAAACAAAAAAGATAATATTATTAAAAAAAAAAAAAAAAAAAAAAAAAGGGGGTATAGTAGAGTAGTGAGTTAAGTTGAATAAAAAAGAGATTGTAGTTTATAATAAGTTATAAGTTGATTGCTTGTTTTATTTTTTTTTTTTTTTTGTGATTTGTGTTAAAATGGTGGTGGTGATGATGATGATGATGATGATAAGTTTTTGACGATAATTTAATGGTGGTGATGGTGGTTGAGGGTTGAGGGTTGAGGGTTAGTTTTCTTTTTCTTTTTTTTTTTTTTTTTTTCTATATCAATGGAAGAGAAAAATAAAAAATAAAAAATAAAAAAAAAAAAAAAAAAAAAATTTAAAGTGGCAGTTTTTTGTTTTTTTTTAGTGATCACACGGGGAGGGGTGGCGGCGTTGTTTTACTTATATAAGAAAATTGGCTGGCTGGCTAACTGGCTGGGTTTTGTGTGTGTGTGTGTGTGTGTGTGTGAGAGATTATTTAATTAATATACACTGTTTAATAAAAAAAAAAAAAAAAAAAATTTTTGAATAAATTAATGAATATTTTTTTTTTTTTTTTTTTTTTGGTGGTGGTAATGCAACTTTTATTCTTTTTTTTTTTTTTTTTTTCTGCGGCTGGGTGCAAGGCAAAACACACACAACAACAACAACTAACAGCCACAACAAACAAACAAACAAACAAACAAACAAAAACAAAATTATGTAGAGTACTCTAACTAGTTCTTAATTTACTTATACATTCTCTAATTTACTCATATATATAATGTTACAGTAGAGTATATATCTTCAACATCTTTCCTCAACTTGAATATATATCCTTTAAATTAAATTAATGGAATGTTTGTATCAGATAGATTCAATTTAATCTTTAAAAATTTAAAAAAAAAAAAAAAAAAAAAAAAAAACAATTCATTCATTATTCTATTTTATTTTATTTTAAAAAAAAATTTTTAAAAAAAAATTTCATCTCTATATAACATATATATATATATTAATCTCATAATAAATTTCTTCATACTTCATATAATAAAAATCTCTTGTCATTACTTGGCTACAATGTCTAGCTGCTGTAACCACTCTGCCCCAAACCAAATCTGTCCAAACCTCCGCAATGGACCCTTCTGTAATGCTCCACGAGGAAATCCTACATCCACCACATAATGCGACCAATCTCCCTTAGCCACAGTCCCAGACAAGTACGCATTCTGAATTCCAGTCAATGGCAACCCACACGACAAAACCCACCGTGCATTCACATGAGGCCATTTACTACTCCGACTACGTCCAATTCCTGTTGCACTATCAATTCCTGAAGGAATATCTAAAGAAACAACACCAGCCTTTTGTCGGTTCGCCCACTCAATGCACCCAATAACAGTTGCAGCATCATCCTCCCACAAGTCATCCAAAGTCGTCTGGTACCCTTGCAAACCATCAATAATTAACTCAGGAGGAGAATCCAATCCATTGATTTCGGCAATCAGCTGATCCAACCGTCGCACAATCTTACCACGACATGATTGTACCGCTTTGATTTGTACCCGAACCTCCGGATTCACCTGGTCACCTGCTGCTGCATCGTCATCACGTCTCAATTGTCTCGGGTCTTCGTCACACCCAACAACAACAGCAACAATACGTACCTGTCGGTTAGCCAAATGACGTGCAGCTGCTAATGCTCTGGCACCTGCACGTGTATTTCCAGCAAAAACAACAACAAGTGGTCGTGAGTTATGGTTACCATAAGTGAACCGAGATGATCCTCCAAGTGCTTGTAAAGCCAACCGAGCAACTCCACGGCCTGCATTCTCCGTAAGCATTGTCTCCGAAATTCCAAATGTTTCCGATGTCAATCTTTCCAGCTCCACCATTTGCACTGGTGATGCACACGGCACTTGCTTGCCATTGTTGGACGCAATGAACTTAAGTTCTGTGTAGATGAGTGGTCGTGAGGGTCTTCGTAAAGAAGTAAGTGGTGGAGGCGACGACGTCAAAAGTGCTGAAATATTACTCACACTGTCATCTACATCCACATCATCATCATCTTCTTCTTCTTCTTCTTCTTCTTCTTCCTCGTCCTCCTCATCAGCCTCATCCACATCATCAATTACAGCGTGATCAGATCCCCGACCATTACCATCATCATCCTCAGCACTCTGCCAGCGCGATTTGCGGTCATGTTGAATCACCATTTCACGATGTCCATACTTCTCTGGAGGTTGATATCTCGAAGACTCACCTTTGATCTTGTTGAATGCCACAAGTCGTTCACCAGGAAGCGTATGGTCTTGCTGTCGAATCTCATCAAACACATGTGCCTTATCGAACCTATCCAAATTGGCTTGGAAATCAAACTCAGTGTCTTTAATATCGGTAACATCTTCAGTTGCCCAGCCATCACTCTCAAATCCCATGTGTGAGTGTGTACGCAAATGGCTAGGAAGAAAATGCTGGTTATTGTTACCTCCACTTCCAGATCGTTTATTTCGAGTGCCGCGTTTTCCTAAAGATTGGCCTTCATACTTGGCCTTGGAGCTTTTCAAAGCCTTTTGGGTGAGAGAAGAAACTTTTTTGCCCTTGTTTCGTTTCATTAGTTTATTCCCTTGTTGTTGTTGTTGCTGCTGCTGCTGTTGTTGTTGTTGTTGGTGTTGTTGCTGGTGAGGAGGAAGAGCAGGATAACTATATCCATTCTTGGTATATGGGCTACCTCCATACCCTCCACGGCTTTGGTATCCATACTCAGAATCAATATAATCCCCATCTGTAAGAAACTGGCGTGGTCTAGTTCCAAAACCACCAGCTCCTCTTCCTGAGTGATTGTTCCCACCATAGTGATTACCTCCATTTGACCGGTTTTCTTGCTCAAAATCCACATCGGCCGTATAAGGATTTGAATCAACAGAGCTTGATGATGAGCTTACATTCCCATCATCATCCTCTTCATCTTCATCATCGTCTTCATCTTGGGGCCGAGGAGAAACTTGGAAATATTTATTCTGGGAGTTTCCAGAATCCGCAGTTGTTGTTATCTTAGCTCCAGAGTAAGGAGGAGGAGCAGGTGATGGAGCAGCAGGACCAGCAGAAAGAATTGCAGGATCATTAAAAATTGCAGGTGCTGGAGTAGTTTGCTGAGAAACTGAAGAACCCTGTTGAACAATGTGCTGCTGCTGTTGTTGTTGTTGTGGTTGTTGTTGTTGTTGTTGGACCTGAGGAATTATAGGCTGCGGATGAGAATAAGCCTGAGGCATTGCAAGAATAGGCTCACCATTATTATTACCATTACCACCTGTAGGGTGGGTGGGCACTGGTTGGTATACCTGTGGAGGAGGAGGTTGAGCCGGGGTCTCTGGGGTAATCACGTCGATACCCGAGACCTGGTCTCCTCCAATGGCATAGAGCGGGACAGTAGTACCAGAAGAAAAGAAGTAGACTTGAGAAATATAATTTGTTAACTAAAACTAAAACTAAAACTAAAAAAAACTGTTTATACATACCATTGCTAAGAAGTAATTGACCATTAGCTACATCTGTGACCACACCTTGGATGGAAGTTCCATCTGTGAGAGTGACCTTAACTGTAAGGTTTTTAAATTGCGATGCCATGGAACGTAGAGATGGAAATAAATGTTTCAAGAGAAGCCAAAAAAAAAAAAAAAAAAAAAAAAAAAAGAGAGAGAAAAAAAGACTTGAAAAGGTTTTTTTGTTTTTGTTTTGTTTTGTTTTTTTTAGGTTGCTTTTTGGTGTTTTGGTTGGTGGTGGTGGTAGTGATGATATTGATATGGTGGCCAGTGGTGGTGATAACAAAAAAAAAAAAAAAAAATTTTAAAAAAATAGAAGAAGAAGAAGAAGAAGAAGAAGAAGAAAATGCATTAGTCACGTGAGTATTAAATGATGATGATGATGATGATAGACCACCACCACCACCACCACCACCACCACCACAAACAAAAAAATATTTAAATCTTTATTAATTAAGTCTTTACAGAAAGAGATAACCAAAACAACAACTTGAATTCCATTTTAATAATATTAAGAAAGCTTTCTGTCTTCAAGTTGCTTAATCATTTTTTGAAAAAAAAAAAAAAAAAAAAGTATTAAAACTCAAATAAATAAATCTATATATACTACGCAAAATCGACATCTACAAAAGTCCAACTTTTAGAGCTTCTCATGACCAGCCTATTGTTGAGGCATTTTTCAATACAGTGGAATATAATTATTATCATATTATTTTTAAAGAACCATCATTCATTTTCATTAATTACATCAAATTCGTAAAATAGCTAGGAGACATTAATTACAACTTGGCGCCAACGAGCTCAGCGTACTTCTCAGTAGAGAAGGACTTAGGTCTCTCAATGGGGGCACCGACAGCACGGTCAATAATGACCTGAGGAAGGACACCAAAGGCACGAGAAACACCAAAGAGAACAGTGTAGTAAGACTCCTCAGTGAGACCGTAGTACTGGAGAAGGACACCAGAGTGGGAGTCCACATTGGGCCAAGGGTTCTTGGTCTTACCGTGCTTAGTGAGAACCTTAGGAGCAACCTCGTAAATGGTAGAAACGAGCTTGAAAAGATCGTAGTCAGGCATGTGCTTAAGAGCAAACTCACGCTGAGCAGTGTATCTAGGGTCAGTCTTTCTGAGGACGGCGTGACCGTAACCGGGAACGACACGGCCAGCGTTAAGAGTCTTCCAGAGATACTTCTCAATGGCCTCAGGGGTGATGTCGCTACCAACCTCCTTCTTGAACTCAAGGAGCCACTCAAGGACCTCCTGGTTGGCACGGCCGTGAAGAGGACCAGCAAGACCGTTAAGACCGGCAGAGAGGGAGAGGAAGGGGGAGGAAAGAGCAGAGGCAACCAAGTGGGTTGTGTGGGCAGAGACGTTACCACCCTCGTGGTCAGTGTGGATGGTCAGGTATAGACGGAGAAGCTCAATGAACTCCTTGTTCTCACCGAAACCGAGGAGGGAAGCAAAGTTCTTAGAGTAGTCGACACTGGCGTCGATGGATCCGAGCTTGCCATCCTTGAAGACGTTTCTGTAAATGCGGGCAGCAATGTTGGGGAGCTTAGCGAGGAGATCAATCGAGTCCTCGTAGGTGTAGACCCAGTAGTCCTTCTTGGGGACACCCTTCTCGTAAGCCTTAGCGAAAGAAGACTCAGACTCAAGAGCAGCGACGGCAATGGTGAATTGAGCCATGGGGTGAAGAGTGGCAGGGCATCTGTCAATGAGATCCTTAACGTGGTTGGGGAGCTCGGAGCGGGCAGCAAACTCAGCAGAGAGAGCGCGGACCTGGGACTCAGTGGGGACCTCACCAGTCAGGAGAAGCCAGAAGAGACCCTCAACGAGGGGCTCCTCACCACCGGGAGCCTTGGGGAGCTCCTTCTGAATGTCGGGGATAGTACGGCCACGGAAGCGGATACCCTCCTCAGGGTCGAGGACGGAACCCTCCCAAACGAGGGCCTTGATACCACGCATACCACCGTAAACCTGGTCGAGGAGAACCTCGCCAATGACGGTGTTACCGTGTTCCTTGCGGAGCTTCTTAATCTGTTCAATCTTCTCGGGGAGGAGCTCGGCGAAGCGCTCCTTAAGAGTGGGCTCCTTGGTGGAGTAAGCGCGGGCAGCGATAGCGGAAGCGGAGCGACCAGCAGCCATCTTGAGGGTAGAGGGGCGGATAAAAGTGTTTCTGATGAGAGAAGCCATTTTTAATTAGTATTCGAAGCGAGTATTTATATGTGTTTTTTGAGTCGTGCAAAGTCGCCGGAGGGTTAGACTAAGGGTGCCGATTATAGGGGGTGGAGAATAGAAAGAATGGACAAAAGGAAGCTTGTACTTGAGCGGACCAATTTGCCGAGATGGAATTGAGGGTTGAAAAGGATTTTTTTTAAAAAACAAAAAAAAAGAAGATTTAAAAAAAAAAAAAATTCTAAAAATCTAAAAAAGTTGGGAAAACCTGGGGGGATGCCTGCCTTTTTATAAAAATTACGAAATCACCGCCAAATTACCAAACTTGCGCAGATTATGTCAGCCGGACCCGCCTGGCCAATCACCCCGCGTGTAGCCCGCCAGTACCCAATTGAATTGGAGTTTCCTTGTCCCGGCGGGCGCTCTTATTGACATATAAAAAAAAAATAAAAAAAAAATAAAAAAATGTCGTCGTCGCAAACGGCTGACTGGCTGTTTGTTTATTTGTTTATTTATTATTTTTTTTATTTTTATTTTTATTTAAAAAGGTCTGAAGCGGTGCGGATTTCCAAGATGAATGATGGTGATGGTAATTGTGCCTGTCTGGCTGGCCTTCTTTGGCTGGCTATTTGGCAATCTAATTTAGTTTAGAGTGATGGTTGTAGACATAATAAATAGATAAATATAAATAAATATATCAATGGATATCAATGGATATCAATGGATATCAATTTATGATGATCTTTATAATTGACTATACAGACTAATGACAATCATGATTATCATCTTCATAATCATAATCATAATCATCATCATCATCATTTGGCTGGCCAACTGGATGATCTTCAACAATATACTTCCTTCCTTCCTTCCTTCCATACATTCCTACATCACCAACCACCCACCTACTCCTCTTGTTTCTTTTCCACTTCCCCCCGCCAGTCCTATCCATTCCCCCGCCAGCCCTACAGGCTCTTTAGGTCTTTGTGCCACGGCTCGTGCTTTGAGTGCTTCTAAACACCGCCTTCTGCCGCTTTCTGCCGAGAGCTCCCGGGTGTTCGGGCCCCTCCTTTAAAATTTCTCTCTCTCTCTCTCTCTCTCTCTCCCTCACAAATATATATATTTTTAACTTTTTTTCTTTTTTTTTTTCTTTTTCTTTATTTTAAATTTTTGAAATTTAAATTAAATGGCGGCTGGTAAGCAACACGCCCATTGGCTCTAACGGATTAACTGCGTCCGGATTATTTTTAATTATATATTTTGTGGAGTATATATAAATATATATATATATATATATATATATATATATTAAAAGCCTTGAGAGGGAGTTCAAAGTAGACTGACTGGATGGATTCTTTGGAGGTTTGTAAGCCATGCATTGTATAATAAGTGAATCTTTTATATTTTCCAATTACACACAATGGCGGCTACATGCTGCCTGTCAATCTCTCTGTCAATTTTATCTGGAGGTCTGTCTGGCTGTATGGCTGTCTGTCTGGCTGTCTGGCTGTATGGCTGTCTGTCTGGCTGTCTGGCTATCTATGAGCTCAACAGTCTGAAAGCCCTTTCACTTTTGCGGCCTTTTTTTTTTTTTAAGCAATAAAACACAAATAATAGTAAACAATCATAATGGCCCCTTTTATTTTTTTTTCTTTTATTTTTTTGTGTCTCCATACAAATTATTTTATTTATCATTCTTATTCAAATCATCATCATCATCATCATCATCATCAATAAAACGTAGAGAAAAATAAAAAAAACCTCTTTTCAAATTAATAAGTCTTGGGAAAAGACCTCATCACCTTTCAAATTATATACCAAAGTATATACTTGGCTAGACCTAAAGTCTATATCAGGAAGGTGGGGTCTTTTCAACCATCTTTACAATCCTTTTTTTATTTTTTTTTTATTTTTTCATAAATAAATTTTCATCGTCCATTTCTCTTTCATCGTATAGTTTTATTTTTTTTATTTAATTTCTTATTTTCCCCTGAATTACATTTTCATTATTTTTTTTTTCATTTCCTTCAATCCTTTCATCATCATCTTCTTCTTCTTCTTCTTCTTCTTTGACTTCCTTTTCTCCAACCGCCTAAATGTCTCTCAAGAAAGATCACTTCCTGATTTAGTAATATTGGATATCAATTGTATTTATTTATTTATTCATTCATTTTTAAAGCATATGTTTATATATATATATATATTTATTTTTCCATTTTATTTCTAGCATAATTGGCCTTTTGTTCATACCATTTCCGCTGCTCCAGACATAAATCAAGCCGAGGCCCCACTCTGATTGGCCAATTCGCCGTGCTTTTGCCCCTCCTTTTTTTATTTTAAATTAATAAGAATTTTTAATTTAATAAGAATTTTTTTTATTTTATTTTTATTTTTATTTTTATTTTTATTTTTATTTTTATTTTGCTGCTGCCTCTTCTGCCTCTTCTGCCCGTTGCTGCCTCTTTTTTTTTTCTGCTACTGCTGCTGCTTCTGCTGCTTCTGCTTCCCCACATACATTACGTAATTCACTGGTTCCCATTTCCCCGGAGAAACTAATTTATTAAAAAATTTCAAATTAATATGATTATATAATATTTTTTTATAATTAAACTATTTCACGTGACTTAAATATGAGGAGGTTTTTCCGAATCATTTTTCATATTTTTATAATTAATTAATTATTATAATTAAATTAATTTAAATTAATTATGGACTTGTAAAATCCGAATGGAACCTCTCATAATAAAAAAAAAAAAAAGTAGGCAATAAAAAAAAAACGCTTAATCTTAAAATAAAACCTCCAATTACTGGAAAAACCGTTCCGGGGCATCAGAAGGGTCTGATCAAGTCCAACCAAACAAACAAATAAACATGCTTAATACTTAAAACAAAATAAAATGAAAAATGAAAAAATGAAAAAATGAAAAAAATGAAAAAAAAAAAAAATATATTAAATATATAACTTTCAAAAAAGTTAATTCCTTCTTTTTTATTTTTTTTTTATTTTTTTTTTTCCCTCAATACTTAAAAATTCTTCCATTCATTCTAATTCTAGTAGTTGGAAAAAAAGAAAAAAAAAAACCCCGCGATCCGCACGTGGTACTCTCAAGCCAAGACCTTTTCATTCTTCCTTTAATCCTTTTTCTTCCCCCATACAAACATATATACAAACCCCCCTGCCCCAGACTCAAAATCAAAATCAAAATCAAAATCAAAATCAAAATCAAAAGCCTTCAAGGTATACTTTTTTTTTTTTTTTTTTTTGCCGCTGTTATTGATGATGTAAATATAAAATATACATATATATATGTATTTGAATGTATATCATCATCTTCTTCCATATCCATGAAATTTGTTAAAGAAAGCACGTCATGACCCTAGCCCTGGCGGAATCTCCAGATTTCATCTTAACTGTTGTTCTCAATTGACATGTTTTTTTTTTTTTTTTTTTTTTTTTAGTTTGAATTGATTGTATCGGAAAGTAGTTTTTTTTTTTTTTTAAAGTTTATTTATTGATTTGTGTCTCTCTTAAATTTGAATTTCTTGATATAAAAAAAACAAAAGATTTTTTTTTTTTTAAAGTGTAATTATTCCTTATTCTTCATTCTTCTTTATTCTTTATTTTTTATCTTATATTACCTCGTAACTTTTTTAATGATTGTAGAATAATCTTTTATCTATTATTAAAATCAAACTTCAATCGGTCTTCCAAATCCCGAGGTAACAAGACAACTGAAAATACACAAATAGAGATTGATAAAAAAAATCGCAAAGCGTTTTTTTTTTTTTCTTTAGTTAACAAGATATGGTACACTAATATTACTAGTATAATATTAAAAAAAAAAAAAAAAAACTCGTCGAATGGCTATAACCGGCTATACAAAATTTTTTTTTTTTCCCCAGATTAAAATCACTCAGTATTAAAGAAAAACGTAGTTGAGCCAATTAAGACATTTTTTTAAAACACAATAAAAAAAAAAAGAAAATTTAAAAGACTTCGATGATTGCATAAAACACATACACGTTTATTTACTCAATTCAATTCAATAACATACAATCTATAAACATCTCACACAACATTCTTAATATATATTCACCAAATCTAAGGGATTGAAAAAAAAAGTATCAAACATTGAATTAGAAAAAAATCAGGTCGCACCCGGAATCGAACCAGGAACCTGCAGATCTGCAATCTGATGCGCTACCATTACGCCATACGACCCGTTCTTGATGTCATTACATGTGTCAAGATCTTATTTCACACCACCTATTCAAATTTAAAACCCTAACCCCTATAGTTAAACTAACTACATGATATTTTACACATCTATTTTTCTATAAAAAACATTAACACTTTGCTTGAAGAGGAAAGAAAAGGACTGAAACGGATATCTCCAGAGATGGACATGTCGACTCTCTTAAACAGTTTAACTGGCTTACAAGAGATTGTAAGCTTTATCTCTGCTTGGAGGGATTAAGAAATACAATTACAGCGTTGATGAAGACAAGTGGAGATAGGTTGGGAAGGTTTGGTTATTTTAACCCCCTGTTCCTCGTAAGCTGGCATCAGGACTTATTTTCGGGCTGTTGGAGATGCAATGTTGAAGCCAAAATTAAAAGTTTATTATTAAAATGAAAAAATATATAGTATGGACAAGAAGGATAGCGCAGATGCTGATGTTATATAATTCTATAACCCTTGAATAAAAACAAACAAACAAACTAAACTAACTACATGATATTTTACACATCTATTTTTCTATAAAAAACATTAACAAAGAAAAATCAAATTAAAAATAAAACTAAAATATACAAGCAAAAAAAAAAAAAAACAAAAAAAACAATTTCATTTTTACACCAAAATCTCTTCTTTTCCTTTAAGAAATAAACTCCAAACGAGCACCATTGTCAACGACCTGCCACAACTGTAGATCTGCATACTCCGTAAGCGTCGCTTGCAGCTGCTCGTCTGTAAACCCCTTGGTAAACACCCGATTGCGTACTGTCTCCATGTCCCACGATGACACAAATCGCGACCCGTCGCCAAACGCCAAATCACGAATCACACGATAAATCTTAGACTGCACCGTGGCATCCGCATCAAAATCACTATGATCTGTACGTCCATTGGGCCCATCTTCCGGCGATGTCAGCGAAGCCTTGCATACCTCTAATAGCCTTAGGGCCTCCTCCACGTCTTGGTATGCAACTGTTTGCGAAAACCGCAACCGTGAGTGCGCCTGTGCCAACCGCATCACGCCCAAAAACGTACGTGGCGTCACATGAGAAAATTGGCGCTCAGTGTTTGCATCTCTCTTATGTGCTTGTCGCATCTTCACATATGCTGCAACAACGCTGTCTGCAACTTCTTTGGGACATGTCGGCCGGAACTGGCGAGCACGCGAAATGTACTGGTTAATTATGGCAGGAGATAGAGGATCAAACCCAAGATCTGGAGTTTCTAGAGTTTGATGCACCAGCGTGACATGACGAGCTAGTTGGATATCCGACTCACGAGTTGGGGTGTCCAACAACAGGAAAACCAAATCAAAACGCGACAGCAAAGCTGCAGGCAAATTAATGTTTTCCACAGGAGACAATCTGGGGTTATATCGGCCGTAGAGAGGGTTTGCTGCTGCCAAAATGGATGTGCGTGCATTCAGTGTTGTGGAAATTCCAGCCTTTGCAATTGAAATGGTTTGCTGTTCCATCACTTCATGAATTGCTGTTCTATCTGTGTCGTCCATCTTGTCAAACTCATCAATAGCACATACACCGTTATCTGCAAGCACTAGTGCACCACCTTCCAGTACCATCTCGTCTGTAACCGGATCTCGCATTACAGCCGCCGTTAAACCAACACCGGACGAACCTCGACCTGTGGTATAGACGCCGCGTGGGGCTACCTTGGAAATATACTTGAGCAGCTGCGATTTGGCCACACCAGGATCACCCATCAGGCAAATGTTAATGTCTCCACGAATACGCATACCATCACCCATTTCTTTTGTGACTCCACCAACAAGCAATAGCAGTAATGCCTTTTTAACATCCTCCATACCGTAAATTTCTGGTGCAATTGACTTGGCCAGTTTCTCATAAATATCTGGTTGGCTGTGTAATTCTTCAATCTGCTCCATCTCGGCTGATGTCAGCGTCAGCGCATCATATTTCTTCTTTTCGTGCTCAATAAACTGTGCATCAATAAAAGTGTCTGTCAACAGAGGGTTACCACGGCCCTTGGTGCGCCAACCATTTTGCATCGGAGTTGGTGTGAAAATACCACTAAGTTGCACAACATCACCCGGTGATAATTGGCGCACAATTGTGCCTGTCAGATGGACAGATATGTTTCTTGGAATATGACCAATGGGCACCTGATTTGACATTTCCTGAATACGGGCCTCTTGGAATGCAGAAAACTTGGATGCTCGTGTGGACAGGAAAAGCTTACCACGGGACTTGTTGCTGATACATTCTGGCGAGTGACACTCAATTAAAGGGGTAAATGAACGGCCCTTGACTTCTTGGAAATTCTCTGCACCACATGTGTCGCATGTATACGCATTTACCTCAACTGATGGCTTCACGTCTGAAACTCGAGTCACAATACCTTTAATTGTAATCAAGTGCCCAATGTATTCTGCGCGAATTTCACGTACAGCCAAAGCTTTGGCGTATGACTGAGATTTTTGACCAGGAGGCTTGATGTAGAGATGGTAGCGTCTGGTTAACTGGGGTGGGAAAGTCATTTCATCAGTACCCATGGCTGCTGCGACTTCCGCACTTACTCCTGCGCCGAGTACATCCAAGTTGGGAACACCATATGGATTGTTGGAATTGATTGCAGCTGAGCGCGCAGCCAAGTCAGCCTGAACATTTTCGTTACGTTGTCGACGCTGCGACAAGATAATATCCACAGTAGAAGTCTCATAGTCAATATCGACGGTAGGCTGGGGCATCAGATCGTCAACAACTTGAGAAAAGAGCTCGATAAAGTGAGTTGTATTGCGCACAATCTCATTTACGTTGGAAAGCAAGGATGATTCACGGTTTTGGCTCCCTCCTTGAGCCAATCCTAGCTGGGTATAGTAAATTTTAAGATCATCTAGCTCGATTAGAATAGTGTCGACTTGACGGTTGGAAATTTTCTGGAGAAGAGCCATGTACTTGGGCATGTTGATTGTTTCACTTCCTTCATCGGCCATCAGGACATCTTCTTCGTCCTTGTAATTACTCAGAAAGTCCTTAAAGGAATCTAGGGGTGTTAGAATGATGTTTATAGAAATAAAAGCTTAAACCTACCTTTCATGGCCTGGTAATTAACATTGATACGAATCGTAGGAAGCACTGAACTCATTATGGCAAGGTCATGTATATATTATATATTGGCTATATCCAAATAATGTAAATGAAAATATTGTTTATGGTAGCTTTGTTTGTTTTGATATTGTTGGTGATAAAAAAAAAAAAAAAAAAAAAAAAAAAAGAAAGAAAGAAACCATCCATTTTTTCTAAACAAACAAACAAACAAACAAAAAAAACTATTAGGGAACCACAACAAACAACGCGCTCTTGACGCGTATCTAAATAAAAAAATACGCGTTTTTGACGCGTGTTGCCTCATCTACTGACGCCCATTAGGTCGATCAGAACTCGGTCTCCGGCGCATCGGCGTTCCGTTTGGCTGATTTCGAGATGAATTCCCGTTACCTGTAACAAATGGAAGTCTTTGAGTCAAATCACTTCCACTTGACTCTCCATCAATGGAATCTCCGCCGCGACCTCCGCGTGCTGCTCCACCGGGTCCTCCGACTCCCATCCCAGAGCCACTTCCAGCTTCACCTGTCCGAAGCCCTTCATGACCTTCTACTGCGTGTCCGCCTTGGCCTCCTACTGCGTGTCCTCTTTGGCCTCCATGGGTACCATGACCTGGCTCTCCTGGTTGACTGTGTTGCTGGTTTTGTGTATGTTGATTGTTATTACTCATAGTGTGGTTATGACTTTATTATGGAAATACCGAATGAAATTGGGGGTAATGACATGGCTGTCTCAACAAGATGCTTTTCCATGTGGGTTCATGTGGCAAATAGAGTTTCCAATTTTTTTATTTTTTAAAAAAAACAAGGTTATTAAGTTATATGGAATACACTATAAACATTTTATTAAAAGACCCGAGAGTTCAATTAAAACCCGTCGGGACTCGGGCATTTGTTTAGCATCCCCCCCTTCCCCCACATTTATAGGCACAAAGCCGACCAAACGTCACTTCCACGTGATACGCACAATTTTTTTTTTTTTTTTTTTTTTCCAGCCACCCCCGGAGATCAAAAAAACAAAAAAAAAAAAAAATTGGCAAGTGGAGGCCATCAATTTGTTGAAATTACTAAGAAGATTTAAGGAGATTTAATAAGCAACAGTAATTTAATTTATTAATTAATTAATCAATTATAATTAATCACCCACACACCATCATATTTAGGCCCCTCCCCCATCAGTCAGGTCAGTCATCTTTCCTTCCTTCTACCATCCATCTTTAATTAAATCAAATCAAACTAATAATCAACCCATTTTCAAAAATGTTCACAGGAATCGTTGAAATTGTTGGAAGTATGAAGTTTTAACTTGATATTATTTTTTTTTTTTTAAAAAAAACCTAACCAAATAACCAAATAGCTGTACTTGAGCACAAGGAACTCGACCAGTCGGCCAGCGGCGGCAATGGCAATTCTATGGTCATTGGCGATGCCGAAAAGATCCTCGGCGACTGCAATCTCGGTGATAGTATTGCAGTCAACGGTATGTTAAATTAATACTGTATATATAAATACTCCATTCCTTTTTCTAACTTGCTCTAGGTGTCTGTTTGACCGTCACTGAATTTGACAAGTCTACATTCAAGGTCGGCATTGCCCCCGAAACCCTGCGCCGCACCAATCTCGGCCAGCTTAAGCCTGGCTCACACGTCAACCTGGAGCGTGCCGTGGCTGGCCACGTCCGTTTCGGTGGCCACTTTGTACAAGGCCATGTTGATACGGTTGCTACTATTGTGGAGAAGAAAAATGATGAAAATTCAATCGACTTTACCTTTAAGCTGAGGGATCCCCAGTACATTCTTTACATTGTCGAGAAGGGCTTCATCTCGGTCGATGGCGCTTCACTTACTGTGACTAGAGTTGATGACAAGGAGGCCACCTTCTCAATCATGATGATTGCTTATACCCAAGAAAAGGTTGTGACTGCGGCCAAGGAGGTTGGTGATCTCATCAATGTTGAGGTGGATCTTATGGGCAAGCTGGTAGAGAAGCAACTCAACTACCAGATTGAGCGCCAGTTTTCTTCAGGAAACCTGTCTTTGGAAGGTCTTGTGGGAAAGATTGTAGACAAGAAACTTGCTGAAAAATCTATTTAAACACAAAAAAGAAAGAGAAAACAAACACACACACAAAAAAAAAAAAATTATATAACCTAACTACTGTCTTCAAAAATCATGGAAACACCTTGGTCACCAGCTGTAATGACCCGTTTGCCATTGTCCTGAACAGTGAAACCAAGGATACCGTCAAAGTGACCATGGCCACGCCACAGCTCACGACCGCTGAGAACGTCCCACTTGACAAGTTCACCAGCCATGTCTGATGACAATAGCTTGTTGGATCCAGGAATGAACTTGATTGCAGTAATAGCGTCCTTAAGAGCCAAGGTCTTGCGGATGTTCCAGGAAGTCACATCGTAGAGAGTAATATCACCTTTGACATTTCCTACAGCCAAAATGGGTGAGATGGGTGCCCATGCCAGAGCCTCCACGGAGCGCTCCTCAAGCTCCACTGAGTCGTTTTGTGTATTATCGAAAACTTTGAGCACTGTACCACGCTCAACATTGATAAGGGCAACCTTGCCATCGGCAGAGCCGCAAGCAATGGTCTTACCAGAACCACTGAGTGCACAAGAAATCCATGCAATGTTGCCCTGGAGGTCATGTTCACGCAGAGAATAATTAGGGGTAGACTGATAAACATTCCATGAAATAATGGCATCATCACCAACTGTGATCAAGGTCAGCGAGTCCATATCGTCAACATTAGCAAACACAGCAGCGTTTGTGGGTTGCGAGTGGCCAATCAAGATGGCGACGTTGCTAAAGTCGTCCAGCGACATGACCCAGACAGAACCCTCGCGGGACCCAAACGCAAAGAAGGGCTGTTTAGGGTGGAATACAATCCATGTAATCTCGTCCACCTCTTGAACGCTTCCAACAAAGTCCCATTGTTGGCCACGCTTGGCTGACTTCCATGCGCGCACCTGGCCCTCCATATCACCAGTCACAACGTATCCTCCATCTGGAGAAAACCCACCAGCAACAACTGATTCCTTTTGACCAGGAAGTTCAGCTACCAGCTTGGGAGGCTGTGAGTTGGTTGTCCAAAGATATGCTTTCTCGTCCTCGCCACCAGAAATGATGAGTGGCAGAGTTGGGTGAGAGTCTATCAGGAAAATTGACTTGCCGTGCTTGTCAAAGTGTCCAACAGAAGTGTTGGTCATATCAAGAACCAGATTTCCTTCTTCATCAATATGGATATCATTACCGGCCAGGGCAAGTTCACCAGCCAGGTCTTCTTCTTCAATCTCGTACTGGTCATCCGCATCACCAGCATCCTCTGCTTCGTCGTCGACATCCATGATTTCCTCATTAGGGTCTTCATCAATGATTTCATCGACCTGAGTAGGATCAAGGTAACTTTCTTCTTCTTCTCTCAGGATGTGCGACATGACGGTGGCGATTGTATATGTTTTTTTGGTCTGTTTAGTGTATTTGTAAGAGAAAAAATCCCAAAGTTTCTTGACGAGGCTTTAATAAAAAAAAAATTTGCAAAAAAAAAAAAAAAAAAAAATTATATAAGCATAAATAAAACTTATAACTTTGACTTAAATAATTAAGTTACAAATAACATATCACATGTTTTACAACCATTTTTTTTTTTTTTTTTTTTTTTTTTTTAAATCGTCGTCGTGCGGCCTCTTTCGATCTAAGTTGCAGCTTTCCTTAAACAGCCCAAAAACAAACAACAAAAGGCAGCACTCCGCAGAATTTTTTTTTTTTTTTTATTTATTTATTTGGTTGTTTGTTTGCTGCCTAAATTTATATAAACCTAACCAACTAGATTTATATATCAGCAACAAAACCCTTTCGCTCTTCAAACACTCCTTTATCAACCATCCTTTACAAATAATGGCCGCCGCCTCTAGTGATATTGGTCAACCTCTGCTGACCTCCGCCGACGGCCAGGGCCCGTCCCATGATTTGGCTCCGTCTTACAACGACTTATCCAACCCTCAAGCCTTTGACAAGCTTAATCAGCGTCTCACAGCCCCTCAAGAAGTAGCCTCGGGTCCCAATGGGTCCGGTCCTTCAGCTCCACCAAAACAAACAGCTCCCGAGCCTCTGACGTTTGGTCGGGCCGCTAAAAACCTCTTCACATCGACTTTTGGCTTTAACAAAATCCCCTTCTCTTTCCTCTTCATTTTCACATACCTTTTGGTAGCGCTTGTAGTCACTCCAGTCCAAGTCCTGCCACCCCCAGGCGACTTGGCTACCGACGCTGGGTACCCAGAAAAGTTTCTGCTCGGGTCCTGGACAGACCTCCAGGAAATTTCTCGGTACTTTCACCCTTACTCGTCGCATGCAAATGACATTGTTCACGATTACATTCTCAACAAGGCTCGCGACATTGCATCTCACTCATCCATTACCACCATCCATACCCGTGACGACACCCGCAAGTTTTTGTTTGAAGAACCTGATGTTTTTGATCCAGAACTCACCGGCCGTGCCGTTTACTTTGAAGGTAATAATGTTTTGGTCAAGATTCAGGGTAACGACTCTGCTCTTGGTTCCATTCTTATATCTGCTCACTACGACTCTGTTCCTACCGCTTACGGCACCACCGACGATGGTGCAGGCATTGCGTCAATGCTTGGTATTTTGCGCTATTATGCTGACGAAAAAACCCCGCCTCCTCTCCGTTCCATCATTTTTAACTTTAACAATGACGAAGAGTTTGGTTTGTTGGGTGCTCAGGCCTTTTTCCGTCATCCTTGGTCTAATGATGTTGAGGCTTTTCTTAACCTCGAAGGTACCGGTGCTGGTGGTCGTGCTGTTCTTTTCCGTGCGTCAGATTACGGCGTGGCCAAGCATTATCGTGCTGCTTCAGCTCCTCATGCAAATTCGATTTTCCAACAAGGCTTCACCGACGGGTACATTCGTTCTGAAACCGACTACAAGGTCTATACTTCCAACGGTCTCCGCGGTCTTGATGTGGCTTTCTACAAGCCTCGTAACCTCTATCACACTCGTCGTGACTCAATTAGCGGAACTACATACGGTGCTCTTTCACACATGTTTACAAATGCTCTTGATGTCGTTCGTTCCATGTCTTCTGCTCCTGCAGGCGACTTTAATGCCACAGCGGATGACATCTCCCCGGCTGTTTATTTCGACATTCTGGGACAGTACATTGTAGTACTTCCTCTTGATCAGCTTTTCCAAGCCCAGGCTATTGGAATTATTGCTGGACCCATCATCATTGTTGGTCTTTTGTTGCTTGTACTCAAGACCAACTCCTGGCACATTGGCCTTCGCGGATGGTTCCGTGGTATTATTTCCCTTGCCATTTCCTCTGCAGCTGCAGTAGCCACTGCCAAGTGGATTGAGAGCAAGAATGAGCTTGTTGTCATTTCCCAGACATTTTCTCCCCTCTTACTTCTCTTTTCCATTTTCCTTTTGACAAACTACTTTATTCTGGGCTTTGCGGCTTACATTTACCCAGTTCACGACCAGAAGCTCGTCATTTTCCTAGAGATCTTTATCGTGCTCTGGGGGTTGCTTGTTGTTTCTACCATCCACATTTCCGAACGCAATGCTACTGGCGAGTACATTATCCCCATCCTTTACATTGTTTACTTGGTTGCTGTTGTATTTGGTCTCCTTGGTTTACTGTTTTCCACTACAGATGACTTGACCAGAACCAAGGAGGAGGTCGCAGAAGAGGAAGAGTCTTTACTTAATAATAGATATGACTCCTATGGTGCCAATGAAAGCGATTATGATAGCGAGGCTGAGGCTGAAGCTGCTGCTGAGGCAGCTGTTGAAGCTACTCAGGGTGTACCACACTCTTCCAATGCCCAGCAGCATACTCTTGCTGACCATAAAACCACCAAAGAAAAGATCCAGCACCTTGCCAGTAAGTCGCTTTCTTTGGACTGGTCGATCCAGTTTTTACTGGTGGTCCCCATTAGTGCTTACTTTGTCTACTCTTCCGGTTTACTCACGTTCGAGGCTTTGCGTGAAAACGCACAGGAGGGCGCATCGCGTGCTTCAGGCGTCTACACTGAGCTCACGGTGGTGGCCGTTGTTCTTGGTGCTCTTGTGTTGCCCTTTGTCCACCGCTTACACACTCTTGTTCCCGTGGTGCTGCTCGGCACTGTGATTGTGTGTGGTTACATTTCTCTTTGCTTCCCTGCTCTTTCATATGACTCGCCCATCAAGATCCGTTGGATCCAATCAATCGATCTGGACGATACAGCCGTAGTCAACGGCTCTGTTCCTGCTACTGTTTCTGTGCTTGCTCGCCAAGGATTTGCTTATGATGTCCTTTCGGACTTGCCCTCCATTAAGCGTGATAGCTTGCCAATCACGTGCAGACCTTTTGGCACTGATGACAATGAAGTTTGTTCTTATGAGGGTCCTCGTCCTTACGTCATTGATGGCGCTTCTAAGGAAGAGGCCGGTGATTACTCTCGTTGGCTTAATGTGACTGTACTGTCTACTCACAACAATGTTAAAAAGAAGGATTCTGTTTCTACGGAAGAAGACTTTGGTCCCTTCACGGGGTCCATTTTCATTGAAGCTAAAGATAGTCGTGTTTGCTCTTTGTCATTCAATACCACCATTTATAAATCTGGTGACAAGACTGCATCCTCCCCTGTACGTACTGTGACTGTGTTTCACGATAGTTTGGATGATATTAAGGAGCCTCAACCTCCTAGCAACTCAAGCTTGCGTTCAAGTGATGAAGATGGCCAGACTCGTCTGCCACGTGTAACTGATCCTGATACACTCAAGTATTATAAGGGTATTAATGATCTGACTGTACACAAGCTTAATTGGACTCAGCAAGGGTACCATCTTGAGTTTGTGTGGATTCCTCGGTGGTTTGAAAACAATAGCAACAAAGATGATGACAAGAAGGCAACAAGCAAGGCAATTCCTCTTCAGAAGAATGAAAATTACATGGCCACTTTTAACTCTAAAATGGATCAGCGGGAAAAGAATCAACAACGTCTTATCAATGTTCTTGACTATGAAAGTGACCTAGAAGAGGAAGACCCCACAACTGGTGCCGACAAGAAGGCTCTTGGAATTGAGGTGCGATGCTATTGGGGCGAGTACGATTCTGAGTCGATTATTGGGTCAGTGCCCGGGAAGGAGACGACGGTGCGCAAGGTACCTGCGCTGGACGAGGTGCTAGAGTACGGCCCGAACTGGGTGACATGGACCAACTGGGCTGCTGGGCTTGTTGAGGTGAAGAAGTATATTGAGTTGTAAAGCGGTAGTACGCATATTATTAGATAGAATTGACTTTAATAGTGTTTAATTTATTGTAATCATAATTCTTAAAAGTTTTTGATTTTATGGTACTGGAAAGGGAGAGGATAATGATGTTATTGATTGAAAAACAGTTTCTGTAGAGTTAGTTTGATCAGAGTTTACAAAATAAGAAAATCTAATATTGAAGTAATGAATCTGACTTCTAATATTGTATTCAAATAGTAGAAAATTAGTAATTTTTATTAAAAAATGAGATTGATGATAATCAAAAATTTTGTTATTTTTTTAAATAATCAAAGAATTCCAGTTGTAAGATTCAAAATTTCAATTGAAGCACCAATGGTAAAGATTTGATATTTTCCCAAAAAACCATTCTCTTAGATTAAAACTTTTTTTTTCTTTTTTTTTTTTTTAGTAAACTCAGCTGCTGAAACCTCACTGATCCCATTAAAAAAAATAAGAGTAACGGACTACATCGGAAAGAAACTTGAATAAAATGAACCTCCGAGTTGAATTTCTTGGTTGCCAGCCAGCCGTGCCACGGGTGCCAACCTTAAGGTTGATGTGTGACAAATTTTTTCCAGCCAAAAAATTTTAATTCCAGCAAAGCCTTAACTTTTCTGCCTTGTTAGCAACACACACCTCTCCCCCCCTTTTGCAACCACCAAACAACCTGCAATTTTTTTTTATTTAATAAAAAAAGACATTCTTTCTCTTGTCTTTTTAATTCTTACTCCCCACTTTCCCAAATGTATATATATAAGACTCAAAGTCTGCTTAAAAATAACCATTAAATCACATCTTTCCACTTGTTGAGATTCTAAGATTCTTCTCTAGCCAACTGCGGCCAGTTTTTTACTACCTTCTTAAACGCGTCACAAAATCTGCATTTAAGTTCTGCCTAACCTGCCTAACCTCTTCTACTTCACATACTCACCACCCAAAAATAAATCACCACAAAAAATGCCCCAGAAAAAGTCGGCCCGCCAATCAATAGCATCTAGCTCAGCGTCCTCTTCGTCGCACTCACCATCTCCAGATCCCGCTAGCACCATGTCAACAAGCTCGGGCTCAGCGTCATCTTCCGCTGCTGCAATCCAGCGCGCCGCAGCCTCGGCAGCACCTTCACCCGACGCCAAACCTCTTTCGCGTGCGCACAGCCGGGCGCACAGCAGCCACCACAACAAACACCACCACAATCATCACGCAGCCACAGCAACAAACCAAAAATTCCACCAGTCAAGCGCATATGCTTTCATCCTGCTGGCCCTCGTCTACCTCGCCTTCTTCAGAGGAGGTCTCGCAGCAGACCCGGCTGCAACAATGCTCCAAGCTGTCCCCATTGTCGTCATTCTTCAAGTATGGTATTGTGCCTCTGGCATGCTAGATGGCAGTAGCAGCAATACTTCTACATCAACCACAGCAGCAGCGGCCGCTGCAGCCGCTGCAGCCGCTGCGGCAGCTGCTGCGTCTTCAGGTACTTCTTCATCATCTGCAACATCTTCAACTACTGCTTCGAAACGCAAATCGGCGTCGACAGTTTCTTCTTCTTCATCTACATCTTCCGGACTGTCCTCTTCTGGCAACTCTAATGATCCTAATAAGACCCCAGTTAAATCAGCTCTTTTAGCTGCAGTTCTTGCGCTCATGATGTCAGTGCTTGTTTTTGGTCTCCTTATTCTGTTTGGCGCACCCGCATCCACCATGGTTCCATCCACGTTTCTCTGTGCCGTCCATATTTCACTGTTATCTGTTCTCCCGCTTGTATACATTTACAATCTCGATGCGCAAACTTGGAAAGATATCATTTCAGTTCGTCTTCCTCTCAACGGTGTATATGGTGCCTCAGTGGGTACCTGGGTTGGTGCATGGCTCGGTGCAATCCCTATTCCATTGGATTGGGACCGACCATGGCAACAATGGCCTATTACCATTCTTGTCGGAGCTTACATTGGCACAGCACTTGGAACTCTTATTGGTGCAGCATACCGCAAATTTAAATAATTTATGGTAAAGGGTAGTTATTAGAGAAAAATATAAACACAATAATAATAATGATTAATAGGTAAAAAAATACATAAAAACAATACCAGATTATACGAAACCAATTTTTTTATCATCTTTTATATTAATCTTGGTTACTAGTTTTAGTATCTTTGATGATCTTAACATTGGCTATCGTAAATTTTTGCAACAAGAAAAAGCTCCCCAATATTTGATAAATCAAATAAAAAGGTAAATTTTAGATTTAGTTTGTTAATCCGGATTAAATTTGGAATTAACTTAAAAGAAAAAAAAACATTTTACGGATTTCAGTATAAAGTAACTGGTTTTTAATATTTAAAGAACTCATACATCTTAATATTATAATTAATTGAGGATCATCTGATGGACCAAGCTCTACACACTTTCTAACAGTGGAATGTAAACAAAGAAACTGAAAAATGCTATTGTCAAGTTGTTATTGATGAAATGTATCTTTAACAGAAGACAAAGTATAAAAGTTTCTTTTGTTAAAAATAATGATAGATTAATTAGAATCTAGATTTGAAATATATTTATATATTTCATTTTCCTCAATAAATAAGTTGTAATTTCCTCATTTATTTCGATATCTGAAAATTTGAGTCTCATGTCAGTTTGCAAGTATCCATTTTTGAGGTGCTTTCAATTGTTCTCTTTATTCAAAAAGTAATTCCATTTAAAATTCTTATTTTTTAAAACTCTTTCTTTAGATAGAAATGGAGAACTAATAGCATTTTAAAAACTAGAAAAATATTTTTTAATGCATTAGATAAAAAAGAAATCACATAAAGTCAAATAACTTAAAAAAAATATTTCCATATCTGAATTGTTAATGTTGGTCACAGTTTGGATCAATAAATTTTTGAAGGTATATCATAGCACATGTTCATCGAACCAAACAAACTTGCAATAAAATACCTTGGAGGAAATAAAAATTTCTATTTTATAAATACCTCATCAATCTACTCAAGCAAAGTCAGGTCTGACGTTGCCATTTTAGTGTCAATTAAAACAAAATCTATCACAAGTAATAATAAATATTAATCAAAAATATAATTTCTATCATTCAATCTGACTGATAAGTTGTTCCATTTTGGCCTGCATTTCATTGACAATACGGTTATCTTGCACGGCTCCAGTGGTCCAACTAAACCCAATGGCCAAATCTCTGCCTTTAAATGACATGATACTCAGGTTAATAGCAGCACCCATAGCTGAAGGGGATTGCAAAAATGTTGGATGAATCAGAGTATATGCATCTTCTTTTGGTGCGGTGGCAACGATCGATGATACTTCAAATGACCCTGATCGCTTAGTACCTGGTTTAGCCTTGAAAAACCCTACAAGTGACGACACATATTTAAGCATGCCTGTATCGGTGTCTTTAATGCCTTTGGACAATTCTTCAGTAAATTTTTTTTTAGCCTGACGAGCGACAACCCACACTGAATCCCAATCTAAACCCAACTTAGAAGTAGGAACTACCACATCGATACCACAGACATAAACACCCATAGTGTCTGCGTCTACGCCTGTTTCCGGAGTCAAGTTTGGACGCAAATTTCTTGGTACGCAGCATGAAAGTGTTGAAAAGGATTCATCATTTCCCGTAAGATACTTTTGCAATGCAGCATTGAGAGCAACAGAACCAAGACCGACAATAGTTGCTGTCACAGAAACCCCACGAGTCTTTGCCACATTTATAATTCGAGTCATGTCAGATTCGGAAATGCGCAATATGGAGACCTTAGCTAAGTATTCTTCATAGGGAGCTGCATCTTCTCCAAATGTCTTGGGAACACTACCACCTGTCCATGAATGAGAGTTTGGGCTTGAAATCCAACCTTTGGACTGTAAGATAACTTTGGCAATGTTCCAAAGAGACTGTGGAAGAGGAGAAACTTGCTCTAATGAAGGATGAAGGCTAGCTTTTGCAGGGATTTGCACAATGGGAGAAGACTCAACAGTCCCTACCTTGTTAAGAGATCTAGCTAAGCTTTCTAAAAAAATTCTGCCAGTGGAACCATCGCCTAAGGAATGGTGATACGCAAACAAAACATGCATGGCATACTTTTTCTCGTCACCCAAGAGTACTGGTGTCAAATAGAGTCTCCAAGGCGGAATTGATTCAATGTCTGGGAATTGTGTTGATACCCTTGTTTCGAGTCCTTCAATAATTTCAGGATCGGTATCGAGCTTATTGAGGTCAATTGCTGAAGCCTTTAGTACGTTAATGAGCTCATTTGGTGTGGTTGATTCTGCCTCGCGTACTTTTTTTTGAGCATAAATCAAATGGTTGGATAGATTGATGGAATCTACCATTTGGAAAAAATCATTTTCTGTTCCTGAATCTTTTATTGTAAGTGCTAGTGATGATGGATACTTTTGAATGGTATCGTTAACAGCAGCAAAAAGGTTTTCCTTTGATAAGGGATTTTCTGTTTTATTTTGTGGGACAATAACTGCACTAAAAACAACAGAGAAATATTGGAAAAGACCGTGACGGATACTTGAGTACTTTTCAATAGCCCCTAGAGGTCTTGATTTAGTATTTTCAGATGAATTGACAGACATTTCTGTTGATTTTACTTGTTGAAATGTGTAAGAATGTTTAAATGGAAATAACAATAACAATAAAAATAAAAATAAAAATAGTTTAAATTTAAATATCGAGGCTATGCGTTTTATTTTGTTTGGTTCTGACGAGAGTTTAAGACGAGCCGCAAATTCCTAAAATGGAATACCCTAACCCTGTAATTATTATTATTATTATTTTTTTTTATTTTTCTTAGACTTAAAGTATTCAACTTGAATAAAAAAAAAAATTGGAACTCATACAAAGAAAAATTATCCGCGTACCGGGTCCCGAGTATTTTTTTTTTTTTTTTGATCTCAATTCTTTGATCGGTCCGTGCACACTTCTAATGGAAAAAGCCACAGTACTAATTAACTTTCAGAAATTGTCTTTCGCCTAGAACTGCTTTTGCCGCTCCATAAAAAAGAAAAACTTTGCTTTGCTTTGCTTTGCTCTTTATTTTTTTTTTCAAGAGTTTAAAAAAAAAATTTTTTTTTCTTCTTTTTTTTTTTTTTGTTTTTTTGACTAAACTGACTCGACTTTCCATTACAAATCAAAACAAACAATTCACAAACTTCTCCCAAATGCTCCAGTCATGACCAACCCGCGTCCCGACCCTGCGCCCGTCGTGGTTGTCGTAGGTATGCCATACCATCCCGTATAACAATCTCGTTCACACTTGCTCTAACAGATCACTAAAGGAAATGGCCCCGCAGCTCTTTTCCTGTCGTACCTGCTCCATGGCAATGTTCCGTTCTACGATCCAGCAACCACCGGACCGCACCCGGACTCCCATCTTCATTCTCTTTTAAAAAAATATTCTTATACACCATCTGGTGGCCCGTCATTGCTTGATGCTGTGGCTGATCTGACTGTTCTGGACTACATTAGGTCTCGGTACGTTTCCTTTTACTCTGTCAACACAAACCCCATAGCATTGCTCGTCGATACTTTGATTGCTTCAGATGAAGCTAGATTTGCATCGCTCGCGTGCAAACAATCCCGAATCAAATGGGTTCATCTGCCCGATACTGCTGTCCCCCACATTGTTTTTGGTGCAAGCCCAGCACCAGGAGGCCAATGGGCATTTTCAGACAATAATTCATCCGTACTTCACCCAGACGAAAAGGACCAACAATCTTTGTCTTATGCGGAAATGCTTTCATTGCCAGGATATTCCTTTACCGAATTTTTTTTAACAGCAAACACAAACCAAATTGATGACTATGTGCGACCATGCAGAGGCGACATTTCACGTTATTATGCAGCTTACCCTCACCAGTTGGGCCTGGAAAACGTTTTCCAATCTAGCACCGTTGTAACTTCAGTTGATTCCGTAATCAACGATTCGGGCGAACGCATTTTCCGTGTCGATTATTTACACCTTAAAGACCCCACAGTTCGATTAACAATTCAAACACCAGTGGTCGTCTTGGCTTCTGGAGTTTTCGAAAAACCACTAAAAGAACTTCGCAAAAATTCCATCCATCAACGACCAGTATCCCCAGGCATTATGCCTACACGGCTTCTTCCACCCCAGGGAGTCTCTCGTGAAGACTTGGAAGCCGATATTTCTTCACGGGAGCCCGCGGTTTTAGTTCCACAATGTGTTCCTAGTGATGGACCGTCACCGGCCGTGCTTGTTATTGGCTCAGGTGTATCTGCAGCTGAAGCCGTGGCACGGTGTGGTCAGACATCCAATGTCATCCACGCTTTTCAATGGTCGAATGCAAACCCCTCGCCTCTCCGCAGACTTGCCCGCGAATCTTACCCGGAATACGCACGCATTCTTAAACTCATGAAACGGGCCGTCAAAGCCCAGCGTGAGGCTTTGGCACAACCTACAACATCCCCCCACGACACTGGGCTTGATCAAGTAGCCATTACAATGCGACAGCCGCTCGACGACGGGAACAAGCCGCACTCTTGGTACCTGGGTGTCGCCAACGCGTTGGTTCAATCTGTATCTCCATGTGGACGTGTCACTTTATTATTACCGGGAGAAATGGGTAATCGTACAATCACAGCTAATGTTTCCAAAATAAAAATTTGTACAGGTAGATCTGGATCGTTGGAGTATTTGGGGCCTTCAGTACGTCGTTTGGCAGGTCTTCGGTCTGTAAATGCAGACCTTGGATCAATTTCTAAAACATTTCTAGAGACTCATGCTCGCGAGTTTTCAAAGGATGAAGTTTCGGATGACGATTCTCTTTCCATTTGCTCAAATGATTTACCTGATTGTTGTCCTCCTTCTCCTAAACCTGGAGCTGCGTCGTCACCTGGAACCTCATGTCATTTGCGCTTGGGTCATGGTCTTTATGCCATTGGAAGTCTCACTGGTGAGACACTTGTGCGGTTTATGCTTGGTGGGTGCATGTGGGTAGCTCATGATATAAATCTCAATCGTGCACGTTCCAAAGAACTATTAGCAATTTGATGAAAAAGTGGAGTGTTAAAACCAAGATTTCATAAATCTAAAAATGTCTTGTCAATTCTTTCTCATCTTGTTTTAATTTTTAATTTTTAATTTCTAATGACTTATCTTTTCGATCACAGCATTGTCATGTTAAGTTCTTTCAAACATCACCTCAGATGTAGATGTTTAAGCGTTTTAGTTGGTTATCTTGTAAAAAAAGATAAGAATTAGCCTGAAAGAATCTAAAGTAGAAATTATATTTTAAAATTTCAGAAAGCGAAAAACTTTCTATAATCTTTACATTTACATTTATATCTAGAAATTTAGTAAATGAAATGCCGTTTGTGGATGCTTACAACTCGCCAGCGGTTATATTGATAAAGTATACCTTGAAAAAAAGAAATCAAAATTTACAAGTCTGTCAATATATAACTAGCTAGTTATTCTTGTATTTAAACCTACTTAACACAATACCTTTTACTTTAACTATATGTTAATACATTTAGTAAATTTAGGTCTATTGAAATTATTGGTTTATTTCGAAAAAAAAAAGAGGGGGGGAGAGATATTCTTAATCATTAACAGTTATTTAGATTAGAAAGGGGATTTTTAGTAAACAATCAGATCATTGTCAAGGTAAATTTGAAATAAACCACAAAATTTAATACCAACAACCAGATAGAATATATATATTCAAGTCTTTGCTCTAGTTCTAATCAAACTGATTAGAAATTTGACAGGCTTGAAATTTCAATTGCCAATTCGGCTTATTCTTTCTTTCCTAAGAGTTGGTATAGGGTATCTTAATAGGAAATAAACCGTTAATCTCTATCAAACCTATGTTTGCTGATATTCAACAGCTACATATCTTTTGTTCTTTTTTTTTTTATTCAAACTTTTTTCTTGTCATATCTTAACCGTGCTTGTGCAGGACCACTTGGATCCTGATCAGGTTCGACCCATTCATATCCTTGTCCGGCAAATGTCCAGTAATCCATAAATGTTTGTTCACTTGGGCTTGTCTTAATACGTAATCGTCTTCTAGCAAGCTGTTCTTGTAAAACTGTTTTAGCAGCATTGTGGTTTACAGCAGGACCTTTAGTGGATTCAAAAGAAGATTGATTCGTTTTAGAGGCAATTTCCTCTGTAGTAGTAGGGTTGTTATCATTGTGGTAGTAGTTATAAGAGTGGGTGTATAATGTTTCTGGAGTAAGAACATTGGGTTGAGAAAGTTTCTCACCATAAACATGGAAATTATCCACAGTAACATCCACAAGCTCATCATACGCAACTGCAATGTAGTCCGTCATTCGGAGCTCAAGAAGCTTACGTGCCAAAGAATTATCAAGTCCCGCAGCGGAAGCATTTGTCACAAGAGTACGAGGGGACCGGACTGCGGCAACAAGACTCGTACAGAAATTGATAACTCCTGTGATAAACGATGTGCGCATAAACACCGCAGGTGCAACCTGTTGCCAAAACGCCATTCGTGTCCATTTAACACGTTGCCCAGAAAAGGCAGGAACTGTAAGGTACATAAATGAAGGGAAAAGTCCAGCACAAATTGTAAGAGCTGGTGCTAACGGTGTTGCCAGATAGTGTGTGACGGCAAGTGCCGAGAAAAAAAGAGTTGTGGATGCCGCACAGACTTGTGTAGATACCAAGTTCAGGTTTTGAATGCGAAGTGCACGTTGCTGCTCTTTAGGATTTACTTGAACATCAAGCATCTGTGAGTTTTTTGATTTCTTCAAACCGCTGGGCTCACGTTGGGGTATTGTGTCTACTGTTCCATCAGCGTGTGTATATATCACGCTTGCAGTTTGTGCTTCTGAGGAGTCCGGGACAAGCCCAGTGCGGGTGGCAATATCTACAAATGCAAAAGCAGCATCGTATTGTTCACGATACACTGCTAACCTCACAGCGGTCCAACAGAGACTTACAAAGTCAGCATCGATTTCTTGATCTTGTGGAATCAATGTGCCTGATGATCTCAATGCAGGGGGGACCAATGCTTGTGATAATGGTTTTGATAAAGGTATCAGTGGAGGAACCCAAGCATTGCTTTTGTACTGTCTGAGGAGGGCCAGGATATGATCAGTTGGGGGTGATGGGGTTGTGACAAGATAGGCATGGACACATTTTGGAGTAAGAACAGAGACATTACGGTCTAACACAGCTCGTAAAAGATTAAGCGGTTCTGTAGGTACATCTTTTAGCGATCTTCCAATGGCTTTGCGAAGATCATGTGTAACATGAGACTTGGACGCGGTAGTATGGATTGTGGTAGCCTGATCGTGAGAGTTATGGGTGCGTCTATGCAAAGCTTTGCAAGCACGAATAGCATCAAGAAGCAACGGTTCAATGTCTCGTGGGTCTGCGTTTTGCCGCAAAGCCCAAAGTGGCGATGCTCTAAGTCTTTTAGCTAGTGTTGTGGCATTAAACGGCGGGTCTGAGAGCTTTTGAAACAAGCCCATTCTTAGTAATATTTAATGATGATGATGTTAAAGGTGGTTGTGTAAAAGAAAAAAAAAAAAAAAAGTCCTAGTCCGTGATATATATATTTAGTGGTGGTGGTGGTACATACAAATTACTTAGTCTTTATTTTCTCTACAATTTCGATTTAATATGAGTCTTGAGGTTCTTACGGGTACCTTCTTCATTGACCCGCACAGAACCCGAATCGTTTGGCTCACCAACATCGCCAAACAGAACGACGGTAACTGTTAGATCATCACGGTAAGAACGTGAGATAGGTGCTGGGATAGAAACAAGCATTGAGACCTGCTGGATATCGGCACCACCCAGGGCATTGCGTACCAGATGGGTCGCAATGTTTTCGTCCTCGACTGTGAACCGTGGAGTTGTTCCAGGTTGGCGGCGGAAAACTTGCTTTTGAGATTCTGGGTGGGGAGAAATATCACGTACATGGACAGCCAACTCAGAGTGGTCAGCCTTGATGATGGTTCCAGCACTGGCTGGGACCTTAGTGGCAGGAGCAGGAGAAGCTCCATCAGTTGCACTATTACTGCTGCTGTCGGTCTTTAAGCTACTACTGCTTCCTGTACCAAAAACGCGGCCCCAGAGAGTTTTACTTGCTGTGCGTTCTTTAATTGTAGCCTGAACTTGTTCAAAGTAATCTGGCTTTTTCTTGTGCAGCCATTGGACAACCAAGCCAACAATTTCCTCATTCGTCAGCATTTCGTACAAACCATCAGTTCCCAAGACCAAAAAGTCACCGGCTTTCGGAGTGATGTGGGCTGTACTGACTACAGGTTTTGCAGTAACATATGGGGGTGAATGGAAATCAGCCGGGACACGGCGCCCGAAAAAGTACCGCACCATTTTTTCTTGAATGTCACGAGTCCATTTGTATCTGGCATCACCAAACGCACGAGTAGGTTCGAGCATACCTAGGACACGGCCTCTGCGAATGACAGTGGATTCTTCGCCAGGATGCTCTTTGCGGATTCTAGCAGCCTCTTCCATGTTTGATCCGGTTTGGTCCACACTTAGAGCACGCGCAGTCCACTCACCGCGTTCATTTACAGAACCAAGAACAGCGCGTGAATCGCCCGTCACAGCAACACGCAAGTTATTAGAAAAGGTGTCGTAAAAGGCCAGTAGGCCACAGGATCCCGAAAGAGCAGGAGCAATGTATTCTGCGGCACCAGCCTTGTCTGGATGAGCCATGAGTTTTTCAATGCTTTTGTGAACAATATCATTGTCAAGACGGACAAAGCCGTTTTGGATTGCCTCGTCAATTGCAGTGGGCGATGGAACAAGGCGGTAGATAGAGTCAGGAGTGGATTTGACATAGGTCTTGTCGAGCTCAGACAAAACATAGGCAATAAGGGCATCACGAAGTTTTGCTGATGTTGTCCAACCGGAATGGCCATCATAAACGCCCCAAAACATCCAATCACTGGAAACAGCTTTTGCCTCGGAGTCGGCCTTGTCACTGGTAGCGGTCAAAAGGGGGACCTGAACAATTTTTTCCGAGCGGTCATCTTCAATTGGAGAGTTTGAGGGTAACTGGGACACATCATAACGCACCACACCCTTGCCACGCTCGACAAAATATGATTCTTCAAGTTCACGGAGTCGTGCAGATACTTGTAGAGGGGTCATCATGGTGATTGGTTGTTTATTATTTTGTTGTGAGGATGAACGCGGGAGACCGAATGGAGCAGAAGTAGAAAATGGAGATGAAGACTCGAGAGAAATGGTAGCGCGGCGAGGGGCCAAGGTGAGGTAGGAGCCAGCCAAAAGAATTGAAGTAGCGACTACAGCGACACTGCTCCAGCGAGCCAAAGGACGAAATCCGGTGACAGAAGCTGTTGGGGGGGAAGAAGAGGAAGAAGAAGAAGAGGTAGAAAGCTGGCGACGAGGAGAAGGTGCGCGAGAAGGAGAAGGTGAACGGCGCAACGCAGCGCCTGTGTTAACGGCAGACACGATGGGTATAGAAGAGGAAGAAGAGGAGGAGATTGGAGATTGGAGACGACAACGGATAGCAGAGTTAGTAGAGCCACGGGACGCAGCACGGACTTTGAGCATTTTCAAAATGGATGAGAAGTGCAAATGAAGTCTAAAAAAAAAGGGTACAGTAGAGGGTTGGAAAAGAGGAAATTAAAAGACACAAAAGAAGGATATTCTATTCTATGGCGGTCTTTTTTTTTTTTTTTTAAGTTTTTTTTATTAAATAAGGTAAAAGAGGGCGGAATGAAAACGGAAATATTAATGGCAAAAAACGGCGATTTTGGCGGCAATGATGATTTGATGAGAGTTTTTTTTTTTTTTTTTTTTTTTTATTCACAGTCGCCACGTTGTTAATCGTAATGAAGAAATAATAAAAATATTAAAGAAAAGAAAGAAAAGAAAGAAAAGAAAGAAAAGAAAGAAATAAAGAAATAAAGAAATAAAGAAATAAAGAAAGCAATGTTGGTACACCCAAAGAAAGAAATGAAACAAAACGAAATAAAAAAAAAAAAAAAAAAAACTAAAATAAATGAAAGACCCGAGTGTCTTATGAACGTGTGCCGGAAAAGTTCCGGGTCCCGAGCAAAGCAACAACAACTTTTTGTTTTTTAAAAAAAATAAATAAATAAATAAATAAATAAACCGGATATATTACAAATATATTATCTAATAGGGTTTGGGTTATCAGTCTTAAATATACTTAAAATCATTCTGAAATATACATGACATTTCACTTTTTTTTTTTTTTTTTTTTTTTGTCACGAAATTTTTTTTTTTTTTTCACTTTTTTTTTTTTCTTTTCTTTCCAGCCCAAAAATATTTTTGATTAAAACCTTTTTCCCCGCCTAAAGGGAACTTGCGAGACCCGATCACACCATTAAAACCACCACCATTACCAGCAAGAAGAAGAAGAATACGACAACAACCCGCTACAATGCCTCCTAAAAATAATCGCGAGAAGACTGCCGAGACTAAAGCTAGGGCTGCAAAGCGTGTACAGAGCGCTGCCGACAAGACATTTGGTCTCAAGAACAAAAACAAGTCTAAAAAAGTACAAGAGTACGTGCGCCAAGTGCAAGCACAAACATCAAGCGATGCAACATCAAAGCGTGCTGAAGTAGATAAAGCGCGACGTTTGCAAGAAAAGAAGGCAGCCGAGGCAGCAAGAATGGAAGCACAGGCATTACTTGGTGCAGTGGTGCAACAAAAGGTACCATTTGGTGTAGACCCCAAAACAGTTTTATGCGAGGCTTTCAAGGCAGGTCACTGTCCCAAGGGCAACAAGTGTAAGTTTTCACACGATTTGGAAGTTGCACGTAAAACAGCAAAGCGCGATCTATATACAGACGACCGCAAAGCTGCCAAAGAGGCCGATACAATGGACAAGTGGGACGAAAGCAAACTGCGTCAAGTCATCATGTCGAAGCACGGCAACCCCCGCACAACCACCGACATTGTGTGCAAGTATTTTATCGACGCTGTGGAAAACTCCAAGTACGGCTGGTTTTGGGTGTGTCCCAATGGTGATACATGTAAATACCGACATTCGCTACCAGAGGGCTTTGTACTTAAGACTAAAGAACAGAAGTTGGCTGAGAAGCGAGCAGCCGCCAATGAGCCCCAAATCACTCTTGAGGAGTTTATAGAAACAGAGCGGGCCAAACTGCCCAAGGAACTTACTCCTGTTACTCTTGAGACATTTTCTGCTTGGAAGATCAAGCAAGAAGAAAAGAAGAAGAAGCTGCGTGAAGAAGAAGAACTTAAAAAGACCAAGGCAAAGGTTATTTCTGGTAAACAGCTGCTGCTATCTGGCAAGTATATTGAAGACGAAGACACATCTGAAGCTTGGAATATGGAAGAGCTACGACAGCGTGTTGAAGATGAGCCAACAGAAGAGATTCGCAATCAAGATTACGAATATGATAATGATTCGACAATCCCAGCCAAAAATAATGACAACTCTAATAGTAACGACCAGTAATGATTTTTCTTTCTTTCTTTCTTTCTTTTTTTTTTTTTTTTTTTTTTTTTATCAATATATAATAAAAATATACACAAGTTATATATATATACGCATCTTATCCACCTCCCATTGATTGATTAATTGACTTTTTTTTTTTTTTTTCCCCCCCCTTTAAAGATTTTTTTCCTTGGGAGTCTCATCATCATCCTCTTCATCTTCTTCATTACCAAGGTGGCTGGTCTGGATCGAAACATCATCCGAGTCCTTGGCCTTGTACTGCTTAGCAAACTCACTAAAGTCCTTGCCCTGGGCACTGGCATCTTGAGCAAGTGACTCCATCAAGTCATCATTGGCACCACTGCCCAAACCTGGGATCTGACCAAGGCTGCTGAAATCAGGCATACCACCGGCACCACCGCCCATGCCACTAAGCATGCTTTGCAGATCAGCACCGCCAAAACCAGCATCATTGCCGCCACCCATGCCGCCCATGCCGCCCATACCGCCAAAATCATCATTCTGTTCAGGTTGCTCATCCTGTTCATCTTCATCAACCCACTTATCAAAATCAGTCCGGATGTAAAAGACTTTCTTCTTTTCCTTAGTTAGTCTAGGCCAGTACTCTTGTTGAGCCTTAGCTTTCCGCAAAATAGCATAAGTGTGTCTGTCAGTGTGGGTAAACTTGGACAAACTAGGATCAATTTCTTCGTAAAGTTCGACAGTCAAGTCATAGTTCTTTCCCTCCTCGGACTCTCCAAAGAAGTGGAAAGAAGTAGGAGTAAGCTCCAAATGGGGCTTGGTAATGTCCTCTGCGGCAATGGTCACGTAAAGAACATTCTTTTCAGGCTCGGTGGCGCTAGATCGTTGCGCCCAAAAAACTAAAAAAAAAAAAAAGAAAGAGGTTAGAACAATGAGTATAAGATATGCAATGGATCATTGAGTATGCTTACCTTCAGGATGAGATGGCATTGTGTTTATTTATTTATTTTTGGTGATTAATCAATTGAATGATATTGTTGGTTAAATGGAATAAAAAAAAAAAAAGTTTAAAAGAATGATGATGGTGGTGGTGAAAAGAAAGAAAAAAAAAAAAAAGGGAGGAACGAAAGGGAAAAGTAAAAATGGCAATCAATTATTTTTTTTTTTTTTGGCCAGCAGAAGAGTCTAGAATATGTTAAACCAAAACAGAAATCACGTGGGCTTCTTATTCTCCTTTTTTCTCCCCACTAAAAAAAAAATAAAAATAAAAATAAAAAAAAAAGATTTATAGTGGCACCGCCGTGTTTTTTTTTTTTTTTTTTTTTTGGTAGACTTCGACTCGATAAGTTGCAAAAACCCCGAAATCAAAATCAATTAATCTATCAAACAAGCAAACAACGTTAAGATAAATTGATTTAATAAATACTTTAAGTTAGATTTAAATTTAAAATAAAAATTTAAAGTTAGTTTACTTATTATTTATTTACTTAAGTGTTATAACTAAATAACTTTTCCATTTTTCTCAATAAACTTTTAATCTGATTTTAATTTTTTTTTTTCATCTCAACTTGTTTAACAAAAAAATTTTAATAAAATTATACAAATAATTAAACCTCAATTATCATTAAAAATTAAAAAAAAAATTGGACTTAATTGACTGTTTTTTAAATTTGATGGCAATTGTACTTGATTATTTTTAAAAAATTGTCACGTGGTCGTATGGCGTAATGGTAGCGCATCAGATTGCAGATCTGCAGGTTCCTGGTTCGATTCCGGGTGCGACCTAATTTTTTTTTAATTTAAAGATTTGATAATTTGTTTAAAAGATTTTTTTTTTTTTTTAATATTAATTGAAAGAATTTTCAATATATATTTAACAAAAATATTTTGAAAAGTCTATTTCTGGGTAAGTTTAGTCGTTAGCAAATTTTTTATTCAAAGTTTTGTTTTATGCAACTAACTCAATGGCCCTATGTTTTGCTATGGTGAGGTTTTTAGTATATGTCTTCAAGAATACAAAGAATGAAACAAATTATTATTTTTTTTAAAAAAAAAAAGTTTCCTATAAAGGTATTTTAGTGGTATATTGTGTTAATGTGTAATTATATATATATATTTTCTTTCTCCTCAATCTTGGTCATATCAATTTTTTTTATTAATATTTTTTTTAAATCATTCGACCCCCTATTTACGTCAGTGTTTTTAAAAGTTCATTTCATTATATAAATATATATATAGAACAATGTTAAAGTTTACGGTTAATTGATAATTTTGAAGATCATTGATATATATATATATATATATATATATATATTTACTTGAACACTGTACCATTTTAGTTTGGCTTGAGAAAAAGGGCCCACAATATCATTTATTTTATTTATTTATTATTTATTTTTTTTTTTTGTAGAAGAATCTCATTGCTCTAATTATATCAAAACAATCCCAAAATAAACACAGATCATCATGAGATCATGGAAATAAGTTTGGTAAGTTAGCTAAAAAACAAACTTTAGCTCATTTTGTTTTTTTTTTTATATATATATATTTGAAATATTTTTCAAAATAATATGCAAAACATTCTTTGTTAAATCAGTCAATCCAGTGATGGCTCACTAGACTTTTATTTCAATATTTCCCCCCCAATATCATCATCTGAGGTTCCTTTCCTTAAAAAATAAAATAAATAAATAAATAAATAAATTTAAACTCTTGGCAAGTATTTTTTTGTAAATAAAAAAAAAGGTTTTCATTATAATAACTCATTGGATAAAAAAAAAAATTATTGAAAATTAGAAAAGTAAATAAAAAGCAGACATTAAAACCCTATTTTGCCGTAATCAATTGATATTTAATTTGTTATTCTAAACTACTACCATTTTCGTACCTCTGAATTCTTCAAAAAAGAAAAAATTAAAAAAAAATTAATGAAGCCTGGACAAAATAATTAAAATAAAAACATTAAAAAGAAGATTTGAATATCACTATTAATTTCACTAATAAACGCAAAAATAAAATAAAATAAAATAAAAACATTAAAAAGAAGATTTGAATATCACTATTAATTTCACTAATAAACGCAAAAATAAAATAAAATAAAATAAAAACAGCATTTATAGATTAAACTTAATAAACAAAACAAAAAAGTGTTGTATTTAAATAAATAGCCACATGTTTTCGGGATATTAGTACATTTTTCAAGTAGAACAAAAAAAAAAAAAAAAAAAAAAAAAAAAAAATTTTGGTAGTTCCTCGGTATTGTTCGGTAGAAAACCTTTGGTTTTAAGTACATAAACATCAAGGTGATTCAATGGTTTGTCAAAAAAAAAAAAAAATAAAGAGATAAGAAAGATCACTCTAAAAGATAAAAAAAAAAAAAGGAAAGGAAATATTTTTTTAGCTAGTGATAACCTGCAGGCAAATTTGAATATATTTTCAAGCTGGCAATGATAGTTTGAAAAATTCAGGTAAGGTTTGTAGTGTCAAAAACTTGTTTAAAATAATAAGAAATACTATATATTAAATTAAAATGATATTTAAAGATATAAAACAATGTTTTTACAAAACCGTAGCTTGTTTGTTTGTTTGTTTTTATTCAAGGGTTATAGAATTATATAACATCAGCATCTGCGCTATCCTTCATGTCCATACTATATATCTTTTCATTTTGATAATAAACTTTTAATTTTGCCTTCAACATTGCATCTCCAACAGCCCGAAAATACGTCCTGATGCCAGCTTACGAGGAACAGGGGGTTAACAATAACCAAATCTTCCCAACCTATCCCCACTTGTCTTCATCAACGCTGTAATTGTATTTCTTAATCCCTCCAAGCAGAGATAAAGCTTACAATCTCTTGTAAGCCAGTTAAACTGTTTAAGAGAGTCGACATGTCCATCTCTGGAGATATCCGTTTCAGTTCTTTTCTTTCCTCTTCAAGCAAAGGACACTCAACCAAAATGTGATGAACTGTTTCCAGCTCTCCACATTTGCGGTTGTAACTATCCTTTTCAATTCCAAAACCGTAGCCAAATATTTGTTAATTTTTAGAAACTATTTCAAGTGTGAAGAATATGATAGGGTTTTAAAAAGAATCGTTACGGGGTCGTATGGCGTAATGGTAGCGCATCAGATTGCAGATCTGCAGGTTCCTGGTTCGATTCCGGGTGCGACCTGACTTTTTTGTTATTTTTATATTTTTGTTTATTTTGAAGTTTTTTTGTAGTTGAAAAAAAAAGCTTCAAATTATTTTGGTTAAAAAAAAAAAAAAAAAAACAGGAATAAAAATCTGAGTATTTGATGTTTAAGTGGTGCTAATTTTAAACTTTAGTATTAAAGTTTGATTTCTGACAAATCATTGATTTTTTAAAAAAGAAAAAATTAAATAAATTAAATAAGTCAGAAAAAGTATAGAAACTTTGGAAAAAAAGAATATTAAGAATTAATTTTTTTTTTCTTTTTTTCATAAAATTTTCTGTATAATTGAGACACTTATTCACTTCAAAAAAATAAATAAATTTAACGTTACAACATTGCACTATTAACTTTTCTTTTTTTTCATACACAATTAGTTTTTAACATTCATAACGGCTACCAAAGACAATTCTTTTTTTCTACCCCCCCCCCCTCCCCAATCAACACTCCATGAAAAAAGAAAAAAAAAAAGAAAACAATTTGTTTATTGGCTAAAAATAACAAAAAAAATCAGGTCGCACCCGGAATCGAACCAGGAACCTGCAGATCTGCAATCTGATGCGCTACCATTACGCCATACGACCCCGTAACGATTCTTTTTAAAACCCTATCATATTCTTCACACTTGAAATAGTTTCTAAAAATTAACAAATATTTGGCTACGGTTTTGGAATTGAAAAGGATAGTTACAACCGCAAATGTGGAGAGCTGGAAACAGTTCATCACATTTTGGTTGAGTGTCCTTTGCTTGAAGAGGAAAGAAAAGAACTGAAACGGATATCTCCAGAGATGGACATGTCGACTCTCTTAAACAGTTTAACTGGCTTACAAGAGATTGTAAGCTTTATCTCTGCTTGGAGGGATTAAGAAATACAATTACAGCGTTGATGAAGACAAGTGGAGATAGGTTGGGAAGGTTTGGTTATTTTTAACCCCCTGTTCCTCGTAAGCTGGCATCAGGACTTATTTTCGGGCTGTTGGAGATGCAATGTTGAAGGCAAAATTAAAAGTTTATTATCAAAATGAAAAAATATATAGTATGGACAAGAAGGATAGCGCAGATGCTGATGTTATATAATTCTATAACCCTTGAATAAAAACAAACAAACAAACAAGCTACGGTTTTGTAAAAACATTGTTTTATGTCTTTAAATATTATTTTAATTTAATGTATAGTATTTCTTATTATTTTAAACAAGTTTTTAACACTATAAACCTCACCTGAATCTTTCAAACCACCACGGTTAATAGGAAACTTGAATGTCTTTTTTATTCGGTTAAATTAGTTTACATGTGATTCCGGGCCTTATACTTGGCGGAAAGGATAAAGAAACTCATGTGTTTTTGTAGAAATAGGTGAAGATAGATCGGGTGGGTTTGGGACCGACCAACAGGTGGTTTTCCGTGTTCTTCGTAAGCTGACATCAGGACCCATCATCTAGAGGATACCGGAAGCCTACAGATCACTGAAAAAAAAAACGTTTTAAAAAAAGGTACACTAATAAGATAGATAAACATTAAAATTAGGAAGTTAAAGAGATAGCGTTGATGCCGATAGCATCATATATACTTTTGGAACCGTTGAAAAGAAACAAAACCGTTGAGATAACTAACCAATACCAAAGAACATATAAATAATCTAGCAACTTTTGCAAAAAAAAATAATAATAATAATGGAGAAAAAACAAAGTTCTGTTAATTTTAATCAGGTTGCAAATGAAACCGGGAACATGATTCCAATTTTCTATTCCATTCCATTCCATTCCATTTCAATTGACTTGACTTGGTTTCGGAATGAACTTAATTAAGTTTATTCATTATAATATCCATTTTTTTCATGTATAAAGTATCTAATACAAGTTTAATAACAATTGATGGATGGTTGGTTTAGAATGTATTTAGGTACGAGGATTGTTAATGATATACCCTGAAATTTTTTTCTTAAAGAAACATTCCAAAGTTTATCAGTAATTGCATATTATTTTTTTTTATATTGATTTGATAACTGGTTTAGAAATGCTAAAGAATGAGGGGTTCAAAAAAAGAAGTAAACTAGGGAGATTTTTTTTTTTTTTTTTTTTTTGATTTTAAAATGAAAGCAATTCTTGTTTTAGCAAGTTATACAATTTGCTGTTGCAATTGATGTAATTATGGATAAATAGATAGATATTGAAAAACAATATTATTAAAAATAATTTTTTTTTCTTTTTTAATTAGATCAAGGAACGGAAAATTGAAAATTTCCTTTGGTAATATATCTTTATATTTTTCAATTTTTTTTTTAACAATTTGTGAGTTTACAAAAATTTGGTTTCTATATTATACTATTTATATTTTTATTCAACACAATTTGTTCAACCATTTATAAATATCAATTTTTTTAATAGTGCAATAAAAAAAATACATATTTACTAATTGATATATATATATATATCATTTATATAAATGAAACAGTGAATAAAATTGTGCGTGACATCAGGGTTTCCATTAAGATGAAACTGAAAAGCAGTATTTTTCCGAAATGGATTTGAATTTAAATAAGTATTAAAATGAAAAAAGAACAGTTTTAATACCGGCTCATTAAAAAGCCATGTTTTTTTTTTTCAAATGAAAAGTAACTACTTGAAAATATATATATCCAAAAAAAAAAATGAATTTCCTTTTTTGAAAAGGATTAAAAAATAAAAGAGTAAAGAAACACATTTTCGGATTTATTTGACATTTTATGTAATGTCCGAGCCATTAAAGAACCATTCTAACGTTGCATATTATACAGTACCGAGCGGATCGGGTGTTTGACAGTTTATCAATTTTTGTACGGCGGAGCATTGTGGCAAACGGTAACGAACTTAGTTCGTTTAATATTTCTTATTTTTTTCTTTTTCTTTATACACTATAAGGTAGCGGAGTTTCCGTTTTGGGAAAGGCCGAAAATTAACGTTTTCTGCTTACAGCATTTTTATTTAATTTTTATTTAATTTTTTTATTTTTCAATTTTTGAGCGGTGCCAAGTTGGGAGTGTCGGAACACCAATAATTGTATTGCACTTTTTGAAATAAAAAAAAAATGACAACCAGGAACTCGAGTAAAACTCGACATACTAAGAGCTGGTACGAGAACTTTGCAAAAAAGAAAAAATAGAAAAAAAAATAAGGGAAATTGAGGCGAGGCTGTGTATTTTGTATAACATCTTGTTGAAGTTGGCAGGTACCTTACATACATTGAGGATTATTCATATACAGGTAATATACATACCTATAATAAATACACACCTACCACTATTTTTCAACGGCCGCACATACTATAATTGAAAAAAACGGATCGATGACGCCCAAAGTCCAAGTATATATATCGTGGATAGATGATAATAAGCAAATGAGCACTGGGACGGATTTTTAAACAATACCGGTTCCGAATGGACTACGGGTTCCAACCGAACCAAGCGTTCTCAGATCAATTGTAAACTAGGTAAAAATACCCACGGAGCACTTAAAGGAGGGACGAACGGATAGAAATAGATATATTAGAAATAAAAGATGATATTAAGAAAGAAAACAAAAACAAGTCTAATAATGAGTCAATTCTTTTACAAGGTCTTTATTTTTTTTTATGATTTTAAGAAATAAAAATCCTATTTTTATAATTATCGCCAAGATAAAATTTCTGCACCTTTTTTTATTTTCAACAATAAATGTCCTCACCAGACGAGCTTCGCAGGATTTTTGGTGATGGAAGAAACTCGGAGTCTCCATTTTGAGCAACGTGGCAACTGAAGAAAGAAAAAAAGAAATGGAAGAAGAAAATGAAAATGAAAAAAGAAGCAAAAGGAAAAGAATAGGAATTGGAATAAGAAATAGGGACTGTTGTAATAGAAACAACAAATTCAGCACATGTGTAGGCTTTTGCTTTTTTTTTTTAGCTTTATTAACCTCGAGTTAAAATTACCGAGATGAAAGATAATCAAAGGAGGGGCTTTTCGATTTTAAATTTGAAAGCCCCGCCTGCATGGAGATTTTTTTTTATTTTTTATTTTATATTTTATATTTTTATATTTTTTTATTTTTCAAAGATTGAAGAGGTTTAGAGTTTTTTTTTCTCTTTAATTTTTATAAACATGATCATGAAAAAGAGCGCAAACAACCTTTGATGCACAAAAAACTGATTGTCTTTGCGCAGCATTTTGAAAAATGCAACAAATTTTTTTGAGGCAATGTTTTTTTTTAATCTCTCGGATTTCCGAGATTTTGAGAATCTGAAAAAAAAGAAGAAAAAAATATTAATGATTTTTTATTTTTATTTTTATTTTTATTTTTATTTTTCAAATTATTATTATTATTATTTCATTCTCCATACAAATATCAACAATTGATATGAAGACTACAGCAATTAGGCTTGGGAATAATGAAGGGTTTATTTATGAGCCGAGGAACTGTAGATTTTGGAGGGAGTTTATTACAACTGATATTGACCATTGAATTTCATCATTTTTCAATTCCATCCATTGTAGTTATGCATTAGACCTAAAGAGGTAACAGACAGAGACTTCCAGAACTGCATTTTCTGGGCGGGCTAAGTAACAAAAAAAAGTTTGTTAGAGGACGGTCGCCACAGTGGACTGTCGGAGCCTTTTGTTTATATTCAGAAAAAAAAAAGGAATAAATGAACAAAAAAAAAAAAAAAGAGGTCCAATGTTTGTACCAAAGAATAAACAAGACTGAATTAAATTGTAGTAGTTCATGTCTTTGATTTGAGTACTGTTTAAAAAAAAAAAAGAAATCCTTCAAACTAGTAAAATGGAGGGGTTTTTTGATGGGCTGGCTGTGTCTTAGTAGTAACACCTTTATGACTTTACTCGGTACTTGAAGTGACAATGCTCAGTAATTGATTATGAACACATCAGAAAAAGATTGGTCTTCAATAAGATACCTTATTTAATATAATATACCAACTACAATAAAAAAAAAAAACAAAGCAAATTGTGTTATGATGAATTATTTGTCATGATAATAATATTTCTAAAACTAAAATTTATTAAAATCCAATACAAGTTAGTTATGGATAGGTCGAGTTTATGATAACAGCATGCGCACTAAAACGCTTAAGCTTTCCATGCGGGCAATAAGCTCTCGGAAATAATAAGCAACAATTTTGAGGACAATTTTTTTCGGACCGCTTGTAATAATCCACTTTTTTTTGACAAAACAAAATAAAGGGACTAGGACCTTTTCAAGACATTACTACTACTACTACTACTATCTTCAAATGAAATAAATACTGGCTACTTCCCTCAATTATATTTGAATTTTTTTTTTATATTCTTTTTCTTTTAGAAGATTATAATAAAAACAAAAACCTATAACTCAATTCACTTCTTAAACCTCTTTTTTTTTTGTTACTTCTTAAACAAAACATCCTATAAATATCTTTCACATATATATTATCGTCATAAAAAAAACAAAAACAAACAAACAACAATAATCCCACTTACCTCCTTCATCTACTTTCTCACCCATCTATCTTAATCCCTCAACGATAATAATGGATTCAGAAAAGAAGGTGGCCCCTAAAAACAGCAAGGATCAAGATCCTTTGCAAGACGACACGGCCTCAAGCAACAATGAACCTTCTGGATATCATGAAGAACCCCAGAACTTCACCCAAGACTCTTACCACGACATTGAAAAACAAATGACCCATTCCGGTGCCGATCTCGCCCGTGTCATGAGCCAGCCTGATAATATCAAACGTCTCGAATCTCTTACCCGTGTTCTCTCAACTCGTCGTGTTGCTGTTCCAGGTCAAATCACCGGGCCTCTTGCTGTCGACCCTAACGATTTTGATCTCAACATTTTACTCAATTCAATTGCCCAGCGTCTTGACGACCAAGGTATCTCCAGAAAATACACCGGCTTTGCTCTCAACAACACCACAGTCTGGGGTGTCGATGTTTCAACAGCTTATGGTCCCTCTGTTTCTGAGCATTTGCGCTCTCTGGCCCTTTTCCCTAGATATATCAAAGACTATTTACACAAACCGATTCGACCTTTAATTCGCGATATCAATGGTCTTGTTCGTGAAGGTGAGCTGCTCCTGGTTCTGGGTAGACCCGGTTCCGGTTGCTCCACTCTTCTTAAAACCATTGCCGGTGAAATTGACACTTTTAAAAAGGTTGATGGAGAAATCTCTTATGCTGGTGCTCCTCAAGAAGAAATGCTTAGGCATTTCAAGAGTGAAGTCATTTACAACCCCGAATGTGAGTATTTTTTTTTGTTAAAGAATAAACAAATTGAGGGGAAATTTTGGCCCACAACTTGTAACTGTGGTACCCGCCCAAAAATTTCCATCACCATTTTTGTTTAGCCTCTTGGCTCGAGTTTTTTTCCTCCTCTTCCTTGTTTTGCCAAAACTTTAATTTAGAGCCGTTTACTAACTAACTATCTTCTAGTGGATGATCACTTTCCTCACCTGACTGTTGGCCAGACTCTACGCTTTGCTATTGCTTGCAGAACTCCTGAAACTCGTGTCGATGACCTATCTCGTGAACAATTTGAAGACTTTTTGCTCGAGGTGCTGGCTACTGTCTTCGGTCTTCGCCACGTCCTCAACACAAAGGTTGGTAACGATTACGTTCGTGGTGTCTCTGGTGGTGAACGTAAGCGTGTCTCCATCGCTGAAGCCCTCTCTGCTCGTGCTGCCATTTACTGTTGGGATAATGCCACTAGAGGTCTTGATGCCTCTACTGCCTTGGAATATACTCACGCTATTCGTGCTGCTACCAATTTTTTGAATAATGTTGGTGTCGTTGCCATTTACCAGGCTGGCCAAAACATTTACGATCTTTTCGATAAGGTCACTGTTCTCTATACTGGTCGCCAAATCTTCTTTGGTCCCGCTGAAAAGGCCAAGGCTTACTTTGAAAAAATGGGTTACTATTGTCCTGCTCGTCAAACTACTGCCGAGTTTTTGACCTCCGTAACTGATCCTAATGGTCGTTTGATACAGGAAGGTTATGAAAATAAAGTCCCGAAAACAGCTGATGAGTTTGAGGCATACTGGAAGGCCTCTCCAGAGTTTGCTCAGGTCCGTCATGAAGTTGAGAGCTACATTGCTGAATGCCAAAGTGATTCCACTGTTCAACGTTTCAAAGATGTCAAGAACGTCGAAAGAATGAAGCACACTCGTGTCAAATCACCCTACTTGATCACCTACACTGCCCAACTTAAGCTTGTAATGATTCGTGGTTTCCAGAGAGTTATTGGTGACAAAAACTACACCATCATCATGGTTGCTGGTTGTATTATTCTTGCCTTTATCGTTGGTTCCTTATTTTGGGACATTCCTGACTCTACATTTGGTGCCTTCTCGAGAAGTGGTGTTTTATTCTTTGGTCTCTTGCACATGGCTTTAACCTCCCTTGCCGAAATTAACAATGCATTCTCTAATCGTTCCATTCTCATGAAACAGAGAACTTACTCTTTTTACCATCCCTCTGCTGAAGCTCTACAAGCTGTTCTTTCTGGTTTCCCCGAACGTCTGCTTTCTTGTATTGCCTTTACCATTCCGCTTTACTTTCTTTCAAACTTGAATGTAACTGCTGGTCAGTTTTTCATCTTTTTGTTTATTTTGATTTTGGCAACTCTTACTCTTGGTGGTCTTTTCCAAATGATTTCTGCTCTTACCAAGGATGCCCAAACTGCAAACTCGGTCGCTGGTCTTTTCGTCGTTCTCATGGTTGTCTACACCGGCTATATGATCCCACTTACCCAAATGCACCCTTGGTTTAAATGGATCAGTTACCTTAATCCTCTTCGTTACGCTTTTGAAACCATGATGGCCAATGAGTTCCATCACCGTGAAATGCCTTGTCAAAACATGATTCCTAATGGTCCCACTTATCAGAATCTTCAACAAAATAATACTGTTTGTGCTTTTGCTTCTTCTGAAACTGGCCGTGAAACTGTCAATGGTGATAGATTCCTTCACATCAGTTATGGTTACTCTTGGGGTAAGGCCTGGAGAAACTTGGGTTTCTGCTTCATTTTCTACATTGGTTTTTACGCTATCAACTGTGTTGCTACTGAAATTCTTAAGCCTCTTCCTGGTGGTGGTGATATTCTTTTGTTCCGTCGTGGCCACATGCCTGCTGATTTCAGTCTAGAGGAGCCTGTCAGAGACATGGAGGCTCTTAAGCAAGAACTTGATGGTATTGGTAGTGGTGATGAAGAACCCGATCTATTTTCTTGGCAACACGTTGACTACACTGTGCCAATCAAGGGTGGTACTCGTCAGCTTTTGAATGATGTTCAAGGTTATGTCAAGCCTGGTACTATGACTGCGCTTATGGGTGAATCTGGTGCTGGTAAGACTACTCTTTTAAATGTTCTTTCTCAAAGAATCAATGTTGGTGTTATTACTGGTGATATGTTTGTCAATGGTAAACCTCTTGATGATACTTTCCAAAGACGTACTGGTTATGTTCAGCAGCAAGATTTGCACTTGGCTGAAACTACTGTCCGTGAAGGTCTTCAATTTGCTGCCCGTCTTCGTCAACCCGCTACTTATACTGATGCTGAAAAGATGGAATATGTTGAGAAGATTATCAAACTTCTTGGTATGGAATCTTATGCTGAAGCTCTTGTCGGTGGTGTTGGTCGTGGTCTTAACGTTGAACAACGTAAGAAGCTTTCCATTGGTGTTGAACTTGTTGCCCGTCCCTCTTTGTTGCTTTTCCTTGATGAACCTACCTCTGGTCTAGACTCTCAGTCGGCTTGGGCTATTGTTACCTTCATGAAGGAACTTGCTCGTGCTGGTCAATCCATTTTGTGTACAATCCATCAGCCTTCTGCTACTTTGTTTGAACAGTTTGACCGCTTGCTCATGCTTAAGAAGGGTGGTTTTATGGTGTACTTTGGCGATATCGGTGAGAACTCGTCTACCTTGACCAGCTACTTTGAGCGTAATGGTGCCCGTCCTTGCGAAAAGTCTGAAAATCCTGCTGAGTATATTCTTGAATGTATTGGTGCTGGTGCCACTGCTAGTGCGGAAAAGGACTGGGGTGAGGTTTGGAAAAATTCAAAGGAAAATTCTGATTTGACTCTGGAGATTAACGAAATTCATGAACGTCTTCGTGCACGCCCTGAAAAGACCCTCGATCACAGTTTGAAGACAAAGTTTGCTGCTTCGTACTGGACTCAGCTTCGTATTGTTTATGGTCGTACTTGGAGACAATTCTGGAGATCGCCAAAGTATATTTCTGCTAAGTTTATTCTCAGTACTGTCGGTGGTCTTTTGGTTGGTTTCTCTTTCTTCAACATTAACCACTCTATTTCTGGTATGCAAAATGGTATGTTTGGTATCTTTTTGATTTTGCTTATTTCCAATCCTATGTGTAACCAGATTGAGAGTTTTGCTCAGCCTTCGCGTGACTTGTATGAAGTACGTGAATCCAAGTCAAATACGTTCCACTGGTCTACCCTGATTTTGGCTCAATTCTTTGCAGAACTTCCTTATCACTTGGTCTTTTCTACAGTTCTTTACATTGCGTTTTATTTCCCCGTTGGCTATGCTCGCAATGCTCACATTGCTGGTTACTTTTGGTTCTGTTACTGTATTCTTTTCCATATTTATATTGTTTCATTTGGTCTCATGGTCTTTTACTTTTCTCACGATGCTGCATCTGCATCTGTGGTTACATCCATGTTGTTCTCTCTCACAGTTACTTTCTGTGGTGTCATGCAACCTAAGGCTCTTATGCCCGGCTTCTGGACCTTTTTGTGGAAGGTTTCACCTTACACTTACTTTGTCCAGGGTTTCACTGCCGATGTTTTAAGTGGCCGACCCGTTATTTGCGATGATTTTGAATACAATATTATGGAACCCCGTGCTGGAGAAACATGCGGTGAATTCCTTGCTGATTTCCTTTCAAGCAACCCTGGTTATGTTAATAACCCCAATGCTACTTCTCAATGCCAGTACTGCAAGTTTAATGTTGGTGACAACTTTTTGGCTACTGTCAATATGTCTCATGGCCAAAAGTGGCGTAACGTTGGTTTCTTCTGTGTTTACATTGTTTTCAACATTGTCTGCATGCTTGGATTGTACTACCTTCTTCGTGTCAAAAATGTGGAGATGCCTGACCTCAAGTCTCTTTTGACCTTTGGCTGGGTCAAGGATGTTGTTAAGAGTAAGGACGATCGCCCTGACACTGATATCTACCGTGAGAGACCGGAGGATGCTGCTATGGCTAGAGAAGTTGATGCTCATTTGAATATGAGACGCGCGTCTGTTGCCAATACTTCTGCTCCTCAGGTTTAAACCAAATAATTACTATTCATATAGCATAAGATTTTTTTTACCAAAGTTTCTGTATACTAATAATTTTGTTTAATAATAATAATAATAAAAGATTTTCACTGTAAACATTTATTTACAAATGAGGAATTCCATACAGAGTTCAATGATCAAGTTCTTTGTGAAATTAAGATCATCGCTTGTATTCTAAAGGCGATTGATCCCGATTGCCCACTTGCGGGGTTTTAGAGTTGTTAATGAAATGAAATTGAGTGGACCAAAAGAGATTAGGTTTTACTTGTTTCTGATAAAATTACAGTTAAAAGAATGGATCATGTCATTGGTTATAAATAAATACAAAATATGAGCCAACTCATTTATTTATTTTTTTTTTAGACAAGTTCAAATACACACCACAAATCCCTCATTTTATAGTTGGGTTTGATTTTGGAAAGTTTCGACAACGTTTACAATTTAAGATACAAAGAAAGTAAAAAAAAAAAAATCATGAAGGATTTTTAAAAAAGAAAAAAAAAATAATTGAAGCAATGACTTCATAATTAATAAAGGCCCAAAGTCTAGTGTATTATGAGAGTTAAAAGATATATCATCAGAATCCATATAAAAAAACACACCATCCGGGGGTTTGTCAACTTGTGTGCACATTGTAGTAAATAGTTTCTCCATTTTTTTTTTAATTAGTCTAACAAAGAAAAAAAATATATATGGCTCAAATACCAGACTAGAAAAGGCAGTTCAATCGAATGGGGAATAATGTAGGACTCGAGAACACATAAGTGACTCTCTATTAGAATATACTACAAAGAAAGAACAAAAATATTTTTTTAATGGCCCTACAATTCATTTTTTTTATAAAGACAGGTCACAAATAATCTAAAATGGTTCTATTTGGTTTCTATAGCTTGGATGAATATCATTCGATCGGTTGTATTTGTTTAGAAATTGCAATAGTACTATGCTTGGCTTTGTGCTGAGGAGTTTACTCCACACATTAACGGCCCTGGTGTTTTTTTTTTGTGAAATTCTAATTTTATCTGCATTAAAAAGTAACTCACATAAATGTCAACAAGATAACTTGAAAACAAGTGACTTTCTGAACTCAAACAATTCGGTAGTCTTGACCATATCATATCATATCATATCATATCATATCATAAGATATATATCTATATCTATATCTATGGTCTAGACCTGTAATGCTTTCAGGATTTATCGTATTTATGGATTTAATTTAATGTTTTAATTAGAAAAGCTCATATGATTTTTTTAAGAAAAGTTGAAAAGGATAAAAGAACGACTAATAATACATTTTAAAAAACACAAGGCTATAAAGGTTCAAACTATTATAAACACAGAATTTTTGAAGGATGATTTAAAAACAAAACGAAAGACTTAAAAACAAAACGAGGGACTAAAAAAAACAATAAGAATAAAAAAATAATACCATCACCATTAGTTTCTAACAGTAACAGGATCAACACCGCTAGCAATATTGCATTGGTGCATAAGGCGAGTTTCACCTTCGGAAAACTGGCCTGTGACGCTGTGCAAAACACCCTGGTTGTGGAACAAGGCCAAATCACCCTTTTTCCAAGAATGAACGTAAATGTTTTTGGGCGCAATGGCAGGGCGAATCAGTCTGTAAGCTTCTTTGCGTGCATCCTCCAGTTGCAAAACTGTGCCATCAGGACGGTGCATTTTGAAAACACAAGCACCATGGATCTGAAGATGATGTCTGCCTGTGACAGGATTGGTCCAGACCATGGGGAGTTTCTTGATTTTGGACTCTTCCCACTCAGGAAGCTCATCAAGAGAAACCTCCTTGCCCTCGGAAACCATGGTCACACCATCACTGGTGGCTCTAGCAGGAGAAATAAAAATGTAAGGATGGGGTGCGTATTCGACAGTAGTACCAAGGGCAAGTTCTTTATCTTCATCGGAAAGAGCATCAAAGGCATTTGCACCAGAAAAAAAGGCAGTGCCAGCTTGAGCAATTTCAATTTCCTCATCGGTATCTTCATATTTAATTTTCATGGTCTTGGTAGTTTCAGGAACATGGATACCAAGAAGGGTAGTGCATACTGGGGGTGAAAGACCGTAAAGTGCAGAGTCAATGTGCCATCTATAGAAGCGGGTGTAATTCTTTGCAACTTTGTCGTCAGTAAGAGGCTTTTGATGGAAGTCAAAGTGGGTAGGATGACGGAGAGTGATGGATTCCATTCCGTAATAATTTTTAAAAGTACCCTGGCCTAAGATCTGAACCTGGGGTTGATCTGGGACAGAAACACCATCACGGCGAAGAACAGACTTATAATGGCGGAACTCCTTGGAGTGTCCATAGCCACCTTCACAAGTGGGATCCATGCGCTTTGTAATTTGATACTGAGAGTTTGGAGAAAGATTTTCTTGACCAGGAATGACAAGTACACTGTAGGTCAAAAGACCTTCTTTGAGTTTTTGGAAATCTTCATTGTTAAGATCGGCAGGATCGGTGATGCCAGAGGGAAGAGTGACAACAGCACCAAGAGGAGCATCAGCGATAGGTGTAAATTCAAGTTCTTGTTGGTGGGGCATTGTGGATGATTTCAGAATGATAACAAAAGATTTAATTGTTTTCTTTTTGATATTTTTATGAATTGGAATTGTTTGTTTTGTGATAAGAAAGAAAGAAAGAAAAAAAAAACAATTAATTTATGGAATTAATTCCATATTTATATTTTTTTTCAATTATAGAGTCTTTCATCTTCAATAATCTAGTGACGTCCATTGTTAATGTGATTGTTATTGTTTTTGCAACTGTCAATTGCTGGTCGGGCCTTGCCGATGAGTTGAGAATTGTTGGAGGTTTGCAATTGCAATGTTTTTTGCTGGCTTTTTTTTTTATTTTTTTTTTTTTGGAGGCTGAAGAGAGTTTATTATCGTTTAACTAGTGCGGCTGGCTGTGTTAACCGGAAATTCCAACGGCAATTCCAACGGCATATCCGTTATTATTACTATTTTTTTTTTTTTTTTTTTTTTTTTTGCAAGCAAAAAGTCCTACCGCGGGAAATCTTTGACACTCTAGACTTAAGGCTTAGCCTAAATTCATCTAGAAATAAATCAGAAATCTCGGGAGGTTTCTTTCTTGCTTTCTAAGTTAATAGTTAAGCACTGAAATTGATCAAATGACAAGTATTATTAAGTAATGTGATGATAATAAATGAATTAAGGTAATATATTAAAAGTTAAATTTAATAGCAAGCAAGTTCTGCTTTAGAATTAACTTTCAAAGTTTGTTAAAACGTTGTTAAATTATTTATTTCTAAATACTTTGCAAATGCCCTAACCCTGGTGCGTATAACCTTGATAAGATATTATTTTCTTGTATTAATTTTAATTTGTTTAATTTGAAATCTAAATGCATAGAGTTTAAAATACAAAATTTAAAATATTTCTCCGGCTTTACACCATCATCTTGTAACTTAAAAAAAACCCCAGCAAAAACCCCCAATGGAAAGCATGAAAAAAAAAAACTTTGTTGTGTGCAGTGGTTTTTATTCTGACAAAAATAAAACTGAAAATGAAATAATTTTTAAATAAGATCAACCGATAGTAATTAAAAAAAAAAAAAAAAAAAAAAGGAAATGAAAGAAAAAGGTGAAGTCATTTTGATTAGTTAGCAAGAAAACAGAGACTTAAATTGGTTCTTAAAGTTTTGATCCAATCAACAAGATTATACAGTAATGATTTAGTGCTGATGAACTGCAATCTTATCACAATAAAAACTTTTATCATTTTATTTTTTTTTTTAGATTTAATTAATTCCAAAGATAACCAAGGGTTGTCTTTAAGGGTTTATTGTAATCAAGTTTTTAATTGCAACAGACAATTTTTTTTTTTGTTATAAATGTTTTTTCTTTTCTTTTCTTTTCTAGTTTGTTTAATATCAAGAAAATTGCTTTTTAATAAATCTCAAATAAAAGCTACTTTCACATAATCAATGAATACCAATGAATCTAAATAAAATCAAAAAGGATACACCCTTTTTTTTAAAAAAAAAAATTGAATATTAATACACTATACGTCTTATTTTGACTTTTAAGAAATCTTAGTAGAATAATTTCAAGGAATTAATGACTTGGCGTCCTTTGTTATGCATTAAATATGAACGGAACGGAGACAATGACGGCTGATTTTTTTTTTTTTTTCGTGAAATGACAACGGGTTATCACCGGCGCTTTATTTCTACATGATCTTACTGATTAAATCAAAATCAAAAACAAAAAAGAAACAGAATTGAATATTTCTTTTGAAAAAATAATAATAAGAAGAATCAATAATTTAATTTCATATTTCTCTAGTTTATTATTTAATGCTACCTCCTAGTCTTTAAAAAAATAAAAGTAAGTTCAATTTCCCCAGGTTTTTCTTCTTTTTTTTTTTTTTTTGCACTGAAATTGACTTGTGTGATATGAGTTCAAATTTGTGTAGTCCATATAATAGTTATGCTTACGTAAATTATTTATTTATTTAATATTTTGTATAATGTGTATCTTGTTCGGCTCAAGAAATCTCGCAACAAAAGTTTTCAATTTTTCGGGATTTTTGTTTTAATAGAAATTTTACATATATATATACATAGATCCTTCTTTCTCCAACCTTTTTTTTTTCTTTTTTTCTTTTATTTTATTTAAACATTTGTCTTTGGTATATGCAGTTTCCAGATAGGTATTTTTTTTTTAAAAAAAAAGCTACACACTAAAAGACCGAGATATAATCATTTCAATTTTTTTTTTTTTTGAAAAGAACCTTGGTAAGTTTATAATGATGCCATAGGCGACTGAAAACACACAAGGTATATATATATATATATATATATATATATATATACATTACTCTTTTCCACTTTTCATCTTTTTTTCATCCCCTTTAGCATATCCATTAGATACATTTAACTTGGACTGTTTGAAGAAGATTGTTTGAAAATATATCAATGAAATTTACTCTTTATTTAAAAAAAAAAAGAATTTAGGACTTTAGATTTATTGAAGTTTTATTCGTTAATAGTTTTTAACATTTAAGATAATACAAAATTATACCCCCCAAAAAAAATAACAGAACTTATGATTATATTCTCAAAAATACCATAAAAAGGAAATAAAAGAAACTTAATTAGCTTCAAATTGCTTTTGCCAGGAAATGACATCGATACCTCCAGGAAGATGCTGTTCGGCCTCATTTGGTGGAAAGCCATCCATGTGACCATTAGGCGCAATAAGGATCTTAATGTGCTTATCCTTGTGGTGGAGCAACTGATGGAACCCCTTATCGATTGCCTCTTCAAGATGGATTTTCGAGGTAATCATGGTACGAGCTTTATCCATGGACATTTTTCCAGTTGCAAATGCTTCGAGAACTTGATCCATGTCAAGGGCAGTGAGACCCATGGAGCCCATGTAACGTTTTTCACGGTTGGTTACAGCCATAGGCTTAAAAGTGGCAGTTTTATCTTGGGGCCAAACAGCAAGATTAACAACAGTTCCGCCCATTTTAAGTACACCAAAACCAAGGTCGACTGTAGCTTGAACGCCACCGCAATCGAAAACATAGTCAACACCCTCATAGTCAGGAGGTGTCAGCTCCCGGATACGTGCAACATTGTCTTCGATGGAGGCAAACGACGTGGGATCAAGAGCATGCTGAGCACCAAGGGCAATGGCCTGGTCACGGCGGATACTTGCAGGTTCGGAGACTATGATTTGAGAAGCCCCATGACCCTGAAGAGCAAGAATAGCAGCAATTCCAATGGGGCCTGCGCCAATGACCAGGGCCGTGTCACCTTCCTTGAAACCAGAGATACGGACGGCGTGCCAGGAGATACTCATGGGCTGAACCATGGCACCAATATCTAAGGGGACGTTTTCAGGCAGCACGTGGACCGAGTGTTCAGCAATGACCGAGTACTGTGATAGGCCGCCATTGTCTGCAGACAACCCACGCAGACACAGGCGTGCACAGGCATTGGGGGAACCTTGTTTGCAGGCATAGCAAGGTGGAGAGATACCCTGTTCGCGACAAGCATACGAGACGTCGACACAGACTCTGTCACCAGGTTTTGTGCGGGTTACATTGTCGCCGACTTGGACGACAGTTCCTGAGAACTCATGGCCCATGCAAAGTGGGAGCTCGATTCCAGAGTGGGAGTGTTTTTCTCCTGGTTGGGGGCCAAAGATAGGACCAGCCATGTACTCGTGTAGATCGGTTCCGCAGATTCCACAGAAGCCGACCTGGATAAGGACATCGTTAGGGGTTTTGAGAGAAGGTGGGGTGTTTGAGTCAGTGATACGGAGATCCTGTTGACCAAAGAGTTGAACTTGTTTCATTGGGTAAGTTAAAGTATGTATATGTGTGTTAGTGTGTGGGGGAGCGGGTATGTGAATAAGATGGAGGAGTAAAAATGGTGTGTATGGATAATAAAACTAAGATATTTGGAAATAAGTTTATGATTGTATAGTGATTAAATCAAGATAATATTCACTGAAAAGAGTAAAGTCTTAAATGAAATGAAAAAAAAAAAGAACTAGAGTGAAAAATGGAAAATAAATAAAAACAGATGAAAAAAATAGAGAATTATAATTAATCTAATTTGGTCAAGTAGGAAATGGGAAGAAAAGGAAAGAAGTTTTTTTTTTTTTTTTTTTTTGTAGAGATTGGCACGTATTAAGACTTTTTTTTTATTATATTTTATTCTAATTCCGCGGTTCCGCTATTAATCAGAATGAAGATTTCCAAAACAGACAGACCACAATAACAACAATAACAACAAGAATTGTTAACAAAGAAGGTTTTTTTTTTTTTTTTTTAAAGACCAATTGGTACTAAAATATGTCTGGCCAAATATGTCTTTAATTGGCAATATGCTAAGAAATAAGTGTGGCGATGGTAGTATATAGAAATATATAATAATAGTATATGCACATGGCCAAACAATGAAAGAAAGCAGTCCAAATTTTTTTTGTTGTTTTTTTTTTTCTACTTTGAAAAGTACGCTTGCGGAATGACGATGATGATGATGATATATATATATATATAGTTGCTATTTCAATTCTTAAGATAAATTTTGAAATTGTTTGTGAAATAATAATAATTATAAAGATTCATCAATTCTTCTTTCTTTTTTTATTCCGTCCAAAACTGCCAAAATAAATAATGGGCTTTTTTTTTTATTTTTGTTTTTGATGATTTTGATGATTTTTTCCTTATCTGCGCGGCTTATTGTTAGTATTTTTTATTTTTTATTTTTTATTTTTTTAATTTTCAAGTGGGATGTTTTTTTTGAGATTAATTTGTAGTTTAAATTATTCATAATTATTCATCATATGTCACATATGATTAATCATTATATAAACAGTCTCGTGACCAGATAACAAACTAGGAACTCTCAAATAACAATAACAACAACAACTCAATAAAACAAAATAAAATAAAATAAAAAATTTGCCATATAAACAACAATCCGTTGAATATTCATTCATTAAACATTTATATAATATATATATAATATATATATATATATATATATATATCCTACTAAAATGCCTACTATATATAGATTTAAAACATCACATAAACAAGAAATCGTAATAAATAAAATAAAATAAAATAAAAAATAAAACATTTCTCATATAACTCAAGTCTAAAGCTTCACTTCCCCCTATCATTTCTTTTCGCCTCCCCTTCGCCCCACATCCTTCAAATTTACTCGTACTCTTCGCTGTAAGCCAACTCACGCACAAGATCATGCCAATTGCCGCCGCACGAAGTTACAGTAGACTCGCCACGATCAACAAAGTCCTGGCGTGCATAAAAGGGAATAAGAGTGTCGTGTGCCAACAATGCAATTTGATCTGCAATGCGCAGCGTCGACAGCCGCTGAATGTAGTCCTTGAGAAGTATGGTACCCAGACTTTGGCCCTGGTATGAGGGCTTCACAACAAGACCATGCACAGCAATAGTGCGGCCAGGCTCGTAGTGACCAGGAACATAAGGTAACTTATCTGTATCGGCAGTAGAAACATCAAAAGATTCATCAGGGACAAGCATGCTGGCCTCTGTAACAACGGTAGATGCAGTCTTAGTGCCATGGATATGGGCAATGAGTGTCTCCTTTGCTGGAGTGCTAGAAACTTCATTAGCAGACTTCTTAAGAGATTGCAAGTCCTTGGACAGGTGCTCCTCAGTCGACTGTCCAGAAGCAGCAGCAGCGGCAGCAGTTGCATTAATAGGGTCATATTGGTGATTAAGACCAAGACCTTGCAAAACATTAGCATGAAGGCCTACAAACGTAGGGTTTCTGTATTCTTCAGTAGGTAAGATGAACTCTCGCACAAAAATACCTGCACAGAGTTCCGGACATGTTTTCAGGCGGTAAGCCAGCTAGTTAAAAAAAAAAAAAAAAAAAAAGTTAGAAGACAAGATTCAAAAGAATTCATTAAAATATTTACCTTTTCACGAGAGGCACGCTCCTCAGGAGGAAAGCCTTCGGTTTCAAGAGCCTCAACTTGGTCGAGGTCATTGATAGTCAGGGGTCGAATATAAGCGTGTAAGGGCAGGTCTTTGGTCATTGTGGCGGAGGCAGCGGCGTAGCGAATATGCGGCAGGCTGTTTCTATTGTTTTTGGTGTAATTTATAAACTTACGCAGCGTGCTCGAAATTTGTGGCGGCGGTGGCTGTTTGTTTTGAGGAGAAGGTTGGTGGGATTGTGATGGTGATAATATTGATGATGAAGAAAGTGATGTCGATGCTAAGTTTGTTTGGGAAGAAGAGGAGGAGGAAGAGGAATTGGTGGTGGTAGTGGGAAAACTTTCTGGGGAGGCAGAAGCGGAAGAAGGGTTTTTCTGCCTTGCAGTTACACCAGAACGGTGGGCGCTGGTCGTTCGCGCGGCTCGAGCACTTCTTGCGGTTGCTAATAATGCTGGACCATTATCATCATCTTCTTCTTCTTCTTCTTCGTATTCTTCTATTTTTTCATTATCATCATCATCATCATTACCACCTGTTCTAGTTGTTACTTTTGTTGTTTTAGTTGTTGATGTTGCCATAATAGTTGAAGAAGTTGTGGTCGTAATGGTGGTCGTGTTCACAGTACCCGGAAGTGTTTTGCGTTCCGACCCCACCGATGTCCTTGTTGGTCTCGGCTGTTGGAACGGAAACCTTAGTCCAGGTCCCTGCAAAATTTTGGCTAAAATTGCATTTGCCTTGGGATCTGGCCCCTCCACAAGAGCATCTCGGACTTGCGGGTAATTAGGGAACACGGCCAGTAACTGCTCATTCAGAGCAGCATGCTTTTCTAGAAGTTGTCGTTCTACTGAGTTTTCCCAGGCCCCGGTACTGGAGGTTACTTTCCCCTTCCCGGAAACTAGCGCACCAGAAGATCGTGCAGCTGCACGAGCATCCTTGTTTTTTTCAATTTCACCCAGTAGTTCGTCTGCTCGACACAGCAGCCGAAAGTCCAGGTTATGCGTATCAATGGCCAGTTCTGGCTTCAGTTGTAATAGCAGGTTGAGCGGCAGACGGACCGCTAGAAGAATAACTATGTATGCAATTCGAACCAAAAGAAGCGCGCCAATAAAATCTGAAATAAAAATAAGAGCTGCACGTAGTAATCGACCTGACTGAGCAAATTCGCGAAGCGCAGATAAAGATACAACTGATGGTGCTCCAACTGGATGTAAAATAAATAGCAGATAATACACTCCACCAAGATATATAAGAGTAGCAACAAGAGGCTCAGCAAGCTTACGCGTGTTGGAGCGTGCGTAGAAGGGGGTTGCAGCAATGTGTGCAGTCTTTGGCAATATGTCTTCCTCAAGAATGCGCACGCGGAGCATGAGCAGCTTTCTAGTGGCAGAGTCCATTTGGGAGGTTGTATAAGGGAATGAAAGAAGAATATATATTTATATACACTTAGAAGTAGTTCTTTTTTAGAAATTTAAAGTATTAAAGTCGTGAGATTTCTTTGTGTCGATGAACTAGTTCAGCATGGATTCGCCTGTTTGGAGGTTGTTGATGGTGGTAGCTATTTGAGTGGAATCTTTCGGTGCTGTTATGTGTGTCTGTATATTTTTTTTTTTTTTTTTTTTTGGGCGTGTTGATTTATAACCCACCGCCGCAGCTAGCCTTTTCATTATTCTTGGTGTTTCCTATTGTAGACGTCACGTGAATTGGTTATCACGTGGTGTAATCGCCCATTGTTTTTGGGCTGCTTCTATTTTTTTTTTCTAAGGCCACCACGCAACACACATCACAAAAAGCCGTGTATGTGTGAAAGATCCTCAACCAGCAACAAATTTGAATATTTGAGGGTGCAAAAGAGATGAACCAAATCAACATCACTAGTCAAAAGAAAACAAAAAAAATTTTACTAAATTTCATAAAAAACAATGGCATTAATTTCAGATGAAATACTTCAATCTCTTCTTACATATGAAGAGTATTTTGTTTACAAACTTTGGATGAATGGCTCATACAGTGCTATCCCCATTCCAGACCCAAAAACTTTCAACTGGAAATTTCATCAATACAAAATCCCCAAACTTTTAAATAAAAATAACATGGATTCTTTAGCAAATGCAGTCAAGATAATTTTCCCTGAAGCTGAACCTGAAATCATGACAATAAGTATTCTAAATTTTGGCTCCCAAGATTTGGTGATTCCATTAGATGTGATACAACTGGCTATATCACCCAAACCAACCTGGGAAAAGTCAGTCTGCTGGTTGTTCAAACATCAACCCAAATCTATACCACTTATATATGCCGTGGCTAAAGTCAAACTAGCTGAAGAATCTATGGGAAATGATCCAGCACTTCTCCAGCAACTTGATACTGCCAGATCGATCCCTCATTGAAACGGTCCACCGTTGACGCCACATATATATTAGTATTGCGAATATTTCAGCATGGCATGTGAAGTCGCGACATGTAGTAAAAGAATTTTTGGAAATCAAAACCCATAATACTTCATACTCTCTCAAAATATAATCTGATCGAGAAGAAAGGAATAAACTTTGACTTTTTTTTTATTATTATTCAGAATGCCTTAGTTTTTTCATATATATATTTTTTTTTGTCATCTCTATAATGCCTTCATCAAATGCTCTTAAACCGGCTTTAGCTTCAGCTCTTGGTCACTCACGTTCTCCAAGCACTTCCTCGATAACTTCAGTTGCCTCTGATGCGGTCCTTATCCCTACACCTCAGCCAGCACAAACAACATCGCCCTTAGGACCATCTGTCAACCAAGTAGATATCTATTCAGGACTTCCACCGTTACTTGTCCCTAAACCTCAGCAGGAAACCGTTCAACAGCGTGAGCACGTTAATGGAGAATCAGATGACGATGCTGGTGGTGCAAATTCAGGAACAAACCCTCCTGAAACTGTCTTTGGCTCTATGAGCAATAACCATAAACTGGATATACGGTATGTATTTACTCATAAACTATTACTGATCACAAACTAACTTTGCTTTTTAGAGGTAAATATTATCTTTATTTATAATCTTTCCCTATACTAACTCTTTCTAGCTAACCAACGAACATTCGAAGGTGCTTATGTTCGTACAGCTCTTGGCCAACTTTCTTTTGCTCTGGTAATTCTCAAGATTTTTTCTCGTGAGTTCCTTCCCATTGGTACAGTCTTCACTGTTCAAGGTATTCTTATCTTGGTCATTGCCTTTTACCGTCGTCATAAAACAATCAAGGACATTTTTACCGTTGCTGGAGGTTACCGCGCAGTCTCTCAAGATCATAACATTGTCTTCCAAACAAGTGGGCCAACTGTACTTCTTCTCTCATCAATAAGCATCTTAACCTACATTGCTCTTTTTATCCTTATCCAAAAACTTAGTCCAAACTATGGTGATAGTTAATTTTAGTTTTATTTTAATTTTTTTGTCATTTTTTTGTCATTTTTTCATTGTTTTCTCTTATAATCTACTTGTAGAAATCAAACTTATCCACATCGCTGCCCAACTTCACCTGGCTGCTATAAGCTTCCTCCAAATCACTTTGCAAAATTACATATCTGTTCTTGCGCACCGCCCGCAGACCAGCCTCTTGCATAATGGCTGCAATAATGGCACCGGAAAGTGGGTCGTTGCGAATAATAAGCGAGTCGAGATCCACCTCAGGAGCAAGCGACATTTTCGATGCAATTGTTGTAAAAATCAAGCGTCGCTCACGGCGGTCTCTTAATGATGGAAACTCAATCTTACGGTCCAATCGGCCCGGTCGCAGCAGTGCAGGATCCAGCGTGTCGGCACGGTTAGTGGCCATAATCACTTTGACATTGGAGGTCTGGTCAAAACCATCCATTTGGTTCAGAAGCTCAAGCAAAATACGCTGCACTTCACGATCAGCACCTGTCTGTGCGTCAAATCGCTTTGTCGCAATCGAGTCAATTTCATCAATAAAAATGATTGATGGCGCATTTTCCCTAGCAAGTCTAAACACGTCACGCACCATGCGTGGACCTTCACCAAGGTACTTTTGCACAAATTCAGAACCAACGACGCGAATAAAAGATGCTGTAGAGCTGTTTGCTACCGCCTTGACAAGCATGGTCTTGCCGGTACCAGGAGGACCATACAAAAGAACACCACGAGGAGGATCAATGCCAATCTGCTTGTAAAGCTCAAACTGAGTAAGAGGAAGTTCAACTGCTTCGCGAATCTCTTGCTTTTGCATGTCAAGACCACCAACATCGGCATAGGTAACATTGGGCTTCTCATCTGCGCCCAGCATGGCAATCGAAGAATCGGCCTCAGGTGGAAGAATATCGACAAGTGCATTGGAGTGACGATGCAAAGCAACCGATGATGACGGCTTCAGCAGCTCGCGGTCAAGTGTCGAAAGAATACGCACCGCATAATTGGAGCCTGTTGTTGAAGTGACAATACCCGTGTGCTGGTCAATCGGTTCCAAAAACTGCCCAATGACAAGAGGAACCGACTGAATTCGCTTGACTTCTTCTTGCGCCCGCACAAGCTCTCGCTTCAGGTGCCGCTGCTCGTCCTTGATGTAATCCTCCTGCAGTGTCAAAAGTTCATTCTCCCGCTCCAGTGTCTTGAGTCGGCGGTACTTGTCCTTAGGATCGAGTGCATCCACAATAATTGTAGTTCCGGGAGCAGCCGTCTCGCTCTTGTCCTTAATCTGTTGCTTCTTCTTAATACTAGGTGCTATTCCCAAAGCCTCCATTGTTAATTCTGTTGATTTGGTTTGTAAAAAAAAAATAATGGTTGTGGGTTGTGTTTGTTATGTATTTAGAGAAGTGAATTTAAAAAAAAAGGTGGCAAAAAATCAAGGTGGAACAAAAAAAAAAGTTGGGAGGCCAAAGAATTTGTGAACCGGGTTCATTTTTTGGTCACGTGAGGTCTTATCTTAAATTGTTTAACCAAAATCAAGTAATCTTGCGACACATTTCTGCTTGTCTTTAAACACGACAGTGTATTTCTTAATCCCCTCCACTAGAGATAAAATTCACAGTCACAAGCAGAATAAATAAACTGAACTAAAGAGTTAAATTTTTTTAGTATTCATGGTAGCTTGGAAGTTTAAGAGAGGTGTGTAGCCTTCTACACTCCTTCCAAGAAAATGAGGATATCTGAAAGTTAAACTCAAGTATTTTCTGTGTTTAATGAGAAAAAATTATTCAGGCTAAATTTTTAACTTAAAATAATAATAAAAAATCTTTTATTTGTTATTTTTTGTATTTATTTAAAAAAATAATTCCAATTTTTAACAATTAGTACAATTTAAACAATAAGTTCATTTCTTTATATAGCTCTCGGAAGGTTAAATCTCTTAATTATCGAAGTGTTACGATGGCCGAGTGGTTAAGGCGATGCCCTGCTATACGCTAGCAGTTTAGGCATTGGGTTTTACCTGCGCAGGTTCGAATCCTGTTCGTGACGTGAGATCTTCATACAATTAATTTTTTTTTAAAAAATGATGATTTGTTAAAATATTTAGTTATTTTATATTAATTTTTTCTATTAAAAATTTTATCTCTTCGCTAGATTACTTCTTCTTAAATATTGTTGTTTTTTTTTATGCAAATTGTAAAAATATAGAAAAAAAAACAAGAATACTGCACTTAGTTAAAATGATCTTCCCCTCAATATTTCATTTGGGTTCAATAGTTTGGCAACAAGGATCTCCAAGTTAAAATAAATTCAAATTCAAACTCAAAAACAAGTGTAAATTTAAGTGTACATTGTGGAAATAACGACAGGCAGAAAATAGAGCAAAAATGTAAATTTTATAAATCTTTCCATAACATTATGATAAACTTATTTAGATTGAAACAAGCCTAAAATGATATTGTATAGTTGAAAATATTTTACAATTGGGTTACCAAAATCAAAACTATATCTATAACCTGTCTTAGTAATTTATTTTGCATTGTGGTGGCAAAATTAATAACGGGTATAGTAACCATATCAATCTGAAAAAATTTTAAAATAAAATCGAAGATTTCGCCTTAAAAAATCAATTTTTTAGATAAAAGTATGAATAAATATCTTTATATATATTTTCATTGTTATTTTTATATATATGCTTTACTTACAACTATATTGCATAGAAGTAATTAGTTAGAATTCTAGTGTATGAATGTCAAATTTTAAAAATATTTGTCTGCTAAGGTATATTATTTCAAGAATGTTCACGGTTAACGTCTTTAAGTGCAAAAGTTAAAAGAATTAAAGCATCATAGGTAACTTTAAGAGTACCGGCAAGAATAAAACAAACCCATTGTTTGTGCAAACTTGCAAGATAACCTGCAATTGTTGGACCAAAAACCTGTGAGCATGTTTTGACGACATTGACCCACCCCATGACTGCTGTTCTTTCAGAGGAGCGCACAACCATGGACAAAAAGGCCTGTCTAGGAGCCACATCCATCTGGGAAGTGCAAGAACGTACAATAAGAATAATAAAAGTAACAAGAAAAGTGGAAGGCATAGGGATAAAAATGATTAGGAAAGAGGATGGGAAGTGTGTCAAAGCCATAGTAAGAACAGGGCCAAGACGCTTAGCAATAGAAGAACTGATAAGCATAGTAAATGCTCCAATGAACCCGGTGATGAAAAATGCGGTACCCAGAATCTCAGGGTTAATATGGAACTTAGAGGTAATGTAATAAGAAATCCATGAGAGTTGTACAAGCGATGAACCAAAAGAATCCATAGCAAAAAGACAAGAGAGTTGGATGACAATCTTAACAGACTCCGAGGAAAGTTCAGGAAGAAGTGAAAACTTCTTTTTGGTAGTTTGAGATGTGGTATCAGTAGGTGATTCTAAAAGAGAGGTATTTTCAGTAGGCTCGATATTACTTTTTGAAGAAAGGTAGTCATCAGACTCAACTCTATGAGTCAGAAACAATGAAAAAAGAAACTTGAGAGCGCCTAGCAAAGAAAAAATGACAAAAACAACTTTATAAGCGGCAAGTTCAGAGAGTTGGAGGTGGTTAGACATCAAATAATGAACAATCCAACCCCCTGAGATGTTTCCAGCAGCTGCAGCTAGTGCCGAAGCAAGCGAGTACCAAGCATAAATATCGTTGCGGTGGTCTGGAGGAACAAGATGAGCAAGAGTGGATTCCTCCACAGCCTTGAAAGGACCAATATCTGCACCAGATGGCGAAATGACACCGAAAACAGCAGCAGCCAGAAGAATATAAAAGTTGTTTGAAAGCGCAAATACGATACCGGAAGCGACCATGAGAAGCGCACCCACACAAAGAACGAGTCTGCGGCCTATGCGGTCTGCATTCATTGTAAGGAAGTAAGAGATTATGACATCGCCAATAAGAGTACAACTCATGAAGAAACCGGTACGATCATCGGGATATCCGTGAACGTTAAAGAACTGTACTAGGAAAATTGAGGACATGCCAAATGCGAGCATGCGAGCAATCTTGATAAAAATAAGAAGCAGGACATCGCGAGAGGATGATGCGAGTAAGTCAAGGCCAATTTCTTGGCTGAAACTTGTGAGAATCCGAGACATTTTATTAAATATAGTTGAAAGAGAATGGCAACGTTGATAAGAATAAAAGTCCTCCCATTGGCTTTGAATTTACTATTTTCTAAAGTAACTCTGGGAAATTAGACTGTAAAATAGAGTTTCCTGCAACCGACTCAAAGCATGTTTGAAATGAAATGAAGAAGGGAAGTATTTGATTAATAGGGTGTGAATAATTCTCAGATGAAAAAGTAAGAAAAGAGAGAAGGATTTCAACAAGGAAATGAGTTGAGATTTATTATATAATTATAAAACTGTAGCCGATATATTTAGTCATTGATTTTTCTTTTTTTTTTTTTCAGAAATAATATATTTTTGGTGGTAGTGTGAGCACTGAGCAGGTTACTGTTTTAGAAAAAACGTGCCTCATGTACTTAAGCAACCACAAAGATAAGCTTTGGAAAATTATAGATCTGACAGTTTGGTAAGTACTGGTATGTTTATAGTATATACCCCCATAATAAAAAATTTCAATTCAATAAATTATCGTCATTATTGTCAGTTTTTTCAACATCAAGTTACTGAGTGGTTTTTTTTCATTAATTTTTTTTTCAAATTTATTAATGTCCGAAGTCCGAATGACGGTCGATATTTGGTCTGGACAAAAAGTCTTCGAGAAGGCCAGACCGCTGACAAATTTCCCAAAATGGAAACTAATATTTTGTAATGAGGCTGTTTGTTTGTTACATCACTGAAAATATACTTGTAATTTAATATCTTAATTGCAACAATAATATTGCGGTTTTTTTTTTTTTTTTTTTCTTGTGCACTGCCCGCCCGCCGTTTGTCGCCCCTCCGGCGGCTGAGCCACCGCAAAAAAGTTTTTTAAAAATTTAAAATTTAAAGTCGTTTTTTTTTTTGTGTGTTTTTATTTATCACCACCACCACCACCACCACCACCTCCACTTCTACCATCAGCAACTAAAAAATCACCACCCATTATCACCACCTTTTTCACTATTTTTTTTATAATCCCCCCCAGCTTCACACAGCTACTTTAAAATATCATGTCCAAGTCTCTTGTGAGATCTATTAAAAATGTTACCAACGGGTACACCAGTACTCAGGTTAAGGTTAGAAATGGTATGTTTACTTTTCTTTTCGTTATGTTTTTACACATTCAGGGTCTTGCTAACGCGTCGTGTCATTTAATATATAGCCACTAGTAATGAACCGGTTGGCCCAACTTCCCAAGAACTCCACGAAATAGCCCAGCTCACTTATCAAAAGTATGTAAACCTTCATTTGTTTTATATAAATCATAAAGAGAAGGAAATTTTTGTCATTTTGCGCGTTTTTTTTTTGCTTAATCTAACCTCCCTTTTTTTCTCCTTTATTATAGCCATGAAGTCTTGGAAGTTATGGGTATGCTCACCCAGCGTCTTAATGATAAGGGAAAAAACTGGAGACATGTAATGAAATCTCTTACTCTTTTGGAGTTTCTTCTTCTTAATGGCTCTGAGGCAGTTGTTCTGTGGGCTAAGGAAAACATATTTCTTATTAAGACCCTATGCGAGTTCCAGTATCATGATGACTCTGATATTGACCAAGGCCAAAATGTCCGTGCCCGTGCAAAAGCCCTCACCGCACTTCTTCAAGATGATGACCGGCTTAGACATGAGCGCCGCGAGCGTCGTGGCCGGAATGGCCGCCGCCGTCATGGCGACTATGATCGTGAATTTGATGATGATCATACCAGAGGTTCCAGGAATAGCAGTCGCCGCAATGAGACTCGACGACCGTCAAGAATCCCTGCTGAGGATGAAGAAATGCGTCGTGCACTAGAAGAAAGCCGAATCACTGCCGAAGAAGAGGAAGAAGCTCGTCGTCAGCGCCTGAATGCAGGCGACGACGATGATCTTCGCCAAGCCATTATGCTCAGTCGCGAAGAAGACGAACAACGACGATTGGACCAAGAAAAGGCTTTTCAAATCAACAAACAAAATGAAAATCTCATTGACCTCAACGCCCCTGCTGTCCAGCAGCCTCAGGTTGCCATTCAGTATCAGTTCACTACCCAGCCCGCATATGTTACTGGCCAATACGACCAATTCGGAAATCCTCTCAATGGTGTTCTTTATCAACAACCCGTCACTACTGGTTATATTCAAAACATGTATTCTGTCGATGGTCAGTACACTGGTTATCCAGCTCAACAACAACAAGCCTTATACCAACAGCCTACTGGCGTTTTTACTACACAACAATACCCACAACAGCAAGTCCAGCCAGAACAGCAACCACTGGCGCCCATGAAGACTGGTTCCAACAACCCATTTGCAAAGCTCTCCAACCAACCCGCCACAACTTATACTGGACCCTCACTTAATGATATTCAGCAGAAACAGCAGTTAGAACAGCAACAACAACAACAACAACAACAATACTTCTTACAGCAACAACAAGCTCAACAACAAGCTCAACAACAAGCTCAACAACAGGCCCAACAGTTGCAGCAACAGCAACAGCAACAACAACCACTTAAGGCTGTTCATACTGGTCGTTCAGAACACGTTGAGGAACTCAACACTTTGCTGGCGACCGGCACGGGTCTTGATACCTTTGGTAACACTGGCGATTTGCGTATCCCTTCTCAACACACACGCTCACAGTTTATTAACTCGCAAGGTACTGGTTACCAGGCTGGGTTCCAGCAGGCGCAGACTACAAACAACCCGTTTATGGGTGCTCAGTACACAGGTGTCCCATCGACAAACCCTATCCAGCCTGCTTTCACTGGTTACGGGTTTGGAAATGCCCAGCAGTCTCAACAGTCTTATCAGCAGCAACAGCAGCAACAACAGCAACAGCAACGACAACAGTATGCTTATGGTGGACAGCCAAGCTTGATTGATATTTGATTACCCTTTATTCCGCAAATAAAAAAATTCTACTGTTGAATTCTAGTATCTTTTTTTTTTCTTTTTCATTTATTATTTTATTTAGTTGTTTCTTTTTTTTTTATAAAAAAAAGATATTTGATGTTTAAATGCCATTCTTTTTTCTTTTCCTTTTACATAATAACAATTGACTTGATATTTTATAATACCCGTAGATAATCTACCCATCATGTTCCAAAAGCTTGAAAAAACCTGAAAAAAAAAACTATTATCATTAAAAATTATTATTCAAATTAAAACATGGGAACTTTGTCTAACACAAAAAAGAAAATGTGAATAAATTAAAAGTACAAATCGTGGAACGAAAAAAAATAAAAAAAAAATGGGGATAAATTGTTTACAACGGTGCTCTGTTACCGCTTGTTGACTTGCCCTTGGTCTGGAAGCTTGTGTATAATCACGCTCCCTGTATAAGATGGCACCCGCGATATGCTTGCGCTTCCTGGAGCTGATCCTGATATAGGTGTCGATCTTCCAGAGCCTCCATACCCATACCACGGCTCAGGCAATGGGCCCGACCCGCCGTCACTATCAATTGGAGACCCAGAAGTCTGTCCCATAGACGAGCTCCTGTCTCTTCCGTCAGAATAAATGGACGACTTTAGCATACTTGGGACCAGTGGCTGAGACGATGTGGGTGTCTTTGGCGGTACAAAGCCTGGGCCTGGTGACTGAGCATTGGCAAGCGCAATGGCCAACGCTGCTGCTGGAGATGGTGGCGGCGATTGCGGAACATTTGAGTTTCCTGCTGCTGCTCCAGTCATCTCGGGACCTGAAATGCTATCTTCGCGATCCGGTGACCTTGACGAGCCACGAGACCAGCTTCGAATCTGTGACGCCATGCGTTTGCGCAACGATTGTGACGGACTAGAGTCTCGGTAGCTTTGCACCGATGTTGGTGCGCTGCTACTTCCACCGCTGCTTTTACGGCTCGGAATCCACCCACCGCCAGTCAGGCTTCCAATAACAGGAACAGCATTATTTCTTGAACTAGTGACTTCTTGGCTCGGAGGCACAACTGTAGTATATGTGGCGTTTGATGGATACCGCATCTGTTGCTGAGGCAGTATCATTGCCGGGGTCGCAGCGGACGTTGTCCTATACGGTTCCCCAAGACCTGTCGAGCTTGCGTTCATGCTGCTCGCTAACGTTGACACTGTTGTTAGCGCCGAGGAAGCAGGCAGCCCCAAAGGATCAAAACCCAGGGAGTTTGTACTGATGCGTGAAAGCGCGGCAGGAGGTAATGGCGTCCCAAAATCAGCCCGGAAAACAACTGCAGGGGCTAATCCGCTGTTATTGCCGCTACTTTCGGGTGGAGCCGTGGCGCTCATATAAGGCTGGCTAGAAGCCGACGAGGCCGACGAAATGACTCCTGTACTAAGGTCTGGTGTTCCAGGAACTGATCTTAAAACGGGTGATGTATTAGAAATGGGCATCACAAAGCTTGATGGTCCCTCGAAAAAATTGCTTCCGCCATCATTCATTTTGTTACGGGACGAGGCAGTGGCCGCAGCAGCCTTGGCTGCTGCCTCGTATTTGCTTTTAAGTGTGGCCATCAGCAATCCTCCAGAAGTTCCAGCACCATACTCTGTTCCACCAGAAACAGAAGCGCTTGACAATGGCCGGGGCTGAAACACGCTTCCACGGGGAGCCATGTCCTGTGCAGTTTTGAACACAGTATTGTACTCAGCTGCAGCAGCGGCTGCCAACACAGCTGCAGACTTGTTGCTTGCTGGTTGTTGGCTATCCAATCGCGTTGGTACTAGTGTTAGCTTAGGAAGAGTCCCAGCTCCGAGTACAGATGAATTGGAAACAACTGATGAAAGAGGAACGGTGACAGGTTCTACTGTAGAAGAGGTTGTACCAGTGTTGGAAAGACCACCAGGATTGATTGTTTGTGCTGCAATTCGAGAAAGAGATTCTGTGTTACTATGTCTTCTGGAAGTTTCCACCTGGTGAATAACGATGGACGTAGAAGAATTCTTGCGACTTAAGTGCGCATCATTTGATTGATGAGTAGAAACAGCAGGAATTATTGAATGAATATTTGAATCCGGAACATCAATAATTGCATTATGACTTGGGACTCGTGAAACTGTGAACAGCTGCTGCTGAAGCTGCTGAAGTTGTTGTATTTGCTGTTGTTGTTGCCAAATCTGCGAATTTCTTCGAACCTTGGGCTGACTCGGTTGTAAATGAATACTTGGTCTGCGACTTGCATTAGGACTGACGCCAATAGATGGGACGGTAAGTTGATTGTTTGGTAAAGTGCTTGCTGGTGCAGTTTGTCTTGTAGATTCGCGTAATATCTCAGTAACTGAGTTCACAAATGCATCTCGAGAACTTTCGTATTCTGGATTCCATTTTGTGGTTCCTGTGCTTGATATTGAAGAGCTTCTCCCTGCTGGTGCAATCGGCTGTGGTGAAGGCAAATGTCCCCCAGCACTAATTGTTGGAACAAGGCCCCAAGGATCTCGAAATGATGGAGGCGTGGAATTGTTTTCTTTATTCTTCCGTTTGCTTTTCCCTTTGTCCTTTTTGCTATTGAGTCCTTCAGCTGAATCTGGTGATCCATTTGAGGAATTCCCTTGACCATCACTATAATTAGATCGTGTAGAAACACGAGATGGAATGTTTTCGCTTGGTAATGAAGAATTCGTATGCATTTTTTTTAATGAATCCAAATCTTGGTTAGATGCCGTGCTTTTAAGAGGATCTGACTCGGAAACGTAAATTGGCACATTTGGGCTGGACCCATTATCATGAAGAGATGTGCTAGCAGTATTAACAGGTTGGAATCCGTTTTGGGCTCGAAAACTTCCAGCTCTTGATACATCAGTAGTATGTGCATAAATGGACAATGGTGGACCCTTAGCAGAGCCATCTACACGTATGTTGGAATAGTTTGTTGACATCATGAGACGGCGGCATGATTCCATGAACTCACCAAACTGATCCTCAGTTACCAATTCTCCGGAAAATCGTGCCCGTTCATATAGGTTGATGAAATCATTAACATGAGAGATTGGCATGTCAATTATGTTGATGTTGTGAAGGGTATAAATATAATCGCGCAAGGACATACCTGGTCCTCGAGCTAAAGAAGGATGCAATACTTCGGCCTTCATGGCAATCATTTCAGATGCCAAACGAATAACATCGATATATGGAGTATCTGCTAAGCGTCCAAGATCAGTAATTTCTGGTGGCATTAAGCCAGGATGTGAAATATGCAATGGGGGGTTTTGAAATACTGGTCGAGAGTTTCGGGCAATTTTTCGGCACCTTTCAAGTTCGGAAGTAATATTTCGGAACAATTCAATTGGAATATCTGCAAGACCCGGAATATATTGGTGAGGTATAGCTGCTAATGATCTCCGAGTCACAACAATTCGAGCAATTAACAAAACACCAGCGATAATGGCGACAAATGCATAAGAAGCCATAATTATGATCGCATTCCAGAATTGACCGGTGCGTTGAGATTGGATAATCATATCAATAGGAGTTGCAACAACCACTGCAGCAAAACAGAGAAAAAGAAACATAAGAGAACTACTGTAAAGCCAAGTTTGGAGAGTTTCTCGTGAAGGTCTATGAAAGGGGCTTTTTTGTTTATTAGGTCTATGTGTAACTCCACCATAGCCTGGCCATCCAACGCCTGTTCCACCGCTTTCACTAGTGCCACCAACACCAGCATCTCCAATGTTTCCAGTATTAATTGAAAATCTGCCACTTTCTGCAGTTCGAACCGGAGCGAGGCTGTTGGAGTACATAAATGTTAAAATACTATTGGGTCGACTGTTGCTGCTGAGTCGGTTGTTAGGTGATGCAAATGTAGTTAGAGGGCCTGATTCAGGAGAAACAAATTGTTCCAAAGGAATGTTGTCGGTTGAAGGCAATTCTGAAAGTTGGAGACTATCATCTCGGCTTCTGGATTTACTAAATGGGAGGTAACGAGACGAAATCTTTGAAAGTAAAGAATGTTCTTTGGAAAATAGACGGTGTGCTGTTCGATCATTTCGATTTCTAGTGCTTGAATTGAAACTACCTCTCAAATCTTCCGAAACACTTCCAGAGTTTCGATGTCCACTGCTACTGCTTGATCTATTAAAACTGTCTCTTCCTATCAGTGCGCTTGTATTTCTTGTTCGTGGTGATTCTGGAGGTCTAGCTCTCGATTTTTGCAATGGGTCTAAACCTTCCTGTGAATAACTTCCATCTACTGGCAGATCCGTAGGCGACGCATTATCGACAATAAATAATTTTGAAGGTTTTTGAGGGTCATATGATCGCCCAGTATTTGAGGAAACACTAGGTCGTGTACGTGATACAGAGTTTCCTCGTGATGCAGAAGATGAAGAGTCGCGCCGAGTAGATTCAGGCTCCAGTGCAGTTACTAGAGGAGTTAAAGATTCAATAGAAGAATCCGTCGGAACTATTGAAGAGGACCGTGAGTTGCTGGATAATGAAGCCATTCGGGGTGATATTGCTGTCGGTCTGGATTCCGACTGATGTCTTTCATTATCGGTAATAGCTTGCCTATCGTTCTTGTTGTTGTCAACCTTGGTTTTATCAGAGGCTCGTATTTGAAAGAGATGTCCACTTGGCATTTGATATATGAATACATATATGTTATTAGTTAAACTGTCGGTATAAACTTAATGAATCATTATATTATGGCATTTAAAAATAAAAAAGATGATAATTTTAAATGTAAAGGTAAGGTTGAACTGCCCATCTGTGATGCCAGACATGTGTGCGACGCCTGTTTGTTTGGGTAAGCATACTCTATTACACTTTTGTTACAAACATTTGCCATATCTGCTTATTAATAAAAAGGAGAAAGGTCAATCTACAATATTAGGTTCATGAAAGAATCAAAGTATCAGAGAATCAAAGTATCTGAGAATCAAAGAATCAGCGATATTTCGCTAAGCTTCTTATATATTAAACCCTTTACGATTAAACTATATGATCATATGGGATCCGTATCTGTCTTCTTGTGCATGGGACTTTGCAACTTCAAGAAGTCTTCAGAAGACCCCCAAATATTTTTTTTTCGAGTTTTTCAAAGACCGCTAAGGATCATTGAAAAAAAAAAAAAAAAAAATTTATTATTCTTGCTGTGACCACAAAAAGTAAATTTTTGTTTTATTAAATCTTAGAAAATCATAATGGTAAAAGAAAGTCATAAAGACCTACCACATGCCTAAGATTTCACAGCTTTTTTAATTATCAAAATATTAATATGCTGATTTATACTAGTCAACAGAAATTATTGTTTTTTTTTATTAAATTATTATTATCCATAACAGAGATTGTAAAGCCATTACTATTAAAACACGTTTTTATTGAATTGGGTATTTCCTATTGTCTTTTTTTTTTCTTTTAACGAATTTCATAAGAATCCATTTCATAAGAATTGCTTGGAAGTTGCTGATACTTAGGGTTAGACCAGATTCTTCTTTTAGTTCTAAGCTTCATCTTTTTCCAAGTTCTAGAGTCTCTGACAATGAAATTGAAAATAGCATAGCCAATAAAAACAACAACCATGAGAGTTGGAATAGTGAGGACCACATAAAGAGCGCTGTTGGAATTCTCGCCTTCATCAGTACTAAGAGTTTTGGGCTTCTTGTGTTTGATTGGTTGTCTGTAAAGCTTAAGATAAGTACCGTTGATAAGATTAAAGTCCTCGTCAGCAATAGTGTCCGGCTGAAGAGTGAGCATAACATCATGAACAGGTGAGCTTCCAATGAAAAAGTCCTCAACAATACGGAGAGGATAAACACCATCAAGGTTAGTCATCCACTCACTGGACCAGAAAGCATCCTCAGAGTCTCTCTTCTCAAGAATATTATCACGCTTTCCAATGCCACCGTACTTATTTTTTTCAATGTACGCAAGGTGAAGACGGACCTTATCAGCATTGGGGTAATGCTTAGTGTACCAGGAAACCCAGTAAACATCGTCCAAGATGAGATTGGCAGCCTCTCTGGGCGTGCAAAAGGGTTCACTAGAAACCTTGTCAAGTTTTCTCTTCTTGTTGAAGTAGCGATTGGGTGTGCATCTAATGATAGGGTTGAGATCACGATCCGTGGTATCTTCCGGAAGGTACTTAATTTCCTCATGAAAGGTATCTTCAGTGACACCCTCAATTATAGTTTTCAGGTTGACTGTAGTTGTGTATGAATCTTCGAACCATGTGCCGTAGTCCGGGCGACCATTTTGAGTGATGCCATTCTTAATCTTGGGTTGAATAGTCTTGATCTTTCCACCCTTGTCCAAGCTGAACCAAGGGTCAGGAGTTTTGATATCAGTTCTAGGAGATGCACTAAATGTGACACCCTCCCAAACTGTAGGAGTAACAACCTCGATGATTGTTGTTTCGGCGAGGGTTTTTGTGCGTAGCCACGGCTTTGGTGGTTCTGGTGTTGTAGTAGTTTTGGGAGCAGCTGGGTTTCGCTTCTCCAAGTCAGCAGCTTGAGATGCATCAGTAATAAGAGACTCTGGTGTGCTGGTACTAAAAGAGGTCTCAGGGGTGACAGTTGCTGCCACGGAAGCCATGGCTGCAGCAGATGTCAAAGCTGAAGAAGCAGCTAAAATAAAGCTATGTGAAAATTTCATATTTTTTTTAGAAGGAAAAAAACCCTGTGCAATAGCAAAGATTCAAAAGATCTCAGTTTTCAACAGGCTAAGCTTTTTGTAATAGGTTTTTCAAATTTTGAAAGGAAAAAAAAAAAAAAAAGGGAAAGAAAAGAGCAGCCTTATAAAGGGAGAAAAAATACAAAAGAAATAAAGGGATTGCCGAAGTAAAAATATTTTTTGTTGAGAATGTCGGCACGGTAGATGTCAAGGAGGTTAAGGCCATTTTTGAAGTTATGACAGCTATTAAAAGAATGCATGATCTCAAAAGACGCAGTTGACTATCAAAAATCACATAAACCCATGGAGTATATATATTTATATCAATGATGTCGACCTGGCATTTTATTTTTTTTTAAAAAAAAAACAAAAATACTTCACTACCGTTGGTTGCTAATTTTTTCTTTTTTTTTTGGTAAAAGCTACACTAACTTCACAAAAATTGAAATCTCGTCTTTTTACAAATCAAAATTTAATGCTTCTTGATTTAACATTTACATCATGTCAAATGATTTCTCCGGATTCAAATATCACCAAAAAAAAAAAATATAGAGATCCGTATGCAAACGCTTTACAAGAATTGTATCATCAAAAATCATTAAATTTCATAAGTAGGCTCTAACCTTTTGCGTAGCTACTAATATATTAGAGAAGAGAAAACTTTTTTAACATCATAACAAGTACGTAAAAGGGTAAAACAAGATGGAAAGGCAGACCAATAATTTAAAGTCTGCGACCACGTCTACCACCCTTTCTGCGGGTAGAGTCAGAGGGAACAGGGGTAACGTCCTCAATGCGGCCAATCTTGATACCGGAACGGGCAAGAGCGCGGAGAGCAGACTGAGCACCAGGACCAGGAGTCTTGGTACCGGTACCACCGGTAGCACGGATCTTGAAGTGAAGAGCAGTGATGCCAACCTCCTTGCATCTGGCGGCAACGTCTTGAGCAGCCAACATGGCAGCGTAAGGAGAAGACTCATCGTGGTCAGCCTTGACCTTCATACCACCAGTAACACGGGAGATGGTCTCACGGCCGGAAAGATCGGTGACGTGAACAAAGGTATCGTTGAAGGAAGCAAAGATTCTGGCAACGCCAAAAACAAGCTCACCTTCACGAGCTTGGAGACCAAGGGTAACGTTTTCTACGAATACATGTTAGTCACAGTTAAAAATAATGTACTCACTTTTCCTTTAAAATAGCAGGTCTGTTGAGATTCTCAATGAATCGTTGCAATCTCAAGTGTTTCAAAAACAGGCTGGTAATTTTCACATCTAGCATAATGCTTAATTAACAATTCCAAGATTCAAGCAAATACTCAAAAAAAGGCAATCAATAGTAAAAAAATCATTATAAAAACCCCCAAACCTAACCAAAAAAAAATAAAATGATAACCAAGTCGAACATTGAAAACATCGAGAAAAACAACAATCCAAAAGAATCTCGTACAGACACAAACTACCAAAAGGAAAAGTGAACGATCTTAAGAGAACCACGCTTACCGTTCTTAGGAGCCATCTTGATTTGTGTGTGCTGTGCTGAGATACAGTGGGACGTTGTCAACAGGGCAGATGAAAGGGAAAAGGGAAGAAAAGCAAGAAGGTGTGAAAATCTTTTCGAGTTTGATTCTGTTACACACTTGGAAAAAAATAGTGAGGTTGTCATACAATTACATAATAATTATGGAGTGAAATTTATTTAACCCTAATAAACCTAGCCCTAGTAATGCGTCACACACAGCACAAATCGAATTCCAAATAAAGAAAACAGTCACTTTTAAAGCTTAATATGATTGATACTCCGAGATGGAAATTTGAAAAACTGAGCGTCAATATTATCTCAATATCTAGATATAAGTCCTTAAATGAACAGACTCTATGAACCCCTTATATTTAATCAGGAAAGATTTTAAATTAATGTTATCATTATTTTCATTCAAATTTTCCATTGACTTTGTTTTTATGTAAACATGTTTTTATTAAAACTAATATCGATAATATTATGTATAAAGCAACAACTAGAAACTTATGTGGATATGTAATTGACTATACTACTTTGAAGTGTCCAAGTCTTCAGCATTTGAAACTGGTTGAGTACTTGCGGGCCGTTTTATTTTATTACTTGAGTTTTCCGTAGTTTGGGCATGAAACATAGAAACGTGCCTCGCGCTAGCTTTGTCAGGGCTTTGATTTCGAACTGGCGTTTTAAAAGGAGAGCTTAACATGTCGCTTCTTTTTCTAACTCGATATCCAGAACTGTTAACTTTAATGCTAATCTCACTCCTTTTCTCTTTTTTTAATGTATTGTAACTTTCCATAGAAAATTCCGCACTTGTATCTTCATCGTCTAACACGATTACTTCATTCTCTCCATCATTTTCATCATTCTTATTATTAAATGATGTGTTATTTTCAAGATCTTTCAAACATACCCCACCCATAGTTCTAGTTTTTTGACTGGATATTGGTGTGTCATAACTTGTGTCATACGAGTAGCTCCCTGTCTGTTCTACTGGTGTCTTAGGCTCATCAAGACAGGATGACAATTTGAGCTCCTCATCCCTTTTTAACGGTGTTTGAACCCGGAACAAGTTGAGTTTTTTATTGATTTGGGTGGTAGGTGTGTCGGGACGGAAGATACTTCCCTCACTTTGAATATTGTTACCATTGCTTCGTAAAATATTGGTTTGATTATTTTCGACAGTTTTCCTTTGATACACAGGAATTTTTTGGCCAAATATGTTAGACCTCGTAAACGACGACTTAGGCGCAGTGAAGTTTTTGTCTTTGGAACCAAGTGGGCTTTGCTTATAAACCGGAGGAAAGGAGTTTTGAATGTCAGAAAAGTCGTTACTACTAACTTTTCTTTGGAATCCCGTATTACTTGTTGAATAGGTGAATGATTTGTTTTGATGAGGAACTGTATGTGGAGGCGTAAGATCATTAACATCATCGAGAACTTGTTTTTTTGGTGTCACTGTCTCAAACGTTTCTTCTACTGGTGTACTTTGAGTAACTCCAATGCCAAATTTGCTGTTTGTCATCTCAAGCATTCCGTAACTGCTATTGTTAAGATCATCATCGTCTTCGTAGATTTCACTATCATCATTGTAAGATCGGCTGGCAGTGGGAGATTCGGGATCACCACAGAAACTAGAGTTTTGATGATAGAAAATAACTGCTGGGTTTGTCCTGCCGTGATGAGGAGAAAAGTGTTTTGTTTTGGGAACCTTATAAAGATCAGCTCTTGTCATGCTCAAGTTTGACATTGGAAGCCCGAAATGTCCATTTTGAAGCAATAATGCAAAAATAGCAATGCTATTTGCTACATCACTATCATCTTTTAGAATGAATTGTCGTGCATTCTGGCTGCTTTGGGATGATCGTCCTATTTTAGGTGTTAATGACATGGATAAATGAATGGTCTCTTGATGAAGAATATGTGCAAAATTGTATCTAAGATTGAGGAAATGAAAGGTGTAATAATACTAAAAGAAAACCAGCGGAGATGCACATTTTATATATTTATTGTATTTATTTTTAGTTTATTATCAATTCAAAACAAAAAAAATCTGGCATTGTTTACAAAAAAAAAAGTAAATAAGAATATTGATATCGAAAAGGTCAAAACTTTTGTGTTTGGTCTCATAATTTTTTTTGTTATGATTTTGAAAAATCGACAAATCTTACAATCAGCCGCATAAACGAAAACTGGAAATCTATTTCGTAACGAAACCCTCATTAGAATACCTGTTTGGATTGAGCAGAACGGAGTAATCTATAGTGATCATAAACAAACAAATAATCCATTAAATTTATTTTAATTTCTTAAATATTATTAATGATATTTTTAGGAATTACCATTATAATTCATGTTTTTATATTTGTTTTGAAATTAGTTTTACTTTCAAAAAAAAAAAAAAACAAGGCATAAACTTTTGAGTACAGAAAAAGGGCCGTTTACTCTCAATCAATTAAAACCAAAATTTAACCAAATAATAATTTGATTTCAATATAATTCAATTTTTTAATTTAGGTAATTAGTTAAAGTTATTATAAAAAAAATTCAATTTCAATAAAACGACTAGGATTTCCAACTGCCTTTGTTTCATAGGCAGTTTATGATGCCCATGGAATACAAAACTACCACTGTTTCACCATATCTATGACAGGGTATACTCAATCCCATAATGAAAAAAGATTACATATTGTTGCAAAATTATTGATTTTATTGATTATTTTTATACATTCAATTTAGTACACAGTTATTAATTTTAAATTTTGAGTTAAGTCCACAAGCAATATATAAGTTCAAAAAAAAAAAATAACCATAAGCAAGAAGACGATACATAACACACAATATATAATAAATAATACTTAAAACTTAAAGCTTAAACATACTACAGAAATAAATAATCTGATTACATAGTCTATTAGTCACATATAATGCAGTGATTGATAAAATTATATTTCCAGTAGAAAATGCTCTTGAATTCTCTAAGTCACTAAATATCTTCTCTTTATTATTACAACCATAGTACCACATACCTATTCAGTAAATCATCTTCTTTAATAAACCTACTGAAATTTCAAAATGCTACGATCTGTTGTTTTCAGAATTCAGAGACCCGCTTTTCGTAAAGTGACAAGCCAGCTCAATCGAACTTCAGCATTTCCTTTGGCCGTCCGATATTACAACCCTATGCAAAGAGGGCCTTCGCCACCTCGTTTGCCCAAGGAAGAACAAGAAGAGTTTGAAAAACTTCAGCGTGAAGCCAATGTTTCAAGAGCCTTCCAAGAGTACGATGCAGATAACGAAGAGTTGGATGAAGAGCTTTTGGAAGCTGGTCCTTCAATCAACGAAGAAGCGTTAAAGGCCCAAGGACTTCACCCCGATTTTCACTACTCCAACATTAAGCCTGATTTTGAAGGAGACACAAATCCTGTTACTGGTGAAGTTGGTGGACCCAAGCAAGACCCTTTAAGGCATGGCGACTATGCTTTTAACTGCCGTGTTACCGACTTTTAGGAAATAAAAATAACTAAGCATACTCTTTATCTAACTTTTTTTTTTATAAACACATCCACCTTTTTCTTTTAGCTAATGTTAAAATGCCGTCCTATTATTATTCTATTTTCTCGTCACGGTTTTTGATAAAAAAAATTCATGGTTTTAGATCAATACTGACTTGACCTGGTCGATTTTATTAAAAAAATATATCGTTTTGTATTAAGCCAAGCACACATTTTAACTTCCTGTTTTCATAAAAACATATAATTTGATCATCCATGATTTTTATGTTAAGGGTATATATTATTCATATGGAAAACTTATAATATTAGATGCTGTCAAATATTGACATTAATTACGGGTTCATTATGTTTTAATACTATCATAGAAAGGTTCCTAATCAGACCTGCTTATTCATAAATTCATATGAAAAAAATAACAATAATAATAATCATAATAATAACAGTAACAAAAAAATCAAGAGCGTTTACCATTTTAGTATAAAAGCTTCACATAGATTACACAAAGCATTGGGAAAAAATTAAAATTGAAAAAGTGAAACATTTAACTGTCATCCTTGAAATCGGCGTTTGAAAAATGAGCCAACAATTGCATACGGCTGAGAATTGAATTATCGAATAAGTCACCTAACCAACTCCCACATTAACATTCAAGTAAGTCATTGAGACTTAAGGGTTTAAACCCATATATGGTTACTTATATAGGTAAAAACTCTAAACAGGCCAGAGGGGTTTTCAATGCGCGATTTATGTCAACAAAACTTAAAATAACAAATATATTCAAGATCATGCTTAACTTAACCAATATTCAAAAATTAATAAAATTTACTTTTAGTTTCGTTAAAAATTCATTTTTATATTTATGCTACACTCAATTATTGTCACCAATGAAATCTGAATTGATTCAGATTTTGAAATTATCTTTGATGTCGTTAAGAACCCCTTCAAGTACATTTTTAGTATTGTTAATGATTTCGGTCCTAAAAATTATGTTAATAAATAAATCACTGAAAATGAAAAAAAAATAGACATACTCTTTTAAAATTTGCCTTTTCAACTCATTGCTAGAACTATCAAGAGGTTTAAATAAACTCATGTTATTGGACACTAAATATTTAGTTTGCAATCTGGCCTTTTCAAGATTTTTCAATTTTCTATCGTTTAAGAGCATATCAGCTTGTAAAAGTGCCTAAAATCATTATGTTAGAATAATCTAAAAAAACAAAAAATAAATAAAAACTTACTGTCTTTACTCTTGTATCTAAGCCTCTAACACCAGAAAGACTAGATTTGATTCTCTCAAGCTCAGCATTCCAGCTCTTCTCCTGGTTACTTAGAGGAAGAGAAATAGAACTCTTAGATGAAAGCGTGCGAAGAAGAGCATTAGCACGATCTTGAAGAGAAGATTGTCTTTGAGCAAGTTTTTCAACTCTTTTCAGTGGATTTTGTTGAACCAGTGTTTCATTGCGCTCCTGAAATTTTCTGACACTTGATATTTGGCGGTGTAGCTCACATCGCTGATCAATTAATCTATTGTGAATGGCAAGACCAATTTGATGAAGTTTAGACAGCTCTTCAGAAAAATAAACTCCAAGTTCATATGAATATGTCAATGTGCTAATGTTGAATCCAATTGGATCTTTCAATGATAACCCATTTCTGGGACGAGGGATATTAAACGAAAGCTTGTCAAACGCAGAACATATGTCGAATTTTTCATCTAAATGAGTAGGCGGTTTAATCTTCTCTGTCTCTGTAGCTGAAAACAATATCTGAAGTGGCTTCAAATTGGAATCGAGTAACGTATCTACCCAAACGTGATCATTGGTTACAGTGATGCTATAGGTTTTTTCAATTTTGACATCCACCACGCCACAGACTTTAGAGAAATCAAGTTTTTGATCGGTAAGTGATACGATTTTGGAAGCGTTTCGACTATCAAACACTTCATCAAAATTTTGAGGAGTAGCATCATGAATAAACTCAGTCACAAATTTACTCCATGGAGAAATGTCGATTCTATAAGCAAGTGTGTCGTTGATGATATAGAAGTAATCTTCAGCGTTATAGGGAACAAAAACTGAAGGTGAGTAACGTAGTCTTGAAAAACTCGGATCTGACAGTTGATTTAGAGATATAAATTCAACCACATCAAGAGAGGAATCAAAAGAAACCTCGCTTACATCCCAGTTCAAATCTATTCTATAAAGCTGCAAAGCCAAAAGAATTGAACCATCACTGTAAGTAGTGCAAACTACTGTACAAGCCCCATTGTCAATGGTACCAATATCAATAGCTTCCTTATAGTAGAATTCATCAGGATAAGGACAAATTTTAAATGGTCCTTGAAGCTGTGGAGGAAAAGAAGTTTCTGGTTTTTTCAAAACATAATACTCGTCAAATGTTCCATTCAGTAAATTTTGCCGCGACTCAACAACAGCAATGGATGCTTGAGACCAAAGATTCGAAGCCCAATCAAGTTGACGTTTATAATGGCGGCGAATAATAACCTCGCTACTATCACTGTGGCGATGTTCATGCTCAGCAGCTACAGCAGAATCAAACACAGTTTCAAGTTCGTTCTGGGTAAGTACAAACGTATTAGGAATGAATGGTGAAAGTGCGTATATATCACCTTCTTTTGATAGCACATAAAGTGTAAATCTCCCATATGGTTCAGATGATGATCCTAGTGCAATTGAAACTGCTTCAAAATCATTAATCTCATTTGCTAAAGAATGGACGCCTAAAGTTGTAGTCTCTGAGGACGACAATGTCAGCTGTACCACTTGTTCAGGAACATTGTTGTTCGTTAAAAGATCATAAGAACGAACTATGTTGTCGGATGTGAGAACGATCAAATTGGCATCGTACCTGTGGATAGGGTTCCAAATAATTTTTAAAACTCTCACATCACCATCTAAACAATAAGAACCAACATCACGACATCTATGAAACAGTCAGACAAATAATTCAAAATAATCGAAAATAACATACCTGACTTTCACTTCATCAAAGGGTTGATACATAAACCCATTTGGCGGGAGATCGCATACAACAACGCGCTGAATGCCTATTATAGCAAGAAGGGTTTCACTGGAATTGATTAAAATAGAGGTTATGGGAAATTGCACAATGGGAAGATTCAAAACCTATTGAAAACATGTCAGAAAGAAAAAAAAAACTAAAAATTTAAAAGACTTACTTTGTAATTAAGAGAATCAACCAAATTCGAGCAACGAACAGTATTTTCAACTGCATAAAACACATCAGTGCCACGGACTGCTAGTTTGTTTTGCAAAACTGTAGAACCCTGTGGCGATGAACTTGACGTTCTAAAAATTTTGTGCTTTGACAAAAGTTGATCAAAATCTGGAGTCTGCATTATAAGAAAACTTTCCAGAATACCAAATTTTAAACGAATAAATAAGATGTCACACCTGAACGAATAAAAAGCAAACAAACAAACAAACAAACAAACTGTAGAATATCAATCAAGTGGCGAGCAGAATGGGGTATTTAGTATTTATGCATTTTTTTCTGGTTAGGAGGTGGCAGGCTATTTGTAATAACTTAAAAGAAAAACAAACTTTGTAATACCTATTCATATCACAGCCATATCACGTGTAGGAAAACTTTATAAATTTGTATACAAGTCCACAAAACAACAAAAAGTTCAACATAAACATACTACAAACACACTAATATTAATTAATATTCCTTTCCTTGTTTAATTCAATTCTGTTATTTTGCTATTTTCTATGTTTAAAAGTTTTCTTAGGTTTGAAAATTAATCACTATTGAGATTTTATCATTATGTCATGGTCAGGTGTTGTTAAATACACACTTTCACCTAGTGCCTATGTAATCCAAAGCTTGTTCTATACTGATAAGAATGGCGATGTGGATATTGTTATCGTTAAGGTAAATGAATCAATGAATCAATAATTAATAATATCTAACACATAAAATAGACGGAATCAATCACTTATAAAGACAAAACTATATCTATTCTTTCTCGTATTTTGCAAGCCTCAGTTATTAAAGGAAAAACCAGCCAATCAAATGATATTTTAATACTTGCTTTGTTTTCAGGTCATCTTCTTTTTGTCGATCTCACAACTTGGTCAGTCATTAAAAATATTCAGATTCATGGGCTAAATACTCTTTCGTATCCTATTGATTGTGTCGGGTGGAATATAGCAAGTGATACACTAGGAAAAGTGGTGGCTCTTGCTTCTTCTAATTCTGTTAGGTTTTATACACCACCAAAGGATCATGATTTTAGCTCGCGACTTATAAATCACCATCAAATTAATTTGGACGCGCATATGATTTTCAATATTTTGTTTTTACCTTATCAGAAAGGAACTTCTTCTCTTCATTTGATGTTTGTCGTCTTATACCTGTCAAAACTAGGCGATATAAAAATAGCATTGTACTCGTGGTGGACAGAAAACTCTATAAGTTCTATTTCTCATTATGCCACCACGCCATTACCTCCCACTCTTGAATCCTGCTATCCATTGTTTATGATTCCTATATTTTGTAATACTGGCGCCATTTTACTTATCTGCCAAAACACTGAAACCAAATCGACTACAGCTAGTGTTATCACAGTAAACGACTTAGTATCAGCAACTCTTGAACATAAAGTAATAGTTTTACCTGAAGTGCCTACGGCTTATTACCAAGAAAACGAACTCTTTCGATTTTCTCAACTGACCAAGGGCTACAGCGATAAACAAAGGATATTTTTTGCTACAGAATCCAATAAAATATACCATTTATTAATCAACACGGAATCTGGTGATATGCACATTGAGGAGTTTCTTCAGTTACCTTTTTCGATAGGATCCACTTTGCTACTGAGATTTTATGATTCTAACAATGGAATGATAGTTGATTCATTACTTGAAAAAACAGACTATCTTTCAATTCATACGAATGGAAATGGAACTATCGGTGGGAATTTTTTCTTTTCAAAATCAGGGGACAATCATCAATTGTTATACTATGATAGATCCCAACACTGGGGCCCAATCCATGATGGTCTTGAAATTAACACTGAAAACTCTTTCTCATATTCGGATTACCATCATAAAAAAAGCGAAATATTTTTGGCTTCTGGAACTACATCCAATTCATGGGAATTAAATCACATACGCCACGGAGTTAGGGCCCTTCATCGATTTACTGATTTGCAGTTAATAATGGGATCTCAAGTTTTTAGTGCCAGTGCACCCCAAAGCGAAAATGATAATTTAGATTTAACGCCATTTAATTACATACTTACTACGAGTTTTGCTGGAACTCGTATTTTTAAATCCACATTTCTGACAGAAAGTCACGATAGTACACTTGGCGATCAGTTAATTGAAGAATTTCCACAACACTTACCGATAGACTTTTTGAACGAAACTAAAGCATTTTCTTCATTTAAAAACTACTTAATACAAATAACCACAAAAAACATAATTATTACTGATCTAGGCAAATCAACAATAAAAAAAGAGTTTGAATTTATCAGTCGAGCTCATATCTTTGAAAATTACATTTTGATTTCATCAATACCTTCAGATTTCGAAAACGACCCATTATCGCAATCAAAAATAATGGAAATAATTCTTTACCAGTTCGACGTCAATTCACCATTGAACATGGACTGCTTAACTTTTGTGGCAAAAACTCAAATGGAACAAAATTTTCTTACTGATGTGACGTCTTTATGGATATTACCTTCAAGTGTTGATGATTCTTCGCAATCTATCTATGTTTTTGTTAGCATTTTAACAGATATCAAGTCTAGTTTGAAAATTTTTAATGTTGGAAGAAATAAAGAATTGGCTGAAATTCAGCACATAACAAACGGAATTAGTACACCTGTTGATATTGTTTCAGTTTCTTCGGAAGATATATGGTACAATGCAATTTTAGTTGGTCAACGGAATGGCACATACTTTTATGCAGAATGGAATGATACCGAATTTTTCATACGCTTTTCTTACACCATTGGCGACTCTGTGGGTGTCAGATTTATTAAGGATGGGGAAAAAGTTTTTGCTCTCTGTGGATTTATTTATCGACTTTCATCTTTAGATTTTGTTTCTCCTTTTCGACCAGAACTTGTTGTTTTTGACAAGAATGAATTGGATTTCCCTTCTTCTTTCTGTTTGTTTTTATCTCAGAAATCTGATGAAAACGAAGCTATAGTTTTTGCGGCAATATTCGGTGACAAATTAGCTATAGTAGAAGCTTCTGGACGCTCTGGATATTTCACAAAATCTACACCTTTAGCTGGTCCACCTCGACAATTACTTTATTTAGATCACATTGGAATAATAGCAACTATTCTCAATTTTTCTTATGAGTTAGGAGATAACGAAGAAAACGCCATTCAACAATCTTTAATACAATTTATTGATCCTAAAATTGGTTCAGTTCTAGACATAGATAAATGGAAGCCAGTTTCACAAAGTTCAAAGCCAAATACTGGTGGTAATATCTATGGAAGTCATTCGGCCATTGAAAACATTGACAAATTTTTGTGTATGATGGTTTGGACTTTTAAAAAAAATACAGACGTCTACAAATATTTGGTTATTGCTGGCGAAACCAACAAAAAGGGACAGCTTTATTTGCTAGATGTACGAAGAAAAAAATCGTCACCAAGTGTGGAGCTACACAGAAGATTTTCTAAGTCTTTTAATTCTCCAGTTTTTTCAATTGATCAGCTTGATAATAATACAATAATATGTGTGACTTCATCATCTGTTGAGCTGTTACGGCTAGAGCTTGATTGTCAATCGGAGAGTGAAAAACCAGTTTATCGATTAAGCAGACTTGATTTTACAATGAACACCCCGATGAGACATGTTTCTGTTAAAAATCAATTCGTTTATCTTTCATCTTGCAACTCAGTGCAAGTTTACAAATATAATTATGACCGCCTCTCATTACTACAAAGTGAGGATAAAATGCGAACCAGCATATTTCAGATAGTTCTAGATGACAACACTTTAATAGTTACTGATTCATCTAAGAATGTTACGATTTATGGAAGCAATTCATATAAAGAAACCGTTACAAGCACAAATCTTGAAGTTTTATCAGAAATACAATTTCCAACATTAATTGTTAAAGTGTTTCCAATTACAGCTACCAAAAACAATTACCTATTAAAACACATGGATCCAGAACAAATATCAAAAGAAACAGGAAAGATCACACAAGATTTAATTGCTTTAGGGGTTGATGGTTCGATGTATATGCTGCATTTAATCAATAGGGAAAATTATAAGTTCCTTCGCACTAAAATTGAAAAATTAAATGAAACTCCATCTGCCGAACTAGAGAGTATCTTTTTGAAAGAAGATAAAAAACAAACCCGAGTTATTGATTTAGATGAAATGTTAAGACGACACTCTAATGCAGAATGGATAAAATTTTCAGCTCGGTTTAACCCAATCAATGAATACTGGTAAATAAATATTTAATATAGATTCATAATATTACTTTACTGCATATCTTTAATCTGGTCCAATAGTCGTGTTATCCGAGGTCCCATTTTTGGTTGACCTCTTCTAGTAAATTGATTCATCATTTCCTTATGCTTCTGCCGAGCTTTTCCTTTGCGTTCACGATCCTCCGTTTTTTGGCGCATTGTTTGATCCATCTGTTCTCGTTTTTGTCGCTTACGTTCTTTAATTAGTTCAAGTTTTTCAGTATGAGACAAAGCTTTCTTTTTGTCGTTTTCGTGTTTTTCATCTCTTTTCTGAGTTTTCGGGGTATAGCGAGATTTTTGGGGGTTTTCTTCAAAAAACCCACCATCCTCATCACTTTCCTCACCACTACTAACACTACTCTCATTATTTTGTTCTTTGGTATCATCGTCTTTTTTTTCGCTCTCTTCATTATCATTGATGCTTTCCTTTAAATTAGATTTTTTTGTAACACTTTCTCCTTCTCTTTCTAGCATTTTAAAGTATTTCCTTCGCATATTTGCACGTCTGGTAAGTGATCGACGAATATCAGCAGCTAGGTTTATGTTAGTTTCCAAAATTGAAAAAAAAAAGAGAATAGGTATAATATTATATAAATACCTTTTTTTTCATGAGCATTGTTATACTGTCTAAGAGATCTCTTATTATGTGATTTTGGGCGAAGGGTCATTTTGATAATGGTATGGTTTATATTCTTCAAACTAATATGCTTGGTTTTTTTTAAAAAAATGATGGAGAATTTTTTTTTGATCTATCTAAGCTTACATATAGTAATTGTTTCACGTGACCACATAATCCGGGTAATTCCCAAATAATTATCGGCTTAGTTCTATGATCCGCCAAACCCCGCCATATCCTTGAAATTCTGATTTTTTTCAGCCAGTTTATACAAAAAATTAACCTTGCCAATCTTTCATCATCTTAAATTTCAATACCTCTTTTTTTTTTAAAAAAAAAAACATTTCTAAAGCATCGTTGTTGACATCTTTGATCAAATATTACTTGATTTGTTTTCAAAGCTAACCCATTGGACATTTATAAAATCTCACCATTTTTTATTGAAAATTGAAAATAGTGAGGTAGCCCACTGGCACAGACACAAAAACAAAAAAAATTTTAGCATCACCACCTACATTCAAGCGTGTGTTTTGCAAGCCAGTTCTGACTTTTTAAAACCGCTAAGTGTTTTTCCAAAGCTTTATGGATTAGGAGGAAGAAATTGTTTTAATTTGGGGTTCTGTATAAAGTCATTTTTTAATTATTCTTAAGACATTAACTTGTATGTTTCTTTCTACCACATTTTTTTCATTCCTTTTTTTCTGGAATTTTCAAGTTTGCTAACTGCATGCTAAAGTTTTTATTCTTCATGTCGTCAAGTCGAATTGCGCATAGTACACCCCTCAATATTTCAAAGCATTCGGAAAATCTGCTATGGTGTGTGCAAAATTTGACACAAGATTTTCTTGCAGAGGCCTTAAGGGCTGAGGATTCTAAAAAATACAAAAAATTCGTTTCGTTAACATCGTCATTTCCTTTTCGCATTAAAAATTGGATTAACCAATACTCTGACTCAGACTCTTTGACCAGCAGCATTGAAGCTTGGGATTCATCAGATTCTACAAATTTTCCAGTCATTGGTCAGCCATTTTTTAATCGATATTCAGTACGATATTGCACGAGCAACACATTACCATTTACATCAGCATCGTCATTGCATTATTCTCTAAGATCAGCCCCTGTACATCCGGGATTTGTCTCATACAGTACTAAAAGCAAGCAACCTTTTGAGGATTCCAAATCAATATCAATACCTTCAATACCTTTAACCCCTGAGTTATCACTTAATCAGCTCATTTCAATAATTTCAGGGAAACCTATAGACCCAAATTCCCCAGATTTATATCATCTTGTGGAGGACGTTCTGGCTGCCAAAGATGTAGAGACGGTTCGAAGATTTCAAAAAATTAGAGTGCAAGTTTATCAATATCTTATTAAAAACAAAAACCCTCAACGTTTACATATTATTGAAAAAATTTATTCATCTATAAGTCCTAAGCGCCTAACCAAAAAAGACTTAGCAGCAAAATTACAATGTATAACTGAGTTAGAGCCAGAGCGAATTTCAAAAACTCTTACCGAGTCTCTCAGACTTTTTTCTCATAAATTTGTTTTGGAACTTCTTTTTTCTACAATAAAACAATTACAGAAACTTCCTATACCGTCTGCTTTAGCACCTGCAATCACTGATAAGTCTTTGTTTTCTTTCCAACTTTTTTCTTCTATTTTATTGAAACAGTTAGGTACCTTAAAACTCTCCAACATGTTTACCTATAAGACTGAAAGAACTATCCTTACAGACATGGTGTTTTTTGAAAATCCTAGGGATTTACTTCGCATTTTAAAAACGTTATTAGACGACAAGCCTAAAACCAACTCTTTGCTGGTGACAACAATTATAGACATCTTAACCAAAACCTATCGATTCGAACTAGCAGTTGACCTCTGGAATCTAAAATGCCAGCTTGGTTTAGCCAGCTCTTTAGATTTATATTATGCAATGAAATCCTATATTAAGATGAAATTGCCAGATGAAGCACTATTAATTTATAATAGCAACCCACGTCTGCATAACGACTGGCTTTTTGATATTGTTCTTGAAGCTTACGGTAAAAAGGAGGATTGGATTGGCATGCGTCAAGTGTTTGATTCGTTATTTGGTCGTGGTGAGCTCCCGAATTTGAATCACTATCGTATCGTTATGGAAGCCATTTCAAAAATTGCTCAAACAGATGTCATTGAGTTTATGTACAACAATATGCTTTCTCGAAATCTGAATCCAACTGTTTCTATATACAATGCCATTATGTATGGTCAGTATGCATTAGGTGATTTGGATGGAGTGAAGAAAGCGTTTGGCATGTTAAACTCTTCCGGACTTTCTCCAGACACATCAAGTTATAACATTATGCTTATGACCTATCGAGATTTGAAAGACCTAGATTCTGCACTTGAGGTATTACAGATGGCTACTGCAAAAGAGCACAAAATTTCTCGTGTCATCATCACAACAATTTTATCTCTTTGCGCTGAGCGTAAGGACCCCGTCAATGGACAAATTGTTTTTAACTGGATTTTGGAGTCTGGTGGCCACCCTGATCTTACAAGTTACAATGCTCTTCTTCACTGTTACGCTGAGTCTAAATCTAAGGTCAAATTTAAGGAGCTTTACCGCAGAATGCGTAAACTGAAATTTCCTCTGAGAATCGATACTGCTACTATTCTTTTTTCTTTTTATTCAGAAACTCGTGATATTGTCAACCTGAACAATTTGGTTAAGACTATGGATCATGAGAAGATTCCACAGGATAAGATCTTTTATTCGACAGTTTTGAAACATTTATGTGATTCTAACAATATGGAACAAGCTGAGCAAGTAATTGAAACCATGTCACAGTCATCCGAAAAACCTGACGTTTATCACTATTCTATATTGATGGATGGCTACTTAAACCATAAAAATTACGCCAAGGTTTTCAGTATTTACGAAAGCTTGCCTAGTCTCGGTATTGATCCTTCTTTCCACACTTCAGCAATATTATTACAAGCCCTTCAGTTGGCTAGCAAAAAATCGCCAGAGCTTAAGGGTAAATCTAAAATTCTGCTCACTGAATATCTTGATGAAAAAGACACTGTTGATTTGACTTCTTCTTACTGGCCTCGTTACGCAGTACCTCCAGAGCTTTCGAAGGTCGTCGCTCGTTCTTATGCTGATGGTGCTAAACCCGATGAAATCATAAAGGTTATGGAAAAAATGCAAGAACAACACGGTCCTGGTAATGTTATGGAGGGTCACATTGTATTAATGAGAAAACTGTTAGAAGCATACGGTAAAGCTCGTGATTGGGATAACTTTAACCGCTACTGGACTATCTTTTTCGAGGCCCAGCGCAAGTTCTATGTTCCAAAGGAAGTTTTTGATGAGGAGAATAGGGAGAAGAAAACAATTGATGTTATTCCCTATAAGGATCGATTCAGCAATGATGAAATTTTCCGTTACAAGATATTTCAAATCACTTCATTTGGTGAGTACTCCAACGTCATTGAGTTTCTTGAAATTATGCGATCCGAAGGTTATATTTTCAGCAATAGTTTGATTAATATGACAATCCGATTGCTTGTGGAAGAAGAGGTTGCCATTGTCGATGCATACCGTCTCGTGTCAATTTATTTGATCAAACATCAACTTGCTCGCTATTCTTTGAGGCCTCTTGTTCGAAAGAAAACAATAACATTGGAAGAGTACAACCGAAAGATCGGGCAATATAATATTCAACAAGAAACTATGGGGGCCCTTATACGAAATTTCCCCCGTCTAATTGATGCCACGATTAGGGCAAGTGGCGAGCCTGATTTCGCTGAAAAAGACGCGCTTCATTTACTATTCTTGCAATTGGGTCAAACCATTCGTCTATTTTATGAAATCTCAACTCGCACTAAATTTCCTTTTCGTCAAGGCAAAAAACAAAGGCGAGACGCACTCGCGAATATGCATAATGTAAATAACTAATTTGTATATATATATATACTATGAACCGTTTTTATTTGCGGTTTTTGATAGAATAATTTAGAAATGATTATTATTGTTTTCGATTACTTACAAGTTGGTATTTAATAAGGAGAAGGGAAAACAAACTGTGGTTCGCCTTCGAGATCCAAATGACCAAAAATTAAGGCGCCAACCCAAGGCTGGATGTTATATCCAAGTTTAAGAGTGGCGTTATTATTGTTAAAGGATTTTTGGACATCATACACGCTGTAGTGACTTCTTTGTCCCTTGAGATCCAAAACAGCCTTTTCTTTGGTAGTAATAATCTTGTCCCAAAAAGTGACTGAATTGGAAATATCTGGACGGCTCTTGCCACCATTGTACTCTGCCTCAAGATAAACAAAAACTTGTTTCGTATTCCAATTAAAAAGAGGACGCAAATCAGCAGAAAGGTCGAACGTTATTTTAGCGTTTTCCTTGCCTTTTCCATTGACGGCACCAGACCTTCGGGTGAACTTAACAGAGGTTTTGGGCTCCACTTTAAGAACAGTGGGTCTAAGTGAAAATGCGCCAGCCGAATAGAGCTCAGTATATGAGATGAGTGAAATAAGAACTGAAACTACCAAGATGACTGTGGTGTATATACCGAAAGCATTTTGGAGGCGTTGGAATGATGAAAACATTGGTGGTTATGTGCCTGGTTCAATAATTTTTTAGGTGGGTTTGGCAGAAAATGACAAACAATAATAGGTTCAGGAAATTTCAAAGAGGTGGCCTTTAAATGACTTGTTTTGTTACATTGCCACTGTGCTACTTATTTAGCTACCATAAGACACAAATTTCACCATCACTTTTTTTTTTTTTTTTCTATTTTAGTTTCAAATGGGCAGACACTGACTAGCTTAAGGATTGGACAAAAATGTTAAAATCAATAGCCTTGACACCCCCCTTAAACAGCGGGATTCTGACAGGCGCCGTCTGTATTATGGTTTCTCTTACTATTGGCATTGAAGCTACACAGGTTTCGCCATTCTTAAATACAAAAGTTTTTAACGATGCATATGGTGAACAAAGTGACTTCATCATTGGACTCATCACAGGAACTTTTCCATTATTTTCTTGCTGTAATTACGAAACTGTGTGTTTGAAAGAATTGAACTAATACGCTTTTTTATTTAGTCGGAAGCTTATTGCCCTCTTTTGTTGCCGGGAAAGTGAGAAGAAAGATTACAATTATATTTTCATTACTATTTTGGATGGTTGGATGTAAACCTACATGAGATCTTGTTGATTAATTCAGATGACTAACATTTTTATCTAGCTATGATTGTGTTTATTAAGACTGATGTGTCCCTTCTTCTTGTTGGCAAATCTATTAAAGGGGTTTCTCTCGGGGTTCTTTCTTCAGTGGTTCCAGTGTACATTGGCGAAGTGTTCATTGAAGAATCTGCTGAAAAACTCATGTCGTATTTCCAGTGTTGTATTCCTGCAGGTCTTTTTATTTCGTCTCTTGTGGCATATCTGGGAACTTCTGCTCCGTTTGCATTTTTTAAAAAAGAACTGCCAAATGTAAAAATCCGAGGTAGCTGGGCAATGGCATTCACACCCATGGCATTTTCTACAGGACTTTCTGTTATGATGCGAGATTCACCAATAGACTATTTCACACAGGGCTTGTCGAGTGCCACCATGGATCTTCTTCTTTTACAAACTCGCTCTCTTTCTAAAAAGTTGTCTGAAGAGGAATATAGAGAGTACGTCAATAACCGGTACTTTCAGATTACAAAAGCATCTAATAATGAGGTTAATGAAACAACGGCTGGCAAAGGCGTTGCTGTCGTGGAGAGAAAGAAAAGTATTGGCCAACTATTTAAAAGCTGCTTCAAGTCTAGGGACGTTCTTACGGCCATAATGACACAATGCGCGGTTCAGTTGTCGGGCATCAATGCGTTCATGTACTACTTTAACGAGATTTGTGCAATGAGCGAAATGGAGCAGGAATCAATTCTTCCTCTGGCACTAGGCCTTAATGGTGTCAATGTTTTGGCCAACTGCTTGGCTAGTCTTTATGCTAGGCGAGTTTCTCGTGTCATGAATATTATATATGGATTTCTTGTTATGGGCTTGTGCCATGTGCTGTTGGTTCTTGCGCTTCAGTCTAAAAAGTCAAACATCTCTAACGAAGCTTCACGCGCCGATGTTTCTGGAATTTTAGCCATTATGTACTGCTTTTTAGCAGTGTCTACGTTTTCCCTGACCATTGCTATTCAGTCTATTCTTTACACTGTGGAATTGATACCAGCAAATCTTGCGGAAATCGGCCTACCAATTTCTATTGCATGTGGATGGTTCACTAATTTTGTCTTGACATGCATTCTTCCTACGGCCTTTAAGTTTTTATCGGCGTATGTTTTTACGTTTTTTGCGATTTTCTGTTTTTGCTTCTATGCGACGTTTTTCCATTTAAAGGACACTCTTTCACAAGAGACTCAAGGAATTAAACAAGAAGACCAAGATGAATATCTCAATTCTGGCGAAAAGGGCTTAACTCGAACAGCAACAATCAGGGCACCAAGATTTAGAGCGCCACGCCTTACAGTTGCTGAAATCTCTGAGCCTAGTTTAATGCCGAACTATCGCGCGGGCCAAAGCTCTGCCAGTACTACATACGTGCAGGGCAATGACACGCTAGAAGAGCCACACACTGCAACTTTGGAGATTCAAGATGAGGGCGAAGAAGAAGAAAAAGAAGAAATACAAAGAATATGGGGCGCTGAAGACATTGGCGTAGAAAGTATTAGTCAAAGGTACTTGCGTAAGCCGAGCCATGAGATTAATATTGCAGCAGATTCACCGCTTGCACACTTATCCAAGGCGGTTTTGCGCAAGCCGAGTGGAGGGGCACGGTCGCAACTACATTCGACAGCTGGCTCATTCAAATCGACAAGTGTACGAAGTATGATTAATAATTCATTTGGAGGGCGAGATGATGACATGTATGAATAAGTAAGTTATGTAATGAAAAAAAAAGAGGGTGGTTAGTTAATCTAGATCTGCTCAGCAGGTGTTTTTGTTGTATGGGAGGCAAAGAAAAGGAACTTGACGGCCACAGAGATTCCTCCGTGAACAAGTAGAGAAAGACCAAGTAGGATGGCACCAGGCTTTCTGTCAATGGCAACGGCGGCGGTGGAGTCTGGAATAAAGAGAGCACGGAGGTTTCTTGCAAGGAAGATTGAGGAAAATGCGCAACCAAGAAGAACAATGAACCAACGGAAAAGGTCTGTAAACTTAGGAAGAAGGCCATCTAGAGGAGCGACAGCCAAGATGGCGACGGGGATCCAAATGATGTTGGAGTAACCGTAGAGCGAAACAAACGAAGTGATAGTTGCGTTTGGCTGAGTAGTGAGCAGTCCGAGGTAGTGAGCAGCTGCCCATAGACCAATGGGCCAAAGGAATGTGTATGAGTAAAGCATGGAAGCTGCTCCGGTCAGCAGATCAAAGCGATATTCGTAGTTTGTATGTTGGACTAGCTTTGAGATGATGACGCCTGTAACAGAGGAGGCAAAGAAAAGGGCAAAGATGACAGAAGAGGTGATCCAAAAAGGCCCATAAAGGTCCGGCAATAATGGGTCTGGATTATCTTGAGTATGGAAAAGGAAGACCTGACGAGTGGTAAAGGGATTGAGGGCAAGAACGCTGCGCTGGAGGACATCTGCGGTGTCGACATTGAAGTACTGGGCATAATACTTCAGAGAAAAGATTGAATGGGAGCCGTTTTGAGCTACTGGTGCCTGAGGTTGAATGTATTGAGGTTGAGCAGTTTGCTGCTGAGGAGTTTGAGGTGGGGGTTCAACCCATAAGGGCTCAGTGTCGGGTATAACGGACATGGTGATTGAAGGTTGTTGTGAGGACTTTTGATGTAAATAGAGGTTGGTTTGAATAAGACTCTAATATGGCTATGGTGGTGGGGGATTTTTTTTGCCAGCAGCTCAGGCTTGAAGTTTGTTACAGTTACAACACTTAAGCCGCACTATGTATAGGTTTTTTTTTCTTTTGAAAAAATGAAACAGGGTCCGTAGATTTGAGACCGAAGAGTGTAAATATAAGACTGTTTTTTTTTTTTGCCAAAGTCCTTCAATGTTTTAATATATGCATTTTTACATACTACGAAACTCATCAGAAATAGTAGAATACTTCTAAAAGACAGTAAAACACAAAAGAATAGCTTTAGTTACGCGTCGATTTGATAGCTTGAAGTTTTATTTAAGATCTAAACTCATAAATATTACCTCGACTATAAACCGACCACACACACATGGCGAATTATCAAGGTAGTGCGCCTTTCATTTTCGAAGACGATGAGGAGGACCGCGTTGTTTTAGGACAACCTCTGGGTGGATCTGTAGAATACACAAAACAATCGATAGTACAACAGTATAACTCAAAAACTCAAAACTATCATCCGGAGGAAGAAGATGAAGAAGATAATTACGACGATGTGCCACCACCTGTAGGTACTCAAATGCATCCACAAAAACCACCAGTACATGGGAATGAGAAAGTGGAAAACGGCAAAGGGGGAGAACAGGAAGCTGATCAAGAAAGTAGAGAAGAAGATGAGGAAGAGGGAGAGGGAGAGGGAGAGGGAGAGGGAGAGGGAGAGGGAGAGGGAGAGGGAGAGGGGGAGAGGGAGAGGGAGAGGAAGAGGAAGAGGAAGAGGAAGAGGAGGAAGAGGAAAATGACGAATTTTTGGATGATACAAAGATGTCACCAGGAGCTTATAAGCGACAATTGCATCAACGAATTATAAGGCAGCAGCAGCACGAAGCAATGATCCAGCAGATGCAACAAGAGCAAGCAAGATCTGCAGCAATAGAAAAGGAAAGAGCGGAACAACAAATACGCGAGCAAAAGAGACTAGATAAGGAGAGGCGAGATCGGGAGAAAAAAGAGAGGGAGAAGGAACGAATAGAAAAAGAACGGAAAGAGCAAGTGCAGAAAGAAAAAGAGCGAAAGGAACAAGAAGAGAAGCGATTGGAAAAGGAGCGACAGGAACAGGAACTAATCGAAAAAGAGCGACTAGAAAAGGAAAAAGAAGAAAAGGAAAAAGAAGAAAGGGAAAAAAAAGAAAAGGAAAAACAGGAAAAAAGGCGGTTAGAAAAAGAGCGATTGGATCTAAAGCGTGAGCGTAGAATGCAAAAGCTGGAGTTGCAACTGGAAATTGCGACACAGCAATTGGCTCAGCAGCAGAGTATCAGACGAATGGACGAAATCGGAAGTCAATCTTCAAGCCCGCGCAACAGTGTATTTCTAAAAGAGGGGTCTACGACCGGGTCTCCAAAGCAAATAAGGGCTAATACATCATTCCAAGGAGCGTCTACTGCATCAGAACAACAAAATTTATCTACGGGCCAGTGGCAGGTGATGGGACCTGGACCCAATCTGAGTTTTGTGGGGGCCACACAACGTAATTATGGATTTATGGGGACCCCTCCACCATCGGCTGCGTCCGGCATAGGAGCAGGAGCAGGAGCAGGAACGGGTTCACAACAACAAAGACCACAGGAGTCAAGCACTCCTGGTCCAGCGCTGGCGCCGGGACATCCTCCACCTGAAGCATGCTTGCCTGAGCACCTGATACCTGAGCCAGGACCTGGTGGGAAGCCAATCTGGGACGATAGTATGATTGACTTTCGGAGTTTACAAAAGGGAGATGATGGGTGGTTTGATCCTTCAGTGATTTGCACTGCAACAACTCATGAGCTTGTGGAGCGGGTTCAGCCATGGAATGGTGGGATTTTACATTTCCCTCGGTTTGTGAGTGATATCAAGTATGCCATGTACAACTCATTCCCGAATTTGATTCCCACTGAGGCAGCCAAAATTCTTGTAAGCAAGATGCCTGCACCAATTCGGAGCTCATTGCTAAAACGGGAGATTCCACGAATGGGAATGAATGCAATTGTGAGTTACGTTGAGCGAGGGTACGGGGACTTTGAGCAAAAGCTGCGGGAATCTGCCCAAGCACACTTGTTAACCACACATATGGGCCGGGTACGGGTTTCCTTTGAGCAGTTTTTGCTATACCACTCGTGGTTGACACATGTTTCCGGGCTTACTGACGTGGAGCGCATGAAGTCATTGGCAGCGTGCGTGGACCCAGCTTTGGTAGAGCGGTACCCTATTCGAGCATTGAGCTACGAGGAATTCAAGACAGAGCTATGGAAAAGCTTTGAATATGACTATGTGTTTAAGCAGTACATTATACAAGGGCTTGAAATAAGCCGACAAAAGATAGAGGAGGATCAGGCGCAGGATAGAGCGTGGCAGGAGTCGCTGCCAAAGGGAACTTCTGGGATTGATCCTAAGGATAATGTCACAGATCTTGTACCATACCAAATGAAGCAGCAACAGCAGCAGCAACAACAGCAGCAACAACAGCAGCAACAACAGCAGCAACAACAGCAGCAACAACAGCAGCAACAACAGCAGCAACAACAGCAGCAACAACAGCAGCAACAACAGCAGCAACAACAGCAGCAACAACAGCAGCAACAACAGCAGCAACAACAGCAGCAACAACAGCAGCAACAACAGCAACAACAGCAGCAACAACAGCAACAACAGCAGCAACAACAGCAACAACAGCAGCAACAACAGCAACAACAGCAGCAACAACAGCAACAACAGCAGAAACACAATAATTATCAGCATTCACAGCGCTCTCCAATGTCTGAGACCATGAGCAATAGATCAGCTCCTCAAAGCAGCAGTGGGAGTCATAGTAGTCACGTCGGGCACGGCGCTTCACACCGCGGTTCGAGCAGATCGAGCAGTGTGGATAGTAGCAGCATTCCGGTGGCCCCATCATTATGGTCGCCTCAGAAGTCAGGGAACCATCAGAAAATGCCTCCGCCTGCACGACTAGCACATTTGCGGCAAAGCACTTGCATTAATGAGACAAGTCGGCCAAGCAGCAGTGCAAGTGGCACCAATGGTGGTGTTGGAGGGAGCGGCTTAGCATCTAATGGGAGCGGTATGAGCCATTCTTCTTCTGCAGCGGGTCATAAACGCAAGGCTGGCGAAACCGAAATGGCAGGATCCATTGTGCGCCACAAATTGGGTGGCAGCATTGGGGGGTCTCGACAACGGCTGTTTGGCCATATGTATCGGCAGACATACCGGGCACACCACCTACCACTTTCTCTGGGTAGTAACATTGATGACTACAAAGCAATAGCTGCGGATCTCAAGCAAGCTCGTTGGAGTGGCTAGTTAGATTGATCTGAATGGAAACCTAGTGCTGTGACCTGGTGCTGTGACCTGGTGCTGTGACCTGGTGCTGAGACCTGGTGCTGGGACCTGATGCTGTTATATCTTCACTGTCTGGCCTTGCATCCTTCACTCCCCCTGCTTCCAATACACAGAGTCCAGCGGGGTTTATGGCTGTTTGCTGTGGGGGGATCCAGACCTGTTTCAAGCTGAGTCTAAGCAATTTAGGGTTTTTGTACCCAAAAAGCAAGCGGTATATTGTATATATATAAATAGTAATAGAGTATATAGGAATAGGATGAGGCGGTTATTGTTGTATTTAAAAAAGTTTGTCTTTCCTACTTTGCTTCTTTCTTCTTGCCAAAAAGAACTCCCAATTAGTTTTATCGAGTGACTTTTAAGGAACATTGTATTATTTGGTTTTAATTCATCATATATATTCCATCGTTTTTATTCATTCCTCTAGCAATCAATCCATCAATTTATCGATCAATTGACATTTTTCAATAATGCCTCCTCTCCCTCCCAGTGAACATGCCAGCTTGATTGAATGGTTAAGCCAAATCCCAGATAACTTGCTACTCTCACAGCTGTCTATCCCAGGCACTCACAACTCGTCAGCACACCACCTGTCGCTCCCGTCGGTGCAGTGCCAGGGAACTTCTGTGACAGACCAGCTGCGCCATGGCGTGCGGTTTTTTGACTTCCGCGTTGCTAAGCCGTTTTTGACTAACTGCGGGAATGCGTTTGGATCATCACCAGACGATTTGCAGGTGGTGCACGGCTCGTTCCCTGTCCGGCTGCCATTCCCTGTGAAGCTAGAAGACGAGCTCAATGAGATTTATGCGTTTCTGCAGCAGCACCCCACCGAGACGGCGATTGTATCGATCAAAATGGAAGGCGACACGTCGGTTTGGCAGGGCGATGATTTCCCCAACCTCATCTGGAACCGGTACGTGGGTCCTTCACAGGACAGGTGGTTTTTGGAAAACCGCATCCCGCAGATGGGCGAGGCACGCGGCCGTGCAATCCTATTTCGGCGCTTTGGGCTCAAGGAAAACGCCATTCGAAACGACAGCAATTTTGGCTTTGAAGCGGCATGGTGGAAGTACAATACGCCTGAGGACGATCGCGGGCGGTTTGTTGTGCAGGACTGGAATGAAGTCAATTCACCTGAGGACATTCAAAAGAAGGTACACTACATCAATGCACAGGTTGAGCGTGCTGTTTCGTACAATGCAACTGCGGAGTCAACCCAAGGTGACACCGCCAAGTTTTACGTTAATTTTTGCTCCGGGTCCAACTTTTGGGACCCGCGTTGCTGGCCTAAGGGTGTAGCCAAAGGCGTGAACGCCAACATTGAGGCCAATTCGAACGGAATGGGCTTCATCATTATTGACTATGCGGAGACTCGTGACTGGGAGATTCCCCGCAAACTAGTGGCCCATTCGCTCCAAGTTGCTCGCAAGCATGGTTGAGTTTTTTCAAGGATTAAAAAAAAAAAAGATATTTCATTGTTTAAGTGATGGGGGGGTTTTTTTTTTAAAAAAAATTATTTAAATAACGTAGTATTAAGTATAACTGGTAAAATCGTTTATTTTAATTATTTTTTTTTGTGCAAATATATATAACGCAATGGACGTAAACCTTGAACCACCACTTTTAATATATAAACCGTCAACTAAGTATATCATTACCAGAACTACCCTACACTTATCAATAATTCCCACTGCTTTTATTTCCCAACAATGACATCAATGTCATCCGCATTTCTAGGCCATGTGCGTATTTTCCTTGCTTCCATTCTGTCCGTCCTCTTAGTACTTGGCCACACGTTTGTCTTTAACCCGGTACGTGCGGCCACGGTTGTGGCGTGGCGGATCCTGCGTCTTGTAATCTTAGAGTACCAGCAACAGCAGCTTGATCATAACGGGTCTCCTCGCGTTCGTCCCAATTCTCCCAACAGTGATACGATACGTTTACTTGAGGATCCGCAGCTTACGGACCCAGATACCGGACCTGATACAGTCACACCTAACACACCAGCTGCGCGCACGTCTCCAGTGTTGGATTCGCAAGATATACATTATGAGGAGTTGCAGCGTCACAGGGAATACGAGCAGCTGGTAGCCGCAACATCTAATACATCAGCCGCCTCGGGGGAATTACAATCAGAAAGATCGGAAATTAGGCGTAGACGCGTGCACCGACAGAGCGCAGAAGCCAATTTGCAGCGACAGGACCGAGATGCAGTGGCTGCGGCTTCGCGTGCAGTGGCCCGTGCAGCTACCATGTCTGCAGTTGCAGCCGCGTTACGCGACATTGACGACGAGAATGATGATGATGATGAAGAAGATGGTGAGGAAGTAGAAATGGATGGTAACGGTAGTGTGATTTATACAGGGCTTTTGCAGACCCCCGCTAGGCTCTTTTTTGGAAACCTCAATGGCAACAACTTTGATCAAGAGATTAACGACAGTGAAAATATATACAACAATGACCATGATGATGACGAACATGATAGTGATATGGAGAACCTAGTGGAATGGCTGCTACATGCTACTGATACGCCTGAGGATACTCCTGTTGATGGCAGTGCATTGCTACGACTGGCAGGGACTCCGCGTCACAATCAGGGATCGCCGCACTGGCGCAGTTCATGGACATCAACATCGTTGCTTGGAGAGAATGAAAGAGCTACTACTAACTCAACTACTACAGAAGCAGTTGAAGACTCTACAGAACAAGACCGCATAAGAGATCGAGAGCGGCGGAGGGCTGCTGCACGAGCACGGGCACGGGAATCTGTCTATGGGCTGGCGAGCGGGATTGCACGAGCACATGGAGGGAGTCCAGGCGGTACCGGGTCCAGAAGTTCCCCCACTAATGGCAGTGGCAGTGGCAGTGGTACTCGGGGTTTGCGTACATTTGAGACCGGATCGTCATCCTCATCACCACAACTGCGCGGCTTAGGAATAGAATCTGGGACTTCTGCCTCAAGGTTTTTCTCCCAACTTAGTTTCTCGTCTCAGCCTGTGGGCAGCAGCTCCCAGCACCAGTCAGCAGTTTATTTGCCTGGAGGCACTTCCACCACAAGGTTTTCTCAATCTCAACCACTACCACCACCTAATATTACCAACACTAACACTTCCAACACCATCACAGCAAGAAGCAACACCACAAGACTCCCACCTCTAGCAATGTCTTCTAGAAACTCCCGTCCGAACGTCATTCCGGCACTTAGAGGAGCTGCAAATACTGTTGCTGGCGCTAATGCTTTGGGAGCTGCTGCTGCCGAAGCTGCTGCCTCTGCGGCCGCTGCTTCTCGCCGTACTAACTCTACTGCAAATTCTGCCAACAATAACCGAGCCTCGACCCGCATACCGTCGGCCTCATCGTCAGCTGCAAACACAACTACATCTTCAACTCGTCAAACACCAAGATGGCTCAGAAGAGCCTCTGGAACTGATGGTGCTGGTGCTTCTTCCTCCTCGGCTCTCCCATCTTCTGGTGAAGGGTTTGCCACATTTCCTCCCAAGACATATTCAGATGCGACCTGGGCTGCATTTGCGTCGTCTTTCCCTATTTCCAAAACTGAGCTCAATGCGCTCATTATGAATTATCTGATTGTTGAGGGCTACCAGTCGGCCGCACTAAAGTTTTCGCGCGAGGCAAATGTGCCCATTGCATCTTCCACATCACTGGCCAATGGCGAGTACGATGTGTCTCGACTTGGCTCGTCTGCAGTAGCTGCAGATATTTCTTCTTCTTCCTCATCTCCACAAAGCAGTGCCGACTTTTTGCCAGCTGGTCTGGCAGACGACACTACTCCAGGTAACATGTATTTCCGGAAAGAACCCCCGATCTTTTCTCTTGACTCCGTGCATGAGCGTATGGTCATCAAATCGCTTATTCTAACGGGTTCTATTCAGCAAGCTATTGAAAAAATTAACGATGTAGACCCCGAGCTTTTAGATACAAATTCAGGACTACACTTTTCACTGCTACGACTACAGCTCATTGAACTTATTCGCGCAGCAAACAATGCACGGGCACAGCGTAAAAGCAGCAGCAGTAACAACAACAACAACAACAGTGAAGACGCATCTGCAAATAGTGATCTTGATTTGATTCAACCGGCGCTTGACTTTGCATCGTCGCATTTGGCTCGCCGCGCACCTGCTAACCCCAAGTTCTTGGAGTATCTGGAGCAGACCATGGCCCTGCTATGCTTCCCCCCTGATAAACTTGTACCTCAGTTGCAAGAGCTCATGGACCCCAAAATGCGCAAGATGGTTGCTCAGGAGGTCAATACTTTGCTTTTGGCGCGCCAGGGTATTTCTGGCGAGTCCAACATTCACTCTCTAATTAGGCTATGGGGCTGGGCTGAGCGTGAGCTTGTAGACCATGAGGGTGTTTCCATCCCTGTTCTTAACCCATCTTCTTTAATAAACTAAAATTGTATGTGTATAAATATAATATTTTTTTTTAAAAAAAAGAGAAAGAAAAAAAAAATAAAATTGGTTTTAAGCCAATAAATAATTTATTCGGTTTTGTAGGCATCATCGGCTCGCTTGAGGTATGCGTGCATCTTGTTCACAGCCTCCTTGCGCACCTGGCGCAGTGGCACAGTGCCTTCATCCACCTCGCGGTCATCTTCTTGTGATGTGTCAATACCGTCGAGCACCAGCATTTTTTGCAAAATACTCTCAGAGATGAGACGATGATCGTCCAGTCGTTGACCTTTATCTGTAGGTGTGTTACTTTCAAACTTTTCAATCAATGGCAGGATCTTTTCTTCAACGAAATTCACCACATCAGCAACCTTCTCGCGCTCAGTTTTTAACGCAACAGGCTTGGTTGGCTCGGGGAATTTCCGTGGAATTTGAGCAGTAGAACTAGTAGAATTATTGTTATTTGTTGTCCAGACGTTTCCTCCAGCTGGTTGTTTCTTTCCCTTCTTTCCCTTTTTGCTTCCGGCAGCCTTGCGCGCACGGTCATTAGCAGCAGCAGCAGCAGACATGGCCTCGGGCTTTGATACATGGACTGAAATTAAATCACCAGTCTTGACGCCATATGACTTGAGCGACTTGGTACCATTATCCAATTTTTTGCCTGAGTGTGTTAGTGTAAATTTATTAATATCCAATGGCCTGCTGTTGCCACTAGCGACTGACAGTTCTCCACTATCAATCTGCACCACACCGTCCGCATCTTTGCGCTTGTACAATTTACGCACTGCAGCAGCGGTCGATGAAGTTTCTGACGAATCGGCCATGATCTTAGGTGTGAGCAAGCGCGACACCAGAAACTGGAGCGAGCGCAACGTCACACCTGCATTGGGATCAGCCTCGCTGTCAAAATCATCCTGGCTAAACTTCAAATGGTATTGGTTAGCACCATATTGCAAAGTTACCGAGTCCGGACCATGTCCGGGCATCATTGAGTTGAAAAAGGAGCCTGCCGTGGATGAAATGTTTTCAGAACCCGAGCGGGCATGTGAACGAGTTGCAGCGGGCGAGCGGGAACGCGAAGAGGATCGGGAGGAGGACGGCGAAGTGGCCGAGGTAGTGTTGGATGAGTCGTCCAATGAGCCCACACCCAACCAAGATGAGATTCGTTGCCACATTGTTTATGCGTTTTTTTTTTTTTATTTATTTTTTTGAAATAAAAAAGGTAGTGATTGAAATGGAGTCAAGTATTAAATACTTGGGGAGGCAATGGTAGTGAAGTGAAGGTGGTTATGGGCTGAGGGAAGGTCTTTTTTTTTTGGAGTGCAAACTAAGACCAAAAGGCTGAAAATGAGGTGTTAGTATGGAGCCAATTGGTGAATATTGAATATGAAAAAACCCTAACCTGAAAACATTGCTTAGTTCTTTCATTGTTGTTGTCGGTCATTTTAATTTCGGGACGCGTACCGATTTTTAAAATTGTAATCAAAACAAGTGCCGGCAAAGATAAAATATTATGTAACAACTTTGTAATAGCATTAAGCCGCACTTCCAAAAAAAAATTTTAAATCTTTCAGACCCAACAATTCTTTTAAAAAATCACCACAAACTAAAAAACCTTTCAAATTCATCTTTTTATTTTTTTTTTTATCTTCAATAATACCACAAGATACCATGGGAAAAGCTGTCAAAGTCAAATCGAATTCAGCTGCCCGTCAGACAACTACAGCTGCAGCCACCGGCATTAAAACCGACATGGGCACGGGCGCCGGCGCCAAAAAGACTTCGGTCTTCACCATGAACACAGGCATTGGCCAGCATATTCTAAAGAACCCCCTTGTTGCGCAAGGTATTGTCGATAAGGCTGACATCAAACCTAGTGATACTGTTCTTGAAGTTGGTCCTGGTACGGGTAACCTGACGGTGCGTATTTTGGAGAAGGCGCGCAAGCTCTACGCGGTGGAAATGGATCCTCGTATGGCTTCAGAACTCACCAAGCGTGTACAAGGCCACCCGGAATGGCAAAAGAAACTGGAAATTATGCTCGGCGACGTTATTAAAACAGAACTGCCACAACACGACGTTTGCATCTCTAACACACCTTACCAAATTTCTTCTCCACTCGTCTTCAAGCTGCTCACCATGCCACGACCCCCGCGTGTCGCAATCCTCATGTTCCAGCGCGAATTTGCTCTGCGTCTTCTTGCACGGCCCGGTGACAATCTGTACTGCCGTCTTTCTGTCAATACGCAAATGTGGGCTCGCGTCACACACATTATGAAGGTGGGCCGCAATAATTTCCGCCCGCCGCCCAATGTGGAGTCGAGTGTGGTTCGTATTGAAATCAAAAACCCACGACCAGACATTAGTTTTGAAGAATGGGACGGCATGTTGCGCATCTGCTTTGTGCGTAAAAACAGAACTATTTCCGCAGGATTCAAGAGTCCAACTGTGATTGAAATTCTTGCCAAAAACTACAAAACAGTAATATCTATGAAACAGTCGGATGATGACGCTATGATGGAAGATACACCTGAAGATGAAAAGGCTCTCGAGAATCTCATCAAGGAAAAAATCGAAACAGTTCTTACTACAACTAAACTCGGTGAAAAGCGTGCAGGAAAATGCACAGAAACAGACTTTTTAAAACTGTTGCATGCCTTCCATCAAGTTGACATTCACTTTGCTTAAAAAAAATAACATATATAGAGAAAAAAATTAGTATTATTAATGGGGTTATAAGCATAATAGAATTTGTTTTTTTTTATTAATTAGAATCATCATCATCATCATCGCCAACAAGTGTCCAAGACTCATCTGTCTTGTGTGTATCTTCGCTTGAGCTTGATGCAGACCCGCCGACAGAAGTTTTATGAATCGAGTGCCGGCTTCCATGAATACCATGAACCGAATGGCGGCTCCCATGAGTGGCGTGAATCCCTCCCAGGTGATGGTGATGAGGATGCCCGTGTCCTCCCTGGCTTCCAGTACTCGAGTTACTAGCCACGCTATTAGTTCTGCTTGGATGCGAAAACGTCAAACTGCTGCGCGTTCGCGAGGTGATGCTGCTCAAAACTGCTCCAGCGCGATTTGATGTAGTCCGCGCACACGTTTTATCAACTTCAACAGTGCTTTCTGTCGATGACGTAGGAACTGACAGCTCACTTTCAGACCCAGTCTCTTCCTCCTCCTCAGAGTGCCCAATAATCTTGCGGAACGTGCGCACTGGCCGCAATGTAGTGCTTGTTTTACTACTGCTTGCCTCGTTCGATTCAGGCAAGTTGTAGGAGCTGCCGGTAATGTGCAAGAATCCACGCGATGATGGTGACGATGACTGTCCTAGAGTAGGAGAGCTCTGCGTCGCAGCACTGTTACTGTTATTGTTATTGTTACTGCTACCAACACCACTAACCTCAAGCAGTGGCCGATACGCAAGAGAAGCAAGCGCACCAGCGTGTTCTGCTGATGCAGTAAATGTGCGCGAAATGGCACCACCAACAGGAGACAGAATCCCTGTAATTCCAAACGAATCGTGCTCTTTTTCAATTTCTTTCTGGCGACGCTTCTTGACTAAAGACATGGCGTAGTCCATTTGCCAGTAAATAAGCGCAATGGCTGTATCCACACCGTGTTCCTTACGAATCTTACTGCCCAGCAACTTGGCCTTCTTGATAACCTTCGGGTTGGTTGTCACTTCCACAATCGCCTTGGAGAAAGCATTCACAGTCAGTTTCTTAAGAAACACGCCCACACCAAGATCCTCAACGCGACCCGCGTAAAAGAACTGGTCCCCGAAAAACGGTTTAATAATGGTTGGCAAACCTGCTCGCAAACTAGCACCTGTCGTGCCTGAACCACCGTGGTGTACGGCTGCGTCAATCTGCGGGAACAGCCAGTCATGCGGCGCAGACTTAATTTGGAAGATTTCCTTGGGCAGTGGTACCTCTATTTTGTTGGCAGCGTCCTTGTCGCCAAAGCGTTCGGACCAGCCCTTAGATAAGATACACCGAACACCAGCTTTGAGCACAGACTCAACAACGGCCTTAGTCATTTCGGCAGGATTCGAAACGACAATAGAACCGAATCCAATATAGACTATCTTCTTTTTGTCCTTGCGTGCAGTATCCATAAAGTCAACAAGGTCTTGAGGCGGCTTAAATGTATCAGCAGCACCTTCGTCCAAAAACCAGTAACCAGTCACCCGTACCCAGTCTGGGTAATCCACAGGCGGTACCAAGACAGAAGGAGATACATTGTACAAAAATGGTACCTCGTTTTGGCGCAACAACTCCAAGTTAGTCTTGTCCAAACCGAGCTCTTTGACGCGCCATTTATTGACCTGACTAGAAATGCCTTTCCAAAAGACATTTTCAAATAACACATAAGTCAAATGGTTATAAGATCCGCCCATCTTTTGTTCGGGAACCATAAAAGCATGGGGATAAGTGCGTGTGCGTGTCCAGGGCATTGTAAAAGCGCGAAAGTATGGGATATTGAGAGCTTCGGCAACATGAATACCAGCCATGGCACTGGGACTCTCAATTATAACGTCTGAACCTTGACAGGCCTCCCAGGTAGTGTGCAGTAGTTCATCTATCCAGCCGCGGAACCTAGACGCTGCATCGCGCAAAAACGATACTGAAAACATTCCATGCTCAATCATAATCTTCATGAGCTCACCGGGATCGCCTGCAACTTCACGGAATTCAATACCATAGCTCTCAACCCAGTCCTTAAACTCAGCATGGGTAGCAATACGACACTTGTGGCCTTCCTTCAGCAGACCTTTGCACAAGGCAATATAAGGCTGTACATCACCTCGAGAACCAATAGTCACGCAGGTGAAATGATAAACCTTGCGAGGCTTTTCTGCCGTTGGAAGCAAAGGAGCAGCATGATCGCGCGACTCAATAATAGCAGGTGAAGTGCCACCATCAAGCACACCACCCTTGCTGCGGAGGGTATCTTCATAAGTGTGCAATCGTGCCAGACGTAGCCGCTCTTGAGGCGTGTGGACCGCCTCATCGTGTCCACCGAAGCTACTACTTGTCAGAGAGCCCTGCATGCGCAGCACATCCAAACGTTTGCAAGTCACAGCTTCGCAATCATCGCGAGCGGCTCTAGAGGAAAATTCAAAGAAAACATCTTCGTGTCCATGAATAACAATCACAAGCCCAGAGTACCCAAACTTAAAGCCATTTTCGGCAGAAACATTCTCAATGTCTTTGTAGGGCACCACCATTTTAGTCTTAGTTCCGAGAATCAAACTGCGGAAACACACAAAGTTCATGCTGACATAAATCTTGCCGTAAATGGGGATGGGTTTCTGAATATGTGCATAGTATGTAGCCACAAGTTCTTCATCCTCACCAAAGCTAAAGTGGGCTTGGAATCGCTTGTTGCTCTCCTTTCGCTCTTCATCGGACACCAAAAGCTTTTCGAGATCATCAGAATCTACATACTCATCGGAACCCTTTTGGTAGTGTTTTATAGTGCTCGTAAACATATCAGATACCTTGTGAACCATAGTTCCATGGACTCGCTTCTTCTTTTCAGCTTCTGTATGACCCCGTCCAAAACGAAACCCTGGAAGAAGACTCGTAGTAGATTGAGTGGCAGTTGGAAGTTGTGAAGTGGCGGTAGCCGCAATCGCAGGCATACCTATGGTAGTAGCAAGAAGAGTTGGTGAAACTTCTTCCAAATGACGTTCGCGTGAATGGTCTCGGGAGTGTGAGTTTTCCCGAGAAAGCCCGTCCATAGGGAAAATATTTGGAGAAACATCCATATAACTATCTTCTTGGGTCAGTATTGATGAATCTTCATGAGCTGTAATGTGTTCTTTTTGCAGCGGTAATACACCAGCAGCTGTATTTGCATTTGCTTGGCCAGGTTGAAGTCTACTAGGAGAGGTAGACCGCGACTGTGACCCGTCGCGGCCCACAATGTTGCGCACGCGGCGAGTCACACGACGGCCCAGCCCAGTCACGGACTTACCTGGGCTTGAAGCATCATCTGTGGGGTAAAGGATTGGTGAACTAGACCCCAAGCGAGTCGGGCTTTGGCCTGCGATGGGCGAAGAACCAATTGAGTAAGTCGAATCTGTAATCCTGCCCAATGTACGGCGTGACTCAGAGAGCTCCTCGACAAGCTTTTCAGTACCAATTTTAGGGTTGATGTCCTTTATGCCCTTTTTATCCATGACCCGGCGAATGGCCTCAAGGGGGACCTCGGACTTTTTAGAAGGATGAAGGAAAGCCAAGACATACTCGTCAATCGAAAAAGTTTCTTCTGAGTCAATTGCACGGACCTTAAGTGCGACACCAAATTCTTGAAGATTTGATTCCTCAAGGTCCACAATGTTTTCCACGGGAATCTTAATCTTGACTTGGTCACCTTCGTTTCTACTGAGGAAAATGGCACGTTGGAGAGACTTAACCCATAGTTGAGCTGAAACCGGATTGTCTGCTTTAAATGTGTGTGTGCGCTGTTCTGTTACCAGCGAAAAGAGCGTAGAGTTGTATTTATCACCGCCCGGAGTTTCAGGAACAAGATCTGCTTGAAAAGCAAAACGAAGATCAATAGCACCAAGGGGGAAGTACAACTCTTTGGCGCTATGATAAAAGGAGAGTTGGTCGGGCCGCAGAACAAACCAGCTCCGAGTCAAGCGGGACCCGCGATGAGCCATTTTGGAGAGTGAGCCACTCATGAGAGTTTTACCTTGGGTGCTTGGCAAAAAAGCTGTAAAACAAACGTCATTTTCAGTCACGTAAAGGCGACCTTCAAGCAAAATATGTCTAAGAAGCCAGCATGGATAATCTAAAAAAAAAGAAATCGAAAGGATATTAGATAAAAATTAAAAGGGTTCAAAAAAAAAGAGGGATTTCATACCTGCAACGAGAACGTCATCATCATTTACACCCAATGAACGAAGGGTTTCTGCGATAAGACCGGCGCGTTTCTTGCATTCTTCATCTTCATCTTTAGTCTCAGCCTTAGACTTTATTGATGCCGCACCGGATTTGCTGGAGCGGCGTGAGGCGCGGTTACTTGTGAGGACTAAGGAATGAATACTTTGAGTCAGACGTGACATGCTTTGCTGGTCTGTGTCTGTACTTGTGAGGGAAAGCTGCTGAATTTCGTTAGATGCGCTAGAAGTCTTGGGCTTTAGGGTGGAAGCATCGTCGTTTGTAGAAATCTTTGAGACGCGATCTAATTCTGATTCTGTATCGACTAGAGCGACGGGCTTAGATTCCCCAGCTAAAGAACTTTTATCTTCTTCGTCTTCATCTTCGTCCTCGTCATCATCATCTTCGTCAGTGTCGTCATTAGGAGATATACTGGCAGATTCATTAAAAAGTTTAAACAATGTAACGCCGATAGAGGATTGCTGAACAGCAGCAAGGTCCATTGAAGAGTTGCGTTTTTGTTTGTCGTCTTCAGTATCACTGAGATAGGTTTCAGGTTCTAGCTGAGCAGCAGGTGATGTAGGTTTTTCCATGGTAGTTAAAAAAAAAATATAGGTTTAAGAGTCTCTAGCCATGTAATGATAGTCAAATATTGAAATTAAAAAAGGGTGGTGGTTTTAAAAAAAATAAAAAAAGGTCCACGCTTTTAATCTTAAAGAAAATGTGGCAACTAATAGTATGCGATAGCAACTTTTGAAATGATGAGATGGAAACAAAAAAAAGAAGAATAATCGGGGATAATATATTCTTTATATATAATTTTAAGAAATTTAAAAAAAAAAAAGTTTAAAGAACTCACTCCAGAAAAAAAAAAAGTTTAAAATAATGTAATTGTACGGCAGGATGTAAGATAGACTTTGATTGATTATGTTGATGACGGGTTTTCTATACACAAACGGACACCCGGACACACGTGTGACTATATTGATGTCCGGGTACACCGGATTTTCAAAGAGTCCCGTAACCCAAAGAAGATTGACAAAAAAAAAAAAAAGGAAATTTACTTTAAATTGGTTATCACGATTGCTGGACTTAATTTTTAATCATTTTCTTGATTTCTTACAAAGAGGCAACAATCTCTGTAGAAAGTAAACTGTTAAAGGTTGATGCTTCGTGCACCATGTGAGGGCCACCTTCCAAATGCTGCGTTAAGGTTAAGTGCTTTCCCACACTTTACGGACATTGGAAGTCCTCTCCCCACCTTTTGTTCCCTACAAAAAGGTTTACCATTTCATCCCGCAATGAACAAGGAGACTTAGCCAAACACGTATCTTTCAATTTAGATATTTCTAATCCACACTGGAGAGTTCTTTGATAAAGGAAATATTTGACCCCGTTTTTATTGTTATTGTTTTTAAGACTTTAAATAAATAGGTCTTCTCTTTCTACTAATAATGCCTCACAAACGTACAAAAGAACGCGTCTGGTGAGCACATAAAAGTCTATCAGCAGCAACTTACTCGTGATCTTGATAGGCTTCACAGACAAGCCAATTCACATTAAAAGCGGCTTTAAGACATGTTTAGATTTTTCTTTTTTTTTTTTTCTTCCACATTCTTACTTTCAAAAGCTTTTTCTTCAATCGCCATTTTGATATTTTCGCTTCAACCGCCACCACAGAGGAAATTAGCATGTGCGCTTTGCATGCCGCTAGTCAGTGGGATGGCACACGGCTGATTCCGACTGTTGCAACTGTTGTGGGGAGGAGGAGGAGTAAAGCCTTTAGGCGGAAAATATACTTTATATGCGTATATTACGGTCCTTTAGAGTATCTATTATACCACTCCATAAGTCGAACAAAATAAAAAAATTTCACTGCCACCACTTTTTTTTTTTTTTTTTTGAAATTTTGCGCCATCGTGAAACCCAAAGGCTCCGCGGTCGCACAAAAATCCTTTCTTTCACCACCACCACTTTCAAAACATCATCACCACAAAACAACAACAACAAAACTCCTCCAAATCTTCCAACACCTCTTCGGCTGTTTGGAGATTCTCACCCCCTTTTTAATTTTTATTATTTGTGTCTATTTCTTTTATATCTAAGGAAATAAACTTTTTTCTTTTTTTTCTGTTTTCTTTTTTTTCCTTTTTTTTCACTCTCACTCTTGAGCTAGCAATACTCGTTTTATCAAAATGAGTGGCGGTAGATTCCCTCACTCCAGCGCACCGCTGGCTACTGTGAAAGAGGTTTGTTTTCATTCATTTAATATCTTTAATTCTCTTTCTAACTTACTTTTTCTAGGTCCAATTTGGTCTTCTTTCTCCTGAGGAAGTGGTACGTGTAACTGTTTAATTAAAAATTCTTGAAAGAGTTTTTCGCGTGGCTCGAAAAATTTCACTATACCCTATCACTACTACCCATGTTTATTTCTATCCCTTTCCTTATTCAGAGCTTTTTCATAAATATTAATGCTTTTCTACTTATATAGAGAGCTATTAGTGTTGCAAAAATTGAATATCCTGAAACCATGGATGAGACGCGTCTTCGTCCTCGCAATGGTGGCCTCAATGATCCGCGTCTTGGTACAATCGACCGCAACTTTCGATGCATGACAGTAAGTCTATATACATACTCCATCAATCAATTTTTATTTAATCTAACAATTCATTCTAGTGCAAACAAAGCATGGCGGAATGCCCAGGTCATTTTGGCTGCATCGAGCTTGCGAAGCCAGTCTTCCATATCGGTGTGTGATGCTTCAAAAAGAAAATTTTTTTTTCAACTTTCAAGAATGCTCTTCTAACACTTTTTTCTAGGTTTCATCAATAAAATCAAAAAAGTCTGCGAATCGGTTTGTTTAAACTGTGGCAAACTTCTTCTCGACGAGGTAAGCTTTTGAATATATTCTATTTTTTCTTTGTCCACTCTTTTTTCTAACCTCTATCTTTAGTCCCACCCACACTTTGCTCAGGCTCTCAGAATCCGAGATCCGAAGAGAAGATTTAACGCTGTGTGGGCTCTTTGTAAACCTAAAATGGTTTGCGAGGCCGACCCCCCAGAAGACGACTACAACGACCCCCTCAACAGCAACAATAAAGGTGAACACAACCACCATGGTGGTTGCGGAAACACACAGCCCACCATCAGAAGAGACGGCTTGAAACTTGTCGGCACTTGGAAGCGTGAAAAGGGTGAAGACGGTAATGCCATCCAAGAAAAACGAACTCTCACACCTTCCGAGATTTTAAATGTTTTCAAACACATTTCCAACGAAGACATTCGTCGTTTGGGTCTCAATGAGGACTATGCAAGACCTGAATGGATGATTATTACAGTTCTTCCCGTCCCACCTCCTCCAGTCCGTCCTTCTATCGCTATTAACGAATCCGCCAGAGGTGAGGATGATTTAACATATAAGCTTGCTGACATCATCAAAGCTAGTGCAAATGTTGCTCGCTGTGAACAGGAGGGTGCTCCTGCTCATGTTATTAACGAATTTGAGGCTTTACTTCAGTACCATGTCGCTACATACATGGATAATGACATTGCAGGTCAACCCCAAGCTCTCCAAAAGTCTGGCCGTCCTGTCAAGTCCATTCGCGCCCGTCTAAAAGGTAAGGAAGGTCGTCTCCGTGGTAATCTTATGGGCAAGCGCGTCGACTTTTCTGCTCGTACTGTCATTACTGGTGATCCCAATATTGATCTTGACCAGGTTGGTGTCCCCCGAAGTATAGCACGAACACTCACCTACCCTGAAGTGGTCACCCCTTACAATATTCAGAGACTGACTGAATATGTTCGCAATGGTCCCAATGAGCATCCGGGTGCTAAGTATGTCATCCGTGATACTGGTGAGCGTATTGATTTGCGTTACCACAAGCGCGCTGGCGACATTGCTCTTCAATATGGCTGGAAGGTTGAGCGTCATTTACTTGATAATGATCCTGTTCTTTTCAACCGTCAGCCTTCACTGCATAAAATGTCCATGATGGCCCACAGAGTTAAGGTTATGCCTTATTCTACTTTCAGACTGAATCTGTCTGTAACATCACCTTACAATGCCGATTTCGACGGTGATGAAATGAACTTACACGTTCCTCAATCCGAAGAAACTCGCGCTGAACTTTCTCAGATTTGCATGGTCCCCCTGCAAATTATTACTCCACAATCTAACAAGCCTATTATGGGTATTGTCCAGGATACGTTGTGTGGTATCAGAAAAATGACTAAAAGAGATACCTTTTGCGATTTTGAGCAAGTCATGAACATTCTCTTTTGGATTCCTAACTGGAACGGTATTGTTCCAGAACCTACTATCATTAAGCCCAAGCCTCTTTGGACTGGTAAGCAAATGCTTTCTATGTGTATTCCAGATGGTATCCATTTGAGACGTCTTGACAAGAGCCCTATTTCTCCCGATGACGACGGTATGCTTGTCGTAAAGGGTGAAATCATGTATGGTGTCGTTAACAAGAAGACAATTGGCGCTTCGGCTGGTGGTCTAGTCGATATTATCTTCAAGGAGAAAGGCCCTTACGCCTGCAGAGATTTTTTTGGAAATATTCAAAAGGTGGTGAACTTTTGGCTTCTTCACAATGGTTTCTCCATTGGTATTGGTGATACTATTGCCGATGCTGATACCATGAATACCATTACCAAGACCATTAATACTGCCCGCCAGGAAGTGCAAAAGATTATTAATGATGCTGAACGCAATAAGCTTGAGCGTGAACAGGGTATGACACTGCGTGAAACCTTTGAACAGAGCGTTTCCAAGACTCTTAACCAGGCTCGTGATAACGCTGGTAAATATGCCGAAAAGAGTTTGAAGGAATTAAATAATGTCAAGCAGATGGTTATTTCTGGTTCCAAGGGTTCTTTCATTAACATTTCTCAAATGTCTGCTTGTGTCGGTCAGCAAATTGTGGAAGGTAAGCGTATTCCATTCGGCTTTTCTGACAGAACACTTCCCCATTTCACAAAGGATGATTACAGTCCGGAATCTAAGGGCTTTGTTGAGAACTCGTACCTCCGTGGTCTTTCTCCTCAAGAATTTTTTTTCCATGCCATGGCTGGTCGTGAAGGTCTGATTGATACCGCCGTCAAAACTGCAGAAACAGGTTATATTCAACGTAGATTGGTTAAGGCCCTTGAAGATGTCATGGTCCACTATGATGGTACAGTCCGTAACTCCCTTGGTGATATTCTCCAATTTGTTTATGGTGAAGACGGCTTGGATTCATGCAAGGTTGAAAACCAACCTATTGATACTATTCCTGGAAATGATGACTCCTTTAACAACCGTTACAAGATTGATTTGATGGACTCATCCAAGTCGCTTAAGCCATCCCAGATTGAGAGTGGAAATGATATTATTGGTGATATTGATATTCAGCGTATTCTTGATGAAGAGTATCAACAGCTTGTTTCTGATCGTGAATTCCTTCGCACTGGTACCTTTTATGGTATTGAGAGCGGTTGGCATCTTCCAGTCAATCTTAGACGTGTTATTCTTAACGCTCAACAGATTTTCAATGTTGATCCAAACAAGGCCACCAACCTTACAATTCCTGAAATTGTAAGTGGCGTTCGCCAACTTCTCAATAAGATAATCGTTATTCGTGGTACTGACAAGCTGACCAAAGAAGCACAAGACAATGCTACTCTTTTGTTTAAGTGCTTAGTACGTTCTGTGTTTGCTGTAAAGCGTGTTGTTTCTGAGTACCGTCTTAATCGCGACGCTTTTGAGTGGGTCATGGGCGAAATCGAGTCACAGTTCTCTCGCTCCCTTGTCAACCCTGGTGAAATGGTTGGCGTGGTTGCTGCGCAATCTATTGGTGAGCCCGCTACACAGATGACTCTCAACACTTTCCATTATGCGGGTGTGTCTTCCAAGAACGTTACTCTTGGTGTCCCTCGTTTGAAGGAAATTCTTAACGTTGCCAAAAATATCAAAACTCCATCTATGTCTGTTTTCTTGCAAAGAGAACTTGCATTGGATATTGAACGTGCTAAAGATATCATTCGTTTTATTCAATACACTAATTTGAAGCAGGTTGTCAAGGCCACTGGTATCTTCTATGATCCTGACCCTACTACTACTGTCATTGAGCAAGACAAGGATATGGTTGAGACCTTCTTTATGATTCCTGATGACAACCTGCTTGCCCAGCTTCCCATGCACAGCCCTTGGGTTCTTCGTTTGGAGCTTGACCGTAAGAAGCTGGTTGATGTTCGCTTAGATATGAATCAAGTTGCTGAGAAGATTTCTGCCAGTTTTGATGGCCATATGGCTCTTATTTGGTCTTATGATAACGCCAAGGAGCTTGTTATTCGATGCAGAATTGTTCGTGATCTTAAGGCCACTGAGGAGAACATTGAAGCTGAAGAGGATCAGACTATCAAGAAGCTCATGTTCCAGATGCTTGACAATATCGTTCTTTGTGGTACTCCTAATATTCAGCGCGTATATCTTACTAAGTACGATATTCGGGAACCTGATGAGACTGGAGAGTACCAAAACATCCAGGCTTGGAATCTTGAAACTGATGGTTCTAACCTTGCTGATGTTATGTGTGTTGAGGGTGTTGACTTTACTAAGACCACATGTAACTCGTTTGTGGAGGTATTATCTGTTTTGGGTATTGAGGCTTCTCGACAATCTCTTTTCAGAGAAATCAGTAGTGTCTTGTCGTTTGACGGTTCTTATGTCAATTACCGTCATATTGCCTTGCTTGTTGATGCCATGACCTCTCGTGGCCATATTATGGCTATTACTCGTCACGGTATTAATCGTGCTGACACTGGTGCTCTCATGCGCAGTTCTTTCGAAGAAACAGTTGAAATTCTTCTTGAGGCTGCTGCGTCCGCCGAGCTTGATGACTGTCGTGGTGTTTCTGAGAACATCATGCTTGGTCAAATTGCGCCCTTGGGCACTGGTTCATTTGATATTGTTCTTGACGAAGATATGCTTGCCAATGCTGCTCCCGATTACAGTGTTGAAGAGAATGCAGCTTACCCATCTGGCACCAAATACATGGATGGTGCTGCTACCCCATATGATGGCAGATCTCCTGTTTACGATAACCAGATTGGTTCTATGGACAGTATTATGCCATTCTCACCCATTGTTAATTCTGGTGGAGATGATCGTGGTGGATTTACTGAGTATGGTGGAGGTGCCCAAAGTCCATTTGGTGCCGGTGGCTCGTCTACTCCTGGTTATGCGCCAACTTCACCATTTTCATTTGGCAACTCCACTCCTGGATATTCAGCTACTACGCCATATTCACCTGGCGGATCAGGCTATGCTGCTACATCCCCTGGCTATGCTGCTTCTCCAAGCTACTCGCCAACATCTCCTTCCTATTCTCCTTCTTCACCTTCTTACACACCTACTTCACCTTCTTATTCTCCTACTTCACCTTCTTATTCACCAACATCCCCTTCATATTCACCTACATCTCCCGCATACTCACCTACATCTCCATCTTATTCACCCACATCTCCTTCATACTCGCCAAGTGGAGCATCACCTGCCAGTCCAGAGTACTCTCCTACTAGCCCAACATTTAATGGTGGTGGAGCTTCTTATTCTCCCACCTCGCCAGTGTATTCTCCTACTTCTCCCTCGTACTCGCCGACATCACCTTCATTCTCTCCAAATGCTAGTTACTCTGGTGGTGGTGGCTCTCCATTGCCTTCTTATGTTCCTGGTTCGACCTCTTACTCGCCAACATCGCCCCAATTTTCACCTGGAAGCCCCGGTGGTTTCAATACTGGCCACAATAACAATAACAACAATAACAATGACCGCAGATGATTATGATCATAATGATGCATATAATAGCAGTGATGACAGGAATGGAAACTTTTGGAGTAATGGAATTTGGTTTTTCTTTTCTTTTTTTTTTTGGAACCAATGTATTACGAAATTCAAGCTTTTAAAGGATTAAAAAAATAATAAAATTTGAATAAAACAAAAAAATTTTAAAAATAAAAAGGATCCAAAAAAAAATTCTTAAACAAAAATCAAAAAATCAAAATTATGAAAATAATTTTAACATATAAATATATAAAAAAAATATTTGTCAAAATTTTATGTACTATTTTTCTATTTAATATAATCAGAAATTTCTTTTTTTTTATATATATATTACCTAAAATGGAAAGATGTATTTTTGAGGGCCCTATTTTTTTAGTCCATTTGCCAAGACTTTAATGTGTCCCCGCTCAATATTAGCCTCTTCTTTTTTTTCTACTTTATTTTATTGTCAAAATTTAAATTTACAGGAAGCGCAGCAAAGAAACACAGCCAGGATGACTCCGCTGTTACGCTGCTTGTGTGTCTCATATGTCAGAATTTTGACAATTATTCATTGGAATAAATGATTATCAGCAATTGAAAGAGTCCTTGTAAACAAAAATTTCTAGATGAAATATATATATATAAACCACTTTTCTCGAAAGTTCTTGTAATATAGAATTTTGTTTTGTCTGTGTTTCTGTTTTTCTTTGAATTTGTCTTTTTACAACAAATTTTCTTATTATTAAAAAGTACCCAGAGCAAAACATACATACCACGATCCAAAATGAAGCTCTTTCAAGCATTTCTCATTACATTAAATCTTATTATCACAGGCACCACTGCCTATGAAGACAAAGTCTGCAATTCCTCTTGTTCAAATATAGTTGACAAATTTTTGGGGTGCGAAACCAAGATTGTACCCGGTGAACTATATAACAGGTCATGTCTCTGCGTCGGAACAGCCATTTCTGTAAATCTTCAGTCTTGCAAAGATTGTCCGCGGATTTATTGGGCTACCGAAATTCCAGGCTTTGAACTGCAAACACTCTCAGACACTTGCAAACTTAATGTTACTATCGACACCCCCCCAGATCCAGTGAGCTCTGAAGACTCAGATGTCGAAACATCGTCGACCGTTGGACATGATAGTGAAAAGGGATCAGAAAGCGAGACTGTGAGCAACCCTGGATCAACTCCATCAAGTGACGGTGAAACAGGTGGAAATGGGAACAATAGCAATGGCAATGGCGGTGATGACAATAGTAGCCAAGGCAGCACTGACAATGGCGGTAGTAATGGGTCTGATGACAACTCGGGCTCTGATAGCTCTAGCGGTTCCGGTGGTTCCAGCGGATCTGGTGGCTCTAACGGATCTGGTAGTTCCAGCGGTTCTGGCGATTCCAGTGGTTCCAGCGGTTCTGGCGATTCCAGTGGTTCCAGCGGTTCTGGTGGTTCCAGCGGTTCCGGTAGCTCTAGTGGCTCTGGTAGCTCTAGCGGATCTGGTGATTCCAGCGGATCTGGTGGCTCTAACGGAGCTGGTAGCTCCAGCGGTTCTGGCGATTCCAGCGGTTCTGGTAGTTCCAGCGGTTCTGGCGATTCCAGCGGTTCTGGTAGTTCCAGCGGTTCTGGCGATTCCAGTGGTTCCAGCGGTTCTGGCGATTCCAGTGGTTCTGGTGGTTCCAGCGGTTCCGGTAGCTCTAGTGGCTCTGGTAGCTCTAGCGGTTCCGGTGATTCCAGCGGTTCCGGTGGCTCTAACGGATCTGGTGGCTCTAGTGGCTCTGGTAGCTCTAGCGGTTCAGGTGGCTCTAGCGGTTCCGGTATCTCCAGCGGTTCTAGTGGTTCCGGAAACAATGAGTTTTTGGATTGCACAGTTTGCAGTACATTTGCCGTTACAACTACTGGTTTCCGAGAAATCTCTTCAACCTCCGGTGCCAGCATTTATATTTCCCGTGAACTTGTCACGGATGTCTACACAATAATTGCATCACCAGTTTCTTCAGAGAATGGTGGATTCATTACTTATACTATTCCAACGGGGACCAGCGGGAGAAGCTCTGAGGCAACAGGTGTGAGCCCTGGAACTAATGCAGTTGGTTCAAGTGACGAAAACTTGGCCAGGTTTACAAGTGGTTGCTCCGATTGTCGTACTTCTCTTGTGACAACCAAAACCAACGGTCCAGTGGTTAAGACTACGGATAATGGAGTGCTTATTACTGTGACTGAAGACATAAACGTTGTGTATACGGTAGTTGCATCACCATTCTCATCGGGATCTTTGGCTGTATTTTTAACTAAGACCATTCCGATTTCATCTGTTCAAGCTCAGCAAAGCAATGGTATTAGTGGAAGCGGTAGTGGAAACAGTGAAGGAAGCAAAGTCAGTGCCAGTTTTGCAAAGTCAACTTATCAGACTGTAATAACCACTACCAGTAATGGTCAAGTTGTTACTGTGACTCAAAATATTGAAACTCAAGTTGCTGTCAACGGAGCTGGAACAGCAAGTAGTACTGCTGGTAGTAACTCGAGGGCCTCGACTACAGCCGTTGTGTCCGTGGGGTCTTCCTCTAAGCCATCGTCAAATTTGGAAACTTCTACCGCTGTACAATCATCAGCCTTGACTGCTTCTAGCGGTGCGGCTTCAAGAAAATACTATAAAGAGCTTTCGACTGCAATTATTGTAGTGCTTGTTTCTGGATTTTTATATGCTATTGTAGCCTAAATAGCGAAAGGTCAGGTTATTTTTTAAGGGTTAAGTTTATTTATTTAATACTACTTTTTTTATATATATATAGATGTGATAATTTAATGATAATTTAATGATAATTTTAATTTAATATTTTCAAATATTTTCATCATTTCAAGTTCTAAATTTTAACGAAAGTATTTGGTAGTTTTTTATGTATCAATTTATGGATCATATATGACTACAGCGAAGTTTTAAAAGCCAAGAATTTCAGTTTAAATATATTGGGGAGTTCGAAAGTATGGATTAGTGCTGAATATTAAACAAAGTTGAAATCAAGCCATCAAAGTTGTTTTTATTCTTTATAATTATAAATTTTAAATGTTGCAAATGCTTAACTTATGAGGAATTACAAGTTACTATGAAGCCAAACTAAATATATTGAAAATTCAAATACTTAAATACTCCAATTTATTGCTTTTTCTATTAATTTTGACCTCTTAAACTTCAAAAGAACTCAAGACACAATGCACCTTGCAAGGTGCAACTACCAATTGTCAATTGTGTCCTAACAAAATGAAATCCTTATTAAGAATTTCACAAACCTCTATTAAGGATTTCTTCTTCATTTTCAGCACTTTAATAACCAAAACATAAGTGGGTAATAAGTATTTTATTTTGTTAAGATACAATTGGCAAGGTGTCGTATCTTTTTAATTTTTCACAGCCACAAAAATAAATAATAGATATATATATATATATATATATATATATCTATTTATATCGAATTAAATCATTTTTTTTAGATAATAGAAATTTTCGCTCAATACTTTTCTGTTTAAAATCAAGCGCTGAAGCTTTTTTGGTAAGCTAGAAGTTTGATTATTAAAAACATAGTTCTATAGGTTTCTTGGTACTGAAATATACGTTTACAGTGAATGATTTAAAGCGTTTCACTAAAAAAAATTATCTTAAAAATCTTTTGTTCTTTTCAGTTAATTTGAAGCGTTGAATCGATTGAAAAGTTGCGTGCCTCAACTAAAATAAGTCGTTATTACTTGATGATAAGAAGATCTGCTCTTCTGCTGAATAGCAAAGAATGACCTCTAAACCCAATGCTCTAGTATAACGTCTAGTAATTACTAAGTCATCGGACCTTGTAAGGTCCTTATAAGGTCCGATGACTTAAATAAATAGTTCACGAAACAGTTAGTTCCGAGTTTCAACTATCGGATTGCCGAGCACTTCATTAGAAAAGGAATATTTTTATTCTATTTTCTTTGTGTCTTATTGCCATCTAATTTTTTTCCAATTGTTTATATATAAATGATTAATATATTAATAATTTACATCTGATTGTATATCTGATTCCTGTCAATTGACTTTCCCTTCACCTTCACCGGGAGTTTATAGATAGTTTTACTAAGCCTCAGTTAAAATTCATAGCCACAATGACACTAGCGAGACATACTGTACATATTCCTTTCTTCTCTAGTTTAGTCCCTCAGTATGTGTTAAGATATGTTCTATTTAAGGTCGGCTTCTGATAATCTTTATTTATATCTACTTGGAGGCTTTGAATATAATAAAAAATTCTATTATAAATGTTTAAGAGCTCAAATTTTGTTTGCACAAAAAATCTTTACAAAAAGAACTATGCATTTGCACATGGGCATTTGTACAGGTGATAAAGAATCAAAGATTTTAAAATAATTTCATATATATAGGAAATAATATATATTTATTAAAAAAGTTAAAAATATATTTTAATAAATATAAAAAATAATTCCTCATAATTATTGGTTATTATTAAAGTCTTTGAATACCAAAAACCTGAACAATAAAAATATCAAAAAAAAAGGACCTGTAGCCAAGAAAACAATTTCAAACAGTTTTCAATAAGTTAAAACTATGATTTTTAATGAAATGAAAATAATAATTTAAACTAATAATTGGAAATTGAGCATTCAGGTTATGTCGGTCATCAATTGATTTCAAAAAAAGATCCATTAAACCGAACACAATTTTCGACCGTCTAAAATTCTATTCCAACAAAAAAATTTTTGACCGATTTTTTGCTCGTTTTTAAAAACTAACTTAAAAAGTCATTTGACAAGAGCTGAAATTTAATTAATCACGTAAATTTTAGGCTTTTTTATTTAAATTTAGAAGCCATTAAAGAGGTTTGAGGAACAATAATTATTTGAATGAAAATTCAAAAAACTTAGGCTTCAAAGCAAATGAACTTTAATGTTTATTGTCAATGTTATAAACAATTCAAAAGTTTTATTTTATAATCAGTTTGAGTATTGTTATATTAGAATAAATAAAATGCTAAGTGAGAAAATTGACAAGGAACAAAGTATTTAAACACAAATTCATAATATTGGAATGATCTACAATTTAAAAATGTCAACATTTGGTTATTTTTCATCATGATGAAATAATCAGTCAGACCTACGTTCTTATAATGATCAAGTACTTTGGATCATAAGGAAAATCCTCTTATTATACAAATTATATTCAACATTATAAATACAAAATAGAATAAAATAAAGCAATCATAACAACTCCATTTCAATGATACTCATGGTTTAACGACTATTATATCTGTTGTTTCTGTTATTATTCCCACGGTACCCGCCGCCTCTTCCACCATTGTAATTGTTGTTCCCCCTATAATTGTTGTTGCCACTGTTATTACTGGAGCTAGCATTTTCATACTCGTTGTTGGTTCCCACAGATCCAAATACATTGTTTGCAAAGGGCTGGTTGGAAGTGGGTGCATAGTGTTGCTGGCCATAATTCTGATACTGATTATACCCTTGGCTGGAACCATCACCACCATATCCATTGTTGTTATCTCGTTTTTGATAGCTACCTCCTTGTTGACGGCCATTGTTGTTATATTGTCGGCCACCATTGTTATTGTAACTGCCACTTCTTTGATACCCATTATTACCGCCATTTCTGGGCCCATTATTGTACCCGCCACCATTGTATGGATTTCCCCGGTAGTTGTTATTGTTACCATTATAACCGCCACCGTTGTTGTTGTTGTTGTTGTTGCTATTATTGTTGTAGTAATTACCTCCGTTTCCAATAAAACTTCCACGAATTCCTTGCCGTGCTTGCAAATCAGAACCAGGAAGCTGTCCCGTTTTCTCAAGACCAATAAAATTGACAAAGCCACCAATGCGACCAGCAACTTTTAAAGGTTCGTTGCGACCAAGACCATTGTTTGGATTGTTGTTATTGTTGTAATTGTTGTTATTATTGTGACGGTTACGACGTTCGCTAATCTTTTGGCGAACTATGGTCTCTTCAGTTTGCGTAAAAACAGGATCTCGTAATTTGACACCACGCAACAACATACTCTTATTTGGGAAAGAGGACACAGGCATATCATAGGTCAAAAACATAACATTACCTTCAATTGGAACATCAGGCATGTGACCTTCCGATAGCGGGAAGTTAAAGATTTGCTTATTTTCAAATGCCGGATCTTTGGAGATGGTACCTGTGAGGCCTTTAGTTTGGTAGGCACGGAAATTGAATCGTGAATATTCATCAGCATTAGGTGCATAAACTTTCTTCATAGCCTGCTCAAAAATGACATTCTTGCCAGATACAATTAGAATTTCATTTTTGCGAGCGTTGCGTGCAACTTCTTGTGGTGTAAGTTGGTCATATTTGGCGCGAACCGCAGTCAGTAGACGTTTCTCGTCAATGAAGGGCAATATAGCTACACCTTGCCATTCAAACTTTTTGCCATTAAGATCAATCCGAAAGTCTTCAGGATAAAAATCAATGATTTCAGATTTAGGATCTGACATGAGTGGTCTGAAAACTTCAGGTAGGGTGTGACCACTTGACGCAGGCAACACACTCATTAGTTGTTCATATGGAGCAAAAGGCTCACCCTTGTTAAACTTAATTTCAATCTTGGAAAGATTGATAAAGTCAACAGCAAACGGCGCATAATGGTAAGGGAAGTACCAGTTCCATGATGGACACCCTTGATAGTAATATAATAGCACCCAGCAAACACCTTCAATGTATCTTTCGACAACGTCTCGGCGTTTGGCCTGGTTGTCTTCGGGAGCGTCAAACTTTAAAGTATAGTAACGGTCACGGTAGCCAGGTTCGCCCAAACGAACAGGGTCGGCATATTGATCCATGTCATCTCGACGCTCAAACCCATCATGGCCACGCTTAACACCAATTTTAACAGGGGGAGCTTTGGGAGCTTCACTATCTTCAGTTTCTTCGGTATCCTCAGTTTCTTCAGTTTCTTCGGTTTCCTCAGTTTCCCCATTTTCTTCAGCTTTTTCAGCTTCTTCAGCTTCTTCATCGTCTTGTTGTTCTTTTTCTTCTTCATTTTCCAGTTCCTTCTCTGCAGAAGCGCCCTTGAAATTTTTTGCTTTCTTTTCGGCTTTTAACTTGGCCTTGAGTACATCAGCAGCAGCCTTGTTTGCGATATTTGACATTGTGATTTCATTCCGTCGGGCAACAAGCTCAGAATTAGACATGTGCACTGCACCAACACTTTCTCCTGAAGGTGAATATAGTGGGATATTATCGAGTGGATGAACGGGAGCACGGTCGCCAGTTCTATTTTTGCTGATTTCAGGCTGAGGAACCTTTTGGTCCAATATAGTTTCCTCTAGTTGCTGAGCAGGGGAATAATTATGCTCTTGCTTCTGCAGCATTTCCTTAAGCATTTTAGGGTCCATTTCCTTCTGTTCCTTGCGTTTTTCGTCATCAAGGCGGCGTCGCTTGCGATCTTCTTCGACTCGAATTTTGCTGCGAAAGATATTGTCCTCTTGTTGACCAAGAGATCTCAGTAAGACCTCAGCACGATCAAGGTCAACGTGACCATCGCATGTAATGAAGCCTTTGAGTTTGCCCAAATTGCGGCGCCACATGTCAGTAAGCATATCAATACTGTTACTTCGAACGTCCAAACTTGGGAGATGGGGTAAGAAATCGTTACCGCAGAAAAAGCACATAAAAACCCAATCATCGATAGCACGCTCAAAGTCATATGCAAATGGAAGGTTAGGGACAGTCAGTTCAATTTCAAGATACTGGCGAAGTATATCGACGTGAAGCCAAATGAACGGCTTCTTGTGGGACTTTTCAATTTGAGCATCAAGTTCTAGCTTTTGTTTATCTTCTTCAGTCAAACCAAAGTTTTTATTTGGTCCAGACTGGGGCTTGTTTTGTTGAGCAAAGACATCTTCTCTGAGAATCTTAAAGTGCGGTTCGTGGGTGGCAAGGCCAAGGAAAATTAAGTCAGCATCCAATCCATAAATACAATGGGTGGTATTAGGGTCATGAGAGGGATCAGCGCGCTGAGAACGAATGAATTCCATAATTTTGTGTTCACCCTCTCCTGGAATAGAAGCATCTGAAATAATAATTTTAAGGTCACTCCAACCAGGATCTGAGTTAAGCTTGTAAGCAATCCAATAGCGCAAACTAATAGCAAGTGTATCCATAAAGGGTGTTCCAGGTGTGATGACATTGGAATCCCAGTGAGTTTTACCTTTGATGGCATCGTCAATAGTTTCACCACGAGCTTCAGCTTCATTAATAGCCTGTTCTTTAGCCTCAGCATTGATGCGAGACTCTCGTGCAGTGCGGAAACGACGAGAACGCTGTTGGTTCATTTTGGCACGTGGGGCAACTCCGTCAATAGCAATCATGAGAATCTTGCGTGGACGCGCCATGGTCAAAACACGGTCGGTGTATTTAAAGACTTCTAGCATCATTTCGTCCTCATTTTTAGGAGCTTCACGACCTTCAGGGTGAGTACATGGATGAACGATACCATTCATATCAAGATAGAGATTGTCAAGTTCATCGTTGGGATTGGGATTTCCGTAGTTGGGAGGATACTTGACGCCATCGATTTCAACGTCAGGCTCTTCAAGAACTGGAGATACTGTTTTTGGATATTTTCGCGATAACCATCGGAAAAAGGCGGGAACACTAAATTAAATGTCAGATATAAATATTTGAAGAAGAAAAAAAATATAATGAATTCACATACCCCATGATGGCTAATGATTATTTAAAAGAGCTGGTAAACGTTGAAAGAGAATGCCTTCGGATCCATCCGAAAAGAATTATCTGCCAAAAATTTTAGGGTTGTAAAGTCATTAGGCTGACTGAATGGCAAGAAGAGGGTGGCTTAAATTTTTTTTTTTTTTAAGAAAAAATTATTTAGTAAATATTAGTAATGTGTTATGTAATATTTGAATATATAATATGGATAACAAAAGTGACAATATTAACACTCCACTTTTTTTTTATGATAACGTCGAGTGTTTTTTTTTACTCTCAACGCAACAACCTCCTCATCGTTCTTAAATATATTTTCTCAACAACAATGACCCCAGTGACTTCCAGAGTTGAATATAGCCCTATTAAGAGGGCTAGAGTTTATATGAAACACGAAATGGGAATTCCTGAGCGGCGTATCGCATTGGAGGAAGGAATATCACCAGGGTCAGTGTCTGGCATCATTCGACGCTACCCTATACAAAAAGATGCCACCAGTTGTGCGCGGTCAGGACGACCACCAAAGCTTTCCGATAGGGATAAAAGGGCCATTTTACGACTTATCAAAAAAGATCCCTATATCACAACACATAATCTTATTGTTGCCGCTGGTTTAGATGTTTCTAAACGTACTCTTTTGCGATGGCTCAAGCATGAAGGCATTGTTCATAAACCCGCCTTCTGACGGTCGTTACTAACACTACAGATAGCGGAAAAACTCCTCAATTTAGTGAGGATGTATGAAGATGCACCAGAAAAATTTTGGAAGCATTGGATCTTAAGTAATGAGTCTACAGTTTCTCGTGGTTATGGCGAAAAGCAGGGGTGGGGTTTTTTGCTCAAAAGTATGTTTTATTTACATTACAATTCCTTCATCGATTAATAAAGAATAGGAACGTCTATTAGATATTCAATATTTATAGCCAAAATACAAGCTATCACGTCATTCTCAGATGTTCCGGGGCGCTATTTCTTTTTCCTCTCAATCGTCTTTTTATGGCCACTTCATGGAGACCCCGTATTTGCTCGCGGATGTGTTACTAGCCATTGTATTCTCGAATGCCTTCAAGATCAACTTCCAAAAATTGCAGGGCCGGGTTCTTTATTGGCTCAAGATAATATACCTACAAATTGAATAGTGCAGAACTGGCTATACGTGAATGGGAGGGTTACTTTAGTGGACTGGCTGCCTTATTCACCTGATCTTAACCCAATTGAGAATAAAAAGGATAGCACAGATACTGATGTTATATAATTCTATATATAACCAATAATGAAAAGAAACAAACAATTGAGAATATATGGAAACTGCTTAAGGAAGAGATCTGTGAAAAGATTTTCCGGACCTATTATTATTACCAAGGAATAATCAGTCATTAAACAAGTTATGTGAAGCAACTGTGGATGTTTGGGAGGATTTCCATCAGGACTTTATAAATAAGCTAGTCTTATCAATACCCTGAAGACTTCAAGTTGTAGGAGATACACGTGGCTGGTATACAAAATATAACGCAAGTATGTATCTCTAAAGAATAAGAAACTTATATCTCAAGTCACGAACCAATTGAATTGAATTTGATAAAAAAAAATCCAGCTTGAAAGTAATGCGGTCAAAACAGAAAAAAGTCTTAGTGATGTGGGTGTGTATAATCACTTATGTCCCCCTACTGTAGAATTTAATTATTTATATAAAGATCTTAAGGAAACAAATGAGAAGGTACAATATTGAGGCTAAATTTTATCAAAATTAGAATTGTAAAGATATATATAGATATATACTTATATTAAAAGATTATAATGATTGATATTGATCAGCGCCAATAAACATATGAGTTTAAAAATGATGAAAAGCCTTTTGAGTTTCAAGTTTTGTTTAATGAAAATAAGTCTTCAAAATGTAATCATCTTACTACAAGCAGAGGAGTCTGTGGATAATAGGGGAATCTAATCTTTAAAAAAAAAATTAATCCAAACCTTGAAAATTGTTTGCATTTTTTTTTTTTAGAACTGTGACAGTATTCAAAAAAAAAAAGGTTTTCAAAATGGAGATAAGGAAGAAAACAAGTATGAAATAGAAAATGAGTTTAATAGGATAAGACGGATATAATAATAAAACAAAAAACAAAAAACAAAAAAAAAGAAGGTAGGATAGAAAAGTTAATAATATAATTATAATGAAAAAAAATTACAAAATCAAGTTAAACTGTGCATCAATTTCAAAGATTTCAAAATTTTCAAAATTTTCAAAAAGATGGTTTTATGATAAAGTTTAGTTCATCATTGAATATTTTTTTTTTTTTTTTTTGATTTTTGATCCTCGGCTTAAGACGTTTTCGTTTACTACTACATTAACACTAAGTGAAATTTCTCTCTCCCCCCACATCAACAACCCCACACAAGCCAAATCACTTTTTTTCCCAGAATATAAAAATCCTTTCTAAACCCTCTCTTTTTAAAAATCCTCCTTTTTTTTTTTTTTTTTTTTTTTTGTTATTATTAATTTTATTCAACATACTTTAAAAACCGAATTTCTCTTTAGATACCACATAAAAAAAAATGTCAGCCCAGTTTACAATCCCCAAAACTCAAACTGCTTGGTTCTACAAGCCTGGCTCTAATGCCCTCCACAAACGCACAATTCCTGTCCCTACCCCACCACCAGGTTCAGTTTTGTTGCGCATTGACGCTGCTGGTGTATGCCATTCTGATTTACACATTCTTCACGGCGGTATTCCTTACAATTCTGAATTTATCCCAGGCCACGAGATTGCTGGAACCGTGGTTGCTCTCGGATCAAGCGTCGATCCAAATCAGTTCCCCGTTGGTTCCCGCTACGCTGTGCATTCTCAAAATGCATGCGGTCTCTGTGGTCTATGCCGCTCAGGTCACGACAATATCTGCCAAGCTAAAACCCGTCTCCAGATCGGCCTGGGCCACCCGGGTGGCTACGAAGAGTATACAGCTCTTCCTATCCGCAATCTGATCCGTATCCCGGATAACGTCCCTACAGAGGTTGCAGCTGTGGCCACCGATGCAGTTTTGACCCCTTACCACGCCCTGAAAAAGGCTAATATTAACGGCTCCACTCGTCTGCTGGTGCTCGGTCTAGGAGGTCTTGGTATTAACGCTGTTCAGATTGCCAAAGCTTGGGGTGCACATGTAACTGCTATGGATCCTCGTGCAGAAGCCTGTGAACTTGCACTGAAAAGTGGTGCAGATGCTGCTCTTCAAAAGTTCCCCCCACGTTCCCTCAACTTTGATGTTGTTGCTGATTTTGCTGGTGTCAAGAGCTCTTTTGAAATGGCCCAGAAACACGTCCGCCATCTTGGAACTATTTTGACTGTTGGAATGGGAGCCAATATTACTGAGTATCAGAATACCAAAATGTCCTACAAGGAAATGACGACTATTGGATCTTTGGGAGGTACAACCCAAGATCTTGCTGAGTGTCTGGAAATGATTTCCAAGGGTGTTATCAAGCCCCAAATTGAAGAAAACAAGCTAAACGATGTTAACGATGTTCTTCATCGTCTTGATAAAGGTCAAGCCACCGCCCGTCTTGTCCTTAAGGCTTCTTTATAAATTAAATTAGGTAGTTTTTTTTTTTTTTTTCAAAAAAAATATATATATCTTATATACACTAAAACATAAATTTGTTGGCATAAGCCATTGGTTTAACGTCTGGGTGAGGAACAGCTTCAAAAGTGGTAAAATCCAGCTCGTGATTTGGTCCTTCAATGTTAATGTAAGCACCCTTGTTACCTTGAGAATCGCAGTAGTTGGGGGCACTAAAGACAGTGTAGAGCTTGCCGTCAGGACAGTCATGAACCTTTTCATAGCCATCCATGCACACTTCGTGTGATCTAATGATAGCCTTGAGCTTGTTTTGCTTGCAGAAATTTTCAGTGACATCAGGTCCAAACTGGATGCCAACACCACGTTTAGACTGGGAGCGGCCAGGAGCAGTCTGAGGATCGGTCCATAGAATCTCCATCATGAGACCCGAGTTACCTGGTTGTTTCTGGCCAAAGCGGTCAATCTTGCGGATATCATCCAAGGTAACACCATCCTTAGAGAAGAGACCGCCATGGAGAACCAGGTAAGAATTGTTAATAAGAGTTGCCAGTGGGAGCAGGCAGAAAGACTCAGAAAAGAGCTTGAAAATATTATCAGATTTGTACTTGGCCTTGCATTCACCTTCAAAGCCATACATCTTATTCATATCATCGGCCTCGTGGTTACCGCGATTAAGGAAGAAAGAGTTGGGATACAGACACTTGTAAGCATAAAAGAGAATGGCAATTTCGGTAGACCAAGAGCCGCGGTCAACAAAGTCACCATTGAAAAGATAAGCGTGTGATTCAGAGGGGTATCCGTTTTTCTCAAAAATATTCATGAGATCAAAGAACTGACCATGGGTATCACCACAGATTGTAAACTTCTTGAGGGGGTTGGTGACTTGGAGTTCGACTAGGGTGGGATCATTAATAAAATGTTTCATGGCCTGCATGACAATGGCAAAGAGATACTTGCGATGTATCAGTTTTCCATTTTTAAAACGATCGAGCATGTCGGCCACAAATTCCTTGGTGACCTTAACGTCAAAAGTGCTAAGAAGTGACCTTATTTTGGCAAGAGCCTGTGACTCGCTCATTTTCTCGGAAGAAGTTCCATTGGTAGAAGCAGATTCAGTCTTTCCTCCATGGAAATCTATTTCAAGGGGGAGACCATCGTATGAGTCTTCAACTGCCATTGATTTCAGGTTGATTGACTCGATTGTAGAAGGAGCATCTTGGACTTCAATGGCCCGTGCAAAGGCCTTTGCACGGATGATTTTTTGACATGATGTCAGGTTAGTTTGTGCATGTTTATCAGTTGGGACGTTAGTGACAACGATCTTAAAGTCCTTGAGGGCTTCCGAGTGGCGGAAAATGGCAGCAAGAGCGACACCACGACGATAATAAGATTTCATGTACTTGGGGTTGATTTCAATGGCCTTGGTAGCATCTTCAATAGCCAGACCGTAGCTTTCTTCCTTGATGTTTACCTGAGCACGATTGGCGTAGTAGATTTCATTGTTTGGGTTGAGTTCGATGGCCTGTGTGTAAAGTTTGATAGCTTCATCGTAATGATTTTGTTGAAGGGCCTTGTTACCCAAAACTTTGAGGGCATCAGCCTTAGTTTTATCTTCTTCAGAGACCATGGTGATAAGAGGTTTTTGATTATTACTATTCAAAAAGAAATAGAATCAGATCCAAGAGTGTTTATAAGATGGAGGTGGGGATGGGAGAGAGGGGAGGAAAGGATTCTGTGATTATCACTGATTTGTTCTGGAAGTTGGTAGAATGGGCCAGTAGGAAAAAAGTGGCTCTAAGTCGCGTGTGATAAAAAAAAAAAAAAAAAAAATTAAAAATTTAAAAATTTAAAAATAAAACAAAAGAGGGTCTTTGCTGGATCTGAATCACCCACTACCACCACCAACAATATTTTTTAATTTATTTTAATTTATTTTAATTTATTTTATTTTAATTTATTTTAATTTATTTAATTTATTTAATTTATTTAATAAAAATTAAATTAATTTATTTTTTTCATAGTTACCCGGCTCCCTTTAAAAAAAAATTTTCAGTATAAAAAGCAGCCTCAAAACGCCTCCTTTTTTACATCTTTTTTTTTTTTTTTTTTTTTTTTTTTATTCTTTAACAAAACATCAATCTCAGACCCATTTATAATAATCTCATAGGCAAGCTGTAGATAGGTATAAACTGTTGATCTGGAGTTTTACCTATCATTTATTTATACTTTCCCACTTCTAGATCTCTCCGAACTGTCCTGGCCGTTTTGGCTGGTGGCTATCTGGGGACCTGTGAGGCTTTTAGGTGTCTGAGCGATGGAGAAGAAATTAATCAGTACATCATAGTACGTGCCGAGCTTGCATTCAGTTGCACTCACCCCGGCGAGTCTCCAAGAATACTGACACTTTTATCATTTATATTTTTTTTTTTCATTATTATTATTATTATTCTTCTTCTTCTTCTTCTTTAAAAGTTGAATTGATTGTAGATTTATTGTAAAATATCTTTTCTATATTGTATGAATTAAAAAAAAAAAATTTGTAGTTGTTTGTTTTTTTTTTTTAACTAATTTAATTAGTTGGTTTTAACCAAGTCTCTAATATAATTTTTTTTTTAAAAATAATTAGCACAAACAAATCAAATTCATGAGCATTAAGTTTTTATACCAAAAGACAAATAGATTGATAATTAGCTAAATTAACATCAAAGTTTCTTAAAAGATTCAATTAAATCACTATTAAATTATAAATTTTTATTACCTTCAAAGATTAGAAAATCTACTTTTCTTTCTTTCTCTCTCTCTCAAACTTCTAAAGTGATGTACCTCCCCCCACAAATAATCAAATAAAAGACTTATGCCCCAGATCTCAAGTTATATATTACAGCCGTACAAACGGGGGAAAATTTTTTTTTTTTTTTTTTTTTTCAAGACAAGGCTGGCAGAGACAAACACATGTGGGAGTCTTAAAGGCTCTCAGAAAATCTTTTTTTTTTTTTATTTTTAAAAATTCTCCACAGACAAGTTTCTTTCTTTCTTTCTTTCACTCTCTCTCCTTCTTCTTCTCATCAAGTCTCAGACAGTCTAATTTTTCTCCATATTTCTGTCATTCAAAACAATGTCCAAGCCAACCGATCTCGTCGAACAAGCCAAGCAAGCCGCCGCCTACAAGGCAGTCGACCTGCACTTCCCTGAGTCTCCCAAGGTCATTGGCATTGGCTCCGGCTCCACCGTTGTTTACGTTGTTGAGCGTATCGCCCAGCTTGCCCAAGCCAAGCCCGAAATCGCAAAGAACGTTATCTTCGTCCCCACAGGCTTCCAGTCCAAGCAGCTTCTCCAAGATGCAGGCCTTATTGTTGGTTCCATCGACTCCTATGCCGTTGGAGACCTTGACGTTGCCTTTGACGGTGCTGATGAAGTTGACCCCCAGCTTAACTGCATCAAGGGTGGTGGTGCCTGCCAGTTCCAGGAAAAGCTTGTTTCGCTGTGCGCTCGCAAGTTTGTTCTTGTGGCTGACTACCGTAAGAAGAGCGATGCTCTCGGTGTTTCTTGGACTCAGGGTGTCCCCATCGAGGTCGTTGGCATGGCCTACCGCAAGGTCACCGCCGATCTGCTGTCACCGGAATTTGGTGCTAAGAAGGTCACTCTGCGTATGGGTGGCAAGGCCAAGGCTGGTCCTATTGTCACTGACAATGGTAACTTTGTTTTGGATGCTGACTTTGGTGCCATCGACGCTGCCAGAGTCCCTATTCTTGACAAGGCCATCAAGACCCTTGTTGGTGTTGTAGAGACTGGTCTTTTTGTCAATGCCGATATTGCTTACTTTGGTGAATCAGATGGCTCTTTCAGCACTAGAGAAAAGAGCGCTTAAATAATACACTTTTCTCCACACCTTCCCCCCTCCCCCTATAGAAATTAATGAGTGATGATGAAAATTTTATAAGTAGACTATGTGTCGTTGTTGTCGTTCTCGTCATCGTCACCACACAAATCCTGAAGAAACTCCAGTAGTCGTTGCTGGTCCCGTTGTGTATGAGGCGTCCGCATCCCGGGATCAATGCAAAATAATGGTACCTTAAGCTCAGCCAACCGCGAGCATGCATATTTAACAAACTCTTCTTGTTGTCGATACACATTGCGGTAATACTGATCCATTTCTCTCATATTATCTCTAGCAATATCCTTGTCGCCATTCTGATTATTCTTTTTATCCGCTCCGAGAATCTTGAGGACATTTGCAAGCTCCGCCCGGCCACTCTTGCGCAACTCCTGTTTGCGCCGCAAGGCTTCTGCTCCTTCTGCCCATTGCTGCTCGCGGCTTTTTTGCTCTTCCATTAGAGTTCGCACCCAGTCTACAAACTGGGGGTCTTTGCGAGTCAATACATGTACAACATATTTGAGCGCATCAGAGTATGTTTTGATTTGCGACGGATCACTAGGGAGTCCATAATCCACTAAATGAGTCTTTTCTTCCTGAGGAGGACTAAACCTAGCTTCAGGCTCGTAATCTGAATCATTATCAGAAATCTCTCGGGTATCAGGGGCGGCTGAAACAAGAGCTTTAGGTTCCTTTACTGCAGTATTTCCAATTGACGCAAGCTGGCCCAGCAGTTGCATCAGCTGGTCATTCCCATTCATGGTGGTGATGTTTAATTATAAGTGTAAATGTATATATAAAGCAATCAGAGAGGGCAATATTCCGCATAATGTTTTGTAGTGGTTGTGGGTTAGGGGTTTCTTTCTTTCTTTTGAAAGTCGCCAACATTGCATTTTTCAAAGCCTCCCCTTTCAGCCAACTCACCCACAACAAACTACAACAACAAGCGACTTGGACAGCCCAACCAGCCAACATCTCTGATAGTTGGACCACCCGCCCCCCTGGAGAATACTGGATACAAAAGCAGTATACCCCTATTCAAGTCATTCCCTTCCTTTTTTTTTTTTTCTTTTCTTTTTTACTTGTTATAGACTACTTCTTTATCATGGCTTCCGCCATCTTTTTCCTGGACATTAAGGGCAAGCCCCTGCTGTCCCGTAACTACCGTGGCGATATTCCCATGAGTGCCGTTGAACGTTTCCCGCTACTACTGTTGGAGGCCGAAGAAGAGTCCTCTGTTGTTCCACCATGCTTCTCCAAGGAAGGCGTGCACTACCTGTACATTACACATAATGACCTGTACGTGCTGGCACTTTCAAAGCGGAACGCAAATGCTGCTGAGATTCTACTCTTTTTGCATCGCATTGTTAAGGTGTTAACTGAGTACTTTAAGCGCTTGACTGAAGAGTCGATCCGTGACAACTTTGTGGTCATTTACGAGTTACTTGACGAGATGATGGATTTCGGCCACCCTCAAACCACAGAAACACAAATCCTGAAGGAGTACATTACTCAAAAGTCTCATGAGCTCAATGTCCAAGTTCGTCCACCGGTCGCTGTTACCAATGCCGTTTCATGGCGCTCCGAGGGCCTCAAGTATAGCAAGAACGAGGCCTTTTTGGATGTTGTTGAGTCTGTCAACATGATGGTCTCGCCCACTGGCAAGGTACTACGCTCTGAAATTCTCGGCTCTATCCAAATGAAGTGTTTTTTGTCTGGTATGCCCGAACTGCGCCTTGGTCTTAACGACCGCGTGATTTTTGATCGCCAGTCCAACACAACAGGTCAGATTATCAATCCCAATGGTGGAGCCGGTGGCCGTTCTGCTGGCGGTAAGGGCTCGATAGAATTGGAAGATGTCAAGTTCCACCAATGTGTGCGGTTATCACGTTTTGAAAGCGACCGTACCATTTCTTTTATTCCTCCTGATGGAGAATTTGAGCTCATGTCGTACCGTCTCAACACTACAGTCAAGCCGCTTATTTGGATTGACTGCCAGATCCGAAACTTTTCAAACACCCGCATCGAGATTAAGGCACGCGCTCGCGCACAATTCAAGAGCAGGTCGCATGCCAATGACATTGACATTACCATTCCTGTTCCAGAGGATGCAGATTCACCCCGCTTGAAGGTGTCGCAAGGTTCTGCCAAATGGAAACCTGAATTGGCAGCCATTGTTTGGCACATTAAGAAGCTTGTTGGCGGCAAGGAAATTGAACTTTCTGCACAGCTCAACCTGCCGTCAGTGCGTGAAAATGACGATGGTGGGTCGTCCCTAGCGGGCGGTCGCGACAGCCAACCTTCGACATACCTTGAGGGTGGCAGCTCTGCTCAGAAGCCCATTTCTGTCAAGTTTACTATTCCCTTTTACACGACGTCGGGCATCCAAGTTCGGTACCTTAAAATTATTGAGCCTAAGCTGCAGTACCCGTCTTACCCATGGGTCCGTTACGTGACCAAGAGTGGTGATGACTACACGATTCGGATAGCCAGGTATTGAGGGTAATTAATTGTGATGAATGATAGTAATGATGTTAATAAGTAGGATTTGTAATTTAAAACTGGGTATCAAGTCTTTTGGACAACTCCATGAGTCTGAGTCTGTAAAGCTGTTGGATCTCTTGTTGCCTAGTTATGAAAAGGCTTTGAGGTTTTTTTTTTTTTTTTTTTTTTTTGGAAGGATTAGTTACAGTTACAACTTTTGGTTTTTAATATTTTTTGTTGTTGCGATACACTGAGTTTTTAGATAAAAAAAAATAGTTGAATAAATCTAATTTTAAATGTTTGAAAAAAAAAATTTTGAATTGAATTGAATTGAATTGAAGGTCACTTTTTCCTTTTGATAAGCTTTGGTGTTTAGATGTTGAAAGTAATACTGTTTATGTACAAGAACTTTTTTTTATTTTATTTTTGATTTATTTCTAAAAACTACAATGCAATCACGACATGAGTCTATAAATATCTGTACCAGTATTAAAATAGATAAAGAAATGTAAAAAAAAAAAATTAAAAAATAAAAGTCACAATCGCATTGACGTCAATTTCATCCGGGGGTTATTTATAAAAAAAAATAAAAAATAAAAAGTGGAACATTGAAAAGCCACAAAAAATAAAAAATGAAAGACGAAATCGGTAGTCAAAGAATTGTTTCCATTCAAGTGATGGCGAAAGATAAGCTTATCTGATATCTTTTTTTTTTTTTTGCTTAAAAAAAAAATTTGAGGAAAAAGTAACTTCATTGATATAAGATTCAAAACTTCATGTTATTCAGCAATAAAGATTTGCTTCTAGATTTAGATAATCTTTTTTTTTTACTAAATGTAGATACGTCAAATGGATTGTTTAAAAACATGAATTATTACAAAGACATTATTGTCTGGTAACTAACAAATGACTTAATTGGTTTAATTACAAACAATGGTTTTGTCTGGAGTAACAATAAATGGAAATTGATTCTAACTAACTTGTAGAAAATATAACGACAGAAAATGATGAATCCATTTATGCTTAATTATAAAGAAATATATATTTGTGAGTGTATGTAAAATTAATTCAATCTAATTCAATTCAATTCAATCCAAATAAGCCACAGTTGTAGCAATTAGACAAAACTATTAACAATACTCTAGTCTCACCTTTTCTTTCATTAACTTTTTTAATTAATTGAAAGTCATTAAAGTTTTTTTAACTGCTTTAAATAGTTTCAGTTTTATCCTTGAATTGGTAAATATTTATCAAAAAAGTAATTTTTTATTTTTTTTTTGAACTTATGACAGTCAAGCAATTCAAGTTCAATAATCAAAAAAGAATGAAGTAAAATTCTTCAATTTTATCCCTTATAATAAAGCGTATTGTATTAACGAGCTCTCAAGTTAATAATTGACTGTTGATATGACGATACATGTTTCTTGATTAATATTCATTTCTGTTCTCATTCTCGTTCTCAAAGATAAATTATCTAAAATTCTTACTTTTAACCAAGAAACAGAACCTTAATCATAAACCCCACCTTAATCGTCTAATCACAAGGTTATATATAATATTATCATCTTTTTCCTTGAGTCCGAATTACTGAATAGATTTGCTTTTATCTATTCACGTAATTCCTTAAAATGGTTTAAGCTTACGTTTGTCATTCAATTCTATAAAAAAATAAAAATAAAAATAAAAAAAGCCGTTACAATTACAACTTTTTTTTTTGACTATCAATATGCTCGTCTTTAAACCTCATTTTTAAAACAACGAAATTAGCGATCAAAAAAAGTTGTCAACATCAAGATTAAAAAAAAAAAAAGAAAAAAAAAAGGACGTAATATACGACCTCAATACGACAAGTTAAATATTACAAAGGGACATTAATTAAAAAAAAATATAAAGATATAATAATATTCATAAATTCGTTAGTAAAAGAGATTAGAAAATGATTAGGGGAAAAAAAAAAAGTTATTTATACAAATTAATCGTAGAGTCGTCGGTCAAGTTCTCGTAGCACATTGGCGACGGATGAAACTTCAACTTGCATCCCACGGGTTGTCAAACGACCAACAAGCTTCCCTAAATCCACTCGCTTAAAGTCTTTGTGCCTTGACAGAGTCTGATATGCGGCCGAGCAGGGAATGAAAGTTCCTGGGGGAGGTGTTGCAGACGCAGAAGCAGCACCAGCATCGCCTGTTGAAGCTGACGAGGAAGACGATGAACCTACAGAGGTTCCAGCATCAATCGAGGGTAAAGGGGTAGATACCGAGCCTTGAGAGTTAGGAGTAGAAGCAGATGTCCTCGGCTCTGTGTCCTTTGTTTTACTGGCCCCGCCACAGCACCCACCAGCCTTGCCCTTACCGCCACAGCACCCGCCAGTCGGCTTTTTGGCCTTGGGGTCTAGTGACGACCGAGACGACGAGACACGAGATGACGACAATCTGGATGCTAGCGTAGTGCAAAAGAGAGTTGACATGGGATCTGCTTGGCATTGCATGCAGGTCCCTGGGTTTCCTGTGCACCCACCTTGTTGATCAACTGGTAGAATGGATGGAAGCTTTGCTGAATCTCTGCGCACCGTAGGAACCGAGGTAGCACTAGCGACACCTGGCAGAAGAGAATCTGTACTATTATGACGAGATGATGGGGCAGATGCAGCGTTGCTAAAGGAAATGGGAGGAAGTGACGGGTCCGTGACAATGTCGGCCAGCGACGAGGCATCCTGGTCCGCCGACTCTGCGCAGAGACAAGGCGTTCCGTCCGAGCAAAACCCGCAGCGGTCGGCCGGCGTGCCCGGGTTGGTCTGGGAGAGTAGTAGAACTGCATTGCTTTCGTCGATCCCGACGCCGCTATTGCTTCGGCTATTGGAGCGCAGGAAGAGCGAAGTTGAAGATCTGTGTCGAGCATTTAGTGGCGGCAGGTCAATGGCCATGCGCTTTTGTGGAGCAAGAGAAGAAGTAGAAGAGGTAGAAGGTACAGAAGCTGCTGGTGGTGGTGTTGGTGCTGGTGCCGTCTTTTTGGGTTTAGGACGAGCAAAAACTGCAGTGAAATCCATTTCTAAAGGTTCCGAGTCATCATTTAGCGACGCATTGGTATTACCAGACTTTATTCTTTTAAAAATGGGTATTGTTTTGGCACCAGCATCGTCACGCCTTCGCTTGAGGGGGACTGAAGGCCCAACGCTAATGGGGACAGTTGGCGCAGGGGCTGTGGCTGTGGCTTGGACGGGTTCTAGAATAGCGACAAGAGTGGAGGTAGTTGGTTGTGAGGTTGGGTAAGGAGAGGGCATGTTAGAAGCTGGGGTAGAAGCATTTGAGTGATTACGTGGTGGACGGATGCCCAAAGACTCGCAGATGCAGTCTTCTTTGACACAGACGCCACAACCATCGTCATCATCTTCGTCATCATCATTATTGTCAGCTGGAGCGGTACCGACCGATTGTTGGCTTTGTAGAGGGGTTCCAGCTGCGCTGTTTATTGTGTGTGGTGAAGGTACGGAACCCATAGTTGCGGGATTTGAGTTTGCAGCCGCGTCATTTTTATTTGGTACAGGCAGCCGGATTTCCAAAATGCGGTCTAAAATGTCGAGCGGCGACTCAATCGAAGGCGCAGGAGAAGCCATTTGATTCATGGTCGGTGGGTAGGTAGATCCTGGAACCGCTGGTGAAACATGGTTACTAATGGAGTCGTTGCGTTGAGGGTATGCTGGCGGGTATGGATGTTGGTACTGTTGCATCTGCTGTTGGACTTGTTGAGCTTGTTGTTGCTGTTGTTGTTGCAGTTGCTGGAGTTGCTGCTCCTGGCGGTATGACTTTTGAAGGTTATAACTTTGAAGGCTGCTGCCACTGCTGGTTGGAGATATTGCTGAGGTGAATGGAGAAGAAGTGACTGGAGTAGATGCCTGAGAGCTAGATCTAGAGCGAAGCTGTTGCTGCTGCTGTTGTTGTTGTTGGACGATTTGTTGTTGCGTTTGAAGGGCCTGGAGTTGCTGTTGTTGCATCTTCTTAATTTCATTGCGGAGCTCGTTTAAAGACTCCCGAAGTTCAGTATTTTCCTGGGACACATTTTGGAGAGTATCACTGAGTTGTTTTTCCCGCATATCGCGCTCGGACTGTACCTCGGTAAGCATTTCCTCAAGCTCAACAACACGGGCTGCTCTGCGCTCGCGGAAAGCACGCTGGGCTGCTCTGTTTTGTGCCTTGCGTTTTGTAGGAGGAGTGTCTGTAGAGGGTTTACGTCCGGGCTTCGGACGTGGGGGAAGAACCCATACTTTGGAAGTAGAGACTTGAGCCACGGAAGACTTGGACGCAATAGCTGGAGGGGATATTGCGGTTGGAGAGCTGGAGGCAGTAGTAGTAGTAGTTGTTGTTGTTGTTGTTTTGGTATGGAAAGACGCTGATTTCCTGATTGTGGCTGAGGTGGCAGAAGCTGTTGGTGAAGTGGAAGAAGTTGAGGATATCATTGTGCTGGAAGAGGAGGAGGAGGTATTTGCTATGAGATTAGAAGAGTTTTGACCGCCTCCTTGAATATAAGTATTTGCGCTTGGGCGTCTTGCAGAGGAGGGTCTGATTGTGGGGGGTGAAGCAGCGTCTTCTGGGGATCTTGGGGAGATGGCCGAAAATTTTACAGAAGGCGCTGAAGCTGAAGACTTTCGTCTGGCCGTTGAGATGGAAGAGATGGTTGTGTTAGAGGTGGTAGGGTTTGTAAGGTTGGTGGTGGTGGGAGTTGAAGATTTGGGGGGGGAGGCAGCGGTAGCGGCGGCGGCAGCGGAGGCCAGTGGAATTTTGGAGGTTAGGGTGTTGAAATGGTGGGTTGAAGGGTTAGGGTTTGGTTTAAGGATTTGTGTGCGAGATTTGGTTGGCAATGGAGCGGAAACACCAATAGTAGCTGCAGTAGCAGTAGAAGTCAGAGGAGCAAGAGGAGCAAGCGGAGCAAGAGGAGCAAGAGGAGCCAAAGCACCAGATGAAAGCAGTTGTGAAGACTGCTGCTGATGATGACGAGGAGGTCCTGCCGCGAGAGGGAGTTTTGCGCCGGAGACGGGTTGCGGCGGCATTCTTGTATTTAGTGAGATAATTTTTGCTGTTGATTTTGGGAGTTATCAGATTAATCTGATGAGATGTTGGGTGTGTGTGTGGTAATAAATAAAAATAAAAAAAAAAAGGGGGGGAGGGAAGAAAAGAAGGAAATTTTTTTTTGAGCAGAAATTTTTGAGCTTTTTTGCGAGCGGAGGCAGCTGCTTTTAAATTTTTTTTATCAGATGGCCGCAATCGGAGACTCAGCAAAGTCAGACGAGGTGCTCACAGCCGCCATTGGACAAGTCTAAGTCACTTTGGGGTTTTGAAATTCCAGTTAGGATAAGATCAGCCAATAGGAAAATTTGGGAACTGAGAATTTCGTATAGCATCGTAATCAAATCAATCAGATAATTCCAATTTGAGAATGTGGGTTAATAAAATGAAATGAATTAAAATGAAATAAATCATGGCATGTGTCCACGTGACAAAACATAATTGTAATGGCACAAAAATTGTAACAAATTCAAGTTATATTAACTTACTAGTAGTAACATTTACAGTTATTTTTACAAGTTACCCAGTAATAATATGTATCCGGCTGAAAATTTTCGACTTAACGTTAAATACATAACAACCATTTCAGTTCATCCACTCTCTTTCACCACCTTAAACTTTCAGGAGTGCTGCCACTACCACCACTGCTAACACCATGGTTTCTGTTTCCCTATATACACGGGCTGCAAGAACCTTATGTGCTCGCTCAGCAGTTCTCCAACAAGCCTATGCTCGTGGATTCACGTCGTGTTCCATTTGCTACAATGAACTAGACGAGATTTATGACAACTTTAACAAGCATGTTGGCGATTCCAAACCAAAACGACATGATACCAAGTTACGTGATGGCCGAAAACCTCGCTTTGAGAGTGGGGTTCGACCACCTAGAGAGTTTAAATCTAAATCCCCCGACCAACCCCCTAACGCAAAGAGATTCCAAAAATCTGATGATAGATCCGGTACATCAAACTCAGAATATAAGACGCTTGATGATTATGATAAAGACAGTCCGCCTCCGAAACGATATCCCCCCAAAACTAAAGGAAGATACCAATCACGACAAGATGATATTAATGTCAAGCGGGAAATGTACCAAAAAATGAAAGATAACGAGACCATTCGTCGAAGTGTAGACGAAAACAGTGAGTTTGGACAATTGAAAAAAGTCATGTCCAAGGCTATTCCCAAGGACGACATCAATATTTTTAATTCAGACTCTTATTTCAACTTTAAAGACGAGGATGGGTATTTTAGAGAGGATTTGAGTCCCATCCGTATGGCGTTTAACTGGGAAAAACAAATGCAGGAAATGGACCAAGACCCCAAGTACGAGAAATTATCTGATCCTCACATCAAGTTTCTTGCCCAACTCAAGGATTGGGAAGAACGTAGGAAACGTGCTCGAATGCGCAAGTCTGGCTTTAAGTTTCCCGAGGAAATGCCTGGGCATGTTCCTCCAAAGCAATTGGAAAACCCCGCGAAAAATTACAATGGAGAGTTGGCGCGGTACATTGAGCCCAACAATGTGGAACTCAAGGGGGTCTCTAACAAGACTAAAGATCACGCACCTTTGTTGAGCCATAATCTTGATCGAGTACTTTTTTCACCTGGTGTACATGTTCTCAAGGATGACCGTACTAATGTTTACAACTTTTCACCATCTTTGGAACGCATCATGTCGATTAGAGACTTTGACTTTACCAAAGTAACGCCATTCACTCCCTCAGCAAATGACACTGTACTTTCGCAAACAGCTAAGGAAAACAATAAACTTTTTACTTCGTCGACATCGTCGCTTACCGGTATCTTTATGCAAATGCATTATCTCATTTCACGTAACCGTCCTCCAGTCACAACAGCTCTCTCCAAGGCTTTCCCAGAATCCAAAACAACTTTCACAACTAGCATGCGCAAGCCTGTAAGTGCATTTTTGCGATACCGCCCAGAGACTGAGACTTATTCTCTAGACTCGGACAAATCACAAGATGAGGAAATCATTTTATCATTGCTTGGCCAAGTGATGGAAACACAGCTTACAGTTGATGATAAGACTTTTAGAGGAGAGTATACCAAGCCGCATAAGCCTGAGGACTACAAGCAGCTGACCAACGCGCCTGCTAATATTTACCACTACTCAACATGTGGCGACTTTGTGATGCGATCGCAAATTGATTGTTACGACCCGCGGTTACCCGGCACGGGCACATTTGATCTCAAGACTCGAGCCGTGTGTGCCGTGCGACATGACCTTGACTACGCACAAGTGCACGATGGCACCGATTACCAAATTAAAGCAATCAAAGGAGAATGGGAGTCATATGAGCGGGAGCAGTATGACTTGATACGAAGTGCGCTGCTCAAGTATTCGATGCAAGCCCGCATTGGGCGCATGGATGGCATTTTTGTTGCTTACCACAATATTCGGAAAATGTTTGGGTTTGAGTATCTTCCCTTGGATGTTATCGACAAGGTATTCCACTCGTATGAAGCTTCGGAGAAAGATGCGCCGAGAATTGCGGCGGAAGAGTTCCGGGTAAGTGCAGAAATGTTGTCAATGATTTTGCGCCAAGTCATTAAGGCATACCCGAAACAATCGGTGAATCTTGTTTTCAAGGCACCATCATCTCCACGCGACATTGACCAGCAGGGCCATGCCATGATGGTGTTTGCACACCCAATGCCCGAGACGGTTGTAGACATGATTCAACGTGGGGTCGAGCCTCCCCCTGAGAGCGAACTCAAGACAGTTCCATTGATTGAGGAGGTGACAGATGAAGAGTTAATTAAGGGTCTGAAGGCACATAAAAAACAAATGCATCAGTTGCGATTAGATAAGAAGACTAAAACTGCTGGGAAGACTGTGTCAGAAATCACGCCTGAACAACTTGCTAAGCAGCGCGAGGTTTACAAGGAAATACTCAAGAAGGAGGCGTACTTGAATCGACGCACACTATTTGATTTGTTCCGGGATGGGTTTTCAGAGTCACACTTGAGGACTCGTGCATGGAGCATGACTGTGGACAATTATGTTGACAATCAGCTTGTTCCTGTGACCACACACCCTGCGCCAGGCCCTAACTCTGAGTGGACAGTTGGGGTCAAAATGAAGCCAGTGCAGCCCAATCTTGTTTTTGATAACCTGTCGTCAGTGATCCGGGACTACCTGGATGAGGCTGTTGAAGTGGAGCATCAAGCAGAGCTTGAGGCTGAGAAGCTGCGGAGTGAGTCTAACAAGATTGAAGAGAAGTTTACGGAGGAGGAACTTGCGGAGATGGGCAAGGATGGACAAGTGGCAAGCGACCGGACAATGTTGTCGTCCTCGTCCTCATCGTCGTCGTCGTCGCAAGAACTGGACGAGAAGACACGGGAACGACACTTGGTGGTGAATCCACCAAAGGTATTGCAAGTGGCAGAAGCCACTAAGTCCAAGTACAGTGCAGTACGGCCCAAGACAATTGCTCGGCTAACTTCGCGACCTGATACAGAGCGGAGGACGACAGAGGAGCTTGCAGAGTACGTTGAGCGTGGTGTTGCACGGATGCAGAAGCCTTCCAAGTTTCAGCGTAAGCTACGAGGGTTTGGTGAGCGGAGCCGGGCCGAGGCAGAGTTGACTACTAATGGTAGTAGTGGGTCTGACGACGAGCCCATTGTATGGACGCCCAAGGTGTAAATAAAGAAATAAATAAAGAGAGAGAGAGAGAGAGAGAGAGAGAGAGAGAGATTTAAGGGACCATTTTTTGTATATATATATTTGAAGAATAAGAAGAAGAAAAAGAAGAAAACACGAGAATATTTAAAAAAAAAAAAATTGAAATTGAAATTGAAATTGAAATTAAAATTAAACAAACGAAATAAAAATCAAACAGCCAGCGTTTCTATAATAAAGCAGAGAGGATTGAAAGGCGAAAAATAGAGAGAGAGAGAGAGAGAGAGAGAGAGAGAGAAAAGAGATCGAGGTAGATGGATTGAAATACATAAAAACATAAATAACCCAAATTGTTTCGTCTCAACTCCGTTTCCGAGGACGTGGAACGCGCTCAGTTTTTATGGCAGCTGCAGCAACGCTCTGGTGGTATGCCAGTTGTTGTTGTTGTTGTGAATAAATCTGCGCGTCTTGTGATTGTTGATGCTGTTGTTGTTCCGGATGTCCACCGTCCAGAGAAATGTATTGGTACTCCAGTAATTGTTCTTGATCCTGTTGCTGCTGATGTTGCTGTTGTTGTTGTTGTTGTTGCTGATGCTGCTGATGCGGTTGCTGATGCTGCTGTTGATGTTGATGTTGCTGTTGATGTTGCTGTTGTTGTTGTTCTAATAACTGCTGTTGCTGAGCATACTGTTCTTGTACCGCCAGTTCTTGTTCATCAATGACTCTTGCACGAGCATTCATATTATTCCGACTCACACCTGCTCGTCTCCCCAGATGTGGTGTGGTATGATTGTTGATGCTATTATTGGTATTATTGGTATTATTATTACTATTATTATTGATGTTATTATTGTTATTGTTATTGTTATTGATACTATTATTATGGCTTGCAATGTGATGAGAATTCCGGGCATGTTTAGCTGCAAGCACCTCTCTCTTGAGTTCTGCGCAGACTCCACGAGCAGCCTCTAAAGTCGCATACATGTCATTAATTTCAGCTTGCATTCGTCCCATTTCCAAGAAAATTTGTGACTGAAGTTCAGCCACTTGTGCAAGTGTTAAAGATTCTGCAACCGTATCAAATTGTACAACAAGGTTAGTTATTAACGCGAGAATATCAGTTGTTGATGCCGCTGAAGTTAACGCTGCTGCTGCTGCTGCCGCTGCTGCTGCTGAAGAAGACGAAGACGAGTTATGGTTATTAGAAGATGAAGATGAAGTGGCTGTAGTTGAACCTGAAGAAGTAGAAGTAGAAAGACCTGCTTGTGAGGAAGATGACGAAGGAGGGGAAGACTCATGGATGGATGTTGAGGTTGGATGAAGTTGTTGGAGATGGTGATGTATTTGAACATTTGAAGATGCTGCAGCGGCTGCCGCTGCTGCTGCTGCTGCTGCCAAAGCGTCTTGAGCAGGATCATCGAGATACTGTGCACTGGCAGCTGCTGCCAAAAGCTCGTGGTTCATGATGATAGCAGTGATGATAAGTAATAGTAGTAGTGGTGATGGTGGTGGTGGTGATGATATGAATTTGAATAAGTTTTGTTGGTATTAAAAAAAAAAAAAAAAAAAAGTTTGGCCGTTGTTTGGGTGGGTAAATAAAATTTTCGCGTGTTTGTTTGGAATGTTTTTTTTTTTTTTAGTGTAGAGAGCCATTTTGGTCTAAAAGGGATGGCACATAAACACACACACACACAGAAAAAAAAAAATAAAATAAAAAATAAACGCAGATTTGGAGATTCACATGAAAAAACAATTTAGTTACCATAATAATTAACAGCTCCCCCCTTTTTTATTTTTTATATTTTTTATTTTAAAATATTTTGATATTCAAGTTGAATATTTGAATATATTTAAATATACTTTGAAAAAAAAAAAAATAAATCAAATGTTATTAATTAAAATTAAAAAAGAGAGAGAAAAAAAATACCAATAAGAAAGACAAATTAAGTAAAATATAAACTAAAAAAAAAAAAAAAAAATTTATACAAAAAATTAAGCCAATGTTTTTTTTTTTTTTATTCTTTTTTTAATCTCCACCATTGCTATTACCACGAACTTCATCACGATTCCGATCATACTTGGCACGTGGCAAGGGAGGTACAGGAGCTGCTGGAGCAACAGGACTAGGTGGTGGAATATAGTCTTGTGGAGACTCAAATGGATTTTCCCGAGTATTATCTGCACTTGTCCTAGAGTCAGGTGCGTTACTGTTGTGTTGGGGCAAATCTTCCTGACGTGCTGTTGCTGTTTCAGCTATTACTGTTGCTGCTGAAGATGATGACGACGATAATATCCGGTTACGTGAGAAAATATAATACCCTGGCCCGGAAACAGTGCGTGCAGCAGAGCTGGTAGATTCAGGATCATTATTGGAACCTGAAGATCCTTGTAGCTGATGAAGGTAGCGCCGTGATGCCACAAAGCGCAGCCAGTTGGATCTATTTTGATCGTCTTCAGTAGATGCAGGTGTTGAAGAGGATGAAGAAGAAGAAGAGGGAGAGGGAGAGGAAGATGATGATCCATGATTATTTACAAAAGGTAGACTAGGGAGTCTTGGAAGTACCAAATGTCCTGAGAACCCAGTGGATGATTGTTGTTGCTGTTGTTGCTGTTGTTGCTGTTGTTGTTGTTGTTCGCGGAGCTGTCGCCGCAGCTCTGCTTCTTCATGAAACCGTGCAAGGGCCGCTCGGCGGGCCTCTTTGGGTAGCAGATGGGCGTTCCAGACGTCCAAGAACCGGTTAAAGAAAGATGTTTCAATTTGGTATCCTTCAGGAATTATTGGAGCTATTGCTGCTCCATTATTATGATTATGGTTATTATTGTTATTGTTATTATTATTATTATCATTCGTAGTAGTAGTAGTAGTAGTAGTATTTTGGACCTCTCCATTTAATGCATCTCTTGGATGATCGGGAATATCTGCACTACGCTGGATACTTAAATCAACACGACATAATGGACAATGCGAGGACGAGTTGAGTAACCAAGGGTCGACACATGGGGCATGGAAACGATGACGGCATGGAAGAACACGAACAATTTCACCATCGGCAAAGGGCTCGAAGCAAATAGGACAAAGTGAGTCGTCGTCTTCTGGGATTTCCAGTGGTTGGAGGGTCTCTGTGGTTGGGTACTGTACTGGTGGTGGAGAAGGAGGCGTCAGTGTTGTGTAAGTATAGTGGGGGGTAGTTGAAGCGGAAGTTGCAGCAGTAACAGCAGCAGCAATGGTGGTGGTAGTAGTAGTAGTAGTAGTAGTGGTTGTGGAAGAACTAACAGCCGCAGGTGATGACGCAGTTGTTACCTCGGAATCAGCTACTACTACTACAGGATCCGCCACGCGATCAATGCGAGCTTCGGAGGTCTTGGAAGAAAGAGTTGATAATTCATGAGCAGGCATAATACCGGATTCAATAATTCCTGGGTCTTTATTATTGGTAGAAGTAGTAGTGGTTCCAGTTCTTTGAGTGATGCGAACAGTGACTAATGGGATTGAATCTAGTACTGCTCGTGCTAGTCCCTTTGCACGTTGAGAATAGGCTGCACCTCCCACCAAGTCAACCTGAGACTCGTTATCTGGGTATCCTCCTGGGGGTGGAAGGCCGTAGCGTTCTGGATGCTTGTGAACACGGATAGCACCTGAGATGATGATGAATAGAAAGATGGCGGCAACTAAGCCTGTAACGGAATAGAGAATGGCCATAGGGACGGTTGAGTAATGACTTGAGGAGCTAGAAGAAGAAGAGCTTTTAGAAGGAATGGTAGTGATGACGGCGGTGAGATCATCTGTAGCGTTAAGACTTTGGACTATAGATTTTGAGACAATGGTGGAGAGGGTTGTAAGCACCAGACCCATTTGGGAGGCATAGAGCTTATAGGCGGAGGTGAAGTTACAAGAGTTTGAATGTAAGGAGTAGAGCAGGACACAGTCAGAGGATTGGACAGCATAGTTGATGATCTGGTCGGTGGCTGAAGAGCCCTGAGTGTTTGCGTCTTCATCACAGTTGATGAGAGCAATGTCTGGGTAACCGATATAGATTGATGTACTTGCACGGGTGGACACGAGGCGTCCGACACAAATTCCTTCAATGCCGTTTGAGAAGGTAGTTGTGCGGCCCACAGCGGCGGTGAGTGCGGCGACATCTGCAGACATGGTCATATTTGTAGCGTTTGAGACTATACGAAGAGACATGAGAGAATCGAACTGTAGGGTATTATTTGTTTGAGTGACGAAGTTTGTATCTGACGAAGTTCCGATAGGTACCGGAGCAGTATTGTTATTGCTGCGGGGGAGAAGGAGGCTGGGATATGTGTAGTGGATTTGAAAGGATGGGGATAAAAGAAGAGAGATGGTAACAATGACGACGACGAAGACTGCGGTGGTGGTGGTTAGAAGGACTAATAACAGAGCTCGGGACCCGCACTGCAGACGGCGGCGGGACCAGGGTGCAGAGAGGACCGGAGGCATTGTAGGATTTGTTGTTAAAGTTTAAGAGATGGTAAGAAGGATGGAAAGGAAAGAAAAGTTTAGAAGGGAAGAAAGCTGAATTTTTTTCTTTTTTTTATTTTTAATTAAAGTTGGGTTAATAAATTTAATAAATAAATAAATAAATAAATAAATTTAATAAATAAAAATAAAAAAAGGCGCAGCAGCAGTTCTAAGAAAAGCTTTCTAAACTTAACAACAAACTTTGCTAAAAAAAAAAAAAAAAAAAAAAAAAAAAAAAAAGAATTCTTTCGAAAGCGATAATCAAAGTGTTTATAAAAACAAACAATTACAATAATAACAACAATTTTTTTTTTAAATTAAATTTAAATCAAATTAAATTAAATTATAACAAAAAAAATATGGAATCAGAGCTTGAGAAATTTAGACAAGAGTGGCGTCAGGAAGTTCAAAAAAGGGCTATACCTGAAAAGTCTAAGATAAATGAGACTAGAAAAATTGATAACCTTGAAAAAAAACTTGAAAACTTACCTAAAAGAGTTCCATCATCATTAGGTCCTGATTTAGAAGTCTTCCATGGAGAAGAACCTCCTACTCCACGATCATTTACTCCTGAAGAATGTGATGCTTTAGCACTTTTTGAAGCAGCAGTTGAGCGTGAACACGCAGGAAAGCTTTCGGATGCAGTTGTACTTTACCGAGATGCATTCAGGGCAAATGATAAGGTTGATCGATTATACCGTGATAAGTGGTTTAGCCATGAGAATCAAAAGAAGAAAAATAAACAAACAAGTGGACCAATGACTGCACCAGAGACTCCTGATGAACAGGAGGATCAAAATCAAGATCAAGATCAAGACCAAAATCAAGATCAAAATCAAAATCAAGATCAAGAACAGGAACAGGAACTTGAAACCAAAATTAAAACATTAAACTTGAACCGTTCTGAAGATGTTTTACCTGCAGACGAAACTAAATATTCACCCTTTGCACATTCCAGATTACCCAACGAAATTGTGGAAGCTATTTTATGTCAAGTTGCATTGTTAGACCCAAGAGCATTTGTAAGGGCACAAGCATCATGTAAATTGTTTCATAGGGTGGCTGCACAATCACCACATATTTGGCGAGCATTGGCACTACGAGAATATCCTGATCAAAAATATGATTCAGAAGCATTTTTACAAGTTTATGGAGAAGATGTTTGTTGTAAGGATTCAATTAGTTCTAAGGAATCTGCTGCTCTTTGGCGTGATGGGACTAAATGGAAAGGTCAATGGCGTGCTATGTATATGCATAGACCAAGAGTTAGGTTTGATGGAGTGTATGTATCAACATGTAATTATGTGAGACCTGGTCGTGGTGATGGATGGTCTGCACCTATGATTATGGTGACTTATTATCGGTATTTACGATTTTTCCGTGATGGTGCGGTATTATCATTATTAACGACGGATGAACCCAAAGATGTTGTTCCTGCATTTGAACGAGGGAAGATTGGTGGTGGTTCATCTACAGTACGTCAAGATGGGTCGGTATTTATATTACCAAGAACAGTAGTTGGAGGTACATGGAAACATACTGATTCTCAAGGATCTATACTTGTACATACTGCAGGATCTGTTCCAGAGTATGAATTTTGGTTAGAATTACAAGTTCGATCATCTGGAACTCGAAGACATAATAAGTTAAAATGGGTAACGTTTTTTGCTACTGAAAGAATGACCGGTGCACGTACCGATTTTGGACTTCTTAATGATCGACCGTACTTCTTTGTACGCTATACTTGGTGATTTGTAGTGTATATAAGAGAATGGCTGATAATGATGATGATGATGATGATGATGATGATATTTTTTTTCTCATTTCCACGTGACTCTTTTTTTTGTTAAAAAATTAATAAAGTTAATTTAATTAATAAAGTTAATTTAATAAAAAAATTAATTTAATTAAAAAAATTAAAAAGTTGTCTGTGGCTGATTTGGCTGGCTGATTTTTGGATGGCTGGCTGGCTGACTGGCTGGCTGGCTGGCTGGCTGGATGATTTTTGGCTGATTTTTTGGCTGGCTGCTCAAAAATTTTCTTTACACAACCACCAAAAGCAGCCAAATTTGGTTTTAAAAGCAGCAGCAGCAGCAGCCGTCCTTTTTTTTTTTTTTTATTTTTTTATTTTTTAAAACCAAAATTTTTTATTTTTTTTTTTTTTTTTGGCTTTAAAACTTAACTTTTTTTTCCCTTTCCTTCCCCCCCCCCCTTTTTTTCTTTCCCTCAAACAACAACAACAACAACAACCGCAGGACCGACCCGGGACCTCAAGCCAGCAACCAAACATTGCCAGCATATCATTTCAAAACATTACTCTTTCTAGATAATTCTCTTAATCTTACATTCCTTCTTTCTTCTTCTTTTTGTATATTCTTTTTCTTTTTTTTTTTTTAATTTAATCATGTCTTCTGCCGTCTTGGCCTCATCCTCTTCTCAACAAACCCTCCCAGATACCTCTCATGGACCTTACACGCGTCCAGCATCGGTCATCTCTTCCGCGCACTCTTCTGCTCGGTCCTCTGTTGCTTCATCGTTGACTTCTTCTCCGACTCAACAACGCTCACCTACAGGGTCTCTAGTGGCATTACCTTCTGTAACTACCCCTAATACTTCCTCCACGTCTACCACGTCTACCACGTCTACCACGTTCACTGCTCCTTCTTCTTCTTCTTCTTCTTCCTCTAGCGCAGGCGCTTCGATTCATCTTGCTGCGCGGGCCGGAGGAACCGCCCATCATCGTCCTGCTCCCATCAATGTAACAAAGGCTAATGAGTCTCTTTTCATGGGTTCTTCTTCTTCTTCTTCCTCTGGAATGACTGTGTTGAATTCAACTACTACCCCCCAGTCTCCACGAGCTGCTTTAGTGGCCGGGCTGCGCTCGGCTACTGACCGTCGTGTTCACCAAAAAATGCTCCAACAACAGCAACAGCAGCAGCAACAGCAGTTGCAACAACAACAGCAGTTGCAGCAACAAATGAATCAGCTTTCACTTGATTCCAACGTGCTCTATGCTAGCACCCCTACCTACCCTGCCTCAGCAACAACCTTATCTTTCCCTGGATCGGCCCAGTATGCTACACCTTTTGCTCTTCCTCCTCAGTCTTCTTCTCCTCTTCAAGGTATGGTCCCCCATTCGGCTACAGTCTCTTCTTTTTCCAATGCTACAGGCCAGCAACAGCAGCAACAACAGCAGCAACAAATCCAGGCTCAACCTCCTCAACGTTCAGCCACCACTTCCAGTCCTTACTTGAACGCATTGGCTGCATGCTCATCTCCGGTCACGGGTCCTACTGGTGTACCTTCCTTGCATAATGGTGCATTTTTGGACCCTCCGGAATTTTCCATTTCTGCTCGTACTTTGTCACCTCCAGCTTCTCCTGGACCAGCAGTTGATCGTGTGGATCCTCGTCAGTTGGCTGCTCTTCATCAGCAACAACAAGAATTGTTGGCCACTTCGCGACTTATTGCTCAGCAACAGCAACGTATTCAAGCCAAAATGGCCCAAGTAGCTGCTGAAAATGCAAACAATAACAATCCAGGAACCGTTTTTGGAGGAGCCGGAACTACTTCAGACCTTATACCTTCTTCTTCATCTACTGTTTCTAATAATTCTTCTATTTCTACCTCTTCTTCTTCTTCTTCATCATCATCATCATCATCATCTTCTTCTTCTTCCTTTTATGACCGCCCGGCTAGCCCGTCGGTCCCCGTGCGCCCCTCATCTGCTGCAGGCTCCCTGGATGGAGCTCTGTTTGGTGCGCCTCCGGGACTTTTTTTGCAGACTGGATCTGCAAATCAAGGGGGTATCTATGGATCCTTTTACCAACAACCTCAACAGTCTCAACAGCAGCTACAACAACAGCAACAACAACAACAATTTATGAGTCCTATTTCTAGTGTATTTCCTTCTCAACAATCAGGAACTTCATCTTCCTCATTCAGTAGGTCCCACCGTAAAGCTTCTAGCTTGTCTGGAAGTGCGGTGGGGACTTTTGGCGGGTCCCAGCAACACCAGTCTGCATCTGGAGGAATGCATGGGTCAGCATATCGCAAGCAATACGTTGGTGGAGGGACTAGTTCATCGTTTGGTGTTATTGGGTCATCATTTTCTGGAACAGGACTTTTGACTACTAGTTCCAATTCCTCCTCAAATTCTTCCAACTCCTCCAACTCCAACTCCTCTAACTCCAACTCTTTGATATCTCCATGGAATCCGCGGGCGGCTGGTCCTCTGCCAGGAGCAGGAGGGTTAGCTAAGAACGCACCACATACACCGTCCAGCTTGTCATTTTCATCGACTACGTTGACACGTGGTCCCTGTGCCGTTGCAGCTATTTCCACGGGATCTTTATCATCTGCAACGTCATCTTCTTCATTTTTTGAAGAGGTGGCAGTTCCTGTACGACAACCAGTTGGTCCGCCATTGATGGAAGAGTTACGAGCGCGCCCGGAGCGCAACTTTTATGTATATGCTGGAGGAGTATCATCTACAGGAAATGCCGGCCAGGCGCCGGTTTAGAAAAGGGAAAAATGGGAAAAGAGAAAATGAAAAAAGGGACTTTGAAAGTTCCTTTTTAATGTTTGAAAAAAAAAAAGTTTTATAAGGAAATTTTTTTTTTTTTTTAGATTTTTTTTTTAGATTTTTTTTTTTTATAATTTTTTTTTTTTTTTCAAGTAGAAAGATCAATTGATTTGATTATTTATTGAAAAAGATTATCCACGTAGATTAATCTTGAATTGAATTGATTGACTGATTGATTGATTGATTGATTGGTTGGTTGATAGATTGATAGAAAGGGGGATAAGCGAAGGGGAATTTTTTTTTTTTTTGATGCCCACTCTTTTTTTTTTTTTTATTTTTTAAGGAAAAAAATTTGACGATGATAACAAATGATTTTGGTGTCTTAAAAATGGAGATTTTTTTTTTTTTTTGATATATTCAAATTAATATTCAAATTAATATTCAAATTGAAAATTAATGAAATGCGGATTATTATTTTATTTATTTTTTTTTTTTAAAACAAACTAAAATAAAAATTTAAAATAGCAACTTAAAATAATTTAATTTTGAAAAAAAAAAAAAAAAAAAAAAAAAAAAAAAAAAAAAAACGTTTTCAATAAATTTATTTCGTCATAGTTTTAGACAAGACGGATTTTAAAAATAAAAAAAAAAAAACGTTGCGCAAAAAACGTCACTACTAAAAAAAAATAAAAATAAAAACTCAAAATATATATATACTTCTTTATAATAAAGAAGTTTATTTCTTTTTAAATATATAAATAAAAAAAAAAAGAAAAAGGAAAAAGACTTTGTTGGAATTTATAATTCAATGGAAAAGGGGAATTGTTTTTTTCTTTTTTCTTTTTTTTTTTTTTTTTGAAAAAAGAGTGTAAAAATAAAAAAAAATAGCAACTTTCAATTAACAATTAAATACTTCTTGAAGAATTTATTTATTTATTTAGAATAAAACTTCAAATCTATTTTATTAATATCATATCATATCATATCATATAATCTCTCTTTTTTTTGTTTTTTTTTTCTTTTCAATCATTATCATCATTCTAATCAAAAAAAAAAAAAATATCTTACACAAATGTCCCAAAATAATCATTCAAATACCAAGAGAGGAATCCAACAACAAGTTCGATTCCCTAAAAATAATAATCCACGTTCTCATAAAGTTCATTTGCCTACTGATGATATGGACCTTAAAGTAACTTCCCCATCATTATCTTCCTCTTCTTCTTCAGATGATAACGAAGAAGAAGAAGATGATGATGATGACGATGATGATGGAGTCTTGCAAATCAATCCAACCCAATCCTTAGGCGCACAAACTGCCCAACAAGTCCATCGCAAAAACTCTGCAACAACTGCAACAACTAATCGTCAACCTTTCTTACCTATACCTCTTGCACCTTCTGCTTTCCTTCAAGCACCTCCTGCTACATCATTATCCTCCTCCTCCTCCTCATACACAGACATAACCAATATTCCTACAGTTCCTGTTCGTGCACATAGTCCATTGGCATCAACAGTTACAACTCCTACATCACCTCCACCTGTATTTGGTGCACGCTGGCGAGTTCATTCAGGATTAACACCACCCAGACTTACACCACAACAATCAATGCTTGGGATACCGGAATGGGTAACAGCAGCTGGAACTCACGATAATGGAACAGTCATGACAACGTGGTCAGGAACAGGTACAGGATTTACGAGTCGAAGTAATAGCTACAATAGTTTGGCTGAACAACATTTGCGAGGGATTGGTGGAATTGCAAGTAGTGTGGGCAGTAATAGTAGTGGTGCTGGGACTCATGCTCTTGGATCGCCATTGTTACAGGCTAACAATGGTCCGGAGGGGTTTAGTATGGGTGAAGGTGGGAAAAAAGAAATAGGAGAAAAAGAAGAAGAAAAAGAAAAAGAAAAAGAAGAAAGAGAACATCCGGGAGGGTATCCTGGGCGAGCACAGTGGGTTGGGGTTGGTGGGTGGATGCGCAGACTTGGACGACGGGTTGGTGGTAAAAGTGGTGAGTTTGTGGAAGACTTAGAGCTTGGGACGAGTGATCATAGTGGGTACAAGAATGATGGTGATGGTGGTGGTTGTTCAGGGATTGAATTACGAGAGTTAGACAGTGCGTTACACCGTTTAGCAGTTGAGGCTAGTGGAGGAGGAGGAGGAGGAGGAGGAGGACAAGAAATGGTGGCTACTCGGAGGCTGGGCACCACCATTAACAACAACAACAACAGTAATAACAACAATAGTTTTACAAAAGAAGAGTCAGAGGTCAAGGGAAAGGAAAGGGAAAAGGAAAAGGAAAAGGAAAAGGAAAAGGAAAAGGAAAAGGAAAAGGAAAAGGAAAAGGAAAAGGAAAAGGAAAAGGAAAAGGAAAAGGAAAAAACCGCGGACAGTGGAGGGTTTGTTGATCCCGAAGAAACTGCGCGCGATTTGGTGCGCGTACATTCTCGAGGAGGAGGAAGAGGAGGAGGAGGAGGAGGAGGAGATGGAGTTATCCATGGCCAAGTAGGATCGGCAAAGTCTGGGCAGCAGCAAGCAAACCAAAATATCGGGAGTGGCAACTACGGATTTCCCAGTAGGTTGAGTGAAACAATGCGCGCGCCACCGGGGGCAACCAGCTCAGGTGGTGGTGTGGGTAGTGGCGGGACTTTTGGCAATGATGGAAATGGCAGTGGTTACGTAGCAGTCGGTAACGTTATTAGCAGTAGTAGTAGTAGTAGTAGTAGTAGTGCTGGGGGGAATTTAGTGATGGCAAACTTGCATGGAAATTCCACAGTGCCTACAATAAATACACACTCAGGTACTGGGCCAACAACAACAACAACAACAACAGCAACAGCAACAGCAACACCAGCAAGATTCAGCTCATTTGGATTGGCCGGCGATGATCGGCTTTTAAATGATGAAGAAAATGATGATCGGCCACTCGGAGTTTTGGGCACATTACTACAGTTATACAATCAAACATCTACCATTGATTTAGCCAGTGAATCATCATCATCTCATACACCGATCTTAGGAAATTCAACTCCAGCAGGCTCAACATCATCACTGGTGGAACTTGCTTCTGGAGCCATGCGACGAGCACGCAAGGCTCGGTTACAGAAAAGACAAGCACACGCTGCACGAACTGCAGTTGCCGCACGTATTTCAGATGAACTTCAACGACAACGGTTTGTAGTGTTACTTGCACGAGCTTTGTTAGATTATGGAGCACCAACACACCGGTTAGAAGAAGTGGTGGCAGCAGCATCTCGTGCAGTATCAGTGGAAGGTCAATATTTGTATGTACCTGGATGCCTAATAGCTTCATTTGGTGATCGATCAACACATACATCTAATATGGTGCTGGTTAGGCCAGGAACTGGAGGAATCAATTTGAGTAAACTAGAAGCTGCACATCGAGTATATCGTGGAGTTGTTCGTGCACAGGTAGGAGCAGGGTCTGGATGTCGATTACTTGAGAGACTTTCAGTAGCACCTGTATTATATCCTCGGTGGGTGCTAGTTTTATTATTTTGTATATCATCTGCAGTTGTTGGTCCGTTTGGGTTTGGTGGTGGATGGATTGATATGCCTATTAGTTTTATTCTTGGAGGAGTTGTTGGGTTGTTGCAAGTATGTGTTGCACCAAGGTCTGGGCTTTATTCAAGTGTTTTTGAGGTAACTGCATGTGTTGTTGTTAGTTTCCTTGCACGTGCAATTGGGTCTATTCGTGGCTCAAGTATTTTCTGTTTTGCAGCCATTGTACAAAGTTCTTTGGCTTTAATTCTTCCTGGGTATATTATTGTGTGTGGTGCATTGGAGCTACAATCACGTAGTCTTGTTGCAGGAGCAGCACGTATGTTGCAAGCATTAGTATATGCATTATTAATGGGGTTTGGAATTTCACTTGGGTCTGCAGCTTATGGGTGGATGGATAAGAGTGCTACATCTGCCACAGTATGTGAGGATGGTCATGGTACTGCAGATGCTTGGCGTGGGTTATTTGTTCCATTATTTAGTGCTGGGTTAGCATTAGTAAATCAAGCATCTATACGTCAAATTCCTATGATGGTATTGATATCTAGTGCTGGGTATGCAGCATCATATTTTAGTAGTCAAGCACTTAATGGTAGTAATGGGACTACACGGGAAGTAAGTGCGGCAGCTGGAGCATTTGTGATTGGGGTATTGGGGAATATTTATGGTAGAATATTTTCAGGACAAGCAGGGATTGGGTTTACAGCAGCATTACCAGGGATTTTAGTTCAAGTTCCTTCTGGAATAGCAATTCAGGGGAGTTTTCTTTCAGGAGTAATTGGGGCAGATTCGATTGTTAATAAGAGTGGAAGTAGTAATGAAGAATCTGGGAATTCATTAAGTGCAGGAGTTGCAATGGTTGAAGTAAGTTTAGGAATTTCAGTTGGACTTTTTGTAGCCGCTCTTGTTGTTTATCCACTGGGTGGAAGGAAAACTTCAGTAGGGTTATTTACATTTTGAAAAGCCACAAGTTAAAAATAAAAATAAAAATAAAAATAAAAATAAAAAAATAAAACTTAAAAAAATAAAAATTTTTTTTTTTTTTTTTTTTTGGAATTTCTTCAATGTGGCTTGAAAAGAAAGAAAAAAAAAAAAGCCACAAATTCTTAAACAATCAATCAAGTGGCTTGTTGAAATAGAATTGATTGTGGCTGTTAAAGAATAATAAAATGAAAAATAAGAAGAATAAGAAGAATATGGTGATGATGATGAAGAAGAACTGCTGTTATTTAATTTATGTATATAACTGTGGCTTTAAATCTTGTGGCAAAAAAAAAAAAAAAAAAAAAAAAAAAATCATGTGTAATTATAATTTAAGAAATTTAATAGAAGAATGTTTTTTTTTAAATTTATTTTTTATAATTATTATAATTAAATAATAATACAAGTTTCTTTTTTTTTTTAAAAAAAAAAACTTGTAAAAAACTTGTAAAAAAAAAAAAACTTGAAAAACTTGTAAAAAAAAAAAAAACTTACAAAATTTGAATACAATCGCCTCATTTTTTTTTTTATATATATATATAATTTTTAAACTTATTTAAAGTTACCTGGTAATTTAATGATGACCTAATTTCTGACTACACCAAGCCACATTTCTTTAATTTTTTTCTTTTTCTTTTTTTTTTTTTTCTTTTTCCATATAATTAGCAACGCAACAGCCACACCTAATCACTCTAAATGACGCCATTTTGTAAACTCAGCATCTCATCTTCATCAAATCATTATAATTAAAAAAAAAAAAATTTTATATTTGAAAAAATAAAAAAATAAAAAAATAAAAAAAAAAAAAAAAAAAATCTCCACACATAACAAACAACACAAACAAAAACAACCAACTTTCTTCTTCATCCTTTGTGGCTTGCCAGTCAGTCAGTCAGTCAGTCAGTCACTCACTCAATCAATCAATCAATCAATCAATCAATCAATCAATCAAATTATTAGCCCGCATTCTTCTTCCGTTCATTTGTACGCGCCCCGCGCCTATAATTACGCCATTCTACACGGCTAAGCAATCAGTTTTTTTTTTTTTTTTTTTTTTTTTTTTTTTTTTTTTTATTGTAGTTATGTATAGTTGTTTGTTGTTGTTGTTGTTATTATTATTATTATTATTCTTTAAATATATAAACTTACAAACTTATTAAACTTATTAAACTTACTAATGACACCTTCTCCTCCTTCTTTTATTTTTTTTTATTTTTTTTTTTTTCTATCTCTTTCTGGACTAAAAACCCGGACATAATTATTATTATTCCTTTTTTTTTATTTTATATATAAATCTATCCACTTTTCCCTCATTTATATATAATTTTTTTTTATTTTTATAAAAATTTAATATAAGATTTCTTATACCTTTCCTTTATCAATCAAATTTACTTTCCTTTTTTTTTTTTTTTTTTTTTATTATTATTATTATTATTATCTCTCCATCATATCATATTAAACTCATAAACATTTCAATGCCTTCAAAATATAACCCAAAGGTAATCTACAATAAAACTGTAGAGGGTATCAAAGAACTCAACTACCGTGACCCACAATCTCCAATCTTAGACTCCTCAGAAGGTGTCTACCTCAACTCCCCAGATGAAAAACTCACTAAAGTCCTCGAATTCAACGAACCCGTCGTAGATGTTAGAGAATACACTACTGATCAACGCTTCAACCCTTTCCTCATCATCTACCATTACCTCATCTCCCTCTTCCCCATCGTCACTTGGATCTACAGATATAACCTCACTTGGCTTTATGGTGATCTCATTGCTGGTATCACTGTTGGTATCGTCGCTGTCCCTCAAGCAATGTCCTATGCTAAAATCGCTACCCTCTCCCCAGAATATGGTCTCTACTCAACTTTTGTCGGTGTCTTCATCTACTGCTTCTTTGCCACTTCAAAAGATGTCTGTATCGGTCCTGTAGCTGTCATGTCCCTTCAAGTCGGTCGCACAATCACTAAAGTCACTGATAAGTACCCAGAATATGCTGATAAAGGTCCAGTAATTGCTACAACCCTTGCACTCATTTGCGGTGGTGCCGCCGCTGGTATCGGTCTCCTCCGTCTTGGTTTCATTCTCGAGTTCATCCCAATCCCCGCTGTCATGGGCTTCATGACTGGCTCTGCATTTTCCATCATGATTGGCCAAGTCCCCAGTTTGTTTGGTAACTCAAAGTTTCTCAACACTCGTGATTCAACTTACCTTGTCTTTATCAACTTTTGGAAACAAATTAAACACACTAAAACTGACGTCGCCTTTGGTATCCCCCCACTCGTTGCCCTCTTTACCATCAAGTTCCTTTGTGACTACCTCACCAAGCGCGCACCCAAGTATAAAATTATTTGGTTCTATCTTTCCGTCCTTCGTAATGGTATCATCATTGTCCTCTTCACTGCCATTGCCTATGGTTGCTACAAGGACCGCCGCTCAAATGCTCCCATCTCCCTTATTAAAACAGTCCCCTCTGGTCTCAAGCACACTGGTGTCCCAGAAATTGATCACAATATTGTCACTGCCTTGGCTTCGGAAATCCCAGTCTCTGTTATTGTCCTCCTCCTTGAACACATCTCCATTGCAAAATCTTTTGGTCGTGTTAACAATTATAGAGTCTCCCCTGATCAAGAACTCATTGCTATTGGTGTCACTAACCTCATTGGTGTCTTCTTTAATGCCTACCCTGCTACCGGCTCCTTCTCTAGAACTGCCCTCAAGGCAAAGTGTGGTGTCCGTACTCCTATTGCTGGTATCTTCACCGGTGCTGTTGTCCTCCTCGCCATTTACTGTCTCACTGATGCCTTTTACTGGATCCCTAATGCAACCCTTTCAGCTGTCATTATCCACGCTGTCTATGATCTTATGGCTTCTCCTAAAACATCTTGGCACTTCTGGACCGTCTCTCCTATTGAATCTATCATCTTCATTGCTGCTGTCTTCATCACTGTTTTCTCCACTATCGAGGCTGGTATCTACTTTTCCATCTGTGCATCCTGTGCTCTCATGCTTCTCCGCATTGCCTTTGCCCGTGGCCAGTTCCTCGGTCGTGTCGAGTACCACGAACTCATTGACCCAACCATCATTTCTCGTAATGGTCAAATCGTCTTTGACGGTAGACTCTCTAAAGTCTCATCAAACACTTCTTCTAATGAACCTAAAAAGTCTGTCGCTTATGACGAAGAACAAGTCACCCCTGCAAAGACTGCCGACAACCAAGTCTTTGAAACTGAAATCCGCCCAGCCTCTGATCCAAACACTAACGTTTCTCCCGTCATCCCTCAAAGTTCATACCTTAGACGCTTTCGCTGGGTCCCCCTCAACCTCAAGAACCTCAATCCCAATGTCAAGGTCATTCCTCCTCCCCCGGGAGTTGTTGTTTTCCGCCCCAACGAGTCTTTCATCTATCCTAATGCATCCCGTCAAGTTGACTTCATTCTGGATGAAGTTAAGAGATCAACAAGACCTGCCATCATTGATATTCACCAAAAGATTGGTGACAGACCTTGGAACGACGATGGCCCTCGCCACCGCAAAATAGACCCTGACTTTGTCGATCCACGCCCTGTTTTGCGTGCTGTTGTCTTTGACATGACTTCAGTCCCCCATATTGATGCCACGGGTGTTCAAAACATTATTGATATTAGAGCTGCTATTCTTAACTATACCAAGACTGAAAGTGTAGAGTACCACTTTGTGGGTCTCATTTCTCAGTGGAGTCGTCGCGCTCTAATTGCAAACAAACTTGGTGTGGGTCACATTTCTCCCTCGCATCACCGCGTTGACGCTGCCGAACGCAACTTTGGTCCCAAATGGTCGGATGCCCCTGTCGCTGATTTCGGATACCCCATTGAGGAAATCCAAAAGACTGCTTCTGCCAAGTTTGATGATGAAGAAGCGAAGATTGGCGGTTATTCTGGTGAAGACTCCCCTGGTGGCGAGCCTTCCAATCACATTTTGCTGCCTCTTGTGGGTACAAATACTCCTTACTTCCACTTTTCCATGTCTGATCTCGACTACCTGTTTGAAGAAGAGGTTCCCGAGCAGCCTGAAATTGTGGTTGTTTAGACGTTATGCTTAATGACTTGTTGTTTTTGTTTTGTTTTGTCTCTTTTTTTTTTTGTTTGTTTTTGTTAAATTTTTTGAATATGTAAAATTGATATATAAAAAAAAGTTCTTGTTTCTTATAGAAAGTTTTTGAAATATTTAAAAGGAAAAGAAGTAAGAAGGTTGGTTTTTATAAAATCAAAGTGTTTAATTAAATGGTGGTGGTGGTGGTGGTATCGTTGAAGTTTTTTTTTTTTAATTTCCCCTTAAGCAAAGCCCGCCTAACCGTCCATTTTAACGAGGACGCGGGTTGTTTCCCGCACGCACACACACACACACACACACACACACACACACCACAAGCATGTGCTAAAATGAGGAGAGGCTTTTAAGTCTTCTCTCACGATAGGCAAAAATCAGGTTAACATAAATAAATTTAGTTATGTTAATTTTAAATTTAAATTTAAATTTGAAGTTGATATTAAATTTAAAATTAAAATTAAAATTAAAACAAAATTGTTTTCTAGCAGAACAGGATTGAACTGAACAATCTTTACTATTAAAATACTTTTTTATATACAAATCCATAATCTAAAAAATACTCTCATAAGATAACAGATGACTTTATTTTTGACATTTAAAAAAGAATATCTTTAATTAAAGATATTCTTTATAATGATATTGACTTTACATATATGCTTCTAAAACTCTTGAAGTAAAAACAAATATGTTAGTCTAGTTACAAGTCAAGTTGAAGTGAAATGAAATGAAATGAATTATTCATGTTAACTTCCATTTATTTGAGCAATGGCTTAAATAAAGTTATCGAGTAAATATAATTCCTTTTAAATTTTATTTACTACATAACTCATTACACCCCATTTCTTCCCTATAGACCCCTCAAGTCAAATTACCAAAATAGGAAAACAATTACTTCACTTAGTTCTTTATATTCTCACTATAAATACTACACACCACAACTAGATTTTAGTATTTTTCTTTCATTCTTCTTCTTCTTCTTCTTCTTCTTCTTCTTCTTCTTCTTCTTCTTCTTCTTCTTCTTCTTCTTTTTCCACCAGCCTTTGGCTATCATAAAATCTTTTCTTTTAATCTTACAAAGCACTTTCTTTATTTGCTTTTTTTTTTCTGTTATAATTGCTTGAATATTTATTCATCTTTATTTTTTTTTTTCTGTTATAATTGCTTGAATATTTATTCATCTTTATTTTTTTTTTTTAAAATTCTTTTATAATTCTTGCTAATTCCTTTTTTCTCTCTTTTTTTTTTTGTTTTTTTTGTTTTTTTTTTTACCATGTCTCAAATTCCTGATTCTTCACCCTCGGACTCGGAAACCTTGATTAACTTGGATTCCCCATTGGAACAAGAAAGCGATAACGATACCATTAGCCTCACTGGAACCGTAATCGACGCTGAATCCAATGACTCTGATTCCATTGACCAACCAAATACCAACAATGAGTCTGTAATACTTGACCAACAAGAAGACGACGACCCTTCAAATCAAGAAGAGGACTCGGAAGAGTTGTTGATTAATTACTATATTCCACCATTGCCGAGTGGATTCTTCTTACCATCGGACAAGTGCCTGTTTCGAAAAAGATATCCCTCAAAAAAATGGCCCCCTAAAAATTATCTCCCTATTCCTCGTCCTGACTTGTGCAAATCTCTAAAAGAGATTAGCTCGCTCCAAGAAGACAAGTATTATAAAACCATTATTTTGAACTACATTAATACCCGGATTTATGAATCAAATAAAGTGCAACATAACCCCAATGTACGCTCTTTTGATGCGTCAATTGAATCAATTGAAAGATTCCCTCGTGCCACTCTGGAAACATCAGTTTCTAGCAACTGTGTAATTAACACTGAATTTAGGGGAAACACAGGTACCCTGTTGCCAATGTTGTATGCAACCTCAGGGTATCTTCGAACTCTGCGCTTAAAGGGATTTGACAAAATCCCACCAGGACCTGTAAACCAGAGACCTGTGACAAAGTCTTTTATTAAACGTGTGCGACGTCGATTGGGCTTGGACCGTGCAGGACAACGCGTGGCGACGAGTTTGGGTGCAATTTGTGTGGTGGATTCTTTTGATGAAGATTCAGAGAATCAAATGAATTGTTATTATTATGATGATTATGATGATGAAGAAAAAAAAAAAACAAAAGAAAAAGAGGGAAAAAGTGAGTGTATTGGGGGAGAAGAAGAGATGACTGAGCCGGGAATTATGGGGGTGATTCGAAATCAGTTGCAGGTGATGTTGCGAGCATACAATGCATTTAATGGGACAAAGTATCCTGGCACAAGTGTGACACTTTGTAATCATGGCCCCATGAATAAGTTGCATGCGTGCATTTTTAAGCGAAGAAGAGGAGCTCTTGGCGATGGTGTAGCACAAGGTACCACCAGTACTTGTGGCCGCAATTGTGGCGATGGATGGCACCGAAACTGGAAATTTTGTGAGGGTGGCTCTGCCACTGGCGGTGGCTCAAATGACACAATTCTAAAGAAGGAGAATCAACAACTACAACGCCTCTCTCTTTCAGAAATAATACCAAGCACTTGTGTTCCCTCTTGTGCGCACTGTGATAGTACACCATCAATTGCACCTCCACCATGGCCATCACACCAGGCCACACAGGCCACTACACCTTACCTAGCCACAGAGACTTATCAAAACTCTGGTGATGGGCTTCTTACTGATGCCACTGTTGACAATGGTTTGGAGATTTGTACTGGCGACAGCTGTGCCACTGCCCAGAAGAAGCTGCGCAGGGAAGATGCACCACCACCACCACCACCACCACCATCATCACCAAACTCTAATGATTCTCTAGCGGGCTCCGATGAAGATTGGATTCGGAGTCCCGGTACTATGAATAGTGCAACAATACAAGATGTACTACTTTTAACAGAAAAGACTGGGCCAAACCAACATGTTCGTTTTGTTTTAGAGCCGCGCAAAGATGACGAGCACGGAACTTTGGCATTGTACTTGGTGCACCGACCCACGGGGTATATTCATTTGATTTTGTTTTGTGTTAATCAGCTTATTGAAGAACGTTTTAATTCTGACTCCTTGAACTTGGATGCTTTGGTTGATTCCGATTTTACCAGTGGTGGTTTGGATGTGTCGATGGATTTGTCTGAGTCACAAGAAGTTGAAACAAGACGTGATGTGGAAGCTGATGAATTTTTTTTTGAGGAATTTGAATTGAGTGATGATGATGGTGGTGATGATGAGCAAGATGGTGGTTATTTTCTTGATGAAGATTTCTCCAAACCTCTTGTTGAAGAGGAATTCCTATCACACCCTGAAGAAGGTTCTTTTCAGAAAGATGTGGAAGATATTTCCCAAAGTCAAGTGCAAGAGATTTACGGAAAAATTACAGACAAGGAGGTAAAAGAACAAGAGGAATATTATGAAGACCCGGGATTTTGGGAACCTCCAAGTGATATTGATGACTACAATGACTACAATGACTATGACACCGATGGCGAAAGTTTTGACGAATCCCAAAACCATGATGATGATGATGATGATGATGATGGCTTAGATCTTTAAAAAAAAAATAAAGATGAAACTTATTTACAATTCTTATGAAGGATTGAAAAAAAAAATTTTTTAATTTTTTAAAAAATTATATATATTTTGTAAAAACAAACAAGTATAAGTAATGGTAAAAAAAAAATTATAACCATCCTCTTCTTCATCCCCTCTATCAACGTCCATAATACCGCTCGCGCTGGCGTGGATCCCGCGAATAACCTTCTCGGTAGTGGTCTCGTGAACCACCTCCCCCGCCATACCGTGGTGGTGGCGGGCCGCCTGCACCGTACCCGTTCCCGCGGCCGCCTCCGTTACCGTACCCTGGCGGACCTCCATATGCACTATTGTTTGGGCCACCTCTGTGCTGATGCCGCGACATATCGCTCATCTGGTTATTCATGATAGTCTTGAATCCGTTAATCAGCTCATTCACCCCTGGGTAGCTATTATTGAGTAGCGTGTATCCGCCAGGAATGACCTTGACAGCCAGTGACTGTACAGGAGTGCTGGCACCCGTCTGATACATGAGCAAAAAGTACCCAGGCCGCTTGTGGTCGTAGCAGAACGCATACACGGACCGTTGCGGGTTACTCTTGGTATACGTGCGCAACCAGTCCTCGACCTCAGGGCGTGGCTTCTTGAGAAACTTTTCGTGATTCACCATCTGTTCCACCTTGCGTGCCATGGACTGCACGTGCATTACCACCAGCTCATCCAAATCACTATACTTGTGGCTCCCCACCTGCAGCGTATTTCCAATCGAAAAGTCGTTTGGTTTATCCAGCTCAAGCACATCCAGGTGCTGGAAAATACCGTCGGCAACCTTCCATGTCACCGCAATATGGTCATAACCTCGCGACGATGGGCGAATCACAACATCACCGTTCGCCAACGTAGCAAGATATTCTTCTGCCTGTCGTGCGTTGAACGGCTTGAAAAGTGGGTGGTTGATGATACGTGTTGCTCGTTGTTCGGCCTCCTTCTTCAACGCAATCTTGCGTTTCTCCGACTCCTCAGCCTCCACATTCCAGTACTTGGGATCCTTCTTCTGTGTTCGTCGTTTCTCTTGAATCTCTCGGATAGCCGTTGGAGCTGTGCTTAACTCTGCAGTGAACTTGGTGTAGCTGATATCCAAAATTACACCCTGTACCGTCTGTCCAAAGTTGAACACTGTGCTAGGATGCGGGGCTTCCTCACCAGGATCAAACATGTTTGCTAAACTCACATTCGCCTCAATGCCAGAAGACAACTGACCACTTAAGAATCGGTCGCCAACACGGCGGATATTCATCGGAACAACAACACCATTGTGGAGTGTGTCCTTGGTCTCCTGTGTCAACATGACAAAAACCTCCATGTCGGTTAAAATGTGGAATGGCTTTCGCAGCTCGTGGTAACGGTGTTGCAGCTCATCCTTAATTACCTCAAGAGTTTCTCGCTTCTTTTGGTTAAACTCTTTCTCCAGTTCCTTGGCGTACTCATCCAACAGCAGCTCGTTAAGCTTGTCAGTTTCCTTGTTGTTGATAAGATAAGCAACAACACCACCCTGACCCTCATAAGCCTCGATATCCTCCTCATCGAGTTCCAATGCATCGGCAGCAATCTTACGAGCAATTAAATAATCTTGCGGGTGAATTCTAGTCGCATCCAAAACTTCAACAAGTTCATAAGAAACTGGTCGTTCCTCGTCATATGGAATAAGAATGAAACTCGAACAGTTCATGAAAATAATCTTGCCTGTAATTTCATGTGTGACAAGCTCAGTGCGGTTAGACAAACTACCACCGTGGCTTTGAATACCTTGAAGCATGGTAGATGCCTTTCTTGGACCCAGACCAGCAACATAAGGAAGGAGATTAGCGATATAAGGTGTACGCACAGCTTCGTTAATGTCAACACCAACCATGTTGACGTAATCAACAAACACTGTTTCAATCGCATCCTCCAAATCGCTTTCACTAAGCAAATCTTGGAATGGATGAATCCGAATATCCTTAATGTTTTCCTTCAGTGCTGCATACTCCAATAATGGAGACTGGACATATCTGGCCAAGCCAATACAGTAAAGACTGAGCTTAACTTGGTCGGGGAACTCGGTTGTGGCACGCTCAGAGTTTTGGTAAATACGAGCAACCTCGTCTTGCACCCAAATCAGTTTAAGAGGAGCCGTGGAATCCATGTCAGAGCCAGCTGTCAGTTCCTCCTTCTTGATAATGTCGTCAACAATTTGAAACAAGCGGTTAGATGGGACTGTGAACCCAGCAATACCGACAACATCTGGAATGCGACGGTTTACCAAGTCAATAAACTGACTCTTGAATTGCTCGCTGCGGGGGTCGTCAAACTTGGCAAATTCCAAAACCTCGCCGTACTCATCAAGCACAGCAGCAAGAATGGCATCCTTGCCAATCTCACCCATACCCCAAGAAAGAGTAAGAATACGTGGGGTAGCTCCTGGAGAGTAGCCATGGGGCTGGTAAGGAGCTTGGTCCAAACATTTCGAAAACGACCGTCTGACTTCGTAGTAAAGCGAGCGTGTGCACTCAACACGTAGGTCTTCCTTGATGGTGTTGCAAATGTGAGGTATGATTCTGCGAGAAGTGGACTTAAAAATCTCACGGCGAACTTCGTTCCATTGTTTTGAAATGTCGGAAACATTGTCAGAAGCAATATATTGGGTGAAAAGCTCCTCAAATAAAGTCTCCTTATATCTGGGGTAAGAAATCCGAACAATAACCAACCCCTCGCTTTCAGCCTTGAGCATGCGGAGATACATTTGTGGACGGAGACGCAGATCCTCAAAAGATCTGTTGATGGCATACTTGATGTCATTGTAAGGACTGCCCTCGTCAATCTGCTTACGACCCTTGTCAGTGAGGATAATATCCACCTTAGCCTTTTCCCAAAATTTCTCACGGAGAGATTTGCGAATCCTAGGATCATGGAAAAACTCCTCAACAAGCATAGCTTGTGCATCGTCCAAAACTTGTTGTGGTGTGGTGTAGAGATTAAAGTCTGATTCCCCAATGTGGCTTTCAAAGCACCGCTCAGCAAGAGTCAGCGGGGAGGAGGGGTTGTCTTCTGCATAGTAAAGACGAGTCGAGGTGGCGATATTTTCGCCAACCTTTTCGGCACTAATGCCAAAAGAGTTGACAAGAGAGTAAACAGGGCCATCACGAATCTTTTCAAAACGAGTATATCTGCTTCGTCTTTTGAGCGCATCATGATTGTTTTGAGTAGAAGTACCGATGCCCTGGTCCTTAATTTTGCCAGAGTACCTGAACTGTATGTAATCCATAAGGTCTTGATAATCAACAAGCGAACTGGCAGTTGAAGACAAAGAACTGTAGGTAGAGTCGTAAATGACGAGACTGTCGTAAACCTTTTGCACAGACCTAGACTTTAAGTAAATGCCATGATATTCAATGTCCAAGTGGACAATGTGCCACAAGTCATCAAGACTAAGTAGCTCTTCAGTAACTGGTTTAGCCATGCTGGCAGCAGTTTCCTCGCCATCCTCATTGGTTTCATGCTGATTGGGTAGGGCGTATACTAAAAAGTCTTTACGGTGGTGCCATATGAAGGGGACTTCCAGGTCCTCACGAGAAATAAACTCCAAAACTTTTTCAACTGCTGTTTGAAATGGATCGCGTAAGTAAGGCTTAGAGTAAAATAAGGAATCTTTTTCAGATGAAAGTTTGGAAATAACCCATCGAACTTCATCAGCAAACTCAGATTCTGTAAGAAGGTAATCATCCTTGAAGTTGGCACGCATCAATTGGTAACGCTCAGGTAAATCTTTAGCACGGATTGCATTATCTTCATCCGTAAGAAGTTTTGCGCTAAGCTCACCGGGCTCAAAAACATCTTTGAGATTGGGGCCAACTTTTTCCACTTCCTCATCGCTATAATTAAGACCCTGTTCCAACGTTTCTTCACCTTCGAGCGCCCATTCGTACTCAGTGCCATCACCAAATACTTCAAAAAGTTCTTGAAGTTTATCCTCATCAAGACCCTGGTATTGAGAAGCCAAAGCTGAAGGCCCTCGGGAAGGCTTGGAAACGTGTCTTCTTCTGCTTTCATCTTCTTGAATTTGCTCTTCGTCGGAAAACTGGTCCTCCTCAATGAAATCATCAAATTCACTGGCAAATGGCTGTTTTTCAGGTTGACGGTGACTGCTTCCACCCTCTTCCTCGTCAGAAAACATATCGTTTAGACCACGCGAGCGTGAATCCTCATCTTGGTTAGCGCGTTTTAAACGTTTGAATTGGCGCTGTGACCTGGTTAGAACTCTATCAATCAAGAAAATTAAAATAAACATACCGAGTTAGAAGGCTTTTCAACTACACGACCTGTATTTTCCATAAGTAAATCAAGATCATCTTCGTCTAAGTCGTCATCGATTTTGCTGCGGCCTCGGGAACCTTCTTCTTCTTCTTCGTCAGAACGTGATCGGTGTCTTCTCTTTTTCTTTCTTCTTTTTCTACGAGCGCCTTCTATGTCGTCATCTTCATCGTCTTCTCCTTCATCTTCATCGTCAACGATGAATCCTTCCTTGATCTAAAAAAAAGTTAATTTTGGTCATTCTCAATGGCTTCTTACTTACCTTTTCTAATTCTTCCTCGTCATCTTCTTCTTCTTCAGAAGTGTCGATTTCATTATCACTGCGAGGGTTTTCTTCATCGTCATTCTCATCGTCTCTAAATCCCTCCTCTTTTTCGCTAAATTGCTGCTCCTCGTCGTATTCATCCGACATATTGGGGGCTTAAAATTTTTTAATAAGTATGTGTGTGTGGCGAGAATGGATGTGTTGAAAAATAAAAAAAAAAAAAATTTCAAGATACGCGTTCTAGTGGAGCGTTTTGGTGAAGTTGAGTTTTTTGGTGATGTTTGTGAATGAGTATTTTAATGCTTCCTCCAACGCGAAAAAAATTTTTCAACACTAAGCTAATTGCCCAAGGCACATTAGGTTTAGACAATAATGAACTGCAGGTTTCTGATAAACACAGAAAGCAAATTTTAATCAAATAATGGATGAAAAACTGGTGATTAATGGCTGAGTGTATAAGGGGTTTGCTTGTCGACGGTTGATTGAGCTAAGAAAGGTGGTGGTGGTGGTGAATTTTTATTGGCCATGTGTAATATACATGTTACATTACAAAAACATGTTGTAACAGATAATTCAAAGGATCATCTGAAATTTTAGACCTTTGTTTGTTTTACGCTCATGTGGTTTAAAATCGATTTGAGAGCCTTTAAAAAAAAAAAATGGTTATTTTCTTACAATATGCTAATAATATGAGTATGATTTTTTGCATGTATTGGTTAAATATTAATTCAAGGAAAAAATTTACTGCTGTTGAACCGAATTCAATAAGGGACTAGACTCGGGTTCACTAACTCTGCTTGGAGTTTCCTTGGGAAATTACATTGACACACCTAGTTTATTAGCTTCTTCCAGACTCAAGTACCCACTGTTCACAATATTTTCTATGGTCCAGTCCCAGGTGTATTGTATTCTTTCAGGATCTGAAGCAATTTTTGAGGTTTGAGTCTCAAAGCCTACCGGATTAAAGTATGCTCCGTTTTCTTCAAAAGTTAGGTCTGGTGACAGAGAAGCAAAAAGAGAATTGTAAGCGCCCTCTTCATTGGAAATTCCAACAACGTTTTGGAGAGAATTGAAGAAAAAGCCAATGATCGGCCCCACGATAGGTAGCCCCGTCCAAAAAGTGTTAATGTTTGTTTGTGTGCATATGCCCGGATGAACTGCCAACCATAAAATAGACGGATATCGTTTTTCTAAAGCTCTTGTAGCATGAATGTTTGCAAGTTTACTATTGCTGTATCGCAGCCATGCTGAAAGAATACCCGGAGCATATTTGTAAACGCGTCCAAGGTCTTTAGGTCCATCAGTGAAATAATGGCCAAGAGAAGATACAAAAACAACCCTGGGTCCACACTTTGACTTTAAAAGCAGAGGAAGTAAGCTTATTGTAAGGTAAACTGGACCAACGTGGTTAGTCTGAATCTGAACATCAAGATTGTCTTCATTGAGTTCAATGGGAAGAACCAAAGTTCCGGCATTGTTAACCAAAAGGTCAAGCTGTGACTCTTTGGAAAGAAACTCGGCAATACCCTTTTTGGTTTTTTCTAAAGATGAAAGATCCAGCTGAACAAAGTATATTTTCCCAAAAACTGCGCGAGCAGGCAATTCACCTTTGCGGCTTTCGGCTTCCACCTTGATTTTGGAAATGGCTTCTGCGGCTTTATTTGGATTACGCGCAGCTAGGTAGACGTCCCAACCATGAGTAAATAAATGGAGGACCGTGTAGTAGCCGATGCCACTATTTCCACCAGTAACAATTGCGACTTTTCTGATCTGTTCCGGATCGTTGAAAGGTAAAGAGTTTGGATTAAAGTCCTTAGGTGATGTTCCGAGAGTCATTAGAAAAGGTGTTTGGAAGAAATAGAAAAAAAAGGGAAAGAAGAAAAAAAGTACATTAAAAGTAACCCTAATCATTATAATAACTATTGTTCATGCCATGATTAGAGGTTATCAATTAATCAGCCGTATAGTGTAAGTTATGATTTTAAGATATAAAATTTCTGACTGAAAAATAGTAAAAAATGATTTTTATTGGATTATAAAAGTTACAAAAAATTGGCCTAAACAGTAGTTGCAGAAGAAGATGATGATGGTGCACTAGCACTAGACTCTGTTGCACTTGAAGGAATAGTATCTGCGGAATCGGATGATGATGGTTTGGATCCATTAAGCTTTTGAGCTTCTTCTGGAGAAAGGAATCCACGATCAACAAGTTGAGTGACAGTCCAGTCCCAGGTTTGCTGAATCTTTTCAGGATCAGAAGCAATGGCTGAAGGTTGAGTAACAAAGCCAACAGGAGTAAAGTAATCGCCATTGTTCTCCTGCGTTGTAACTTCTGGCGACAAAGCAACAAAAAGCGTATTATAAGAGCCTTGTTCATTAGATATTCCAATGTAATGGTTAATTGTATCGACAGTAATACTCGCAACATAGCCTATATACGGGAGATTACGCCAGTAGCTTAAAAGATTTGTTTGGCAACACACACCAGGATGAACAGCGACCGAAAGAATAGAGGGGTATCTTAACGCAAGAGCCTTTGCAGTTTGAATATTAGCCAGTTTACTGTTACCATAACGTAACATACCAGAAATAAAAGTGGGGATGTAGTTGTACAGCTTTCCAAAGTCCTTTGGATTGTCGGTAATTTGATGGCCAAGAGAAGAAAGGAAGACAATTCTGGGACCAAACTCAGATTTTTTTAACAAAGGGAGTAAGTTAAGAGTTAAGTAAAAAGGGCTGATATGGTTTGTTTGAATCTGAATATCAAGTTGATCATCAGTGATTTCAATGGGTAATGCCATGACGCCAGCATTGTTAATGAGTAAATTGAGCTGAGATTCCTTGGAAAGGAATTCATCAACACCTTTTTTGGTTTTTGCAAGAGAAGAAAGATCCAATTGAGTAAAATGAAGCTCTCCAAAAACCGCAATTGCTGGAAGATCGCTTTTACGACTTTCTGCTTCGGACTTGATCTTTTTGATGGCATCGTTAGCTTTAGTGGGATTACGAGCGGCAACATAAACCTCCCAACCATGTGTATAGAGATGGAGAGATGTAAAAAAACCAAGACCACTGTTTCCACCAGTGATTAAAGCAACTTTTCTTGTTTGTGCTGGATCATTAAAAGGTAATGAATTAGGGTTAAAGTCCTGAGGCAATGTTCCAAGAGTCATAATGAGTTTTAAAGAAAGAAGATAAAAAAGTAAAAAGAAAGAAACAGTAAATATATCAATGCAAAAACTCTTTGGTTAAAAAGAATTTCTGGTTACAAAAAAATTAAAAAATTGCAAATAACCTTTTCTTTTGGTGTTTCTTATTCAGCTAATGAGGAGTCAAGATCTAACAATAGAGAAACTCCAGTGTGATATGCTGCTTCGCCTTTGTTTCGTTCAATCTACTCCACCAATACCGAGATATACGGTTTTAGTCTGTAATATACGCAATACGCCTCACATTGCTATTTGAGCCAATTACAAATTATCACCTGACATTACACAACCATGTGACTCAACCCTAACCTGTAAATTTGTAACGCAATTTATCTTGATTTTTTTTTTTTTAAAAACCTCCAAAAAAAACATCCTCTCTTCACCTGACCAGACCACCTGACTTGAACTTTTTTATTCGGACGACGCGTCTTTTTTTTTTATTATTGAATATATACCCCAGCACTCGTTTGCAAGAAAGCTTCATACTGTGATTAATATAAATCGATATCGGTTTTTTTTAATCATCATTCTTTTAAAGACACTAAAAATAGGGTATGTTTTTAGCAAGCTGTTAATTGATGAAGAAATTCACAAAATACTACAAGGAAAAGAGGTTTAAGACTGACCCGGCGCGCATTTGATAAATATTTATTTATCATCACATGACATTGAAACGACGCGTCTCTTGAATATTTTGACAAAATATCCTTGAAGAAGATTTACTGACCAGAATGTATAGACTTATCAACTTTTTGAAAAGAAAAACTATGGCCAATTATTATTCCAAGTCTCTGGACTCGGAGCCTCGGTCCAAGCGTCAAAAAAACTTCCAGGAGGAAGACGCTGAAGGTACAGAGGATGAAAAGATAATTAAGACCCAGCCTGAAGACGAAACTACAGCTGAGGACTTGATTGACAATGAGATTATCCAACACCAGCAACAGCAGGAAGAGCAAGAAAAGGCCGCGCAGGAAGAACAGCGTAAGTCTAATAAGCGCACACGCGAAGAAACCAAACCTACAGAGCTTGGGGGTGTGTCTGCCACCGCTGCAGCTGCTGCAGCTGCTGTGTCTGCATCGGTCAATGAACTTCAGGAAAATGAAGAACATGAATCTGCTGGTGCTGCTGATAACACTGGAGTCAATGGTAGCACTTCTGGAGAAAAGGTTGACAATGAGTCTCCTTCAGTTAAGGACTCGCGTGTGGTTTCGTCTGACCAGCAAGCTTCTCTTGCTTCTTCGTTGCTGGCAGCTACTGCTACAGCTGCGCTTCGGAGCTCAAATGGCACGGAAAATTTGACGCCTACACCACTGACGGCACCTCAATCCATGTCCGGGTCACCCGTGCCTCAGTCACAGTCTCAGTCACAGCAATCGCACGGTGTGCCTGGGTCTAGTCACCATGGATTGCCACCTTCGCATAATGGACTATCGGCCGCAACAACAAGCGGACTACAATCTCCGCACCATGCTGCTACTACATCGACTTCAACGCACTTGGCTATGGCGGCTGCTGCGGCTTCGCAATATGCTCAACACAATTCCCAAATCCATGCTCAGCATCAGCAACTTACGCAGCAGCAGCAAGTGGCGGCTCTTGCACAACAGCAGCAAGGTGGAGTACTTGGACACCCCACGATTAGCCCACACAAGCCACCAGTGGGAAGTGATGAGTGGCACCGACAGCGGAGAGACAATCACAAGGAGGTTGAACGGCGGCGTCGCGAGACCATCAACGATGGGATCCGAGAGTTGGCAGAGATTGTACCCAACTGCGACAAGAACAAAGGTCAAATTTTGCGCCGTGCAGTTGAGTACATTCGTGAACTGAAGGAGTCAGAAACTGACCGAATTGAGAAGTGGACCTTGGACAAGTTATTGTCTGAGCAGGCCATTTCCGAGTACTCTGCTACAAATGACAAGCTTAAGAATGAGCTGGAGTTAGCCTGGCGTGAAGTTGCAGCTTGGAAAAAGGCTTGCACTGATGCTGGTATTATGAAGCCCGCTGATATTCAATAAGTCTTTGTTATTTGTTTTCTTTTTCTTTTTTTTTTTTTTTATTGTTTTGTTTATTTTATTCTTTTTCTTTATTGTTTTGTCTAGTGCTTTTTTTTTTTCCTCATCATCATCTTCTTCTTCTTCTGCCATTATTCTTATCTTTCCTTAATGATTTTTTTTTATTTCTGATAAATCAATTCAATAGTTATCAATAGGCGTATATAATAATGAATTGTCATCATTTGCAGTATGTTTGTGTTCTTTAATTATTTTGATTGTTGCCATTACTACTATCGCTACTATCATTATTACGACCTCCATAAACCATATGGACCTAAAACCATTTTCCAAATCCTAATTGTGCCGTCCTCGCTACCCGTCGCCAAAACAGCGTTATCCGGTGAAAAAAGAGCCGTATGAACGGGTCCATGGTGACCCCGTAATGTCTCGAGCAACTCTTCGCTGCTGTAGGCGTACACATGAACCCACAGCTCATCGGCACTGCTGGCCACTATCCACTTTTTTTCTACGTCAACGCACAGCGCCGACACTCGGTAGTCCGCGGAAAACTGCTTGACTGTTTCACCCGAAGACGCATTTATAAAGTGGCCCGTTTTGTCTGCCGCAATAATAAGCAGATTATGAACGTCATTATATTCCACCTGTCGTGTGGTTCCATGGAGATCCATCTCGCGCACTCGCTCCGGAGCACTTGTCCTCAAAGGCCCTAGCCGCCACCAGGTAACAAGTCCTTCAAAAGTCACCGTCACTACAATGTCTTCACGGATCCACAAAACAGAACGGATTGGAAGTTTTGTGGGGTTTTCAGAAGACTCATCCGATGGTTTGCTCACAGACCATTCCACTTCAATCGTCTGGGTGCCCACATCCCAAATGCGCACAGTTGAATCTTGGGATCCTGAAACAAGCCGCAATTGTCTTGTAGCTGCAGAAACGCCTGGGAACAAGTCACAGCTCCTCACAATAGAATTGTGAGGTAGCGAAGCGGCCAGGTCTCCAGTCTTTGCGTTCCAGACGTTGACGAGAAAGTCTGCACCGCAAGAGGTGGCTATTGCTCCATCACGACTCAGGCGCGTGCACCATATCGCACCCGTGTGTCCAAAATAAGTGCCAATCCAATCTCCGGTGACACCGTTTCTTAGCATTGGGTTTCCGTCTTTGAAACAGTTAGAAATTTTATTCAATTAAAGCAACCTGGCTTTAACTTCAAAAATCCAAAAAAAAAAAAAAAAAAAAAAAAAAAGACTCCTACCTTTGCATGCAGATATAATCAAGTATCTTGGATCTACTAGATCCTTACTCTGATAAAATTGATTTGCATTAGTAAGATGATTCAAATAATTAATGGATCTTTTTGGCTTTTCACAAAAAAAAAACACTTACTAACTCAGTCGGCCCGGGGTTTTTATTCAAGATACCTGAAAAGTTCAAGTGTGTGACGGGTCGTGAGTGCCCAGTACATGTCAAAGGCACAGCCTTGGCTAGAGATTTATGTAATCCATGGTTTGTTGGTGATGCTAATGATGCTGCGGGTATTGGCGCAGCCATTCTGTTGTGTGATGGTGATAGAGAAATAACGATTCTCTGAAAACGCAGTTAAAAAAAAATGGCCAGCGCGTATCTGTTGTAAATTAAAGTTCTGAATTAATGAATGAAAAAAGAAATTTGGTAGTATTTGCACCAAAGATTCCCTTCAATAGTGAAGAAAAACTGGTCCTTGTTGAACAGACTTGCCGTGACTACCCAAGGCAATGGATGATAGCGGTTAACGGCTGAAGGAGGTAAGCCGAATGGGAATCTTAAAAGAAAGGGGAGGAGAGGAGTGTTTAAGTATGGGTTTTTTTAAAAAAAAAAAAAAAAAAAGGCCCTTTTCTTCTTTACCTTTGCTAATATGTATGTATATATATATATATATACATTAAATTTAGTCTCCACAAAAAAACTCATAATTCCTGATCGGTTCCTTTGGTAAACTCTTGATAAAACTTTGGCAAAGGCTTATCATCATTTTCGCACCAAAGCTTGCCTTCAAATGATAAGCTGGCAGATGTGCCTGGATTACCAAGAGCTTCTTTCTGAGCCAGCTTAAGATATGATTGTGGAACAGGACCAACGTAATTGTATATAGCCATTCCTTTATCCTTCTTATTTCTGGAAAATTGCATATTAGAGGGACCCTTGCAGAATCTCCCAAGAATGTGAATTTTAAAAGCGTTGGAAGCATTAAGCCACTCTTCATTATAACCGGCGACCACAATCTTTTGAAGAATAGTCTCACTTGCCAAATGCTTGACAATTGGGCCGTCATCAAAATGCTTGTCTTCCCCATATTCGTCTTCATCATCATCGTAGTTATAAGACGATTGACGACATAATAACATTAAATTACGCGTTTTAATCGATCTCTCTCTCAAAAGTCCCAATAAGCTATCTACGCTATTAAGACAACTAGGGTAAGAAATCACCAACCGATCCAAGACAATACCTGGACAATATGATAGGACCAGTTTAATTCCGGCAACCACAATTTCACTATCTTGAAGGTGAACTATAACTTTCAGTGTTCGGAGTTTTGGCTTGCTCGAGGCCAAAAGTCTATCAATGTTAGTTCCAGCAAGTGCATTTCTGTGGTATTTTATTGTGCCTAAAGAAGAATGCCACATTTCCATCGTCAACTCTGTTAGATTGGTAAATTCTGGATAAGACGGAGGATTTGAAAAACAACAACCTATCACAGTATGAAAGGATATATTCATAGAAGTCACACTTGAAGGTATATAAAGATCAATACTGGAGGCGTCGTAGTCTTCAAAATGATTTAGTTTCTCCAATTCCAATAACGAATTTCCAATCAAACTCAGTTGATATTTCACTGAGCTTGCATCAATTTCTTCATAACCATTTCGCCTTTTACTGGAGCCTCCATTTCTTAAAGTCTTTGAGCGGAAAATTGCTACTGTCTCAAGATTCGGAAAGGATTTTAGTGGGGGATAATCTTGTTTAAAAATTTTACCGATGATTTCAATGTCTAATCTTTTGACTCGCTCGCGTGAACTTAGCTTTAGGCTGGCTAGGTAATCCAAATCTGAAAATTGGGCTCTGATACAAAGACCGATGTGATTGTAATTTGGAAAACTGTTACCATATGCATCCAGGGAGCGTAAAACCTCGTTTAGTCGTAATGAACCCTGATTAACGCTGAGCTCCACACGGGATAGTAATGGACATAAGCGTGGATTGATAAGCGACGTGCTATTACCAGTCATTATTACATGGCCATCTTCAACAATTTTAATCAAAGGTATATCACCCTTTGGATGACATCGTAAACACTTTACGCTTTTTAGCCATTGCGTAGTGAATGTAAGTGTTGATGGGAATCTTCGGTCAAGGTCCAGCCTTTGCGCAAGAATTGGCATACACAAACCCCTTAGTTTGCGACAAGTTAATGATAGTGGAATAAGCGATGTTGGGTCTTGAATACTGTTCCCAAAGGGGTCAGCTGCTAGTTCTTCAATGACTAAGGAAATCAATTCCTCAGGCAGTTTAAGGAGCATGGTATATAGGAAACTTTAAGGATGGAAGTCAAGGGGCTGAAGGTACGACTGATGGCAAAAAAAAATTAAATTTTAAAGAGCTGGATTATTATCAACAAAACCAACCGGTAAAATTTATATATACACTAAATATACACCACATGTTGAAAGACCAACAACAACAACAACAACATGTTTTAAAAGAAGAAAAAAAATATTGAAGACTAAGAGTTTACTTTTCAAAAACAGGAGTCTTCAAGCCATGATTACCATAATAAGGAGCAACCTCAGGTTCTTTCCAGTCCTTGAGAAGTTCTTCATCAACAATCTTGTATACTTCGACACCTAAGGGGCGGCAGCATTTCACCTGGCTGTCTTCATCAGTCTCTCCCCAGCCCCAAAGAGATAAGTCACCACCAGGGCATGCCGACAATGCACAAAGCAAGTCGATCTCGGCAAAAAACTCAAAGTGATCGACAGATGTCGAGGGACAAGTTTCCATAAAGTACTGCTCTTTTTCGTTCAAACCAGTGACCTGAAAAACGTTAAGAACGTCATGGACATCGTACTCGGTCAGCCCAAATGGCATCACGGCGCGCGTGAGGTTAGAGTGACAGTGAAAATCCATTTGGTTTCCAGCAAGAAGAGCATCGACGTAAGGATCGCAACGGGTTCCCAGAAGATCGTGACAGCGGCCACCCCACTTATCAGTACCGTAGTCAGTCAATGTGTCGCTAATGATGGTAGCCATGGGTCTCAAGAAGGGAAGAGAGGACCAAAGGCGGTCATAAGTAGACACATGACACTGGTGCAGCTGGCGAGTTCGAGCAGCCCAAAAGCGTTCGCGTGGGTTATTTAAGTTCCAAAGGTTCAAATCTCCCACTTGGGGTCCTTCGGGAGTGCTCAAGCGGCACACATGGCCTGCAGGAACCTTCCATGCCTTGGCAGATCGGATAGGGATAATGAATTTATCAACAAGAACACGACCCTTTTGGATGTTTTCTTTGGTACCAGTCTCAGCAATAGAGTTGTAGAGTTTGCGGTTAACGTAAAGTGGAGAGTCTGTGCTAGTTGGCAGGTAGGCCGGGGTTGGGACCTTTTCTTCGTTGCGGGCCTTTTGTTCAGAGTGAGAAGCCATAGTAAATTATCTGATTGATGAATATTTATTATAGAGAATAGAGAAATGAAATATTATGCTTTTGTAGTTATTGAAAGTGATTAAAAAAACCTTCATCAGAGCCCCCCACGGCCTATTTTATATGAAATCGAGATGAAGCCAAAACCCACCGTCTTTCTTCATCTTCTCTATCTTTTATTACAAAGATATTAAAAGCCGTTGTCGGGATTCCATTCCCTATATGTTGCTGCAACAACAACATCTAGAAAAAAAAAAACCGCTGTAAACGTTTACCCGCACTTTTCGGCGTCTATTGGCACAGGAATGAAAAAGACTTTTGGGCATATCTACAGTTCACATCGGGTTTTAGGACCCGATATGAACTGTAGAGTAACACAAACAAACGAACTGTGGAGTGATCTATCCTTAATGATTTTTTTTTTAAAAGTGATTCTAGCACTCTCAAATCTTTTAACGGGTGTTCTTTCCCATCATAGATAAAAAAAACTATACCTACAATTAAAGACAGAAGCTGGTAAAAGTTGGTGATAAGACTTTGGCCTGTTAATGAATACCTGAATAGGGGTTTGATTGTCACTATTTATAATGATACTGTAACAAAATTTCAATATCAAGTTATCTGCTACTATGGTTTTTTTTTTAAAGTATCCCAAGTTATCGAAGTTTATTTGAACTACTTTTTCAATTTATTTAAAATACATATATATTCTAAAATGGCTTTAGAATTCTTGATAGAATAAACACATTTTCTCATGATAAGCTTAACATCAAGACATCTAAAATTGATAACAACCTGCGTTTATTTACTTTGAAAGAGATTAGGCAAATCTGTTTTAAAAAGCCCAAATCAAAGAAGCCATCATAATTTGATACATATTCTATATTGCTGTTATGTGTACTCTTTTGCTACAACCAGATGAAATGTTAAAATTTAAAAGTTCAACATAACTTCGCTTTCAACCATTTTAAATAATGACAATGACAAAGATAAAAATAAATACATTAATAAATAAATACCAAATACTAAATAACGAATACTAAAAATACCAATAAATAAATAATAAACATATATATATAGATCGTTTATACGATTTTTTTTCTAACACCATTGGCTTATCATGGTTTAATGAGCCCAAAGTTGCAGAGTTGTGAAAAATTTGCCCTGCAAAAATTTCTTAGAAAATTCAGACTTGCTCTTGCTGCCAGCAGCATTGTAAGCAAAGTCTCGCTCAGCAATACTTGGAGTTGTGGCTTCTGCTACTGCAATGGTAGTAGCGCTTCCATTGATAGCTGAAGTTGAAGCTGATGCCGAAGCTGAAAAGGTGGAACCTGTGGTAGAAGGTGCACTTGCCAACATGCCATCTTCACTGGCTAATGTTGAAGGTACGGCTACAGATACACTAGTGGTACCTGGTGCGTCGTCAACAGCAGTTGAAATCACAGAACCTGACTGCCCGGGAACCGAAGACGATGCAGATACGGAAATCGACACACCACCAAAAGTAGAAGAAGAGGTTACTGGTAGAGATGTGAATGTGTAATTACCAGTACTGCTGCTAGAAGTGAAAGTTGGCACTACACTAGAGCTGGTAATCGAGGTTGCGGTAAAAAAACTACTGTTAGAAGTTGTGGGAGTTGCAGAATTAGAAGAAGAAACAGCGGCTCTTGTTGAAATTGTAGAAGATGAGATGGCAAAGGGAGTGCTAGAAACCGCTGTATTAGTGGAGTTGCCGGATGTGAAACAGGAGGATGTAGGCTCAAATGAAGAAAAAACAGAAGTACTAATAACACTATAAGAGGAAAAACTTTCAGTGACAGGAGAAGAAAACGATGTAGTCCAAGTAGAAGAAGCTTCAGTAGTAGAGGCGAGGATGGCTGTAGAAGTAACCCAGTTGCTGGTTTCAACAGTAACGGAGCCACTATTGGTTGCTGTACCAGTGATAGCAATGGTATAGGTAAGGGTTGTGCCCGGGATGGTAGTGCCAGGAATGTAGCTACCGGGGATAGTAGTTCCAGGTATACTGGTGGGAAGAATGGTGGTTCCAGGAATATAAACACCCTCCTTAGTAGTTCCAGCTACATAAGTTCCTGCAATTGTGGTTCCGGGAATCACTGTTGAGTACACCGAAGAGCCCGGAACGAACGAGGCAGGACAGTAAGTAACAAAAGTGTAAACAGTGACAACACCTGGTGCAGGGTTTATGTGAGATGGAATTGATGGTGTCTCTGTTAAGCTAGCTGTACCTGTGACAATAGAAGCTTGTTCAGAAGTAGAAGACACAAATGAGCTTAATATGGCAGTGGCCGTTGGAATGACAAGAGAAGTATTGAAGGCGCTGCGACTTGAAATCAAGCCTGAACTGAAAAAGCTGCTGCTAGATGGATTGGAGGAACTGGTGATAACAGAAGAGTAAATACTAGAAGTAGTGGGGACTGCCGATGAGGAGATACTTTCATAAGTATTTGTTGTGTTGACAAATACAGGTGTCGATGTTGGGACCTTAGTGGAAGAAGATGAGCTGATGGGGTGAACAGATGAAATTGACGTTGCCCCCGAAGTCAGCGTTGATGATTCCTCAGAGCAGAAAGTAAGTGTGACATATTTAGCTGGCTCATTGGCACCATCCTGGTAACAAACAACTGTGGGGTTTGGATAAATTGCACAAGTAGATGCGTGGTAAGATGATAGAGTTTCTGGAACAGTGGTTGTAGTAGCTGTAACAATTGTTCCAGAAGTAAACAAAACAGAACCAGTACTAGTAATAGGGAAGCTAGAAGATAAATCTATGGATAAACTAGATTCTGTTAAAGAAGTAGTAACTATTGAGCTAGAAAATATGGTACTGGAAGATAGGACAGGTTTAGTAGAGTTATTAAATTGATAGGAGGAAGAACTTGTAGTTGGAACATAAGTACTTGTTTCTGAAGTTATTAAAGTAGAAGAGCGAGTTTGGGGACGAAGAGATGCACCACTTGGTTCTGATGACACTGAAGATGAAACCTGAGTCTCGCAAGCTGAAACTTTGATGATTGTACCCTGATAAACAGACTCAAGAACAACAGTGGCCGGAAAAGTAACACCGTCTACAACAGAACCAGAAATGGTAGAGCAGGCAATTGTCGTAGGAGCAACAGTAATAACCTCAGAACTAAAACCAGAAGCACATGAGTATGTTGGGATCGAAACACTGGGTGTGCTAGTAATGGTCGAGAATGAGGCTGAACCAGTGATACTCGTGGTAGAGATGTTAGAAGAAACAATAGCAGAGCTGATAGTACTAGTAGCCGAAATCTTAGAACTTGTTATAGTGACGCTAGAAAAGCTCGAGACGGATGTTGGGGCAAAAGAAGAGCCAACACTTGATGAAACAGTAGAAGACTCACAGGCATTAACTGTGAGAACTGTGCCAGTATAAGATGTTCCAATAACAACTGTAACTGGTTTTGTGACTCCATTAACCACGGAACCAGAAATAGTCGCTGCACTAATGGTGGTTGGTGCTACTGTCACAATCATGGAGCTATAACCAGGGACACACGAATAAGTGGGAATTGAAATAATGGGTTTGCTGGTCACAATTGGCAAAGATACAGTTGGAGTTTCAATGACACTAGAGCCGCTAGTAAACGTAGGAGTTACTTCAGTTGACGATGTTGCAATTGTTTGAGAACTCAGGGTAGTTGAACTAGAGGATACAAAAGAGCTGGGAACTGCTGATGAAGACAGGCAAGCAAAGACAGTAAATGTTGTACCAGGGAAAACAGTTTCAATAAAGACAGTATTAGGGATGATGGAGCCACTAACAATAGTTCCGGTAATTGTTGATGCTTCGATTGTAGTAGCAGTGATAGTAACCACCTCATTGCTATATCCTGGGGCACAGGAGTATATGGGTAAAGAAATAACTGGAGTGCTAGTAACCGTAGAGAAAGCCACGGAAGAAGAAATTTCAACACTGGAGCTAACAATTGAAGAAATACTCGAAACTGGGGTTGGGGTTGATACAAAGCTCGAAGTCACTCGTGTAGCTTCAGAAGAGGTTACAATAGATGTGGAGGTAAAAGAAACGGTAATGGGCGTACTAGTGCTGGAATAAAATGAGGTACTGGAAACTTCACAAGCTTGAATTGTAATAGTTGTTCCGGGATATATGGTACCATCATAAACTGTGGCTGCAAAGGTAAAACCGTTAACAATTGAGCCCGTTGTTGTGGAAGGAGAAACAGTTGTAGGAGGAACAGTGATAAACTTAGGGTTATAACCAGAAACACAGGAATAAATGGGAATAGAGATGCCTGGGGTTTTTGTGACTGTTGAAAAGATTGCAATCGAAGATTCAGAATATACAGAAGATTCAGATACAGAAGAGGAACCCGTTAAACTAGTTGATGTTGTAAAAGATATACTAGATGAAACTACTGGAACTGAAGAAATAGTTGATGAGATCGATGTTGATAGTGGGACTGAATTGGAAGTCACGGAAGTAGCTGGCGCAGTTTCACAGGCATAGGCAGTTAAAACGGTGCCTGGGTAAGAGGTACCAATGACAACGGTGGCAGGGACAGAAACGCCGTTGACAACAGAACCAGCCACTGTAGATCCCTTGATTGTGGTTGCAGAAATAGTGAAAATTTCATTACTGTGACCAGGAACACAAGAGTAAGAAGGAATTGAGATAGCAGCTGTACTGGTAACTGTGTATGAACCAAAACTTGATTCAACTGTGGTAGAAGGAAAACTGGTCGAAACGCTAGTCGAAGAAACACTGGTTGAAACAGTTGAAGCAGAGATAGAAGAAATCGGGACAGACTTTGAAGAAGTGATAGAAACTGCAGTAGACGAAATAGGAACAGAGGTGAGAGGAATACTAGAAGAAACGGAAACCGAATTTGTAGTTACAGATAGCACCGATGCAGTTTCACAGGCATAAACAGTTAAAATAGTGCCTGGGTAAGAAGTGCCAATGACAACGGTGGCTGGGACAGAAACGCCGTTGACAACAGAACCAGCCACTGTAGATCCCTTGATTGTGGTTGCAGAAATAGTGATAATTTCATTGCTGAAACCAGGTGCACACGAATAAGAAGGAATTGAAGCGATAGCAGTACTAGTAATTGTTGAGATTACTCCAGTTGATAGTACACTTGTTGTTGATCGAGAACCAGTAACCTTTTCTGAAATTTGGGTTGAGGAAATGGGTATTGAACTAGACTCTAGCAATTTTCCTGAAGTTGATGTTGAAGTTGTAGAAGCTCCAGTAACACTTAGGCTGAAGCTTGTTACCAATCCTTTAACACAATTTCAGTAGTTAGTATAAACAATATAGTTGAATAGCAGTACTTATTGGATTTAAACAAACCTGTTTCTGTGCTGGCTATACTTGTGGAAATTGGACTACTATATGATGAACTAGATCTTGATTGCTCACAACCGTAAACAGTAATTACTGTTCCTGAATATGTCGTGCCAAGCAAAACAGTTTCTGGATAAATGACATCATTTGTTGTTGCACCTGGAATTGTAGTTTGACTAAAAGTTGTTGGAGAAACTGTAATCAATTTAGACTCATAACCCGAATTACATGAATAACTGGGGATGGTAATTTCTGGAGTGCTGGTAACTGTCGATTTTGAAGAAATTGTCGCGCTGGGTAAAGAACTTGTCGGTACTGATGAGGTTAAAGAAACAGATATTTGAGAGGACAAAACGCTTTCGAAAGTATTGGTTCCGGCTATATTTTGAAGTGAAAGTTAATATATTTAATATATTAATTAATACACATAAATAAATAAATAATAAATAAATAAATAAATAAATAATCGCTAATCCTATTAACACTTACTAGTAGTTGACTCAGTTATCGATACTAAATCTAAATCCAACTATTAGAATACACTCTTCCTTTGTTCTCACACACCACACATCAAATTATATAAATGCTTTTATCCATCTTTATTTTACCAATTTCCCGACTTACTTGAAACACCTTTTGTGGTAGAGGAACCAGAGCCAGAGCCAGAGCCAGAGCCAGAGCCAGAGCCAGAGCCAGAGCCAGAGCCAGAGCCAGAGCCAGAGCCAGAGCCAGAGCCAGAGCCAGAGCCAGAGCCAGAGCCAGAGCCAGAGCCAGAGCCAGAGCCAGAACCAGAGCCAGAGCCAGAACCAGAACCAGAGCCAGAGCCAGAGCCAGAGCCAGAGCCAGAACCAGAGCCAGAGCCAGAGCCAGAGCCAGAGCCAGAGCCAGAGCCAGAGCCAGAGCCAGAGCCAGAGCCAGAGCCAGAGCCAGAGCCAGAGCCAGAGCCAGAGCCAGAGCCAGAGCCAGAGCCAGAGCCAGAGCCAGAGCCAGAGCCAGAGCCAGAGCCAGAGCCAGAGCCAGAGCCAGAACCAGAACCAGAACCAGAACCAGAACCAGAACCAGAGCCAGAACCAGAACCAGAGCCAGAACCAGAGCCAGAGCCAGAGCCAGAACCTTCGGTAGAGGTGACAGTTACTGGGGAACCAGTGACGGTCTGAGTAACTGTATTTCCTCCACCAGTGGCAGTAACGGTAATGCACTGAGTCTCGGTAAGAGTTTGAGCAGCACCAGATGCGGTAATAGTTTGAGCAGCGCCAGTAACAGTAAGAGTTTGAGCTGGACCAGCAGCAGTCTCAGTGACATAGACAGTCTGAGAGGCACCAGTGGCAGTAACAGTAGCAGCTTCACCAGTTACAGTGACAGTTTGAGCGGCACCAGTGGCAGTAACAGTAGCAGCTTCACCGGTAACAGTAATTGTTTGAGCGGCACCAGCAGCGGTCTCAGTGACATAGACAGTTTGAGCGGCGCCAGTGGCAGTGACAGTAGCAGCTTCACCGGTAACAGTAATTGTTTGAGCGGCACCAGCAGCGGTCTCAGTGACATAGACGGTCTGAGCAGCGCCAGTGGCAGTAACAGTAGCAGCTTCACCGGTAACAGTAACTGTTTGAGCTGGACCAGCAGCGGTCTCAGTGACATAGACAGTCTGAGCAGCGCCAGTGGCAGTAACAGTAGCAGCTTCACCGGTAACAGTAACTGTTTGAGCGGCACCAGCAGCGGTCTCAGTGACATAGACAGTCTGAGCAGCACCAGTGGCAGTGACAGTAGCAGCTTCACCAGTTACAGTGACAGTTTGAGCGGCGCCAGTGGCAGTGACAGTAGCAGCTTCACCAGTAACTGTGACAGTTTGAGCGGCACCAGCAGCGGTCTCAGTGACATAGACAGTTTGAGCGGCGCCAGTGGCAGTGACAGTAGCAGCTTCACCGGTAACAGTAATTGTTTGAGCGGCACCAGCAGCGGTCTCAGTGACATAGACGGTCTGAGCAGCGCCAGTGGCAGTAACAGTAGCAGCTTCACCGGTAACAGTAACTGTTTGAGCTGGACCAGCAGCGGTCTCAGTGACATAGACAGTCTGAGCAGCGCCAGTGGCAGTAACAGTAGCAGCTTCACCGGTAACAGTAACTGTTTGAGCGGCACCAGCAGCGGTCTCAGTGACATAGACAGTCTGAGCAGCACCAGTGGCAGTGACAGTAGCAGCTTCACCAGTTACAGTGACAGTTTGAGCGGCGCCAGTGGCAGTGACAGTAGCAGCTTCACCAGTAACTGTGACAGTTTGAGCGGCACCAGCAGCGGTCTCAGTGACATAGACAGTTTGAGCGGCGCCAGTGGCAGTGACAGTAGCAGCTTCACCAGTAACTGTGACAGTTTGAGCGGCACCAGCAGCGGTCTCAGTGACATAGACGGTCTGAGCAGCGCCAGTGGCAGTGACAGTAGCAGCTTCACCGGTAACAGTAACTGTTTGAGCGGCGCCAGTGGCAGTGACAGTAGCAGCTTCACCGGTAACAGTAATTGTTTGAGCGGCACCAGCAGCGGTCTCAGTGACATAGACAGTTTGAGCGGCGCCAGTGGCAGTGACAGTAGCAGCTTCACCGGTAACAGTAATTGTTTGAGCGGCACCAGCAGCGGTCTCAGTGACATAGACAGTTTGAGCGGCGCCAGTGGCAGTGACAGTAGCAGCTTCACCAGTAACTGTGACAGTTTGAGCGGCACCAGCAGCGGTCTCAGTGACATAGACGGTCTGAGCAGCGCCAGTGGCAGTAACAGTAGCAGCTTCACCAGTTACAGTGACTGTTTGAGCAGCGCCAGTGGCAGTAACAGTAGCAGCTTCACCGGTAACAGTAACTGTTTGAGCGGCACCAGCAGCGGTCTCAGTGACATAGACAGTTTGAGCGGCGCCAGTGGCAGTGACAGTAGCAGCTTCACCGGTAACTGTGACAGTTTGAGCGGCACCAGCAGCGGTCTCAGTGACATAGATGGTCTGAGCAGCGCCAGTGGCAGTAACAGTAGCAGCTTCACCAGTAACAGTGACAGTTTGAGCGGCGCCAGTGGCAGTGACAGTAGCAGCTTCACCAGTAACAGTAACTGTTTGAGCGGCACCAGCAGCAGTCTCAGTGACATAGACAGTCTGAGCAGCACCAGTGGCAGTAACAGTAGCAGCTTCACCAGTTACAGTGACAGTTTGAGCGGCACCAGTGGCAGTAACAGTAGCAGCTTCACCGGTAACAGTAACTGTTTGAGCGGCACCAGCAGCAGTCTCAGTGACATAGACAGTCTGAGCAGCACCAGTGGCAGTAACAGTAGCAGCTTCACCAGTTACAGTGACAGTTTGAGCGGCACCAGTGGCAGTAACAGTAGCAGCTTCACCGGTAACAGTAACTGTTTGAGCGGCACCAGCAGCGGTCTCAGTGACATAGACAGTCTGAGCAGCGCCAGTGGCAGTAACAGTAGCAGCTTCACCAGTAACTGTGACAGTTTGAGCGGCACCAGCAGCGGTCTCAGTGACATAGACAGTTTGAGCGGCGCCAGTGGCAGTAACAGTAGCAGCTTCACCGGTAACAGTAACTGTTTGAGCGGCACCAGCAGCGGTCTCAGTGACATAGACAGTCTGAGCAGCGCCAGTGGCAGTAACAGTAGCAGCTTCACCGGTAACTGTGATAGTTTGAGCGGCACCAGCAGCGGTCTCAGTGACATAGATGGTCTGAGCAGCGCCAGTGGCAGTAACAGTAGCAGCTTCACCAGTTACAGTGACAGTTTGAGCGGCGCCAGTGGCAGTGACAGTAGCAGCTTCACCAGTAACTGTGACAGTTTGAGCGGCACCAGCAGCGGTCTCAGTGACATAGACAGTTTGAGCGGCGCCAGTGGCAGTAACAGTAGCAGCTTCACCGGTAACAGTAACTGTTTGAGCGGCACCAGCAGCGGTCTCAGTGACATAGACAGTCTGAGCAGCGCCAGTGGCAGTAACAGTAGCAGCTTCACCGGTAACTGTGATAGTTTGAGCGGCACCAGCAGCGGTCTCAGTGACATAGACGGTCTGAGCAGCGCCAGTGGCAGTAACAGTAGCAGCTTCACCAGTTACAGTGACAGTTTGAGCGGCGCCAGTGGCAGTGACAGTAGCAGCTTCACCGGTAACAGTAACTGTTTGAGCGGCACCAGCAGCGGTCTCAGTGACATAGACAGTTTGAGCGGCGCCAGTGGCAGTGACAGTAGCAGCTTCACCAGTAACTGTGACAGTTTGAGCGGCACCAGCAGCGGTCTCAGTGACATAGACAGTTTGAGCGGCGCCAGTGGCAGTGACAGTAGCAGCTTCACCGGTAACTGTGACAGTTTGAGCGGCACCAGTGGCAGTAACAGTAGCAGCTTCACCGGTAACAGTAACTGTTTGAGCGGCACCAGCAGCAGTCTCAGTGACATAGACAGTCTGAGCAGCACCAGTGGCAGTAACAGTAGCAGCTTCACCAGTTACAGTGACAGTTTGAGCGGCACCAGTGGCAGTAACAGTAGCAGCTTCACCGGTAACAGTAACTGTTTGAGCGGCACCAGCAGCAGTCTCAGTGACATAGACAGTCTGAGCAGCACCAGTGGCAGTGACAGTAGCAGCTTCACCAGTTACAGTGACAGTTTGAGCGGCGCCAGTGGCAGTGACAGTAGCAGCTTCACCAGTAACAGTGACGGTCTGAGCAGCGCCAGTGGCAGTAACAGTAGCAGCTTCACCGGTAACAGTGACAGTTTGAGCGGCGCCAGTGGCAGTAACAGTGGCAGCTTCACCGGTAACTGTGACAGTTTGAGCGGCGCCAGCAGCGGTCTCAGTGACATAGACGGTCTGAGCAGCACCAGTGGCAGTAACAGTAGCAGCTTCACCGGTAACTGTGACAGTTTGAGCGGCACCAGCAGCGGTCTCAGTGACATAGACGGTCTGAGCAGCACCAGTGGCAGTAACAGTAGCAGCTTCACCAGTAACAGTGACAGTTTGAGCAGCACCTGTTTCAGTGACTGTAGCAGCTTCACCTTTAACAGTTGATGTAACGTACACAGTCTGTGCGGCACCGGATGCGGTTTCAGTGACGTAGACTGTTTGAGCAGCTCCTTGAATTGTTGATACTTGAGTAATGGTTGCACCAGAACCAGTGACAGTTTGTGTAACGGTAACAGTACTTGCAGCCCCAGAACCTGAACCTGAACCAGAGCCAGAACCGGAGCCAGAACCGGAGCCAGAGCCAGAGCCAGAGCCAGAGCCAGAGCCAGAGCCAGAGCCAGAGCCAGAGCCAGAACCAGAGCCACTTCCTGAACCAGAACCAGAGCCAGAGCCACTTCCTGAACCAGAACCAGAACCAGAACCAGAGCCAGAGCCAGAGCCAGAGCCAGAGCCAGAGCCAGAGCCAGAGCCAGAACCTGAACCTGAACCTGAACCTGAACCAGAACCTGAACCAGAACCTGAGCCGGAGCCGGAGCCGGAGCCGGAGCCGGAACCTGAACCAGAGCCTGAACCAGAGCCTGAACCACTTCCTGTACCAGAGTTACCAGATTCGCTTGTTTCTTTAGCACTTGTAGTACTGCAAGAATGGCATCCACGCTTTTTAAGATCGTTTTCATCAGCTGTGATGGTCGCAATAAAAGTAGTTGGTTGACTGTCGGGGAGAACCGTGCTGAGAGCTGTAGTGAATGAGGTGAGTGTGGAGTCACCAACTACTGGAGGTGAAACAGTCCATGTGTATGCAATATTTCTTTTCAAAAGGCCGAGGTATGTGTAGTCGAAATCTCTGACAACCTTGTAGCTCCCGTCGTCAACTTCATTCTCTCCTTGAGGCTTCCAGATAAAGCCTGCTTCTACTTGAGAAAAGTAAGAAGCTACTGCCAGTAGCTTGATGAACGAAAAATTCATCTTGAATATATTAAATTGATATTAAAAAGGAATTGAAAGTGTTTAGTGGGTAATATAATTAAGAGTCTAAATTCTGTATTTTTAAGAGATCATAAAATGAATGTGATTTGATATTGAGAAATGGTTGATAATGATAAGAAAAAAAACAATTCAACTAGTAGATTCAAGGTGATATATATACTTTTTTTTTCAAATCCCATTATATCATTTTTTTGAATCTTTTATTATTAAAACATTAAACCTCCTCATATGGATAAGAAGATTCAATAACGGCTTAAGGAAAAAAAAAATAAAATAGAAAACCTAAATAAACTTATTTGAGATTTTGGTTCATAAAATCAGGGCTTCGTAATGTGAGAGAACTTAAACTACTATAAGGCTGATTTCTGGAAAGCTAAAGAGAATGAAGATTTTTAGAAATTAAGCTTATATTAAAACATAATTTCATAAAAACCATCTATTAATTAATTCTTTAATTTAATAATTTAATGAAAATTTCAAGGCTTGAATCAACTGATAATCTATTAATTTATAGCCATTGAAAATAATATATTTGTATTGTTATTGACTTGTCATATAATTTTTTTTTTTTTTTTCATTTCCTTTTTGTGAGCTAGCTAGCTTTCCTATCTTTTTCACAATCCTTATTATTTGGATTGTATTTTGTTAAATTTAAAAAGAAAAAAATCAATAGATTATAAAATCAAAAAATAAAAAAAAATTGAATAATCTTTCAATTGGCATGAAAAATTTCAAAAATATATATAAAAGCATTGTTTTTAACTGTAATGATAGCTGAAAATACATCTTATTTTTTTTGAGGGTAATATTAATAGGTTTATTTTCTTTTGAACTTATTTTTAATCATATTGATCAATCTGTCTCAAATTGATTTATATCAACTAATTAGTTATTCATTTGTGCTATGTTATTGTGTAATATTACAACCTTATATCAAATAGAATTAAATTGTTCGGGCAGCTATATATCTAATCAAAACTTGATTGTGTACGCCCTAAGCTCTAAATAATATTTTATTTTGCTATAAAAAAGATTTTGAAATTTCTTGTCATAATTAAGGCATAGACTATTATTATAGTTCTATAACACGAATATTATGAAATAAAATTTTAAGATATGTTTGCAAAGAATTTCAATTGGTTATTCTCGTTGAGAAAATCTCCAAAACTAAAGACTTTTTCTAAGTGGGTTCTTAGCTTAACCCAATAATAAAAACCTGTGAATCTTTGAAATATAATTTTTGCCCTTGCAGGATACAAGTTTAATACTTACTGAAAGCTATATTTAGTCTTTCATCGCATTCGTCACTTAGCGTATAAATTTTATTTATTTTTTTTTGACTGAAGTCTATTTTTTTTAAAAGATAATAATAAAGAGATGGCGTTTGATTTTATACAAATTTGGCAGTTAAAATATCTAGATTTGTTTCTATTAAAAATTTCAAGATCGATAGCTAATCACATTGAAGGAAATTTCTTTGGTACTAACATTATGAAATTTCTTATCGAGTTATAAATAATTCGTATGTTTTTTTAAAAACTAGCTAAATAATTTATAAAAAGAAATATTCATCTTTTAAACAATTTGATCTTATGAACTCGTGTGAAAAATCGTGAATTCTGATCAGTTGTTTTTTTTAAAAAACATCAAATAACAAAAATATATTAAATTTACTTTGTAATTTTTAACTAATTTAACAAACGAGCTGCTTTATTAGTCAATGTTTAATGAATTTTTTTATTCATTCATTATTCTAAATATCTGCTAATTTGATTCAAGGTACTCAGGTATTTTTGAAGCTTTACTATTGAATGAAGGAAAAGAAAACTTATTCGAAATAATGACATAAGTTAGATTAAAGTTTAACCGTAATTAAAAACATTGGAAAACCTAGAATAGAATTTACTGATACACAGACAGTAATCAGGGGTGATCTGGTTTAGTAAAAAAAAATATTTTTCAATTAACTGGTGATAAAATCAATTTTTCACTAATTTTGTGAACTGAAATTCATGTATTTTTTTTTTGGTAAAGATGTTAACAGTTTAAACCAAGAAAACATAAAAATGGGAAAAGGAAATATTTCTTGGATGGGTACTATTGATAATTGTGTCAAAGTCATTTGAAATTTTCCTTTGATATTTTTTTTTTACAACGCCGCAATAAAGTATTGTTGAGATAAAGTTTTTTGTTTTTTTTATGTAAGGAGAGACGTGAATCCAAGTTGAGAAAAAACGGGTTATTTTGCATATATTTTTTATCATCTTGGAATTTTTTTTCTTAAAGTTTTATTTTTTTAGCTATCTGTTTTATATCACGATACAGATGATGACATATGTGCTGGCTTTTAATACAAATAAATAAACTTAAAATGATTGATGAGAATCGGACCCTATTTTTTAGATAAATTTCCAATTTAGAAATTAGTTATGTATTAGCATGTATTTGAATGTATTCGAATGACTTCCAAAAAGGATGCCCATTTCAAAAACCGCAAGGTGTAATCGTCTCAATTAAGACGAATAAAATCATAGTAACTGGGAAATAAGCAGCACGTACATGCTATATGTCTTACGATTTTGTCTGATAGGGTCAGACCAACGAGTATATACAGTCATATATGACACTGCTTTAATTTTTTTTTTTTTTATTTCTTGTCTATATATAACTTGTCAAGAGTATAAATTTCAAAATTCAGGAATTGAATTTGCCATTCTGACACACATACACCATAAAGCTAGCAAGTTAGATTTTGTTTTTTTACTGAAAAACATAAACTATTTGAGTCTTATTCGCTATTCTTTTAAAGAAATCGCCTAGATTAGTTTGATACTTGATTTATTGAAAAGAAAATCAGTTTTAGTTTTTTTTTAGTAAACAAGAAGGTGTACTTTTAAGACTCTCAGAGTAGCTACATACACGAAAAAAATGTATGGTACCGGATTGGTTTGAAAGTTATCAATATATTAATAGCTTCAAGATTTTAAAATATCTATAATTCTAATACATAAATAGAAACCCCCCAATATGTATTTTGGTATCCGCTTATTTCCAAGGCTGAATGTTTCTTTTTTTAATCCACCTCAAATACAGCTAAAAATACCCTATTTTATTAAAGGGCCATTTGATAATGCAGTACCTAGTAAATTTTTAATTAAATTTTTTTTTTTTTTGCAGTAAATTTTAAAGAAACTAGCAGATATTTGTTCCAATTGACTTGGAGGAAAAGAGACAATACTCTATAATCTTAAAATGCTAATTTGATAAATGCAGTGGATGATCCTATATAGGGTTTTAAAATTAAATGGAATCGAAAATTTGCTAAATAGGGGTATTTAATTGTATCTTGGTTAAAGAGCAGAGAGACTACAATTGTTATCCCTGTTAAAGTGTCCATAAATAAACCATCAAAAGTACCCAAGCTTCTTAAAACTCCACCAGAATAATAATGATAATAAAGTAAGGGAAAAAAAGAGTGGAGGGTGTTAACTCTAACCCTTTAAGATTTTTTATGATATGTGCTCAGTATGTAAGTTCGATGCAATATTAACTTTCTTTTTTAAAAAAAATACATCCATGTGGACCATCTAAACGCCACGGGTTAAAAACGTGAGTAGCCAGTTACTCTGGCAAATTGTGGGGACAAGCAATCCCAAGTTAAATTCCACCCTAATAACTTTGTGTTCTGAAGGCCAATGCTATTATTATAATTCCTTGATATTTTGAAAGTTTTTTTCAAAGAATTGGAAATATTTTATTTTGTAGAGATATTTTCAAATCAGATTATGGGAAAGATAGTCTGGTTAAACCTTTTAAAATCTAGATTGGTTCTCTTGCATTAGAAACGAAAGTATCGATATGGATCTATCGCGTTTTTTTTTTTTTTTTTTTTTTTTTTTTTTTTTTTCAGGTACCATTTTTGAGCAAACGATCTTGTTTAATTGTTTTACAATCATTAAATAAAAACGAAAAATAAAGCGAAGGCTTAGTATATTCTTTCATGACAAGGAAATTTTCAATAGTAGCTATACCTGTTCGGAACTTGCTTGAAAATGATGTATTGTCGTTTAATAAGCTGGTTTGAAACTACATTATAAATAATTATTTATTAATGAAAATTGTCACCAGTTTTTATTTTATTTATTTTTTTAAGAATTATTTTATTTAAATCTTTAATTAGAAAGTATTTAGGGCGTTTTCTTTTCCTTTTCATTTTTCTTTTTCTTTTTCTTTTTTTTTTCTTTTTCTTTTTTTTTTCTTTTTACAACTTTTCTTCATCATTTCTGTTAGAAATAGTCAATGTACTTTGTGATTGTTTTATATATAGTGATCTATAGTTTATTGCCATCTTTGGAAAAGTGCAAGTTCCATAATAGCAGCCGTCCGAAACTTTTTGTTTTTTTTTCAAAGCGGGTAGACTAGTGGGTTAGTGGAGATGGTGCACTTTGGATGTTTAAGGTTCATGGTCTATTCAATAAGATACATACTGATTAAAGAGATATGTGTGAGATTCATTCTTTTTTAAACAATCGGTATACAATATTAGCACAGATCTCTTTTTTTTTTCTTTCTCTCTATGATTTATTATTATTGGATGTTTATTAATTGAGCCTAAATATATACGCCGTTCTTCAAGATGGGACCATTTTCTTCTTTTTTTTGAATAAAAGGAAATGATTTTTTTTTTTTTGAAAAACAAAATCCGAACCCGTTTCTTATTTCCCATAAATAATCTTCTTTGTTGCTAACTGATCGATTTAAGGTAATGTTTCAATAATGGCTGTATTACTGTCAATTCTTTCTTTTTTTGTCTTTGAGTGTAAACGCCATTTGAAACCTCATTGCCACAATATAATTAAAATAAATTACGCAAACAGTTTATTTAATAAATCTTCTTTCTTTCTAAAAAAAAAAATTTAAAAAAAAAGACTTTCTTGTAGCGAGTTGAAATGTTCGAGTCTGGTATTTATCGCTACTGTGTATGATTTTTTTTATGTTGGTAAAGTTACTCGTAGCCAAGGGGGGGAAAATAAGTCATCTTGAAGTTTACATTATGTTCAAAGTGAACTCCGAGTAGTTTTTTTCTCTCAAAACCAATTGAAAATCATTGCTTAAAGGAAATGAAAAATAAGAACGTTCCTGAATCATGCTTAAAGTATGTGCAACAACTTACAGTCAAATCGATTTGTCGAGGGAGAAGGGGGGAACAAAAGTTCTGACACCCTAAAGTCCCTTTTTTTCTCGTTACCCTCAGTGTCATTCTGAATAAAGTTAAAAACAATTGAGAATTTCACATTAACACAAACCAAATTAAACCTTCAAACATATTTGTATCATTAATCCAATTAATACTTTAGGGGCCGCTCAAAAAAAAAAAAAAAAAAAAAAAAAAAAGAAAAGATCCACATGTGTATTCAAACACACTTATGCATACGAAAGCCAAAATAAATTAAAAGCAATATACTATTAAACAGCTATTGAATTTTTTCGACTAGATAACTTATTTTCACTCTTATGTCATTAGGCTAAGATGAGTAAGGATATTTAGAGTACTCGTTTGAAATATAAGCAAATTTGTCCAAAAAAATGGGATAGCCACGTGTAAAACTAGTTTTCAGCTCAGACAATTGAATCTTTGAAAGCGCAGCGTAAATAAATTGAACATCAGTGGTTGCTGGGTTCAATATAGAAGCATCACAGCTCTCGAGAGTTTTGAGGTATTGATCCATATGGTAGATTGAAGAAGAAAATCTGGAAACCTTTCCATTCCGGTATTTAAGAATGCAGGCGAGTGCATGAATGCATGGAAGCTGAAGATCTTGATAAAAGGTGCAAGTGCATTCCTTTTTTTCCAAATCGACAGAGTACTCGCTAAGGGTCTGAGTTGCTTTAATTCTAATCCTTCTGATAGGTGTTGTTCCATCTCGATGAAAGTACAACGCGTCATGTAACAGAGGGATCGCAGACGTATTGTTTTTCAAACATCTAATTAAAGAGTCGTCATCGGCAGTAACTGTAAACAAGTTCAACGAATCATTGACCGGTTCAACGTTAAAAATATCAATGAAAAGAGTTGCGTGGGCCAAAGTTCCTGAGGCTGCAGGTACAAACGCGTGATCATCGGAAAAGAACTTGATGATGGAATTGGTTTGAATCTTTTTCCTTTGTGCAGCAATGATTTCCGATTGAAGGTTATTGATAGTCAATGGGAGCCTAACAAGGTTTTGTTTATAATTTGGTGCAAGTAACTCAAAAAATGCTTGGACATTGACGCTATAATTCCGACCATATCGAGGGGTTTTTGATATATCACTCGTCCAGTTGTTTAAACTTTCCAAAAACTTGTCATTTAAGTGAGGAAGTTTTTTACTGGCATAATCCTTGTCAGGGGATGAGATTAGCTCCATGAATTCGAAATCATTGGTGCGATGAGAAAACCGTTTGAGAATAGCCGACAATGTAACTAAGTGGCGGTTTTTGGGAAAGACTATTGACAAAGCATATTTGATTACTTCCTCAGGTCCTGAAATAAAACTGAATGATCTCTTTTCAAACAGGCCGCCATAAGCCAGCTTTAGTTCAGTGAAAAATTCCACGTAAGCCTCAATAGAACTAACGTCGGTAATACAGGCTCCTAGTACAGTAATATTGTGTTCTGGAGTATTTCCCACCGCGACAATGACGTTAAATGGGTCATATCCATTATTAGTGATATTCTTTTGTCCAATCTCTATAGAAGTGGTGGCACTTAAAGCCATGCGTCTCATGTCGGCAGTTATGATTATCATTCGTGAAAAAGACAAATGTTTGTACAAATTTATATTTGGATAATATTTGTCGAAATAATCGCCAAGGACATAAGGATTGAATTGAGTTCGATTTTCAACAAGCTGTTTATATTTATCAATAAAAGCAAAGTGCTTGTCGTGAGTTGAGCAATAGCCTGCATGTTGACCATTACGTTGATTCGCGCACTGATAAATGTCACAATAAGAAGGTAAATAGTCACTGGGCTTAGCGCCTTTAATCGTTGGTTTTAGATTGTCGATATAGGATGACAAAAACTCATCAGTTTTTTCGGGTAGTGTATCATCTGGATTGTTAGATGATGATGACAATGATGACGATGATGACGATGAAGTAGTAGAAGAAGAAGAAGAAGAAGAAGAAGAAGAAGATGATGATGAATTGTTTATTATTCGAGAAATTGAAGGGCGATTTGTAGCCGAAGCAGGAACTGCAAAACTAGAAGCATTTGAAGATGTAGAGTCTAGATTTTTCGTTTCATTTTCAATTTGGGAAAATGGAATAACTGAAAACATTCCAGTCATAGATGATATCCCCTTTATACGTTCATTTCGATCAGAAATCTCAGATAGAGTGGAAGTTTCAGCAAGCTTTTCTTGAATAGCTTTGGGGAAAAAGTGCATATCGGAAAGACGAAATGGGATTTCAAAAGGGGTATCATTATGGTTAGAATCCGATACATCGTCCCGCCCAATAGATTCCATGTCATTGTCTGAAGATTCGGAATCAGTAAAATCAAAAAAGGGAGTTCTAATTTCATCTACCTCAGGGTTTATAGAAACAGGTCTTAGAATAGGATTAGAATCTGGATTAGAGGTGGTGCTGGATCCATTATTTGATTCATTATTAGGAGCTGTGGAACCAGAGGATGGGTCTGAATTATTGTTGCTACCTTCGCTTTTTTTGGCGCCTTCGTTTTCGCGAGCTTGTTTGGAGGCACTAGTGTCATCTGATTTAATGAAGCGATCTTTGGTTTTATTCAAAAACGTTGATACTTGCTGTAATTCCCATTTCAAATCCATATTGTATTCGACATTCCATATGTTGGTATAGTTTCTAGTTCCAAAACTATCACCCGGTGAAATATATTCTGAAGGGAAAAGCTCCGAAGTATTTTCGAGCTCTTCAGGGAGTGGGAATATTGTAAAAGCTGAACGGCTCTCAATTTCAGCCTGATAAGGAGGAGAATGATAAAGTTTTTTTGTGGAATCAGTGTAAGTAATACGGATACAGGTAAGTGGCGAGTGGACTTGAAGATATAAAGCCGATACATGCATTGGAGGAATCACATCTCGGCGAGCCAAAAACATGTCATTTGCAAACGAATGGGCAAGCTCTTTTTGACTAATTAATTTGGCGTTAACTGTTCTGAAAAAATGATGACCTTCATTTACTTTAAAGATTTCTTCCAATAAGTCGTAATAAAGGTCAAATTCCCCCGGAGTAAGGGTTTTCTCTGGAGGTCGAATAAAATCAAAAACAAGTGCAATGCACTTGGGATAAGTCAACCGAGGCAGTAGTGCTGTGGAAGAAACTGAAACGTTTTTCCTCTGTGATTGGAAAACATGAGTGTAAGGCTCGCATGTGTGCTCATCAAACTTGATAATAATTAATGGAGTTCGGTATTGAGGAGGCAGGGGGCCCACAAATGGCTAAAAATTCCTAAATGTTAGAATATAAAAAAAAAAAAAAAAGATAATTACCCTAACTGTAACAGCAAACCGGCATTCTGGCTTATAACAATTGACGGCATACGAGTCTCTCGTAGTTTCCGAATGAAGTAGATTGAAAGGACGTAATTTAACCAACTGTGAATAGATTGTGATTGCAAGACGCGCCTCTTCAAAACTAAGAAACATGGAGCCTAAGCCAATTCGAAAAGATTTTAGTGATTCCAGTGCGTGCTGGGCATTGTAGTGATGTGGTGGCGCGTAAGAAGGACACGCGGTTGTTATTTTAGATAGAAGGAAAGCAGTATCTGTATTAGAAGAGGCTCGTCTACGCTTATTGGGCAAAAAGTGACGGAAGAGACTTGGGTCTTGGATTTTCAAAAGAGTGGGGAATGTAATGCTGTGTTTGTTTTGTTCAAAAATGTGTTTTTGCTCCAAGATTCTCAAAACAAGACTCGATTCGTTGGAGCCTAACTGGATAAAAGTGCTGGGGTTTTTTGTGTCACCAAGGAGGTTTTCAGATAACGGGATCAAAGCCTGCTTGTCCACGTCAAAATTATAAAAGATGGTGATATTTGTGAGAGATTTTATGTATACATAGTAGTAATTATTAGTGGGGGAGGTTGATGAAGAGGATGCAGGTGCTGGTACTTTAGGAGGCATTATGAATATTACTATAGTCGAGATGCATTATTATGAAAGAAAGAAAGAAAGAAAAAAAAAAAAAAAAGGAGAACTTAAGTCAAGTCTTCTTATTCAGTCAAGTAATCTGATAATAGTAGTTTAAGATAAAAATAAAAAAGAATGATTTGTGTATAATCTTAAGATGAAATTCAAAGATGGAGTATTTCTTTTTTTTTTTTTTATTTTTTTTTTTTTTTTGGACGTGTCGTGTAATAACAAAAAAAAAAAAAAAAATAAAATTGGAGGAGAAGTTCAAAAAATAAAAATAAAATAAAAAAAAACTGGAAAGTCGTGTTGTTGATCTCATATTTACACATAGTGATACAATCTACGCATTGAAGCCCACATATATTAGAGGATGCTTAGCGTAGAAAAAAATGAGGTGCATAAAAGTCACGTTTTTGGCTAATTTGATTTTGGTTTGGGTAAGAAAAATGACTGATCAGTCATACTTATATATATATATATATATAAGTATACTTAAAGCTCATATAGATATATAAATATATATATATATATAAATATATATATATTTATTTGTATTGTCATTCTAGACTTGAAAGAACTGTATAGAGATTCTTTTATAAGGACTTCAATGAGCCCTGTTAATTTTTGCACCTTTTGAAAACTAAAATAACAAAGTTACTTTATTTTCTGCACTACCACCAACACCACCATTTGTGCCACCACACAGTCTTGGCTTTTGTAGATTTAAAGCTCTCTGAACCCCTTACTCTTCAAGTTTTAAAAGATTCTGTGGGGTAGTATTATGATTTTTTGATGATTGTCTTCTTTTTTGAATATATTAATTTATTACGGAAAATGAATGGCTTTATTCACCGTATGATCTCGGTGGTCGGCTATTACCAAAAAAAAAAAAATTAAATAACAAATAAATGAAAAAATTCCCGCGCAATTTTTTTTTTTCTTCTTTGTGTACTTAAATTAGCCACCATCATTATTTTTATGGTGAACCACAAAATTTAAATCCGTACCTTGAATTTTTTTTTCTAAAAACATCTATTTTTTTTTTTTTTTTGCTTCAAGGATCTTTCTTTAGTTGTTTGTATAACTATTATTCTAACAAACTACTACACATCCTTGACTGCCTTTTTCTTTTTTTTTTTTTTTTTTTTTTTTTTTGAAATATCATGCTTAGGAGACTATTACCAATAGCATGCTTTGTGCTCCCATCGGTTGCCACAACCTTAAATGACAGCCCGATCTCTTTAGATCTCCGCAATACCGACCCATTTGAGGAAAACTCGAGTGGCCACGGAATAGTGATTAGCATTCTAGGCGTTATACTTTTCATTTGGTATTTGGCAATTATCCTAGTATCTCTAATCGGCGTTATTTTTGTGCGAATCAATAACGGCCAGTATCATCCACCAGCAGTTGACGTTAGGTTGCCGCGTGGACCAATGGTGGGTGGAAATCTTAGCAGCAGTAGAACCAACACTAATGATACCAATAGCAGTAACCCAGAATCTAATGACGATGAAATCGAAGGCGTTACAATTCTGCGGCCACTTAAGGGCATCGACACTGAGATGAAATCGTGCCTTGTGTCTGCATTTCTGCAAAACTACCCAAAGTTTGAAATTATTTTCTGCGTCGAATCACAGTATGATCCTGCGATTCCGATTGCGCAAGCACTTATTGATAAATTCCCTGCAGTGGACGCCAAACTGCTGATTGATACGGAGGAAACTCACTACGGACCCAACCCAAAAGTCAATAACCTTGCTAAAGGATACAAGCAAGCAAAGTATGATATCATCTGGGTGCTTGATTCCAACGTGTGGGTGGCTGCAGGTGCCATGTCACGATCAGTGATGGCTTTTAGAAAACCAGGCAGAGGTGGTCGCCGGATAAAGCTTGTGCATCATTTGCCACTATGTGTGTCGTTAGATTCCACAATGACGGCATCTTGGGGGTCCAAACTAGATGAGATGTTTATGTTAACTTCACACTCAAAGTTTTACACTGCGATTAACGAGGTTGCAATTGCACCCTGCGTCACGGGCAAGTCTAACTTGTACAGACGATCCGATCTAGATGCAGCCGTAGCCGTGAAACTGGCCAAAAAAAATGAGGAGCTTATTAAAAAACAATACAGACAAACGGAGAGAGCATTGACTCCGGATTTTAGCAAGTCTACAGAACAATCCATTCCTCTGTCGCCTTGTAGTGCATCAACCTCGTCCACTTCTCTAAGTAACAACTACCCAAATCAAGATAACACCATTAGCGTTTCTTCCAACCCCTTTTCCAATGAGTCCGAGGTGCTTCCAGGAACTGGTATTCGGAACTTTGCACAGTATATTGCTGAGGATAATATGATTGCAGTATGTTTGTGGGAAGATGGAGATGGACGAACACGCTTGTCGAGCGATTCTGTGGTGCAGCCGTTAGCCGATGTATCTCTTAAGGGCTATTGGGACCGCCGTGTACGTTGGCTGCGTGTGCGCCGGTACATGGTGTCTGCTGCTACATATGTGGAACCCACCACAGAATCTATATGTTCTGGAATTTTTGGTACATTTGCCATTTGTGTTTTGTTTTTGTCGACACCGGATGGTTTACCTCGGTACTGGTCATGGACATGGTTTTTGTTCCATATGGTGACTTGGTGTGTGATTGATTATTTCCATTTCCACGTTTTGCTGGCTTTTAAAAATATGGATAACGTGAATAGACCATACTTTGTATCAAAATACTTTTCGCCATTTGCAGGACCCATGGCGTGTCGCCCAAGATCGCTTCAAACGTGGCTGCCTGCATGGTGTTTAAGAGAAGTTTTGGCCTTCCCCATTTGGCTGACAGCTATGCTTGGTCAGGATATTTACTGGAGAGATCGGCCTTTTAGAATTTTAAATGATCTTAGTACAGAAGAAATTATAGAGTGATTGATTTAAAAATGTATTTGAACTTATTATTATTAAACATAGAATATTTTTTATGTTAAGACTTAAATAAAGTCCCCTCTACAAACTGGCAAATAATTGTTGACCGAAATATCAAATTAACAAATTTACCAATAAGCAATGTTTATGAAAAAAAAAGATTTGTTAGCCGCTATTTAAATTCGTATATAGTACCAATCTATCGATAAATCAATTAACTACCCAAACATTTGGATTGGGGCTAAAGAGCACTAAGATTTACAATAATATTTCAAATAGGGCTCAATGGAAATATTTTTTCCACCCCCCCTTAAGGTTTCCAGTGAAAACAACCGTCAGGTTTTTTAGTATAGAAATCATCATCATTAAAAATAAAAGCATACATAGAAGTACAATTGATTCGTATAAGTCATTCAAAGTCATGCAAGGGTATTAAGATCATCATGTTTTTGGTTTTTTTTTTTTTTTTTTTTTACTGCTGGTTAGAAGGGTAAAAGATATCATCAAGTCCAACAAAGGTTTCCTTGATGTTGCGGACAGACACAAATCTGGTAAGAATGTTACCAGAGCCAGCCTTATCGTTTGTACCTGACATGCGGGCACCGCCAAACCATTGCTGGCCGACAACGGCGCCTGTGGACTTGTCATTGATGTAAAAGTTTCCTGCAGTGTGTCGCAGAGCATAGGTGGCCTGGTTAATGGCGTCTCTGTCACGAGCAAAAATGCTGCCCGTAAGACCATACTTGGTGGCCTTGTCAACCACAGAAAGAGTTTGCTCAAACTCGGCATCCTCATAAACATAGACAGTAAGAACAGGACCAAAGAATTCAGTGCTCAGATAAGGGTGATTAGGGTCTGTGGTTTCGTAAATAGTGGGCTTGACGTAGTAACCAACCGACTTGTCGGCAGTGCCACCTGTTAACAGCTTGAGAGCAGGGTCTGACTCGGCCTGCTTGAAGACATTAGCAAGCTTATTGAAGGAAGGCTCGTGGATGACAGGACCAGAGAAGTAATGGAAGCCATTGGGATTGGTAGCATCACCCTGGTGGGAATGAATCTTTTCAGTTTCCTTTATAAGAAGGTCTTTAAACTCAGGCCAGATGCTACGGGGGACATAAGCACGGGAAGTGGCTGAGCATTTTTGGCCTTGGAACTCAAAGGAGCCACGAACAGTTGACTTGACAGCATTCTCAATGTCGGCAGACTTGTGGATAACGTGGAAGTTCTTGCCGCCAGTTTCACCGACAATTCTAGGGTAAGACTTGTAAGAGCCCAAGTTCGAAGCAATTTTCTGGTAGAGGGAAAGGAAGACCTGGGTGGAACCGGTAAAGTGAAGAGCAGCAAAGTCAGGAGAGCTGAGAACCTCTTCAGTGACGGATTGAGCATCGCCAGGGATAAAGTTAATGACACCATCGGGGAGACCAGCCTCCTTGAAGATGTTATAAAGAAGGTAGTTGGAAAGAACAGCGGAATCGGAAGGCTTCCAGACAACAGTGTTACCCATGAGAGCAGGAGCAGCAACGAGGTTACCTGAGATGGCGGTGAAGTTAAAGGGTGTGACAGCATAAGTGAAGCCTTCCAAAGGTCTGTACTCTGCTCTGTTCCAAGAACCCGGGGTAGTCTCAGTGGGTTGCTGAGCGTAAAGCTCTTGAGCATAACGGGTGTTAAAGCGCAAGAAATCAGAGAGTTCGCAAGTGGCATCAATCTCAGCTTGGAAGACGTTTTTGCCCTGGCCAATCATGGTTGTGGCAAGCATATCATAACGGTATTTCCCAGTGATGAGGTCTGCAGCCTTAAGGAAAACCGCAGCACGGTCAGCCCAAGGAGCGTTTTCCCATTCCAGCTTGGCATTGTTAGAAGCTTCAATGGCCTCACGGACTTGAGCAGGAGTGGTGCTGGAGACGTTGGCGACAACGTGCTCGTGGTTGAAGGGACTGCGCTGCTTGAAGGTGGTATCGTTGAAGATTTCCTTGCCACCAATGACGGCGGGGATATCTGCAGTTCCCTTGTACTTTTTAAGGGCCTTGAGAACACCGGCACGATCTTTGCTTCCTGGGGGGAAAGAACGGACGGGCTCGTTTTTGATCTCTGGGACCTTGAAAGTGGCCCATTGGGGCACGGCTGTGGAGTACGATCTGGCGGCGATAGCAGAGCGAACAGCAACGGTCTGCTTTGAAGACAGAGTTCTAATCATTATGAATTAGGGAGGAAGAGTTGATGATGAGAGAATAGAAAGAATTGAGAATGATAGAAGAAGAAGAAAGAAAGAAAAAGAGAAAGAGAAAGAGAAAGAGAAAGAGAAAGAGAAAGTTAAAGCCAAAGTCTAGTTATTTATACAGCTAGATCGCGGCCATCTGATCAAAACTGGGGGGCCCGAGTCGGTTAGTTGAGGTAAGGCTTTACTCGGCGATGTCATTAAGTGGAGGTGAGGAGGGGGTTTGTAGGGGGGGGGGGGGGATATCAGATAGAGGTCACGTGTGGACTTTTAGAATATTTGGGATTTTTTGGGATTTTTTAGGATATTGGAGACCCATGTTACCGTTTCTCAGCCCCACGGTTACTCAGTATTTAAGTGAGTTAGATTAGGGGCGTTCCATATATTTATATATATATTTTGCCGCAGTTGGGTGATTTAAAGGAAGGTGCCCGCGGGAATCATTTTGGGTAAAGAAAATGATTTGAAAAAAGAAGGTAGTTAAAGGACATAACTATATATAGAGGGTAGTGTAACTCGATATAAATGTCAAAAAAAAAAAAAAAAAATTTTTTTAGGGTTGTTTTATATATACGAAGTACAGATTGAAACTTTTGATAATGGAGTTTCACAGGTTTAAAAAAGGTTTTAAATGGAAAAAAAAAATTTGAAATAAAATAAACAGGGGGGGAATGAAGTTATTTTATTTGTTAAAGAAACAAGTATCAAATGACATTAATATTTGAAACTACATATAACAGTTTGAAAAAAAAAAAAAAAAGGGTTTGTTTGAAATTGAAATAAATAAATAAAAAATAAAGGACTTCTCAGAGAGAAATTATAGTTTTTCATGATATATATTTGATGACGATTACATTAAAAACTATATAGTTTATAACAAGTTTTGAAGGAAGGTTTCTTTTGGTAAAAGTTTTGGTGACATTACAAAAAAAATAAGTTTTGTTACATTGTTTTGTTACATTACAATATTGTGTCACATAATTGTAACAATTATTGCACCATTTAATTTAATTCAAAAAAAAAAAAAAATAATAAGGGAAGATTTCGGCTTTATGCGCCGTAGCACTTTTTTCTTTTCATCTCCAGCAGCTTTAAAAAGTTTTTTTTTTTTTTTTCTTTCCTTCTTTACATCCCACGGAATGTCCGACGGTAGTAGTAGATCTGCAGTTGACATCTTTGTTTCTCGTTTTTTTTTTTTTTTATTTTATTTTTTTCCTTTTATGCCTACTGTAGCTGTACTAAAATAAAATAAAATAAAATAAAATAATAAAAAGAAAAAGAAAAAAGGGTTATGCAATTATATTAACGTCCTCTGCACTAATTTATATTATTATTATTATTATTATTATAAAAGCCGAGTAAGGCTGGAAGAGAGGAAGGAGGAAGAGGAGGATTTGACAATGAGTGAATGACACAAGTGTATGACGATATCAATAATAATTGACAGATTAATTGATTAATTGATAGATAGAGATGAGATGAGTCAAGTAGTATGATGAAAGTACGCCATACCTTGAAGTACTAATAAGCAATAAGATTTTTTATATAATTATTATAATTTTTAAAGAAGAATGAAAAATGCTTGTATATAATACTACTACCAGAGATGGTTTTGTATTTGATTTATATAAACGCTACTTTTTTTTTTTAAAAAAAAAAAAAAAAAAAAAAAGTCTTTTCAGTTCAGTCCAACCTGTTGCATTTTGCACTTCACCATAGTATTTTAAATACATACAAGCAGTGCGCACTGCGTATCTTTAAAGTGAATGTGCAGGGTTTTTATTTTTTTCATTTTTTTCATTTTTATTATTTTTATTATTATTATTATTATTGGTTAACCCATTTTTAAATGATATTATTTTTTACTGTAATTTTCAATTCATTCAAGTACATATATATATATATATTTCTTTTTAGGTATTTCATATTTCCCGACATGGTCAATCGACCGATTTTGTAGTGACTGCTTTGATGAAAACGGGAAGGTATCTTTGATGGTATTTTTTTTTTTTGCAGTAACAACAGCAGCAGTAGCTTTATTAGTACGAACGGTACGGTGCGCTTACGGATAAAAAAGAAAAATAAGGTGTAAAGAAATCCGAGAGAAAGATAGATTTCCAAAATATCGATGATGATGATGATGATGATGATGATTATGATGATTATGGATGGATGGAAAAGGGTATTCCGTATACATCCAATTATTATTATTATTATTACTATTATTATTATTATTATTATTATTATTATTAATATGATAATTATAAATCACAGTTAGTATCATAGTATTAAATAGTAGTAAATAGTCAAAAAAAATTATGAAAAATTAATGTTCAAAAGTATGTTTCTTGAAAGATAAAAAAAAAATGAAAAAAAAAAAAAAACAGGGAGACATTTTGGTAACATTGAAATAGACAACGAGAACTACTACCAGTTAGGTGAAAAAGACGATTTAGATTTAAAATAAAAAAGTTCAAAGAGTATAAGAAATGTAATTTTTTTTTTTTTTTTTTTTTTTTTTTTCAAATGAATTGCGCATCAAGAGTTTGCGCATCACGCTTATGATTTTTTTTATACAACTAATTAGTTATACTTGCATTATAATGCAAGTAAAATAAGTCTTTCTTGCTTTTGAAAAAATGAAAAAAAAAAAAAAAAAAAAAGAAAGAAAGAAAGAAAAGCGGTTTGATTTGTTGTTGCGTACTTTTTGTAAAGTAATCAAGAAAGGTATTTTTTTTTTTAAATGATTTTTTAAAGATGAAAGATTTTTTTTTCTTTTTTAAAGATTCAAATAAGTTTAATAGAAAAGAAGATTTAAATTTTTTTTAGATTTTTTTTAGATTTTTTATTTTTTTAAACCGTTTATGAAAGAAGAAATGAAATAAGTAAAAAAAAATATATACAAAGTTTAAATAAACTTGGTTATATAGAAATAAATTGATATTTTGGGTCAATGGAACCCAAATTATTTTAGTTTAACTTTAACTTTGTTATAAATTTCATGCAACAAACTTGAATTTTTCTATATTTCTTCTTTCTTCTTTCTTTTTTTCTTTCTTTCTTTTTTATTTTATTTACTTTTTTATTTAATAGTTTGAATCAAATGAATTTTTTTTAAAAACGAAAAAAAAAAAAGTATGATATTTTGAACCTGTTTTTTTTTTTTTTTTTTTATTTTGGTCTGCGCACACTTCATTTTCATCATTGATTCTCCAGTGTGATATGCGCACTCTTTGATATTAAAATACGCTTTCAAATGATTGATTGATTATCATGTGTTTAAAAAAAAAAATGCTCAATAACTTAAGAGAAAGAAATATTAATACTTGAAATAATAATATCTACAAATAGTTTATGCTGAATTAATACTTTTTTTTTATTTTTTTTTTATTTTTTCCGTTTCTTCATCAGCGCTTTCTTTTTATCTTTTTTTTTTTAATCATTATTATTCTTTCTTTCTTGATAGTGTTATACTATTGTATAAACAACAATGATAATAACACTTTTTAGTAATTATTTATTTTATTATTTCTCTCTCTTTCTTTAAAATGATATTTGTAAAATTATAATTAATAAATCTAATGGTTTGTAAAGTTCCTCCTTCTTCTACCTCCAGAATTATTTAATTATTTAATTATTTATTATTATTATTGTTATAATAAATAAATAAAAATAAAAACTTGATTTTACTTGATTTTACTTGATAAAAAAGGGTTTCTTAAATATATATATATATATTCAATCTACTTTCCATCCATCCATCCCCCCTTTTTCACTATATCGATAAACGTTGGTCCCCTCCCATAACGTCATGCACTCATCACACGCGAGAGAACGTGCAAAATAACGGACGCGCGTCTGACAAATGAAAGGTGATGGGCAAGCGTGATGTGCGGCTTTTCCCACTTTTTTTTTTTTTTTTTTTATATTTTAAAATGTATTTATATGTATTTTTTATTTCCTATTTATTATTAATTTTTTTTTTTTATTTTGAAATTTTTTAAAAATAATCAATTAATAGATTAAAAATCATGATGTCAAGTTTGTATATAAATTAAGATCTTTAAAAAAAAAATTAAAATAATAATTAATTAATTAATAAAAAAAATTAAAAAAGAGATACAACCTCCTTTGTTTAAACGCGTAACGCGTTTTAATTTTTTTTTTTTTTTAATTTTCCTTTAAAGGGGGTATAAGGGATACTACTTATTTAGAGACCTGTTGCGGGTTGCACACTTTGCAAAAATAAAAAAAAAATAAAAAGAGAAAAAAGAGAAAAGGAGACAAATTGGTGCATTAAAATATTAAAATCAAATATATATATTTTAAATGGGAGATGGGATATTTTTTTTTTTTTTGTTTTTTTTATTTTTTAATTAATGTTATACCCTTTTGTCCCTATACTAAATACCCTCTCTCCCCCATTGTTAGATGTTGGTGACGTGGTTTACTAAAGGTCCTTTATGTTCATAATACTTTGTAATTTATTCTTATCAATTTTTATACTATTTTATTATTATCTGCATAATTGATTAATTGATTAATTGATTGAATTTACTACTATTGGCAATTTTTTTTTTTTGTTCTTTCTTTCTTTCTTTCTTTCTTTCTTTCATTGCTTGTTCCAAGGGAATGGAATATGAACCACGATATGCAAAGTTGTGAAACATTGAAGGTAAACAAATAAACAAATAAACAAAAAAAAAATGTATATAAATGAAAAAAAAAATTCAGTTTATATTTTATTACAATAACCTTTTATATCTGCAAGATATGGTGTTTTGATATTTAATAGAAAGTTGAATAAAACTAATTGATCAATTGATTTTGGGGAAATCTTTAAAATGTTTTATAAAGTTATGTTTTTCCAGTTATGTTTTTCCAGTTATTCTCTTCAAAAATACATTTATATATATATATTAATTTAACTTTTAAAAAAAAACAAGTTTTGCAATCCACCCAGATCTAATGGTAAAAGATTCTGTATTTTTTTTTTTTTTTCAAACATTCATACATACCGGGTGGGGAGGAAAAGATTAAACTTATAAAAAAATTTCATTTAATGTTAATATCTCATCGATATCAATGTATTTTTATTTTTATCTTTCTGTCACAGCAAGTCCCATTGAGCTATAAAGAAAGTTAGAAAGAGTTTATGCGAAAGATATATCAAGAAGGAAAGTGAGGGGAAACAGTGCAAGACTAGGAAGAAATGAGCAGTTGATAAAACCGAGTTGCTGATATTTTAAATAATATAATTTAAATAATATATAAATATGATTTTAAAAAAAAAATTCATTTTTTGGTTTTTTAAAATCAAGTTTATCGGTATGGGGTTGTATATATATATATATATATATATATAATTTTGATTTTTGAAAGAAAAGCCGTATGATATGGGGGGGAGTGATGTTACATCATAACTAAGTTAGCTGTCAAAAAAAAACGAGTTGAAAGATGACGTAGAAAATGAAGAAGATGAAGAAAAAAATGATGATGTTGATAGTTATAAGGAATTTTTTGTTTTTTTTTTTTTAAAGATTAGAGATATTAATGCTAGAAGATTAAATAAAATAAAAAGGGTTTAAAAGAGGGGATGTGGATCATAAGGTACCGAATTCATGCGAAATAAGATTGGAGAAGAAGATATAATATGAAAGTCTATTTAGTGATGAGATAAAACTTGATTAAAGTAAGTAAGTAAGTAAGTAAGTAAGTGAGTTAAGTAAATACAATTGAATATATGATTATAAACAATTGTTAATAATAGTTTTTTTATTTTTTTTTTCTATTTTAACCTAAGTTTATATATATATATATATTGTGATAGTAGAAATATAGAAACATATAAAAATTATTTGAAAACCATGAATAACAAAAAAATAAATAAATAAATAAATAATAAATCAGGGAAGGGTGTATGAAAAAAAGGATTTGTAAAGGAAGGGGATAGTTTAAACTAGGGGTGAGACATTAGAAAAAAAAAAAAAAAAAAAAAAAAAAAAACTTCCTCAGCGAAAGACATTTTAAAAGATGGAAAATTAAAAGGGGGAAAGAAAGAAACCGAGACATTAGAGGTTAATTTTTATTTAAATTTTTTTTTTTTTTTGGTTCTAAAAGAAAATAAATAAATAAAAATCTAGATTTATTTATTTATTTCAAATATATTTAAATATTAGTATTTGAATTGAATAGAATAGAATATAAAAAAGTATTTTTGATTAGTTGTAGCTTGATGGAATCTTTTAAATTGAGACAATTGAAATCTTTAGAAATTTTTATATATAGATCTATATAAAAAAAAATTAAATGTTTATATATCGATATATACGATTTAATAAATAAATTAATAAAATAAAATGGATATTTATATAATATAATATAAGACATTTTGTTTTTTTTTTTTTTTTTTTAATATCAAAAAATAAATTCATCATCGTTTCCATTATAATATTTTTAATTCATATTATTAAAAAAAAAAAGTCATCATGAATAAATAAAACTGGTAACGGGTTTAATAGATTGATTGAGATTTAGAATTGTTTACAAGTTTTAATGATGGATATGAAAGTCGTTGTTTATTATTATTATTATTATTATTATTATTATTATTATTATTATTATTATTTTTATTGTATATATAGTTTATATATAGTTGTCATTACTTTTAACTTTGAATATATTTATATATAAAAATTTTTTTTTTTTTTTTTTTAAAGAAATGAAAGAAGAAGAGTTGCGCAGAATTTTATGACTTATTTTTTTATGTGTAGAAATAAGTTTGCGCACTTTGCTCCCAAAAAAAGAAAAATAAATAAATAAATAAAAAAAAAAATAAAAATAAAATTTAAATAAAAAAAAATAAAAAGCGACTGCGCCAATCTTTGAATGAATGAATGAATGAATGAATGAATGAATGAATGAATGAATGAATGGTGAAACCAATTTGGTTGGTCAGTTTGCGCAGGTGCTTTTTTTTTTAAAAAAAATAAAAAAAAAAAAAAAAAAATAAAAAAAAAATCGCGTTGGTTTCTAAAGTGCGCACACAACAAATAAAAAAAAAAAAAATCAACTGTACACTCACACAAATACACACACAAATACATACACACACACACACACACTCACACCGCCTTTAAGAAAAAAAAAAAAAATAAAAATTTTTTTTTTTATTGAGGCTGAAGAAAAGGACATTATTGGTAAAGAAAAAAAAAAAAAAACGATTTGAATTTATAAAAAAATCTTTAAATAAAAAAATAAAAAATAAAAAATAAAAAATCTATAAAAAAATATTTAAAAAAATTAAAAAAAAAAAAAAATTTGAATTTATTTTTTAATTTTTTTAATTTTTTTAATTTTTTAATTTTTTATTTTATTTTTATTTTTTTATTTTTTAATTTTTTATTTTATTTTTATTTTTTTATTTTTTTATTTTTTTAAAAAAAAAACTTTTCTTTTTCTCTCTCTTTTTTTTAAACAGTGCTGACATAATATATTACTCATTAATTCAACATAAGCGATTTTTCAGCTTACATAAACCTATAACTTCTTCCTATAGTTTAAATTTAATTTTTTTTTTTTTGTTAGTCCTTCTTTATTATTTATTTTATTTTTTTTTTATATAAATAAAATCAAAAATCCTCTCCTTTTTTTTTTTTTTTTTTTTTTTTTTTTTTTTTTTTTTTCTTTCTTTCTTTTTCCCCAAGAATTCCCACTTCAGTCATTCCTTACTTAAACAATCATTCAGTAAACAAAACAACTTTCTTCAACTTTTTATTCATTCATTCATTCATTCATTCCTTTTTTTTTTTTTTATATTAAAATTTTTTCACCTTTAGTCATTCCTTTAAATAAATAAATAAACCTATATACCCATTCCACTCCTTTTTTTTTTTTTTTTATTGAATAGAATAATTACAATGAAATTCTCTGCCTCTTCAATCTTGGCCTTCTCAGCCCTTGCCACTTCAGTCGCAGCTGTCCCTGCTCGCAGTCCTTACCAGATTCGTGAGCACCACGCTCATAACCTTCACCAACTCGACAAGCGTGAAATCGTTTATGCAACCGTCCACCAGTACCGCTACTTTTACCAGAAACAAGTCGTTTACGTCGACCAAGATGGTGCTCCCTTCTCCACTGGTTGGGAAGTCGTCTCTGTAGCCACTGAGCACTCAATTCCTACTTCTTCTCAGGTCGCTGCTGCAACAGATGCTCCGGTTTCTACTTCTTCTTCTTCTTCTTCCGCTGCTGTTGATACTCCTACAACTACCTCTACTCCTGTTGATACTCCTACTCCTACTTCTACTTCTACTTCTTCCTCTTCTTCCTCATCAACTCCTGTCCCAGAACCTACTACCACCGCTGCTCCTACTTCTACCTCTATCTTTGTTCAGAACTTGAACAATCTTGCTTCTGAATCTTCTGCCGCTGATTCTGAAGATGATAATGATGAAGATGACACTGAAACTTCTTCTTCCGAAACACCCGTTGTTCCTACCACCACCTCTTCTACCTCCACTCCTACTCCTGAACCTACCACCTCTTCTACTTCTACTACTTCCACTTCTACCTCTACTCCTACACCTACCCCCACACCTACTCCCACTCCTACACCCACACCCACCCCATCTCCTTCAACATCCTCCACCTCCACCTCCACTCCTACCCCTGAAACTTCTTCTACTGAAGCCCCTACCTCAACTACCCTGGCTGTTGTTGTCCCCACCACTTCTTCTACCACCTTAGCTGTCGCCACCTCTTCTACTTCTTCTTCTGCTGCTGCTGACTCCACTGCTACTCTTGCTGCCAATGGTGGTGACTCATCTTCCAGTGGTTCAACTTACTCTGGTGATGGTACTTACTACGAAGCTGGTCTTGGTTCTTGCGGTTACACAAACACTGACTCTGATTACATTGTTGCAATCTCCCATGTCCGATTTGATGCTGTTAACCCTGGTAACCCTAATAATAACCCTCTCTGTGGTAAGAAGATTCGTGCCTTTTATAACGGGAACTCTGTTGATGTCACTGTGGTCGATAGATGCCCTGGATGCACTGAAAACTCTCTTGACTTTAGTCCTTCAGCCTTCCAACAGTTGGGAGATTTGGATTTGGGTCGTATTGAAATCACTTGGGATTTCCTTTCCTAAAAAATAGGGGGAAATAAAAAAGAGTTTACCAAAAAAAACAAACAAAAATTTAAGATTTACGAAGTTTATGCCAATACAAGGTTTTTTTTTTTTAACCACAAAATTGTGAACACATTCGCCAAAAAAATACACAAAAAAAATATTATTAAAAAACAAAACAAAAAGAAGATTTTAGATTATGACGACAACCTGGCTGGGAAGAAGTTTTTATTTATTTATTTATTAATTCTCTTGAGTGTTTGATTACATTTGAGAGAACACTTTTCTCCCCATTCCAATTACTACTGGTTATTATTCAAAAGATGACTTTCTCTTTTTGATTTAGATTTGAATTTTTAGAAGATGTAAAAAAAAAAAAAAAGAACATAAGAGCTGGCTCTTTATTTATATCATATATTTATTATATATATATTTTTAAAAAATAAAACAAAATTTTTTTCCTTTTTATTTATTTATTTATTTTTATATTTAACACAAAAAAAAAAAGTTGGATTTTCTTTTTTTTTTCCCATTAAAGTTTCTTTGTTTTAAACCTTCGCAACAATGATATTTTTTTTTTCTTTTGGTTTTGGTTGCAACATGCTGGAAAGCAGGCAGGCGCAGGCAGGCGCAGGAGGTGTTTTAAAAATAACCCTGTCTAATTGATTGATTGATTGAAAGATTGAAAGATTGAAAGATTGATTTGACATGACAAAAAATTTTCCTTTTTTTTTTTTTTTTTTTTTTTTTTTTTTATCTCTCTTTAAAATTTAATGATTTATTTCTCTTCTAATAAAACTTGTAATTGCTGAATATATATAAATTGAATAAATGAATTGAATTGAATTAAAACTAAAAAAAAAAAAAAATTAAAAAAATACCCTCAAATTTTACAACTTGTAAATCGCCTAACTTATTAAACAACTTACTAATCAGTAAGTAATTATAACTTACTCTTACTCTTACTTACGTACTTACTTACTTACTTACTTACTTACTTACTTCCACTCTTCTTCTTACTAGAATCAACTTCTTCATCTTCATCTTCACTATCTCCAATAAAAAACGGATCATCATCTTCTCCAACTGATCCATCTCCTATACTCCCTCTCTTTTCTCCAGTTTCTTTACCCTCAACTACTACCAACTTACCCTCTTCCTTTTGATCCTTCTTAGTACTACTACTATTACTACTACTAATACCACTATTCTCTTCTCCCTCACCTTCTCCCTCACTATTCTTCCCTCCAATAGCACCACTGCCTTCAGAAACAGGAACTGGTGATACCGTATTCAATGGCTCCCATTTTGTCTCACTACCACTCCGAGCTCGAGTCCCAGAATTTTCCTTGTTTACCTCTGGCCGCCGAGGTAACCGAGGTGCAGGACCACTATCGGCATCATCTTCATCATCATTGCGCATATCAATTCCATTAAAAACAACCTCCTCAGGATCCCGGTCATAAAACCGTTGAGTCCGCCCACCAGCTGGAACTCCACGGTATCCTTCTCTTCCTCCATATCTGTCATTATTGTTATTATTATTATTATTATTATTGTATCCATTATTGTAAGACCCACTATTGGAAGCTGTTGCTGCTGCTGCTCCTCCACCAAAGAAATTCGAAAACAATCCAGGTGTCGATTCATCTCCATCAATCTTCTTCTTAAAATTCTCAACCCAATTGTTCACTTTATCGCGAGTCTCATTAAACCCCTTGGTCAAGTTATCCCTAATTTGGGGCAGATCGTCATCAAAAAATGACCCTTCCTTGTACAAGTCATCATCATCATCTTCATCATCTCCCTCAAACCGATCATAAGCACCATCATAGTACCGCTGATGACTAGGTGGAACTGCGTGTCGGAATGACCCTCCAGATTCCCGGCGAGCATTCTTGTCCCGTGGATCATTGTACGTCGTTCCGCGACCCGTATCAGCGTACCGCACCCGTCGAGCCTCCCGAGCTGCTGCACCTCCTGTAGCCGCGTGCGCTGCTGCCGCTGCGCTTCCATCAAATTCCGCTGCAAGCATTCGCGCAAGTTTCTCATCCTCTTCAATTTGAGCAGCATCGTTGCGGATCGCTTCTGTTGCCGAAGCCTGTTTGGCCGCACGCTGTGATGCCAATGCTTCTCCACCTGTTGCTGTTGTTGTTGTTGTTGTTGCTGCTGCTACTGCTGGCTGTGTTCCCTGGCGGTACCGCGACGCGGGTGGACGGCCCTGGCCGTACGATGCATGCGCTAGTGATTGTGGTGGTGGAGGTGCCACGTGGTGGCGCTGGCCTGGTGGGTAGCGAGTTGGAGGTGGTGCAAATTGCGATTCGTCCAGCTTATAATCTGGGTCTGTAAGTGACAACAGGCCGTTAAAGGCAGGGTCCACACGTCCGCCAGATGCAATCAAAACTGCGCGCACTACTTTGGACTCTACCGTGGGGAAAGCTTCCGAAAGAGTTAGCTGGGCTTGAGAAAAGGGAGACAAGGGACGTGGAGGTTTGGGAGGAGGAGTCGGCGCGCGTTCTGCAGTATCGTCTTCGATTGAAACTGCCGCAATCTTGCCGCTCTTAATGTCTTTCTGGAGCTGAGAAAGAGGAATGTCATCAGGGTCAATTGGGGTTTCCTTGGATTCTTCCTTGAGTTCTTCCTTTGGTTCATCTTTGGATTCGTCCTTGGATTCGACCTTAGACTCATCCTTAGATTCATCCTTGAGCTCATCCTTAAGTTCATCCTTAGACTCTGTCTTAGCCTCTTCTTTCTTTTCTTCCTCCTTGGTCTCTTCGACTTCCGTCTTTTCGTCTATCTTTGTTTCTTCTTCTTTAGCCATGTTATCGTATTAAAAAAAAATAATTTAAAAAGAAAAAAAAAAAAATAATAATTCAAATGGGTGTATATATATATATATTCTTGTGTCGTATTTGGGTCGTTTCGTGGACTTGTTGATATGTGTTGTCTTTAAACAAACCGGCAATTTTAGGGGGGGAGATACGTGTGGAAGGCAAAAACAAAAATAACAAAATGGCCTGGCGGCTGTGGCTGTGAATGGACAAACAAACAAACAGTTAATTCTGCACAGCCAGGAAATCCCGCCAGAAAATCAGCCGAGGTTATCTAACCCTAGCCCATATCACATGATAAACCCTAACATCTATTAACTATAAAAAGAGCAGATTTTTTTTTTTCACCAACTTCTCTTCCTTTTTTTTTTTTTTTTTTTTTTTTTCTTTTTTCTTCTTTACCAAACATTCTTGGATTAGTTAGAACCCATTGCTTAGATTAACTTCATATGAGCTATGTGGCGTGGACACCCGAGATATAGCAAATTGTAGCTTACAAGTTTTCTCTTCTATTAGACTGATTGTGGATTATTTTTCATTCTTTTTCAGCCTACGGAACTATAACTCTTACTACATTTTATTTTTAAGCTCACGCAGCTTGGCCATGACGCCCTCACGCTCTTGAGTCCCAGTTACTTTTTGGAGCTCTGGGTCTTGTAAACGCATAAATGGATTGTACTTCTTTTCATCGCCAATTGTAAAAACTCCTGTGGTTTTCTCATGGCGTGCAACGTAACTAGCCAAAGCTTCAAGAGCTGGATGTGTACTCTTGTTCATTACACTTTCAACAAACTTGACGTTTGACTTTGTATACTCATGTCCTGGATACACCAAAGTCTCATCGGGCAGCCCGCCCAAGACGGTATTAAGAGCATGGTCCATTTCACGTGCATTGCCCTCAAAGAAACGACCACACCCAGCAATAAAGAGTGTATCACCAGTGAAAACAACCTTGTCACCAGATGTCTTGTCTTCAGCATAATAGCAAATACTATCTTGTGTGTGGCACGGCGTGTGCAATGCTCGAATCGCAACATTACCTCCAAGACTCAATTGCTCATTGTGCGCCGGTGTGGTTGTTACCAGAGGAGATTGCTTCCCAGCAATGATTGGCAGACCAGGATAATGTTTAGACTATAGTAAAGTTAGAAAAAAAAAAAAAAAACGAAAATAGTAAATCTAGGAATTGGACACACTAACTTACCAATTCTTCGTTGCCACCAGCATGGTCATAATGATGGTGGGTATTGACAATAGCTACCAGCTTGATTTCACCTTCTTGTTCAAGTTTTTTCAACACAGGCAGGACCCTAAAAAGGTTAGAAAAAAAAGAAAAAAAAAAAAGAGAAGAAGATTATTTTTATGTTTGACTTAAATACTTACTCGTGAGGCTCTGCAGGGTCAATGACCCAGCTGTTTTTGGTAGAGTCGTCGGTTAAGACGTAGGCGTAGTTATCGCCGGTACCCCAGCGCATGGGAATTGAACGGATATGCATTGTACGTTTTGTAACAGAAGATAGTGAATTTGATTGTGGACGGAGTGCTCTTAAAGTTTTAGAAAAGAAAGAATGCATGTCAAAAAAGACAATTAGGAAAAGTGCAATGGGAATTACTAGGAAATGTTTAAAAGTAATAGCAGCCATGAGGTTGAGGGAAGAAAGTAAAGGAAAGAGGATTGGATGGGATGGGATGGAATGGGATGAGAGTGGGGGTGGGTAGGGAGATCGGAGAGTAATAAGGAAGGACTTACGCCATACGAATAAAAATCATTTGTCAGCAACAAGCGGAGATCCGTAGACTACTAGCAATAATCAGTCTTTGTTTCTACAATAAAAGGGAAAGAGAAAGATATATATATATATTCCTTTTTTTTTTTTTTTTTGTTAACGTAAAACCCCAAAAAAAGAAGCTTGAAGACAGTCATCAGAAGGTCCATGCAGACTCGGAACTCGGGACTTGAGATTAGAAGATTAGAAGATTAGAAGATTGGAGGTTTTCGGGTGTTTTTTTTTCTATTTAGTTTTCAGTTACTATTTAGTAACTCACAAAAAAAAAAAAAAAAAAAATAAAATAAAAAAAAATTGAAAATGTGAAAGGCCTAATTCTGGCAGTGTATGCTTAGTAAAGAATTACTAACACTTTATATACTTTCTATACTTTATACTATACTTTCTAATAATATATGTGTCTCTCTCTCAAAAATTTTTCTTTTTTTTTTTTGGCCCAACAACTAACGCCTAAGCTACCCACACCAACCTTCAATCAAACTGAATTTTCCCCCTCCTAAGAAAAAAAAAAAAAATTTATCTACACACAACAGCCAAAAATCCACCAGTTTTCGTTTTATATAAAAAGTTCTGCTTAACTCACACATCAAAGGATTTCTCTTTTATCATTAAAAAAAAGTCTTTAAACTAGTGTTCATATTCCTTTTTTTTTCTTATCGCTTTTTTTTTTTTTTTTTTTTTTTCAAATACATAAATAAACCTTGTAAAAATGGCTGAATCCCGGTGGGCAGACTCTTCTGCTCAGGTATGTCCGATCTTGTCTCTTTATTTTTCTTTCCAGTCTAACTCAAAAATCTTAGGAACCAACAACTCTAGAAGAGGTACTTAAAGAATCTCAAGCTGACCAGTATGTTCTATAATAATCCTTAAAAGAAAAAAAAAAAAATTCCCCCATCTTATTCCCTTCTTTCTGACCTTCCTTTAGACAATGTGACTTGCAAGATACTACCATCAAGGCTTATAAACCTCCAGTAAAAGTCCTCCTCAAACGCAACCCAAACAACAACAATAATAATACTGGCTCAAACACTCCAGTCAGACGAACAGCTTCTCCTTCTTTATCTTCTGTGGCGTCTGCGGGCTCATCTTCCCCCTTAAGCTACGATGACAAGCGCGGTGGTCGTGCATCTCCAGCCAGCTCTGGAGCATCAACTCCTAAAAATAATACTTCACAAGCTCCACCTCCAGCTCGCGAAGATATTAGCGTACGTGAACAAAAGTATCTTAAAGCCCGTGAAAAGTATTTTGGCCCAGAGTCTTCCTCTTCGGATGATAACGATACATCAACCGATTATGAGTCTGCATCAGCAGCAGCCGCGGCTCTCAGCCAAGGCTTTTCATACAACAACAATAATAATATGAATACCCCTCTGGTTGATGCCTCTGAATACCACGAATACTCTCGCAATACTGATTACTCCCGAAGACCTCAGAAACCTCAGTACCCAGCTTACAACTTTTATTACCAAGGTGCACCATCAGCTCCGATCCCTCAAGGATACGGTCAGTATTATAATGGAGGCGGATACCAGCAGCAAGTTATCCAACAACAACAAACGCAAAATCAAAATCAAAATCAAAATCAACAATTTGCATTACTATCACAACAGCAGCAACAACTACAACAACATCAGCCAAACATTGATCTGAATGGGCCGTACGGAGCAGGACCTCAAATACAGCCCACACAATACCAAGCCGGCGGGTTCCAGCAGTACGTGCCCAGTAGCAGCGGTCAATTCCAGCAACAGCAACAACAGCAGCAGTACGGGTATATCAATAATAACAGTGTTAATAACAATGTTAATAACAACAACTGGGGAGGAAATGCAATAGGCGGCGGGTCCGTAGGAGGAAATAGCCCCAATAAAGGATACAAGAAGAATTACAATGGCAACATAAACAACAACATTGGTATTAATAACAACAACAACAACAACAACAGCAATATCAATAACAACAGCAACAGTAACAGCAATATCAATATCAATAATAACAACAACAATAATAATAATAATAATAGTAATAATATTAATAGCATAAGCTCAGGAAACAATTGGAACCGAAATAACATGGGTTCAAATGGTGGCAACAGTAGCAGTGGTAGCAACACCAGCGGGATGAGCAATAACGGATACGGGCGACGGCAGTATAATAACAACGGAGGGAAGGGGTATGGAGGATATTATAATGGCGGATACTCCAACGATGGATATAACCGAAACACAAGCTACAATAGTAATAGTCGGTATTGATTGAGATGGAGTTATCGATGTAATAATTGAAAGGGTGGTAAAAGAAAATTAACGAAAAAAAAAAAAATCTTTTTTAAAAAAAACATAAAATATAACTTTTCATTAAACAAAATCTTTTTCTTTTTTTACTTCAAAATAAGAATACTGTATACACACAATAAATGAACAAAAAAAAGTCTATCGAATATATATTTTTTTTTATTTGTACAAAAAAGAGTAAGCCTATATCCATGACTAGTCCAGAATTAAAAAAGGAAGAAGGAATGTAAGAAAATAAAACCAAAGCAAAAGAGAAATGAGAAGCAGTAAAGACAGAAAGAAAAAAAAAACAATCATCGTCTAAGCAAAAGAAAGACGTTTTCTTGCTTAAGATTGGAAAGCTTTCTGTAGCCACCTTCCAAGGCCATTAACAGACCACCGAATGAGATGTAACAAGAACTAAAGAAAAAATGTTAGTTTGATTTATCTTTCCTACTATTTTTACTATTTTTTTTTTTTATAATACTCACATAAAGTCACCAGAAGACTCCTCAAACTTGTAAACAGTGCCATACATGACATAATCGTAATCATCAGCCAGCGATCTCTCACCAGGCTTGGGTTCGCGCCAGCCAGTGGTTGGAGGTTTGATCTCTCCATCCAATGACAGTGTCTGTGCGATGGCCAATGAGATAGTATTGCCTTGTTGCAATGGGAACAGTTCGCAATTCACGTCGAGAGTCAAGCGAACTTGCGCGTCTGAAGATGATTGCGCAGTAATACGAGTCACGCGGTCATACCGGGCAGTGTCAACTGACTCCACCTTGAAAATGTCATCAAAAAGTGTGGCAGACATTGATGAAAGGATGGAAGGAAGAAGAGGAAGAGAAGGGTTGATTAGGAGGGGAAGATGAAAGAAAAGAAATGGATGGATGGACCTGGGATGTTGGTGGTTGTAAAGCCTGTTTTTTTTTTTTTTTTTTTTGTCAAGCAGTAAAGATTTTTTTTTTTTCAACTTGAAAAAAAAAAAAAAATTGATAATAATTATTACCAATGATGACTAAACACGGCTGTTAATATTGATATTCACGTGACATAAACATATAACAAAGTTAACTATGAGGCAATGTTCACCTGGTTCCAAATAAATAAATCTAACAAAGTGGTCATTGGAAAATGCCCAATACTAGTAAGAAAAATAGAAATAGAAATAGAAATAGAAACTAAAATAGCATTCCTTTTATAAAATATAATTATAATTATTATTAAAAAAGAAACATTGTTTGATAAAATGAATCCATCATCTTAATAAAAAAAAAAGAGAAAATAGATAGGGTCTTATAGACAAACCGTTGAAAACGGTTTTTAACAAACAATTGAAAAAAAAATGAAAATAAAGATTGTATTAACTAACTGACAGTTTTTGATAGACGGTATTCTATAAAAAAAAACAAAGGGTTTAAATAAATTAGAATAAAAAAGAGAAAGCTTTCTTTATATATTTTTTTAACTTATTTAAGATGAAGAAAACAGCTTAAAAAAATGAGGGCGTTTATAAGTAATTGATTGATTAATTGAACTACTAGCGGGAGAAAAAAAAAGGGTAAACAACAACAGATAAAGAAATTTACAGAGAAAAAAAATATTGATATAGAAATATATGATCAAAAAGTCCGTATAATATTATGATATCAATGGAATCCCGAAATAATGACCGAAGAGAGGAAGGTAAAATAAGAAAAATCTTATGAAAATTGACATTTATACAGGATTTTATCAAGAGCAATGATAAGTTTTGTTATTATTTTTGGAACAAAATTCAGAAAATGATTTATTTTAATTATATAAAGAAATGAAAAGATTGAAAAAAAAAAAAAAAACTTTTATTTTCCTTTGAAACGGAAAATAACTTTTGAAAAGAGAAAAGGATTTGTTTTTTTTTACTTGACAGGTATTATATAAACGTCTTACAATAAAGAACGTAATAACTTGTTTATCAAGGTGTAAATTTAAATAAAAGAAAAAAAAATAATATTGGAAAGTGTCGGGAGTTTAATATATATATAAACAATGTACCGCATATATGAATCAGTTTACCAATCTATTTTACAAAGGGAAAAGAGAAGAAGAAAAAGAAGAAATAAAAAATGATAGAAAATCTTTGAAAAATGATGATGAAAACTTTTTACTTTTTTTTTTCTTTACAGTTATTTTTAGAATAGCAAACGTGGGGTATTAAAAAAAATCATTGTATAATAATGAAAATTTTATTCATTTATTATTTTTCAAGTTTGATAACGAACGATACAAAAGCCAAGGAAATCAAAAGAAATCAGAAATGTCGTAATTTTAAACGATACCTTATGTACAAAAATTAAAAAAATAAAAAAAGATAAAAATAGAAATTAGAAGAATCATAAAAAAAAATGATTTAAATCTGGAATAAAATCAATATTGATATTTAAAAATGACGGAATTGTTGAATTGAGTTTTTTTTTTTTTTCAATGCACGTTTTTTTTGGTCGGATAGAAGTGTCATTTCGGATAGGAGAAAGAAAGAGAAATTTTATTGGACAATTATTGGACATAATAATGTATAAATAAATTTAAAAAAAAAAATCATAGTTTTAAAACAATAAGATTTAAATAAAAGAATATGAATAGACTGTTTTTTTTTTCTTAGTTCCGAAAAAAGAAACAGAGGATATAAGAGATATAAGAGATAAAGTATTTGTCCATTGAAGAAAAAACGAATGACATTTAACAAAAACATTTTTCAAAAAAAAAAAAAAAAAAAAAAAAACGGAAACCTCTTTTTTTTAACGGTCTAAAGAAAAAATTGATGTTGTTATAAGTATAAATTCAAAGAATAGAAGAATTGAAACAAGAGTTTTCATTTCTATTATCTTTATATATACAATACAAATAATTGAAGTTCCTTTTTTTTCTTCTTCCTTTTTCAGTCTTTTTTAAAAATAACATTGTTACATTTGTCTTTGACGATGTTTGGTAGTTTTAACTGGTGGAGAATTTTTGTATTTTATTTTTTGTATGTGAGCGAGAGGGAAAAAAAAAAAATAGAAGAATTGAGAAAATTCTATTTTTAGAATTCTAGCAAAGAAAAGTCATTTGTGGGGAGAGAAAAAAAAAAAAAAACTACTAAACAGACTACACAGCACACACTGAAAATGCAACATAAACAAGTCACACAACTTCATTGACAATTGAGATAAACTGAAATTGTTTTCTCTCTCTTTTTTTTTTTTTTTTTTTTCCCTTATTACTATCTATATATTCTTTTATTTACCGCACTTAAGTTTCTTCGTAAAACCAAAAAAAAAAGACTCATTCAGTGATTGGTACCCTTGGAAACTGGTCGTTTCCATATACTCTTTTCTTCAAGAGCAATGTAGCATCGAGTAATCATTGATGACGTGAAATTCTGAAAAAAAAAAAAAAAACTAGAAGTGTGAAAGCAGCATGTGTTTTGAAACTAAGAGATATATGAGTGCTGATCAAATAATGTGAACAGATAAGAAAAAAAAACAGAAAAAAATACAGTCGAATTGCATTGAAAAGCTACAAGCATCTAAAGGAAACACTGGGACAAGAACAGAATATTGCAAAAAAAGGAAATAGAAATAAAGTATATGGACATAACATATATTTACCTTAATTCTAAAAATAAAAATAGATAAATAAATAAATAAACTTATCCACTTTCAAAGTTATTTTATTTTATTTAAACATTGAAAATTTCGGAAACTGGGCGCCGCTATCGGATTCAGGAAAACCTATTTAAGCGAAGAAAGTTGACGAGAGAGAAGAAAAAAAAAACATAAGTTTTTTAGATATAGTTCTTTTGAAACGTTTTTTTTTTAGTGTTTACAATTGGTATAAAGAGATTTATGATAACATCTTAATTAAAGAGAGAAAAAAAAAAGGATCCTATTAGATTGCCGCACTCATTGCTTTTTTTAGAAAAAAAAAACGTTTGACATTTTGTGGGGATCAACAGTTGCACGATGAGCTTAGTCTCAAGTCTTGAGAAAAGAATAAGAAAATAGGAGGGGGGAAGACAAATAAAAAAAAAAAAAAAAAAAAAAAAAAGACTATTTCATCATCATTCTTTTCTTTATCTTTCATTTTCCCCCACTTTATAGTTTCTTAATACAATATTATTTTATCACGTTTTTCCCGCATTTTTTTTAATAAGAGGATGATAATGAGAAAGAAGATGATCATCATGAAGAAAGTTAAAATAAAGAAGAAGAAGAAGAAGAAGAAGAAGAACGTTAATGTTTCTATAATTAACTACAAGTCCCATTGTTGAATAAATCTCGAGGAAGTATTAAAAAACCAAAATATATAGAAAAATTTTGGAAAAACAAGATGATGAAGATGAAATATTTCACATGAACATTAAATAGATTGTAATTTTTATTTTATTTTATTTTTTTTTTTTTTTTGAAGAAGAAGAAAAAATAAAACAATTATGAACATAAAGTATCATACCATATATTATATATGACGATATCAATTTTTTTTATTTATTTCTTCCAATCGTGATCAAATAGAAGAGGGGATTTCATTTTTTTTTTTTTTTTTTTTTTTTTTCAAGAGTCAAGTTTCTTTAAAGTGGTTCATTAATAATAATTAGTTTATGGGATATCCATTTTGGTGTAAATGGTGCCGTTTGATTATAAACCAAAGTATTCTTCATTATTTTCAATTATTTATTTTTTTTCAAAATAAATTCAGGAAAACTTAAAAAAAATAATAATAATAATAAAAATAAAAAAGATAGAGCATGATTAAAATGTTTTCCAAAAAAAAAAAAAAAAAAAAAAAAAAACAAGTTCTATTTATAGTCTTTCTTGTGAAATAACTTGTAAATCTTCGTCTCTTTAAATTTTTTTTTATTTTTACTTTTGAAGATCGCTAAAATAAAAATGCAACAAGGAAATCATTTTGAACTTTTCATCTTTATATATCTTCTTTAAACACATCTTTTTTAATGAATAATTCAATAAGGAATAAGTTGGATGTCTCTAGTCTAAAATGAATATAAAAAAATTTGAAGAAAAAAAAAAAAAAAAAAAAAAAAAAAAGACCGCCGGAGTTCTATAAGCCACCGTTACAAAAATTTGTTACTTTAGTTTTTTAATTTATTTTAATTTTTTTTTCTTGCTAGGCTGTGTCATCATTCAGACTTAAACCAAGTAAAATAAAAAGCAAGTCAATCTGTCAATTTTTTTTTCTCTTTTATAGTTTGTAGTTTGTAGTTTGTAGTATGTAATTTTCATAATTTCTATACTTCTTTTGATTATTTCTTTTCAAAGATAAAACAATATAAAAAAAAGTAATATTCTTCTATTTTATGTCATCATGTAGATCTTTGTGAAATAAAATTAACAGAAAAAAAGATAAAAAAAAGTTTCAACGACCCTTCAAGCATTTTTTTCTTTTCAATTTAAAAACAACTGTCTCCTTTCCCACCCCGAGACTTTTGTTTCTATTTTTAAAACTGTTGACAGCCATCACAGTTAGGGCTTCGTAATAAACGCTCCGGCTTTTTTTTTTTTTTTTTTTTTCATCTCTCGCCATACTGGTGGAAACTTTTATTTTTTTATATATATATATATTATCAAGTTTATTAAACTTAAGACTTTAAGATAATTTTATTCATGAGGATTATTTAATTTTTTTTTTATAAAAAGTCTGATAATTCTCTTTAAAATCATCTTTTTCTTTTTTTTTTTTTTTTTTATTTCAATCTCTTTAATTTGAAAATAAAATAAAATAAAAAAAAAATTTCTATTTAAGACCGCCTTGAAAAGATTCAAAAATTCAAACATTCCTATCTAAGCCTCCAATCTTTTATTTTTCGTCCTCGTTTTGTTGCAACTTCTAACTTTGTTTTTTCTTTCCTTCCAATATAAAATTTTATATACACAAACAACTTCATTTAACCACCACCACCACCACCAAATCTTTCTTTCCTCCTCCTCCTCCTTTTTTTTTCCTTCCCTTTCCTTTCCACTTCTTTATTCTCAATTCATATATATATATATATATATATAATACCATTTTAAAATATAATTGTCTTTATATATATAATACCATTCTTTAATATATATATATATATATATATATATATATATATATCAATACAAACCATAGTACTCTACTATACTACTTATAGACTCATACTAGTATAGTAGTATACCATATCTTTAAACATTCTACCAAGACTCTTTCCATCACTACCACCAATCCGTTCATCAATAACAAATACTACCAACCAACCAACCAATTAACCCCTTTTCGCCACTTCTTCTCCCCTTCATCCCGCCACCATGAACCTGTCTCAACCAGAGCGCCACACATACCGCGTCTCTAACCAAGACTTCACCATTGACCGCCGCTTCCAGATTACCAAAGAGCTTGGCCATGGTGCTTATGGTATTGTCTGTGCTGCCACTTACACCGGAACCCCGGACGGCGCTCCGGGCCCTGGCGTCGCCATCAAAAAAGTAACAAACATCTTTTCCAAGAAGATTCTTTGCAAACGAGCCTTGCGCGAACTTAAGCTGCTCAACCACTTTCGTGGCCACAAAAATATCACATGTCTTTATGACATGGATATTGTAACTCTGCCAAACTTCAATGAGGTGTACCTTTACGAAGAACTCCTGGAATGCGACATGCACCAAATTATTCGCTCTCAGCAACCCCTAACTGATGCCCATTACCAGTCCTTCATCTACCAAATCCTCGCCGGACTAAAGTACATCCACTCGGCAAACGTCCTCCACCGTGACCTTAAACCAGGAAATCTGCTGGTTAATTCGGACTGCGAGCTCAAGATTTGCGACTTTGGTCTAGCCCGCGGTTACTCTACCGACCCCACCCGCAACGCTGGTTTTCTCACTGAGTATGTTGCCACCCGCTGGTACCGTGCTCCTGAAATCATGCTGAGCTTCCAATCCTATACAAAGGCCATTGATGTTTGGTCGGTTGGGTGCATTCTTGCCGAGCTTTTGGGTGGCAAGCCCATTTTTAAAGGCCGTGACTATGTCGACCAGCTTTGTCAAATCCTCAACTATTTAGGCACTCCTCCAGAGGAAACTCTTGCTCGCATTGGCTCCCAGCGTGCTCAGGAATATGTACGCAAACTACCCTATACGTCCAAAATTCCCTTTTCTCAGCTCTACCCCCAGGCAAACCCCGAGGCTCTTGATCTGCTTGAGCGCATGCTTGCTTTCGACCCCACGGACCGAATAACGGTTCAAGAGGCTCTCGAGCACCCCTACTTGCGTATCTGGCATGACCCTGCAGATGAGCCTGAGTGTCCAAAGGAGTTTGACTTTTCGTTTGAGGAGGTGGACGATATGGAGGCCATGCGTCAAATGATTTTGGATGAGGTTGTGAATTTCAGAGCAATGGTTCGCCGGCCTCCTGAGCAACAACAGCAGTTGCACATTGATGTTCATCAAGCTTCTCAGCAGCAGCAACAACAACAACAACAACAGCAGCAGCAGCAACCACAACCGCAAACACAACCGCAAACACAACAAGTCACCCAACAACAACAGCCCACTCAACAAATGTTTTCTGGACAATTCACAGACAATAGTCTAGCTATTCAACAGCAACTACAACAACAACACGCACAAATTCAACAGCAACAACAACAACAACAACAACAGCAACAACAATTGCAACAAGCCCAGATTCAACAACAATACCAACAACAACAACAATTACAACAACAAAATGCAGCAGCTGCTGCTGCAGCTGCAGTAGCAGCAGTCAATAATAAGCGGGATTCGATTGGGATTCCCTCAGATCAATTTCGGTACACAGACCTGCCTCCTCGACCACAGGAAAATATCAATGATGGCGAGGTAATTGATGCACTGGAGCGTGATTTGGAGTTTGGGCTTGATGGTCGATGATGAAAAAGTTCATGAGAAACAAAAAAATAAAATTTACAGTTTCTCTTTGAGACTTGCAAAAAAAAAAAACATACGACGTTTAATTTTTTTTTTTTTTTTTTTTTTTTTTTTGGAATCAACACTATTATCCATCGCCATCACCGTTTATAATTATAAATATCCTCATCATTAACTACCATTCATTGTCATTTTCATATTTATTCATCACCACCACTATCACTCACATATGAAGATTATGATTATGAATTTCTCTCATACATCCCCATTTACACTACATTTTATATATATATATTTTTTTTTTATTTGGCTATGATACACGAAAAAAAAAGACAAAAATTTACACACAAACATCATCTTGTACACGAAAACATAATTTATACACGTATTTATATGATAATAATCTCTTGGAAGTGCTAAATGTAAGCCTTTTTTTATTTATGTGTGTGTGTGCACACAACCTTTGCTTTGGGAAAGGTTGTATGCGTGTTTATGATTGCTACTGCCCACCAGACATTTAATAATTTTTCCTTTTTTCTTTTTTTTTTTTTTTTCCTTTGCTCTAAATGTTTCTGAAACTTGCATTTGAGATTTTAAAATATTGAAGATAACCTCTCGATTGCTTGACTTTAAGCCAAAAAGAAAGAAAGAAAGAAGGAAGAGGGGGGGAAAAAGGAAGGGAAGTGGATTAAGGTGGTCAAAAAGAAGAACCATTAACTGGTTTGATATGTAAAGTGAGCAGTCGTTACGACTGTATAGCAATAGTTACTAAGCCTCAATTTAGGATGCTTTTGCAGTTGTAAGGGAAATACGTTTAGGAGGACATTATGTCCATATAATATATATGTATATATTGGTGGCAGTAAACCCTTCTAGAAGGAGAAAACGTTAAGATTGCATAATGGGAATCAGAATATTAATTCCAGCAATTGATTATATATATATATATATATTTTTTTTTTAAAAAAAAAAGGGTTCTTGTGTTAAGGTTGTTGAAGATTTATAAAAGAAATTGGTTTATCTTCTATCATATATCAAGTGCTTATTTTTTTTTTTTTTTTTTATATTTATATTTTTAATCGCCGCGGAGTGTATTATATATAGATCTGTTACAAATGGTTGAAAATAATCAGCAACGATATATATATATATATATATACGTTATTCAATTATTAAAAGATCCCATTCTTTTTTTTTTTTTTTTAGGTGCGTTACGTGGACATAATAATTATGATTCTGGTGATGAGTTTTTGAATTTTACACGTTGTGAGTTTTTTTTTTTTTTTGGTTTCCTATAAGGTGATTATTTGCTACAAATAAATCCAAGCTATTTAGCTTGTGAAGAGAATTATTTTTATTTATTTTTATTTTTTTTTTTTTTAGAAATGGTTAACATAACCATTTTTTTTTTTTAAGTTATCAAGAAGAAATGATTGAATAAGAATAGTAGAAAAGAAATTAAGAAATAAGGGTGGGAAAAAAAAAACATTCAGGTATAGATATTTGGTTTAATGTGTATGATATATTATATATATATATATATATATATATATATCTATAGCTTAAATATCTCCCATTAAAACATTAAAAACTACTTAAGACCAAGTCTTAATTAAGGCATTAATACTCAAATTAAAAAAAAAAAAATACTATGCTAAGCGTTTATTTACAAACAATTAAATGTTCACTTTTCTTTCAAGTCTTTTATTTTTATTTTTTCTTCTTTCTTCTTTGTCTTTTTAAACCAATAGTTGAACTTACAAAAAGTCCAGCAAAGCCTACCAATGTCGAATCGTGAAAAGATTTTGCAGATGTTTTTATCATCACAAGTGTTTTATTTTTATTTTTATATTTATTTTACCGTTCATTAGGATCTGACAGAAAAGTTTCTAATATGGTGAATATAACAAAGATCATATAATTTTGAAATTTCAAGAAAAAAAAAAAAATCTAAGAACCAATCTATTCTGTGTGTAAATGAAAAAAATTTATATAAGAATTGTAAGACTTTATTATTATTTTTTTTTATCTATAATTATACATATTTATATCTCAAACTCTGTAATTTCCGCACGAGACATTTTTTCTCTCTCTCTCTCTTTTTTTAATTACAAAGTCATTTCAGATTCAAAATTTCTACCATCCATTAAAGCCATTTTTCACTTTTCTAGAAGTTTTTTTTTTTTTTTTTTTTTTCATGCCGTCAAGCTTCTTCCTCCCATAAAAAAAAAATTTTAAAATATTCAAAGACATTAGGCGTGAAAAAAAAAAATAATGCATTAAGAACGTTTAAACAATAACTTTCTTTTTTTTTTTTCTCCCCCTTTAATAACAATTACTACATCTTCTTCTTTCTTTTCCCTTTTTTCTATCTCTCCCATGTCCTTGTGTTTCAACTATTTGAACCATCGGCTCCTTGGCTGCTTTGGACTGGTAAAATTGAAAATCGTAATGACCGTGGCTGCATTTTGCTAACTGATTGTGTGTGTGTGTGTGTGTGTGTGTATGTGGGCAAAATTACTGTTTTGGGCTATCAACTATAGGAGTTGGTGGGTGGCCATTTAAAAAAGCCTTTTGGTAGGTAGTGGTGGTGGTGATGCGTTTTTTTTTATTTTTCTTGTTTTTTGAGAACATTCAAAGTCTTTCTTTCTTCTACCATCTAACCCTTTTTTTTTTTTTTTTTTTTTTTTTTTATTATTATTTATTCACAAAATTGTTTTAAATCAATAGACTTCATTCTTTTTTAAAATAATTTTCTATATATCTTTTTAATACTCCCTTATACCTTCATAATCAATCATGACGGTTGCTGGTGATAACCCATACCAGTCACTGGACGCTGCTGAGCAGCACCCATCTTCAACCTCCACAACTGTAAAACCTACAAGCAACGAGTCTGACCGCTCAACAATTTCCTCTATTCTCGAGGAAATAAATGACCATGCTGAGAAAATCTCAACTTCAAGAGCTCGTACTACCCCTTCTTCAGGTATCCACCGTGATTCCCATGACGACTTTGAAGACCTGGACTTTGAGCGCGCTGGCGGACTGCCAAATGACGATGACGAGTTTGACGACACGGCAGCAGACGACAAGGCTGGGTTTCTCGGCACCACTCCTAAAAATAATAAAAAGAAACAGGCTTCACGTAGAAGAACATTTCTAATGCTTGCCACTGGTCTTATTCTTTTCCTACTTTTAGGATTTTTCATGCTATATGCCATTCGTAATGCCCCAGCTTCTACTTCTTCTTCTTCTTCTTCTTCTACTACTACCACCACCCCAGAAACGACCTCAGATGCACCCACCACTGAAAAAACCTTATCGGGACCTGGCTTGTCTCAGCCCCAGATTGATTCCGACAAGAAGCTTTTCCTTATGAATACTTGGCGCACAGGAGCTCTCCGCGCAGATTTTGAAAGTCTTGAGTGGGTCCCACCTGCCCCAGGTTCCTCTGATGTTCTTTTGCTTGAAGAAAGCATTGACGGGTTTGCTCTTGTCAACTGGCCCGACCGCAGCTCCCGAAAAATTATCTTTACTTCAGACCAGCGCTCTTTCCTTTTTGAAAAGGATGTTTTCCTTGTTAGCAGACTTCTCCTCAGTCCGGACCAAAAGTACGCCATTCTCGTGGCAAACCAGATTAAAAACTACCGCCATTCTTCCTTTGCAAACTACTTTTTATACAACATTGAAACAAAGTTCACGGAACCTCTTTACCCGGGCCACCATTCCAGCAAAATCGCAGTCTCAAGATGGTCCCCGGCCTCTGACAAGGTCGCCTTTGTTTTGGATAACAACCTCTACATTCGCGATATCACCTCCCAAAATGTCGACCAAATTACTAAAGATGGTGGTACTGAGCTCTTCTATGGCCGCCCTGATTGGGTCTACGAAGAGGAAGTTTTTGGCGCCGACTTTGCTCTCTGGTGGTCCCCCAAGGGTGACTATCTCGCTTACCTTCGCACAAACGATAGCGCTGTTGAAGAGTTCCCCATCCCTTACTTTGTCCAAAAATCTCCAGCCTCGTCTCACCCTTACCCTAAAGTCCGCAAAATCAAGTACCCCAAGCCTGGTACTCCCAATCCTGTTGTCGATCTTTTGCTCTTGGACGTCAATTCACAGGAATCCTACCACGTTCCTGTTGAAAAAAATGATGAAGAAGATCTTGAAAAACTCATCACCGAAGTTGTTTGGACCGGTGACTCCAAGGCTGTTTTGCGTATCTCGGACCGTGATAGCTCTGTTCTCCGTGTTGGTGTCATTGATGCCGAAAAACGCACTGGCAATGTTTCCCGTCGCGTTGATGTTGGCAAAAACAGTGGCTGGTTTGAAATTTCTCAAAATACCCACTTCATCCCGGCTGACCCTGAAAAAGGACGCCCTGACGATGGTTACATTGATATGAATGTTATTGACGGCTACAACCACTTGGTCTATTACTCACCCATTGATAGTGGTGAGCCTAAGGTTATTCTCACTAGCGGTCCTTGGGAGGTTGATGATGCTCAAGTTGCATTTAACCCCAAGACTAACCGTGTTTACTTTACAGCCACCAAGAAATCCTCCATTGAACGTCATGTTTATTCCGTCAAACTTGATGGTACCGATTTGAAGGCCATTACCGATGAGTCAAAGGATGGCTGGTACGATGCAAGTTATTCTCCCAACAGCAAGTACGTCGTTTTGAATTATATGGGTCCTGAAGTCCCTTGGCAAGTTGTTCTTGACCTTGAAGCTGATGATATTTGGGGATCTGCTGTGCACCTCCAAGAAAATGATAAGCTCAAGGAAAAGCTCAAAGAATACGAGCTTCCCACCCGCATTTTTTCTAAAGTCAAAGTTGCCGAAGATAATGATGGTAATGACATTTTTGCTAATGCTGTGGAATACCGTCCTCCAGGCTTTAATGAGTCTTTGCAGTACCCAGTTCTGTTTTACGTTTATGGTGGCCCTGTATCACAGCTTGTTCAGAAAATCTTTTCTTATTCCTTCCAGCACGTTGTCTCATCTTCTCTCAATGCTGTTGTTGTAACTGTTGATGGTCGTGGAACTGGTTTCCGTGGCCGTGATTTCCGCAGCGTTGTACGTGGCCATTTGGGCCGCTATGAGGCACAAGATCAAATTACCGCGGCCAAGGAGTGGGCAGCTAAGCCTTATGTTGATTCAGAGCGACTCGCAATTTGGGGCTGGTCCTACGGTGGGTTTATGACTCTCAAGACGTTGGAAACTGATGGCGGTGAAACATTTTCTTATGGAATGGCAGTTGCGCCTGTTACTGACTGGCGCTTCTACGATTCCATTTATACTGAACGCTACATGCGTCTTCCTGGCCCCAATAAGGCTGGGTATGATGAAAGTGCCATCACTAATGTGAAAAACATTGCAAAAAATACGCGCTTCTTGGTGATGCACGGGAGCGGTGACGATAACGTGCACTTCCAGCACACATTGACATTACTTGACAAGTTTGATCTTGCTGGAGTTGAACGTTATGACATGCACGTGTTCCCAGACTCTGATCATAGCATTTTTTACCACGGTGCAAACACCATTGTCTATGACAAGTTGCTGCATTGGATCGGAGACGCTTTTTCAGGCAAATTCTTGACTCTGTTAAAAAAGCGTAGTGAGATTTGATTTTTTTTTTCTCTGTAGTTTTAACGATAAAGATATAATAATAATAATAATAATAAATATTGACTTTTGATAAAAAAATAAATAGATAAGTCTAGAATGTTTTTTTATTATTATTATTATTTTATTTCATTGTTTAATTGATAACATGGCCACATTTTTTGCATTTGCGTGCTTCTTCATTTGAACGAAACTCCTCAATGGCTTCCTTGACCTGAGTGCCGAGATCGTGCATGTGAAACTCTTTACGGTAAACAAGCTCTTTACATTCAGGACAGTACCATTGGATGGCGTCATGAAGATCTGTGGGTCTGTCTTGTTCGACCACAAGGCCGATTGTGTTTTCATACCGGACCGGATTGTGGGGGGTATTAGCTATACGATCAAAAAAAAAAAAAGAGTCAGACAACAAGTTAAAAAAAAAAAAAAGAAAGAAAGGATGAGGGTATTAAAGACAACAATACATACGAGGAAGCAGGAAAATCTCGCCTTCGCCAATTTCAATGTCACGAAACTTGCCTTCATCGACAACTTTGAGAGTCATATGGCCTTGTAGTTGGTGGAACCATTCAGGAGTTTGGTTAACGTGGTAATCTGTTCTTTCATTTGGGCCACCCACAATCTTTACATAGGTTGACGAAGAGTTAGTTTAAAGGTAAGTTTTTAATCAACAACAGCTTGAAAGAACAATGAATGGTATATATATTTTTTTTAAACATACCATGACGGTAAACCCTCCGCGGTGGATGCAAAAGTTGTTTACAGGAGGTTTGAGCAGGTGCTTGTTTTCAGCAATCCACTTGGGTAAGTTGATAGGATCAGGTAGCATATTATTTGTGTGTATTTATTTATTTATTTATTTAGACTGTTGTCTAAGAGAAGTGGGGTATTATAGTAAAAAAAAAAAAAAAGAATGGAGTGTAGAATTAGTAAATAAAAAAAGAATTTTTTTTTTAAAAATTAAAAAAACAAAAGAAAGAAGATCTTAGAAAAAAAAGAAGAGAATAGAGGGAAATAAATAAATAAATAAAAATGTTGGATGATTTTTCAGGATTTTTATGATTTCAAATGAAAAGCTGTAAGACCAAAAAAAAAAAAAAAAAAGCCTTAAATAGGGCAAGCAGGCAAGAAAGAACAAAAAAAAAAAAAAAAAAAAGCCCGCGCAAAAGATAGCCAGCCGCATACAAATTATCTAAGTCATTACAAATATTTAACTAGTGTTATATTAACATATTACATTTTTACTTTAACTTAGTTATAAAAATAACTTAAAAAATTGTCACACAAAATTTTGTTTTTTTTTTTGTTTTTGGCGCGTGTCTCTTTGTTTTTTACTCTCTCTTTTTTTTTCGCCACCACCTAAAAAAGAAACCCTCCATATAAAAAAAAAAAAAACATTTATATATACTACCACCAAAAAAAAAAAAAAAAAATAAAAAATCATCATCATCATCATTATTATTACTACTACCAACACTACCACCACCACTACAAAACAATTCCATCAAAATCATCCATTCTTAATATATATCCATTTAACTCTCTCAATTGGATACATTCTATATTATAATTGTATAGGTCTTTATTTTCACTAATCAAAGTCTACAAATATAACTTTCCTTCTTAATTCTCTACATCTTCCCACCCCACTCATAATATAATCGCCACCCAAACTCTGCAATGGCTGGTCCCGCAAAGTCACCCGCAGAACAGCCCTCAAAACCCGCTGCTTCTGCTCCACCCTCTTCTTCTTCCGATGCTGAGCCTTTGAAAGACCAAAAACCTCTTTCTAAGAAGCAACAGCAACAACAAGAAGAAGAGCTGTCAGAAGAAGATGAGAAGCTGAAAAATGAACTTGAAATGCTTGTTGAACGCCTCAAGGAACCTGATACCTCCCTCTATGCTCCATCCCTCGAGGCCCTCAAAAACTTCATCCGCACTTCAACTTCCTCAATGACAGCCGTCCCTAAGCCCCTCAAGTTCCTTAGACCCCACTACCCGGACCTTGTCAAGCTTTACGACACTTGGCCTGCATCCCTCAAGCCTCTGCTTGCAGATGTTCTATCCGTCCTTGGTATGACCTACTCCGGCGATGGCAACCGTGATTCCTTAAAGTACCGTCTTCTGGCATCTCCAGATCTTAGCACAAAACCATCCACTACAACATCAGCATCCTCCACGTCGATATCAGACGAAGATGACATTTCCAGCTGGGGCCATGAATACATGCGCCACTTAGCCCTCGAAATTGGCGAAGAATATTCTCTCCGCACAGATAACGACGAACCTACAGACGACCTGCTCGCTCTTTCGCTTAAAATTGTCCCTTATTTTTTGAAGCATAATGCCGAAGCTGATGCTGTTGACTTGCTCATGGAGATTGAGAAAATTGAATACCTCCCCCAGTTTGTCGACGCAACTACTTTTGCTCGCGTGTGTCTTTACATGGTCTCATGCGTCCCCTTGCTCCCACCCCCAGATGACTTGGCTTTCCTTAACACCGCCTACAATATCTACTTTACTCATGGCCAATTGACCCAAGCTCTTGCCCTTGCCATCCGCATCGACAATGAAGAGTTGATTCGTGCTGTTTTCGACGCCACCTCCGACACACTTGTCCAAAAGCAGCTCGCCTTTATTCTTGCAAGACAACAGTACTGGCTTGATGTTGAAGATGAGGATGTCCAAGAGTGCCTCTCAAATAACCTTCTTACCAAGAACTTTTTGTATCTTGCCAAGGAGCTTAACCTCATGGACCCCAAGGACCCTAAAGATATTTACAAATCCTACCTTGATGCAAGTGCATACCCTTCCTCTCACACCCTTGCCTCGGCAAAGCAAAATCTTGCTTCGTCCTTTGTCAATGCTTTCCTCAACTGTGGCTACAACAAGGATAAGCTTTTGACAGTTGAGTCTGAGCGTGACTCGTGGATCTACCAGACCAAGGACAGCGGTCTTACTTCCACAACTGCCAGTTTGGGTATGATTTACCAGTGGAATCCAACAGAAGGTCTGCAGTACCTTGACAGATACTTGCAATCCACTGACAAGAATATCAAGGCAGGTGCCATTTTGGGTATTGGTGTGGTCAACGCTGGCATCCACGACGATATCGATCCTGCTCTTGGTCTTTTGGACGAATACCTTGACGAAACTGAGGACTCCACCAGTGGCGAGAACTCCAACCAAGCATCTGCTATCCTTGGTCTTGGTCTTGCTTACGCTGGCTCTCGTCGCCAGGATCTTCTTGAGCGTCTTTGCCCTATCATTTCTGACTTGTCTCAGTCAATGCACGTTTCCTCTCTCGCAGCCCTTGCCCTGGGCCACATTTTCGTTGGCTCTGCCAATGGTGATATTGCCTCTACCATTTTGCAAACTCTGCTTGAACGCTCTCCTGAGCAGCTTTCCGAAAAGTGGACCCGATTTATGGCCCTTGGTCTCGGTCTGCTTTACCTCGGCAAGTATGAGCGCACAGAAGAGGTTTTGGAAACCATCAAGGCCATTGAGCACCCTATATCATCTGTAGTTGATGTGCTTGTTACCATTTGCAGTTATGCAGGCACTGGTAACGTTCTTCAGATTCAAAAGCTTTTGCACAATTGCACAGAAAAAGTTGAAACTGAAGAGGAAGAGGAAGAAGATATCTCACTCTCTGGTGTTTCTGCTGCTGTCGCTGCCGCTGCTGCTGCTGCCGCCGAGGATGGTGCTGATGATGATGAAGATGCTGCTGTTGCTGCTGCTGCCGCTGCTGCCGCTGCTGACACCACTAACGCCACCGAGGAGAAGGACACAGAAAAAACCTTATTTGACAGTCAAGTTCAAGGGTTCTCTGTTCTCGGTCTGGCCACCATTGCCATGGGCGAAGAAATTGGCCAGGAAATGGTTCTTAGACACTTTAGTCACCTCATGCACTATGGTGAAGCCCACATTCGACGATCAGTTCCTCTTGCTATGGGTCTTGTGTCTGCTTCCAACCCTGAGATGAAGGTCTTTGACACTCTTTCCAGATATTCCCACGACTCTGATCTCGAGGTGGCCATCAATGCCATTTACTCGATGGGTGTTGTTGGTGCCGGAACCAACAATGCTCGTCTTGCACAACTGCTGCGCCAGCTGGCGTCATACTATGCTCGTGAACCTAACTCTCTCTTCACGGTCCGCATTGCTCAGGGTCTGCTGCACATGGGTAAGGGCACCCTGACACTGAGTCCCTTCAACACAGAGCGCCAGATTTTGTCACGCGTATCACTTGCTGGCTTACTGACTGTTGCCGTTGCATGGATGGACCCACGCGAGTTCATTCTTGGTACATCACACTCTCTCCTCTACTTTTTGACCTCGGCCATTCGCCCCCGTATGCTTGTCACTGTTGACGAGAACCTCGAGCCTATCAAGGTCAATGTGCGCGTTGGTCAGGCCGTCAATGTGGTTGGTCAGGCAGGTAAGCCAAAGACCATCACTGGCTGGGTTACACACTCGACGCCTGTGCTCCTTGGCTACGGCGAGCGTGCGGAGCTTGAAGATGATGAGTACACGAGTTTAAGTCATGTGCTGGAGGGTATTGTTATTCTTAAAAAGAATGAGGATAGAATGGATGTTGATAAATAAATTAGTTTGTAAAATTCTAACCCAAATAATGATAATAAAAAAAAAAAAGAATTAAAAAGTTGATATTAACATGTATACTGACTGGCCTAAAATGGACATTAAATTGAGTTTAACCATGCAAATAATAGAATAAAAATATAACTTCCAATTTTTTTTTTACAACAAATCTATCTAATGTAACCCAAATGTATGAAACAAACCAAAAATGGTTTTTTTTTTTTTTTTTTTTTTTTTTTTAAAAAAAAATAATAATTTTCTTTTATAGTTGACCAGTAAGAATGGCCTCTGTAACGTAATTGATGTAGTCGCGCTTTGCCGACAACTTGACCCCGAAATGGCGCTCCAAGTGGTGTCTTATGCTCTTCTTTGTCACCGTCATAAGATCCGCAGTCGACAGAATCTCGCGAATCTCGTTTGTGATAGCCTCGTCCGAGGGCATATTGCTGCCACCACTTCCTGTGGTCGGCACGTTGCGGAGAACTCCCATCTCCACATCTCCAGCCTCGGTGGTGCGCACACCGGTAAAGCCCTTGTGCATCGAGGGTTCCCCATATGTAGAGCCCATCTCGGATGCAAGCCCAGGCATGCTGCTCATGGGCATCGAGTAGACAGACTTTGCAAGCACGTCTACGTTGGATTGTGCGTACGATGGTGCCACAGACTCGGCGTCCATGCGGTCGTACATGTCGTGGTAATTATTCCAAGCATCAGCCTGGTAATCTTGCCAGCGTTGCATGGGGATTTCCGAGGGATCAAAGTGGCCCTCACTACTCATAATGAGCTTCTTACCCTTTTCACCCATAACAACACGAGTACTACCCCACGAGAAATCATCCATGTACCAGAATGAGTAAATGGGGACAAAAAGTGAGAAAATGGGGATACCCAGAATGTAGAAAAACATCCAACCAACCATCTCCCATTTGCGACGCAGCAAAAAGATGAGAGCTTGCAGACCATAAACGGCACACAGCAAAATAATAGAAGTCAAGGGAATATTATCTGGCGTCTTACCAATCAAATAGAAAAGATAGGCAAGGTAACCGACGGTAACAGGCTGAACAATGGTACTGATCAAATCAAGGAAAACAATGAAACGCATAGAGAAACAGCAGAAACCACAAAGTTGCGACAAAGGAATCAGTTCCACCAAGTTATGGACAGTCGAGTTAATCCAACGACGTCTTTGAGACAAGAAAACGCTCCAAGTGTCGGGTGCCACAGTCCAGGCGTGTGCAACACGAAGAAACTTTGTTTTCAAATGTGAATTATGCTTAAGCAGTAAAGTAGTAAGGTAACGATCTTCACCGAGATGCAGCAGGTTTTTCATATGCAGTGTGTCAACGCGATTCTCGGCATAGTCGCGAACAATAGGGTGAGCAACAAAAACAGGTTTACCTGTTCCAGCTTGGTAAATGCGATACATTGAGAAACAACCAGGCAAACAGGTGACTGATCCAAACAAACTTTCAAAGGCCTTAGCAAGGTTATGCGAAATGTAATATTCATAGACCTGCATCATTGTAATGATTGACTTTTTAGAGTTGGAAAGTGCCGTTTCACCACAAATAGCTTGAATTTTACCATTGTGATGTAGAGCTGATGCAAGTTGCGCTGTTGATTCGTCACTGACTTCTGTATCGGCATCGACTTGCATCAAAAACTCGTAATACGCAGGGTTCACACCAATGACATTTTGAATCTGATGATAAAGTTCAAGTTCAAGAGGACTCATAGGCAAATTGTGATGAACACGGTTTAAGAAACGCATCAAAATCATTTGTGAGTCACGCTTACCACGGTTTCCAGGTCGATTAATCTCAGTTGGCTTACCAACTTTAACAAGAACAATGTATGGCACAATATGGCCCTGGACTTCGTACAACCCAGAGTAAATCTTTCCCATATTATGCTGCTTAGCACCCTCTCCCAAACTCTCAAAACTAAGCGCAGGTGGATCGAGATCATTGTTGTGACCAACAATGTCCAAAACGATGCGAGGGGTGGGACGATCGTTACCAGCACCAATAATCATACCATCACAAATAACAAACAAAAGCTTGCGCTTATCGTCATATTTGGTACGTGCCAATGAATCAATGGCACGGCGTAGCGATTCTTCATCTTCGGTATATGCCGGAACCTGGCAAATCAAAAAGTTTTCGATAGAATCTGGGACGCTCTTCTTGGAAAACTGCAAAGCAGCAATAAACTTGATGGCAATTACTGCTACCATGAAACATGAAATAGCGAGCAAAAAGTAACGAGCAAACATACATTTGACGGAACCTCTTGTATCGACTTTACCAATCAAAAAGATATTGTTCAAACATTCCATCATATTATTGCGTAATTCAAGATCAATATCCAAATTTTCCCATCGTTTTGTAATATCATTTCCATTGTTGGACTGAATTAAAGAAATGATCTCTGGTGCCATAAATTGAGTGTCAATTTGAGATTTGTCAACTTCTTCTCCAGCTGGCGCACGCACATTAAGATCACCCGCAACATATTGAGTAATATCATAAAGGTAACCATGAATAGAAGCCATAGTGCGACTCTCCTTAGTTAAAAGCTTCTTAATGTCCTTATGAGTATATCCCATATATGCCTTTTTGTAGTTGGAACGCAAGTACTTCATTTTTTCATAATACCAATCAGGACGAGAATCATTTTTAAAATAACGGAAATCATGATATTGACCATTGGTATCGGAATAGTTATAACCAGTACCCAAAACAATTGTAGGATCCACTGATCCATTGACACCATTACAAAGAGCAGAAATTTGAACAGGAAAAAGATCAGTCATGTCCTTGCCACCATAATCCAGAACGTCATCGGTTGGGACAATAGATGGGTAATGACTAGGAGCAAATTTAGTCAAATCCAAAACAACACCACGGACATAGCCATAAGTATGTTTGGGATCATTATCATATGTAAAGGATGTCATTTCTTGCGTTGAGTATACATGCTGAGTAGGACAAATCAAAATTGGGAAGCCGACAAGGAAAAGAATAACACCAGCACAACTTAGCCAGATTAATATGTTAATTGCAAGTTTTTCTCTCCAAGCAATACGAACATCTTTACGCGGCATTCTGCCAATAATCCTAATGAAGAAGTCAGGAATCCACCACGTCAACGTCCAGACAATAGCCATCCAAAATCGACGGGCCTTTGAAACAGGAACTTCATCAATTTGATCCTCATCTGCATTCTCCTTCGCATGGATAAGAGCATCTTTGGACATAGACTTAGTATCTGTAAATCTGAACATATCTCCACCAGGTCCACCAGCAGCATTGATAGATTTCGAGTCTGGATCATAATAGTAACCATCACCATCAGTGTAATTAGGATATGCACGGTTACCAGCTTCAAGGTAAATTTGATTGGCATTTTCAGCAAAAGACATCTTGGGGTCAACAAGTTGTAACCAAGCATTTTCAGACAAAAAGACACCTGAAAGACCGTACCTTGCATCACGTTCAGGCCATCCTCGAGATTGGATAAGTCGAATGGCCACATCATGTTCACTAATTGGAATACCAGATTCATCAGTAGTAGGCACAGTACCATCAGCGCTTGAATATCGAATAAATTCATTGAATGGTAAAAATACACTAAAATCAGTGGTTTTCACTCGTCTAGCAATTTCAGGGATACCAAATGCTTGGATCTGTTGTCTAACACAACGTGCATCAAACTGGTTTTTAAGACGACGATCGTTGGGCTTTAAACACACAACAAAGTATGGGTTGGCATCCTCAAAAGAATCAATCAAGCTGTCAATTGCATTGACAAATTGACCACTTGCATTTGCTTTTGAACTAAGTTTCTTCTTTTTCTTTCCTGCGCCATTGGCACCTGAGCCATTAATGCTTCGCTGTGAATTGCCTCGCTTTACCACTGAGGGTGCACGAAGAGGCTTAGAAGAGAGATGAGCTGCAACTACCTCGCTACCAAATTTAGAGTCGACAACAGCACTCGAACTGAAAACAGTTTGGAGGAAATCTGATGATGAGGAAGATGTGAAAAGATTAATAATATCACCGGAAATAATTTCAGAGTTGGCACTAAGAAGACCGTCTACCATATACTCAACTTCTCCAGCAAAATGACGAACAGTGAAAGATCTGCGAGAAGAAATGGCATCAAGAGAGGGGTTCTTGTCGTATCTCTTTCTGAAAGTGTCCATGAGTTCATTATCACTCTTCTCACGACGGGAATAATCATCAATGACTGAAAGGGCACCTAAAGAGTGGCGGAAAAGAGTGCGAACAGTATCAGAGTTGTCAAAGTACTCGCTTTGGGGAACAACAACTTCTTCACTTGTGAACTTTTCAACTGGTGTTTCAAAGTAACACTTGAGCATATAGTTATAAAGAATTTCATTGGCAGAGTTGTGAAGAAGCTTGTCAATAGTAGGAACACCAGATGAAGTCGAAAAGCCTGGGAAATCGACAATAGCAATGGTATTGTCGACAATGGGGGTAATACCTGCAAGGGCAGAGTTGCGGTCCTGAGAAAGGGAGGAGTTGATTTGTTCCATAATCCAAACAAATAAAAGTGTATAAAGAGCTCTTGCCAATTCATCAGCATTTTCTCGTGCACCCTTTTGGTCCAAAACCAAAGTAACTCTGTCATTTTTAATGTAAACTGTTTTATAGCTCAAAGCGTTTTCAAGAAGATTCGATCTGACACCCAAAAAACTGGCAATATATTCAAGGGTTTCGACATTATCAACCACAGTAGAGGGACCACGAGTGCCATCAGAACCAGTGGAACGGAAGGAAAGTTGACCGATATGAATAATAGCTGCAAGAACTTGACAAATATTGGCAATGTCTGTGCGGGAAAACTCAAGAGCTCTAAATGCAGACTTAAGTTTAGTGAATCGAGCATGATCATCAATACCTACCTTCATCTGGGTATGATGGCCAAGGTATTTGTAACGTGCTGAATGAATGTCATCCAAAGCCAGATGTTCTCTTTCAGAGTCAGACATGCCGGCAAGCAGGTAGTAAAAAACATGAAAGTTACGTTCACCAGTTGGAACGTTAGTGATACGAGCACGTTCAAGTCTATAGTCCAAAATATTTGCGCCAATGAGAGTGGCATCTTTTCCATATTGAAGTTCTAAGACATGACCTGCTCTCGATGCAGATATGCTCGTCATTGTTTTAGTGGTTGTGAATGCTGAAAAAATAAAGTCGGCATTTTTGATTTTAGCAGAAAGAGGGTTGTTTGCAAGAGCTGGACATAGCACCGGTTAGAATATTAAAATCGACAAAAAATATAATCAACTTACTTAGCAGGTGGCCAGAAAGACAATCTCGAAAGTCAGTTTTGCCAGAGCCAGATTCACCAAGAAATATTATGACTTGATTTTCACCGCGTTTGCATAAGCGGTTATATGCTCTAGCAGCAAGGTCTTTGAAGTTCTGTTCTTGATTGATGTCAAAAGGTGTAAATGTATTTACTGCCACAAGTGCACCTGTTGAAATGACAACATAAGGCATGCCCTGGTGGAAACGGGATGCAATATGAGAAGTGAGTGTGTGATCATTGATCGTAGCCAAAGGCAGCAACGAGATGTCATTAGTCAATGACATTGCAAAGGGTGGGGGATTGCAGACAGATAAAGTTGATTGAGATGCTAAGAGTTCAAAGATACGTAAGCTCTTTAGAAAAAAACTAACAGTTAGTGATGAAATCAGGGTACATAAGAATTTGATAATCATACCGATATATTTTAAAAAAAACTATTTGAAATAAGCGTAACGCTCATTTGGTTTTGAACTTTTCTTTAATTTTTATAAACCCAAAGTCTTGTTAGCTTGGGGAAATGAAAAAACTTATTGGAGAGAAAGTGTAAAAGGTATAATAAAAAATTTAACAGGTCACACAAAAAAGTGACCACTTGGTTTTTTTTTTTTAGGGGTACTTCTAAACTACCGGATGTTAAAGAGCAGCCCAGGAATAAAAGAAAGGGTTCCAAAAATTACAATAAAAGGATTATAAGATCTTGTCTGAAAGGTTTAAAAGAATTTAAAAAATCGCAATATTTATCAAAATCAAGGAGAAGGCAAGGAGTAAAAAAATTTGAATCTTAGAGTACAAAATATAAACCAGAAGGCTTGTTAAAGGCTGTTTGTTCCTCAGCTAGGCGTTGAAAAAAGGGTTTCTCATGTCTATTAATAGAACCCCTGGAAGAAAAAAATAAAAAAAAATGACCCAAAAGTAAACAATTGCACATGGATCCATGTGTGTAACAAACAAATTGCTATATATCGCAATATATATATATAGTAATTGAAATTGTAATAGGTACTGATGACAAATGATTACATACGTTAATTGTGATTTTGTACTTTGACTCTTTACGATTTTAATTTACTGCTACACTCCGACTATTGTTTGCTAAAGTAACCAGATTTTATATATTTACATATCAAAGCATTGCCATGAATCGTTTGTTCGGTACAAAAAACACTGCTCCAAAAGCCACATTGAATGATGCCATTTCAGGTGTATGTTGTTGTTAAAGTCTTAGTTCTTCTTTTGAAATTTTTAAAATCCTCTAACTTTCGTATCAATAGATTGATAACCGAGTGGCGTCTTTTGACGTTAAACTAGCAAAAATCAACGCAGAACTATCAACTTATCAACAAAAAATTGGTCGCATGAGAGATGGGCCTGGAAAAAATGCTTTACGACAAAAAGCCTTAAAATTATTAAAACAAAGAAAACAAATCGAAGCTCAAAAAGATGCTCTGGAGACCCAATCATGGAATATGGAGCAGGCATCTATCCAGACAGATAATTTGCGAAATGCTCTTGTTACTGTCGATGCAATGAAATCAGCAAATAAGGAACTTAAGAAGCAATACGGGAAAGTTAACATAGACAAGATTGAATCTCTGCAGGATGAAATGGCGGATCTGATGGATATGTCTCAAGAACTCCAGGATACCATGTCCCGAAACTATGCTGTTCCTGATGATATTTCGGAATCAGAACTAGATGCCGAGCTTGAAGCTCTTGGAGAAGAAATGGAGTTTGAAGCATCACAAAGTGAAGCTACCGGTTTACCATCTTATCTATTGGATTCTTCTGATTTACCTAACTTTGTCGACATGCCTGTGGATACACCTGCAGAAGCGGAAAAGAAAGAAGCAGAACCTGCTCAAAAGGAAACCGCTTCATAATTTTTTATTTTTATTTTTCATATTTTTTTTTAAATAGTTTAAACTGGGAAATCATTCAAATTTGCAGCCGGTTATCTGGGATTATTAGATAAAGTACAAAACCAATTATGTGCTTGACCTATAAAAGTTATTGCAAATATGGACTTTAAATGAATCAGAGTCCTTATCAATTGCATTCAACATTATCAAAAGTGTAGATAAATAATAATAACTAGAAGTAATAAAATAATAATTAAAGTCCAACAATGTATCAGCCGGGATACAATCCCAAGTAGTTAAGACTTAAATTAAACTTCAATCTTTCCAACAGCCTCATCATCGTCAGAAAACGATCCAACAGATGACATTTCGTCGTCAGAACTAGACTCGTCATCATTTGCATCAAGAGCTGCCTTAGATGCATACCGAGTGACGTATTCTAAAAAAAAAAAAAAAAATAAGGTCAAAATTCTAAATTGTTGGCAAAAAAAAAAAGTTATCTTACCCTGCACTTTTTGTTCATATCTCTTAGGCTCTCTCATTAATAACGCGGATGCATCTCCATTTAAAGGATCCGAAGGATTAGGGTATCTCAAAAGCTGTGGAAGAAACACTTCAAAGATATTCAACAGGTCTAAATGGTTAGCCTCTTATTAAAAAAAATTGTGTTCTTGCACATACCAAACATAGGACTCCAAGTCTGGTTTATCACATCCAAGCATACAGATCCACTGAGTTCGTCTATGTTAGGGTGGAAAACTTTGTTAACAAAGCCTATCGAAGGCGACTTGTATGGATACTGATCAGGGAGTTCAACGTGAACCTTCCAAATACCGTCTGCGTAAGGGGCTACATAAAAATAAGTTAGTGTGATTATCGAAGATCTATAGATCATTCGTTGGATTGCTATCATTATAACACATAAAAGCTCAGTCACATACTTTCTGCAGGGCCATTGAATTTGACATAAAATTCTTGCCTGAAAAAAAAAAGTGTGAATATTAATGAAAAGAAAGAAAAATAGCACATGATGGTTTCAGCAGGTAACAAGCGTGGCTTTCACTTCGCGGGGTAATTGGGATGACCTGCTAAGCTGGATGTTTGATAGGAGACGGAATGAAAAGAGATGAACTACCAAACAATATCAAGTCCCCTCGTGCAGTTTTTTTTTTTTTTTTTTTGGTCCTTTAAAGGATTTACATGGCTTTACAATAGACGGAAGTTTGAAATAACTGAAAGAATAAAAAAAAAAAAGGATAAACACATACATGTTATCGTTAACTAGAGTAACTTCGTAATCACTCATAAGACTATAAGGCAAGGGAAAGACATATTAGAAATGAATCAAATGGAACCCGTTAGGGTCGACAGTACTTACAGTTTCATAACATCAGTTTCAATGCGACGTTTGGGAGAACTGGTGATCTCAAATTTTGTTTAAGAGGTTAAAACAAGTTTCTTTTGAATCAAAAACAGAAGTTAATAGGTCTAAAAAGAGTGCCAGACCCAAATAAGAAAATAAGCAAAATACAAGAATAACCATACCTCATTGTTAATAGAATAAAAAATGCTAGTAAAAAAATCTATTGAAAATAAAAGGAATGATAAAGAAGATATGAAAGAAAGTCAATGAATGGTATGTTTAATGGATTTTATATGACAGTAAACTTTAAGTAAAAACCTGTTAAGGATTAAAACGTAAGATCAAAAGTAGGAAAGTAGAGGATCAAAAAAGAAGGCAAAAAAGAAGGCGAAAGAGTAGCAAAAAAAAAGCGACAAAAGATTTAAGAAAGAACAAAAGTTATAGAATAGTTTTGAAATACAAAGAAAAAAGAAAAAAGAGGAAGAAAGAAAGACTGTAGGTTTGTAAGTTATCAGCTATGATAAAAAAAAAAAAAAAAAAAAAAAAGAGCCTTCAGGCTGATTACCGAATTTTGCTCATCAAAGCCGATACGGTTCTTCGTGTATCGTGACCTGAACCAATGAGTCGTGTTATTACGTAATAAATTATAAGTTATTATAAATGTTTAGTTCAGAATTGTCACTGGGTCTTTCGCCTCATTCAAGATTCGGTCATAAAAATGGCAGACCGGTAGTAATTACCAAAAAGTTTATGCAGATCCAAATATTTAAGTGAGTAATTAAAAAGCAGGAAACAAATATATAATAGAAATAAATTTTAAAGATATTTAGGACGGTTGGATAATGGTAGAAATTTTATAGTCGATACAGTTTACAAGCTGAATTCACGAGTTAAGAGCAGTTTCAGAGCCAGGCCATCAGCAGATAAGTAAAAAGGATTGGTTTTTTTATTTAAAAAAATTCTTGTGATTATTGATGCTATGAAGGCTTGCCTAATTGCTCATGGAAGGACCTTGGTAAAGAACTTCAAACTCTGGTTCTTGTGCATTTCCTAAAAAAAAGAAGGCATTTAATCAGTGTATGATCTTCTTCCTTTAAAAGAAAAAAAAAATAGGTTGAAATTAATAACAGTGAAAAAAAAATCCGGAATGGGTGATTCAATTCGTGACTAAATATACATGGAAGGGTTTGGTTTTATGATGTTATTTTTTTTTGATTGATGAAAATTAAAGATTTGAAAGAAAAGGAATGGAGGAGGGGTGTTTATTTCGCTTTAGCAGCAGCTTGCTTACGCTTCTCTTTCTCAGCATTCTTGATCAAAACCTTGCCGATGAAGGTTCCGACACCAGCAACTGCTGTCAGTAACAGAACAACAGGAATTCTAATGGCCCATTCTCTAGGCAAAAACAACGACTGAATGGGACTTGACTCATCGACAAAAGGCTGAAGGAATTGAAAATGTACCAGTTAGACTTGTCAATCAATACACCGTCATTTCAACTTACCAAAACAAATGTCCATATGGTGTAGTAAATGAACACAGCAGTCGCAACAAAAATCATAGCAGCACCAATTAATTTATCAAAAGACTAAGCATGGCATTAGTATATTTTGGTTTGAACTCAAGTAATCCTGCCACTAATTAATTTGGCAAAGAATTTTGGTATATAAATATCCATGCTTTAAATAGCCAAATACACACCATTGTTGAAAAAGAACTCAAGTAGACAATAATCTTTAAATTTTGTATTCAGATTTTTAAGGAGTCGACAACGCAGTTTAGTTGATGGCTATGAAGGAGTGGGTATTATGCTATCGTCGTAGGAACGTGGGGTGCAAAAGAAAGAGAGGTGGAAAAAAGAGGATTTCGTGTTCAAAAAAAAAAAAAAACAAAAAAACAAAACTTTTCAAAAAAAATTAAGTCCAATGTCACAAGCTTTATATCACGTGCTTAATTTATGCCTAATAAATTGTTATCATTAACAAATTATTTTCAAAAACCTTGGAATCAAAGATGAATTTAACACATATAATATTATTTAAATTAAAGCTTATAGTATCTAAGTAGATTTCATGTTTATCTTATATGGAAAAAGAATCATTTTCAGGAGTGTTACTACAGTCGTTATACTTGCATCCTTCATTTTTCTGTCAAATAGCGACGTACGGCTGAATTTAAGTAAGCCTCATATCCTTAAAAAAAATTTTCCTGTACATGTCAACTTAATCACCAATACTCTAACATCAGATTAAAATGGCTGGCCCTTCAGTGAAATTAAGACCCTGTGAACTTTGCAATACCCGGAGACCAGTTTTGAAGCGTCCCAAAACAGGACAGAAGCTTTGCAAGCCGTGTTTCTATCATGTTTTTGAAACAGAAATTCATAATACTATTCAAGAGTCGAATCTTTTTTATCCTGGAGAAGTAGTCGCTATCGGCGCTTCCGGAGGCAAAGATTCAACTGTACTTGCCCACGTCATGAAGACCCTAAATGAAAGACACAAATATGGCGTCAAATTTGTATTACTTTCTATCGATGAAGGTATCCACGGATACCGAGACGATTCGCTTGAGACAGTAAAAAGAAATAAAATTCAATATGATATGGACCTGGAGATTGTAAGTTACAGCAGTTTGTATGGCTGGACCATGGATGAGATTGTTGCACAAATCGGAAACAAGAACAACTGTACTTATTGCGGAGTCTTCAGGCGTCAAGCTTTGGATCGAGGTGCGGTTAATCTTGGAATCAAGCATATCGTCACTGGCCACAACGCTGATGATATGGCTGAAACTATTCTTATGAATATGCTAAGAGGTGACACTGCACGCCTCGATCGGTGTACAGAGATTGTGACAGATTCTACCGATTCTCCAGTAAAGCGAAGCAAACCTTTGAAATATACTTACGAAAAAGAGATTGTCTTATACGCGCATTACAAACAACTTGACTATTTTTCTACAGAATGCACATATTCACCCGAAGCATTTAGGGGTACAGCTCGTACACTAATTAAAAACTTGGAAGCAATAAGACCTAGTGCCATCATCGATATTATATATTGTGGCGAATCTTTTGTGTTACAGTCAAAGGTAAACAAGCTTCAAAAGCAATATGATGCTGAATTAAAGGCGCAGAAAGAGGAACAAGCCGCACAACAGGCTACTGCACAAAAATTGGAACATGCAACAAGCTCGGACAAGTTTGATAAGTCTTCTAAAAAGGAAGGTCGATGTGAACGATGTGGGTATCTTTCTAACAATACAATTTGCAAGGCATGCGTTCTTCTCGAAGGTCTCAATGCTGGCCGGGCCCAGTTGCAAATTCAAATTGAAGGTAGTGATAGCACTGGTGCAGAAGGAAGTGCCTTGATCCGAAAGCAACTTGAATCAATTAAGATATAACAGAGATGACCTTTCACTGTATTATTCTAGACATCTTCAATGATTTATATTACACCTTTTTATTTTACGCTTTTTGCCCCCCATACGTTTGAATATTCTATTTCTTTGAACCGTGTTGTTGATCTTTTCTTTGTAGATTTACTTTGTTACAAGTATGTGACAAATCTTAATATTGTAAAAATAAAGAGGTTAGGGTATCCCACCAGCCTCAGTTTCACGCAGTATTGAATATTTCAGCATGGATCATAGTGGTGGAAGGGAAAATTTTTTTCAAGGAGCCAAAAGAGAAAACTTTTTGAACTTACCCACCACGCACGTCTTAAAAATAGTCGCCAACTGTACTAAGAGGCAGTTTTGCTCCAAGAACACCCCTAAGACACCGAAGGTATGTTCGATTTGAAATCTCCAGCAGCTCGTTTTTTTCGATTATTAGGTTATTTTTTTGGCAAAGTTAAGAAACAGTAAAAAAAGTTAGATTATGACTATGAATTATGGAATTACCAGGCAAATTTAAAAAAATTTCACCACACTCAAACACTTGAGGAAACAGTAAACAGTGGGTATCCACAGAAATACCCCCCAATGGAATTGCAATTTTTTTCAGTTTTTTTTTTTTGCTCCAATTTATAGCCTATATTTCTAGAGACAAACAGCATTTTTTTTCTCGCGTAACGACTAACTGTATTTTAGTTCTCCTTGCAACAATAGTCCACGATGTCGAGATTTTTCCAGCAACTATCATCCAGTGAATCTGACTCTTCTGAAGAGGAAAAGTACGAATCCTCTTCTGAAGAAGAATCTTCTGAAGAAGAATCCTCCGAAGAAGAATCTGAAGAAGAATCTGACGAAGATGAAAGCGATTCCGAGAGCGACAGTGACTCGGAAAAGGGTGGCAACAAGGCTAGCTCCTTCCTTAAGTCTAAGTCTAAATTTTTAAAGGGCGCCGAGAGTGACTCCGAATCCGAGTCTGAAGACGAGTCCAAGCGTGTGGTCAAATCAGCCAAGGACAAGCTTTTGGACGAAATTGACACCATTATCAAGGCCATCGACAATGCTAAAAAGATCAATGACTGGAATGCCATCAGTACCGACTTTGACAAGCTGATTAAGAGTGTTGAAAAGGTCACTAAGCAGTTCGGCATTACTCCTAAGCAATACGTCAAGGCTGTTGCCGACCTTGAAGACTTCGCCATTGAGACTACCAAGACTCAAAAGGCTTCCAAGAAGAAGATGAATGCATCCAACACTAAGGCACACTCTTCTACTACTCAGAAAGTCAAGAAGAACAACCGTACCATTGAGAAGCTTATTTCTTCTTACAGAGCTGACCCTGAAGCATTCTTGAGTGCTCCCGAAGCTGCCGGTACTACTCTTGTTCAGCCCAAGAATATTAAGATTACCACCTCCTTCAACGTTCCCTCCACCCAGGCTGAGGACGATGACTCTGGCTTTACCACAGTTGGTAAGCTTTCCGGTGATGCTTTCGCCACCCTTATTTCTATTGTTGAAAGCCGTGGTAAGAAGGGTGTTGATAAGGAAAAGCAGGTTTCTGAGTTGGAGTCTCTGTTAAAGTCTACTCAGGATACATATCTTCAGATTATTATCCTTCTGAGACTGATCCCTATCAAGTTTGACCTTGCTCCCTCTGGTCATGCTGCTCCCATTAATGTCTGGAATGAGGCAAGAGATTACACCACTCAGCTTCTGGACATTCTTGAGAACAATGCTTCTAAGTACCAGCTTTCTGATTCTGCTCCTGAGCCTGAAGATCTGGAGAAGGGTCTCCCTCCTAGAGAAGATGGTGTCCAAGAGATTCCCGGCAGCATTGTTTCGCTTGTTGAGCGACTAGATGATGAGTTCACCAGATCTCTTTTGGAGATTGACCCCCACACCACTGAGTATGTTGATCGTCTCCGTGATGAGAATAGCTTGTACACCCTCATCATCCGATCCCAAATCTACCTCGAAAACACTTCTAAGGTTTCTGTCGACCAATACGAATCCATCTCTCGCATCATTTCCAGAAGAGTCGACCACATTTACTTCAAGCCCAATACTGCTGTTATTGCTGGTGAGAAGGCTGCTTGGTCTGTTCTTGATGCTAAACTTGATTCTAAGATTACTCCTAGAATTCAGGATGAGGTTTCTGATGAGTTCGTTATTGATCTTGTGAGCAGACTTTGCTCTATTCTTTACAAGCAGCCCAACACTTTGTTCCGTACCCGTGCCATGCTTTGCCATATCTACAACTTCGCCCTGAACGATATGTACTACAAGGCCAGAGATCTGATGCTCATGTGCCATCTCCAAACCAACATTCACGGCAATGAAATCCCCATTCTTATTTTGTTCAACCGAACACTTATTCAGATTGGTCTCTGTGCTTTCAGAAAAGGTCTTATTGCCGAGTGCCAGCAAACTCTTTCCGATGTCATTCTATCTCCCCGATTAAAGGAGCTTCTGGGTCAGGGTGTCGCTAAGGCTTCCACCACCACAACCACAGAAGGAAAGCAGAGAATGCTGCCCTTCCACATGCACATCAACTTGGAGTTTTTGGAGTGCATCAACCTCACTGCTTCTCTTCTTATTGAGATTCCTGCCATTGCTGCTTCCGAGAACCAAATCGACGGCAAGAAGGTTGTTTCCAGAAACTTCAGAAGAATGCTCGACAACAGCTCTAGACAGGTCTTCACTGGCCCCCCAGAGAACACCCGTGACCATATTATGCACGCCGCCCGTGCTCTCTTGGACTGTGAGTGGACCAAGGCTCGCGATTTACTGAACACAATCAAGATCTGGAATCTTCTTCCTAAGCCCGAGGAAATAAAGGCCATGCTTGCTGAGAAGCTCCAAGTCGAGGGTCTCCGAACATATCTTTTCCGATATGGCTCTACCTACCAGTCTCTTTCTTTCTCCATACTTTCTACTTTGTTTGATCTTCCTGAAAGACGTGTCTACGCTATCATTTCCAAGATGATTGCTAACGAGGAGATTGATGCTGCTCTTGACCAGAAGACCGACTCTGTTATTTTCAGACAAGGCGTCGATCTTTCTCGCCTCCAAACACTGGCTCTTTCTCTTTCTGAGAAGGCTGTCCAGCTTGTGGAGAGAAATGAGCGTCTTGCTGCCGGTGGCCACCAGCTCACTGAAACCACAAAGACTGCTTCTAACGCCACCCCTAACTCCAACTCTAATGCCAACTCCAATAACACCCAGTCTAGACAATCCGCTGGTGGCAGAAATGACAATAGACGTGGACAGCAGGGCCAGGGTAAGCAACGTTAGACTGTGAAATTTGATGGAATAGTTGGGTAGGGGACGATGTGATTAAATTGTTTTTGTTATTTAATCTTTTGCAAAAAAAAAAAAAAGTATTAAAAATTTAGTTAAAAAAATATTTAAAATTTTAAAATGTATACATTGTTTTCTTTTTTGTAGTTTGCCGTATCTTTTATGTCTTGGACATATACAAAATAGTTATAAAATAATCTTTTAAAAAACTAACCATCGAAAGCAATTCCAATTTATTATTTCTCTATTAAAAAATGTAGCTTAAATCTACACAAAATAACTTCTCCATAGTACGCCCTCCAAATCCTCAAGCTGCTCAGAGGTAAAAGCCTTAGAATCAATGTGCCATGTGTCAGTGCGGGTATTCTTAAACGAGCCGAGCAGCGTCTTGACGCTCTTGCCAGTCATGCCAGGTTCCGACGCAACTGTTGCCAGTGTTGTGAGAACTTGAGGAATCCACTTAGGTGGTGGAGACTTGTATGGGAATGCAGTCACCAGCGAGCCCAGACCAAGAACAGCAGCATGACGCTTAATAGAAATAGATTGCGCTTCGCTATTTGGCGTACTTGTCCCGGAAATCAAGCGTCTTTCCTCAGCATTTCGTGGTGGTAAAGCGCGACGAATAGGCTTATTCTTTTGCAGGCTTTGCTTAAACTGAGTGTAAAGTTTCTTGATTAGTGCAGCCTGCTCGTCTGATGGTGAGCATCGAATCATTCCAGAAAGAGTTTCTGCTGCTGATTCACGCACCTCTAATTGGGAATCAGTAAGTGTGTCAGCAGCAGCTTGAATAAACTGCTGTCTCTGCTTGTGCGACAATTGGAATAGTTGACGGAAAAAGAACGTCTGGATGAAGGCCAGAATGGCAAGACGCTGGTGCCAATGTTCAGCGGATCTCAAGACCTGGACAATAGAGTCAATCAAGAACTGAAGTTGGGAGTGTGGGCAATACATATTTCCCATTCTGCGGAACACAGAAACCGCGTTTCGTCCTAAGTCAGGGTCTTCACTTAAGGTGAAAAGCTGAAGCATCGAAGGAATAATGACTGTAGGAAGAATTGGAATCAAACCAACACCACAACTCCAAGATACAGCTTGGATCAGGAAATGCGAAAGAGTATAAGCTGTATGGATATAGGCGTCAGAGCCACTTTCAGAAAGAGTGGATGCATTGTTCTTTCTTTCCAAGCGAAGATGCTCTAGCTTTGCAAAGCCGTCCTTGATATAGGACTCATACTTGGAATTCAAGAGATAGGCGGAGCCACCAAGGCCATCTTTGTACTCTAGCTGTTCTTTGATAAACAGCTCAACAGAAGGACACGACTCGTGAAACTGGTCAAAGAAAAACTCGGCAATTCCCTGGCCAACTCTGATGCACACATCCTTCTTGGGGTAGTCAATATGGGCCCAGTAGTGATCTACAATCTCAGGATCCACAGGTGACGACCAGCCAATGTATGAGTTCAGTTCTTGAAACAACATGGTACGAGATGTCTCCTTAAAAACGGAAGTTGAGTTCCTGTCTAAACGGAAACTGAAAATGTAATCAACAACAGTCTTAAGTCGTCGATGGTCAATGTTGGAGAATGAGGTGGAAATGAAATTTCTCCAATGGCGAAGGACATCGCGGAAAAGATGGTTTTCAATAATGTCCTTAAGCTTATTGAAAATGTACTCTTCCTTGAGGATGCGCGATTCCTTAGAAGAAAAGCTGAGAGAAAGTGCAAAGGAGCAAAGGAACTCAGCCATGCATCGATGACTGTTCTTGTCAGTGGAATCAAACTTGTCATCGAGGCACTTGAAAACTTCTTCCAAAGTGACTTTTGTGTAGCCCATTTCCAAAAGGCGCAAAATGTTTACAAGGAAGTACATGACGTGTTGCTGAACGCTCTCATCTTGTGCTGTCTTTTCTTCGCTGCTCCGAACAACAAGCTGCTCAATCCAAGCAGCATCAATATGTGCGCCAACCTGGGACATAAACTCGTTGTCTTCTTTGGAAAAATTGATGCTGTCGCTTGTGTCTAAGCGAGTTACAGCTATCCTACTTCCCCAAACAAGCCAACCAGGCTTAGCACCATCAACATAATAATGAGGATTTTCGGTATTGGACATCTCCTTCATAAATGTCTCGGTAAAGTTTGGTTCATTACTAGGAACCCAATATTTGTTGGGACCTATATCAAAACTTGCAAGTTTCTTAAAGTCATAATCATTGGCAGCGAGAAGGAATGTTCTGTTAAAAATACATTGCATGCAAGCCCCCGCAAACTGTGAAACATGGGGATGAGAGTTGAAGCAAAGTTTAAGGATTTTGATAGGAATGTCAGGGTGAAACTGAAATTTGGTTTCAACAATGCTAGCATATGAAATCACAAATCGCAAACTGTAAAGAAGAATTTTCCAATGAGTTTCATCTAACTGCTTGAGAAGAGCGTCTTCGACTTCTGGTATCTTTGCAATAATAGCCTTGTATTTAGCCTCATGGCGTACACGGCGCTTCTTGATTTCCGCAGAAACATCCTTTTCAGGTTTGAGGGTCTGCAAAGCATCATAGTTGAGCAGATTGATAGTGACAGGAACACTGACACTTTGTGCAAAAGTCTCTAAAAGAAAATGCGAAAGGTCATTAAGAACAGACTTGTCTGTCTTGAGTGCGTTGGTGAGAATCTTCAAAAACTGGGTAGAGTTAAAGAAGGACTTCTTGATATGTGACTGCAAAATTCGCAAAGCCAAAACTCTCATACCACTTTCTGCACGCTGAAGCTCATTCTTTTCCATTGACTTGAGAATGTCAGATACAATCCAGTTAACAATATGAGTTCGAGATTTCAACAAACCCTTGACTGCGGACTCCAGTGAAGACTGTGCTGTGCGGCAAATATTGGGATATATTGATACGGATGTAATCAATACATCGTTAATGAGAACCTTGTCAAGATCAGTAATTTTTTTGGGGCCACAATTATGGTAGATTCTAGAGTAATGGTAGAGAGTAGCACGCTTGGCCAAAATAGATCGAGGAAAATCTTTATGCAAGCCATCCATTCGGTACTTTCCAGACTCAAAATTGTAGACGCTAGTAAAGCTCTCACCAAGCTTGGCAGTACGCTCAAGACCAACATCAGAGAACCAAACCTTGTAGGCAAACAGAAGTGCCTTGAAAGATGCAATATCGTTTTCACGATCAGCAACCATATATGTGTGGATTTCATGGAGAGCATGAGCAACCTTGATGTGCAGCTTATGGATATTGATGTAAAGAGGATCAGATCTATTGTTCTCAAAAAAGTATCCTGTGGAGTATTCGCGGAGCTTCTTAAAGTCAAGTCCTTCGTCACTGAAATCAGCCTCGCCATCGTCCTCTGCAGAACGTTCCGTAACAGGAAAATCATCCTCTTCGTCACTCATAGTGTCGCTATAGATTTCAAAGCTGAACATCTCGTCATCGTCATCCTCAGCATCGCCATCGACATCGACAGCATCGTCTTCCCCACTAGATTCTTCTTTATTAAAAAGCATAACAAGTGAGTTAGGGTTTCCACTTTCGTTAAAAGAAAAATCATCCTTGTAATAATCTCGAAAGTGTGGATCTAGTAAAAGAGCAATACCAGACGTGGCAGTTCTGATGTAGGTAAGATTGCTAGACAAAATGTCAGAAATCTCAGTGATAGAGGCTGTAGATTTGGACTCTGAAGAAATAACGGCTCGAATATTAGCAAGAGACTTTTCCACGTGAACTTTATAAAGCTCATAAGCATACTCAATGCCTTCTCTTGAAATAGTATACCACTCAAACTTTAGTTCCCGGGAATTTATCTTTTCTCCCCAATTTTTTAAAGTAACATCTTTTCCGGCAACTTTATTAAATCTATCAGGAATAATGCCATAATCCTTAATCATAGTTAACGAAAGGGAAATAAGGGCATGATGCACCGCATTGGAAACATGGAAAACGATGGAACCCTTGGTATGATCACGAAGAAAAATAGTAAGTTCTAAAATCTCCTTTTTAAAATTTAGGACTTCTTCATATGCATTGCTTAAAGACATGTTAAGAATGGACAGATACCAAATAAGAGTTCTATCTCTGGGAAGAATTTCAGACCCGCTGCGAACAGAGCCAGCACCGTTTTCTAAAATCTCTGTCTCAATATTTGCTTTTAGCATGGGGAAAATTCGTGGGAAAACGCCTTGTGGGTTGTCACGGACAATTGTAGAACAAATGAGCGCAATAGCATCAGTCGCCGAGTAGTAAACATTGTTAGAAATAAAATCTAAAAATCTAGAAAGAACTGTTTCATAAAGATCGCCTGGAAGAGATGCCATAATAGCACTAAATGTAGGGCTGAGAAGCATAATGACGTTTGATTCTTGTGAAGCACGTTGTTTGTTGGATGATGGATCAGGAAGATTTTCAATAAGAGTAAAAATACGCTCAAGGAAATCAATTATAAACTCTCTGAAAAGATAAGTCGATGACTTCCAAACTTGTTCCAAAAGTTCAGGCCCAAGTTCGGGCAGTGATGTAACGGTTTGACGGAATTCATCCTCCACAAAAGACTCCTTTTGTTTTTCATCAGGAATGGAAACTTTGCTGGGGCCGGGTACCAATTCCTCCAAATATGCAACATCATTTGAAATATATTCCATGGCCAAGCCGCCACCAATGTCACCAGAAAGATCCCAGAACGGTGCATTAAGAGCAGCGGCCTGTATAAAGCTCAGGGCTTGGAATGTTTTGTTGAGATCATTGGCATCAATGCCAGGAATGGCTAGTGATAGGAGTGTTGTCAGGTGGATAGCATATCTGGGAGTTTGTGTAATAATTCTTGTTAAAAAACTAAGAGCCTTGAGAGAAGACAAAGTTCTGTGGGTTTCGACGACACCTTGCAAAGATGGGTATACTTCCTTTAGCACAAATGGTAACACCAAGTTAGGCGAAAGGTATGCAAGACCCTGAAGGCAGTTTAACGCACTTTGAACAGAAGAGTTGGACTTTGAGTGAATACTCATTAATGCGACACCACGAAGAGCAGAGACAAATCTATCCTTAACTTGGTCTGTGATCCTGCGTTCTTTGGGAATAAGAAACTCGTCATTATGTTCAGAGTTCCATCGGAAGACCATGTGCTGAGTAAGAAATTCGATGAGAACGGTAATAGAATGGCTCCATGGTCCATTGTTAGAAGGATGGAAAAATGTCTCAATTGAGTTGATTAAATTCTCAAGATGTTCAAGAATACCATCGGGCTCTAAACTTTCATTGCCTGAAATTGAAAAAACAATAATTTTAGAAATGTCGTAAACAGCTTTTGACTTTTCAGACTGCTTTCGAGATGCTGAGTCCTGTTCAGAGTAAACATAGGGAGAGCCACCTTGAGAAACTGAAATTTCCAAGACGCGAAGAAAGTTTGTAAACATGAAAGAAAGCTGTTCCTTGGTAAACATGCCGTACTTGCTCATTTTTATTAGCTTCGATTCAATACTGTCCAATGCCAGGTCAGATACTAGCTTAATGGCGCACATGTCATGGTAAAGTGAGCTTGTGACAAACTTCCAAATATAGAAAATTGTGGGAAGATAGGTCTGATGAGTAGCCTCCATTTCAGTAATCTCGACATCAGTAGGAAGAAATGGTGAAATTGCACGCAGTAAAAACAAGGATTTCGATGCATAAAATTGAAAGTTTTTAATCTAAAAAAAGGAAAATGGAGCAAAAGTTAATGTTGGGTTGAATTGAGAATTTTTGTATGAGTGTTGGACACTTACTAGCGGCAAAATCTGATTATAAAGCTCCTTAGTTTCATTGTAGTCGTAAAATGAGCGAGCCATTCCTGCGACTCTGAATAAAGCAGAGGTAGATTTTGAAAGACTTAGTTTTAAAGGATTTGATTCACCGGGAATGAATCGATCCTTAATGGCCATCATCAGGGGCTCTGCACGTAATTTAATATCAGAAGGTTTTACGTAGCGAATAAATGTCTCGTTATCACAAAGCCACACAAAGGTATTTGCAATTCTTTCTAAAGTTGTTCCCTCGACATCTGCCAGCGCCAGCTCGTAGTATAAACGAGCAAGTTTGACACGCGTTGAAAGAGGCATATCAAACTTGAGTTGCATCCACGAGTTAAGTTCGCGGGTCCAGTGAAGAACCGTCGAGTTTATGGTGGATGCAACGGCATGATCCTTGTCCCAGGACTCAAGAACAATATAAATGTTTGTAACGATATGGTCTAAATGAGCAAGTGCATCTTTCTGGGTTTCTGTCTTGTAGGGTAAAAGTTCTTGGTATGGGAACGTTCTGGGGTGAAGTCTATAGATGTTATCAAAGTCCACGGGTTCAGTGGGTTTAGTAAGGTCTGTAGGCACAACAGATTCACCATTTGTTGGTTTTTCAATGTTTGTCATAATTTGTTATTTTAAAATAAGGGTGAAAGAATATTGATGGGAAAAAAATAGATAAAAAAATAAAAGGAAGAAAAGTTTAAATGAGGGGTTGAAAGAGTAAAAAAGGCGGTGGCAATGGTGAAAGTTGGTGGTAGTGAGGAACAAAAAACAGAAAATATAAGCGGCTATCAAAAAGAGTGGCAAACCCAAATGTTAGTGATACTGTTACCAATAGCCTGCAATACCCAATCACGTCAAATTGATTCAGATAAAATACTTACTTTGGTATTTCCGTTAAAATGAAAAGATGAAATAATGATAATGGAGTTAAGTTTTTTTGTATATTTTTTTTATCTCCAGGCGTCCAGTAGAAATTTTTTGTTCAAAGATTGGGAGGCAAAAAAAAAATCCTGAGCTTTGAATCACCGGATTTTAAACAAAAACGGCAGTCAAAAGATATGAGCTCGAGTTTCCTCTTGACTTTTCTTAAAAAAAATCAAAAGATTTAAAAGATCGGAGTTAGTAACAACGATTCTAATCAAATTTTTATTTTGAAGATTGTTATTTGAGTGTATTGAAGATGATGACAATAAGAAAGAAGTGGTTGTTAGACGTGCAAAGTTTTTTTGTGTCTGTTGTGATAGTGGTGGCAATGGTGGTGGTGTTGACAGATGGCGATGGGCTCCACCCAAAAGCATACAATACGTGACCACCCCACCCCATACAACTTATGGGCTTTATTTAAGTTCTCCATACTGTGGTTTTGCGGCTTTTGCAATGCCGGAGACTGATTTATGTAGACAAAAAGTGAAGGGTGTTTGATTCTATTAGGAAATTGAAATGATTAATGAAAAAAAAAATGAAATCAAAAGTGATTCAAAAAAAATGATGAATGACGGTTGCGGGTCCACCAATATTGTCACGCGGGCCCCTCGGGTACCAAGTTTTAGGAGAATATAAGCCCTTACAAATCTTTGTGGGGGAAATAAAATTACCCGGTTTGGTGATGCGGCGTTGTTTAGTTTTAAGATGGGTGAGTTTAATTACAACATTATTTGTAACAAACTGCACTTATTATTGTGGAGAGTATTATTGTTGAAAAATCGTGAGATATCAATTATTTTAAAACTGGGCAAATGGGGGTTTGCAAAAAAACATAAAGGTAATTTTATAATATAAACAATAGAAAAAATTAGATAAAGAATAAAAATGTTAAAAAAAATTATAATAAATTGTAATTTTTGGGCCAAAAACATGAAAAACGTGAAAAACATGCAAGTTAGCTTTGAATCTTCAATAAAGGTTTATTTGGGTAATGAATGGCAATTGAACTTGAAAAAAAAAGATGAACCTTCAATAGAAATGAAATTAAAAGAAAATTTAATTTTTTAATGTTTTTTTATTCATTGATTCCTGTTTAATTACATATTGTTTTCTGATAGGTCAATTTGAAATTGACGAAATTCAAAATAAAGAGTTTCAAAGAAAATTCAATATCTATATTGAAAAATATATGAATAAAAACTTCTTGAAGTGATTTGACAAGGTAATAAATAAAAGAAAAGTTTATCATAAATCCAAATTTGAAAGATTTTGAAAAAAAAGTAGCGTGTTTATTAATACCTATAAATATTTGTAGCGTTAACGCTCAAAAAAAAAAATAGAAGCATACAATTGGAAAAACAAACAAACAAATGAACAAATGAACAAATGAACAAATGAACAAATGAACAAAAAAGTGATACTTGATAATTAAAAGGATAAAAAAAATGCAATTTTGCCTTTTTTTTTTAATTCGCGCGGAGAATTATTTCAATTATTTTAAAAGTCATTGCTATATTTTTTTACATTATTTGTAAATAATATTGGATTCAAGAAGAAGGTTTGGGGGAGGGAATTTAAGAGTTGCTTCAGACTTTTAAAAACTCCTCATTGAATTATTAAAAACCAGGTACAAAAATTGAATTTACAAGCTGATTATTAAGACAGTTTTCTTTCAAAAATCAAAAAAAAGTTCAATACATCGTTGAAGATATTAGTTTAGCCCAGAATTTCAAAACCTTTTTTTTAAACAAAAATGTATTTTCAGTTAAACATCTAACGATATACTTAAAAGCTACAAAACCTCCTAACGGCCAAAAAAAAAAGTTTCAACGATGTATTCACTACCGTTTTAAAACGTTCTAATGAACTTTTCAGTTTTTTTTTATAAATAAGATAAATAATATTTGGTTATGAGAATATGTTAGACAAAGTAACATATGTTTATAAATTTGTTTAATTCCTCTTTTTAAATTACTATTCTTATTTTGTTTTACATGCACTATATCTATACTTGAATATATTGACACAATACTTTATAATACTTCAAAAAGAACCTTTAATTTTGCAAGACACTAAGAATTGATTTTTCTTTATTCTTTAACCGATCTACTGAAACCATTAATGACAAATGAGTTTGGTTTTATTGGTTAAAAATATATATTTAGTTAGTCTGAGGTTTCCCGACGGATTTTTTTGTGCCGTACCACTTGGTGATCTACTAATTCTCTTTTTTTTTTCTTCTTAATTTTGAAAAAAATAAAATAAAAAACTTTTACCAAATTATTTTTAGGCATAGGATCTTACTATGAGATATGTATTGTATGGTGACGATTAAAAAAATTATTTTTAAAAAAAAAAATTATGCGCCGCGCAAAAAAAAGCAACGGTACCCTCATTAAATAATTATTTTAACGTATGCTCAAAATTGCTGACAATTCGCTTGATTTTAATTCGTGGATATTCGATCCCGCTTAGAAAAGAGTAAATGAAGAAGGGGAATGAAACAAATGAATTCAAATTTTTTTTAAAAATTAAAGATTTGAATTAAGGATTTGGTGTATAATTTTTTTATTTTTTTATTGTGAACACAATTGTCATCATGATGACAAAAGTCTCACCACAGTAGTCTATCTCTCGGTGTATTTTTTTACAAGAATCTGGAATTCAACCAACTTTGTAGATAACTAACTATTCAGTATTACAAAGAAACCTTACTAAAGTTTTTTTTTTTTGACTTCACACGTTTAAAAGATAAATTCTGAATTTCAACATACCTTTCTTTTTTTTTTCAAAAAAATTTCGATCTTTTTTTTTTTTGAAATACGTTATGGTCTTTTTTACGTAAGCCTTAAATCGTGGCGCAAACATAAAAAGCCACATTAAAACAGTTCAAATCAACTCTTTGCTGGTCTATCGCCACTCAAGTGGGCTTGAATTGACCGATATATATGACAAAGACCTTTTAGGCATTTCAATATTTTTAAACAATTTTTTAAAAGAAATATACGTTAGAATTTTTGTTGAAAAACAAAATCTCATTCACTTATTTTAGAATACAACAAAAAAAAACTTTTACAATTATTTTTCATTTTACTACTGCGGACCGAATTTCCGATCCGATAAGAAAATACACTATATATTTTTATAATACTTTAATACTTTTTGATTCTACGTCAAAAGCCTATTTCGCGGGTCATTGTAGCATCCGGTCTTTCAGCTACCATCTTAAAACTTATATAGAGCAAAAAATTGAAAATAACAAATTTCACTCCCGGATAAATCAAACTGTTTGATGAATAATTTCAACATATGCCCAGCTAAGCAGCCATGATAACAGTAAAAAAAAACATTTATAAATGTCATAATTATGAGTTTCACATTTGTTGATTTACTATCTACGCAAAAATTTTTTTACAGTCCGTATATTGATACATCTCTTTCCAAAAACAGACTTGTTTATTTGGCTAAGAACAAGGGCCTTCCTTTTTTGGGTGTGGGCAGTGGGTGCTTTTAGAATTCAGTTTAAACATTTTATTTTAGGACTTCCTTCCTCGGAAATAAAAAATCCTAATTATAATAATTCATGTGGTAGTTCTTGTAGCTTTGAACAGGACAAGTCTCAAATTTTTTTTATGATTACACCATGACTTTATTGTAAAACTTTTTACATTAGAGTTAAACTACTCCATTTCGAAATTGCTTTCAAAGGACAAAGACCTTATTAATCTTTAAATGTTATTTAACTTTTTATTATTATTTTTATTATTTTTGCTAAAAACTACTTAAAACCAAATTCAAATTAAAAAATAAAAGTACAGAAACACATCATAAAAATACATTAACCATGTATTAGGACCCCTCAAAGTCTAAAAAACGCCAGGGGGTTAAGCTGAAACAGCAAATGCAATAGTGGCAAACCCAAGTTTGTCACTTTGAAAAAAAAATTAAAGCGTAAATGATAAAAAAAATCCCGTAAAAAAGTTTCGTTATCACGTCTTGTGCAAAATTATGTTGATTGCAAAGACTAAAAAGTCGTACATTAAGTCATCAAAAAGTCGTCATTATTTGGGCATGTAGAGTTGGAATTACTCAATTAATCTGACAAGACCCCAAGCCGCGCCGGCAGCGACACTTCCTGTAAGAACCATTTGCAGGCCATTAGACAGGATGCGCACATTACCGCATTGCCAGCCAAGGGTGAATGTTGTCTTAAGAACGCCAAAGATGAAGAGAGTAACGAGCATAACAACCACTGAGACCATCAAACTGGTGTCTATCGAGTGAATGAAAAAGTAAGGAATGAGAGGAACAAAGCCTCCAAAGAAGTATGACAGACCGATTGTCATGGCAGAGGTGAACTCGCGGCCCTCAGCAGGCTCTTCAAGACCCTTACCAAAGCGGATAATAAAGTCAATCATTTCGTCTGGTTGATCTTCCATGTCTGAGATAAACATTTTGATGGTGCTGTCTTTGAGGTGGTACTCCTTGAGAATGTTTTCCAAGTTTGCCTCAGAAATGTTTCTGCAGTTTTCGTAAAGAATCTTTTCGCGTTCCACTTCGTGGTGATAGATTTCAGATTCGCTCTTAGCCGCCAGATAGCCACCAAGACCCATTGAAATTGCGCCCGAGACGAGCTCAGCAAGTCCACCGGTGATGACTAGTCGGGAGTTGCCCAGGCTACTCAGACCAGCTGTGAGGGCAAATGGGACTGTGAGGCCATCAGAAAGGCCAATGATAATGTCAGACATGACACGGGGTGGGATGAAGCCAGAGTCTTCATGGGCTGTGGTAGAGGAGATGATTGATCGAGATTCAGAGAATTCCTCTTCGTCTGAGCAGCCGACAGTTTCGTATGAGTGAGTTGTAGGAAGATAAGAAGTCTTGTCCATTTTAGGCTTTCCAAAGATTTTGTTTTTCAGAACAACAAGAACCATTGTGAAAAAAAAAAAAATTTGAGGGGAGGTGAAAAATTCCAGGTTTATATATTTGAGGCCGATGGAACAACTGAAACAGTTAAGATTAAAAGGGATGTTTGATTAAATAAAAGAAGGCGAAGTGTGCAATTTTACTTGTCTTGATGATAATTTGATCAATTTCAGTTTGAGTAGTTAATGCGAGTAGGAATATTGTTGAGAAAGGTTGTGATAAGGTTAAGAGAAATTAGGGCTGAGAGGAATAAGAGCGTATTAAAAAAAATAAGGCTGGAAAATGTATTCAGAAAGAAAACCGAGATTGGGATGAGTAATGAGGATGAATTTATTTAGTTGTTAAGATGAGAATATATTAGCTTTGATTAAAAGTTAAAAATGTTATTGATCGAATTATAACTATAACTATTTATATTGGGAAAAAGGATTAAAAAAAAATCGTTGAAGATAGGCGGATCTCGGTGTTTTTATATAAAAAAAAATTGCAGATTTGTTTTTTGACAAGAGCAGGAGGAGAGCCACAAAATAGAGGTTGAGGGCCAGCAGTATCAGTGATGTAAAAGTATTACCTAAGAAAATCCAGCACAAATTATAGCTGAGTGTTGCTGTTGTGATGGAAAAAAAAAAAAAAATAAATAAGAATAAAAATAAAATAAAATATAAAAAAATAAATAAAAAAAGTAATTAAGTTTCCAATAATGGCAGGCTGACTTGTTAGAAATCTCTATCTGGCCGGTCTAGAGCTTTCCCACTTGCACCCCTCTTTTGCTACACTTGTGTAATAAACGAGCCGTTTGCTTACAACAACAACAACAACAATAATAATAATAATAGCAATTACCATCATTATCATCAAAAGGTCAGATAGTAATTAATCTGTACTATTAATGAATCTGTTAACGTTTATTTTCTGCTAATAATTCAATCAAATCATATTATTACTGTTGACATTGTGACTTCTATTCTGATATATATATATGATGCTATTGCCACCTTAACCAGCGCGTCATTTTTTTTTTGTCCTTTTATGCTTATTATTATTGTTATTATTATCAATTTTTTGATCGGCTCGAAAAAGTCAAAGGCAGCCGCACAGACCTAGCTAGCATGAGGGGTAGTCTATCTTTTGGGTCACAGTAGTGGGCAACTAATTCCGTCATGGTCTGGACCAAAAGATGCAATGCATGCTGACATATAGCAGCGTTTCTATTGGCCAGATTACTCTCCGCATGGCACATTGCCCTAGGTTTGCTGACTGTATTATTGCGCATAGACCCAGAACTTTTTCAAGAAATCATCTTCACAAACCTCCTCAACTTATCTCCAAAGAATATTAGTTTTCATGTATTTTTTTTATAAAAAATTTTTTTTTCTTCCTTCATTTCCCATTATTGTAATTATAATAATTATTATTATTACCATAATATTGCACATACTCAGAACTATGCAATCGTAATCCTGTTCTGCTATTTTAGTAGTCCCCTACGCTGACAAATGACCAAATTTTGATTGGCTGCAAGCCAAGACCTTTTGCTGCCCACTTTGGTTAAGCAAGGCTGTCCCGAATAGGAATTAAGTTTAGGTCTCCTTTATAGTACCTTCTTAATTTTTGGTCAGTGTTTGCCCTAAAAAACAAACAAACAGACTAACAACTTCCCTCCACATGTGCATCGTCATAAGAAATCGGTGCTTCTATCATCCTTGACAAAGAAAAAAAAAAGTTGAATACTGTGTGAGCTTCAATCACCGGTAGCAACTTTCCGTTATCTGGAAAAAGTCAAACAGCGGCTCTAGACGGTTGAAATAAATAAATGAATAGAAAAAAATATAATTATTGCAAAATGATTTAAAATCGGTTGTAGCAAAAAAAAAAAGAAAGAAAAAGAACTGCTAGTAAACTTTACTAGTCATAAACATAAAAATATTAATTGGTATATCGGGCCGAAGTAACATTCCGATCCAACGACTATATTGTATGCCTAGCCAACATTTAAATTCAACAACCACGTTTACACATACATTTCCAACAAACTTGAAAACATAACAAAAACATATATTAGTCCTAAAAACTTTAAGGATATCTTATTTTATTAATAGAAAAAAGGATTCTAACAAAATATCAAGATCCTCACTCAAATTAATAACCGAATTGATTTGAGCAGAGGTATGAAAAAATAAAAAGCCATGGACAAATCCCCCCTTTTTCTCCATTAATTGAATTAATCGTTATCACTTTAAGGTAAATTTTATTTTCTTTTTAAGAACACTAGTTTATTTTCTATCTAAATGAGCCTAGAACACACCGAGGTAAATTAAACAGGGGTATTCATGTTGTACCCAACAGACAACAAAAAAATAATTGAAATAATTGAAATAATTAAGATAATTAAAATAATTAAAAAAAAACCAAACCATTTAATTTGTAAAAAAAAACATCAGAGCAATTCCAAACTCCCAAGTTTCCTCCTTTAGTACTATTTAGTGGTGCCGGGTTCCCTGTGGCCAATAACATCCTGTTGATTTTTAAACATTAAAAATAATAGGTCAATAAATGGCAGTATATGATATAGGCTTAAGGCTTAATAGTTTTCGGCCCCAGCTTGAAAATAAGATAGCAAGTTTAGTGTTGCCATATCTTATTGAATATAAAAGGAGGGTTAATAAAAAGAAGATATTAAAAAAAGGGTATACGTAAAAATATAAGAAGCTTGTGACTTTAAAATGATCAACTGGTATTTTGTTTAATTTCTTGTTCACCAAAACAAGGGGTACATATTGCTTCACTACTTTCCAATTTCAATGTAAAAGTCATAGAAAGTGAAATGTATTATTGAGGTATATTGTCAAACTCAAGTAAAACCTATCATTAGTAGTAATACAAAAGGAAAGCAAGAATAAACGTTTCATATTGTTTGTAAAACAAATCTTTCCTTTAAACTTACTAAAAGAAAAAAAAATAAGTTAGGTTATACCTCAGTAAAAAACCTCTTTAACTCTTAACCGATGAAAACAGTGAATAGGATATAAACGAATAAAAAAAGCCAAAAATTAAAATTAAATAAAGTTGATGGATATACCTTTTAAAATAGTGTCGTTTATATGAGTTGCAACAGTTATGCATGTCATTATTCAAGTTTCAAATATCATCGAAGAAAAAATTTCAACAACTTAAATAAGCCAATTGGTTGTTCATTATCATCAAAAGTGTCGCACTATGTGTAATCTCGAAACACATCTAGTCACCACTCTCAGGTTGTAAACCATTATCAATAACCTTTCATGAAAGAAAGAAAAAAAAAGATATCATTTCGAGTGCATCTCTTAATTACCCAAGTAGGAAAGTATTGATTGTTTCAATCAAACCTTTATCAATCTGATAAGCATTTTTAAAATTTACTCTTAGACGGCAAATTTTAAAATAAGATTTCAAATTTAAGGCAAAATTTACCTGTCAAGTTACCTTAAGTTGATTAACAGTTGTTTTTAAATATATTCATGCTGTAGAAATATCTAAATCCAATATGCTGGCCTTTTTCGTTTCACCTAGCTAAAAGTAAAGAGATACTTTATTTTTAAAGAATGCTTTAATAAGAATTTGAACCATCATTTAACAAATTTTAATGCAAATATTAAACTCAGGATTACCTTGGACCATTATTATCATCATTTTTGTGAATATATCAAAATAAGAATAATAATAAAAGAATATGATTAAAAAGTAAGAATTAAAAGAAGGATGAAAACGGATAGAACTGAGCAAAAAAAACTTGTGAGCTATTGGCGTATAAGTGGTGGTGTGACAGGGAACGAATCAAAAGATTGATAAACCCCAATTTAGTAGCAGAGCAGCACTGTTACAAAAGTTATATTCTGTAACAAAAATCATTCATTCTCTCTTACAACCATAATTATGATTATAATCTAACATGAAATCAATATTGATTTTTAAATAGATGAAGAAATTACTATTAATTAAAATATATTTTAAATCTAAATTTAAATTGCAATTTAAATTAAATTAAATTAAATTAAAAAATTAATTTCATATCTGGTTTTGATTATTGTTCTTACCTGTTTTTTTTATCATTTTATTTCCCGTGTGTGTAATTATCTGATTTATATTCTCAAATATTCTAAGGAATGTGTATATTTCAGTCTAAGGTTTAACAATATCTATCATTCAACATCGAATGGTAAATATTGGTTTAGAGCTAGACTAATCGGATATCACATAAGATACCATAATCACTTGTTGAAATCAATCATCTAATAGAAAATTCAATTAATATAAATTAAATTAAACAGAAGTTTAAATATCATTAATTGTGCTTAAGATAATCTTTATATTATTGTTTTGGAAAAGTAATTTTGGATCACGGGCATTCCCTTCCTCTATTTAAATTCTAATTGACCCGGTTATTTAATAGGTTTTCCAGTCAAACCACGGTAATTTTGATTTTTAAAATTGTAAAGTATAACTGAAATTCTCCAAAAGCAAAATAAAATTGCAGGCCAAATTTGGTTTTTGTGCAAGAACAATGTTTTTAATTTGTTGAATCAACTTAAGAATTAAATCACTATTAGTTACAGGTTTATTTCAATAATCATTAAAATTATAATAATTTTTGTAAAAAAATTAAGCCTTTTCACATATAGTCCAAAAAAAGGGGAGCATAAGCGGATTAAAAGAACGTAACCGGTTATATTTAGTAATTCAATTATTAACAAGAGCCCTAAAGTTTTAAAAGAAATATGTTTAACGCAGCTTAAGAAGCAAGCTTCTAAAGTTTCTTTTCATTGCCCAAAAGGGTTTCCTAAAGCAAGCATTTATTCCTGTTATTTGATTCTCTAAAATAAAACGGGCAAATATTTACCGTTTTAATAGGCCGCTAGTCAGTTAAATATTTGCGGATATAATATTTAAAAGATTTCAAGAATCTACTCTTCTGTATGTACCTCATCTTCAAAATTAGTTGGAAAAAGGCGGCTTTAAGCATACTTTATATTTGTTTAACCGTACCGGTTCAGCCTTACCATCAAAAATTATTTGCCCTGACTATTTTTCTTTAATACTTGAAGGCTTTGTGTACTTTTAGATAAAATATAATATAATAAAATAAAAAGAAATTCAATATTCCTTAGAAAAATAGTCTAAGCCTTAACATAGTAAATTTTTGGCGGGGGATCATATGATGTACCATTTAACTTTTTTTTTTTTTTCAACATGTCAAAAGTGTAATGGCTTCATAAAATGCTCTGAAACATAAGATCTTATATATTACTTATAAATATTTTTTAAAAAAAAACAAACAAGTACTAATGCTCAATTTACATAGGATCAATTTAGTGAAATCCAACTACCCTGAAAAAAAAATACATAAACTTGTATACAGCGGAATAAACAACTCTATTTTAGAAGATGTGGATAATATTTCATACTTTATTGGTCATAAACCAACCATTTTAATAAAACAAAGTCACAGATATAATTAACCTCAGAAATTACGAGTTTCTAATTGTCTATATAATGAGCTCTGTTTTTCTTCAAATTTGAAAGTTTTTCTCATGTATATAAATTTGTAGACCTAGTAGCACAAACTTAGATGTCCAGTTTTCAGTTTTCCGTTACAAATTTTATGCCATTTATCGAATTTCATTTATTAAAAAGTTTTTCTTAAATAATGACAATTTTTCAAACTGGGTATCTCATTAGAAATAGTGCTTCTGATGTAAACTTATGGCATTTAGTTTTATTTTTTACCTCTTTTGCTGCTATACTTGTTATTCAATAGTCTATGAGTGGGGTTCTTTCACAATTTGCCATAGTTGAATAGCTTGTGTGCTATAAAATCTTTTTAGGTTTTAAATAATCAATTGAATAAATATTTTATAACAAATTAATGATTTATTAACTTTAAAAACTAGATTTTTTCTTTCATTAACAGCTCTGGAGCAACATTTTTTTCCTAATATTAAACAATTTTGATAGCCAATTTAACTTGTTAGTAGTATTCTTCTTATATGTCTGTCAGTCGAAATTTGATATCGAAATCAAAAAATTAAATATTTGTTATCCCTTTTCAATCATCCATAATTAAAAAAAATTTAACACAATAGACGATAAAAGAACATTAAGTTTTGAACTATGGGAATTTTTTTATTACAAATATATATTGAACTAAATCTACAGGATGACGCTTTTGTTTTCTAGATGTGTTTAAACACATTAGGTGTATTGTTGCTTTTAACAAAAATATAGTGATATAAAATCATGAGCTAAAGATTATTAACCAAAAGGCTTTATTAAAAAATATTTTAAATCCTGATGAAATTGACAAATTCTTATATATTTGAATGTTTAACCCTTTGAACTTTTATACTAGCGAAACCTAGTCACTAACCCTTGAATAAAAATATAAAAACCTAGTTATTAAACGGTGTACTGGCAAACTTTGAAAAGAAAACCATTATAATTAATGAACATTACCAATTGAATATAAAATTAGTCTTCAGTAAGTCTCGTTTAACTAGATAGAATAATTGTTTTTGCGAGCCGCAGGAGTTTCCTAAAACTGGTAGATAAGCGGCGTAATGTGATCTTTGAGAAATCCCTTGTTCTTTTACCCCCTCTTTGTGAAAACCATAGTATCGGGCCAAAACATGCCTCGAGTACAACAAACATTTAATTTTTTTTATTTTAAGCTTTCGAAAAAGAACGATATTGAATTCTAAGCACGAACATAAGGAGGTGCACCTTCAAAACTGTATCAGAAGCTGACACTTCCAAAACGCACACGATCAACAGTCCGATTTGAATTCGCCATAAAAAAAAAAAAAAAAAAAAAGCTCAAAAGTTTTTGAAAAAATTCTATTTCTAAGTAGTTGAAATATTTTAAAACATAAGTCAATAGTGTCAAGCTATTGATTTATATATATTTATTTATCCATATATGAAAAAATGGTGCGAGTCTCATGATGACCATAGAAACTCCAAGGTCTCAATTAAGGTTAAATAACAAATGCATGCCACATTTGTAAACACACACCGTGAGAACATATTTACACTAAATCATATAATGAATAATGTTTCTTTGGGGTTGCTTTTAGACATAAATCATATAAATATTGGTGTACTTCCTTGTTTTTCTTTTTCTTTTTCTTTTTCCACATCTTTTATCTTATACGTATCTATTTTTTTTTTAACATCATAAAAATCATGGACCCCGAAAAAGTTAAGGGGCAAAAAGCCCAAGATCCTCTTCAAGAAGATAATTCTTCAAGCAACATTGACCCAATTGAACAAGGCCCATACCAAGAAGAACCTCAGATTTATTCTAAAGATCATTATCACAACGACCTCGAAAAAAATCAATCAGATAATGACCATCTTTCAAAAGTAATCAGCAACCCTGACAATGTTCGCCGGCTTGAATCTCTTACTCGTGTTCTTTCATCTCGTCGTCTTTCAGTACGAGGCTTAGCGGCTGGTCCTCTTCAAATTGATCCCAACGATTTTGATTTAAATGCATTACTTAAGTCTATGGCACAGCGTCTTGATGATCAAGGAATTGCTCGTAAATATACTGGTGTGGCTCTAGACAATGTTACTGTGTGGGGCAAAGACATTTCAACTGCTCATGGCCCCTCTGTGACGGAGTTTGTACTCAATTTGCTTAGTTTTCCTAAAACTATTTTTAGCGTTTTTAAAAAAAAAACTCGCCCCATTATTCGTGACGTTACTGGTCTTATTCGAGAAGGAGAGCTTCTTCTTGTTCTAGGTCGTCCAGGTTCTGGATGCACTACCTTTTTAAAGACAGTTGCAGGCGAAATTAGTCAATTTACAAAAATTGATGGCGAGGTTACATACTCGGGTGCCTCTCAAGAAGAAATGCTCAAGACTTTCAAAAGCGAAGTTATTTATAATGCTGAATGCAAGTATTTTCTTTAATTTTTGTTTGTTTGTTTGTTTGTTTGTTTGTGCATAAACTAACTTTCATTTAGTGGATAATCACTTCCCCCACCTGACTGTCGAGCAAACACTACGATTCGCCATTGCTTGCAGAACTCCTGAAACAAGAATTGATCAAATGACCCGCAAACAATTCCAGGATCTTTCGTTAGAAGCACTCGCTATTGTTTTTGGTTTACGCCATGTCTTGCAAACAAAGGTTGGAAATGATTATGTTCGTGGTGTTTCTGGTGGTGAACGTAAGCGTGTATCAATTGCGGAAGCATTAGCCGCACGAGCGGCTGTTTACTGCTGGGATAATGCTACAAGAGGTTTAGATGCTTCCACTGCACTTGAGTACACCCATGCAATTCGTGCCGCCACTAACATTTTGAATAATGTTGGTGTTGTGGCGATTTACCAAGCTGGTCAAAATATTTACGACTTGTTTGATAAGGTTACTGTATTGTATTCTGGCAGACAGATATACTTTGGTCTTGCTGAAAATGGCAAGGCCTATTTTGAAAAGATGGGTTATTATTGTCCCTCTCGTCAAACAACTGCCGAGTTTTTGACGTCAGTGACAGACCCCAATGGACGCTTGGTTAAGGAAGGCTTTGAAGGCAAAGTACCTCAGACTGCTAATGAATTTGAAGCTTACTGGAAGGCATCCCCTGAGTATGCTTATGCACGTGATGAGATGGAGCAGTACCTAGCTGATACCAAAGCTTCTGATACTGTACAGCGATTCCACAATGTTGCTAGCAGTGAAAAGATGAAGCATATGAGATCCAAATCACGATACTTGATCACTTTCCGTGCTCAATTACACCTTGTCATGATTCGTGGTTTTCAGCGGGTTATTGGCGATAAAGCTTACACTGTTATTACAGTTTCTGGCAGTATTATTCAGGCCTTTGTTATTGGATCTCTTTTCTACAATATTCCTCAATCAACGATCGGTGCCTTTTCCCGAGGTGGTGTCATGTTTTTTGCACTTCTTTATATGGCTTTGACATCTCTTGCCGAAATTAACAGCGCTTTTGTCAACCGTCCTATTTTAATGAAACAAAAGTCGTACTCGTTTTATCACCCATCTGCTGAAACTTTACAGGGAATTTTTTCAGGGATTCCTGAACGATGCTTGTCCCTTATCTGTTTCGCTGTTGCTCTATACTTTTTGGCAAAACTAAAACAAACTGCTGGCCAATTTTTCATTTTCCTATTGATTCTGACAATTTCAACGTTGACATTGGGTGGCTTTTTCCAGATGGTTGCTGCTTTGACTAAAGACGCTCAAACTGCCAACTCGGTTGCCGGTGTTATGGTTTTGCTTCTTGTTGTGTATACAGGCTATATGATTCCATTGACTCAAATGCACCCTTGGTTTAAATGGATCAGTTATTTGAACCCACTTCGTTATGGATTTGAGACGATGTTGGCCAACGAATTCCATCATAGGGAAATGCCATGTTACGAAATTATTCCTAATGGTCCATCTTATCAGAACCTGCAACCTGAAAACTTTATCTGTGCGTTTACTTCTTCTCAGGCTGGCAGAGAGACTGTAAATGGTGATCACTTCTTGCGTGTAGCTTATGGTTACTCTTGGGGGAAAGCATGGCGTAACATAGGCCTGGTTTGCATCTTTTACATTGGTTTTTATGCCATAAATTGTGTTGCTACTGAGATTTTGAGTCCTCTTAGTGGTGGTGGTGATCTTTTGTTATTCCGCCGAGGTCATTTACCCAAGTCACTTGACGAAGAAGAAGCCCCAGCAAGCCGCGAGGAAATTGATGCTGCACTTTCTGGGTTGGGCTCTGGTGACGAAGAGCCTGACATTTTTTCATGGCAGCATGTCAACTATACTGTTCCTGTTAAGGGTGGTACTCGTCAGCTTTTGAATGATGTTCAAGGTTATGTTAAACCAGGAACTATGACAGCACTTATGGGTGAGTCTGGTGCTGGTAAGACGACACTGCTTAACGTTTTGTCAAAGCGTGTAGATGTTGGTGTCATTACTGGTGATATGCTTGTTAATGGTAAGCCGTTGGATGACACCTTTCAACGCAGGACTGGATATGTCCAGCAGCAAGATTTGCATTTGGCGGAAACTACAGTTCGTGAAGCTTTGCAATTTGCAGCAAGACTTCGCCAACCTTCGAATGTTCCTGATCAGGAAAAGATGGATTATGTGGAAAAGATTATTAGTTTGCTTGGTATGTCACTCTATGCTGAGGCCTTGGTTGGTAAGGTTGGTTGTGGTTTAAATGTGGAGCAACGCAAAAAGCTTTCCATTGGTGTTGAGCTTGTTGCTCGACCATCTTTGTTACTGTTTTTAGATGAACCTACTTCTGGTCTTGATTCGCAGTCTGCTTGGGGTATTGTTACTTTTATGAAGGAACTTGCTCGTTCTGGTCAATCCATTTTGTGTACTATTCATCAGCCATCTGCAACGCTTTTCGAGCAGTTTGATCGTTTGTTAATGCTTAAGAAGGGAGGTTATACCGTCTACTTTGGTGATATTGGTAAGAACTCTTCGACCTTGACTAGTTATTTTGAGCGCAATGGTGCCCGTCCATGCGGCAAGGAAGAGAACCCAGCAGAGTATATTTTGGAGTGCATTGGTGCTGGTGCAACAGCAAGCTCCAACCAAAACTGGGGTGATGTTTGGGCTTCATCTGCGGAATGTGCAGCTTTAACAGAAGAGATTACTCAACTTCATGCAAATCTTCGTGCTCGTCCTGAGAAGCAAGTTGATAAGGCCTTGAAGACAAAGTTTGCTGCTAGTTATTTTACCCAGCTTTCTATTGTTTATCAACGTACAAGCCGTCAATATTGGCGATCTCCTGGTTACATCATTGCCAAGTTGATGCTTATGGGTGTTGGTGGTGTTTTCATTGGGTTTTCCTTTTTTAACATCAATTACTCAATCTCTGGTATGCAAAATGGTATGTTTGGTATCTTTTTAATTTTGCTTATCTCGTCTCCCCTTTGTAATCAGATTGAAGAGTTTGCCCAGCAATCAAGAGATCTGTATGAGGTTCGAGAGTCTAAATCAAACACCTTCCATTGGTCCACCTTGCTTCTTTCTCATTACTTTTCCGAGGTGCCGTATCACTTGGTATTTTCGACATTCTTGTACATTGGATTTTACTTCCCCGTTGGGTATCGGCGCACAGCTGGAGTTGCAGGGTACTTTTACATGATTTACTGTGTATTCTTCCAGTTGTATTATATTTCGTTTGCGCTCATGATTTTTTACATTTCTCCCGATGCCGCTTCGTCTTCTGTTATTACTTCGATGCTTTTCTCATTTATGATTTCATTCTGTGGTGTTATTCAGCCTAAGCTTCTTATGCCTGGGTTTTGGACGTTTATGTGGAAAGTATCGCCGTATACGTATTTTGTCCAATCCTTTTTAGTTGTCGTTTTCCATAATAGACCTGTTCGCTGTGACCCGTTTGAGTTTAATGTTATGGAACCTCGATCTGGACAAACATGTGGAGAATATTTTGCTGATTTTCTTGATTCAGGGAACCCTGGCTATGTCAACAATCCGGATGCAACTACGGGCTGTGAGTTTTGCAAGTATAGCGTTGGAGACGAGTACATAGAGACTGTGAGTGCTTCGTACAGTTACAAGTGGCGTAACGTTGGCTTTATTTGGGCATTTATTGTTTTTAACTTTTTTGCAATGTTGGGAATGTACTATATTGTGCGTGTGCACAAGTGGAACTTGTCTAATATAAAGTCGTTGGTCAATTTCGGATGGATCCGTGAGATGTTCAAGATTAAAGAGGAACGTGAGGAGGAGGAACACCATGATGTGTATGAAGAAAGACCAGAGGATATTGCAATGGCGCGTGAAGTGGACAACCAGATTCGCATTCGCCGCCAGTCAGTGGCAAATTCAACTTCTGTATTCACTGATCCCAGTGCTTACAAGGAAGTTTAATTGTGGATAGTAGTAGTAGTGGCAGTAATATAGTTGGAATTTTTTTTTTTTAATTTACTCATAATAATAATTTAATTTTAATAATATTTACAAAGTCATTAATTTTAAAAGCAATGTTAGCTACTAGCAGATCCGCTAGAATCGCCAGCTTTTGCTTCAGCTCCGGCTGCTGGGCCTTCGTTAGTTGGAATTTTTTCGCCACGCTTTTCAAGCTCGTATTTAATGCGTTCCATAGAACGGTAGACCTTCGACTGTAAGTAAAAAGAACCGCCGCGGTCCTTTGAGTTGACATCAAATAAGTAATTATACTTGTTTTGAAGTTTGTCAAAGGTTGGCAGGTGAGCGCTATCAACATCAAGGATCTTGCAAGCCTCGTCGTAAGAAATGCCGCCGGTGCGCTTGCGTGCTTCAGCACTTGCGCCTGCGCGGATGCTGGCATTGGAAGCCTGGTGGTAAGCCTCAGCAAAGGCCTTACCAAAAACCTGTGTACCGGTGATGATAACTTGAACAATTAATCTATGTGCCTAAAAAGTTAATACTATGTTTGTGAATGAAACTCTTTTGACATACCATTGTTGGATATTTGTGTGTGATAATGGTGGTGGTGATGATTTCAGAATTTTTGAATTTTTTTTTTTCTGGAGGGTTTTTTTTCTGGAGGATTTTTTTTTTTTTTGAGAGGCCAAAGCAAAAATTTTAGGCATCACGTGGTTCGACAGGGTAACCGGGTGTGACACAGCACGGGACCATAGCCGGGACGGGTCCGAATTGTAAGCTAAAAAAAAAAAGGGCGGCAGAGCTAAGTGGCAAACTCAAAATTGGCAGTGATGAGTTAAATGATTTGAAATTTGGAATTTGAAATTTGAGATTTGAGATTTGAGATTTGATATCTTTTAATCCTATGGGAAATTGGACAATAAAAAAAAAAAATTAAAAGTATCTCTATATGATGTGAAAATTCCCATGTTAAAAACGCGTCAGAGCTTAGTAGAATAGGCAGAAAATCATATGGGATTTGAAAACTACAAACCCCTCTATCTAATGAAATCCCGTCAATCGCATTCTAACGAGTCTTGAATGTGTTCAAAAGGCGATTTCTGTTGTATTAAAAATTTGCGTTCGAAAGTCGCCCCCAGATTTCCATTTCCGTGTTTTCCACACGCGAATAGTCATAAAAAAAATTTTTTTTTTTTGCTCCCTCCGCCAAAAATCCGCGCTTCTCTTCACCACTTTGGCCTTTTTTTTCTTCTCTCTTTTTTTTATTCACTACCACCACTACCACCACCACCACCAAACCTCCCACCTAATCTAATCAAAACCCTTTCCACGTTTGACCGCCTCAACCGCCCCCATGGCCGCCAAAGACGCGCTGTACCCGTGTGTAAATCCATGTCTGAGATAGAACAGCAGTCCCAGAAGCACTCGCTTGCGGTCTCCGCGCTGTCATCCCTTGCAGTACCCTCAACTTCCCAGGGGAGCAACAACACTACAGCTCCTCAGGCGACGACCTCTCAAGGGATGACACCAAAAAAAACCCCACAGCCGCTACCTCCAATGTCTATCGCTATCAATAATACGAATTCAACTACCTCTAAAACTACTACTGCTTCGACAACTTCTTTTCCATCTTTATCACCTTCATTTGCACCTTCTTCATCACCATCGTCACTACCGTCATCTTCACAGAACCAGCCATACCCTCCACCAGCGGCTCTGCCGCCAAAACCTCCTCCAATACATCAAGATCAGACTCAACTTTCTGGTAAAATAGGTCAAAAATCTTCAAATGATATTCATTCCAATGGAACCTTATTGGAAAAGAAGAAGCCACGGCATCAATCATCTCAGTCACCTTCACAGCCTCAGTCACAACAAAATCAACAACAACAGCAAAAACAACAGGAGCAGGATAAATCTCAGATTATCATTTACCCTGTAAACTCCGGCGTTATTCGTTGCATATGCGGATTTTCTGATGACGACGGTTTCACCATCCAATGTGAGAGATGCAACGTATGGCAGCATGCTGTTTGCGTAGACATTCAAGATGAGAGTCAGGTTCCTGAGGTGTATCTTTGCGACCGGTGCGGAGGTGCAAAAAAGGATCCTGAAGTTGCTCGTCGTCTTCAACTTCATCGCATTCACGATGCCAGAAGGTCTATTCCAACTGGCAGTATAGGAACTAATCCAGACGCTACAAAATGTGAGTTTTTTTTTTGTTATCCTTTATTGCATATTTTAACACACCCTTTAGCCTCCAAACGCAAAAGAAGTGCTGACGACGATAAAGAATTTAAACGAACCGGTTCAGAAGGTGCTGTGCCAATAGGGCACGCTAGATCCGAGTCGAGTGCCTCCCGCAGAGGTAGTCCAGTAACTGTTGCTCCAAATTCAACTTCATCAACACAAGATTCTTCAACTTTATTAACTACAACATCTACAGGTAATTCGACATCTAATTCTAACGAAAAACCAACTACATCGACTCGCCGAGGTCGTAGTAAAAGGCTTACATTACAACCGCCAGAAGAAGCAGCTGACAATGACGGTGAACCCGAAAAAAAGTTTACGCTTTCTCAAATGTCTCGTTCCTACTACGTTTCCATTTCTCAAAACCGCTTTGCAAGCCCATACATACATAAATACGTGGCATCACTAGCAACAGCTCAGGACCTAGATGAATCTACATCCTATCTCTCCCGTACTGACTACAACACTATCGAGCTGCCCAGTCTCTCCGTCAAATTAACTAGCGACCATCCAAAACAAAAATTCTCGGGGTTTTCAAGATTTGGTCTTTTCCTCGACGGGCCGGTAGCCCGTGATCGATTTTTGCTAGAATATGTTGGCCTAGTCATGCCTAAGACAGAATACAAAAACAACAACATTAACCAATACAGGCACTTTGGCTGCCCTAAACCCGGCGTTTTATTTCATCCTTCACTTCCGATATGTATTGATGCACGCCAGGTGGGCTCAGATGCCAGATTTCTCCGTCGCAGCTGTCGACCAAATTGCAAAGTAAGCACCGTTATTGTTGACAAAAAATCCGTCATTTTTGTTGTTTTTGCACTTGAACCTATTAAGCATGGTGCAGAACTGACTCTTGCATGGGAGTGGGACGAAAGACATCCTGTTCAAAAGCTTCTTAGGGACAAGCTTTCCCTCGATCAACTTTCCCGTGACGAGCGTGCATTTTTGGTCCATTCTGCAGAATATATTAACCAGCGTGGATCCGAATGTGCTTGTAATCTTTCTCCTAGCGAGTGTTTGATCGCCCGCATGAAGAAGGCGCTTGGGAACCCATCCCGTGTTACCCGTACTAGTGCAAAGACTCGACGCGGCGGCAGTGGAAGCATTCTCGACGGTACCAACAACGCAGTAATGTCTGCTGATGATGCAGATACTCCAGGAAGTCAAGATTCAGACGATCCAGCACCAGTTTCTCACGCGCCAATTTCTTTCTACTCTAAACGTGAAGCTCGCAAGCTTCAATCCGCAATGGCACTTTTTGAAAAGCTTAGTAATGAACCTCCTACAAAACGACGCAAAACTGATCAGCGCGAAACTTCAACTGAAAATGAAGATGATACTGAAAAGGGAACCCCTACAGAAGAAACCCCCAAAGAAAAGCAAACAGATAATACCCAAACTCAACCAAATACTTTAAAAGAACAGCCTTCAGTCAAGGAACCAACTCCTGAACCGATAAAGCCAATTTTGAACTACTCGGAAAAGTCAGTTCAAACCAATCCCGTTAATATTCCTCTCAGAAAGAGCCTCAATCCAGGCTCTTCGCAAATCATACTGACTAGTACGTCATTGGCATCAGAGCCTCTTAAGCTTCGTGTTTTCCACAAGTATCTGATATCGAAGCATACGCCCAAGAACCCAAAGCGAGGCCCGTCCAGCACTTTGGCTTCAGGAATTTTAAAGCGTGCGCTACCTACAACGATTACACCACCAATAATTTATCCGCCGCATTACTCTCCACATGACATTAAGCGACGTTCCAATGGTGGGTATAGATCAAACCAAACTTTTTCTTTATCGGGGTCTGCTTCAGCACTTAGTCGTCCTTCGCCTGTGACAGGGTTACCTCCACTGGCCCCTTTAGCCGGGTTGGGTGCTTTTTCGTTATTGCCAAATGGTATTGGTCCGGTAGCAAACGGTCATTCTTCGCAAGGCTCAACTCCGGCAGTGACACCAGGTGCATCACCTCTTCATCCAAAGGATGGCAGTCCTCAGCCAACCACGTTGACAAATACAGGATATGCGTATGGAACACGTTCAGATGCGAAAAGTGTGACCCCAACGCCGTTACAATCTCCTGCCCATACACCAAGGAATTCATCTGACCTGACACCCCCTCCACTGCTATCACAGCAAGCCCACAAGACTCAAGGGCCGGCATTTCAAAGTGCAAATACAAAGGGTCAGCCTTTGGCAGCAAATGGAACAAGCTTTGGAAAGATTAATGATCCGAGTGGATTTCAGTCAACAGCTAGCGGCGCACCATTTGGGGCATCAGCTAGTGCTGGATCCGTTCCCCCACCAAGGCCTACTATTAAAAAGAAGCTTAGTTTTGCAGATTACATGAAGAAGCAACAAAAAACGGCGGCGTCGGCATCCCAGCAGGCCAAACCAAACAAACCCACGACGCCACCCACAGGGAGGAACTAAAGAATGGCATGAATTGATTTATATTTTTAACACGTTTATGAAGTTTTTTTTTCGCTTTTTTTTTATTTTAAAATTTTTCACAAAAAATTAGTATTATGTATAAATCCACACATGAATAAAAAAAAATTAATAATAATAACATGGACACTTCACGTGAGGCTTTGCCTTGTTTAGTATATTTCTTCGATAACAATGGGTTTGTAGTGATACTAATATTCAAATAATAGTTTTAACTGTTTTTTTTTTCTATTTTCTATTTTCTATTTTCTTTTTCTATATCTGTTTTCTCAATAGCTCTGCAAATGTCTTACGCAAAAATTTCAAAGCTTGTGAAAGCACGAAAACCCGATATCATTACAAACGATGTTAGTCATGCGGTGCGACTTGTGGATGATAAACACTGGGGGTTCCGAGGATCTATTGCACTTGATGTGATGCATATTGATGGGCAAATGACCAAAAAGATTCGGAAAACAGTTGTAGATGGGCAGTATCTGCCTTATATATTTTTCGTTCAAAGGTTTAATAATTGGGTCCATAAGTATTGTAAGTTTAATATTTTTTCAATTGTGATTGATTTTGCTAATTCAAAGGCTTTCATGTGATTGTATCTGCAAGAGACGGGCACTTGCTAACCCACACTGAGTTTGAACAGTATCAGCAAAAGTTTTTTGGTCTTATGAGCAGCCATATGACTTGGTTCCAGAAGCGTAAAAAAGCGACTTGCAAACTGGTTTGTTTTTCGTCAGAGCAGCCTGTGCAAGAAGTTTTCGATCATCCTCTTTGTTTTGTAATTTTTTACACGTTCCCGCCTGAACAAAAAAGGGTTTGGATAGTGGGGGGAACCCCCAAAGGAGAAGCAAATTTGTGGATTAATGCATATAAGTTGGATGAAAAGGAGGCTCAAAAAAGGTACTTTTTAAAGTAAGAATGGTTAGATGAAAAAAACAGAAAAAAGGGGGAATGATTAAAAGAATTAGATTGAGAAGTTAATATACAGTTTCCAAAAGAAAAGGTTTGATTTCTTTTTTTCCTTTTTTTTAATTTTAAAATATCCAACTATTTTAAAATTTAACAAGCTGTCCGATACTTTTTTTAAAAAAAAATTGTAATCCAGAAATACAAACATGAGCGTTTGATAAAATCATTTCTTTTATCGCATTTTCTTCAAGGTGTATAATTGTTCATTATGTCAAAAAAAAGGCAATTTTGACCATAAATGAAGTTAAAACTAGCTAAAATATAAACTTGAGTTAAAATGAAATGTTAATAATGATTGATTAAGTTATATTTTAATGATATTCTACAGAAAAGCCAAGATTTTTTAAAAATAATCATTTTTTGGAATTTTCAATTTAAATATACTTTTGTTAATAAAAATATCGCTGTAGTGGCATTTTGGTTGAAGTAGTGACGCGTTTTGAATTTTCCTACTCTCTTTAGGGAGAAGTTTTCAGGTGTCCGGTTCGAGTCTGAAGGTGCGCTTCTCAAGCCCTGTGGGTAACCTGGGTCGCTTGAGCTAACGGTAAACAGAGGACTACTCCCCAGGCGAGCAATCGAGCAAGGACCTCCTCACCTCCAAGACGGCGAAACGGATGGCACTTGAGAATTTGGATTCAGATCGAGATTAAACAAACGACAACTTTTTTTTGGTTGTGCAAGAAAAAAAAAAAAAGGAAGCAGATCATGATCAATGTAATGGAATTGTTCATCATTTGTATTGTTTTTTTTTTATTTATAAATAAATAATTAATTAATTTTTTTTCATTCTTCTAATCAAAAAATTGAATTGGATTAAAATTAAATAAAATGACAGATGAAGATGAATGGTTGATGATGCTGGGCTTTACGCAGTTTCAAATGAGAAATACTGTTAAGCCAGACTACATTGTCGCAGATATTTTCAAGGCCATCGAGCTTATTTTTGATTGGGATAGTGATCTGGGGCCTTCGATTTCATTATTTAACATTAGACGGATCAAGATGGAAGACATCAAGGTCCTGGCACACGACGGTTCCGGGATACGCAGGGTACCTGTGTTTAAGGATCTGCGGGAGGAGCTTGCAAGAACTAGGTTTGAGTATATACTATGTCCACAAAGATTTGATTATGGGATTAATGGGAGCATGAGTGTGTTTTGTCCTTTTATGTAGTATTTGAAGATTATCAAAGATAGATAGAGAGAGAGAGAGAAAGAGAGAGAGTTTTTGTGACTGACTAGATAGGTTTCCATGTTCTTTTGAGACCCAAAGCTTCAGGGGATTTTGAAGACTTTGAAAGAGAGCAGATCAAGACATACCGCACGCTAAAGGAACTGACATGGATCAGCGATAAACTGCGAGGGGATTTCAAAAATACGTATTTCCATACAGACAATGCGCCCAGTTATGTGTTTGGAAATCCCGTATATTTTCTATTTTTCTATCGGTACGAGAGTGAGCAGAGCAGTAAGGCGTGGGTAAATGCACTTCGAAGCGAATAAAGATTTTCCAATTGAATTTTTTTTTATAATTAAAAAAAAAAATATAAATATAAAACTTTAATTACATAGAAAACAAACAGGAACTAATGTTGTAGATGTTTATTTGGGGCAGCAAGATCCACCAGAGGGAACAAAAGTGGAGGAAGGAGCGGCGGCAATAGCAGCAGATCCAAAAGCGAGTTCCGAATCCTTGTCGTACATTTGTCTTTCGCCCGACTCTTTTGCACGGACTTCGGTAGCTGTGATAGCATAAGAGGGAGGCACGTCAATGGCCGGATTCATGAGGAAGAAGTTGCGAGGGCGCAGAAGCAACATGATGGGTTCTGCAGGCATGATGGGGAAATCCTCTGGGGCTGGGAAATGGGTGATACCAAAAGTATGGAAAACAACGATATCAGTGTTGTCAACGTTCTGTGTACCGTCGCCGATCCACTCGGGCAACCCGGCAGGAGGGAAGCCAGAGCTTTGAGGAACGTGCTGGCCAGCAGGGTACAACTGGTCATCCTTGTAAGGGACAACATGGATGGCGTGTTTGGCAAAAGCTCCACGGCGTGCAACTACACCGCCGTCTTTAGGGAGCAGGGCAGGAACTTCACGAGAGACAATCTTGTAAGAAACAGGCTTGCCTGAGTATGGGTGAAGCTTGTTAGGGTTAAAGATATCCCAAGTGCGTGAGCGGGAACCATCATAGCCAACCATAGACTCGCCTGAAGTCTTAAAGACGGTACGTTGAGGGAAAAAGGCGTTACCGTACTTGTTGTCTGGGTGTCCGACTGGGATATCAGGAGTAGCACCGTCGACCATAGCGACGGAGTTTTCGGATCCATCGATTTCCGGGTCAAGACGCAAACAGAACATGTGTTGATGGTTTTGGGCATTGACTCCAGGGTAAACCTTGGTACCGTAGGGTTCTGTTTTCTCGTCTGGATTGGCAACGTAGGTGTTTAGGATACCAGTGAGCTTAATGTCGAGGGAAATGGTAGCATCTTGATGGAAGTTCCAGTAGAAACAGTAGGTGTAGTTACCCACAGTTGCAATCTGGGAAATGACAAGTTTACGAGCACGGGCAACCAGGGAAGTCTGGAACTCGTCACGGAAGTCTGCGTGCTTGAAGAGCAGACCGTTATCTTCCTCATGAATGCAGACTGCATTTTTGACGGTAGAGATGGATCCGTCACGGGTAACGTAAGACCAGTCAAGGTAGTGAATTTTGCCAACGCAGTCACATCCAAGTCCGAGTGGGTTGACACAGTTTCCGAAACCATACTCGCCAATATCGATGGCAAGCTTGTGGGGGTGTTGGTCTCCTGGGTGGCCATAGGGGACAATCATATCGGCCATGGAGATACGGCGGAAGATGGGACGGGTTCTGCCCTCGAACTTATCATGATAACGGACGTTGGAGAGAACAAGACCTTCGCGATAATTGACACCAATGTGGAGCTCAAAGTTTTGCCATGAAATGACGTTGCCATTCATGGTGAAAGAAACACCTTCAGGCTGAGTAATTTTGAGAGGCTTGATATCCTTGCGGTATCCAATGCCAGCCTCGATATCTTTTGGATAGAAGTTTGGATGAGGGGCCTTGGAGAGGGGTCTGCGGATAGTGGGAGTCTTGACATAGAGGACCTTTTTGAGCTCAGTATCAATGATGGGGCAGAAGTCAAGGGCATGGGAGTATTGGAAGTCATCAGGATCGGAACGATAGTACATGATTGCCTGTTGGAGACGGCGGCTAGTTCCATATTTTTCGTCGAAGCCAACAGTCCAAGGGTCACAGTAGACCTTGTGCATATCCTCTAGGGGGATACCTGAGATACGGCACTGTTCGATTACAAGAGGGTCAGTGCGGATGACTTTTTCAGTAGTTGCAAGGTCTGCAGCTGTGATGATTGGTTGGGCATTTTTCTGGTGGTTGAAGAGTTTGATTTGGCCATCTGTGAGGCTGAGGTAACCATCAATAAGACCTGGAACACCAGTTTCAATGAGAACGAAATAAACTTCACGAGGAACGTGGACAGATGGATCAACGAGCCATTCATTCATATTGGCCTTGCGAGGCTCACGAAGAGTGATTGTGTTAAAGCCAAGCTTGCGTGTAGGATAGGATGTCTTGATGATTTTGACTGCGGCCGCAAGCTCAGCTGGAGTGAGGGGATCCAGCGGATGGCTTGGGGGGGTCAAAGAGGAGGTTAAGTGAGATGAAAGAGTTGATAGGCGGTTCATTTCTGGGAATGTGAGGGGATGAGGGAATCAAAAAGTTTAAAGAAGGATAGATATTTGAAAAATGAGAATGAAGATAGAATAGAATAGAATAGAATATATAATAAGTTATAATTAAAAAAAAAATAAAAATGGCAGTTTTGATTTCTTTTATAGTTGAAAAAAAAAAAAAAAAATTGGCAGTTAAGATTTCAGCGTAGAGCTTCTCTTTTTTTTTTTTTTTTCTGTCATAGCTAAAGATGGTTTGTTAGTTTGTTAGTTAGTTGGTCTGTCTGTCTGTCTGTCTGTCTGTCTTTCTGTCTTTCTGTCTGTCTTATCAGTGTGTGTGTGTGGGGAGAAAAAAAATGACATATAAAAAAAAGTCCTCACTCCGCAACTGATTTCCCAAAAAGGAAATTTCAGATAATGCACGGTTATTTTCTTCTTATCAACGCAAGTATCCTAATTAGGAAATCAACCAGCGGGTCCCGGGTCTCCTCCATTTAATTAATTAACAATAAAAAAAAAAAAAAAAAATTGCAAAACCCGCGCTGGCAAGTTTTTTTTCTTTCTAATTGTCTAATTGTCTAATTGTCTAACTGCTGTTATAAATAAATTTAAATGGCAGTTTTCTAAGCCCAGAAATTTTTGTTAATATAAAAAAAAAAAAAAAAAAAAAAAAAATGAATGGCTGAGAATGAAAGATTTGAGAGCAACTCACACTTTAAAAAATCCAACCCCTTCTTGCTCTCAAATCTCAAAATCTTAACTACACAAATATACAATAAACAATAAAAAAACAAAAAAACAAAAAAACAAAACCTGGCTAGAGCTGCCATTCATTCAACATTTCCAATATTTCCAACATTTCCAACATTTCCAACAATCAATCGTTAACACTTGCCTTTTCATTGTTATTACCTTTGCCTTTTTTTTTTTTTTAATTATTATTATTATAATAATAATAAAATAATAAAATCACACATCTATATTATCTTTAAATCCTCCTCAATCGCAGCTACCAAATGAACCGCATCAGGCTTCCTAGCAACAACCCGTGCTGGAAGTCTCTTGCCCTCTAAATATTCCTCCGTCGTAGGCCCAATAGCCGCAACACGAACTGCCCGGTGCTCAGAAATCCGCCGCACTGCTTCTACCACTGGATCCGCCTCTGCAGGTGAAAAAAATACATAGTAAGGATCTGGCCGATCTCCTCCTTCTTCTCCTTCTCCTCCTGCCTTCTTCTTTAAATCCTCTAATAATTCCTCTTCAATCTCCTCCACAACTTCTTGCTCTAACTCTTCACCATTTTCCCCCTCCTCTTCTTCCTCCACATGCTCAAGCTCCTCAGAAATTAATCTCAACACATGCTCCTCCAAATTCTCAATTGCAAGTGTCTGGTACACAACCCGCTCCGCAAGCCTTAGTCGTGCCTCCCGTAGTCGAACAGGAATAATGTCTCTTCTAGTGACTCCAGTAAAAAATACATACTCCCCAATCTCCCCAGGCCTTTCCTCACTCTCCCGTACTATAATCTCTGATAACACTGATCCGTTTCCTGCAGATGCCCCCCCACGAACATCCTTATACCCAGCCCGTGCCAATGCAGCCGCAGACGCTGGTCCTACCGTATATACTGGGCGGCTTACCAGAGCCTGTTGGGCCTCTGGACCTACTGATGCATGCACCTCGTTGACAGCCTCGATTGCGCGCTGCGAGGTTATAATGATTGCACTGTTGCCGTTCTGGAACTCTGCAGATTGCACCAGCATGCGCAGCTCGTCCGTATTGATGAACTTATGGCGCAGCAACGGCACAAATACCGGCTCAAACCCGTGCTCCAAAAACAGATCATGGTACGGATCTTTGGGCACTGTTTTATTTTTAAAAAGGTAGATTCGCCGGTTAGGCACTGAGGCTTTTGTTGTAGAAGTTGGTGCGGTCATTATAGCAATTGAAAAGCCTAAATTGCTATTGGCAAGCAAAAAAAAAATAAATTAAAAAAAATAAAAAAATTTTAAATCAAAAAAAAAAAAAAAATCAAATAAGTCATGTGACTTGGTCCGAACCAACTATTTGTTTATTTTTTCTAAAATGTGCGGCTGGCATCGTAATAAAAAAATAAAAAAAAATTTTGCAGACCAAAAAAAAAAAAAAAAAAAATTCTTCTTCTACGTTTTTTCCTGCCTTCCTTCCTTCTTTCTTTCTTTCTTTCTTTCTTTCTTTCTTTCTTTCTTTCTTTCTCTCAAGCTACCAAAAGTCCCACACGCAAAAATGGCTACCGCAATCTCCAACCAGGACCAAAAAAACAAGTATGCAAAGTTTGTCAGCTGGATGATCGATAACAATATCCAGGTCAGCTCTCTGCTCACTCTTCGCGAGTCTCCGCTCGGAGGCATTGGCGTATTTGCACGCAAAAAAATTCCAGGAGACAGCCTACTGCTCACTGTCCCGAAAAATGTCGTCTTGAGTCCATCAAACTGTGGCATTGCAAACCTGCTTGACGATGCTGACTTCGAAGGTATGCTCGGTCTTGCCCTCGCTTACATGTTTGAGCGTAGTTTGGGCCCTGCATCCCCCTGGTACGAATACCTTCAAACAATCGACCACTCAGCCCTTGCCCAGGAAAACCCCCGCTTCTGGGGACCCGCCGATCAGGAACTTTTGGCCGGAACAGAGCTTTACTACCATACCCTGCGTGTCGAGGATGACGATGTTACCGAGGTCTTCAAGTTCGATGTGGCTCCATTCATTGAGCGTCATGGCCTGTTTGCTGACCAACCCGAAATGCGCACCCTCGAGTACTACCGAGATTCACTGTTGGCTGTGGCTTCGCGCGCTTTTGAAATCGATGTTTACCATGGACTTTCCTTGGTCCCTGGTGCTTGTTTATTCAATCACTCAGCAAATGAAGACGTCCATTTTGAGGTTCAAAGCCAGGTATGTCCGCTATGTGGATCTGCAGACTTTTGCGAACATCTTTTGAATAAACTAGAGGGGGGCCATGATGAGGAAGAAGAAGATGGATGCCACGGACATACCCATAGCCATGGTGATGATCACGAACACACTCATAGTCATGGTGATGATCATGAGCATAGTCATAGCCATAGCCACAGCCACAGCCATGGTCATTCCCATAGCCATGGAGCTGAAGATGAGGAGGAAGAAGAAGAAGAAGAAACCGAGCTCAATGAGGACGTACTTAGTAGTAGTTTTGAAGATAGTGAAGACGAATCAGATGATGGATTTGAAGATATTGATGAAGATGAAGAAGAAGAAGAGGATGATGATGGTGATGATAACGACAATGAAGAAAATGATAAAGACGACGACGAAGAAGAAGAAGAAGAAGAAGAAGAGCCTCAAGACACCTGCGACATTGTCACAATCCATACCATCCCCTCAGGCCAGGAGATTTTCAACACATACGGCGAGCTTTCCAACCATAATCTGGCGTCCCGTTATGGGTTTGTCATCTGGGACAATCCACATGAGACTGTAGGGCTAAGTTTGGAGATCCAAGCTTATATTGCAGAAAACAATTTGGCCAAACGTGAAGCCTGGTGGGCCCGATCCTTTTACGAGGCACTGTACGAGATTCGACCTGATCAGTATGAAGAACTGGCCGAGGCATACGAGAACAGAGAAGACGAAGAGGATAATCATCATGGAAGTGGTGGGAAAAATTGGCAAGATGGGGAGGAGGAAGAAGGCCTGCCGCCTTCCCCAGAAGAAGTTACTTGGGAAGACGAGGCATACTTGACCAGTGACGGAAAACCCTCTGAAGGTCTTGTCAAGATGCTCAAGGTTCTTACTCTTTCTGATCAAGCCTTTGTTACCTTATCCCTGCAATTCGAGGCCGGCAACTACTCAGGACTCCAGACACCAGCATCCAGCAGCAGCAGCAGCAGCAGCAGCAGCAGTGCCTCTTCTTCCTTCAACTCCTCCTCCCTTTCTGACAAGGCCAGAATTCTGCTCAAGGCCCTTGTGGCACTGCGTGGAAAGCGTTATGCAGACGGTGGCTTGTCCAGTTCCCAGTGCAAAAAAATTATGGACGAATTGCAGCCTTCTAACGACCCCCGCAAAATCATGGCTCTCACAATTAAAGGCACGGAGAAACTCGTTCTGGAAAGGGCAGCCGCATGGCTCGCCAAAATTGAAAAAAAACGAACCTCCAACACCACCAAAAAGTCTTCCAAGGCTGGTAGACGATAGACAGATAGAAAATGATGACGACATATATAAATAATAATGGTTTAATTGTATTTTTTTTTTGTTTGTTTTGTTTGGCTTTGCTTTGCTTTGCTTTGTTTCCCTTTTTTTTTTTTTTTTTTTTTTACTTTTCAGATTCCCGCTGCTTCTCGCGCTCCTTTTGCTTAACCACTTCGCGCGCCTTGCGCCGCCGTCGCTTGGCCTCGTAATCGTGCCATTCACCAGACAGATCAGCCAGCTGCGGTGGTTTCTCATCCTTGGGTCCTTGCTCTAAAAACGGGTGGCACAGTGAATCACTGGCTGACACTCGGCGTGCAGGGTTGAGTGCAAGCATCTCACGTGCCAACGCCAGTGCAGATTCAGGGACCCTGCCGCGGTACCGCTCGTCAAACCGTGACGGCAACGACCGCGACGGTGCCAGCACCTTGGCCCACCGCAGCTGCTCTGCCTCCGGCCATTCGTTTTGGTCCGGCGTACCCATCGTCTTGTAAATCGCAAGCAACTGGCTCACCTCCTCGTTTGCCTGGAATATTGCAACCCGCGTAAAAAGCTCCACCAAAATACACCCCATCCCCCAAATGTCAACCGCAGCCCCGTACTTGGTGGCTCCAAGAAGAAGCTCAGGGGGCCGGTACCATAGTGTAATCACGCGGTTGGTGTAGATGGCATCCGGGTTAAGCACGTCCACCTGGCGCGCAAGACCAAAGTCTGCAAGCTTAACAACGCCGTCAGCTGAAACTAAAATATTGGAGCACTTAATGTCTCGGTGCAACACTCCGCAGTGGTGTACATACTTGAGGCCTTCCATGACCTGCCGAAACAAAAACTTGACATTCCCAACAGTCAAGCGCAGCCCAGGAATCGACAGCACGCCCGCAAGATCATGGTCCGAGTACTCAAATACCATAAAGATTTGGTTTCGCTCAACCATCATTTCCTGCAGCTGTACGATATTGTGGTGCCGCAAGAGTTGCAGCAACTTGATTTCGCGCACGGCCGTAATCGGGACGCCGTCACGCTCTGTTTCCAGTCGCAGCCGCTTGAGCGCAACCATATTTTGCGTCTTAGTGTTGACCGCCTTGTACACCTTGCCATAAGTTCCCTCGCCAACCTGGGAAATTCGTTTAAACACGGAATCAACACGGTACTCAAGGAATGAGCTTTCGGTGGCTAAACTGGAGTACCCTGCTGGGGCTACAGGGGTCATGGTCCTTTTAAATTTACTGTTGTTCCCAGACAACCCACGAGTTGGCTGATGTGTGATGCGCTTCCCATTTGAGCGCCGGTTACTTTCGTGGTCCGAATCATCGTCTGCTCCATCAGGCAAATCATCCGTAAAAGTTTGGGGTAAAGGTGGCGGAGATGCCAAACCTTTGAAATTTTGCTGGTGGTGGTAATGTTGTTGTTTTTGTTGTTTTTGGTCCCCACCACGTAACCGCCACGAGCTAGGTCCACTCGGCGGAGCCTTGTCGTACCGACCCTTTTTTTCAGGTTCAGGAGACTCTGGATTATTGGTATCGTCGTTGTTCTTTTTACCCTTGTCGCTACCATATTGCTGGGGTCGCCGACGGTCCCCAGGTGAAGATGAGCGGCGACGCATCGACACAAGTGTTGGAGACTTTGACCGGTCCTTGCGGTTATTGAATTTGTTGTTACCATTGTTATGGTTATTATATGATCGTGAATCTCGATCACGGTCCCGGCTGCGGTCTCGATCATGATACCGATGATCTCGGCGGTCTCTCTGGTCTCTCTGGTCTCTGTTCTTGTTATACCTATCGTACTTGTCCGAACCCCGGTCATTATATCTGTCTGAGTGTTTGTGATCTCTGGTACTATTGCCTGACCTATTGAAACGATTATAACTGGGCCTAGAGTCGTCGTTGTCGTCGTCGTCATAGTCATGGCCATGATCATGGTCATGATCATGATCATGATCATTATGATTGTTATTTGGTGTAGAGTCTGCAGGCGAAGATGGTTCTTGTGTTCTCTTTTGGGTGTACTTATGTGAAGGGGGTGGTGGTGGAGACACAGAAGAAGAGGGTGAATGGGGAGGATCTTGTGCAGGTGATGATGATTGAGGCTCTACACGAGATGCATTTCTGCTGTTATTGTTGCCACGTTTCTTATAGGGCCGGGTATCTTCATCGTAGTCATCATGATCACTGTTGTAATTTTTATTTTTTTCATTGCTGTCATTGTCACCTTTGGATTTGGTTTCATTATGGCCATTGGAAAGCCCATTGTGTTTTGTTGGGACATCAGAGGTATCTTCATAATGGTTGTCATCATAATGGTTGTCATCATAAAGTTTGAAGGGGGGGTCTATAGGCTGAGATTCAATTTGAACGTTTTCTTTCCGAGAACCACTAGATTCTTCGCCTTCCATGGCTGAATGCAATCGTTTTTGCCGTGGAATGTAACGTTGTTGTTCTCTACGATAGTTAGGTTTTTGTTGCTGAGATGGTTTTTGAGAATCAAACTCAGGAGCTGAGGAAGATCTAGTTTTGTAATCTTCAGAGTTGTCTGCGTTATTTGCAGAAGTATCCAAGCTACTAGAAAGCTTTCCATTTTGAAATGAGATAGAGCGAACAGGTGATTTTTGTGGATTATTGTTGTTGTAGTTGTTGTTGTGGTTATTGTGGTTATTATTGTGGTTGTTGTGGTTGTTGTGGTTGTTGCTACGATTATGGTGAAAATTTTGATGGCGGTTATGGTTATTGTAGGATCTATAGCCATTGTTATTATGATTATTATTATTATTTGATTGTCTGTCATCAACGCGAGAAGCAAAAGAAGACCGATCTTTGTATCCTGAAGGTGATTTATCATTTTTAAAGCGCATAGGAGGAGACCGTGATCGATGGCCATGTTTCCGATGGGGTGGCGGAGACTGGTCTAGATGGATTGTTAGCCAATGGTTAATTAAAGATTGTTGTTGGTTGAAGAATGATTTATTGTACATACCATTACCATTATTACTATTATTACTATTATTATTACTATTACTATTGTTATTGTTATTGCGATAGTCATGGCGATGCCCGGTAGAATGCGAGTAAGAGGACGTGGACTCACGTCCAAGCTTTCGCTTCACCATTGAATAGGAAGAAGACGATGATGGAGGAATTGTGAAATAGAAGCGTCTTACGCGTGAGACGTATTAGTTTTAAAAGTATAGACCAAAAGTTTAGAAAGAAAGAAAGAAAAGGGGGGGAGGGGAAGAATTGAATAAGAATTTAAATAAAGAGTGAAAATTAAAGATTTTGAAAATATATATTAGTTTTGGTAAAAAGAAGAAAGATGAAATAAGAGTTTAAAAAGAATTGATTTTGTTTTTTAAAAAAAAAAAAAAAAAAAAAAAAAAAAAAGGATGAAAAGTTTCTTTTTTTTTTTTTTTTAAACAAATGTATGGTTGTTTATAAAGTTTTGTGAATGAAATGATTAAAAGGTTGGTGGCTGCGTTTTTGTTTTAAAATTTTTTTTTTTTATTTTATAAAACGAAACCCCTAGCCCTTATTATTAAGAAAAAAAAAAAAATAATATATATAATTTTTTTATGAAAGTTAAATTGTTGATGTACTTTAAATATTTTATAAAAGTATATCTTTTGGATGTTGCAACAAGAAAAAAATAATAAACAGCAACAACATTTTTTTTAATATTTTTTTTTTTGCGCCACCAAAAATTTCCAACAATTTTTTTTTTTTTTTTTTTTTTGACAATCTGTGATTTACAGTCTGTGATTTATATATATTTATATGAAAAAAAAAAAAAAATACTTTAAAAGCTATTGAAAAAAAAAAAAATGAAATAAATTAATCAAATCAAAATCAATTTAAATCAATTTAAATTAAATTAAATTAAATTAAAATCTTCCTATTAAATAAAAATAAAAATAAAAATAAAAATAAATTCCTATTAATTTTTTTTTTTTTTTTTGCCATATTTTTTTTTATTTCTGTCGACCGGTACCGGAAGCCCCGCTGACATAAGCCGTGCCTTAGTAATGGCTTAAAAGCACCGCTTTTATTCGTCCTGGTGGCACAAACGCATTTTAAAAAAAATAAAAAAATAAAATAAAAAATAGTTTCTGTTGGTGGTGGTGGTGCTGCTATTGAATTTTTCTTTTCTTCTAATTTTTTTAATTTTTTAATTTTTTTAATTTTTTCTTTTTTTCTTCTTTTTTTTTTTTTTTTTTTTTTTTTTTTTTTTTTTCTTTCTCTCTTTTTCCTAAATCTTTAATATCAAAATCTTTACATCAACAAACAAACCACTCATCCATTTAACAATGCTTACTAGAAACTTCATGTTTGCCTCTAGAGTATGTACATTATATATATATCTCTCTCTTTTTTTTATTTTTTTATTTTTTTTATTACCCTCTTCAAATCACATTATATATATATATATATATGTAAATATCTCATTACTAACTACCATTTCTAAGGCCCGCTTGGCTTCTTCTGTCCCTAGACTTTCTATGAACCGTTTCATCGGTCTGCGATTCCTCTCAGATGAAACTCGTTCTGCCATTGATCGCGCTGTTGCTTCTGCCCCTGTCGTTCTCTTCATGAAGGGCACTCCTGAACAACCCATGTGCGGCTTTTCTCGTAACACCATTCAGATTCTCGGCTATCAAGGCGTTGACCCTCGTAAGTTTGCCGCCTACAATGTCCTCGATGACCCCGAACTCCGACAGGGTATCAAGGAGTACAGCGAATGGCCTACTATTCCCCAGCTTTATATCAACAAGGAGTTCATTGGTGGCCACGATATTGTTGTCGCTATGAACGACTCGGGTGAACTTGCTGAGCTCCTTGAAAAGGAGGATGTTCTTGTTCCTGAAGAGTAAACAAATGTATGACTATTGGTCTACTAAAAAGTTACAAAAAGAGAATGGAAGAAGAAGAAAAAAAAAAAAAAAAGAATCACAAAACTGGGTCAACAAAAAAAAAATTGATAGATGAGATGTAAATGGCCGGCAGTAGTGCCATATATCTCCCCCTAGAAAATAACAAAAGGGTGTACAGAGATGCTTAATGATAACGAATAATGTCCTCTTTTATTATTTTATTTTAATATTTTTTTTATTTATATATATATATATATGTTGAAAAAAAAAAAAAAAACTAATAAACCAATTGTAAATATCTAGAAAAAAAAAAACAGTCAGTTAACATAATTTTAACCTTTTGAACTTATTCTTTATTAATAAAAAAAATAAAAAAATAAAACCTATTCAGATTTTGTGAAACGGTTTCCTTTGATTGTCTTTAAAGAAGGGTTCCAAAATGGTTCTTAAAAGTTGCAAAAAAAAAAAAAATTGCCACACACACACACATTTTTCTCAACTCACTCTCATCTCATCACATCACATCACATATCAAACTGCAAACTTTTTAATTAATCTTGTCCTTTGCCATTAATCAAAACCAGTGGTTAAATTATGCACCTCAATAGGAGCGCTGATAATGATCCCATTCAGGACGACTTGTTGCTGCTTGATACTTATTTTCCCTCACAAACCATCCTTGTGTCTTTTCATGTTAGCCGTGGGGAAATGTAAAAAAAAATAAAAAAATAAATAAACGCCGTGCTACCCATAGAAACAAAAAAAAAATTCAAAGTGTATATATTAAAATAATGGTATACAAAAAAGAAAAAAAAAATCGAATCAATGGGAGGGGCTTTAACACTTCCTCCGGTTTCGCGAAAAGACTTTTTGAAAAAAAAAAAAATGATTGTAAAAGAGAGAGTAAATAGAGGAAAAGAGTGCTTTAATAACTTTAGACCTACTTTTGGAGCCCATTCTAAAAGACTAATCAAGGACATGTTCGTTTCAAGTAAAACATCAATATTCACATGCATTTTCATCATCGGTCCAACAACAACAACATCAACAATAACAAGTCTTCCAAAAAAAAAAAAATAACATACCTGAGATTATTAGTTATTTAAATGAAATAATTTATTATTAAAACCTCATAAATTTATTTAAAATATAAACTCCCGAATCGAAGTAAAAAAAAAAAGGAGACACCAAATATATATCTTTGTTTCGGTATAATCTTATTTATTTCTTTTTAAAAAAAAGGAAAAAAAGAAAAATAAAACAAAGAGGGGTATTGATTATTGACTGTTAAAAAGAGAAAAAAAAAGAGAGATTATGATAATGTATAACGAGCCTGTAAATAGTGTCTGTTATCAATATTAATCGTAGTCGTGATATAATGTGTAAATGGTCGTGTAGTCAGTCGTGTAGTCGTGATAATGTGTTTAATCTTTTTTTTTTGTTTGTTTGTTTGTTTGTGTGTGTGTGTAAGTGGCGTTTTGTGATATCAAGAAAAGAGGGACGAGAGGGGGGTGGAAAAGGAAAAAAACAAAAGCACATGGTTTGATGATAACGTCCAAACCTTCAAAATATTAATAAATTAACAAAAAAAAAGAGAAAAAAAAAACCAGCCCCTCCTTTTCAATCACTTTCTCTCAAAATACCCCGAGGTACTCATAAATGAGACGCTGGTATCAAAGACCCATTCGCCAACATCTAAATACTTTTCCAGTAGGTTTTTGGCGTCCTTATTTTCAACTTCTCCAGTTTTAAGTCTAAACATAAGTAGAGTGATGGTTGTTAATATCTTAAATATATATATATATATCTATAGTAGCACATTTTTTTTAATCACCCAAATTAATCATCTTGACTAACTTACGTTAAACCAGTTGACCGCTTGACACCTGCCATAACAGCAGACACAAGTACCAGGTCAACAGAGAGATGGACAATCTTTCCAATCTATTGAATTATAACAAAAAAAAAACAAGTGTTAGCAAAAAAAAAAAAAATTTAAAAATTGCGTGGCGTATTTTTAAGCCATCAAAGAATATATCACATACAGTGCCCATTCTTAATAACAATGCAATGATTAGTGGATACAGTTTCGATGATTAATGCACAAAGGCAATTAGATAAAAGAATAAAAAAAAAGTGAATGTTTGAATGAAAAAAAAAAAACAAGAAAGAAGAGAGAGAGAGAGAGAGAGAGAGAGAGAGAGAGAGAGAGAGAGAGAGAGAGAGAGTTTGATATAAGTTTTTTTGGTGGTTTTGTTGGGTGTAAGGTTTGCTGGCGATAATAAAAAAAAAAAACCTAGAAATTTGAAGGTGGTTCAGCTCAAAGTTAGGCACAAAAAAAAAAGAAAAATAAATAAATAAATAAAAATAAAATAAAAGCTGACGAGTGTCTGACAAGTCGTTTATGAATTTACACCGGGTAATATGCATTTTTTAAAATCAACCAAAAAAAAAAACAAGCAACACAAAGGAATCGAACACAAAAATTCAAAAAGAAAAAAATTTATTGAAATAAAATATTTTTGAACTTTAAAATCGCAAGTACTTAAAAGAATTTTTCATGTTTTAACAAGAACTTATTAATCATCTTCCACAGTTACTCAATTATATATATATATATATAGTAATGATGCAGGTAATCAAGGAACATATGTCAGAAATAGTTTCATTTTTTTGATGAATTACAGAAGAGGGCTTGAGGAAAGTAATTATCATTATCTTTTCCTTACATTGAGGGCTTGTCAATTAGAGTCTGATATTAATTGCTAACAAAAAAAAAAAAAGAAAACAACTCCTATTGGAATTAAAAGCAAACATTTCAATTCCTTTTAAAGTAACTTAGATTAACGCAATTCCTATAATCGTAATTCCAAAAATCATAGACTCAAAAACAAAAAGTCAAAAAAAAAAAGATATCAAAAAAAATTGGGGTCATCCCGGGTTTGATTCGGGGTCACCTGCAAACACGCTTTTATTTTATTTTATTTTATTTTTTTTTTAATTGAACGTATGAGCTTCAAGTTTGAACCCGAAGCAGGTATACTACCACTATACTAATGACCCTAAGTGAGAGACATTGATTTTTTTTTAATATTAATGGAAATAAATCTTAAAAGTCATTATTCTTTTGATCCAAAATTAGTGGAATCTTGAAAGGAGAAATCCACAAGTTGGAAGTAATGCAGAACATGGCTTTAAGAAGAATTGTTGGTGCTTATCGCACAACTCCTATTGCGGTATTACAAAAGGAAGCTGGTATAATGCCATATAGTATTAGGCTAAAATTTATGGTGGCACGAAAAGCTATTCGTTTACACCTAAATATTAGCAAAACTAATCCTATTAATGGTCATTTGTTAACATTGATTGAGAAATCTCCAATTGCAAAGCTAACCACGCTTTACATATTGGCGAAAGATGATAGAGACTACATGATTAAAAAGCATGAAAAACGAAAATGCAAGAGGGTTGAACCTCTTACACTGAAACAACAACAGAATCAGACGATTGGAATTTTGAAGAAACAAGCAATGGAAGAATGGCAGGAAATGTATTGGAACAACAGTAAGGATCTGTGGTATCATAATATCACAGTGGAGTCGAAATGTACTGATAATCTTTCCAAAATGGTTACGGGAGTGATCATGAAGAAAGATAGTCGAAGGATCTTGAGTAATATTACTCAGTTTCGCACAGGCCATGGCAACTTTGGCGCATGGTTTAAAAAGTTTGAAATTGAAAAGGATAGTTACAACTGCAAATGTGGAGAGCTGGAAACAGTTCATCACATTTTAGTTGAGTGTCCTTTGCTTGAAGAGGAAAGAAAAGGACTGAAACGGATATCTCCAGAGATGGACATGTCGACTCTCTTAAACAGTTTAACTGGCTTACAAGAGATTGTAAGCTTTATCTCTGCTTGGAGGGATTAAGAAATACAATTACAGCGTTGATGAAGACAAGTGGAGATAGGTTGGGAAGGTTTGGTTATTTTTAACCCCCTGTTCCTCGTAAGCTGGCATCAGGACTTATTTTCGGGCTGTTGGAGATGCAATGTTGAAGCCAAAATTAAAAGTTTATTATCAAAATGAAAAGATATATAGTATGGACAAGAAGGATAGCGCAGATGCTGATGTTATATAATTCTATAACCCTTGAATAAAAACAAACAAACAAACAAACAAACAAACAAACAATTAGTGGAAGTGAAGGGTAAGTTACATTTTATTAAAAATAACTTATTTTATTTTTAAAAAAAGAAATTTAAAACTAACAAGATTTGAATAAATTATAATTCAGCAAAGTAGATTATGGAAAGTTATCAATATTGTTAAAATGATAAATTTATTATGATTTCGAAAAAAAAAAAAAAAAAAAAAAAAAATTAATGTGTACCAATCAATGTACTATCCAAGAAACACTGATACATGTTGTGGTTGACTTAATTTTTTTTATTTATTTTTAATTTTTTTCAATTTTTTTAATTTAGTTTAAAAAAACTTGTTAAAAAAGATAATATAAAAAAAAAAGTTGTTTAATCTGGATATTAAAATAGCTTATTTTCAATTTTCAATTTTCAATTGTGATAAAATGGCCAATGATGACATGCAATATATATATATATATATATATTATAAGCATATATTTACAAAACATTTTTAGTTGAAAATTGGTTATTTTGTTATAATTATCCGAAAATGTTCATTTTACGAATACAATTATATTATATATATATATAACAAACCGCATAGTCAATTATATATATATATATTTTTTTAGGATATGAATATTATTGATAGAAATTTTGACCTTTTTTAAGAAAAATTTGTAAGGTTTTTTTTTTTTTTTTTGTTAATTTAATATTTTTGCATTTTATAAAGAAACCATTTGAATTATGCATATACAACTAATAACTCTTTTGTTTTTTCAGAGGTCAAAGCCGTGCCAGTTTGCCATTAAAGTCATTTTCGAAGCCCTTCTTCTTTTATAATCATTATTATATAATTATTATAATTATTATGCCCAGTTTCTTTTAAAATCTAAGTTTATTAATTTATATGAGAATTGAATATATAACAAGACTCAAAAGAGTTCTATTCTTTCTGACTTTAAAAGTTTTAAAAAAAAAAAAAAAAGACTTTATTTTTGTACATACAAAACTATTACTTTTTTAGAATAGAAGAAAAAAAAAATTTTCATACAATCCTTTTTATTTTCTATATACCCTTGCTCATAACAGAACGTGTGATGAAACAAAGCCTAGGCGCGCCCATAGATGATTATTCCCTGGCACGGCCGACAAGGGGTATTTAGCCGTATCACTGCAGACTATTAACAACCTCAAAAAAAAAATAAAATAAAAAAAATCGCACCACAGGCTTAAAGTCGCACATCTTTGGAGAATCCTTAAAGAGCTAAAGTTTTCCTATGACATGCAAACACTCTGAGTGTGGCATGGATAAATAAATAAATATTTGATAATAATAATAATAATAATAATAATGATGATGATGTAAAAGGTTTTTAAAATTTGTGTATATTTATTGATTTATTGATTGATTTTTATATATATATATATATATATATATATAAACTAAACACCCCTGATTTCTCTTTTTTCTTCTTCTTCTATTTTTTTATTTCTTTTTAACTATTTCTTTTTTTTTCTCCATGTTTTTAACAAACTAATATTTTATATATAAATATATATATATATATACCTTATTCTATTATATACCCTTCTGATTTAAATAAAATATATATATTTTACATCAGAAAGATATTCAAGCATTTTTAATTCACTTGTTTTTTTTTTTTTTTTTTTTTTCGTTATTCTTGATTATTTCCTATTTTATTTCTAACGACATTTAATATTCAAGTATAATCAATAACTACATTTAATAATAATAATAATAATATATATATACCATGGATACATACATTCGTCAAAATATAAACTCAATTCCTATACCAATCTACTCTTCAGCAGCAGACAGATACGATGTTGCGGATGTTATTGGCAAGGGCAGCTTTGGACAAGTATTCAAAGGATCACCAACTATACTTTCTAGACGAGATAATAACCAATATTCTCCATCTACTTTGGTAAGCTTTTCTTTTTTTTTTTTTTTTTTTTTTTTTGGATTAAAGCAATCGATAAATCTTTTTATTTGAATATATTTATCGCTTGTTTCTTTTCTTTTTAATTTTTTTTATTGATATATATATATATATATTTTTCTTTTGGGGCTAATCACGTTTTTTTTTTTTTTTTTCTCACTTCTAGGTTGCAGTAAAAGTAGCTAAGAAGCCTCAGGAATCAATCATGGAGTGTCGCAAACTCAGAGAATTTATCTTCATCTCCTTTGTGCCACCTCATAATGCACTGGTCCATACTTATGAAATGTTTCTTGATAAATCAGTTAAGAAGTTTCATATTGTAATGGAAACTATGGAAATGAGTTTAATACAACTCATGGACTCGCGTAAAAAAATGCCCTTTTCAACAGCTAGTATTCAACTAATCCTATACCAGATTCTTGCAGGACTTGCTCATATCCACAAGTCGGGATTTTTCCACAGAGATGTAAAGCCGGAAAATGTCCTCATTTCCAAAGTCCCAGTTCAATCTGCAAATCTTTTACTCATGGCACAACAATACGACTCTGGTTCACAATTACGACAACAACAACAACAACAACATCAACAACCACATCAATCATGCTATGATTTAATGGCTGATAGCAGTAGCGGCAATACCAGCATCAATACAGTTCACAATAATAATAATAATAGTAATAATAATAATAATTATAACATGTCAGGAGCTCTCTTTTACCAGTCGGCTGATCCCAACCTCAAAAACTCAACCTACTCGATTGATTCCCAAGCAAGCTATCCCCTTTCTCTTTCATCATCGGCAACTTCTGAGAACTCATTCCAGTTTTTTATTTCAGATGACAATCCAGCTTTTGCTGGAGAGTCAGGCTCTTATATTGTCAAATTGGGCGACTTTGGTCTGGCAAGAAATATTGATTGTTCAGATCCTTACACATCTTATGTTTCAACAAGATGGTATCGTGCCCCAGAGCTATTGCTACGGAAGGGCAGTTATTCATGTCCCATTGATGTTTGGGCTTTTGGAACTATGGCCACTGAGATTTCTACTCTGGCTCCGCTTTTCCCCGGTTCAAACGAGCATGACCAATTATTTCGTCAAATTGTTGTTTTGGGGTATCCGGGCTCCAATTCAAATGGTGGAACCTGGAAGGGCTTTACAAATTTGATGCGCAAGCAAAAAATATCTCACAAGAAGTGTGAAGTAAGTTGATTTATTTATTTTTATTTTTTTTTATAATTTTTTACTAACTATTTTTTTTAGCCAACCCCCAACTCATTTGAAACTATTTTAAGTCACAAGAATGGGGTTCTTGAAAAAGCTATTCTTTCTTGTCTTCAGTGGAATCCAGAGCACCGCTTGACAGCAGATGAGTTGCTAAGAAATCCCTTTTTCCAGCATTGTGAAACCGCAACAAGATATTTGTTTTCTTACCGATCTGATTTTTATCACTCAAAGGACCAAGGTTTTGCTCCTGTTCCACTTCCAGCAAATGTGCCCAGCCAATACCTGCCGCAGCAGCAGCAGCAGCAGCAGCAACAACAACAGCCGCAACTACAATTACAACTGCAACAACAACAACAGCAGCAGCCTTTGCCTCAAATGCAAGTCCCCCTACAAGCATCTGCTCAAGCATCCTCCTCATTTCATCAAGCATCCACCCAAACTCTTTTGCAGCAGCAGCAGCATCAACAACATCAACAACATCAACAACATCAACAACATCAACAACAGAATCTCGTCATTCCTGCCCCATTTCCATTTGATTCTAGAAGTTGGCTGCCTCAACCACAAGGCTATCCATCATTAAAAGTACTTGAGGGTAGCGGATATCATGGCCCTTCTTCTTATGTCCAGGTGACTGATAGTCAAATTCCCTCATACCAGACGATTTCCCAACAAATATTACAGCACCAACAACAACAACAACAATCAACATTGGCTTTTGACGGAAAGTCACACCGAAGGTTGGGCCGGGTATCAAGTTTATCATTGGCTCCAGCCAAGACTTCTGAAGGTGAACAATACACTGCAGATGGAATTCATAGCGCTTATGGAAGCATTAATAGTCGTGAGTCTATGCTTAAACAGCAACCAAGTTCTACTATTACTTCTCCTCAATTACAATCACTTCCTTCTCTATCGAGCAAAATATCGTCATCGTCTTTGCCTTCTCAATACTCTTTTGACAATAAGCAAACACCAGTGTTTACTCCTGGATACCATCCTGATGCTTCATCAGTTTCTATTGCCAGTTATGGCTCATCTACACACTCGATTCAGACTGGTCTTAAGCCGAGTTTACATTTTTTCTGCCAAAAGACTGACAAGGGTTATTCAATGTCGAATGTGTCTAGCATGGATGGTGAAAGACAAGATGACAGTGTTGGAATTCATTATCCAAACGCACCTGCTTCTTGGGAAATGTCTGCCAATCCTACTGCTGAAGCTTCTTCGTTTGCATCATTGGCGGCTCAGGAAGCACATTTTCGAAAGAAGGAGTGTGGGGAAAGCCAGCCGTGCATATATGACGAGGATGAAAGTGATGATGGGGGAGGTGGCTTTACCGTTGAAAACCGCCAGGAAAGTGCAAACAGCTATAGAACGGCTGACAGCTTTAACGGTTCTATCCCAGAAATGGCTATGGATGACGGGGTTAATACACATGTTAACTTGGCCAATAGGTCTGGAACCTTTTATGACTATGTCTATGGAGGCGATGAAGAAGAGTTTAGTCAAGATGCTGAATACGATAGCCGAGATGATACAATTAACAGCTTTATCAAAAGACAAGATGGAATTGATAGTTCGAGCGATCGTAACTATGTGTATCACACTGCTAAGGGTGAGACGATGGACTCGAATGACGGAAGTGCATACTCTGATGAAATGGATGAATCTTCTGGTCCAGATGGGTTACGGTATAGTCCTGGACAGTCGAGTGCGATGGAACAGGATTATGTAAAGATATTTGAGCATTTTAGTGAGAATATGAAGAGGGAGAAGTTTGTGAATAACAGTAGAAACAGCAAGAATGGTGAAGGATATATGGGGGATACGTCGCCGACAGAAGGACTTGTACACATGTCGGGGACTTCATCAGCAGCAATTACAGCTGCTGCTGCCGCAGATAGTATTATAGTGAAGGCTTCGCCATCACAATCAATTACGGCGCAAATGATGCTTAAGGATGCGTCGCGAACGTTGCTAGATGACGATGCGAGTGTTCCGCGGATGCTGTATCATGAGTGAAGGGAAGAGGCAATTAATGATATACCGGTTGCATAATTTAAGTTTAAATTGTTAGTATTTATATATATAAGTATTGCATGAAATAAAGAATGTTGAATTTAAAGTAATGGAAGGAGCATTGATGGATTATGGTTATTGAAGTTTAAAACTCAATTGATGATATTCTTGTGACTTTGAATTGTAATACTCTATTTGAGCCGCACTGGCCTTTTTTTTTTTTTTTTTTTTTTAAAAAAAAAAAGCCCAGTTTTTCTTCAAGCGTCTTCCCTTTAGAAAACACAACAATATTATCAATGCCACCAACAATCCATCTCTATTTCACACAATTTGCTGCTCCAGATGCAGTTTCTTCTACCACATCCAAAGACCAAGTGCGATCTCTTGTTGTTCTTGAAAAACGTGCATCTCGTGCACTCCAACATCATGCGCTTGGACAAGTTCTTGGGATTCCTATTGATACTGTACAAATCGAACCTCGTGCGAGTGCAGCTGACTCCTCAGAGTATGAAACACATCAGCAATCAGCATTAAGTCGGAAACCATGGCACCGTGGTGTGCAATTTAACACGACAAATGAGGGTGGGACTGTAGTTGTGGCGGTGACTGATGACCTAACGGTGCCGCTTGGAGTAGATCTTGTAGCAGAGCATCATGATAACAAGGAGAAGGGATGTAGTGCTGAATCTACTGATTTTGATGGGCTAGACCAGGAATATGTGAAAGCAATGGTTCTCACGGAAAACGAAATAAAGACAATAAAACGGGTAGGACAAAGACTTGCAAGACAACGAGTTTATGCGGCAGCCATTGCGCTTAAGGAAGCATTTCTCAAGTACCATGGAATCGGGCTTGTTGGAGTTTCGAGTCTTGCAGATGTTGAAGTGACTTTCCCAAAGAATTTTGATGGAAATTTGTGGGTTTCTAATACCAAAAATGAAACAACTATGCCTACATTAGAATGGGTTGGCAGTAGTAAAGGTACCAACGAACCCACCACAACAACAACAACAACAACAATAACAACAACAATAGCATCAGCATTGAAGGTTGATTATACAGGAGATAGGGCTACAGAGGATTCTGGAGCGGCAGGCCATGTGTTTCGGGTGACGCCTGTTCGCGGAACCACGGAACTGGTGGGAGCCATTGTCGGGCCGCTCAGGGTTTTGGATGGGCCAGAACAGAACCCGGGTGTTGCAGAAGTTTTATCATACAAGCAGCATCACGTTTCGTTTAGCCATCTTTTATGAGAGAGAAAAAAAAGAGAAAAAGAGAAAAAGAGAAAAAGAGAAAAAGAAAAAGAGAGAGAAAGAGAGAGACCAAAAAAAAAAAAAAAAAGAAAAAAAAAAGTTGATACCGAGGTTTTAATTTATAGGAGAAATTTGTGTGGCCTGTTGATTAGACGTTTTATTTGGTAGATGTTTATGTTTATGTAAATGTAGATGTAGATACACATGTGTTTTATATTAAAAGTTAAGTTTAAAGTAAAGGACAACTGTACGAAGGTGGGATCACGATAGGATATGAATGAATGAATACTTAATGGTTTTAAGTAAGTCAAGTTTATTTTATTATTTTTTATTTTTTTTAAAAAAAAACAATTATTTACTTTATTATTCTTACCATATGGTATTTGAGTATATAAATATATATATATCGTAAATGATCTTTTAACATTTATAAAATCATAATCACAAATTGTGTCAATTATTACTTGAATTATTTGAAAAAAAAATAAAAAATAAAAAATAAAAAAAAAATTTATTTATAATTATTACTTCTTTATCTCAAAATTTATATAAATTTAAAAGCCTTTTTTTTTTTTTTTTTGATATATAATTGAACAATTCAAGATTGCTAAATTTCAAACTGTTGTGTATATATGAAAAAAAACCCCCCCTTCCCCAAAAATTTTATTTTTATTTTTATTTTTATTTTTTTTTTGTGCTCTTTTTTTTTTTTTTTTTTTTCAATTTCAACAACAACAACAACAACCCCCTCCCAAAATAAAAAATTAAAAATTTTAAAAATTTTAAAAATTTTAATAAAAATTTAATAAAAATTTCTAGCAAATGGCACCTGCGCCTAAAAATTTTTCCACAATAAAAGTTCTCTTCTTTCTTTTCCCTCCCAACCCAGAAATTATTTAACCATCTCACACACACACACACACAAACAAACACAAACACACATACACACATACACACAAAAAAAAAATAAAAATAAAAAGCCTCTCCCCACAAATTATTTCCATCCACTTATTATTATTAATTCACACAACAATGACTCAGGACGGACCAGTAGCAACAATAACACCCGCAACAACAACATCACAAGCAACAACATCACCAACATCACTAACATCAGCTCCTACTCCACCAGCTCTCAAACCGGCCCACAAAACCCGTACGGGGTCTGCGCAGGCGCACCTTGCGGCCGGCTTTACGTCCGGACTCACATCATCTGTTCTTCTTCAACCGTTAGATCTTCTTAAGACTCGTATACAACAGCAAAAGAAGAATCCTAATGGTAGTAGTAGTAGTAGTAGTAGTAGTCGTATTATTATCAATGGCAGTTCCAAGGAAGCAGCAGCAGCAGCAGCTGCAACAGCAGAATCATTAGTTCCAGGGAAATCATTACGTGCAGCACTACGTGAAATTGATTCAGTAGCAGCTCTTTGGCGTGGAACCTCAGCATCAGCTATTAGAACTTCAGTCGGCTCTGCACTATACTTAACAACTCTTAATGCTACACGTACATATCTGGCCCGTCATACGTCTCTCGGTGCACAATCATCATCATCATCTTCACGGCTTCCTAAGCTTAGCATGTATGCGAACTTGGCATCTGGCGCTGCAGTCCGGGGTCTGGTGGGTGTAGTAACGATGCCTGTGACTGTAGTCAAGGTTCGGTTCGAGTCTTCGTTATTTGCATATACTTCACTGGCAGATGCAGTACGTGATATTTATACACGACATGGAGTTGCAGGATTTTTCAAAGGTACCGGAGTCACATTTTTACGTGATGCTCCTAATGCTGGACTTTATGTACTTTTTTATGAGCTTTGGAAAGATGTTCTTTCGCGTTCTGTGGCCCTTTTCTCTGGACCTAACCAGCAGCAACAACAACAAAAGGATACAAAACTTCTTAATACATCTACAAGTGCTTTGATCAATTCTTCTGCAGCAATTTTGTCTGCAGGAATGGCAACAACTATAACAGGACCTTTTGATACTGTAAAGACTCGCATGCAACTTGATCCTGTCCGATACAAGTCTGTATGGACTGCAGCACGGCTTATTGTTGCAGATGAAGGTCTTGTTGGACTTTTTGATGGTTTGTCATTGCGTATGGCTCGGAAAGCTCTTTCTGCAGGCATTTCCTGGTGCATTTATGAGGAACTTGTGCGGAGAATGTAATAAAGATTCAAACCTTTTTTTTTTTTTTTTTTTTTTTTTTTTTTTTTCATTTTTTTCATTTTTTTCATTTCTTTCATTTCTTTCATTTCATTCATTTTTTTTTTTTCTTCTTGTATATATTATATGCTTCAATATCCATCATGTATATCTTAAAAAAAAAATAAAAAAAATAAAAAAAAAAAAAACTCTATACTTGGTAAAGACTTTGAATGAAATTTGTAGTCTCTGTACACAGGCAAAGCTCTGCAACAAGTGGGGTAAGTCCTAATTCCTGACCATTGATCAAAGACAGTGCGGCAAGTGCAAGGAAACTATGGTATGGATCCGGGTGGGTCCCCTGGGCACGAGCAAATCCTCCCGTGATTTCAGCCTGGACTTCTTCTAACAAAAAGTGTGTGGCCGCTTGTACATTGAACTGTGAAAGTGCAGTTGTTTCTGCAATTCCCATTCCCATTCCCACTCCCATTCCCATTACCAACTTATCAAGGGCTAGCAAACTGCCAACCCCCCAGAAACAGTAACATGTATCAGCTTGCTTATTTGTACGCCCAGAGAATGCGCCCTGGCTGTCCAGCGGCCAGTGATGTGGCGCATTTTCATCTAGTTCTTCAAGATCCCGGAGTTGCCCAATTGTCAATGGATCTGTTGGCCAGATCTGACGTCTTAGCAACCATCCGCGCATCCTATTAACATCTAACAGTTCAACATTTTTATTTATTTCTTCCTTTTCCAATAATCTCAAAGTTCCTAGTCCACAGTATGTGTACCCAGCATGAGCTTCGGCTCCAGGCAACAATGCCAACCCGCCTTCATATGTCTGTGATGCAACAATAAACTGCGCGGCTGCAGCCCTATCTGCAACGGTTGTTTGACCCAACAAGTGCAGCACAGACATAGCCATGTATGTGACGCGCGAGTCCGGCTCGCCCAAGGGTGTTTTATTTTGCTCATCATAGTTGGGTGCAAATGCTCCTGCAAATGTGCCTGTAGTGTGTTGACAACGAGCCAAATGGGCAGCAAGTTTGGGTGCATTAACTTTTGCGGCGATCCGGTCGTCGCGAAGAACAGCTAGAGAAAGCAGAGCAAAATATGTTGCAGCCACATTTGCCCCATCATATGTATCAATGGCTATTTTGCAATTATCCTTGATACCTTCTTGGGTGCGATCAATTGCATGGGTTGGAGATCCGCGGAAACCTGTAGGGCCTACCAGAAGATGTTGGTAGAGCCAGTCTGCCCATTTGCGTCTTTGATCCGGAGTGGTTGAATCATTGAGAGTTCCAAGGAGATCAAGACCTGCCAAACAAAAGTAAGTTAAAGAAACACGGGAAGAGTCGTACGAGATCATTTGTGGTGGGAGTAAACCCAGCACACGAATAAAGTATTTAGTATGAATGGCCTTGTTTAATGGCATAATGATGATAAATTGAATTGAAGTAAAGGTTCTTTAAATTTTTTTTTATTTTTAATACAAAAGTCTATTTAAAAGAAAAAAAAAGCTACAGTCAGTCGACATGGTCTAAGAAGAAATGGCGTTAGTAATTGACAAAGGCCAAAAAAAAAAATATAAAGAGATATGAGAAATAAATCTCGAGAGAATGAAGATTTTTAATTTTTTAAAAAAAAAAAAAAAGAGTTCAGACAAAACTATCTATCTATTAAAAACAACATCAACGGCTATGCCTCAGTTGTCCCTATCTAAGGTTGGTCATCATTTGGAATTGGAGAGATTCCTGAAGTCTTCATTCTCTCGAGATATGGATTGAAAGAGAGGGGGGAAAGGAAAAAATTATAATAATAATAATAAAGTAAATGGTTAACTTACCGATTGAAAAGATCGTTGTTGAAGGAAAGAATTAATAGAAGAAGAAGAAAAAGGAAAAAGGAAAGGGAAGGAAGGATTGAAAGGGGGAGGTTTTTATATGTGGCCTTGTTGGGTGGTGGGTGGATGGTTAGCAGTGGTGGTTTATATATATATATGATTAATTATAATTATTTACTTGGTTTACTATATAATAGACCGGGTAACTAGTATTTTTAACAACCGGGTAACTAGAAAGTTTAAAGCAGGGTAACAATGTCACATTTAAATCACATTTAAATCACATGATTTACATGTGACTTATAACCGAGGATTAAAGTTAACTTGTTGCCACAAATGTTTCAATTCAATTCAATTGAATTCAAAATGGGGGGGGGGGGAGGAAAAGGAAATTTATTTAATTGAAAATGTCAAAACTTTAACTAACTATATAAATATAAATAATAAATAAAAGAAATTGAAAAAAAAAAAAAAAAAAAAAAAAAATTCAAATTTTTATGAAAATGCGCTTTTTTATTTTATTTTATAATTAAATTATTTATTTATTTAAAAAAATACATAAATATATATATATATATTTTTTTTTTTTTTTCAATTTACATATTTAATTGGTTGATTTCTCAAATATATATTTAAAATATAAATCCCATGCCCGGGTCTTATTCGGACGGATATCGGCGCTTTTTAAATTTTTTTTTTTTTTTTTGGGTTTCTTCTTAATTAAATTCCCCAGCCTCTCTCTCTCTTTCATTTTATATAACCAACACCATTTAAGTACGTAGAAAGCAATTTAAATTTATAAAAAAAAAAAAAAAAAAAAAAAAAAAAAAAATTTCCATCACCGATAGCTCACCGGCAAAAACAAAAAAAAAACACTTAACAACAACAAACAAACAAACAAACAAATAAATAAATAAATAAATAAAATGGCACAGCCGCACCTCCGGCCACACCCCACTCCACGCCCATCCGTCCCCATATATTTGCACATTTTTTTTTTTTTCCCCAGCCTAAAAAAAATTCAAAAAATTATTATATAAAAGCCCAATGGAATTCCATCTTTCAAATATTTAATTATATTTGGTCCCTTCTCTTTTCCCTTTAACCCTCTCTATAAAAAATTTTTTTTTTATTTAGTTTTTTTATTTAATTTTTTTTTTTATTCTCTTTCTTAATTAATACATAGCTAGGTTTTACCTACCAATTCTAAAATACCTTCTTCTACCATATCCATCCATCACAATGTTGAGAACTTCTATGACTATCCAAAAGCGTCTCTTTTCGTCCGCTCGCACTCTCGCTAAAGACGTCAACAACCTTACAGTCATTGGCGGTGGCCAAATGGGTCTCGGTATTGCCCTTGTTGCAGCAAACAAGGCCGGTGTCAACGTCAAACTCGTCGATACTTCTGATGCTGCTCTCGATAAGGGTATGGCCTTTTTACAAAAACTCCTCTCTAAGGATATCAAGAAGGGCCGTCTTACCGAGGAACAAGCCAAGGACATCACTGCTCGTGTTACCCCTACCACTGATCTTACCGGTGCTCTTAAAGACACTGACATGGTCATTGAAGCTGTCCCTGAAATTCCTGATCTTAAGTTTAAGATCTTCTCCCAACTGGCCAAGGAGGCTCCTGCCGATGCCATTCTCGCTACAAACACCTCTTCCATCTCTATCACCAAAATTGCTGCTGCCGCAAAGGGTGCTGAGAACCGTGTTGTTGCTGCCCACTTTATGAACCCTGTCCCCGTCCAGCCCGGTGTCGAAATTATCCAGGCTCTTCAAACTGATAAGTCCATTGTTGATGATACTCTTGCCTTTGTTGGCCGTATGGGCAAGGTCCCATCTCTTGCTAAGGACTCTCCTGGCTTCATTGCTAACCGTATCCTTGTCCCCTACATTAACGAGGCTGTTATTGTGCTCGAGTCTGGTATTGGCTCTGCCAAGGACATTGATGCCATGATGGTTAATGGCTGCGCCATGCCCATGGGTCCTCTTGCCCTCGCTGACTTTATTGGTCTTGATACCTGCTTCGCCATTATGAACGTTCTTTACAAGGACACTGGCGACTCTAAGTACCGTCCCTCTGTTTTGCTCGGCAAGATGGTTGATGCCGGCTGGCTCGGCAAGAAGTCCGGTAAGGGTTTCTACGAGTACAAATAAATTATAAAAAAAAAAATGTACATCTATCTACCAACCGACATAAAAAAAAAATTTAGGAGGAATTGATTTGTAAAAAATAAAAACGAGAAAGAAAGAAAGAAAGAAAGAAATAAATAATAAAAAAAAATTGTAATTAATGTTTAAGCCAATGCTGGACGTTTTCATAAACGACAAATGTAATGGTGGTAGAAGGAACTACCCGAAGAAGATTGGCTCCTAGTCCCTTGTAAAGACTGCGCAAACCACCTTCGTTGCGCAGAGCATGCAAAATGATTTCTCGTGCATTTTTATAATATCCAGATCCCATTTGTAACCGCGCACGTACCAATTGGTAAGGATATAAAGCAACCGTTGCCACGATTTTAGATGAAGCTGAAAGAGTAATATACTCCCATTGAGCCAATTTATCTGTTGGTAACGATTGAGATGATGATGATGATGATGAAGAAGATAATGATTGTGAATATGCTTTTTGTTCCCGCCGCCGCAGTCGTCGAGTTTTAAACTCATCGTAAAGTGAAAATTGAAGACTTCCTTGAAGAACCCCAAATAACGATGGCATAAATCCACGCCACAATGCACGCACACCTTCCTTAGCCACAATGTCGCGTACACTTACATTCACACGACTTGCCGACGACGTGGATTTGCCGTCCGAAGTCGTTGAAAGGTACCGAGTTTTAAGCACCCAAAGTGGGTTTGTAAGCAACGATGTTGTTGTCCCTGCACTCATGGCACATGCCATATATACTGTTGAAGAATCTGCAACCGCAGCCCACCGGCGCACCAGGTTATCATCTATAGGCTGTATAATTTTATTGTCATCTGTAGTGGGCGCTAATGTTTCTATTGGTCCCGGTGGCAGAGCTTGAGCTTTAAGATAATGGTAAAGAGAAAAGTAAAGCCCCCATGATAATGTATTCCCCACCAAGTTGATTGGCAGACCCCGGTAGAGTGCACGTAAGGTATGAATAGAAGTCGATGTATTGGTGTTATTATTATTAATATTAATACTGTTTATTGATGAGGATCCAACTGAGTTTCGTGTAATGCTTGGGAAAATGGCGGCGCGTAGACGGGACCATGGGTCCGCGGAAGAGGCATCGACTTGGAGCCGCACCTTGATGAGGTCAAGCGGGTGCACGACCAATGTTGTGACAGCACCGGCCGTGATTCCTGCAGCGAAATCTGCATTAAATGCAGATGTTGGCATGATGGATTATATAAAGCCGGTTTATAAAATTCAAAAAAAAAAAAAAAAAAAAAAAAAAAAAGTCTAGTTTTTATTAATAAGACCTTTTTTTTTTTTATTTTTTTGGATTTAAGTTGTGAGTGAGTCTATTATGGATATATAAATAATATTGAGAGGGTGAAAAATTTCACGACACAAGATGGGGGGGAGAGGGAATAGATGGGATTAAGTAATAAATGAGCTTGGGGAGGGAAAAAAAAAATAAAAATAAAACAAGAGGATTCAACAATAAGCGCGGTTTTTTTTTTTAAACGAGCCAAAAGGAAGGATTTCGGAGAAAGAGAGGGCTTTACTTTAGTTTACCTACAAATTTGAATTACTTCTATACTTTTTTTAAATATTAGAGAAATATGAAATTTACCAAAGACTAGAAAGTTTCATAAAATGATTTAAATTTATTTAATTTTTTTTTATTTTCTAATCAATGCCTTTTCAAGTCTTAATAATTTTTCATATTTTTAAATCCAATTTTTATTTTTATTTTTATTTTTATTTTTACTTTTTTTATTTTTTTTATTTTTCCATGTTTTTAAAAAAAGATTTCTATGTACAAAGGAATATATCTTGTTTAAGCAGTGGGGAGAGGAGAAAGGAGCCTAAAAAAATAGTTAAGTTAGCAATGAACAAACAAAAAAGAATCAAGCTATATATATATATATATATATATATATCAATATTTCAATATTTCAATATTTCAATACTCACTTGAAAAGTCCAGGACGGGGTACACTCTGAGTCCAACCAAGGTAGATGATGAAGGGGATCCAACCGTAGTGAACAGTAACACGGCCAAACTCAATGAGGCGAGTGATGCGTTCCTAATTTAAGTGAAAAGGTTAATTAAATTAAATACTTAAAAATAAATTGATTTTAAGAAATATGGAAAACATACCTTGGTATCGTCAGAAAGAGTGAAAGCAGGCATTTTTGGGGTTTTTATTTTTGGATTGATAAATGTTGTGAAGGTTGAAAAGTTCTGGTGGTGGTGATTTTTTTTGATTTTTTTTTTTTTTTTTTCTATAGAAAAGTTTTTCAAAAAAAAAAAAAAAAAAGTAGATAGGTGTGGCAATGATTAGAAAATGATTATATAATAATTACCAATAAAGTGAAACAATTAATTTTAAACATTTTTTTTTTATTTTTTTGGTGGTTTTGAAATTCTACGAAAACAAAAAAAAAAAAAAAAAATGGAAGACCAAAATGTTAATTAGTTTTTTTTTAAAAAAAAAAAAAAAAAAAGATACAAAATAAAAGTTGAATCAAACATACAAATATCGGATAAATTTTAAAACAAGAAAATATTCGGAAAAACTTTGACATTTAGACAATATTTTTTTTTTCTCTCTCTATAATAGTATTTACAATATAAGACGATATTTCTTTTATATATATCTACTGAAGATACCCGATAGATAGCCGGCTAGTTGGATCCGGTTATTTTCTTAACGGCCCTCACTTGTCCACTTGCCCTTGAGTTTGTTTGTATGTAAATTTTTGTTTTTTTTTTATCCTTTATATAGTTGAAATTGTTCCGTGTCTTTTTCAAGCAGCAACAACCGGGATTTTTATTTTTATTTTATTTTTATTAAATTGATCGGTCGAGCTTATCGATGTAACGTCAAAAAAAAAAAAAAAAAAAAAAAAAACGATAAAAAAAAATAACCAACCCGAATTTTTGTCGTTGTTGTAACTACCCAGAAATAATATAGACATAATTCAGCCGTACTTGTTAAATAAACACCGCGATGAGACTCTTTTTTTTTTTTTTTTTATTAATTTTAAAATTAAAAAAAAAAAAAAACGCAAAAAAAAAATAAAAAACCTTTATATAAAGATTGAGAAAATAAAATAAAATAAAATGACTTTCTATTATATATATAGAAATGAAATAAGAATTTAAAAAAATGTAAAGAGATAGATAAAAAAAAAAAAAAACCATCTTAACGGAGATGAGAATGCCGATATTATACTTTGAAAAAAAAAAAAAAAAAAAAAGAAGCAACTATAAAGAAAATCAATCGTTTTATTCAAGTTTTTATACAAGCCATTTTGAAAAATAATAAAATCAAAAAAATAAAAAAATAAAAATAAAAATCAAGTCGTTTCGGTTTACGAGATCCCGCCAAGCACGTCAGTCCTCGAGACCTTTTTTTTTTTTTTTTTTTTCTTTTTTTCTTAAAAAAGATATTTTCTAATGTAATTTCCATCAATAAATATAAATACTTTTAAAAGTCCCTCGAGAATTTCCCTTTATATTTATTTTTTTATTTTTTTATTTATTTTTTTATTTATTATTTTATTTTTAATTCCCATTCAATTGTAATCTAATAATCTTTCAAAATGCACTGCCAAAACCTACAAACATTACCAAACGATGCCCATTATGCCATTGCTGAGTTTCTGACAGGTAACGATCTCACAGCTTTAAGTCAAGTCTCAAAAGCCCTCAGAACAATTTACAATCCACTTTCTTTCACTCATACAATCGCTTCATCATCATCATCCTCTAAACATCCTTCTTCATCCACTACAAAATCACGATCTGTCCCTTCAAAAGCCCTCACATCTCCAAAATCATACACCTCTTGGTTTTGTCCACAATCTATCATTCACCTAGCAATCACAGAACATCTCATAGAATCCCTACCAAATTCGACCCAACTAAGCTATAACTTCCCAGCTCTTGTTGCCATCCAGTTGCTTCCTGAAAACGACCACCCCCATCTCTCAGCCCACACCGTCGTTTCCTTCGCAAAAACCAAAACCAATACCAACAACACCAACACCAATAACACTACAACAACCCTTACTCTTAAGCCTACCCAAAATACCCTCCCGGTCGTCTTCACTGCTGCAACACCAGTCCGTGTGACGGGCAAGCCGCAGCCCCCCCTTCCTCTTCTTTCAAATGACGCCGCGGCTTTTGCCCACATTGCTCACATTGCACTCGACCTCGGCTGGGCGGATCTGCCTGGTCTGGTATCGTTACAATCCTTGTTACCATTATCGCAACATGTCCATACTCTCACTCTAAAGGCCATTGAACCAAGACTCTTTGCGGGGGTGCTGGCTGCAATCCCCTCTTGCTGGCCCAACATTGAAACCTTACGCGTCGCATTGCTCGTGTGCTGGCGCAAAGAAAATATCCGCATAGAAGCAGCCATCCAACATATTCCGAATATCCCTAAATCTATCCCTAACGTTGTCCTTAGCTTGGACCCTCTTCACGATGATGACGACCATCCCCCCCCACTTATGCTCGATTTTGATCGTGCCGCCCAGCTCCCCGATAGCCAGATTGTGCGAGCGCCGGCCGTCTCGCACGTTATTATGAACGAGTGTATCGGAACAAAGGGTGATACTACCCCAGTCGCCACTTCCTCTTCTACTATCCCCTCCCGCCGTAATGCAATTGAGTTCCCCGGCCTGCGTGCTCTCCAACTGACTCTTGGTGTACCTTGGAACCGCATGTCTACAGCCGCTTGCTCGGCCCATACCCTTACCACCCTCTACTTGAGAACCAACCCCAATTCCCATAAACTGCATCAAGAATGCTTGTTTTGGCTGCTAGATGATTTCCGAGAGTTTACAAACCTCCAAAGACTTGCCATTTCTTTTGCATCTGCAGGCTCTGTTAAAGGCAACCCGCTCGCAGACTTTTCACCATATTTTGCCTGCATCCGCAAACATTATACATCAAGTAACGAACCACCAAACAAAAAATGGCTCACAGAAATCCTTAACGATTCCATAGACTGGGCTGCTCGACCTACCCTTGCCGATTGGCTCCAATCTCTTCTTATTTCGTTTGCTGGCAAACCAGACCGTGCAGTAGTTATGATGTTGCCCATGTTCCGCATGCTTGCCAAATCTCCTGCCGAATTTCGTGCAATGACCCGCACATTTCTTCTCGAGGCTTTTGCAGAAAAGTGTCTACACGGTCTACCTCGCCTCGAGTATCTTGCCGTTGATTTTGGCTCAGATATCGGGGTAGTTTCTCCTGGCATGACACGCCTTGTCAATTACCATACAGGACTCAAGCAGATGCTGGTCCAAGAAACTCTTCTTGATGGTGAAAGTATGGTTTTTGAACATCACGAACCACATATGGCTACAGTCTTGGGAGGAACTAATAAACCAAGCTCTTTGGTTGCACAAACTGTCGTTGATATGGAACAAAAACGAACATTCACACAACCCTTTTTCACAACTCTACCCGCGACTGAATCTTCGATTTGCGCGCAAAGTAATTTCTTTGTTCAAAACTTTGACTCTGTCTTTTCTGATGAATCATTTTCAGGATGGTTATAATTTATTTAATTTTTTTCTCATACAATTAATAAAAAATAAAAAAAAAAAAGAAAACAAATTACTTTTAAACATATCTCTATAATTTTTTTTTATTTAGTTTTATCAGCAATCACATTTAAATCCATCCGCTAAACTCATCCAACATACAGTCCCCTGTATATAGAGGTACTGTGGGCTCCTGTTCCGCCAGCGGAAACTTTCGTTTGCGCTTAAGATCAAACAACACATTATTAAAACAAAACTCTGTCGTGCTCATCCGATACTCCACCTGTGGCAGTACCGGAGGTGGGTATGTAGTCTGGTGTTGCAGCAAAACTTGCTTAATATTCGGCGGTGGTTTTGTCAATAGCAGCTGCAGCCCAGGCGACGGATATATTTGCTCGGTTGTTTGAAAAAACACATACTCAAGTGCAGGAAGTTGGGTTCGCATACTCACCAGTAACGCTTCCATAAACATCATGTAGTTGAAATCTTTGTCAAAATGGAAGCCAGAATCCCACATTTGGTCAACTAATCCAATCGGGTCAGTAACAAGCTTAGTACATAAGTATACCGTCGGGTTTTCCAACATCTCTTCAAGATAAGGAATGGCATCAAGATCATGATAAAAAATTTTCGCATCATACTCTGACACCACATACTCAAAAAAGTCCTGAAGCTCTAATTCAGACAAGTGCTCGCAGTTGGCCAGCCGCCGCGAAAGTAAAACTAGAATGTTGCTTAATTTGTCTGAATTTTCAAATACAGATGCCATAATTATCTTGAATACACGCAGATTCACAAACCGATCTATCCAAAGCACAAAAGGCATTGGATAAAGATCGTCAATCTTTAATTGAATATGAGTCAACTTTTCTCCAAAATTTTCTACCGGCATAAAATTCAACCCCTCAATTATTGTCGATGGATGAAACACAAAGCTTTCTTTCCTCAACCGTGGTAAATCCAATATCCCCAAAATGTTGTTCTTTTTATCAATAAGCAATTCAGAGTCTTCAATCCATGTTACAGCTTCAATCCGTAGGGTTTCTCTAAATATTTCATGACCATATCTAATTGCTTTCTCACAATCATATTCTACCAAAATCATATTGCATGTTTTCAATGTGGTTGGCAATTCAGAAATCTCCTTTGTTGCTGAAGTTAAGTAAAAGATAGTTCCATTAAACCCATACTCAAAAGAAAATGACAAATTCTCAAGCTTTGGCCAAAAATGAACTCGGTGTAACAACGCACGGTAAATATTATCATCTAAATCATGAATCGCCAATGTTACCAGTTGTGGCAATTCTAACTTTTTTATGAATTCAGCAGTGATACTTTCTCCGTCTGTAAATGTAAGTTCCCGTAGGGTCATTCTTAAATCGTTACAGCTCAAAAAATTCTTCAAATCACATCTGTAATAATCCAAAATTCTTAAATCCCAGAAAGGAACGTTAGCAGACTCATTGTTCTTGCTAATGACTTTCCGCAATGTTTTAATAAATGGAGAGTCTAGTAACTCATACAAGGTATTTAAATCCAACTGTGGAACCATGTTTAAGAATTCAAGATTCGGGTATTCATCGCCACGAAATGGCGTCGAAAACATGCCTCTGTCAACTTGACATTTTTGATCAATATGTGCACATAAAAGCAACTTCTCCACACGTTTGTTCATGAACCAGCCAAATTTTGTTGGGTTTTGAAACACTCGTAATGGTACTGGGTCGTGTGCGCTATAGCAGTCCTCTAACTCACTGCGTAGATAATGCATAACCATTTCCGGTTTTTCGTCGGGCAAAACTACACATTTGGTCCATCGGAATCCACAGTACACCAGCCGAATTTTGGAACCTGTACTGCTTAGATTCTTAATGTCGGAAGCCGCAAGATATTTGGTCAGCTCAAAGTGGATTTCAGCAGGAAGGTCTTGAAACTGGTGCAAGTAAATTTTGGTATCTGCCTTATTAGCTTTGAGCAGTTTCGAAGAGTTTACCAGTGGAGCATCAGAGACCCATCGGTCAAGTTTTTTTTGACAAAAAGATATAGAGTTGCGCCACTGGGCTATCATGGTCTTGATATCGGGGGGTTCTGATAAAGATATTTGTTCACATGTTTTCTGAAAGAATTGTAAAGTGGCTTCGGTATCTGCATTTAAATCACTACCATTGATGTCCTTGAAGTCCTTGACATCCTCAACGCTCTTGACATTTTCGAAGGTCTCGACATTCTCCACGTTTTCTGCGCGTTTTGCGGGAGTTCCGTTTGATGCCATTTCGATTTGTGAGTAAAAGACAACGGGAAAAAAGAAGATGAAATCAATTCATCACTGACAAACAAGAAAGAAAAAGAAAAATTATAATAATATTAGAGAGGTAGAAGTGGAGAATATTTTGAAATTAAGACAATCAGTCCACGGTTTATAGAGATCCGTCTTGCGGTCAGTATTTTTTTTATTTTTATTTTTATTTTTTTATTTCTTACTACCCCCTCCTTCCTTGATCATGGTATATAGTATTAACTAGCGCTGATGAAAGGGTAACAAGTGTGCAGTTTGGTGCGGCTCGGGAGATCCGGATAAGCGCACTTTTCCTAATCAAGATAAAAGCCACCCAAATGCCTCGGCTGGTTCAAGGGAAACTTGAATCCCATGGAAGGTACATGCCGCCCACTTTGATATTAAGAAATGACAAAATTGAAAAGTATGAAAAGTATGAAAAGGAGGAGAAACAAAGATTTAAAGAATAAAAACAAAAAAAAGAAGAGGGAAAATAAAACGTGCGGGTAATTTTTTTTTTTAAGTAGGGGGGAGCAAATGTGAAGAATTTCACTCTATGCTGAGGTTTTGGCTGATGAAAAGAATGGTGGAACTTTTCCGGACAACTTTTGCAAAAAAAAAATAAAGTTACTGGATATAAAATTCAGATCCGTCGGTAACCGAAATTGTTAGTTATTTAATAGTAAGTTAGCCACACGTTTTCGTGATGTCTTGTAATTTATAAATATCGCCATCAAAACGCGATTGAAGTTTTCAACTTTTTCAATAAAAAAATATATATATTTTTTCACAACCAAAAATAACATATAGATACATATATTTTAAATGTATTTCTTGCCATTAAATACCAAGCACTTTTATAATTTCCTCAACTGTTTTCCCCCCCCCAACAATTTGATTGCAGTGAACTGCTGACAGCCACTGCTTGAGTAGTGTGCTGCGGTGTGTCTGATGTGAGAATTCGTTAATAAAGAATAAGCAGTTATATTTTTTTCAGTGCATTGACTCTCAGCATTTCCTTTGAGTTTGTGCCAATTCAAAAAACAATGAAATACTAAGATTTGTGAATTATTTTCCAATAATTGTTTTATTTTATTTTTTTATTAAAAAGAAATAATGTACTTTGTTTCAGTTTTATAGCTCTAACCTTTACTCTTTACGCTTCAAATTCAGGCAAGAATTCTTAAATGATATTTGGCAGGTTATGGAAATAGCTAGGCAATATTAATAACAAAAAAATCAATTCTGATCAAAACTACAACTTTTACCGGATAATTCAAAGTTTGCAGTGCTTCAAAAAAAAAAAATGCAATTTACTTTAAATAGCTAACATATTTGAACCATTCTCACATAATTTTTGTTTTTAATCTGGTTTCATGAGATTGCCTGAAAATATAAAGATTTCACTTAAAATTGAACATCCATACAAGTTTACCATGGTGATTAAAAATTAATTACATATCGTTTCAAGAAAAAATAATGTATAAGAATCCTTCGGTACAAGTGCTATTAAAAAATATCGTTTTTAATACCACAGATGATGTCATTTGAATTCGCAAACACTACATTGCTTTTCTCTTTTCTAATCGGGCCCAAAGTACTCAGAATCTAAAACTACAGATAAATAGTTTACTTGGTTGAATGTCAAACAATAAATCTTGCATTTCTTGGGTGCTATTACTATTCAAAATGATAAGCATTTTTGTTAGAGAAACTATTTCATCTATAGTCTCTAAATTTTTTAAAATTTCCTTTAAATACCTAATTCAATCTTTGAGCGATCTTTTATCAAAATCTGTAGAGTGATTTTAAATAACACTGAAGAAATTATACTATTAAATCAAGGAAACATAGCTTATAAGGTAATTACCAAAAAAAAAAATTGCATTGATATGGGATATTTGAATAATGTTTACTGTTTTAATTTCTTGGAACTTGATTAATGATGAGTATCAGCCAATACTAGAGACATAAGAGTAGCTTGTATGGTACTATTAACAAATATAAATATAACCCCCTCTTAAGTAAAGTGTAGCAAAAAAGTTTTAAAATCATTAAATGCTTGGTTAAACTCACTTCTCAAAAAATTAAGTATTCTTAAAGGTTGTTTTTAACTTTGGAAAATATCAGGGAATCAGGTTTTGATCTAAAGCAAAAGTTAATTTAACCACATTAACAGAAAACCCAAATGCTTAGCTTGGTGAATTTGAATATCAATAATGAAACTACTCCTTTTCTAGAAATTATTGAAATAAAAGACAAATTCTACATACCATCCTTAAATTTTTCCCTAAAATAGAAAATCAGCCGAAAATCAAAACTAAACTTGGTTGTTGTTAAAATTTAAAATGTCCAGCGTTAAGTTGTTGATATTACAACTGAATGAGAAAAACAAACTAAGTTAAAGTACTGTATACATGTATATAAGACCATATTTCAACCAGACACTAAATTAATTCATAATATGTTTAAATCCAAGCTTTGCCGGTCCCTGATTTTTTTTTAATTAAAAGGGCTTTACGTAACTTTTTCTCCATATTTTTATCAAGTGGCTGAAACTAAGCATTAAGTGGCTCAACATTCAGTATACCACCCAACTTAATAAGCTCATAACCATGTTCCCTTTAAACATAATGTTGTAAATTACGACAGAAAAAAATCATTTGGTAAAACTAGTCGTACTGGAAGTACTCTACATTTCCATTCACCAATTTATCATAAGGTTCTGGGTTCCTGAATATCCATCTAACATTTGTTTTAAACTTCAGGAACAACCCAGTTGCCCATATTATATTTAGATAAAAATCTTAGTCAGCAATCACAGGTACTTTTTTTATTTTAACTACCAGAGTATATCGTGCTTAAATCCCATTTTTAATTAATTCAACAAACTCCAATATATATATCTACAATCTGGCAGAGAACCAATGGATATAATCCCCTAAAAATAATATTTTTTTTTCTCTTATTAACTAATTACTACTATATACTCTCTCTTTAAATTGCATTAATTTCTTCTAAGTACTTAAGTACAACACCTCCTGCATCAGCTTCATCCTGCACAATACCCTTAATGGCAGCAACACTGCCCTGTGCAACCTCTTCTCTCTTGAACCAAATGTGATATCTTCGGACAAGAGCCTTGGCAACACCTCGAGCCCACCACAAAGCCCATCGCTTGCTCTCAGCGTCTCGTGATTCCTTACTTCGAGCAAGCTGTTCGGTCTTGATGTGTCTGTAAGGAGCACCGCTGTCCTCCCATTGTGAGGTGTAATATGCATCGTATCCAGCAGAAGCATTTCCAGCTTCAGGGCTGGCACCACGTCGCCGTGAATTGCCTCCATGATCATCGCGGTACCGCGAGCGGTCGTCTTCATCGTCACTATATCGGTCACGATAAGCATAATCATTATCGTAGCTTCCACGTCTACGACGACGAGAACGACCATCCTCGCCATCACTGCGGTCACCGTCATCACCGTCACGGCCAACTACAACATCACCTTCATCCTCAATTACAACATCTTCTCCATCTGCTGCAACGTCGCTGTGTACGTCATCGTCATCGCGGTCACGACCAGACCGTGCTGCTTCTTCCTTTTGTTCTGCTGCAGCCTTATCTGATGCTTCTGCAAGCTCAGTAGCCACACGAGCATCCTCATCCATGTCATTGATAAGACGAGCAAATTGTGTCAGCAAATCAATGAGAAGCTCATCACGCTCAGATTGGGCTAACCCAGAACGAGCAGGTGGGGCCTCTTGAGCAAACTCAAGAACGCTGGTAAGAGACTCCCATCCATGGGCTGTTGCTAACAATCGCCAATGGGGCCAAAGGTTGCGTCTGTTCTTGCGCTTTGTAAGGGCTAATGCACGCTGACGAGTTTCACGGTCCTCTTCAGTTTCTTCGTAAGGAGCGCCATTTAAGCTCTCGGCTCTTAATGCAATTTCTTGCAATTGTCGTTGTAATCGCAATTCTTCTTTATCTTCAGATTCATCAACATTATACTCCTCGCCATCACCGCGCTTGTAGTCAAATAAAAGTTGAATAAAAGGCTTAGGGGCAATAATACCTTTTCTGATAAAGATCTGCATCACAAGGAGACCAATGTGCGCCTGTTCAATCCAATACTCAAGAATCGATTCAATGGCAGCCGTAGGATCTAAACTACAGACATCAACAAGCATATCCTTAAGCTGGACAGTAAGTAACTCAACGTGGGTTAGCGATCGACTGCCCAAATCACAAACAGTGGAAACAACCATGTCGACAAACGCAGAAGTAGGATCTGTGTCATCAGCAAAGGATGCAGCTTTCTCACGGAGCTCTTGAAGCACTGTGCTAATGGCATCGCGACCCGACTCCCCTGATTCATCATCAGCGCCATCCGCACCGGGGTTAGCACTAGTTCCGCCAGTTGTAAGTAACTCGCGGAACCGAGCCATTTCTTCAGCACATGGAGAAGACTCCAAAAGCCATTTAGATGTGGGGGCTTGTAAAACCTCAGGAAGACATCTGCGTGCTACGTCAACAGGAAGTGTGACTCTCACGCGTTCAACATTACTGAGACGAACCTCCTTAAGAATTAGCTGCTGGATGAAAACTTTCTTGGGGTGAAGATCTGGCAAGTGAATGAAGTACATCCATTCATGCCAAGTCCAAGTAAATAAAAAGTTGGACAAATGGTGAGAAAACCAATCAATAATGCGGTGGTTAAGCTCAACATCGAGAGTGCCAATGTTATCATATAAAAATCTAATTGCACGACCAAGAACATTGGCCACTGTTTGGGAAGAAAACTTGCACATTTTAATTATAATGATGTGCATGTAAACGTTGCGTAAACTGAGAGGACTGTTGCGTCTCATCACCGTAACGGAACCATCTTCATTTTGTTGAAGATTGTCGTTAGTAAGAATCTGATCATATTCTTTAAAGTTACCAGGAAGTCTCATAAGAATATCTAAAATGGAGTCCATACAAAGGTCTTCACTCTTCCAAGTGGAAGCAGAAGGTGCAGTCTCATGAAGACTAATGAGATTTTCAATTGGGATTCCAGGTGTTGTGAAAGCTGTTTTAGATGCGTACCAGTCAAAAGTTAGTAACTGATGTGCCACTTCATTAGGGTTGAAATCCATGAAATTGATGGTTTCCTGAGTAATTTCACGGAAAACCACAGCTTCTATTGTAGTAGGAGGAGGAACTGTCTCTAAGCCACGGTTGGGGAGATAGACTGTTAAAAAGAGTCTGGGGGCAGGACCACCATAAGGACCATAGTAAGGGGAAAGAATCAAAGATTCTGGTTCTGCAAAATGAACTGCAGGAAAAGAGTGACGTACAATTGGTGCATCTTTAGAAATATCCAGTTCAATAAGACGTGGAAGATGAATGAACGATCTCGTTTCAAGTCCATTTTCTTCAAATCGGTCAATAGCTTCAGCAATTGCATGGATATAAAGGGGTGGCGTGTATGGTGCTTTTTCCCCAGCATCAGAAGCATCTTCATCAGTAGTAGGATGGTCAACAAAGGGGTAGATGATTGCACGATTAATGACACTTTTCGTTTTTCGGTAGAGTTCAATAAACTCTCGCGATTTTTCAATTAGTTGAACAATAGTGGCCTTAGTTTCAGGAGGAGAAACGTTCAATATGATTGACGAGCAAAGATATGGAATTGAAAGCACGGCGGTTGCATAGAATTCTTCAGCAAGCGGACATCGCATGGAACCTTTGAGAGTTTGCATGGCAATTGCACGATCAAGTAGCGTATTTAAAAGCTTGATTGCACCTGATTGTGACGGATCACTTGTTTTTGATGATTCTTCTTCTGCATCTTGTTCATTTTCTTGTTGAATGGGCTCACCTTCGGAGATAATGGGGTAAAGGCACACAAGAAACCGTGTAAGAGCTTTTGTCAAAGCCCAGTCGCTATCGTTAACAGCATTTTGCAGACGCATGTGGAAAGATTCAATAGCAATTTTTCCAATAGCTGAGTTTATACTGTTTGCAACCTGGATTGCGCATGAAAGAAGTGGTGCTTTGTGAGGTTGTTCGAGAATAGTAGCTTGCATCGTGTCAAATGCAGGTAATCGCTCAGACTCGGCAAGATCTACAAGATTCTTGCCCAGATACCCGACAGAAGCGGACACTGGATACTTGGACTAAAAAAAAAAAAAAATAAATGTTAGAGTAAAAAAATTTTGAAAAACGCGTCAAAATATATATAAATAGAAAAAAATATACTCACATCTTCAGCTATTCGAGCAATGAAGGTGCGAACCTTGAGAAGCAAAGGAGGGGGCGGTGGTGGAGGTCTACTATACCGACTTTGTGATCGAGATCTGATACGACCACCACCGCTCTGATAGCTTCCGGAGCTACCATAGTTTTGTCGTTTGTATCCGCGCGATTGTCCCTGAGAGCTTCCATAATCATCATCATCTATACAAAGGTTAGTAAGTTATAAAAAAAATAAAAATGAATACTAAAGTACACACTTCTTGATCGTTTTCTTCCTCGGCCAGAGGAATAGTCGTCGTTATCCATTGTTCAAATTGAAATTGATAACACCGGCTTATGTTGTGTATGTCGTTTGGCAGCTTACGAGTTGAAAAAAGTGGCACTTATTGGAGAATTTTCAAACAAAAAAAAAGTGAATAATCCGGGTAACTATTTGTTACAATATGTTCTATTACATATTTTTGCAATTAAAAATAAGCATACTACTTTGTTATACAATTTTGACTTTGTTTTTATCCATTTTTAAAGGATTGTAAATCACATGAGTCTTAATTAATGTCTAAAGGGTTGGTATAAATCATAATCTAAAAAAAGATTTTGTTTAAAGATTTCGAGTAAGATTTCGAGTAAGATTTGGGGTGCGTATTCGAGCCTAGTTAAGAAATGTCACTTAAATAAGTTCGTTTTTCAAACTTTTCTGAAAAAAAATTTTTTTTTTTAAAATTTGTGACATATTTTCATTACTCAAAACACTGAAATGAAATATGATATAAATAAAATTGTAGCAATGGTTCTAAAGTAAGCATATATGCTTATATTGGGCCAGCCTTACAACATCATTTAAAAAAAAAAAAAAAAATTTCATACGTAATACATTTTTCTAGCTTTTAAGGCCATTTTGAAATTTTTTTTCTTTTTTTTTTTTTTCCTTTTAGTGAAATAGTAGAAACAAAAGCAAAAAGGATGGTGTTAATGCTGATGTGATATAATTTTAACTCATGAATAATAATAAACAATTTTTTGGTGAAGATCTAATTAAAACATTTTGCAATAAGTTGTAAATTCACTTTTAAGTCGATGTAAAAATTTTTTTTAGTTTTAAGCATTTTAAAATTTTTTTTTTCAAAAGGCGTACATATACATGTATCTGCAAACATTTTCGGAAAAATGGTTTAAAATTTAAAATCTAGTTCCGAATTAATAAATTTGTTTGAGTATTATTATTTTTATTTATTTCACGCATACAAATTACAATTAAAAAAGTTCGTGGGAAGGAAAGAAAAAGGGAAAGAAACAAGAAAGAGAGGGGGCATCAAGGATTCATAAACGGATTGCAAAACGAAAAAAAAAAAAAAAAATCAAGATATAATGTATGTTTAAGAAGCAGAATCGTAAAGTTCGTCAATAGCTGCCTTGTTGTCTGCCAGAATCTTTTTCCGGTCGAGTTTCTGAGCGCTAGTCAAGAAACCATTCTGGGGAGTCCACTCAACATGTGAAATGACGGTACCCAATATCAGTTCGATGCCCTTAAGACCAGCATCCTTGCCTGTTTGAAGCATGCTCTTTTCAATAGCAGACTTGACTTTAGGATCGTGAGCAATGTCTTCGTGGTGCTCAACGCCAAGCTCAGAAGCGAGTTTCTCCACATTAGCAGGATTAGTCACAACAATAGCAATAGGCTTTACACGGAACTCGTCAGCATAAACGCAAATGTTAATAATGTACTGGTTAGAGCGGTAGAGTGACTCAAGCTTCTCAAGAGCAATGTACTCGCCATTCAGAGTCTTAATAAGGTTTTTTCTGCGGTCAATTAGCTTCAAGTGACCAGTTTCGGTCCATTGACCGATATCTCCAGTGCGGAAATAGCCGTCATCAGTAAAAGCAGCATCAGTTTCTTCTTTGTTCTTGTAGTACTCGTTAGCAACAGAGGCACTCTTGATATAGACTTCACCCTGATTATTTTTAGCATGATAGCCAGCTTCTTGAACATCAACAAGCTTGACAGTGACAGCATGTGTCAGTTCACCAATTGTTTCAAAAGAGAAAGATGAAGGTCTCATAATAGTGCACATGGCATTTGTTTCAGTCAAACCGTAACCAATAACCATAGGGCAGATGAGAGTGGTGATAAATTCCTGAGTAAGACGCGAAACAGCAGCACCACCATTGAGAACAATGCGGAGGTTGCCACCAGTAGCATCCTTAATCTTCTTGAAGATAAGATTGTCAACAAGAGGACAGGGGATATTGTGGTTGAGAAGGCGCAACTTAGTGCGGTAAGCAGTCCAAAAGATCTTTTGGGCAATTGGTGAGAGTTGGCCAACTTTGGATAAAATGCCCTTGCGAACAGTCTCCCAAACTGCAGGGACACCAATCATAACATTTGGCTTAAACTCGCGAATGTCACCGGCACACTTGCGAACAGACACATCAGAAATAGTTTTGACGGTACCGTAACCTAAAACACCACCCCAAAAGAGAACAGCAAGTTCAAATGTAAATTCAAGAATATGAGCCAGGGGAAGGTAGGCAAGCAGACGACTACCTGGAGGAATAATGTCGTGGCCAATGTTGCCTGAAATGCCTCCAATAGCACCAATAACATTGCGGTTAGTAAGAACAACACCCTTTGGTGGACCGGTAGAGCCTGATGTGTACATAATAAGAGCAACGTCTTCAGGTTCTGGGCCAATTGGTTCAGAATAGTTTTGCTTTCCCAAGTCAATAACCTCCTGGAAGGTATAAAACTTAATTTCAGAATTAACAGCCAAAACTTTTTCTTTAGCAGCGATTTCAGAGTCCTTTGTCATAGGTTCGGCTGTTACAATGATACGAACATTGGTAGCTTGTTGGAGAGGGCTTGCAAGACTGCCTACAATGTTATTGTCGCAAAAAACGGCAACAGAACCAGTTTGGGTCAAAGCATGAGTCAGGCCATCTTCACCTAATGTATCGTATGCAGTGGCTGCGGGGATGGCATTCGCATTTAATGCAAGAGCTGTTTGAAGCCAATAAGCCGAAGTTTGAGCATATATATGACAATTTTCCTGTCCTTTAGGCTTAATTCCAATTTGGAGCAATCCAGCGGCATAATTATTTACCAAGTCCAGAAGCTCCTTGTAAGAAATGTAAGAGTAGGGAGAAAGCTCAAAAAACTGCCACTGCTTCTCTTGTTGAACAATTTTACCTTCAACTTTCTTGGAAACTGTTTTAATTTCAGTGTGCACATCCACTATCTTACGAGAAGCCATGGCGGGAAGCGAAGAGTATTCTTTTTCAGCCCAAATGAGCAGATTGTAGATAGTATTTATTTGCGGGTTGTTGTCCGGGTATAGCCAAGGACCATCACGAGCTCCAATATTTCGGCGAGGAGCAGTTTCGCCTTCCTTGGCCTCGCCAACAGGAACCGTGACGGGGACTCTGTTGTTGAGCTTAATCTTGACTGGGGTAGCCATCGTATAAGATTGAATAGATATGGTACGAAAAAAGATGAAGATGAAGATGAAGATGAAGATGAAGATGAAGATGAAGATGAAAACTAAGATGAGAATAAAGGGAAAAGAGATGGAGAGATAAGATGGATTGATTAGAGAAAATAAAGCAATAAAAAATTATAAAAAAATTTTCTCCTATATGTTTTTAAGAAAAGAAAAGGAAAAAAAAAAGGAATATTTCGGGGTATTTATATAACAGAATTATTGAACCTATTCGTACCACCAGACCCATATAAACAAGTTATTACATACAACAAAAAATTTTTATTTATTTAGGACACCCCCAACGCGGAGACATACGACCCCTCATTCGGGTCACATGACGTACATATATATCAAGCATATAATAAATAAGCCAACAGAAAGCCCAACCTTCATTCTTAAGATAGACTTAAGTTTATCTGGGTTTTTTGCCTCCCCGCACAGCCAAGACCCAGTTAAGTAGATATATATGTGACGTTCTAAAATTTATGCAAATCATTCAGTGTTTTCGCGGGGCAAAAGGTTCAGAGCATTGAGTAGAAGAAAAAGTTATCATGTTGGGAAATATATGGGCAGCATTGACGAATCTTTGGGGTGCGGTGGCGCACATCACCAACAAACATTAGGAGTCTTTTAAATTCTGACGTTTAAAAAAATAAAATAAAAAATTTTAAATAAAAATTTAAATAAACAAAAAAAAAATACACGTTGATGTTATTCATGGTTAAGTAAATTATAATTATTAATAAACTCCGGTCCCAAAGCTCGAGACCCGCCACCCGCCACCCGCCACCAGCAACAAGTACAAAATTACCTTTTTAATAGTTTAAACGGCCGCATTTTAAGCCTTTCCGTACTGGGAGACTTGCTGACAAGTTTTTTTTTTTTTTTTTTTTTTTGTAAAATAAATAAATAAATAAATTGTTTATAAACATCTTATTAACACCTGACTGGCTGCTTAAATATGTCTGACAAACCTCAACAAGTAGCAAAAAAAATTGCTTGGCTTTTCGGTAACTTTTCATGATTCAACTAGAAAAAAAAAATGCTGAACATACTAAAGAGCAAAAATTGTCCTCAAGGTAACTTGCTACTGTGTTTCCATGGCTACGGATTTCACTCCCGGTTCCGGTTTCTTTTTTTTTTAATTTCTTTCTGTCTATTTAAAGGTCCGTGTCCCGACCTTTCTTTTCTTCCCTTTCTTTTTTATCCCCCCATCAAATAAAAAAAAAACAATGAACAATCAGTGCACGGCCTTCTTTTTTTTTTTTCATTTTACTCTGAAGACCCTCGGTAGACTCCAAAACTTTCTATATTAGTGATTGGTAATCATCAGATTTTGCTGCCAGCTCCCATTTCCGGAACTTCATGGCCAGTTGGTCTGCTTCTTTGCAAGGCTTTAACTACGCCTTATTTATGCTGTTACCAACTGTTCGGTATCTGACAATGAAGATTGTTGACTGATCACATGATTCAAAATTATTTTTGTTACAAATTAATGTAACAAAGTTGTAACAATTGTTCTTAAAGATTTAGCAACGAAAAAAAATTATTCAAAACAAACCCACCACCAAACAAAAGCAGCTGGTAATCACAACTTTCAAATACAACACACAATCCCTCTTTTTAAATCATACAAAAAAGAGTTTATAGATTAACATGCCGACTCCCTGGCAGTTTGGTTCTACTTTAGGCGCTTCTGCGTCTAAATCTTCAAGTGATTCTGACTCTCTGGAGTCTTCTTTGTTTTCCCATCAGCAAAATATTGCTCCAGTATCATCACCCCTTACATTTGACCTCAATGGCAGTCTAAGCACACCGTCTACATTTAAAAAGCCTTCCAGATTTAGCCCTTATTCCGTGGCAACAAGATCTTTTAATTCGAAACCTGTCCCTTCTTCTAATGGAAACTCAGTCCCTTCATCTATTAAAGAGCCTCCTTCTTCAGTAAATGGAAACTTAAAATACTATCTCAGCAGCGTTTACAACACCACAACAAAGCAACCACAAACATCGCAACCTAGGGCCGTTCCAGAATTAAAAGTTACATCCGCACCTCCTGGAGGCTTTCGCAGCAAATTCAATCATACAGCTTCTTCTGGAATTAAGAAACTTGTCATTCAGAAAACAAATATTCCTACTGCAGAGTCTCTGCGTGGGAAAGCAAAAACCCCATCCCCTTCTGAAACAACTTCTTCACCTTCACTGAACCCTTCCTCGACTCCCATTGGCTCCACTTCGTTTTCTTCAGTCGACGGTGTTCCTCTTGGAACTCCTATGCGTCACAATCCGGCCATTTCTCGTGTTTACGAAATCAACAAAACTGCGGTGGATGCTGGTTATTGGATTGATCCATCTCTGGAGTCTCTGTTTTCTTACACATTTGAACAACTTTCATCAGTTTCCGATCTTCGAATCGGACGCAAAGATCACGGCTACATTCGCTACATCAATCCTGTAGATATCTCTTCTATTAATAATCTATCTGATATACTGGGAAACATTGTTGTCTTTGACAACTACTCAGTATGTGTCTACCCCGAATCTAATCCAAACAAGCCACCACCAGGAAAGGAACTTAATCAACCTGCAGTGATTACTCTCGAAAACATTTTTATTTACCTACCCCTTAGTCCCAATTCTAAAACAAGACAGAAAATTACAGATCCTGCCCATCCCGGTGCAAAGCGCAAAACAAATCTTCTCAGAGAAACCATTGAGAGCCGAGGTGGCGAGTTCATCACATATGATGTTACTACTGGCGTTTTTGTATTTAAGGTGCAACATTTCAGCTCTTGGGGCTTTACAGAAGATGCGCTCATTTACGACGATCAAGATAATAAACCAGATAATGCGCAGAACTCCACCTTTTCCAGGTCAAACATGGAAACCACTGGTGAAATTAGTTCAATTCCTGATGACACGTTTGCTCACAAACTCAGTGCGGCTCTTTATAAGCCAATTAATTTGTCTTCCCAAATAACTACCCCTCATTCAGCAGTTTCGGACACTACAGTATCCTCTCCTCGAATCGTTCAAGATGCGTATACCTCATCTCAAACAGACGATGCATCAATGTCTGAAAATCAAATAACTCATGCTGACCAGTATAACATTGTTCTCCCAGATGAAAGCTTTCAGAATGAAGAAACAAGATTACCCCCTAAGGATTGGATAACTAGACTCTCTTATGCATCTTCTTTTAACTCAGTTCTGGCACCTGCTGCCCCAGATTTTAGCTCTGAGTATGAAACCCCTGGTGTTGAACCTACCGACTACACTTTCAATGCCTCAGATATTGATAATACTCTTTTTGGTGGTACCAGAACTCTTATTAAAAACTCAACAATTGGTATTTATACCGAAGCTTCAAAGACCTTAAAGCTTCCACCCCCGTTTTCAAAGTTTTCATTTGCAAAGTTTTCTTCAACAAATCTATTGCTCAAAGCTTCTGATCCGACTCCATCTTCTTACACCATTCAGAATTTGGCTTACAATAAAGATACTGCAATCCCTGCCTACTATAAGGATATCCTCTCTGATTTGATCAATACTTCTAAGGGAAACGCAATACTTCGTCCAGACTCTTACCTTCCTCTTTTCACTGCTCCAAGTAATCTCTCTTTTAGATATTTACTTTCAAAATTCCCCAACCTAGACTCTCGCTCTCGTGAAATCTTTCTTTTGGGTTCCATTCTTTTTGACAACACAGAATTACTGGGTATGGAGCCAATTCCACAGGATGTTTCTTCTGAAGTTGCAGAAAAAATCACTCAGCAGTTTCGTGCAAAGCTTTTGGCTCAGTGGTTGACAGACTCTGTTGGAGATGAAACAATCGCCAAAGTACAAGCTTCTCAAGGTGATCCGCTGGCACAAGCTCTTGCTTACATTCAAGGCAATCAGATTACAAAGGCTGCTGTTACAGCTGTTAGAGGTCGCAACCTGCATTTGGCTACTACTATTCCCTTGTTTGGTTCTCCTGACTTAAAAATTCGAAGTACAGCACGCCGCCAGCTTCAAGATTGGACTGAAAAACGTACACTTGTCAAAATTCCAACACCAATTCGTGTGATTCACGAATTACTTTCCGGGAATACAAATGTAGCGAAGGGTATTCCTGGTACTGAAGCTAAAACACTTTATCTTTCTCAATCTCTTTCATGGAAACAAGCCTTTGGATTACGTCTTTGGTATGAATGTACTCCTCTGGTCCCTATTCCTGTGGCTGTTTCTAAATACCAGCAAGACTTTTCCACGCCTTCCAACAATGTTCCAACACCTTACATTGGCAATTCCAAGGTTGCTCATGTTGAATACGAACTGATTTCTCTGTACGAAGCTACAGATGCCAATGTGGCGCGTGTACTCGATCCCCGTTCATCTTCACCGAGTCCTTTTGATTATAAGCTTCCTTGGATTTTACATCACATTCTCGTGCGCTCCAAGAACTTGTCTACTGGGTCGGGTGCCAATTCAGCACTTATTGGTGATGAAATTGCTCTTGAGTTTGCAAACCAATTAGAAGCTCACGGTTTGCTTGTTGAAGCTATTTTTATTCTTTGCCACATTAAATCCAACAATGTTGCTCAAGAATCAGTCAACTCTCTTATTGGCCGCAACATTGAACGTTTTACCTCTAGTGACCTTAATCTTCTTGGTCTCAATGGTCTTGGTATTCGTTCTAATATATTTGCTGAGGCTAGGGCTCTCTATGCTCATTACAAGGGAGATTTTTGGGCCGAGACTGAGCATCTATTGGAGGCCGGTCTGTGGGAAGAGGCTCATGCATGTGCTGTTGGCACTGTTGCTCCAGAGGCTGTGATTGCCGGTGTACCGGCCACAAAGAAATTGGCTGAATTACTTGGAGGTTTTGTGCACCCAGAAATCCGTGTAACCACTTGGTCGCGAGGTGGTCAAGTGTACCTTGACTATATTTATCTTGTCGAACAAATTTCTCTTCTCAAAAGAGGAATTATAGACATTCAAGATGGTACATTCATACATGCTAGCTTCGTGGAGAAAAATGGTATTACTCGACTATCCATCCCTACAATCGGTAAACGCCTTTTACAGGGCCTTTCTGATATTAATGTTCCAATTTACAATTCTAGAAGCACAGGTGATGACAAGTCTGCGCAAAGCAAGTTTGCTTTTGAGACACGCGTTGCTGTTAACATCATGGCCTCTTTTGTACGAGAAAACATCCGAATTTTGGGACTGGAGGATCACGCAGCACGTATACTTCAAATCAACGTAAGTGATGGAAATACACAACTGGTGCAAACCATTGGGCTTTCAAGTGTGTATCTCGCTCAGCGCGTGTCTCTTGAAGCTTAATGGTGGTTATTTTTTATTTTCTTTTTGACAATTTAAGGGGAAAGATATGTATATTGAAATGAATTTTTTTAAATAAAATAAAATTAGAATTAATAGAAACTATCGATGATATTGAGTTATTTGTTTTAACGTTGATTTGTATTTTAATGTTAAAATCATAGTTGGTTGTTGTATTATGGAGTGGCTTTTACACTTTAAAAAAAATTGTACACACCCCCCCCTTTTCAATGCCAAACACATCACCACAATGATCCACGAAATCCTGTTGGTTCTTTCAGGATTTGAATCATCAATTGTGAAAGCAGCAACTAATAATGATTTAGGGTTATCTTCAATACACCGATTTTCCGAGAATTCTGATACTTTCCACCATAGGGGCATTCATCTAGACGAAAATTCTATAGACCTACTACAGAACCAAGAAACCATAAGCAATAAGACACTGCTACACCCCGCCGAAAAAAAACTATTGGAAACGGTTGCTGAATTTGGAGCACGTCATCATCAGCTTATAGAAACTGTGCGAACATTTGAGTATACTCCAGCGCATGTTTCAGGTCTTCCAACATCGTTTAGCTTCTTAAGCCACAGCGACAACACCTACGATGGAGATAATAATGCAACAGCAGCTACTACAGCCATACTTCCACCATCATATGTCATTGTACGACCCGCCATTGTAACGACATTTCGCACCCATGTTTTACTTCCGCTAGCCACCCAACTGCAGTCCATTGAATCTTTGATACTACGTAAAGATGCACGCTATGTTGGCGGTAACAACACAGTCTCAGTAGCGCAGGTCGTTTCTGAAGTTGTTCTTCGCTGGAATCGTGTGATTCGCTATTCTCTTTATGTTTTAGCGCTGCTTCGCGTGCAAGTTACACCAGCAAATATAAATACAGAGTTTTTACCAGGCGAGTTTGGACTCCCGATGCTTGACAAGGAAATTAGCCAAACAAGTAATGCGTTTGGATTATTTACAGGTCCAATAGGATACCCAGAGGTTGATCTGGTGCGCGAAAAATGTTTGCTTGCTGCACATCGTGTATGGCTTCAAATGGCTGTTTCATGGCTTTTGTATGGGCATGTTGCGGCCACAAGCTCGCTTATTTATACCAAGCAAAGGTTTGGAGACAACTTGACTGATGATACCGAAGTGCGCGAAAACCATCGTGCCATTGTGGAGTATTTATTAGCTAACCCATCGCAACAACCAATAACTGCTACTGCTGGATTGGGGGGCAAAGACTCGTTGCGCTGGCGCGATGCTGCGGGAGATGCATCACAGTGGGAAAATGGAGCACCAAAGGACTTATTTTTGCCACCAAAAGTCAGCTATGAAATGGGATACCTGATATACACGACAGGAAACATGGTTTATCAATTTCTGGGTGCTAATGGGGCATTTTCTGTTGACGATACATATTCTTTAAATATACCCAACTTTCTTTCAAAGTCGCCTTCAATATCTTCCTTTAATTCTTTTCTCGGTGTTTCTTCTTTGAGAAATGAATCAAGTGAGCTTCTGCATTCTGCGACAACAACAGTAGCTGAGCTTACTGTTCCTATTAATGTATCTGAGCTCCGTTTTGCTGTGCGAAGCCTACGATCAGCTATTTTGCGTACACTTGGGGGGAACAGCAGTAGTGAAACAGGAGGTAAGAGAGCAGGCCCCTTTCGTGCAAGCCGTGTATGCCAATACTTTTGGACTCTAAGAAAAGTAGCACTTGCTGGAGATGCTGAGTTCTGTGCGCAACTTGGTATCCAAAGTGAAGATGTCAAAAAAGAAGCTGAGATGAGGTCTTCAGGTGGTGGTATGTCTTCTTTTTCCTTAGAAGTTTATGATGACGATGAAAATGATGACGATGATATGGAAGGCAGCAATGAAAATGGAAATGGACTAATAAAAAAGAGAGATTCGCTTGTTCCAAAAGTTTCGGCAGATGCAGTTCTACGGAAATTAGCACCGGAGGTTTTGCGACGTGCTCTACTGAATATTGCTGAAAGTCTGGGTACCGAGGAAGAGGATAATGCTATTAATCATCCATTTTACAAACCACAAGAATACAGTCTTTTCCGAAATAAGGAAATGTACTTTGACGCAACAGAATTTTTATTTTTAGTGCCAGACTCTTCTTTGGCAGATACCCAACCACAGTTAGGTTTTGATATTTTCCACAATTATTTACTAGATGTACCTACTCAGTTGGAATTACGTTTGAATTGGTTTCAATCTGTATTAACTCGATCCCCCGAACTGGATAGCGCAAAATATGCTGTATTATTTTCTTTTTTGGTATCGCTTAGCTCAGCCCAGCGTTTACTGGCTGAACAGTGGAGAAGCCTGATGACTTGGCGGGGACCAACGTACCGAAAGCGATTAAAAATATATCCACACTTGCAGCAAAGTTTACTTCAGGAACTAGACAGTTTATTATTTGCGGTTTATCATGCTCGTGTGTTTGTTGCTGCAGTTTGGGAATACTTCCAAGTAACGGTGATTGACCATCAATTCTCCAAATTATTGGGAAAATGTTTTCCTCAAAAGGAATCAATACCGTACCCAGATTATTCGAAATACGGAGATGAAAATGGGAGTGATGATGAAAAAGATCCCTTTTTAGATCCCGATGCAATTGCCGGTTTTCATCAAGAGTTTATAAGCACAGTTTATGACATGGTTTTCCTTGACAACGACGATCTTAGCAAACTATTTTTGGAACTTACAGTGGTAATTAAGACCTCGAGCTCATGGTTGGTACACAACCAGGCAATGCTTCTTTTGGCAACCCAGACTATGGATATTACACCTCAGGAACAAGCGCAGTTACAAAAGGCCGGGAACAGTATGCGACAGCTTTCTAGAAGCATTCACCGTGCTATGGAAACAATTTATGATCAAGTAGAATACATACAACAAAGCGACGACGATGTGGCAACCAAAAACCCGTTGCATTTATTGTTGTTGCGGATAGAATTTGTTCGAGACCGCGTCAGCTCTGGAATTCAAAACCATAGTTCTGTTTCTCAAGACGCAGAAACATATTAATGGAAATTTAAACATCCAAAAAAAAAAAAAAAAAATTTAAAAAAAATTGAATTAATAATCCGAAAATCTAAAAGTACATAAAAAAATTTTAAACTAGAATGAAAAAGATCATATGCATAAGCTTTAAAAAACCTTTTATTCCTAGTCATCCGAAAGGTCTTCCTCCAGTGAGCCTTCAACTTCATCTCGAAGCTTGTCAATGATGTCCAAAATAGCGGTACACGCCGGTGAGTCTGGATATTCTTGTAAAAAATTAACGCCCTCATCGCAAGCCTTTCCAATTCGAGGATCTAGCGGAACTTTCCCAAGAAATGGGATGTCTAGTTCCTTAGCCAAGGCCTCACCGCCGCCAGTAGTAGGTGCAAAAATAAATGATTCACCTTTACAGTTGGGGCAGACAAACCCAGACATGTTTTCGACGATTCCTAAGATGCGAATATTGGCCTTGCGACAAAAGTCGATTTCCTTGCGAACGTCAAGCAGTGCTACTTCCTGTGGTGTCGTCACAATAATAGCGCCATCAACACCGCTCTCGCCATTTTCCAGTTTCAGATAGTTGTTTAATGAAAGATGCTCATCGGAGGTTCCTGGAGGTGTGTCAACAACGAGATAATCGAGTTCTCCCCAAACTACATCCTTAAGAAATTGCTTAATAAGACCGTTTTTCTTAGGCCCTCGCCAAATAACAGCGTTATCCGGGTCTGGAAGCAAAAATCCAATTGAAATCACGGAAAGGTTGTCATCGACATAAACCGGAGTCCAACCTTCTCCTGACTGGTGCACGCGCTCACCCTGCACGCCCATCATTTGGGGCATTGACGGTCCACACACGTCCACATCCATAATCCCGACTTCAAGAGACTCATCTGCAGCAAAGGCCCAACCCAGCATTGATGTAAATGTTGATTTGCCAACGCCACCTTTACCAGAAAGTACCAGGACTTTGTGCTGAATGTCCTTGACGCGCTCACGAATCAGAGGTAAGTCTGGGTCCGGACCCTTGGGTGCGCTAGCACAAATCTCTTGATTTGGACAGCCCTGGCACGCATCGGCCTGACCCGCAAGCTCAGATTCGGTACCGGGACAATGCTCGGGTTCAGGAGCTGTCAGCTCTGGCTTTTCTTGTGACAGTTTTCCTGGTTGTTGGTTACCATTTAATGAGTTCGAAAGTGGTGTTTCAGAGTCCTGTAAAGGAGCAAAGGTCTGAATATTCTGTATTTGTGTATTTGATGCTACTGCTGTCATTAAAGAAAGAATTATATATGGTGTTAACTTAGAATCCTTAAACGTATCGTATTTCGTATATTTAAATGTATTAAAAGAGAAACCCAAAGAAGCTTTTTATATTTTGGCGATTCAAAAAAAAAAAAGATTTTTTCTGCTTATAAATAAAGTCCGCTTGATAAGATTCACGTGATATGAAAGACTGTGGTAATTCACGTGACCATACTCTACTTTTTTTTTGTTGTAATTACGAGAGACTGGCAGATCAGAATTTACAAACAGTCAAAAAAATCAAACAATCAAACAATTAAACCATCAAACAAGGAAAAGATGTGCAAACATATTCTTAACGCCCAGGTGTCTATAAGAACTCAGGTATGATTGTTGGTTAAGAAGATACTGTCTTGTTCTAATAAGATTTTCAGTGCTGCCGAAAATGGTACGACTGCCCACAGTGTAAGTTTATCAAAAGGTGAAAAATTGAAATGTTGTTCATTCTCTAACTATGCAGGCCATCTTGAGAATGAAGATCATCCATTAAAAAAAACCCTCGATCTTACTATGATTTGCAAAAAATGTAAAAAGGCATTCCGCAAGGATCTTACGGATTTTGACGAAGCTGATCAATTCTGCCCGTATTGCGACAACGAATATTTCATTCCTGCCGTCACAGGAAATGCGCCAGCGCCACAGAAGGACTCTGACGCCATACAAAATGACAATTCAGGCCCAGAGACTTTAGAAGAAGCTCGTCTCAAGAAGATTTCGAACTTAGATCCGCGCATGATTCGTGATGAAGATCTAGATAAGCTGGACGAAGAGCTATTGGGCTTTGAGCCTGATTACACAACTCGGTTGGGTTAATTTGGATGTAAATAAATGGATTCATAGCATAAATAAGGTGTTTTACAATATTTGGTTAGCAAGCATTTCTTAGAGTTATCGAAATCCCATTATGGCATAGATCGTTGCCCTCGTTGGATGGTCCGAACCTGGGTCTCTTTGGGTGGTAGTGGTGGTGAATGTATATACTAAGATGTTATGTAATGAACGCGACTTTGAATTTTCATCAAAACGCCAGTCCTTTTGTTTTTGTAAACAAGAAAAAAAAAACTTCCACACATCAAAAAAAAACTTGTCTACACTCACACTTCAACCACACAATCCAACCTCCAACCTATCTCAGTCATTCTTGTTTTTTTATTCATTATGACGACGGATACTCCGGATATTCAAATGGTGGAAGATACGACCCACCATGAAGAAGTACGTTCTTAATATCATCTATAAAAGAAGCCTGCTAACCTCAAACACAAGAAACAGAATGTCGTTGATATAACAGCCGAACAAAACTTAAAGGAAGAACAAGCTAATGCCAATGTGGTACGTGTCAAATAATCAAAATTTGCCACAGATTTTATAACCAATATGCTAACACATCATTCAACAGAAGCCTCCATTAACCTCAGCAGAGTTAGCTGAGCGCCAAAAGAGCTACTTTTTACAAAAAGACGATGAAAATCTTTCAAAACAAAAACGCGAAGACTCGCTAAACAGATTCCAGTATCTTTTGGGTCTTACAGACCTATTCCGCCACTTTATTGACGATAGAACCCAAAGAGACCCGATCTTTGCTGAAATCATTCAAGAAGCTGATAGTAGATTGAAGAAACAGCAAAGCAAATCCCAATCTGATGGAAAGAGCAATCGTCAACGCAAAACTGAAAAGGAAGAAGACGATGAGTTGCTTCGAGTGGAAAACGAATCTCTTGAAAATGAATCTTCTCAAGATTATACGGTTTTTACTGAATCCCCCGGATACATCCACGGCAAAATGCGTGAATATCAAATTCAAGGTCTAAACTGGCTCGTATCACTCTATGAAAATAGTATCTCGGGCATTCTTGCAGATGAAATGGGTTTGGGTAAAACATTGCAAACAATTTCTTTTTTGGGATACCTTCGTTACATGCGAGGTATTGTTGGCCCGCACATTGTAATAGTTCCCAAGTCTACTTTAGAAAATTGGGAACGTGAATTTGCAAAGTGGACTCCTGATGTTCGCACCCTTGTGCTTCAAGGTGACAAGGAACATCGTGCTAATATTGTGAAAAACAAACTTCTTACTTGCGACTTTGATGTTTTAATTACGTCCTATGAAATTGTTCTCCGTGAAAAATCTTATCTGCAACGGTTTGCGTGGCAATACATTGTCATTGATGAAGCCCACCGCATCAAGAACGAATCATCTTCTCTCTCTCAAATTATCCGAGTTTTCCATTCGAGAAACAGATTGCTTATTACAGGCACGCCACTTCAAAACAACCTGCATGAACTTTGGGCCTTACTCAACTTTATTCTACCAGATGTTTTTTCTGACTCGGCCCAGTTTGATCAATGGTTTGAGTCGCAAAATGGTGACCAAGACATGGTAGTCAAGCAACTTCATAAAGTTCTTCAGCCATTTTTACTTCGGCGTATCAAGGCCGATGTCGAAAAATCGCTCTTGCCCAAGAAAGAGATTAATGTTTATATCGGCATGTCTGATATGCAACTAAAGTGGTATCAAAAGATTCTTGAGCGTGATATTGATGCTATTAACGGCGTTGGAACTGGTGGTCGAGGAGACAAGACCCGGCTGCTAAACATTGTGATGCAGTTGCGAAAATGCTGTAATCACCCATATCTTTTCGAAGGTGCTGAACCCGGCCCTCCATACACAACCGATGAACATTTGGTTTTTAATGCTGGTAAAATGGTTATTCTCGACAAGCTGCTGAAAAGATGTCGTGAGAAAGGCTCTCGTGTGCTTATTTTTTCCCAGATGAGTCGTATGTTAGACATTCTTGAAGATTACTGTTTGTTCCGCGGTTACAAATACAATCGCATTGATGGTGGCACCGCGCATCCAGACCGTATCCGAGCTATCGATCAGTATAATCAACCTGGCTCTGAAAAATTTGTCTTTCTGCTTACAACTCGTGCCGGTGGTCTTGGTATTAACTTGACTACTGCCGACACTGTTATTCTTTATGACTCGGACTGGAACCCTCAGGCCGATTTACAGGCCATGGATCGTGCTCATCGTATTGGTCAAACCAAACAGGTTTATGTGTACAGATTTGTTACAGAAGATGCTATTGAAGAGAAGGTATTGGATCGTGCTGCTCAAAAGTTACGATTAGACCAGCTTGTCATTCAGCAAGGGCGTGCTAAGCCAAGTGGTTCAAATCAGGCTGCTTCTAAGGACGAGCTTCTTAATATTATCCAGTATGGTGCTCAAAACATCTTAAAAAAGAACGCGGCGAAAACTGAGACAGAAAATGAATCTGGTAGTGGTGATGGTAGCTCCATTGGCGACGATATTGACACTATTTTGGAGCGCGGTGAAAGCAAAACCAAGCAATTGGTATCTCGATACGAGAAACTCGGTTTGGACGATCTTCAAAAGTTTACCACCGAAGGCAGTGCCTACGAATGGAACGGAAAAGATTTTAATAAGATCAATAATGAGAAGCAAACATCTAATTTCCAATGGATTTCATTGGCCAAGCGTGAGCGCAAAGAAAACTACTCTATTGATGGCTACTACAAAAATGCTATGACTACTACTTCAAGTACTCCAGCAAAGAAGGCTGAGGACAAACCTCAAGTTCCTAAGGGTCTTAAGCAACTCACAATTCACGATTTTCAATTTTATCCTCCTAGGCTAGTTGACCTTCAAGAAAAGGAGCTGGCTTATTATCGCAAACAGATTGGATTTAAGGCTCCGCTGCCTTCCAATAAGGATGATTTGGAGGATCGAGAAGCTGAACAGAAACTTGAGCAAGAAGAAATTGATAGTGCAGAACCTTTAACTGAAGAAGAAGTCGAAGAGAAGACCCGGTTGGCTCAGTATGGTTTTTCTAAATGGAACCGTCGCGATTTTTCGCAATTCATTTCTCTCAGCGGTAAATTTGGACGTAATAACTACGAAGATATTGCAGCTGGAATTGAAGACAAGTCTGTGGATGACATAAAGGAATATGCCACTACATTCTGGAAACGCTACAAGGAGATTGAAGGGTACGACAAGTATATTTCGCAGATTGAGAATGGAGAGGAAAAAGCGCGTAAAGTTCAACGTCAAAAAGATATGCTTCGCAGAAAGATCGAATCATATACCGCACCAATTCAACAACTTCAGTTAGGTATTGCTCCTAGTGGTCATGGACGTCGTATTTACAGTGATGAGGAAGATCGATATTTGCTTGTTCAAATGAATCGCTTTGGATTGGATGCGGATGGTCTTTATGAAAAGATTCGCGATGCTATTCGCAACTCGCCCATGTTTCGGTTCGATTGGTTTTTGCTGTCGCGTACACCAATTGAGCTAAGTCGACGCTGTCATACACTGTTAGCTTGTGTTGTCAAGGAAATGGGTGGAGATGCTGCGGATGCAGGAACTGGGACCAGTACTCCCACTGGAAATGGGTCAAGCAATGGAAAAGCTTTGTCCAAACGCAAAGAGTCATCGGTTGATATTGATAGTGATGCTAGCACTAACGGATCCAGAAAGAAGGCAAAGAGCACCGGTGCAAGCACTCCTACAACAACTAAAAGCAAACGCAAGTCATCTTCTCGAGCGACTTCTGCTTAGAGTTTGTATCATATATTTTTACAATAGGTTGTATTTTAGAAAAAATATAAATTAATTAACTTGATTATTGATCATTAAAAAAAAGAAAGAAGGAAACAAAGGCATTAATTATGTGATGGAATATTAAAGAAAAAAATTAAGCTTTAAGAAGCTTCTCAATTTCTGAGGCAATAGAAGAAGGCTTTGTGATTGATGAGTATCTCTCAATGACTTGGCCATTCTTGTCAATGAGGAACTTTTCAAAGTTCCACTTGATGCCTTTAAAGCCAAGCAAGCCGGACTTTTTGCTCTTAAGAAACTCGTAAACGGGGTCTGCGTTGGAGCCATTAACATCAACCTTCTTCAAAACAGGGAAGGTGACACCATAGTTGAGCTGGCAGAATTGGGTAATCTCCTCATCAGTACCAGGTTCCTGGTGGCCAAACTGGTTGCAGGGGAAGCCAAGGATAACGAGGCCTTCAGGGCTGTACTTCTTGTAAACCTCCTCAAGTTCCTTGTACTGAGGGGTGAAGCCACACTTGCTGGCAACATTGACAATCAAAACAACCTTGCCCTTAAGCTGAGAAAAGTCGTAAGGAGCACCAGTCTTATCAGCAGGCTTGAGGTCGTAAAAGCTAGAAGGAGCAGACATTGTAGAATATTTCTTGTTGTTGTGATGGTAGTAGTATTGGTTGTGGTGGTGGTAGTAATTGAACTTGTGATGGGTAGATGCGTTAGCTGTTATGCGGGGGTAGAGAAAAGAGGTCAAAGATGTGTTGCGTGTACTATTTGCAAGAATTGAAGCTGAACAGAATGTTCGAGTGAATAGGATTGAAGAAATTCGAGTTTTAGAAAATCTGTGACTTGAACAAAAGAAGAAATTGGAGGAAGATGTTGCCATTTTATAGTTATTATAATGTGGGTAAGTAATTTTTTTTTTTTTCTTCTATTTCTAACAAACTTCATTTTCATGATTACATGATCATGGCCACACATCATCATCATAACAAATTCATCCACCATTTATTAATACGAGATTTAGATCACCACTGCCACAATGAACTAGAACCCTGACGCAACACATTGCCCTTTCAATGGAGGATTTTATTAACTAATTGAGACTGTTGGGATGACCTCGGAAATAACTTTAATTCTTATTTATTTTTTCTTTTTTTTTTTTTTTTTTTTTTTTTTGCTTTGAAATCAACGGTTTTAAACGGGAGCCTTTTTTTTTTTTTTTGGGTTCTTCAAAATGGGTAAAAGTTATTCCAACGAGATGACTATGAGATTTGTCTACAGATTCTGATAGTAAGCATTAGAAAAAAAAAATTTTTAAAAAAAATTTAAAAAAAAAAACAATGATTAAATTACTTTTAAACCCCACTACTTTTTATAATAATGTTTTCCCTCAATCGTATGATTGTTCAAAAAGTCGTCCAAAATACTGTCGAGATCTGGACGTTCCTTGGCCATATCAAACGCTTCTTTTTGCTTGTGTGCGCCTTTGCGGCCACTGGATCGCTTAGCCAGGCCATGTTTAATGTGTGTATCATCATTCAGGTCGTCCTCTTCACGGTCATTCAGATACTCTTCTTCAATAGTATCGAACCGATCGTCAAGCATTGTCATGTGCTTGTTGCGGAATAGGGCAGAAGACGACATAGACAACCCAGTCATTTCAGTCAACGCGTCACTGTTTAAACTATTAAGCCCTCGAGAGCCTCCAATACGCTTGCCCACATTATCCAGCAACCGACCCTTATTGCGTCGCCATTGCTTATTAGTCATGTTAGTTCCTCTCGTCATTGACGTCACCACACTCAGTGCGCCCAGCTGATCACCAGCCTCACTATCCAGTTCGTTGAACCCAGCCTCTTTGCGTGAAGTTTCCTGGCTAATCTTGAACTCCCGGAACGCCCGCTCCCAGTCTTGTTCCGTAGCCACATTACTGTCTTTGTCAATGTACTCAACATCAGGGACTGTCATATCGTCCAGCGCGGGGAACCCTGACTTGGAGTCTGCTTCAGCATCTTGTTCAGGTAAGCTTTCTGGTCTTTCTATGCGTTTTTCAAACCCATCAGCAGATGGTTTCATTTTTTGGTAAAGTTCTGTAGCCGTCAGTTCGGGTGCCTTTGCTGGGGTCTCTTCTTCTTCGTATTCGCCTTCATCAGATACATTTCCCTCGTAAAAGTCATCATCTTCATAATATTCGTCATCATCGTAGTATTCATCATCATCAAAGTCATCCTCATCGGCCTCTCCACTTTCCAGCAGCTGTTTAAAAATGTCTTCGTTTCCATCGTCCTCTGCATCAGTAACGTACTCTTCGTCTTCCAGAGCCTCCAGGACTTCTCGCAGACCAGGGTCCATATCAGGCTTGAACCCTGAAATAGAATCTGGAACAGCCTTTTCTGAATCAAAGTTTCTTGGAACTGAGATTTCAGAAGGAAGCATATCTTTAGCAAGTAAAGAGGCAGGATTAGCTTCCTTGTTCTTAAACTGAATACCACCCGACTTCCTGTTGTTTTTCTTTTCTTGGTCTCTTTTAGAAACAAAGACAGCATCTGAGGATTGTCCGATAGGCTTCAAATGTTGCATATAATCGTAATTGGAATCGTCAAATTTAATACCGTATAACGCGGCTTCACCTTCATTTTCTCTTCGACCCTGGCCCTTAAACTCTTCATCCATGTCTTTGTCAAAAACCACAACTTTATCACTCAACTCTTTCTTGGGTTGTTTTTCCAAACCTTCGTTGAATTCATCAATCATAGCCTGAGACTGGGCAGCAAAAGCCTTCTTTTTCATGCGGCGCTGTTCCCTCTGTTCCCGCTTCATATCCTTGCCAGTGTCCTTTTGGTTAACCGGGACGAAAACTGCAGCAGAAGCATCAGGATCATGATAAAGAGGATCCTCGTGGGATCGGTGCACGAGTGAAAATGTGACGGTCTTTTTCTTGTCTGATTTTGGTGGCATTTTTGTATATTAATGTCCTTTGAAAAAGTCTTGAAAATTTTGTAAGATATTTGAAATCGAGAATTTTGAAAAAAAAAAAAAAAAAAAAAAAAAAAAAAAAAATTTTACTGGAACTGGAACCATAGAAAAGATTATGTAATAAAAGCCGCAGGTTTGTGGGGCTGTTTAAACCCTTACCCTATTTAACAAAAACACTAAAAAAATAAGCATTTGTTTATTTTATGTTTTCAAAACAAACACTCCATACCAAATAGATTTCCAAATGACTGCTTCAGAGTCTTTACCAAAACAAGAGTTAGAGGCGCTTAAAAAGCTCAAAGATATTCCCCTTGCGATTCTAAATGCTGAAGCAGAATACGTCAAGCAAATAGGAGATCCGCGAAGATTAAGTGATAACAACAATGTCAAGGTTTCAGACCAGATCAAAGAACTTCTTCAGCAAGATCCGCGTCTAATGCCAGAAGAACTTAAGGCAGCACATGAAGTTTTTCAAACGCATAAACTGGCTTACTTAGAGCATGAAACAAAAGTTGAGTTCCTTAAGATTATGATGAATGCTTTTGAAGATGACGATGAATCTTCGACATACTATGCCAATCTCTTTTTATCCCTTAACGAAGACACCATTGCACAAGAAGAAAGGGCGAACGCTGAACTGAAAAGCAAACTAAAAAGTGAAAAGAGACGTGTAGAATCTCTTCAAAGTTGGGTTGAACAAGCAGCAAAACAATTGGTGGATGATGTGGCTGATGTTGTTCAGACTAAGCCTGCAGAAATATTAAAGATGACTACGGAAATAGACGAAATGCAGAGAGAGATTGATGCTTTAGAGGAAAAAGAAAAGGCTTATTACAAGAGTTTGACGGATCAGTTGGGTATAGATCGCGAAGATGGACAAGAATACGACATAAATGAGGACCCAGTGGCTAAAATGATTAAAGAGACTGAAGAATTTGAAACTCGCGTACACGAACTAGAGCATCACCAACTAAATCAACAGACTAATGTCATACATGGACCTAAACCACCTAAATCAACAGACTTAGAGTCCTTGACCAGAGAGCTGGATATTAAATCTGCATCTAACTCTGCGCTAGAGCGAGAAATTGCTCAACTTACTGCACGAGACCAAAAACTACGAGATATTACTGCACATTTCAAAGAGCCATTGGAAAATTCACTGCCTCAAGACCCTCAAGCCTTTGTTTTGTTGCAGCAGTTGTCCCGAAACAATTCCATATCTGATATTAATGAGTATGTGGAAAGCGGCGAAACCAATACGTATGTGGTACAACAAGCCATTGACTGGTATTCAAACGTCAACACGATGATGAGCAAAATGCTTGGTATAGATTATAGTACTTTGCGTCTACTACAAAAGGGTCCCCATCATATACTTTACAAATTTACCAAACAAGTATCTATTTTTGGTAAGACAGGGAATCCCAAATTGTTTGTGGCAGCTCAAATATCGTATGAGCTTTTTATTGTCAATTTAACGGGGAAAATTGAAACTGGAAAAATTACTGGAATCCACTTGTTGCGGCGGTTATCAGTTAAAAGTGGAGATAATAGTAGTGGGGAGCCGGTGGCTGATAATGTGATTGACCGGGCGGTTCTTGCACAGGACGTTCTTACACAAACAAAAGCACTTTACGGTTGTAGTCCAAGCTTTTTTGTTAATGAAACTAGCCGGATAATTCGAGAAAGGCTAAATTCTTTAAATTAGAATCTTTTAATGAACTATTTACGACGTATATGATGTTTGAATAATTACAATAATTTAATGAAAAAAAGAAAATTTTTTTGATATCAACTAAAAATGTGAAAAAAAGCAAAAAAAAAAAAAAAAAAAGAGTAAACAAACTAAGAATACAGTCATGGAGAGCAATAATATCAATAAGAGCAAGAAAAAAAAATTAAAAAAAAAGAAATAAAATAAAGCATACTTATCACTGATAAGTTGAAATGCAAGCTAAATTTTAACTGAGAACTGCAGATGATGGTGTAAGGGGGGAGGTCTGATTAGAACTATTTGCTGGTGATCCAGCCGCCAGCTTTGTTTTCTTGAGTTTAAGCGCCAGCCCCTTGAGGTCCTCAAAGCTTTGTGAATTGGAGTTTTTACGGCCCCATCCTGATGGTTGTCTTTTGAGGAACGCACCAACGGCACCCAAGTATCCTTCATGTCTCAAAAAGTATGCAGTCTTTTCACCTTGAGACCAAAAGTTGATGGCATACGATAGTGTGTGCATAGTGATTGGATGGCCACAAATGTAGGAACCACCGAAATAAATGTGCTCCAAGCCATGATTCCGTGCTTGAAGATATGCAATTTGTCCAATGTTATTCGAGATTGCATACAACAAACTTCGACTTATGTCTTCACCTCGGAATCGGGCAAACTTTTCTTCCTGGGTACCCTCGCTGTCATAGCCTTCATCATCGTACTCATCATTGTCGTATACTGTGCTGCTTGTACTCTCAGTGGCTGCGGCCTTTTGAGTGTTTGACGAAGCACAATTACATTGTTGTGCGCTCTGGGGACTGCTTGCTGTGCTAGCTGTCGCCGATTTCTGTTGTTGTTTGTTGTGTTCGTGCTCCTTGCGGGCTGTTTGGACTTCTTTAAAGACTTTTCCAAAACTGCTTGCAATAGTAGTTGCCTTGAGACCAATTCGAGGATAATCAGTTCCATAAATGTCACCAACGAGCATATCAACCCTAGCATTATCACCCTGAGCTGCCATCTCAAGCATGTCGTCATAGGATTTGGCATTTGTAAGAAGCGACAAAAGACCCCAAAGAGTACCACCACCAAGAGATGAACCTCCTATACGGGTAAACGTCTGAGGGCCTGTAACTTTAATCATACTTACACCTGAGCCAATATTGACAAGTAAATATGGGTAAATATTTGGTCGAGCCTCGGCAAATCTCATAGGATCTTGTTCGCTGTAGCAAAAAACTTCCTCGGGGATTTCGGTAATAAAAAAATCCAAACCAGCAATCAAGCATTCCATTTCATCTTCTCGAGTGACTTCAACTCCAAGACGAGAGCGCATAAGATCATAAAATTTGTAAGAGCCACCACCTGTGGCCATGATGTGAAGAGGTTTTTTAGAAGACGAGGACGAGTCATCGGAAGAACATAGACCCTGAATAAAATCCATGTACTCGTCAATTTTTTCAGTCTCAAACTTGGTGAAGTTAAGACGGCCTCCTTTACCTTGGTCATCTTTTGTGAAGTAAACAATTTTGGCAAGAGAACCACCAATCTAAATAAAAAATAAAATAAAATAAAAAGGTTAATACTAAAAAGACAACAGCTGATATTTCAATTTTGGTGGGGGTGAATGGCTTGGCCCGAATAGTGGGGTGTGGGAAAACGAGAGGTAACTTGATTTTACAAAAGAACCAATAGCCTTTTAGTAAGATCATTAATAATCCGAACAAAACTTACATCAACCGCTATATGCGAAACCTCGGAATTATGATGGGGAAGAGCAATATCTCTGGTGCCGGGAGGAGTTTGGCGACCGTTAGACTCGTCTTCGTCAACAATGAATGCACCTTCAACATTGATTCGAATAGCGCTGGGTCGCGGAAAAGTCGTATCGAAAGCCGCAATCCCCGGAATATCATTAATACTAATGTGGTGATCTGCTCCATGATAAAAAGTTTGAGGGGTTGAAGCCAGCGACGATACAGCAGTTGAAGGTCTAGAGCAGATTACTGATGCTGAAGGATGGCGGCTATGATTGTTGGTGATTCGTTCCGTAGCCTGGTTGATGGTGTTTGTAGAAGTTGGCTTACCATCAGTATGTTGGGACTTTGCAAAGGCTGAATCAGTCAAGTCCTGCGTGGCTTGTAAATCGAGAGTAGACATGATCCGGGTATATATGGGAAGGACGTGTTCTGGAATGGTATGTGGAATATCAAATGTATATTTTTTTTTCCAATTCCTACTAAATAAGAACAAGAAAATATAGCTGGAAATATATAAATTTATATACGAAATTGAAAGTGAAAGTGAAAGTGAAAGTTAAAGGCATAAAGCTTGTCGAGAATTAACAACGAATATTGAAATTTTTTGATTGATGGAGACGACGGCTTAGCGGAGTCATGAAGTAGAAAAAAAAAAAAAAAAAAAAAAATTTGTGACACACTTTGTGTGGGGGCTTGTTACAATATTTTGTTAACGTGTAAGAAAAAGAGAGGGGGGGTGGAGAGAAAGAGAGAGGTCGAAGGTTTTGTAGTATTAATACCACCACTACCACCACTACCACTACCACCACTACTATTATTACTACTACCAACCATCATCATTTACTACGGCGGCGGCGGCGGCAGCAGCGGCTTATAGTAAGGCTAACGTATTCGGCGGAAGGAAATGAGGCCCGGCCATTGCGCCTCGGCCAGAAGGCTAGTGATGTAGTACCGATAGTGGAGAGACAGGCTAAAGTTTGTTACATCAAAAAAATTGTTACATTATATATATTGTAACAAATAGTGTAATGTCATAATAATGTTGTAATACATACGTAGCCGTTTTTGATCCCATCCATCTCATTTCATCGCAACATCTCAAAGCATTCTGACAATATTATCACTACTTCAGTAATTTTCTCTTAATAAATAATCAAAAAAAAAGAAAAAAAGAAAAAAAAAAACAATGACTGACTTCAAAGTTCCAGACTCTTTCTACGAATCTCTCAAATCTACTTACAGTAAAGCTGTTGAATCTGGAGACTTGGTATTTACACCTACTTCAACAATCTATACTAATGTGGACGATGTTTCCTACGTCTACAGCGTGATCCCAACCCTCAAGCAAAAACCACAGGGTATTCCAAAACCTAGTGAAGAAGAACAAGAAGAGGAACAAGAAGATTCTTCAGCTCCTTTTGATCCCTTTGACCCCCCAAGCCCTCCTTTATTGGTTTTACCTGATTATGCAAATAACTACGCTGTTGTTCTCAACAAATTTGCCGTCGTTCCATACCATTTTATTCTCATCACAAAGGACAAAAAGCCCCAAAGTGCACCACTCGAACCCACTGATCTCCATGCTGCATACTCTCTTCTTCGTGCAACTAATAAGCAATCCGGTATCCGCCACGTTGGATTTTTCAATTGTGGTGCCAACTCTGGTGCCAGCATTGATCATCGCCATATTCAGTTCATTGAATTCCCTAATCCCAAAAGCTCAGATGGGGCTGTCTACGAACCTTGGCCTGATGTGATTGTCAAGCCACACTCAACTACATACAAAAATGGCCAAAAACCTATTTCTGCACATCACGCCCCATTCTTTTCGCATTTCCTGGCCCCAATTGACACTTCTACAAAGGAAGACGAACTAGCTGATCACCTATCTTTTAGATACTCAACTCTTCTTTCTCGTGTTCTTACCTCCCTACGTCATTCTTCTCTTCCACCAAGATCCCCTATATCATATAACTTGGTTTTTACTGAAGAGTGGATGCTTGCCGTCCCCCGTACTGCTCCTGATTTTATCGATGCTGAAGCTGATATCAAAATTGGAGTAAACGCGGTTGGTGCCATCGGTCTCATTTTGGCCAAGGGTGACGATGAACTTGAATACATTAAGAAAAAAGGTCCAGTCGCTATTCTTCAAGGTGTATCTTTGGAATCTCAAAAGAGAGAAGAAGATGTGGATTATGATTACTGAATGCTGATTAAATGTTTATCACAAAAAAATTTCAACAGTAATATATTTGTATATCCAAATTAAGAAAAAAAAAATAATAAAAATAAAAACATTCTCTTCCTCAAAAAGCTATCCAATAAAAGGGGTATCGTAACGCCAGGAGGTAAATGACGCACTTCAACGTTGATTTCCCTTTCTGTGCCATAAGTCTTTGTATGGGTTACTACTGTCTTGTCAAAATATTCAATAATTTCCAAATCAATTTTATCTTAGTCTAATCTTAATTGTATCTCTTGTAAGAGAAGTCAAATCTGAATAATAAGATTTTGTTGAAACCTTTGGTTTTTATCAAAAACAGAGCAACTTTCATTCTTTTGTCCTTTTAATAATTTCTTCAAAAAAAAAAAAAAAACCTTTGATTCACTGAAAAAACTTAGCCTCTTCTTAAGACAACATTTAAAGCCTTCACTTTTAGAGCACGTACACTTCTGAGACAATTTTTTTAAAAATCTGGCTAGTCTTCAACGGTGTTTCTTTGTATGAAGCTCTGTAGTTAAGTGTTGAAGCTAAACTTAAACTATTATCAATATTCTTAACAAGTTGAACATTTTTTTGTAGTATTTTTGATGCTATTCCAAGAAGATACAATTCATTATTAAATTATTAAACAAAATACTGTCTTGATCATAATGTCTTTCAACGTCGCTTTTACGCGTTTTCTGCTTCATTGAATCAGTTTCCAAGATTGGAAAATGGCTTACGACGCATTCATTTGAGGTTTTACAACAGGAATCGAATGTTTTATATATACCTTGTTTCAATAGTGTCACTTTTGAGGAATTCTTAACTTCTGTTTCCTTTTTCTGCATAAACCGCTTATGGGAATTTTTTTCCACCTCACCCATTCTAGATTCATTTTTGACCGAATCTTTACTAAGAGTTGAAATAACGGTTGTACAGGACAGCCCAATGGAACTGACTGAATGAAACGATTTGAAACTTAAAGTTGTTGTTAAATTGTGTTTATAGAGCCTTTTAAAAAAAATTTAAAAAAAAAATTTTTTGTGTTTATTTTTGAGGTTTTTTGGGGAGGAAATTGAGGAATCACTCACTTTGTTTTTTTATCTTGGCTAACTTTTATGTCTAAGGGTGATGGCATATAATGTGTGTTTATATTATGGTTGAATACTTTGTCAAACGTAGACACATCAGACTGTAAATTTAGTTTATGATGTTAAGTATTTGATGGTATGTGAGTCTTATATAAAAATTTCACTTTTTATATTGGAAAATGATTTGCCGTTAGTGTCATTTTAATACCAAAAGCATGAAATTTTGTGTTGGAACCGAGGACCAATTCGTGAAACATATTTTAATATATATATTTTTTTTTAATTTTATAAAGCATTGGTGTATACAAGCAATCAAACCTACAGCTTTACTGCTACTTCTAAAAGGCTTTTATGATCTATTCATTTTTGATTTTTTAGGCTCAAAAATGAAGAACAATTTATGACAAACAAAAAATATATCTCTTTATGCTATTTTTTAAGTGATAAAAAATTTAACTAATATCTATAGTTACTGACTTTGCCCATGCTTTAATATTGAAAAACTAATAACGTACCAAATTATTATCAAGTAAAGGTTTAGAAAAATTGATTCTTTTCAAGCTGATCATTTGCTTCATAATTCTTAAAAAAAAAAAAAATAAAAAAAGAAGAAACCGAAAAATATCATCAATTTTTAAAAGTCAAAAAAAATAAAACAGCATTTTAATAATACAATAAAAATCTTTTTTGAATAGTTGGATTTGAAAACTTTGGATGTTATTAATCAGCAAAATAAACTAGTTTTTTGTATATAGAAAAGTACTAAGTAAATTTTTCAGGCTCAGTTCTTTATTGCAAACCAGTCCAATTACAACTATGCACAATCATAAGAAACTATTAAATTAGCTTTATTGCCTATTTTTTTTCTAGTTTTTTTAAGTGTGTTAAAATTTAAAAATTTATGTAAGGTATATGTAGTGTACTCTTTTCTAAGAAAGAGAAATGTCTCACTAACAAGTATGTAAATATTTGTTGAAGAGAGGATCAACATTACATGAATGGTTAATAATAAAACAGTTTTTATACAGTAACAATACTTTCTATAAAAACCGAGTTATTCTTTTAGATTTTCTTTTTTTTTTCTTAGTCCCTATTTATTCTAAGAAACTAGCAAATTAATGAAGAGTTTTCTTTATTCATAACGCTGCCTCAAAACTTATTTACTTAAATGGAAATGTTACTAATAGACGAGTGGGGCTTCAAAATAATTTTAAAAAAAAAAAAAATTTCAAAAATTTTTTTTTCTAACCTAAATTTATTGTTATACTACTGGAACCATCCTCTAGGGTTACTGTTTGTGATCTAAGATCGAGTTTTTGAGGGTCTATGTCTCAAATTAATGGTTGGCTGATAGGAAATTATATTTTTTTTTCCTACTCATAGATCAAATACCTGAATATACTATGTTTTCGTATTTGAAAAAATATCTGGAACTTTCAATGGTACACTAAATCTTAGGAAGTTTTAGCCAGATTTTTTTTTTTTGTCAAAGTAATGGAAAGAACCTACTATTGTCAAATTTCTCTATTACATAAAAACAAACTAATCATGAACAGCTTAGTTTTTATATTTGAGAATTAGTTATTGATCAAGAATCAGCTCTCACCAACTAGGTTTTGGATACATTTGTTCCTTAGAAAATCACAAGTTTTCAATCTGTTTCTTAACCCAAAATAAGAGTTTTTTTACTTTAACGATTACTTAGTCATGACCAAACTATACTTGCATGGATTATTACCTGATAAAAGCCTAGTTTTTTTATGCTTTAATATTCATACGAACAAGGTCAGGCTGGATATATTCATGGTATAAATGTCACACTTTTGGATTAAGAAATATGATTTCTTCCAGTTATTCCGTGGAGATTATTATGAGCAAATCTTAATTACGTTTTTGGGTTATAAAAGATGGTATGGGTTCATTATTTAAAATATCTTAATAATTCATAATGATATTTTTGATAAATATTTGAAAAAAAAAAAAAAAAAAAAAACACGCCGCTTACAATTTGCAAATTTGTTTTTCTTTTCTTTTCTTTTTTCTTTTTTAGAGATTCGAAACCTAATGATCTCATTTTGAAGCTAACTGTGTTTAAATTCTGTGAACAAATCAGTAACATGATCACATATAACATTCGTGATCAAACTTACTCCTAAAAATTGAATTAAAAAAATGATCATTGTTCGCTTTTCTATCTTTCCAAAGTTACAGAGTACCCATGATAGATTATTATTATCAGCAAATAATGTGAGTCTAAAACTTTTACATCTTAAATTTAAAAGATAGAGTATTCAGCATCTAGGTCAGATTTATTATAATTAATGATACATAAATCTCTGAAACTTTCAAAAACTGTAAAAAAAATAAAATATTAAAGGTTTAACTAAATGCAAGAAATCTTCGTATTTGAAATATTTTTTTTTGCTATCATTTCTAGTGGGCAACTACGGATAAAGATATATGTACATTAACATTTAAAAATGAATAGAGTATTCTAAACGGAAGCATTCTTATTTGACGAAGGCTCCAAGCTAAATATGTTTAAAAAAAAAACAAGTTGAAACTTTATTTTAATAAGAATCATACAACATATTTCTGTTTCAAATACTCCTACCATTTTCAGAATGTTTTTGAGCTTAACTAATTATCAATTAGTGATTTTAAAAGACACATATTTTGAAATTAAATGAACAGTGTCAAATGTTAACAATGGTTAACCTAAGTTAAAAAAAAAAAAAAAAAAGCCTATCAGGATAATCTTATCACCATTTAAAATTGTAATTAAAGTATTCCAGATCTTTTTAAAAGTAAATCAGTTACAAATTTTCTTTTAATAAATAATATCATTTTCTTTTATTTAGCATTAAAGATTTGCTCGTGGATTTTTGTGTATCTTGCTGTTTTTTTTTGTTGTTTGATTAAAGTTGAAACTTTAACTGGAAAAAGTCTGGAAATCCCGGTGCTTATAGGTTTTGGGTTTTTGTACAGTTGAACTTGAAGGATGATCTGGATTCTTTTTCTCGTCAGAATCTTGGATACTTTAAAACTGATTATAGTTTTTTTTTGGTAGAAATCAACGTATTTGTTTACATACTTCCTCTCAGCCTGTCTCCTTCTTACTGGTCAAAATTCTATCTCTGTTTTTTTTGTTTTTCTTTCGTTTATTTTTTTCAATTTCAAATATTTGAAGCTGTATACAAAATAGTAAAATGAAGATAATGGAATTTAAATGTGTTCGTCAACACTGATCTACGCCTACGTTTCCCTTAAATTTTAAAATGGGCCCGAAAGCATACAATTAATGAAAAAAACATATTAATACGGTTTGATACTTTAGTACACTGGGGTGAGTGGAGACTGCTTTTCTATTGCACATAAAAAATTTTCAAATCATGTAAGCTAAACCTCGAAGATGGAAATTGTGAAAAAATTATTCAGGTTTTTAAAAAAGAGAGAGAGAATGGGTGAGTGAGTGAATGAAAAAAAGGGAAAAAATATTTTTTTAAGATATTGATACAGTTTTTTCAATCAAGAAATTATTGATTTTAATTCTTAAGGTTAAATCGTGTTTTATTTTGTTATCTCTGTTTGTAAATTTTGGGTTCGAATAATACAAAGGTCTTTTAGGCTCTTGTTCAACCTGATAAGGTTATCAGTATTGTGAATACTAGCATTGTCAAAAACTTGAAAATATGGAAATTGTTAAAGCTCAACTTGTGAAATAATCCCAAAATAACTAAATAATTAAATTCTTGAAAAAAAAATTTTTCACTTTTAATATATGGTACATTCAAATGGTGTGGTTCTTGCCTTAGTGTGCCAACATGAGTATACTTCGGAACAACTGGTGACTTATATAATTGCTTACCGATATATATTATTACTTGTTGTTGGAAGCTTAGCAAACTATTTTATGATTACTTTCTTTGTTAAGCCGAAAAATTACCAACCCATTTAAAAGTACCCATCGCATTGGTCTTGGGATACTACACTCCTGCTCTTTAAGGCTCTGCAACTTGAATGCTTTACAAAATTTCACCTTAAGCTTCTAAATTTTTTAACATCTACATTGTTTATTTATCCACTAATTTTTTGAATAAAAAATACGCCTTTCAATCAGTTGCAGCTTAACTCTAGTTTTTTTTTTTTAATATGAAAAAACATTTTAAAAAACAGAGTTTACTTTTCTATTAAATTATTATTATATAAACTAATACAGATAAATACTAATGAAATTCCTTATTAGGAACTCAAAGAAGAAGACAAAAAAAAGCAGTGCGCATAAACTTTTGGGGGCGTCAGTATGAATTGTTATTCGATATCTTGAATCCCGGCTTCTTTTTCGGAGGGTAGTTTACCAGTTAGGCTCATCTCATCTCATCACCAAAAAAAAAAAAATTAGACGTTATATTTTTCACTGATAAAAAAGGCTGAGTGAAAAAAAAAAAAAAGAAAAAAAAAACAAATGAAATATCAAAAGAAATTTTCTTCATATGAAAAAACATGTGTATCTTCTTGAAATTTCTTTGGTCCATATATTCTCGCTTAGTTCATGTGAAATTTCATCGTGGCTCCAGGAGTGCTTTTTTTTTTAATAACCTTAGACTTGTAAATTAATTATTGTTTAGCGTTTTTTTTTATATAAGCTGTTTTTTTTTTAACAATAATTAACTTTTGTTTATGATTCTAAAAAAAGAAGAGGACCTTGAAGAGATAATAATACGTTTTTCTTGTATATGCTCCCTTTTTTTACATATCTTTTCGTTTGTTTGTTGTAAGTAGTCGACTGAAAAAAAAAAAAAAAAAAAAAAAGCGTTTTTTATCCCTGAGTCCATCGCGATGGGCTTCTATACGTTGTGAGCCTTAGGATAACCTTTTGTTTATCTTATAAGTAACTAAAAAAAACTGTCAACCTTTCCTAAATAAAGAGAGAGGGACTTTAAGGATATATGTGGTCTTGTATTTTGCATGAGTTTATGAATCGACTGATAGTGACATTAATGCAATTGTTAGTCGAAATAAAACTCCACAAACGTTTATAACTCACATGCAAAACCTATTGACCTTTAAGCGCGTATTTTTTGAAAAAAAAAATCATTCCATTTAAAACTATGATTGTTATTGGTAATATTACCATTAATATGTTGATGTAAGCTAGAGACTAGCTTGAAATAAATATTTTTCAAGGTTGTATATACATCTTGGACAAAGGTTTATGGTCATATTAAAGCTTAGAAGCATCCCACCATATAATACTATACAATACATTAGGTTTGATAAACATAATATGGGACATTGATACGATAAAAAGAAATAGATTAATTCGAATATTGTATTCAGAAAAATGATAGTTACCACCCAAGAATCAAAGATACAGGACCTCCTGTATATATGTATAGAGTTGAAATAAAAGACCACTTTATTATTTATGAAATATACTTAAATATAATCAGAAGCATATTTCCTATTAAAATCAAGCGGGTATTTGTTTCTTTCTAGCTGATATACATGGAAGACCCACATTTTTCAAAAGCTGTTATCGCATCTATTCTTGACGAAAAGGAAACCACCACAATTTTGGTATAAGCTATGAAGAAACCGTCATGATGCATTTAATCATTATTTATTATAACCAAGAGCCGTGATAATTGTAAATGTTGCTTTTATAAAATACCATTTAAATGGAATTTTTTTTATTACTGTAAATACAAAATAAAAGCTCTCTTTTTTCCGTTTTTTGCTACAAAATCCGATGAAAATTTCTTCTATGCCGAATTCCACATGGGTTTTGGCAAGCCGGTAATAAGAATAATTACTTTAAAAAAAATGTAACATTGGTTTGTCAAATCAAAATTTTATCATAGTAAGAAACGTTTAATTTCGCATAAGCTTAAAATCCGGTAGTTGGAAATTCCCCACCATTGGTCTTCTTCTAGAAATCAGTTAACCCAAGTAAAAATTTTAATAATATTTTTTTTTTTTTAAAATTGATGATAACCAGTTGCAACAACACTTCATTTTAAAAAAAAAAAAATTGATTAATGCGTTGAAAAATATCCTTTAATTAATGTCTTTATATTCATTTAAGCTAACTTCTAGATTCTTTTGTAAGCTAAGAAATAAGATATTATACTGAATAACCGATTGACTAATGGTTAAACATTCGGTAAAATCTAGCCTGGGTCATTTGTTAAACAAAATTAACGGTTTGTTTTTAAATAATCTTAAAAAAATTTATTAATTTGGAAATTAGTCAATTTAAATGCTGCTGGGGTGAAATATAGAAAAAGAAAAAAAAAAAACTTAATTAAGTTTTTTTTTATAAAGTATTATACATGAATCCATTGTGATAAGAAATTCATTTCCACCAAAAAGAAGGTATTGAAATAGGATTTTATAGATAGCATCAAACAATTGTTACATTGTTTTAGTTGAAAAGAGAGTGATTAAGATTGATAAGGTTTTTGGGATTTTATTTCTAAATTATGACGGACTATTGTACAAATATTCTTAAAAGACTGGCGCAAACAAACATACACACACACAAAAAAAAAACTAAATAATAAAAAAATAAAATTAAATCAATGTTTCATAAAATCATGATAGCTACTTTTTTTTTAATAGCCATTTATAGAAAGGGTTAAACAATAATAGTAGCCTTTCTTAATCTCTTGGAAGGAAGCCCATTACAAGCTCTTATATTGCCAGGTGATGAAGGGATTTGCTTGGTGTGAACACGAGCATGTTGGGACAAATTATCAGAGCGAGAAAAGGTTTTGCCACATTGTTTGCATTCAAAGGGCTTTTCACGTGTATGGAGACTTCGGAAATGTCGCTTTAAGTGTTCCTGACGACGGAACTTGCGGTCACAGTGCTCACATGTAAACGTTTTGGACTCTTCGTCAACCGTAGAAGGTTTGCGAGAAGCGCGTCTTGGTTTGGGAGAGTTAGCCCTTGAATTAGATTCGGTAGAAGATTGGGAGATTTCCGAACTAGAAATGCATGAATCGACAAGACAAGAAGATTCGGAATCGTAATGCTCATGGGAGCATTCAGTAAGATGAGCCGAATGAATATGGTGGGAGCGATGGGTCATTTTAATTCTCTTTTGTGCGTTTTCATCGACATTCTTATTAATATTAGATGAAATGAAATTAATATTTGACTCATTGGTTTCACTTCCTTGGGAAAGATCTATAATTCCTGCATTATTACCAGCGTCATCTCTTAATCGTTTAAGTGAGACGGGTGATGGAGAAGGAGTGGGGAAAGTATGAGGCTGGCTACTCTTGAGTATTATGGGGACCTCTGGAATGGGGGCAGTGGTGAAGTTGTTAGTGGTGGTGATCATAGAAGAAACGGAAGTAGAGTTGGGAGAAACAGGAGTAATGGGAAGAGCAGCAGGTTGAAAGTTGTGAACACCAGCAGGCTTGGAATAGAATTGTATTGTGGGACTTGCAAACATTTGTGGCTGACTTTGCATTTGACTTGGAAGTGGCTGAGGGAACTGAGCGACAGTGTTAGACTGAAGAACAAAATAGTCCTGAAGGTCTGGAACGGGAGTGCCAGCTGCAGCTGCAGCGGCTGCGGCAGCAGCAGCATTAGTGGCAGTTGGAAGTTGTTGGATAGGAATTCTTGCTGTTGTATACTGCGAGTAAGCAGAAGGATGTGCGAAGTTTGCGTATGTCTCACTTTGAATAGGCATCATAGAGTGAGGCATGGCCACGTTAGAATAATGTGGGACCTGAGACTGAAGTTGATCCAGTTTTTGCTCTGGGAAAGCAATAGCTTTGGGATCGCAAAAGTTTTCAGAAGCAGTAGCAGGAGTAGTAGATGAGTAGACAGGATCCATGGTAGCGCCAACAGGAACCAGCTGTTGGGCGCTGGAGTCTTGGAGAAACGAGCCGCAGAAAGGCAGAGAGTTATCAAAGGCAACTACAAAGCCTTCAGGAGAGGTTTGAATGGGGTGGTTGTTGATAACAGTCTGATTCTGTGAAAAGACGGGTCGTTGTTGAAAGTCTGGAGTTGAGGATGCAGATGTAAAGATGGATGTTTCTGGCGAAACAACCGAGGATCGCGGAGAGTACATCAGTGGGGGGCAGTCCAGCTGCTGAAGGTAGTCATAGGGAGCATCGCTAGAATGGGAAGAAGAGGCAGATGCAGTGTTGATTGAGGTTGATGGGTGGGAGCTGTGGATGTAGTTTGGAGAGGCTTGAGAGTTTAAAGTGGTCAAGTTGACCATATTGTTGAAGAAGGAAGGCTTTTTCCCATAAGCCATTACAGGATACTGTTGCTGTGATTGCGAGTCTTGGGTGGTGGCTGTGTCTACTTGTTGGTAGAAGAGTTGAGGTTCATAACAAATATCCGTCATTGTGTATTATGTATAAATTTTATAGATATATGAAGATGGGAAGATTGTAATAATATAATTTAAAAGATGAATGATATGATTAATAAAAAATATACGAAAAAAAAAAACTAAAAAAACAAATAGGCGAAGGGAATCAAAAACTGGACAATATTAAAAGAGTGACTGGTTGGGATTCGATAGTAGTAGCTGATTTATTTTTATTTTTATTTTTTTGTTTCTGAACGAGTGAAGACCAACTTAAGGGTCCAAGGAAGGTTTATAAGACCAAAATGAAATTGGAATATTGAAGATGGATATATAGGTGATTATATATGAAAATATATATATATATATATATGAAGAGAAATAAAAGAGGGGAAAGAAAGAAATAAAAAAAAAATTAGAAAAAATTCGGGACCAAAATGGAGGTTTTGGCTTGTTATATATATAAATTTTCAGTGAATAAATACCTCGTATGACTTGAAATTTCAACTATAGAGACCCTCTAAGTGTTTTTTTGGGGGGGGCTTGTTAACCCATAATTTTCCAAATGCTTACATATTTCTTAACAACCACACTAATAGCTTTAAAAAATAAAAAAAATAAAAAAAAAAAAAAAACAAATTTTGCCAGCTATTTTTTTTTTTTTTGCAGATACCAATTAATTTGTCTGCATATATGCACGCCGACTCTGGTAAAACTATAACTTATAGTTATATATTTTAGTTCCAAGTTTAGACGCCGTATCACGTGCTGTGATATTTTTTTATTTTATATGTGTATTATATAATTATATAATTATATAATTATATAATTATATTAATGATATTAATTATTTTAATTATTTTAATTATAATTAATTATATATATATATTTAAATATTTAAATATTTAGTTTTATTACTACTCCTACCCTTTCCTCCTCCTCCCCCCCCCCCAAAATTAACAACACAAATTTCAAAAAAGAAAAAAAAGAAATGAAAGGCCTATTTTTTTTTTAAATTTTTTTTTTTTAATTATTTTTAATAACCATCATGTAAACATCCACCATAACTATTAGTACTATACTGGTAAATACCAGAACGCGTGTGACGCGTACGCGAGAAAAAAAAATTTAAATTTATATATATATATTTATATGTATTTATCTTATACCATCATATAGACAACAATTATTGAAATAAAAAATTCCACTGATATTAAACCTATCAATCCATTTATATATATATATACATATATACTTAAATATTTAAGTATATGTGGAATATGTAACCGCCAGTAGTCTTGATAATGGCTCTGTTATGGCTGGGCTTTCTTCTCCAGTCACTTGGTTCCATTAACCTATATTGGGAACCTTCATACAACTAAGGTTATTCATTCATGTTTCTCTACCTAAACATTTTCGTAAATCATCAAACGCAACAGTCATTATCTAGATACCTGCATTTTGAAGAAAAAAAAATATATAACCATCAAAAAAGTCCTCTTTTTTTTTCTGCTTCAGTTGTTAGTTTGTTCTTCCGATTTATATGTTATTTGTAATATCTCACATTCACAGACGTGATTTTTTTATTTTTTTTAAATTTATTTTTTCTTTTCTATATTAACATTTTTATGTATTCATATTTCGCACCACTTTGGACTTCGATGCATGCAATTACTTTATTAAACTTTACTCAAAGTTTAAGTATTATTTGCCCACTACACAAGTATGGGAACCTATGGTAAAGAGAAGTCAATAAAAAAAAAAAAGAAAGAAAGAAAGAAAGAAAGAAAGAAAGAAAGAAAGAATTATTTTATTTTATTTTTTAATTTTTTTTTTGCCTTACCCTGTCTCTACTTTCGCCATTCAAAATGTCCATGTGAGGTTTTACTCTTTGGTAGCACAATCAAATACATAAATGTAGCTGTAATAGTTCCATACTTGCTTTGTTCTTAACAATAATACCTACGTATCTTCTCAAGTTCTTCTTTTTTTTTATTTTTTTTTTTTCAAAAGGCGTTCAAACATTATTAAAAATTTAAATATAATATATTTACTCTTGTATATATATTACATTTAAGTAAATATTACCGCTATAAAACGAACTACTTTTCAATGTTCAGTTTTGACAACTATAATGGATAAATTATTATTGTAAAATTTGAATAGTTTTTATTAGACAAAAGGGACATACTAACAAAAATTTGATTTTAGTGAATAAGAATTTCAGTTATATAAATTAACCGACACCTAAATGAAAATAATTAATGAGGCCATTAAATTTTTATTTATAACTTAATAAAAAAAAAAAAAAAAAAAAAAAAAAAACAACGAAATCCAATGTTCGTTTAAAGCAATTTTTTTTGTTGCTCAAGTAATTACAAAATTAAAATTAAATTTTAATTTTTCAAAATAAAGATTTTAAAATAGGGGGAGACGATCACTTCCATCTCGATCTTATAGCTTTTCTAACATATATGTGATTTCTTTTGAAAAAAAAAAAAAAACGCAAGTTATACACAAAAAATTAAAAAAAAAGGTTTCTCTCTAAATACTTAAATACTTAAATAATTGTATTAATTTAAAGATAAACAAATCTAATATTGATACCAAAAAAATTAAACTATTGTAACAGTTAAAAAATCATTCGCTAATTGTTTTCGTCTTTTTCGTAATTTGACTAGTGCTTAACTAAAAAATAAATGAAAATGAAAATGAAAAGAAAAGGGAAAAAAGAAACGAAGAACGTCACTATTAAGTTTTTTTTCTTTTCTATTCTTAATTTTTTTTTTTTTTCTCCCAAGTTTTAAGTTTAATAGTTTTATTAGGAAACTTTGAATAATATATTAAAAAAAATCTCTTTTACTTCTCTTTAGTTCTTTCATTTGTGAAATCTCAAAAAAAAAAAGAAAAAAAAAATGATAGCCCTATACCCGAAGTTATTCTTGATGAATTATTCCACCAAAATGTATATGCGTTAAGCAAAGTGAGTCTATTTGTTTAAAATTCCTGGGATAACAAACCCATTTTAAGTTTCAAAATGATATGATTTCTACAAGGTTTTGCAGGACTTTCGACTGTTTTCCTGAAAAAGATCTGTATGGTTTGGTGAATATCGTTTTTAAACAAGGAAACACCAGTAGTTGAACTTTTTTTTTTTTTTTTTCTTTTTTTCTTTTACTTTATAAACCCTTTCAGCTTTAATAAACATGAATCACCAAACATAGCATACATAGTATAATAAGTAGACTTATTCTCTCCCAAAACAAAAGAAAATAAAGATATTGAAAATGTCATGTTTTTCTTCTAAACTAACATTGGGTCACCTTTTTTGTTTTTAAAAAATAATCTATATATAAAGTATTACTTACAATCAATTATTTATACACATGAATTTTTTTTTTTTGCTAAAAATATCTTTAGAATGTTATTACATCATTTAAATGAAATGATTCTTTTTCTTATTTTAATTATTTTCCCTTGAAATGGATAACCATTTAAACATTTTATTTTCGGCATCTCAATATCTATGAATGAAAAAAAAATATCAACGGAATAAATGTGGTTTGCATTCGTTACTTCAGAAAAGCCTTTATCGTCTTTGTACCGATATCCCAAGTTAACTACTCAACTAGTTTTATCTAAAGGCTTCGATATCTTTGTTTTTTTTTTTTATTTTTTTTTTTTCGGAGAATGAACCTTATTTTTGTTCGGGTTTTAAAAGACCGTGGATGTTCTATTACTTACTTCAATGTGTAATACATTTATATAAGTGCTTTGTTTCTATTTCAAAGTATTATCTTAAAATGAATTTCCTTGCTGTTATAAATGCAATATTGTATTATGACCACTTTGTATATTAATTTTTTTTTTCTCAATTCCTATTGTTATTCTAAATTGTGAATATATCTAAAAAGGACCAAACAAGAGAAATAGTAACAAACAAACAAAAAAAGTTCTTTTGGGGACTTTGTCTTCCAAACAACTACCCTTTAATTGGAATAATCTTAAACGTTTGCAGTAGAATCTTTGTGGATATGCACATTTCCGGATTCAACTCCAAAAAAAAAAAAATCTATTTATGTAATATTCTATCTTTAAACCTAAGGTTGATCAAAGTGGATCTTTGATATTATGGGCCTTATTTAAAGAAAGTAATCCCTTTTCTAAGTGGAGTTCAATTATATACTTGTTTAAAAGTTAAATAAATCATTAGATGTGGCCTTTTTTTCAAGTTTTTTTTTTTTTTTTTTTTTTTTTCCTCCGCTATTAGACTTTTAACTCCATTCATAATTAGAGAAACGATTGTATTCATTTTTGTGGAGGCACAAACCAGATTGGTGTATATGCGTTACACCAATAATTATTGGCTTGGAAATGCTGATTTCGTTAGAATTCGAGTGTAGAATATGTAACAACTTTGTAATATGGAATTCAGTACGACATTTATGTACCCATTCTGTCTTTTTATTTTATTTTTATTTTTATTTTGTAATTGCCCTCCATTAAGCATAAGACAAAAAAGGTCTTCAAATGAGACAAATGCCCAGCATGCTGAGCCTTAAAAATATTCAATTTATCCAAAAGTGGAATTGCTTAAAAAGACGACTTTACAAAACTGTTACATTGGTATTTCTTTATTAAGGGTATGTCAAATAATATCATGATTGAACAATAGGATAAATAACCGGTTACGTCGCATAGACGTAGAATTTGAATTGCTTTGATACTAATATATATATATATATATACAATAAATATTCACTCAGATCTAAATTTCCTAATTTCCGCGTGAATAAGGTAGTACAAGTATCTGATTGTTTAGATTAAAGAATCTTGACACTAAAAGTAGGAAATAAGCTGGAATGGGATTAGTATTTATCATTTTAATCCATCTTATTATCAAATACGACTATTGCTAAATTTCTTAGTTTTTGTTTATTTTTTACAAATTTTTTACAAATTTTTACAATTCTTCCAAACGACTTTAGGCTTATGTGGTTTTCCAGGCTTGGTATTGAACATCATTACGCTCATCT